ACAAGTACAAATTTCGCAACAATCACCATTACAACCAAACAATCCACCAAAGACACTAGCAACACCACAGCACCTGTCCAGGACACTCAACAACAGCTCCCAACAGCCTTAACGACACTCTCAACAGCACCTACAGAAAAAAGTACAAACGATCTTGAGATTGCCATCTCAACATCTGCGACATCTGAAAAGCAGAAAAGCCCCTCATCACTTACAGTAAGCAACCCAAACAACAGTTCTAGCGGCCCTCTCAGCGTTTGTGGCAGCAAAAGAACAGCCACTGAAATCTCCACAGCCTTTTTTTCTGCTGACAACGACCATTTACTTCTTTCCACCATGGGAAAAACGACGGTAACTAGAAAATCCAATAACAAAAAAATCAAGCCCATCTCCGCTCCTGTCCCCTCTGACTCTACTGTCTCACCAACCACCGAGCCAGTAGAAATGCAGCTAGAACGCAACCCGGATGTGCTCAACACTCCTACTCTATTTGGGGAAACCACCCCCATTGGTAGTAGTACACCAATCATCGTTCCACCTAATGCACCAGAGTACATTACGGCTCTGTTCAACATGATTCAGGCGCAAAGCTCTCGCCTGACTCAATTGGAGGCTCTAGTAGCTGAAAACGCCCTTCTCAAGGCTGAGAATGACCAACTCCGTAAGCAATTACAACAGCTTCAGCGTTCTCCTACCTTCAACAACGACGTTGATATGGCTGAAACTAGCGATCCATCTCGTGCTCCAGGTGATTTTACTTTCAAAATCCCTACCAACACACCTATGGGTACAAAGTCCTCCCCTTCGCATATCCTAGTTAGGACACCACAAGGATCACAGGCATCGAAATATGCCAATGATGACACACCCAGCACTACTAGCACTCCTCTGCCTCCCCCTCAAATGTCCCCTTATCAAGCTGCAGCTCATCGTGGTATTAAAGCCAACAGCAATAAGCTCGCTCCACCCAAGGTCACTACTGCTGCTCGAAGAGCTGCTGTACGCCTGTTCCAACCTGCATCATCAAATCCAGGTTACCAATACATTCACCTTCCCTGCCGTGTTCGCCATAAGTTGAAAGAATTACGTGCTAAACTTGCTGCCATACACATCAACCCATCGCGCATCCTGGATATCCAATATCCAGCTAAACAAACCGTCAGCCTATTGGTGCACAACGATTATGCACCTATCGTTAAACAACGTCTCACCAAAGCCAAGGTTCCTATTCTTGCAGACTTTGATCCCTTATCTGGTACTATCCTCCATAATACCGAACTAGCCGCTCTCCCAGAGGCAGAAAAACAAGCCAAAGCTCGTGAGTTCCATACCCTCCGTTGCCTCAGAGCCCTGGATTTCATTCGCACTCCAGTAGCCTACGCTGTAGCCAAGACCTTCTTGATCAACACCTGGATCACTCAAGAACATATAGACCAATTACGAAAGGGCATCCCTTTCTTCCCTTCTTCATCGAAAGATTCCCAGCAATCCCAAACCTCACAACCACCCAGCACACAACTTGACGACGATACTCACATCAATGAACTAGCCATTGATGATGTTGATATGACTCAACAGTCGACCACCACTGATACGACTTCTCCTTCAGGTGCTGGTGAACCTGCATCCCAACAATAATGAGTAGTCGATCACTGACTATCTCATGTTGGAATGCTAATGGCATTGCCAAACACACTATATCTTTGATTACAGATCCACTTATGCATTCTACCCTCATTTTTCTAACTGAAACTTGGTTACTTTCTCCATATAGATATCCTACCTCATGGCAACAATATCACACCTATGGCGTTCCCGTTGAGGGGGATGGCTTCCGGGGACAACAAGGCATTACACTATTGGTTAACCCCAATTGTCCCTACCCTGTCACTCATTTTCCATCCTCATCTCCTTACGTCCTTTCATGTCAAATCTCAACCTTTTTAATCCATTGCTTATATCTCCCGCCCTCTATGCCAGCTCCTGATGCCCTCGAAATTATACGCTCCTTACCCATCAATCCTAACCGCACCCATACCAACACCATCTTCTGTGGCGACTTTAACGCTCGTCATGCCCAGCTATTAGGTGATGCCAAATCCACACAACGAGGCTATGCACTCGCACAATGGCTCAACGAAACAGGCTTACGTTGCTGGAATGCTGAACTCACCTATGGCCAGCCCACATACTACTGCTGTAGACGTAGCACCTCTCAAGGCGCTATATTCCAGAGCATCGTTGACCTCATGATATCTACAGACAACATCCAACAACCCGAGCTTATTGTGCATAGCGATATCAGCGCGGGCTCTGATCATCATCCAATTTCCTTCACTTTCCTGAATCCACGCCCACCACCACCCAAGAGCAAACATCCTCGTCGTCTATGGAACCTTGGTAAATTGAAGAATCCTAACTGTACCTACCAATCTCTCTTTTCAGAGAGACTAGCGTCACTCAAACTTCATCTCCAGCATACATTAACAATCGATAACCTTCCTTCACCTCAATCCACCATCAATGCATTGAACAACGACCTCAACAATCTTGTATCTTCATGCTTAGATGATTCAATTGGCCGTCGCTCTCACACGTCAGCTCATAAGTCATGGTTCTGGACGCCTGACCTTCACCGCTTATCCAAACAACGTGAACACGCTCGTTCACGCTGGAGAAGAGAAACAGACCCCTTCCGTCAACTACGACTATATGATCACTACGAAGCACTAGATTCTGATTTCAAAAAAGAATGTAAGAAACGCCAACGTCATACTTGGAGAGCCTTCTGTCATAAGTTGTCTACAGGTGATTTCACTGAGACCATCAAAACAATCAAAGGGATACGAAAAAGCCGTACCACCACTCCACGTTTCAATCATCCTGATGGACCAGACCAAGCGGCTCTAGCCATGTCACGCCATCTTAGAAATATCTTTGCTGGCGACCATCTTCCCGCTGACCGTCAACCACTCCCCCCGAAACCAACAGGCCCTCATCCCTATACCTTTGATGATGCACCTCAACATGATTGTCCCTTTCATGATGACCAAATTTCAGAAATGATACGAAAAAAACTGTCTCGCAACAAAGCACCTGGAGTTGACCATATTCGTACTGAAATCCTCCTACCTATTGAAAAAGCGCTTACCCCTCTTCTTACCTTATTATTTAGGTTATGTTGGAAATGGGCCTGTGTGCCCACCCACTGGACTATAGCCCAAGTAATCCCAATATATAAGAAAGGCGATCCACTTGAGCCAGGCAATTTTAGACCGATTAGTTTAACTTCTGTTTTTCGTAAATTATTTGAATTATGTCTCCAAGATGTGTTAACCTCAACTGCTCCCCCATTAGATATTGTACAAGGTGGTTTTCGCGTTCATCGAAGTGCATTAGATCAGGCCCTCTGCCTCCATGAGCTATGTGAACAACACGCCAAAGATCACTATGGTGAACGACCCGTCCTTGCATTCCTTGACATCAAGTCTGCCTACGACACCGTCGATAGAGCCATTATTTGGCGAGCTTTAGAAACCCATATCTCTGCTCCTCTACTGGCATTACTACAAAGCCTTTTCGATGAAGTCCTTATTCAAGTATTAGTCCAGAACACGACCTCTCCTAGCTTCCACCCTGTCACTGGGGTTCTTCAAGGATCCATTTTATCTCCCTTTTTGTATTCCATATATATCAACAGCCTTCCAACTTTCCTACGAACAGCACGCATTCCCCCAACAGAGCATTTGACCAACCCATCAACCGAAGATTCAATGGTGTTTGGATCAACAGCCTCCTCTACGCAGATGATGTTGTTCTTATTGCCACTGCCGACCTTATGCCTAGGCTCCTCAAAAAAGCTGAACTTCATTCTCAACAACTAGGCTACAGATGGAACCCCGAAAAGTGTGTAATCCTCAACTCACCTACACCTTTAGGAGCGCCACCACTGAAACTATATGATACCGCTATACCATGTGCGGACTCCTTTGTCTACCTTGGTATTCCGTTTAATCAACATGGCAACCTTGATGCAGCCCTTTTATTGCACCGCAATATTAAAAAAGCTCTTCATGCCATGCGTACTGTCTTACAACCCCTAGGTTTACGCTCTCCCTCCTTCTCAAGATTAACCGCTACCCGCCTCTTCACCATGCTTATCCGCCCAATAATGGAATACGGCCTCGCAATTTCGATCTTTCTTAAAAAGCAAATTTTACTCTTCGAGAAAGCCCAAGATCAATGCCTCCGTATTCTCTTTGGTGGACACTCGAAAAGCTCAACCGCAGTCTTCAAACACATGACTAACATCCCCTCCATGGACCAACGAATACAGAGACTTATATTCAAAATGATTTGCCGAGTATATCATCTCCCGGAGGACACTTTATTGAAAACCATCCTTTCCCACTGCACTACGCCCAACTACCGATGGCCACGTCTACTTAAATACAGTATTCTCTGGAAAAGTCTCCCTACGGATGCCCAACAACGGTTAGCCATATACGACAAACCTTCACTACAAGACCAACATTACCTCCGCTATCGCCAATCCACTCATGACACCATCACCAATCCGACAAATACCCCTCCACCACCTGTTTTACTCTCTGCATGCAGAAGTACTATTGGTATTGACCCCATCCTTTTCCTACCCATGTCCACGTTTGATCGCAGTCGCCTTCTTCGATGGCGCATGGGATGGCTTCCCGCTCGCCCGATTGGCTGTAACAAATGTGAAGCTGCACATGCCTCTCGCCAACACCTCATCTCTTGCCTTGATGTTGCTAATCGTCTCAACATCCCTCCAGAGGTCAAACCTAACCCGATCGATTACTTCCTCAACACTTATCTCCCAACATACAAACCTTCGATCGAGCCTCATGAACGCATACAACCGCTGTCACCTTTACGAAAACACCTGGTCACTTACTGGCCGACCCTGTGCCAAATCATGCTGGAGATTGATCAAATATGTCATCCCAACGAAGAATTCACCGGTACATCTTTAATTGTTAATGGTCTACCTCTACTCCAGTGGTATACGCCGACAGTTTCTGATCACCAATGACCTCATCCATATATACCTCAATAAAAATACAAAAAAAAGCAAAAAACCGGATAAACCGATAAAAAAAAAAAAAAAAACCAAAAAAAAAAAAAAAAAAGAAAATCCACCAAAAACAAACCCCGATACTGACTTTTAATGCTTCTGCTACTTTTTACTTTCATGCTACTTTCTCGTAGATCCTGATCTGATGCACTACCTATGGCGCGTCTACCAACCTTTTTAACCAACTGCCTCGCGTAGTTGAATTTTTTAGCTTACCCTTTACTAACCTCTTATATAGCCATAAGTTTTTACTTTCCATAGTCTTTTCCTTATTCCTATATAAGTATGCTCGAGTGGTATCCATATAGCCCTATAGGGATCCGGATACATACCACGTTAAATAAAACCAACCCCCTTTGTCTATACTACACCGGCTTTTTATACTGTCAAGTGAGGGGGCCCTATTGTGTCAGAATTATCGGTTAGATAATTGGGAACCATTTGAGTGTGTATCCCTCCCCCTTAAGCGAACCTTAAGAAATAGAAAAATAGTCTAAGTAAAAAAAATTTAAGAAAAAAACTTTTGCAGTCGAAGAGCCTATTTTATTATATTAAAAATCCTAAGTCCTTTTATATCGTGCAAATTGCCCTAAGTTAACATAAACATAAAAAAAATATATATAAATAGTCATTTGTGTAATTTGATCTTGAATTCATAGTTAAACATTTTCATAAGCATAGAGGTAAATACCATAAATAGCAAAAGGGAAGAAAGACAAAGGAAAGGGTGCATGCCCGGAGGGCTTGGACCGAAGGCACAAATGTCCGAGGGTTTTGACATCTGACCTACTAAATTGGGCAAGAATTTGAAGCCCGCTGTAGTGAGCCGATAAATTAGCTACGGGACTTGTCAATACCATGATGCATGGCGTTTATATTGTACAAACCTGCTTCCGAATTAATAAGTTCGACCCGGAGTAACCCAGCAGTCCGACACAAAATCACGTATACTATTGAAGACAAACATTTAATACGGACTTTAAATGTTACTTACATAACTACATACATCAATATACATATTAATTTTAGTATAAATTCTATTCATAACCTGATATTAGGAAGTCTCTCTTCTTTTGGGCATTCATATTTTACTATAAACATTTTATTTTGATTATTGGAATTTTGTTAATTTCAAGTTTTATTTTATATTTCAGGATTTAGATTTGTTTACTTCGTTTTCATTAGTTTATATTTTTTTTTTTATTTTTATTGATTCTTTAAGTATTGATCTACATTTTTATACGATCAATCATTTATAGCTAGTATATTCATAATATAAGAAGAACAAACCAGTTAAATTTCCTATATTCATTTTTCGATAGAAACATATTTTGTTTACTTGCTCTCAAATTATAATAATTTTGTCGTATTTGAGGGTAGATGATACACAAATATTAAAGATATAATTCAATTTATGAAGGATAAAGATGAATTATATAATATTGCAAACCAGAAATAATTAGAAACTACATAAACTCTACTATATGAGTACCGTGAATTAAGTGTTATGTTTAGTTGACAGCATCATATGAGATGTGGAGAACTCGTATACAAATTATACAAGATCCTCACACCTCATTACTGCTGAAATAATATATAAAGTAGAGTAGGAAACGAATATAGAATAAGTGATGATTCTTATACGAGATTAGCTACCTCGTATAAGGCTGAACAGGTTGTCATTTAGGATATATAGTTTACTTATTTTGCTATAATACGTTACTATATGACATAGGATATATAGTAGAATTAATATATGGACATGCAGGATATATTGATTCAACACCAAGGTATAATAGGTTATAAGTACTATTCTCTGCCTTCGGCATAAAGAATGATTACAAGATAATAGGTTGTGATCATCCTTTACAATAACTGTTCACTCAACTCAAACACCACGCACGAATACCATTTTCCTAATCAATACTATTTTCCTGCAAGCAGTGCTACATAATGGTTAGCACGGGAAAATAGGTTAGTTGCATGATCACTAGATCAAGCCATGGATACGTTTACAAGTCCATCTGCTCCGGGTAGATGCGTAATCTCCTCAAGGGTGATTACGGTTCAGAAGACGTACGTCTTCTTTGAGTAGAATAACTCAGCTGTCAGTTTCTAGGTTCCGCAATATGAAGAAGATATTTAAATTTTTGCAGTAAATATTTTTTCTTCTCTTCGAACTTAACTTGATTCAAAATAAAAACCTACTAGTTTGATCTCGTTAACTTTTTACTGTTTTTAATTAAGTGATGTTTAACTCTACAAGTCGTCAAATACCACACCAGTAACATCCGAAACAAAAAATTGTCTTGGAAAAAGGTTGAAGAATTACTTGAGAACCGATTTGATATTGCTTCAAAGTATAATACTTTTCAACGCAATGCCATGTTGCATAACCTAAAGCAACGGCGCAATCAATCTGTTGCCGAATATTCAGATATATATCAGCATCATGTTATCGCTGCTAAGGTTAAAGTGGAAGATAATATCTTTTCATCTACTCCTTTGCATCATGAGGATTTAAGAATAAAGGTTCAAAATATACTTAAGGACCATTTTAAGCTTACTCTTCTTGCTAGTTCGACCTTTCTAAGCAAGTACGCAGATATTTCTGACGAGAATTACGTCCCTAGCAATTTCAATGAATTGCATAGCATTCTTTATAAGGCTATGTTCTCTTTGGAAAAAAGTCTTGCTGAAATTGTTAGGAAAGTTGGTCGAAAAGACTCATGAAACCAAAAGAAAAGATTGGAGGACAAAAGATCGTTTCGTAAGCCAAATAAGAAACCTTACAACGGCAAAACAGTAACAACAATACCTTTAATCACCAAAAAAATTAAAGGATATCAAAAATAAACCGGTTCTGTGGATAACGACGAAATCAAGTTCCTTAAAGACAATTATTTCTGTACCTTATGTTGTGTATCCAAATTTTTATCGACCTATTCTGACAAAAATAAATTCTTAGATGCCAAGAAGATAAAAATCAACTGTTGCTGCAGTTAAGACTAAATTGATACTGCTGTTAATGATGTTCATTTTCCTGATGCTAAATCTGAAATTTTTTATCATAGTGAATGCGAAAAACAAGATCTTTCTGCAGTAATAATAAAAAGAACATCTATGAATCAGAAGCAATGAAATATACAATTTAAAATGTTATTGTTGTCAATAAGACAATATGGCGCCCCATTTGTATATAAAATGACAATTTTTTTTTTTTTTTTTTTTTTTTTTTTTTTTTTTTTTTAGCGCGGATACATGAAGAGCAGTACCTATCAAACGGAACGCTTATTTCACAGGAGAGTATATAACACGAAGAGTATTAGTGTTTCCTAATCCACCCTTCCAACCTTGAACAGCAACGACTGGTTCGCCATGCTTGAGTAAACTATACACAGTGATATAACATGATTAGTATTTGAATTGGCTTATACCATATAATAGCAAAGGCGTCATTACCCATATTTCATTGCTTGCTCCATGCCTAATCAAAACAGATAAAGTTAGAATCAATTAATAGAAGATTCAACGTTGAAAGTAAAAAGACATGACTATACCCCATTTAATTCTAGAGTCAACATCTTCTTGCCAAGGAGCATTATCTGCAGGGCTCAACTGAGAGTTGGCTGTTGTGGCTGTTGCAGATAAACGAGCAGCAGCCGATGAAGAGGCCTTGGGATAATGGAAAGGGAAGCAGCCCCTGTACAGATGTACCTGACGTGCAGTTTGAGGATTGCGGGTAACAACGATTATGGGAGCACGGGGTCTGTATTTGGAAATGAGGCGAGCAGAGTTACCAGAGGTTGTCAAAACAATAATACAGCCTGCTCTTTGTTCGTGTGCAGCGGCTACGGCAGCACAGGCGACTGTCTCTGTTGTTTCAGTAGGTAGAGCAGTTAAAGAACGAAGCTCGTTGAAGACAGCAGGGTAACAGAGAACAGACTCTGCAAGTTTACAAATGTCATGCATGGTTTTGACGGCCTCTATGGGATAATTGCCTTTGGCTGTTTCACCAGAAAGCATTACACAGTCAGCACCGTCTAATACGGCATTAGCAACATCAGAAACCTCAGCACGAGTTGGTCGAGGGTTGTACTACAATATATACATCAGTTGCTGTTACGATCTGAAGAAACAAACAAATACAAAATAGTAACTTACAGTCATAGACTCCAGCATTTGAGTGGCGCTATATCAAAATAAACGAACTTTGTCAACATGACTGTAAGATTAATTCGTGGTATTGGGAAGGCTGAACTTTACCAGATAACGGGTTTACCAGCAAGATTACATTTGGTGATCATCATTTTTTGTGCGATAAATACACGCTCAAGAGGAATTTCTATACCCATATCCTATGTTTAAACATACAGAAATTTATATCAAGTTGTTGCCGACAAGCTACAGAATAGAGTTTCTTACCCCACGAGCAACCATAACACCGTCAGTCTCTTGAAGGATCTCATCAAAGTTCTCCACACCTTGATGATTTTCGATCTTTGAAATGATCTTGATATGCTTACCCTCTTCGCCTAAAACGTCTCTGATATCTCTGACATCTTGACCGCTTCGGACGAAAGAGGCAAAGATCAGATCAACCTTTTGCTCAACACCAAATCTTAAGTCAACTTTGTCTTTTTCTGAAAGGGCTGGTAAGTCGACATTTGTATTGGGAAGATTGACTCCTTTGTGTGAGCAAAGCTTGCCGTTGTTTCTGGCAATCACCTTGATACCATCCTCCAAAATTTCAGTCACTTCAAAAGATAACACACCATCATCGATGTATACAAATTTGCCGACGGCAATCACCTTAGGTAAGTTTTTATAATCGATATACATAACTTGATCAGTACATTCGTTAGCGTATTTCTCGTCAACACTGAAGATCATTTCATGACCGGCTTGAATAGGCAACTACACAGATAGAGCCATTCTTTCAGTATTAGTCACATGACTATATTACGTAAATATTCCAAATGCCAGCAATTTACCTCAATGTTATCTTTCATGTTTCCTGTACGGATTTCAGGTCCCTTGTTGTCAAGTGCAATAGCGACTGGACGTCCAGGATAGACTATCATTTATACCAGCACAAAAATTGATATCGCAAATCGCATTTTCGCTTCAATTATATGTAAATTGGCGAAGACTAAAACAGTATACTTACGTTGTGCACTTTTACGTGTATTCTCAATAACAGATTGATGATACTGGTAGCACAGAAAAAAATTAACGATATAGTATAAGCAATTTTTTCATCATCAAATCCGTATTTTACCCTAACATATCAAATATGTAATGCAATTCTTAACTTACTTCATGGGTTCCATGAGAAAAATTCATTCTGACTACGTTCAAACCAGCATTTCGAAGTTGAGTGATCATCTCAACACTGTTTGTTTTTGGCCCTGATAGAAATAAATTATAGAATGAACAACAGTTCGACGAATTGAAGCAGCCCAAGTTACTAGTTCTGACACGTAAAAAAATAAATAACGAGGAAATAAGTTACCAATAGTGCCAATAATAGTAGTCTTACGACCGGCAGTAGGTTCAATATCAACGTTCATTTGTGATATCCATTGAACGTTTGAGGTGATTTCGGGGGTAAAGATTGGTGCCATTATTGCTGATCTTTGGGAGCGAAAAGTAAGCGGAAAAAGAAAAGAAAAGAAGCAGTACAAAAAAATAGCCCTTTTTATAGTTTCAAAGTTCTGCACAACTAAGAAGAACTAGAGAATTGATATATAGACTTTAAGGAACTTACTTTTAATCTTACCTTGTTGGTTGGGGCAACCGAGAGCGACAAAGAGGGATAACGACGTAATTCAACCAATCATGGTTTTATCATTTATCGTCTAGAAGCTGTATTAGGTTAAAGTTGAGTTACACATATCCTCCTCTACAAAGCAGCATAATTTACATGACTTGAGCCAAAAAGTGGAGCAAAATGAAGACAAATTTAGCACTGATAAGCCAGAGCAAAAAGAAAAAAACCTTGAGTAGTAGTAGCGAGAGAATTGTTCATTTATCGAAAACGGCTTCTTCGTTTTGCTCAAATGGTACAATAAAGTGTGTTCTTCATGGCACGAGAAAGAATAAAGACGTTCTGTTACTTAACTGTTTCGATATGCTTTAGTAAATGGCATGGCATTACGTGAGTAAAAGGTAGAAATCATAACAATTGGCTTTATTTGCAGCTTCTCCAACACTCTAATTTAACCATGTAATTGATAACAATAACGAGTAAATTGGCGAAACAACCAAGGTATAATACGTATAGATAGCAAAATAACTTTTCAAAGTAACAAAAGAATTTAAAACTATGACTATGTTGTATGTATTAAGTGTGTGTGTGTGTGTGGTATTTACAATAATAATATTTGATTATGTACAACGCAGGCACTACGCGGAGCTCATAGCCGACTTAGCCCTGTTCTTGGCGGATTGACGGCCAGTTGCTTGTTCGTAGAGTATACCCTCCATTATACCCTGATGTTGCTTCATATTCTAAATTTCAAAGACAAAAGGTTTTAGTTTGCATTACTTGCTAAAACGACTATTGACTTACATCGGTTGCTATTAGAGAATTTGCAAGCATAGCATCTCTTTTACTCAGCTGCTTACGAACAAGCTCAAGTTGCTTCTGTAAATCGAAGTATTTCTCTTTGAGATCTTCATACTTCTTCTTTTGTAAATCCAAAATACTATCTTTGTCATGTAACTCTTTGCGTAGTTCAGTGTTAAGCTTCAGCAAAGTTGTATATTTTTCTGATTCATTGTTCAGTGACTTAACAATAAAGTCAATCAATATCAGATAACTCAAATGCAAAGAAACACAGTCATCTTCTTGAGTTACCTCCTTAGTTTTTTTTGGTTTATCCAACATGTCATTGAGAAGAACATTCTTCTGGTTGGCCGCATAGAGCTTTTGCTTTAAGCGGTTATTGTCATCATCTTGCTCATCTATCTTCTTCTTATATCTTGAAAGCTCAGATTCGAGCTTCATCAGTGCTTTTTGCCATTTCGCGCCATTATTATCCATGAGCTGTTTTTCACGATCTGTCAGTTTTACATACATATTTTGCAACTCTTCTTTCAATAATTGCTTCTCCCTTTGCAAGATATCTTGTTTCGCTTCCATGTCATTTTCCAATTCTGCTATGCTGACTTCCTTATCTCTTACAGCTATTATTAATTTGTTGTACTGACTTTCTAGTGCTTCCTCAAATTCTTTTCTTTGATTCTGGATAGTCTGACGAGCTTTCCTTAATTGTATCTCAACTTCTTTACATTGCTGATCTTTCTTTTGCAGTTCAGTCTCTAACACAACCAATTGTTTTTCATAGTCTTCCAACTCCTCATGTTGTGAGTTATTTAATAAATCGAGCCTCTCTTGCAATACTTTGAGTTCCTGTTCCTTTTCCTGTAAAGCATGCGTTGCAGCCATCACTTCAGCACCATCTGTATCTTCTTGGCCATCCTTTACTTTTTCGATATACACGAGTAACTTCTCTATCTCCTTTTCCAAAGCAGCAACTTCCTGTTCTCGTGATGCAAGAGCAGTCGATAGCTCTTGATTTTCTTTCTGTAGTTGTTCTACTTTTTCCAACCCATCAAGTCCTTTAGTGTTTTCCAAGCGTAAGTCTCGTAGTTGCTGCAGATATTCGTCACATTTTTTTGACTTATCAGCGAGTTCATGTTCTGCATCATCCAAATCCTCTTGTAATTTACCAAGCCTATCCTCTAAATTGTTGATCAATTGATTCTTTCTTTTCAACTCCTCCCGTGCGCGATCTCTTGCGGACAGGACTGAGTTTAGGCGAGCATCATCTGTTTCTCTTTTCTCAATACATGAACGCTGGCCATCGATTTGCTGCTTCTGTTGCTGATTTATTCTTTGTAGCTGATCTATCAGTTGTTGCGCGCGTGAAAGCTTCTTTCTACATTCTGTAAGCTCTTCGTTCTTTTCAAATTGAGATGTTGAGCTTCTAGTTGATCTTAAATGCTTGTTATCCTGACGTAGTTGCTCTAACTCATCGCGCAAACGTTCGTTTTCCTTTCTATAATATTCAGCATCTGATTTATACATATCAAATTGTTGCTGTTCGTCTCTAGTCATTCCACGTGACTGATTAGAAACTTTCTCTTGTAAATTTTCCAATGCCTCATCCATGTCAATTATCAGCCCTTTGTATTTTCTGAGTTCATTAGCAAATAACTCGTTTTGTTCACTCAATTTTTTATTCTGTTAGTATGTAATATTCATTAGATCCTTATTCTTCACCAAAATGAAAGACTATTATTATACCTCTTTTGTAAGCTTTTCAAGATTCGTTGGGTCCATTTTACGCAGTTTTTCTTGAAAATAATATATGCTAAGTTTCAAATCGAATATCTTTTTTTCATACGCATCCAAATTCTAATTTATTACATGACGCAAAGCTTGAATACTCAATTACTCAATAAAATAACTTACAACATTAATAAAATTGTAATATAGCTTACTTGCTCCTGCTTTTGCCTTGCCAAAGCTCCAAGGTGAATATAGTCGCTGTCGGTTCGGTGCAGCTCCCTGCCGTGCATTGCAGTCGAAGTCTCTTTTGCGAAATTCTGCGAAACATTTTCGTCGATCCATGAAACGTAGGAGTCCAGGTCATCGGACACTCGCTTGTTCGTCATTCTTCCTGAAATATTATGCGATATTTCAGTACTGATTGCACTGATTTAGACAGATTGACAGGTTGTAGAGTTTGAGTAACCGAATAGTAGAAAACAGTTATGAGAAAAAAGAAAAGGAAATTGCAAACTGAGGTTCAAAAAGGTGCATTGATGACAGATAAATGACCAAATTTTTTGTTTTTTTATTGATATTGCATGTATGATGAATTTTATTGTATTATTTAAAAAGAAACTATGGCTGCAATAGCTCTTTGTGGTATTCTATCCTTTTCTTCAGAGTTAGCAGCTACACTTATTGTGAATAATAAGTCACTCCTATCTGAGTTGAGATAAACGGGCAATTCAACCATATTTTCTTTGTCCGGTCTTTCGTCTTTTCTGATCCATCTAATTATTGATTTTGGTAACTTTGTGCTTGGTTCTGACGTTAGACGTAATTCATTGTTTTCCCAAGAGGCACCTTCCAATTTCATACCACGGATACAATAACCTAAAGTAGATAACTGCTGCTGATCGATAGCGTCGATATCAATATCTAAAACTAGCTCTTCCAGTGACCATTTGTAACGTTGTGCGGTTGCTTGTCGGGTAGCCGTAATGTAAGCTTCAGGTGTAAACAAACTACCAAGAGATATTTCTATTTGGTCAAAAGCAGTTTCATATGCTAACAATTCCACTTGATCCAATCGAGTTTTCAAATCAGCAATCCAAGCATTTAAAGATAAGCTCTTTGGCACCTTATACAATTTCCAATGCTCTGGTATTAAGCCCTTATTCAACCAATTCAGCAGTCGACGAAGATGGTTCGTTTGCTTCAATTCACCGTTGCAAATCTTTTGCAAAGATGTCAAATCCTCACGAATAACTGACAATAATTTGCGTGCATTCAAGTTCTCACGTTCGAAGAAACGGAATAATGGATCCATAATTACAGATCCATCTTTTTGCATAGGTTTAATGTTTGTTGGCAGAAGATTAAGCCAAGTGGTGATAGATGAGCTCAATGCGCGCATCCAGGCTGGTTGAGCTGTCGATTCGACTTGTTTATTGCCAGCATCAGTATCATTTGTTTCGGAGGAGTAGACTAGTTCGTCATCATCGCTCAAACTCTTCATCTTGCGCACCTTGGATAGCATATTATTACCTTTCATTGTAAGTAATACACGTTCAGCATTAGCAGGTAGACCAAGCCAGGTAGGTGGCTCACGATCAGGTAGGTTTTTGACCCATTCCATAAAATGCTCCATTTTTGTGCCATCAGGCACAACAACGCGTTTGCTATCATTTCCACCGCTTCCTTTAACAAGTTCAAAATCGATATCGTAGCATTCAGGTCTGAATAATGTATTCACAAAAGAGTCGAGAAGACGTTGGTCAAATTCGTTATCGATACGGCCACCATAAATTGATTGTTTCAACAGTGAACGAATAGCATCCCAAGGGATCTTTTCCGGAGAAATGTTGGCTCTGCCTCCCGATGCTGCATCGAGCCATTTATCAATTGTATTAAAAGCAGAGTCTTGATCTGAATCATTGAACTCATAAACCTTCGTCCAACCTAATGGCACATAACGTAAACGTTCCTGAACCACAGCATGCAACCATGCCAGCATAAAGTAGAGGCGAGCGCGTTCTGTGGGACCGCGAGATAAACGTGACGGAGGAATGCTACGGAGCGCTTCTTGAAGATTGGCCTTGATACCTGGTGGAGGCTCAAACATAAGAATGCGAGACATCCGTAGCAAATTGACAGGCACCTTAGGATTAGTCTCCATTGTTAAGAAAAGACGGAAGTTCATGTTCGGTTTCATGCTATGTAATTTCTTTTCGAGCTGTCCAAGCCAAGCTGGAGCTAAATGTACGTTCTTTAACATGACCCAATGACCAGTTTTGATAGCGCTGGATATAGCTTGGTCAGCTAATGCAAAACCTTCTGCTGAGCCCATAGCGACAGATGTACAGCGCATATTGGTCTCACTCACTAAATTATCGACACGGTAGCTAGCATCATAACCAGGAACGGAACAGAGTGCTAATGGAGTGCAGCTATTGACCTCTTCCTGTACAATTTTTTGTAAATTGAGTTCACCTGTATTCATAAACTCATTATTGAAGATCTCTGTTGCGAAGATTCCAGTAGCAGGCAAAAGACGATCAGGTCTGAAGCATTTGATTACTAACATCTTACGCAGAGAGTCAAGATCGCCTTCAATACAAAATTATGAGAAAGACAATCAGTAAAAAGGTGCAGACTTCTCGTTAGTAAATCCTTATACTTACGATTCTCATCCGCAGCTTCCCAACAAACAGGTACAGCGGTCTCAGGTTGAGTATGTTCCATGAATGCTCTCCAGTCATTTTCATTCGCGACAATATGATCTGCTAGCTTATTGAAACAGGCGAGTTTTGTGAATTCTTTGATACGCTGAACAACTTCGTCTGAAATGAAGTTGGGTAAATTCACATCTAATGCACGATTATTGTCGCCAACTACAGCGTCACCTCCACTTAACAAGAAATCATATTCTGTCTCATCCATATGTTCTTGTAGACCACGTATACGTATCTGACAGAGCAATAGAGCATACATAGTATGGTCTTCATGAACTAAAGTGCGAGACGCTCGCTTATAGGCGGCAGAGAATAAATCACGAGTCAGAATGGCCAAACGTTCGTTAGGATCCGTAATTCCTTCTAAGTTAGGGTTAGCATGGATGACATATTCAAAAATCTCATAAAAGAAATCGAGAGAGAATTGGTAGAAGTGATTGATCAAATTGAGTTGTTCCATCACAAAGAAAATAGAGCTACAGGCACTAGCCAATGGAGTGTAAATGGCTGTTGTTTGCTCTACTTCTAACATAATAGCATTGGTTTCATCGACCTTGCGGCTGACTTCAGCAGCTTCCTTTTTGAGAGTTTCCAGTGTATCTATAACTTTATCATCATCCAATATATTGCCTTTAGATTCATTCAAAGCTTGAAGAAGCGACTTTTCCAAATGACGCAGTTTGAGTTGGAATTCTCCCTGCAGTTTAATCAAATCAGTTCGTTTTTGATCAACATCAGGCCTTTCCGCTTTTAAAACCTTGTTCAAACATTGACTTTGTAAACTACCACGTGTTACTGTGAAGTTGACGAAAGTTACGCGGGAGCAAATATCAGGAGCAAAATTGACTGAAGGATCGCGAGTAGAAAGGAACAGCGTAAAAGTAGGAGAGAAATCAATGTCTTGATTACCTAGACGGATCAATACACGGCCTCCGGTGCGACGTAATTCCTTGTTAAGAACAGGATTAAGAATGGGATCCAAATGTTCGACATCTTGAATTAGAATAGGGTTACCAAACCGTAAGGCACTCTCGAGATTCTTGATAAATGAATCATCCAAGAAACTCGTAACTGTGATTTTACGATCCTTATATTCGTTAATTAAGAAATTAGTTGCTTGGCCAGAGGGATCAATGATTAGTGGGTATCTGTTAAAGCGCTTGAGCATGATAGCATTCTCTACACAAAGTTGGTCGGCTGGCAAAGAGTTTGCTTGCCATGAAATACGATCATCAGCGCTCGAAAGATACTCTGTCAAAGAAACTTCTTGTTTGTATTGAATATTTGCTGCAGAAAGATGATCCATCCATTTTTGTAGTAAGATTCCACGATACTGCTGGTCAAAATAACCACCATAAGCTAAGAAAGCAGCAGCTAGAAGTACATCACCAACAATGGTACCCATTTGACTTTCAAAAGCTTGACTAGCAGCTTCCCAGCGGGTCTTTTCAGATGACAAGGAGCTAAGGAGTGTAATACTTCGATCGACCTTAGATTTGACACGTTCCATTTCCGCCTTGATCAACTGAGTTTCACCGACCAAAGCAGCATATTCCTCCTTATAGCGTGCGATACTGACCTCAAGTTCAGAAATCATTTGTTCAATCTCGACTACTTGGTTCTTGGTATCTTCTGAACTCTTTTGTAGTTGATTCAATTCCTCACGAAGTGGCCCAACGCGATCGAGGATTTCTGAGAAGTTTACTTGTGCACTCACCCACTTGAACAAAGGACCACAGGCTTTTGAAGCACGATTCACAATTTCGTAATCGAAGTTTGGATTGTTAAGGAAGTTTTGGCGCATATAGTGTCTTAGCTGTTTAGTAATTTGCAATTCTGTGTTATAGTTGACAATGCTTGAAATAAAATCATCACGACGAATAATACTCTGCACAGTCTTCCAACTATCAATCTTGTGACCAAGCATAATACAAACAGATTCCATAGTTAGCTTAACAGCCTCAGGAGGATTGCTCATAGCACGAACTTCAGTAAGATGCTGTCTTTTGATACTCTTAACGCTTTGTTCTGCCTCTTTAACAGCGGGCTCTGCATTTGCCAAATCTGTATCAACAACAGCACGACGAGCTTCAATTTCCTATATAATTTGAAGCCACTTAATTTAGAGATCTCGATAAACTGCACTTATCATAATACCTACTTTGTTTTGTATTTTGAGATTCTCCTTGATTTGAAGGGAGTCAGCTTTCTTCTGCTCAGCAACCTTTTCGTTTGCAATCATTTGACCTATCTTTTCGTTGGCTTGATTTTGCTTCAATTCCAACTGGTTCTTTTTAATTGCAAGACTCTTTCTAAGCTCTTCCACCTTGATTACTGTATCTTTCAATTTTTCAAGACCAACATTAAGATGACGTTGTTGCTCTTCTAAATCTTCACGCTTTTCATTGTACAAGCGAACATAATGTGAAATAAAGTCAAGGAAGTGGCGTGGTGTAGCATAATTATGACGACCTTGGCGCTTACTAAGCTTTGCATTGATTTCATAGAGTGATTGATGAACATACACAAGAGCATTGACAACGGCTTCACGATGACTTGGCTGTAGAGGCAAGTTGCGGTAGACTATCGGGAAGTTGATACCAGGGGCAAAGTTTGGTACATCGAGATCCAGAGTTTTAGTGAATTCAACCCCCACTTGATAGAAGGCTTGATCTGGCCAATCACCGAACCAGTCCAATACACAACGGTTAAACAAGGCTGGAGACGTAGCCGCTCTTGAAGCTAGGCCACCTTCAGGAGGATTCATAGTAAATACTACATGTAGATTCCTTGCAACTTGTTGGTTGAACCATTTATACAGTTCTTCATTTGAGTCAAGCATTAGACCATCACGTTGAGCGCCTTCTTTACAGGCTGTCATCAAGGAGGCGTATTCATCACCTTCAAACAGACCAGGAACTTCAGCATTAGCAAGAAGTGTATTCATGCGTTCTAAGAATCCAGAGTCGAGAACGTTGGATTCGTCCATAATGAAACATATCTTTTCACCTTTACAACCTGCACGACGTAAGACCGTGCGAAGATCATCATCAAAATCAACGCCTGTGTATTTATTATGAACCTTAATCTGGAACACACTAAGGCCATTCATCCAAGCAACAAATCGAGATAAGGTTGTCTTTCCTGAGCCGCTTACACCAATCAAAAGTAAGTGACCTTGTGGTTGTCTAAAAACACGATCAATACGCAATACATGTTCAAGGACATCATTGAAAAGCACAAGAGGCACATCCAGTTCTTCCTCGTAGAAAACTTTGAGACGAGCCTTTGCAAAATCACGTAATTGTTCACGATTGACTGGTACATAATGTTTTGATAACCAATTAGAGAAGAGAATAGGTCTTTCCAAAGCCTCTTCTTGATTTATAGCAGGGAAGTGTTTTAAAGCAATTGAATCAATCATTTCACTTGTCCATTTACGTTCTTCTTCTGCAACAAGCCTATCTTGGAACAAACGTAAGGCCTCATGTGCCCAAATGCGAACAAGTCCCTCTACAGTTAGCGTTTCTAGAGGTTTGATAGCTTCATAAATACCGCGTACCCAACGTGTCAGCTCACGAGGTGAATAGATGTAATGTGCTTGTATATCTGGAGTAAATCTCTTTTGCGACGCCAAGTATAGCTCTACCATGGCTGCTGTCAAAGGTTCAGCATAACCACGAAGATTAGGCACAACTTTCAACATGGCTCGAGTAAAGGTACCATAAATCTGCATAAGGGACAATTGACCAGCATAATCGACCATTACTAACGGTGCATGACGTAAGAAACGGTGGGAAAGAGGAACACGGCCAGGATCAGTAGGAGGATTACAGGCACCAACAAATTGTATGCGCTCTAAAGTGACCCAAGCCTTGTCTGAAGCTCTCCAAAAGCCATTATATTCTACCAATTGCCTCAAGAACGAAATAACGCGTTGTGTGAAGTATTTATCAGTAGCAGGCAAATTGATTTCATCGCAGAAAACAACCAACCAACGCCCAATCATAGTAGGAGACAATATGACACCATTTGGAGTTTTTCTATATTCACAGTGTTGCTCGAATGTTTTAAGGATGAGTTCTGGCGTAGTTGCACTAGAGAAATTGAGGCCAACAACTTCCATATCAGGTAACTTACGCAGAGCACTGAATAATGTCATGGTTTTACCCGAACCAGGTGGACCACAGAGAATTAAGGGCTTGTGTTCAGATAGCCAAGAGTATAGGACTTCTTCATGACGGATGGTATCAACAGTTGGGATAATGATATCTGCTTCAGATACTTTATGAGTCTCGATCTCAATGACTGGCACTTTAGATTCCCATGGTATCCATGCACCAGTATTAACGGCAATATCGTAATCAATAATGCTTGTTCCATTACCAGTAGGCGGCAATTCATAAGTGGTTACGTTACGCACAAAATCAGCCAAAACGGTTCTGAGTTCCAGCTTAGCATCACCAGAGAAACTCCAAATTATAGAATAAATTATACGTTTGGTAATATACCCTTCTAGATGATCACCGGTCATAGGGAAGTCAGGGTGTTGAGAATTGTACTCTAGTACATTACGTACAGTCTTATTGAGAAGAGAGAAGAAAGTAGATAGAACGCGCATACGGGTAAAGTCCATAATATGCTCTAAAGTAGCAGCATAGTCCAAGCACTTTGCTACAAGACAAGTTTCATCTGAGAGATCAACAGCCATAATAGCAGCAATAGCACGCTGAGTAGCAAGGTTTGGTGAAGTAACTGTGCCATCTTCTGCTACTATATTAGTAGCGTCAGCATTATGATGCGGTGATGGACCCTCTTCTTCAATTTCATCCATTGGAACATTACGAAGAGTTTCGAGATAATTACTGAAAATCATTGGTAAAGTAATAACATCTTCGCTAAACCAAACCATACCACAACGAGAAACAGTAGCCAGTGTGGCATATTTAAGTGTTTCAACTTCAAACATAATACGAACATTCGGTGGTAGATTCAATCGCTCACCATTGGGTAGAGTCAACAGCCTATTATCGTCTAATACTGAGTTTAAGTTTTCAACCCATTCAGGATCAACATCACCATCAAAGATGATCCAGTGTCGCTTTTGGCTTTCTCCACGAACGTTGTCAACAATTTTACGAAGAATATGGGTGAAGAGACCATCTGTCCATTCTCGAGTTGTAGAATCCAAAGTACCATAGAGAGCGTCCTTCGGAATAGCTTTGGGATCTATAGTGTAAGCAATTCCTTCGACGCCTTCAACTCGCTCAAGGGCAGTTAAGAGGGTCTTCCAGGCAGAGGATTTTCCAGATCCTGAAGGACCAACCATCATTAAACCGTGATGTATATTTTGAATTTGATACAACTGTATAACCTTTTCCATCCAAGCATCTCCAGCGACAAGTCGTCGCTCCTCACAGACTTCGCGTAATTTATCTTTAAGACGGTCCAAATTGACAGGAGTGTAAAGTACCCCAGGAAAAACATCAGCAAGTAAACTTGTTAACAAAGGTATATCGTCAGCCACCAATTTGGGCTCAACGGTCTCACGAATACTGGAAATTAAGAGCTGTTGCTCAGGTACTGATTCAGATATAGTTGCGTATTCAGTCTTTTCTGCTTCACCGCTTTGAATAGCTTGACGAACTGTAGCTAAACGATCACGTTTTAAATTACCAGCGCTAACTAAAACACTTTTAAGAGCACGCAAACCAAAATCATAGTGGGATTGAGGTGACAATTGCTCTGCACATAGGTTAAATAATGGAACAACCTTAGAAGCCAAAGTTTCAGCAGTACGGAAACCTTGAGAATAAAGCATAACTTGAGCAATCAATTCACGATCTGGTTTAGTCATGGCCATGCTTCTGAATAGCTTTTTCAGATTATCTGGCAAATTGGAGCGACCAGCATAACCAGGGTTCATTGTAATAAAAATGCCGGTATCAGTATTTACTCGAACAGAACGGCCAACTATTTCAATCTCATGGTTAGGATTTTTGGTTGCTTCCTTCAAACCCAACTGAATCGTTTGAACTTGCTGAGAAACAGCTGATAAAATGCGCTCTTCAAGACGATTGAATTCATCAAAACAACCCCAAGCACCAACTTGACAAAGACCAATAAAGATACGACCCATTGCTTGGAAGTCAAATGTCTCATCACAACAAAAGACAAGAACGAAACGGCCCAACTGAACACCGAGTGCTTTAACAGATTCAGTTTTACCAGTACCAGCAGGACCGAAGGGTGAACCACCAAGTCTTTGCTCTAAAGCTTGTGTTAACGTTAAGTAACAACGATCAGTCAAAGGAGTTTGAACAAGTCTATCAACAACACCAAGATATTCGAAACCGTAGAAGAATTGTGCATTGGCCATGTTAATTGTGAGGCGTTGAAGAGGATCTTCAATCGAATGGTTGAAATAGAAACGCATTTGATATAACCAACTGAAATCTTTTGGCGAAGAAATATTATCAGCGACCAGTTGGCGAGTTACATCACGCTGATGAACAAGTTCAGTGACAAGATGTTCACATTTTCTACGTTTGATAACTTGTAGGTCTAGTAAAACAGCGTCCGCTAAAATGTTGAGATTTCTTTCAATGAGCGTTACAGAGCTAGATAGAGGTTCTAAGTCTCCGGAGGCTGATTCACTGATAGTGTTCAGTGCCTTATCCACAGATTGTGTCCAAATGATCTGTGCAGCAAGGACGACTAATTGGGCTGGGTAACGGTCAATCCATTCCATAAACTCGGGAGAGCTCATCTCTTCGGCATTGTATATGATATCCAACTCAGTGACAGCATCCTTCAATAAAAGCGCAAGAGAAACACGCATTTCTTTTTCTAATAACGTCAACCAGTCGTTGATTTTCGGATTATCCTTAATAGAAACTGGGGTTTTAAACATAACTTCTTCACCTTCTTTCGAAGCCATACCAATAATAGATGTGTGCTCTTCATCCAATAAGATTGTTGCTATACCAGCAAACATCTTCTTGAAGTGCTTTTGAATACGTAAGATGTCCTTGCTATTACCAATAATTTCTAACAGATCTTCATCACCAACAAAATAGAAACGAGGGAATGAGGAACGTTCACGTTCAAGGTACTCTCCGAGTGCTTTTTGAATTTTACTAAGTAAATCAGCCAGACGCTCTAAGGATTTTTGAATATTAGGAATGTTGAGAACATCCAATACAAACGGTGACTTATACACTTTCTTCATAACGGTCAGGAATTCAGTGTTGATGCTCTGGAAGCGGGAAGTTTCAACAGGTAATAAGTGCTTGATATCAACACTTCCGCTAAAAATACCTTCTAAGTAAACCCATTGGCGTTGAACATCAATCCAAACATCAAACAAGACATGAATACGATTCAGTTTGTCTTCCCAAGCGGAAGCATCTTCTTCAAATACTTTATAATAAGGCGATAACTTCATGGCTGTTAGCGAGTTAAGGTGTTCGCTGGATTTGTTGAATAAATCATCCCATCCACGAATCAGTCTACAACGATTTTGGTAATTGACCAAATCCAAGACATAACCTGTCCAGGTCTCCTTTATTTGCTTCAAGAATTCTTCAAGTGCCATTTCACCTTGGGCCTGTAAAATAGCATCTTTGATGACAGTTTCGTTACGCTTCAAGTCAAGATCCCATAAGTGCCCTATGGTCATTTCTGACAAGGTAAAGCGACCCTCTACACGCAGTGATTTAAAGATTTGGCGCCAATGGCGTTCACGCAGAGCTTCAGATTTCAAATCAGCTACGAGAGGATTTACTCGCAAAAGTTGACGAAGAGTATCTTGCATGTATTCATAAGCAGCATATTGACGCATGCGGTTTGGCATCTCTTTAGTGGAGTTGACCAGCTCGTCAATATGCTGGCGAACCTTACGAGGAACAACAGATGTCCAAGGTGTATCTCGAATCTCATAAACAGATTGCCAAACACGTGCAAGAGCTGCCCAAACAGATTTTAGATCACGGAGCTCTTCGAGTACAGGGTCCAAACGATCATCAGTAGTTTGCTCCAAGTCCAGGGCCTCCTTAGCGCGGCATACCATATCATATTCCTCTTTAAGACGTGTTACTCTGCCTTCAAAGATTGATAATGTATTAGTAGCTATATCAGGTTTGATGTCTCCTTGAACTGGCTTTGTCCTCTCCCATTCAGCGCAAATATCACGAATTTTTTGCTCAACCACCTTATCCTCTGCTACAATCTTCATCTGCAAGCCAGCAATTTGTTCTTGAATAGCATTATTCTTTCGACTAAGTATTTCATTGAAGGCGATCCATTCACCATCTACTTGATCAACATAAACCCAATCCGAAGGGAATTGGAAGCGTTGCCGCTCTAATGTCTTCTGACCTTGACGGAAAAGCTCAACATCTTGACTCCATTTGGCTACCTTACGCTTCAAGTCCTGAACAAAAGTGATAAATGTAACAGCTTCTCCCGTAGAGTTACTTTCGATGGACTGTTGTTCCAGCTCATAGCGAGCTTTTGAAACAGAAGCATGGAAGTCTTTCATGGAGGTCCCCAAAAGAGTTCCAAATTTGTTAAGTATTTCACGCTGCCATTGATCATATTTTTGATTCACCTTGCTCTGTACTTGTTCATAGTCAACGACGAGCGGACCAAATGACTGCCCAGTCTCAGAATTATCGAAGGTAGAACGTGCTTTTTTAATTTCGAGCAAAATCTGCTGCCACTTGCCAAGATCATCCTCAAGAATAGAGAACACATGACTTGATTCAAGATCCCATAATGATTGATATTGTAGCCATATATTGACATAGTCGGAAACTTGTCGAATTTTATCTTCTATGATTTGATAAGCATTCTCCAAAGAGCCATCACCCATTCGGGTTAACAAGCTAGAATAAGTCTTTTCTACCGTTGGATTATCCTTCACACTTAAACCACCTTCATAGCGTGAGCTTTGAATTCGGGGTAAATGACAAACAACAGCCAACCAATCATGAAGTTGGAACCACCAGCTTGTACGCGCCTGCTCAATAGGAGGATCAAGATACATGACTTGATTTTTGATACGAATTTCATGCACTAGTGTTTGTAGTGCAGGATTTACTTCAACTACAGACTTTTGCTGTTGTGCATTGCTCTTATCTGCAATAACGGCTATGACGCTATCTCGACCAATCTTTCTTTTGTTACGACGGCTCTTTGATGCGCTTGCTTCAGGTACAACGGCATCTTCAGCTGTCATTCCTTGAAAAGTATTTGTCCAGGAACGAATCGCTTGTTGAAGACGCGTAACTAAGACTGCTTCTATACGCTTATCCAGACCAGCAACCCATTGATCCAAATTGGAGTAGCTTTCCAGATTTAGGCGATCAATCAGTTTTTGAATGCGTCCCAAGACCTCTTCAAATCTTTTTGATTGATAAGAACATGTTTTCATTTCATCAATACTCTTACTAATTTCGTCATAATAGCCAATTAAGGCATCAACTTTATCTTGAAATACAGAAACAACATTGGCAAATTCACGAACAAACATGACATGGCGGTTTTCCCGTGTATCTAGCGGGGTGCCTGTCATAAATGAAAGAGGACGGTGATGGGCGTCATAGGTGTTTACAAAATAATCCCAACGTAGATTGATACCCTTACTAATCATAGTATGCACCTCATGACGATATCCGGCAACCAAAGAAGCAATTTCCTGATTACGATTGACCTTGTGCACTGTTTGAGAGAAAGTACGGACTGTTTCCATTAAGCTGACAGCAAAAGGGTATACGCGTTTGGCATCTTTAGCCACGTTCGAAATAGTATGAGGGACTTGGAAATTCAACCATAGCAAATTACGCACCTCTTTGAACAAAGTGATAATTTGCCCATCAAAGTTGACACCCAATTGAAGGGCGTTTTTTTGGACTCTATTTCTCGTAATCTCGAAAATACGCCCTGATACAGATAGATCACGCTTTGTAATCTCCTGTAGCCAATTGTCATAAATAAGACGTGTATCCAGCTTTTTACGGAAGCTACTGCTTTCGAATTGAAGCTTCTGTCCTTCGGCATATAGTTCCCAACCTTTACCAAGAACATCCTCCACGCGTTTCATATAGAGAGACAACTGACGGTCAATTTGACGGGCCCAGATAATAGTACCAGATATAGGTGGCAAATCACGTAGTTGGGCCATATGGTAAGCTTCTGAGTTTCTGTACTGCATCTTAAACTTATCATGAAGCTTGTTGATATCTTCTTTCACACTATCAATCAACTGTGTTTGATATTCTTGAATGGCGCCACGAATCTTAGGTCTGACAAAAAGAGCGTTAAATTTGCTGAAGACACGGAACATTTCATTTGCGCTCTTAGCCGTGCCCAATCGATCTCGCAAACGAGCGATGATTTGATTTTCAACTCTTGATACACGCTCATTGTAAGCTGTCTCTGCTTGTATCCAAATTTCTGTTCCTTCAAGGGAGACATCCAACACATCAATGTTTTTGACACTTTCATAGGCCAATTTGACTTCCTCAACTGCATTAATGTCACTGATGCTCACACTCTCTTCTTCTTCAACAACACTTTTAACTTGTCCATCAACGATCACAGTGGCCTTTTTGGCACGAGGGCTGGTCATAACACGAACAATAGTCTGGTGAAGTTGTTCATGCTGTTTACGAAAAGCACGAACGAAGTTGACACGCTCTTGTAATTTTGCGTGGGCAGGATTGATCTTGATGGGTAAAAACTTTTCAGATCGCTTACGCGTTACATCTCGAGCAACATTGGTAAACTCTTTGATTAGATCGTCCCAGGTGTGGAAAACAGTTTCGGCGCCGGCTGTAGTGCGTTCAAAATCATCGTATTCCATATACATCATACGCCGACTACCGAGGACTTTGAGCAGTTGATCGTTCAAATCTTTGGAAATCGCTTCCACAAGCGGTAACGCACGGCGAATTGGATAGGGTGACAATTTGAGTTTCTTATTCAAATGTCCAAAGATCATATGTAGTGACTCTCTGATTTTGTCCAGATCAGTAGCTGAGAGGAGCTCGTTGAGAGGGAAATCTTTCATTAACTGATTGTATTTGTGAACTATAGCAGAAATGTAATCTCACGTTAGCTTCTTTGTAGTATAATCCAACATGTATGGTTTATGATTTCGCTTTTCATTACCTAGTTCCATTCCTTCCTTTAGGCCTGTATCAGCAATAAAACTGACAGTGGCATGGAAGCGCTTTGCATGTTTCAGAATATCAAGTGTTAAGGCTGTTGTTGGATGAATGAATTAATTGTTAGTTTGGACGAAAGGTGACTACAAGAGAATATTTCAATAAACTCACTAATATGATCGCTCTTCAATTGCTCGTCGATCTTTTCTAAAGCTCTTTCCATGCTCAACCAAAAATTGATTTCTTGAATAGCTGTTCCACTAGCTGGATCACGAGACATTTTCGTTACTTTTTGAATTTCTTTGATCCAACCATTCACATCACTTTGCAATTTGTTAAGAAAAGAGGAGTCAGAGAATAAAGCGGAATCTACTGCCTCAACAGTGACACGCTTATTCTGTTCACGGCACTATTAATAATAATAATAAAAAAAGCTTAGTAAAAAGAGCACAATGCTTACAGTCCACAGCTACAGTAAGACGGCAACTGCAGCGTACTTACTTTATCCACAGCTCTTTGGACAACGGGATGAATATTCAATGATATTTCAGGTATCTCAACATTTTGTTGTAAATGTAATAAACTTAGTTCCAATTCTGCCATCTTCTTTTTAGCCATAGGCACACCCATTTTATTATCGTCATTTTTGTTGATACTGCTCGTGCCTGTAATTCCTGATCCACTGGTTCCACTACTGGCGCTACCTGCGATAATGCTACCACCGCCTGTTGCACCGCCTTTCCCAGCATTGATATCTGATTTCTTATTGTTATTACCATGTCGAGCATTTACATAAGCGTTAAAATAAGGGCTGACAGCTAAATGAATGTAGGAGTGCAAGAATTCATAGGCACTATTAGCTTCACCTGAACTAGGTGCACCGGGTAAATTGAGTAATTGAAGTTGACTTTGAAGCGGTTTAGAAGGGTCTAACGAAGGGACACGTTTGATAATGGCAATGGATCCTACATGAGTAGGCAAATAAGTAATTTCATGGGAGGCAGTATATGAAAAGCTCTGTGTGTCATCATCTGCATGATCGAAGAGATAAGAAGGGAAATGCTTAGCAAGATATATAGTTCAGTAAACGATAAGCAGCATTTACTCTTTTTCTCTACCTTCATATTTGCCGCCTTCTTTTTCTTTCATAATAAAGATGACAGGCGTCTGAGGATCATTGGCAAATCGCTTGAATTTTTCAACGGTATCAGGATATGAGAATAGGGTATTTTCTAAGTCGGCTAATTCAGCACCGAGCACCAAGGGCAATAGTTGCTCGAGGTAATCTTGAACTTTTCGATGATCGAACACCAAAAGAGGTTCTGTTGGAGTGCTGGTCACTGATTGTGCAGACAGCGCTGTTGATGGATTGAAACTTGAATTCTCGTCAAGCATGTTTCCAAGTTGAAAAACAATAAATTAAGTACTTTCTATGTAAGAACAAGTAATATTATGAATTGTGTGGATGGCGTGGTATGAAATGAAAAGAAGATGGTATACTAAAAAATGATAAAATAAAGTAGAAGCCCAAGTGAAAAGGAACTCACTTACGCGCTTCAAAAGATAATGGAGAGCGTGAAGGTAAGGACACTAAAAGGTGAGAAAAGGTAACTGAAAGGTGAAAAAAATGAGGGGGAGCTGCGAAGGAAAAACTACGCTTGCGTGCTATTGGCCTGCTCTATCAGGTTTAATTAATTTGAACAACATGTTTCAAAAGTATTTCAATAAATGATTTGAAACGTTTTGAGAATCGACACAAAAAGGTATGTGCACAGATATTCATTGTTAGAAAATTATCCATATGTTTAGATACTTTAGTACATCAAGAGATATTGTTATATTGAAAGTTGTCGAGCAGGCATAAAAAGCAGGTTTACTGCCAAGCAACCAAATGCAATATGAATTGCGGTTACTCATGCTTCAGACTAAGCGAAACCCTTCTTCAAAGTATCTGTATCGGTTGACACTGAATAATTGAGTCTCGTTATAGCTTAGTTTGGGACATACATTATGCTCATTGTGTTGCTGGTGTTGCCAATCCCAGCGTTGCTCTTTTCGCAAAATTTTGGCGATATGAGCCAATCAGATTTATGTTCCTGAACTATGTCAAATTTAGCAACACTAACGCGCAAGTAAACTGTGTTCTATAACAAAAATTAAAGTAACAAGAGAATAATACATTATGGGTTTGCGCACAAAAGAGATGGATAGCTTACATTCCATTTCTGGGCTAAATGTATCATATTGAGTGGAGGTCGTTCCAAAAACCACACGTAAGCATACTACAAAAACTGGGTTTATGCAAGTGAGGACTGATGTATTGGGAATGAGGGCGAACCGAAAAACTATAAATACTCCACAAAATTTTTGCGCGATTATGAAAATCATTCAATTAAAGTCACTAAATCAATGCTTCTTGTCGTCAATCCAGCAAAGCCTATTGCAATTAAACAAATATCGTGAGCACAGGGATTTATATACTCCCAGATGTCTTGTGTGCTCCCATTAACATTTTCCATGCTTTTCATTACTATGCTATCAGGTTTAAATCACGTCTTGCAAAAGGTGTGGAAGCCCAACTTGAAGTACATACGTATACTCTTGTAGCTAAAGAGCGTCCCTTTAAATTTCTAACCATCGATTGGAACAATCGAGTGTTCTTTTCAATGTTATCCCATTATGCACAAGCGCCTTTAAAGAGTCTTGGTATCTTGATAGGTAGGTGATGATAGAGACCACCCGTTTATCTACAAATAAAAAGGTTAGAAGTTAGTCTCTTTTTTATCTCTCTACAAACTCGCTTTCCCTTTTTTTTTTCTTTGCATTTAAAAATTCTACTTTTTGGCTTCGACACCAAGCAGCAAATCATTGTGCGGTATTCATACCAAAAACCATCGTGTATTGTTTAACAATTTTACACAACATCAGTGGTTGCCAATATTTGTTCAGAGTATAACACGCTATTGTCACGTTTTTTGAGCAAACCACTTCATTTAAAAATTGCTTGACTTGTCTCTTGGTAATTGTGATATTTATGGTTGTTTTATGCTTAATGAACGCAACTGATAATTGATATATAGACTGAAGGTGAGATGGGTCACCTTCAGTCTTTTTATTATATACTAAAAATGCGAGAGTGGAGTGTTCATAGCGAGCTGAATGTTTTGTATTTGACAACAAAAGAAAGAAGGAAAGGAATTAAATACTCGTTCTTGAAATTCTTAATCAGTAAGAATGCAGCATTACGTATGCGCATGTCTTTAGAGTACAAGGTGACGTGTATAGGTGTTATCACGATTTTATGATCATAATAACGTGTCTAGCATTTGAGGGTGCGTCTAATTTGTCTGTATATATTATAGGAGGTATGAAAATACTACAAGTCCTTTTAAAAAGTAGCAGGTCTGAAAAAGAAGATGATGCTTTCTTTGATTTTGAAACTATATATCTTTTTATATTTTTGACAGTGTTTTGGAGTGAATGTGTGTTGACAACCGTTGAGTGTTTGTATGTGAGTGTTATCTCACGATATAAAATTCATCGTTTAATTGTTGAAACATTAAGTGGGATTGGAGGGTCCCAGGTGAATTTATCAGGATCGTGACAACAGTCTTCGTATCTTTCATCCTACCAAAGCTTTCCTCACCAAAATACAGTGAATTAGCTATCAATTTGTATGGCGCAACAAGTTTCCTAAAGTCTCCAATGCTCGCCTGTGCCTTCCACGAAGCACAAATGGCATGCTTTGCTAACTGTTGAAATACAGCCGCAAATGAAATGGTTGACACAGTTGTTCTCACCACCAAGTTCAAGCTTTACACCCAACGTCTAAACGGCTACTTATACCTGTTCTGGTCATTACCTTTGTTCCTTTTCGCGCGAGATCTAGGCTATTGAACCATTTTGCAAAAATTACCGTGCCTATCCGTCTTACAAGCCGCAGGGATATTTCCATCTCACAACCTGCTGACTCTGTAATAATACCCCCGATACCTTTGAACATATCAAAACAGGCTATCCCCTCACTGGCAGATATGGCAAGAAGGCCTAGTCCGTGTATATCCCCTCAATATGCTTTCATCTTTCAACTAATTAAGCTGCTCTGAGACTACACCCTCACCATCACTACCTTCGGATATCTCGATTTTTCACCGTATGCTTCAGTATCCATTGAGCAATATGGACATCATTCTTCTGAATGATATTTCGTGCCATTCCATTTCATCCTCCATTCGTTCTTTGTGAAGCACATAATGTTATTTCCTTGAGCCTATCTTCTTCGCAGCTTTTGCGGGAAGCGGCTGCTTATGAGTAATCTAATAAATGTAGTCTCCTCCCTTTTCATGTCCCACCCCTTTGCAATGTGTGACTAATTATTTTTCAATAGAATAATCTACAAAAAAAAACAAAACAAACCGTCCTTTGGTGTTGGAACGACTGTATAAAGCTTGCAATTTATCTATTTAGAAATGACCCCGTGGCATCTTGTTATGGATCAGCAGATTCCTTATTGTTTTATTTCGAACAATAACTCGATTTGTGTACTACCAGGGCAAAAAAAAAAAACTAAGACAGTTTTTAATTACTGAGAGGGTAGAGTTATTCATTACTGACCCTCCAAAAGGTATAAAAAAATTATTTAATAGATCTCATGGTGCATTAAAAGCTCAGCTTTTGGTAACTTGAAGTAATTACATTGCACTTATACAATCGGACAAAGTCCAGGCAACTGCATAGTATAGTAACTATCCCCAAACAATGTTGAATAAATGTGTTTATACTATATCGCAAAGTAATAGTAGAAAACTGAATAAAAAGAAACAACTGCCTGAAACGAACAATACGAATATTATAGTATGTGTGTCCTACCATCGGTGCAACATCCTGGATGACTCTGCTTTCTGGTTACATTTTGAACAACCAAAAGTTGAGGGAAGAAAAAATAAAATGGCCCGCGCGTATTCTTCTTTGGGTTTCTTCACTTTTATTATTTTCTTTTCTCAATGATGAGTGATAATATCAATAATCAAGCTGATTTCACCTCAGTCTCTGATAACCGATCAGTATTTGATGCCTTGCGACGGCAACAGCGGCAAGCGCATCCATCTGAGTCAACATTAGAAAATAACTCAGCAGACGTAATGCCAGAACTGTCGGCTCCTTCCAAGCAATACTCTTATCAGCAACACTACCGTGCATCTAGCATGTATGATTATGGCAGTGGTGGTATCCAACCCCCTCACTATCAATTTCAGTTGTACAATCAGGCGGTTGCTGCTAGTGCTCCAATTCAAATGAAAAGATCTTCCACCAATCCTACCACAACAGCAATAGAAGATGCTACGGCGTCCAGAAAATGCACAGGCGGTTTGGTTCATGCTGCCTATTCTCCTCCTTCTACTACTTCCACTTCTACAGGCTACTACTACCATCCATTTGTGGTAGGTAGTGCGCCTACATCTTCTTCTCAAATGACTCATCATCCAACATACTACGCACCATCTCCGATAAATAATAGTAGATCGACGGATGATTTGATATCAGTAGCTACGTCGTCTACTACAAGAAGCCCCATAACAAATCAATTTCCTCAGCATATAAATACTAATTCGTCTGCTGCTACTATGACTCAACTGCAGGATCAACAAGTTGTTGAATACATTGTGAATGATGATTCGAATGAAAGCGGCGCACTTATAGAAGATTATTCCACCCAAGCAAAGTAAAGTGCTTTTCAAAGGGTCAGATATAGTCCAAAACATGCACTAATCCATTACCATATATCTGCTCATAGTATGCAAGCAATCATGGAGAAAAGACGTAGGCGTAGAGAATCACATAACGCAGTGGAAAGACGAAGGCGTGATAATATTAACGAAAGAATTCAAGAACTCGGCACACTATTACCAGAGTACAACACTGCAATAATGACTATGAGTAATATAGAAGCAGGAGGAGACATTGAGAACACTGTAGGAGCTATTTCTGCGTCTGTGCAAAAAATGAATAAAGGTACTATACTACGTAAAAGTGTCGAACAAATAAAAAAGCTGCAAAGTGACATATTGCAGTATCAGCAAAGAATTAGAGAGCTGGAGATGGTTCTACAACAACAGCAACAACAGCAACAACAAAGACAGCAGCAGCATCGATATAATATTTACACTGAACACTCCCATTAATTATAGTGATAAACCTTTAAACGTATACATCATATACCACTTTCATTTTCTTTCTGCACATGCTTAAATGAATACAATTTTCTTTATGACCGATCTCCGAAAAGGACCAAATTCGGGTAGCTGTCGCAAAAAGAACGCGATTTTTTTCGGGATGCAGTGTATAGCTATTGAGCTCTCTAGTAATAGTTCATTATTTACTTTTTTTCTGCTTCTTACCTTAAGTCTTAGTCTTAGAACAAAGCAACAACAAGAAAAATTAAAAGTTGACGTAGATCTCTCTCTTAAAATGACTATCAGTCGGTTCGAAAAACTTTTACACAATTCAAGAGAACTTCCAACTTCTTCCAGCCAAAATGGAATACCTCAGATCAATCGTAATTTGAATCAGATTGCCGAGGAATCGTACATAATGGCAAATAAGATCAACGAAGAAGACATCAATGAAAGTAGTGGCTTGGACAGAAATAGAGGGTAAAGTAATGCAATGGATGGAAAAGACTGTAACTTGTAACTAACTGACATTTCTGACACCTTAACAAAGACATTATTTTTTGGCACAGAGTGGCATGAATGCCCAAGAAACGAGTCGTAAGCTAAGGACGATGGATACGAAATTCCATTTTGAGCCAGTGAAGAAGGCTGTGAAGCATACAGATGTCGAGGTAATATCGGCAGTAATTCGTTTAGGACATGATGTTTCGTAAAGCTATACTTAATACAAATATACAAACATACTTTAGGCTTACCTGAACGAAGTTCAAGAAAAGTTGATGAAAGATACAATTGACGAATCAAGAAAATATGTAAGTGGATAGGCTTACGATCTGAAATCTGTTTCTTTTTTTACTAGTTTCTATTTTGTTAGTTACTATAAATTTGTTGACACTCTTTCTCTTTCTCTTTCTACTGCGATAGACGAGAGAAATGTTTTTAGATAGTATGGATGAACAGTTACATAAGAATTGGCAAAGGTCTAAAGCACAACTATTACAAAATTGGGATCTTGAACAAGATAACAAGTTGTTTGGGCGCGGTATTGGTATTACAGGAAGAAGTAGCAACCGAGAAGCACAGATTCTTCCCTATGCGAATGTGATCAGCGATTTGAACAAAAAGCGACTGACGTACGATAGAATGCCTTTAACGCAAAAATTCCAACAACTGATGATGAAGTTCACCGACGAATATGCTACAAGCTCACAGAGGAAATCACTCGGTCGAGTTTGGGATATTACGACTCATTTCACCATGAAGAATTACATCGACGAAAACCCAGTTAAGAAACGACGACAATTATTGAATTCCTCGAGGCAGTGGTTAGAGAATCAATATAGAGCCATAGTCGAAGATACACTATTTAAGCAAGCTACAGTAGCCAAAGTGGGAGGAGCACCTTCTGTTTTACATAGAATGCACAAATTTATGGAAGTCCAATTTAAAAGCGCAAAAAGCTATACTATGAGACCGCTAACGCACACCGAAGAATATACATGGATTTACCCCAACCTAGAAATTGACCGAAATACATCCACACCTATTTGGCTATTCTTGTATGTTTTATTGAGAAGTGGGCTATCGCAGTTAGCGCTTCAGTATGTAAAGAATCATGTGGAATCATTTCATCGAACTAATCAATTTCCAGCATTGTTTGAAGAATACATTGCCAATGATCAGTTATCGGCAGAGAGCAAGTTTAATGTGTTTGCGGAATATAGACTTATGAAATATGGAAATACACCCGCAGACCCCTTCAAAATTCTTTTATACAAGATCATGGGAAAATGTGAGCTGAATATCAAGAGTGAAAATGATGTGATCGATACTATCGAGGATTATATATGGTTACAGTTCAATTTAATAGATGAGGTAGAATATACGTTAGTAGAACTACAGGAAACCATCTCTGTACAGCATGGCGAAAAGGATTTTGATAAGAATGGTTTGAATCCTTGGTATTATTTCCATATTCTGTTATTGACCTTACAGTTTGAAAAGGCAGTGGACTTTATGTACTCAAAAGAACCCTTCAGATTAGAAGCCGTTCACTTTGGTATCACCTTTGCCTATTATGGACTATTAAATTTCCCCTCTAAACCGAGAGACTCCAGATTTGATTTACTTGTTATAGAAGACAGCCATAAGTACTGCTTGAACTTAGGCCGTTTAATTGAATTATATGTTCGACATTATTTGATGAAGACTCACATGAATGACGATACAGTTATCCAATATATATACCTGCTAACATTATATCCTCGTCACCAAGACATGAATTTACTGGCCCAAGAACAATTCTGCGATTTCTATTCCGTAAAACAGCAACAAGGACATAATTTAGTGGACATGCTACAATATAAATCACTTTTGGGATTAGAGAAGGACGAGGAGTTCAAACAGCATATATTAAATCCTATTGCAAGTCGATTACAAGACAATGGCCGATATAAAGAGGCAATTTCAATATATGATTCCTTTGTTTATAACAGCAACAAAGATTATACAACAGATATACTTCGTATACTGAACCGTCAATTGGATTACACACTTAACCAATGCTTCTTTGACTTTGGAAATGATGCAACAGACAATAAACGAAAACAAGTTAGTCAAGAAATTGTCGATTATTGCATTTCATTTACAAAGAAGAAAGCAACGACTTTCAATGTTATGGATCACCATCTGCAATATAGCGATGATGTCTCAAGAATTCATTACATTTTGTTACATTTCCTTCAAGCGTGCGTAAAATTTGAAAGTGGCCAATACCAGGAAGCATTAGAGGTAAGCTTAGTCGTTGGTATTGGAGAATGATTTATTGCCAGCCATATTTATCCCTCTCTGTTACTTTATAGTCCATCCAAATCACACACGTTCTTCCTTTGAACAATGACTACCAAATGATCTGTAGAGCAGTAGAAGATTACAACGAGTCTAAAGATGATATCATTCGCAATCATATACCTGATATTGTGATTATGACGCTGGATATAGTGTATGAGTTATGGAAGAAGAATAACACCATGATTGTATCACCGAGTCATGAGTCTTACAAAACGGTAAAGTAACTAACCATTTCAAATTATTCTACAGGTACTAACGAATGAAAATTTACGTTTAGTCCTTAACAAAAATGTATGAAGACTACATTAACTCTATCATGGTATTTGTTGGTATGATCAGTTCGAAAATACCTGCCTCAGTACTTCAAAAAATGAATAGAAAGGTGTCGGAAATACATCATTGATGGAAAAAATCCGTTATCGATCGGATGAACAATTATCCTTTGTTACTTCATTTTGTTGACACAAGTTTTTTTACCTTCAATAAACAGAGCTGCCAGCACAAGTAAATCCTTGTCTTTTGTCACCATTAACGTTTTTGAAACGATGCATATTCAAATGCACCTAAAATGTAAAGCCCTTTCTTTTTCAATTTGGTTTCCCTGTGTATTCATCGTAAAAGCTTCTGGAACACCGGAAATGTCCGGCTTTTGCTTCCGTTTTGTTTGTTGAAAATCTCGATTTGAAAATGGTTTTAATTTTTTAATTTTTTTTTTTTTAGAGTCTCGCTTTTCATTTTCTTTCTCAAATAATACTCAACAGTTAGTTGTTGACAATAGAGTAAAATTATGCTATTCGATTCTTATAAAAGCAGTAAAAATAGTACTAAAAGGCAAGAGTTACAGTATACCAGTACAGCGTTTATAGCGAAGCAAGACATGTTGAAACGATTTTTCAAAGCTGTCTCCATCATTGATAACAATAGTAGTATCAGTAAATCTAAGCAGCCTGCTACTTCTAAACCTATTACAACTACAATCACTCTAACCAGAAATGACCATCTCAACAAATTAGTATCGTTCTACATCTAAATATGCCAACAAAATGACTTAGCATCCACTGAACAATATACATCATTACATCACCGAAAAGTCTATTATTTCACTTATCGTGACCTTTGCATAAATCATGTCCAACTCTAGACAGATACACAGATACCAATTCAATTCTTTTCATAACATTTTGTTTTAACTATTCATTATCATTCACCCACCTACTGTTGCCAAAGAAATAAAAGGGGAGTTTGCAACTGCTACTGACGAAAAATATGCAGCAGCCAATGCTTGTTACTACCCTCTAGTTAATCATACAAAACTTTTGACAGTTTCAGCGTTAGCTTTTTAACATGACTTTTCAATATTGACTTTACATGCTCAAGCAATCTATGTGTTGATAAGAGGAGAGAACAACACATACTTCTATATCTTTAATGTGTGCTTTCTTTGTTGGAAAAACAGCACATACATTGTTGTACAAGTAGTCAAATACTTATATAGAAGGTGCGTGTGTACCATTCTAAACTTTAATCAGCAAAACTCACTTTGTATGTACTATATGAGTTGCTGTTTCTTTTGATACTCCTTCTTTGTTTTTCTCCCTTTTTTTTGCACTTTTATTTTATACATGAGTAAGATTTCGACATATAACTGTATTCTACTTGTATCCTCCACACTACTTTTATTCAGCATACCATCCTACGTTGTTGAAGCCTTGATACCAACGCCGCGATATAACGGAGGTTGGTAGATCAAAAACTATCTTAATTTTGCAAAACCATATTTTTAATGATATTACGGAGGTTGTAGGATGCGCGCTCCTCAACCAGCATATTTACTGTTATGGTGGCACTGTTAATCGACAACCTTCTACGGACCATTACGTTTTTGATCTTTCTAATGATTTTACTATTGACAGTAAAACAATTGATTCTTGGGCATCAGCAGCTGATTCAACTAACTCATATCAGCTTGAGCCCAACAGCTTATTCTGCATGACTGCTTTAAACGACAATACAGGGTATTTGATCCACGGTGGTCTAGGATATGCATCTTCTACACAGTTTCTGAAAAATACAACAGCTATCTATAATACAACAATTTTATCGTGGCAGCCACTACAGCAGCAGATAATGAATCAATCACAAATAATATCCAGGTACATGGACACCTTGAGATAACTTAGAATGTGATTTGCTAAATAATTCTTGATTTCTATGAAATTTAACTTTCACCCAGTCGTGAAGGATCATGTACGTTAGATAGAATAAACCGATTATGGATCTGGGGAGGTATAAGGTCAGTGAGATATACAAAACACCTATGTGGCAAAATTCTCGCCAAGATAAATTTAATTCCCCACTAACGCGATACATCTCCATTTGCTGATCAATTTTCTATAGTGATAATACAACAGCGCCTAATATAACACAAACGCTATACCATAATGAATTCCAGTTGTTAGATCTTAATGTAAAAAAGAAGCTCTCCTATATTTGCAAATGTGAATAATAGCTCACGCACATTGTTATGGATTTTATAGACGCTCACTTGGTCTACTCTTGCAAAGAACACGAATGCGACAACAGCCATCAAACCTCGGTTAGCTCACACTGCCACACTTAACGAAAAGACGGACCAATCCATCTATTACATCGGTGGATTACAAAACGACGGGGAACATTTATTACCATCTCCTATGAATGAAATTCTAGAGTACCAGATACAAAATGATAGGTGGATCACGCATCGCTCACCTTTAAATACAACTGTTCCTTCTTCGCGAAGACTACATACAGCAACATGGGTCCCTAACTCGGAGGATTTGATATTTGTTTTTGGAGGCTCAGTAATAGACGGCTCATCTACCGTAGCGGATTATAGTTATTTACTGAATATAACCTCATTCGAATGGACACCTGTCAATCTGACAAATACAGCTGCAACGGGTGCAGGCTCAAGATTCGGGCATTCTGGTAAGCATATGAGTTTGTCTATATTTTGATTCAATCTAAGCTCGTCCAGATTTTTGACTTACAATGGTGATCCTTTGATATTTCTGTAGCTGTGCTGCATAAAAACAATTCCTTGTTCATCCTTTTCGGTGCAGATCAGCTTAGTAACTTGAGAAACGACTTTTTTGTGATTGACATGTCCCACTGGCAAACAGTAACTGACTTCAAAGTGAATGGTGAATACGCTCTCATCCCAGTTAACAATAATACCAGTAGTGCACCTTCTTCTACTATCGTCAATAATGGAGCTTCTTCTTCTCGTACGAAAATCACTTCTCTCGCTGCTACTTCAACCAGTACGATAAACATGTGTTTCGGTCTAAGTTTCTTCTCAGCTATATTGATATCATTTTTGTTCAAGTACTAGAATTCAGCTTTGTACAATAATGATCGACCCCTTTTGCCCAATCGCTTTAATCGATTTTTACTCTTATTCTATCCATTTTTTTTACTACATAATTATATTCTTTAATGCCCCTTCCCATATGAAAGAAAAGTTAAAAGCAGCAAATAATATTCTTTAAGAAATAAACGCAACAAGAGTGACATAACCAGGCTTCAATGGCCTACATAAGCTGTTATACTTTCCAATACCAGTATTAACTCTGCAATTGCTTTAATTCGCAGAAACTTCGCTGTAAGTGTGCATACCGTTGTACTACTTGAAAGCATTTGATTTTTTACTTGTTATGATTACAAACGATAGCATCTTTCAACCCGTCTCTGCTCAGAAGAGGCAACATCTTCCAGCTCCAAAGAAGTGCCCGTTTCTTTCAGGTCTCTCCACAGAAAGTACTTACTTTGTAGGAAATGATTTTTAGAGCTCTCATTTAAGAGTGTATGGCCTTTTGTTCCCCATTTATAGGATATGACCTTTTCTTCTGTACTATAGCTTAGGTGTAGTAAACAACCTTATCCTCTGAAGTATAATTAAGTTGCTCCGCTTATAGTATCGAGCGCCCAATCAAATGAATTCTTCTTAAAAGTGGTACAGTATTGTCAATGCTATACTGGTCTCAAACGGAAAGCATAGTGCGCACTCGATATCAGCGAAAATGCAAGCCTAAGGAAGAGACAATCCAATGTGGAATATTCACTTTTGAAAGTTTAACCCAGGTGGGCGTTGGTGTTGTGTCTAGTTAAGGGCAACCGTCTAAAAACTTTGCCTGTACCTTGTACTTGAAAAAAATGGTTTACATAAAGAGTTATTCCAGCGACACGTGTACTATTCTGATAATAGTTTACTATTTGTAGGCTAATGCCTCTGATTGTTCTTTTTGTGAAAAAGTTTAGTGGTGCTTATTAAAGAGTTGACTGCAACAAGCGCTGTCTGCGTAAAGGAATAACTATACTCATTCTATTGAACGCTTAAAGAACACTTTGCGCTTTTTAAAAAGTTCAAACTATCATTTGGGATGGAAAGAAGAAAGAAGACTCAAATCGGTATCCGACTGTATTTCAACCACCCAATCTTCTACCTATTCCAATGCACTTTTTGTTGAACTTGTATAATTCAATTTTTCATCCATGTCCCTGAAGCTCTCAACAGCCCATTTAATTGATTAACCTTCCGTTTCACTTGATTTCATCCTCAACTATTCAATTGCATAACGATATAGGATCTTGAACAAAATTAATACAACAAATAAAAATAATATGATGAAAATTTCCACATCATCCACTGTTAAGTATACAAAGAAGTTGATTGCGCTTTCCTTTTTCTCCCTCAAATTGCGCTTATACGGTTGTATCGAATAATAACAGTCTGTCAACGATTTTAGCGTTACTGCTGCGATAATCTCAGACAGAAAAAAAGATTGTCGTACAAATCCAGGGTATACAAGCACCAAGATTGGCTTTCGAAAGATAAGTCTTCCATATAAGCTGATAGCTCGAAATGGTTTACAGTGCGCTTCGCATTGTTTCACTGACCCTACCAATAGAGTGATTATACTTATTTTCGCTGAAATCGTCAACGTAATAGTCGTTTTTATCATTGAATGGTGCAGAGACAGAGTGAAATCTCATGCACGGAAAAGAGTGCTTCAAACAAGCGTAACTTTCTCTTTAAATACTCATAAATCGGCCAAAAAATTTTTTTTTTGTTTCTTGCTTATCTTTCCCCAGATCAATTCCTTTGATAAGTAGTTCGCACATTAGGCACAGATGGACAAAAAGCACTGAAGTGTTGTTTTGGGCAAGCAAAAAAAAAAAAAAAATTTCTTAAACATAATTCAAGGCTTTTTGCACGGCACGAACTATTTTTCCGAGCTCTAAAATATTGTTAATCACTATTTTTGAATATGTTATGTTTCACTTTTTAAAGGACCGTAGCGTACATACTGTACAAGCAACTTCAATAGCGTGAAAAATTTTACCTCGAAAGAACGTAGGTCGACCTTTTGTAAATGTATATGCTTGTAGCAACAAAAAAAAATCAAAAAATCTTGAAGCTGTTTAGAAGGGTGGGGGTTCAAAGCTGGCAACAAGCCGTTCGTTGCCAACTGCGTGTTGATACAGTCGTTGTTTGTCTTTTGAATGCACCGTGGTAGTGGTACGTTACGTGAGCGACACCTTAGGTTTTCTTTGACACGTCTATCTGTTACACAAAACTGAAGTTGAAAATGGTTTCGAAAACGAAAGGGTCTCTCTTTACTTTGTCATTACTGTCATCTGGAAAGGTAGGTAGGTAGAAGAGGCTAAGAGGGATGTACAATGATACGCGAGGCAAAAAAAAAGAAATACTACTGTCTTTTAAACAAGGAAATGCCTTGTATTTATACTTTTTCTCCACTTATTCGCGTTGAGATATAGTATGGATGAATGAGAAGGCACAAACAGGCGCACGTGTGTGGCCCAGTTTGAGTAAAGCCTGTATTTTCTTTTTTTGGGTCTCGTATAGGTCAGCCTTGAAAATCGATGCTGCGGGAAAGCAAACTTATTCTGAAAGGAAAATCAGAATTTGCAAAAAATGAGAAATGTTGAAAGCCAGATAGAACAATAATACAACTAGTAAAAGACTGAGAGAAAACACGCATCTCTATTAAACAAGCCCATGAATTTCGCTTTTCCCATGTATGCAAACCAATGGAAACCTGAGATCATAACCAAAAGGCAAATAAGAACTTTGACATAAGCTTCCATTGGTTTCAAATATGATAGCAGATAAAGCAAGATTACTGCAAAGACCGTTTCAAAGGCGGCGTATCATCGTATACTTCCATGATGAAATGATAAAATCAAAGCGTTGCACAATGTTTCCAATTGTGGTAACGCGTAGTAAAAGAACGTTTTTTTGTTTTCGTTATCTTTCTTATCTAATTTAGAGTTCGCTTTATCAATGGGTGTGACAAAAACTTAGACAGCGCACAGGCTGCATTTTGTGTTCACTTTATTGACAGGATAATGTTTACTAACGGATCAGATCTAGGAAAGATTGTCTTTAAAAGGCTTAGTTTTCCCTTGGTTTACGTTCCGATGCGAAGTCTTTACTAAATGTAGGAAAACCGTTAGTCTACGAAATGCTAACGTGTGGATGTACCAAGAAAAGTAATCAAGTGGGAACAGGAAGAGGTTATGTTTTATTTTTGGGCAGATCAGATCGTCCAGTCATTTTTGACTTTAATAAGCGAAATGATTTAGCGTAGATATACAATTCAATAACAGTCCAATCAACATGTATAATGCAGAGCTTGATCGTGCAAAAAGACGGTATATTATTGCTGCCGTATAGGTCGAGCCTCTTTGTATTTCAGATGTTAAAAATGGGGTAAAAAACCCCGTTAGAGAGATAACAATCCAATAAACAGATAACGAGTATTTTTTTTCTTCTAATCTCTAACACAAAATTTATGAAATAGGGCATAATATATTTTCCCAGGTGTCAAAAATTTGGCTGAACAAGCGGTAGATAAAAATAAGTCGGAGACGTTACGAACTGAACATCAAACCGACGGAATCTAAAACAGATAAAATCAGATGGCTGAATTTTTAACGTATCGCTTCGAAACAGCATCAACCAAAATACGCAAATAAGAACATCAGAGAAAACTTTTTTCATTCGGTCCCCTCGAGTCCTGGAAAAAGAATTGCGTCCTGAGTGCAATTGACACAAAGGCACATCACTTAGATGATACAATAAACGGCATGTTAAGCCATATGAATTTACTATGTGTTACTATAGGCCGTTTATCATTGACTTTACAAAGTTTTATCTTCTCATTCTAATACGAGCCCTTCACAAAAAGGGATTCTAGAGTTTTGACACTAAGTTTAATAGATAAAAAGATTACTTTAATGTTTTTGAAAAAGCGCAAGTAGTCGGAAGAGTTTGTGGTTGGCCTTTCCTCTTTCTCACTTTTTTTTTACACGGTTAAAGTCAAAATGAAAAATAAAAAATTTGAGACATCAATGTCGCCGGTTAGATTATGAAATGATAAATGGGTAAAGAAGCAAAAAAAGCTATATAAAGTAGTGATTTTATCCACCTTAAGCAGTTTTTTTCTTTTTTTTTTTTACCTCAAGTTTATCAACACTTATTAAAAATGCCTTCTATTGAAATTGGTCAACATCTCGTCAACCGTCTTAAGGAACTCGGTATCGATGTCGTCTTCGGTGTTCCTGGTGATTTCAACATGGTATGTTCCTATCCTTTTCATTTAGCAAGAAAAGAAAAATGGAAAAAAGCGCTTTCTCTAGTAGCTCTTTTGATATGACGGGCTTTTATATATATATGAAAAAAAAACTTTTTTTTGCTAACGACTTTTGAAAAATTTTTCATTTCGATGTTATAGCCTTTGTTGGATATCATTGAAGATACTCCCGGTATGACTTGGGGTAACAACGCCAACGAATTGAACGCTTCTTATGCCGCTGATGGTTATGCTCGTATTCGTGGTGCTGGTGCTCTCGTTACCACTTTCGGTGTTGGTGAACTCTCTGCTGTTAACGGTATTGCTGGTGCTTACTCTGAAATGCTCCCCGTTATCCACATTGTTGGTACTCCTTCCACTGCTTCTCAAGCTGCCAAGCGTATGCTTCATCACTCCCTCGGTGATGGTAACTTTGAATACTTCCACGAAATGTCTCAAAAGATCTCTGTTGCCACTACTCACTTGAAGCCCGAAAACGCTCTCTCTGAAATTGACCGTGTCCTCACCAAGTCTTACCTCTCCAAGCGTACTGGTTACATTGGTATCCCCATTGATCTTATCCACATGAAGGTCGAAGTTCCTCAAATCGCTCCTCTTGAACTTTCCCTCCCCAAGAACCCTGCCAACACTCAACAAATTGCTCTCAAGATCGTCTCTGAAGCTATTGCCAAGGCTAAGCACCCCGTCATCATTGTTGATGGTTGTGTCCTCCGTCAACACATGGAAAAGGAAGTTGATGAATTCGTTCGTCGCTCCGGTTTCCCCGTCTACGTTGGTCCCATGGGTAAGGGTGCCGTTGATGAAACCCTCCCCAACTTCCGTGGTTGTTACACTGGTTCCATCTCTCTTGACGGTATCAAGAAGGAAATTGCCCAAGCTGATTTGTTCATTGAAATTGGTGCTATCAAGTCTGATTTCAACACTGGTATGTTCACCTTGGAAAACGACCCCGCCAAGACCATCACTCTCCACTCTTTCACCACCATCGTCTTCTGTGCTGAATACCAAAAGGTCTCCATGGTTGAATTCCTTCCTCTCTTGACCCAAACCCTCCCCAAGGAACCCAGAAAGTTCGACCTCGGTCCTCGTGTCAAGCCTCTCCCCATCCAAGAAGGTAAGGAAATCACCCAAAACTACCTCTGGAACAAGGTTGTTGAATACATGGATGAAAACGCTATCATCTGTGGTGAAACTGGTACCTCCGAATTCGCTACCATCAACATGGACGGTCCTAAGGGTTCCACCTACATCACCCAATTCCTCTGGGGTTCCATTGGTTTCTCCGTTGGTGCTGCTCTCGGTGCTGCCATTGCTGACCGTAGCCGTCGTCTCTACCTCTTCGTTGGTGATGGTTCTTTCCAATTGACCGCTCAAGAAATCTCCGTCATGATGCACCACAACCTCAAGCCCGTTGTCTTCCTCTTGAACAACGACGGTTACTGTATTGAAAAGCTCATCCACGGTCCCCACCGTGCTTACAACAACTTCCAAATGTGGAAGTACAACCAAACCTTGACCTTCATGGGTGCTCACCTCCAACGTAACAAGGAACGTGGTTGTTCCGAAATCGGTTTCGAAGGCCAAGTCGCCACTCGTGATGAATTCGAAAAGGTCATGACTGAAGTCCAAGGTCAACCCGACAAGATGCACTTCATCGAATTGATCATGCCCGAATTCGATGCTCCTCGTGAACTCGAACTCCTCGTCTCCATGTCCGAAAACCGTTAAACTATTTTATTAGCATAATATCATTTTTTCCATTTTCTACATTTTTATATAATTTATAAAAAAGCATATCCTATCTCATCGTTTATATAGATCATTTTGTTAATCTTCATAATGGATTTAAATTAGAATAAAAAAGTCTAATTTGTTTACAAGGTATACATCGTTGTCCTTTTTTTTTTTTTTCTTTTTATGATGACAGTTTGTACTCTTGCTTTGCGCAGCACTTCTCAACACCTGTCATTTATTAGACGATATATCGCCGTACGCGCGTTCGGTTAGCGTGGATTAAAAGTTTTTGCTTAGTTTCTTAAGGCTTAGCATTCTGCAATCATTGCTTTGACTTTAATCTGAAGCTTGACAATACTGTTCCCTACCCTCTCAGTTCATGTCGTCGAGTTCTTTTTTTTAAAAACAAGAAATGACGATTGAACCTTTCAATTGCAGACCTTGATAAGGAACGGTCAGTCTCTTTTTATTTCGCGGAGGGGTTGTTCAGATGTAATTGAGCGGACAACCTTACCCTTGGCGTTTTGCCTTAAACGCCAAAAGGTTTTTGAAAAAAAAAAGAGCTTAGACAACACCATATGAATAGCATAACCGCTTTATGAAAGTGGACGCCTTTTGATTTTTCCTGAAAACTCTCAGCTGCCTCACTGGAGTTCAATGTTCAACTTATGGCAACAGAATCAGAGACCTGCTCACAATGGCATTTAAAGGCTGAGTTTTGCTATATCCTTGCGGTTCCGTGCCATATTATAGCATAAACTCACGCCGTTTAGGTTGTACCTTTGCTAAATAAGAGACGTGAACCTGAAAATATCTTTTACAAGTTCTGTCATACGAGCGATATTGTCAAAGATGTGTAGAACAGAGAATATGCCGATTAAAATATTCCACATCAGTTAACCTATACGTGAGAACGGATCGCATAAAGTCAGAAGATGGATCTTTTAACCATGCTATTCTTTGATTGGAAAGAATAGCCATCACAAGTTGCGTACTGTACAGCCACACATTTTGCGGTTATAATTGTCGCTCCGACTTGTTTCATGGGCGGAAACCACAGGTATAAAGCGCGCAACGCCCGCTTCTTTGAAAAGCTTCACATTTATCATTTTTGATATTCATATTGTACTCGTTACGATATATGAATGGCATGTCTATAACAAAGAATTGAAACAGGTATAGTAATATTCTCAAGTGAACTATAGGATGGATGGATGGATGGATGGATGTATGGACGGATGGATGCATGCAGCGATGTGCCTCTTTCGTGCAGATGAATTGAAATGATGATATTATAATTTTTAACCTTATCTACATTGCCTGAATCTCCTTTGATTAAAAAAATATAACTGACTCAATTCTTATTGCACAAAGAATGAACGCATTCATCCGCTCCTATTCGAAATATATTTTAGCACGGCTTATTAACTCTTAACTTGATGTTTTTATAGTGATTTTCAAAATGCGTCGTTTCTCTTTGTCCTTTACACAGTTCATTTTAGTTAGTATAACTTGATAGCATTATAATAAAAAATTACGTTCTGCTTTTTACACTTTTTTGTTTATTTTTTTTTTTTTTGATTTGGGTTTTTTCTTGGTTTTTTTTTGTGAGAGATTATATAAAGTTATTTACAGATAGAATAATATATGATTATAAATATGGTCAAGCTACATATTTAGGTCGTTTCTTTTTGCGCAGTTCCTCTTTTATCTTGACTGAGGCGCAATAAGTAATGTCGTTCTTCTCTATCGACTAACTACTGATTATTGTTCACCAGGTCTTTTGGCGTTACAAGCAACAATTTTGACTTTGTCTGCTGAAATTGTATCTTGATCGAATTTAAAATTAGGATTTTCAATTATGAACGTCCAGACTTCATCACAGAAACGATATGTATGCAAGTGTCCCTAAAGAGGTGTAAGGATAATCACAACGTGAAGAATATTGAAACAGGCAAGAGCAAACCAGCAACCAAAGAAACGAAGTAGAATAGAAAAATAAAAACAAGTTAAGATCAAAACACATCATCTCTACTCATCTGTTCTAACTGCACTGCTTTTCTGATTCACACAAAACCCAAAAATCCTATCCTATTTCAAAATCGCAATTATTTCTTTATGCACACCTTAATGTTGGCTTTATTCCTAACAAGCTGTGAAAGTGCTTCTGAAATACTTCTATCAAAAGTCATCAAAACACGCATAGCTAATTGAGGATTGATGTGTCCACTTTGAATCAACTCGTCTAAAGAATCGGTTAAAGCCATGCCGATACTACATTTATGCGAATGTTGCCCGTAATAAGAATCGTTTCAATAAATAGTTATTCAAATGTGTTCAACACATTACGATCAAAGCCCAAAATCAATTTAGACATTTCTAAACATACCTTGAACGACGGTATAATTCATAGAAAGGAGCACTGGACATGATGATACAGTAGGTAAAAGAAGTCGTTGGAAATGCCTTTGTCCGCTTTTTATACTTGGCACAGTTCAAACATTGTCCAATAAAAATGGACCATTTTACGACAGATAGAAAAGGAGTGACGTAGTACTATGGAGCAGCTATGTCTTTTTGTCAATGAAAAAGCTTGGTCAAGCTAAACAAAGGTAATAGAAGTCAGCATGTCTGTTATTTTTGTTTCATTGCTGCAACTCATTCCTCTTGAGATGATAGAGATTCTAGTTGTTTCCTTTCGATTATTTGTTGCAAAGCACTGACTCATATTGCTTTGAAAGCAAAAAGGAACTGACTCTCAATTTATGGCCAATTAACAAACGAGGAGGTTTAAACAAAAGAAGAGTGGAAAGGAAAAGGGGAAAAAAAGGGAAAAAAGTTAATCATAGAAAGCTTTCAAAGTTTCTCTATTTTTTGCCCAGCAATTTTCGCATATAACCGTTTTATTTCATTTTAGAAAAAGGGAAAAAAAAAAAAAAAAAGAAAAAGGCTCGTTAAGTTATCTTTTGTACAAAAGATTATTTCTCTTTCTTTTTCATTTTTTTCTTTCTTTTTAAGCTTTTCACTTCTTTTTTCTCATCACTTTTTTTCTTTTTAATCTTTTTATTTCTACTCATCTTGTAACCGTCAGCCATTTCAGGTTGCTCATTCAAGTGCAATACTTTATTTCATTAAAACATACAACCACAGCCATTTAAAAAAGTGCTAGAACCCAGTTTTAAGAATGTCAACTTCACAATCATCATCAGCACGAACCAGAACGGTTCGTTTGACAGTTATTGCAGCTGACGGTCTTATGAAGAAAGACTTCTTCTTTAAATATCCCGACCCTTTTGGTAATAAGAGAAAACATGATGCGTAGCATGGAGGGTACGGTACTAATGTTTTGACTCTCATACTCTTTTGTTTTATAGCCGTAGTCACTGTCGATGGAGAACAAACACATACAACAACAGTGATGAAGAAAACTTTGAATCCATACTGGAACGAAACGTTTGATTTGTAAAATAAAATTTTCTTTATCAAAAAGGAATGCTCACATTTTTGTTACCATATTTGTAAGTTAACCGTTTTTGTTACAATTTTTTACACAAATTATTTTGACAAATAGGAAAGTAACGAATCAAAGTGTTATTGCGGTACAAGTATTTGACCAGAAAAAGTTCAAAAAGAAAGATCAAGGGTTTTTGGGCGTCATCAACGTCCAAGTATCTAGTGTCTTTGACCTTGATGTGGGAGGAGATGAAATGCTAACTTTGGATCTGAAAAAATCAAACGCGAACGAAAATGTGCATGGAAAACTTATACTGAATCTCTCTACAAACGTCAACGTACCTATTCGCAATGGTACCGATACCCTCGCTCCGGGCACAGCAGGTGCCTTGACATCGAGTGCTCACCATTCCAGGACGCCCTCTACATCCTCCCATCACAATAACGACACTACGAATACATCATCGAGCCATATGAATACGACTGCGAATAATGCAGAGCAACAAGCAACATCTTCTTCCTCCACAGCGACGCCTTCTTCCGCGCAACAACCACAATCCAACGCAAATGATGACTTACCTCCAGGTTGGGAAAGACGAGTAGATCATTTGGGCAGACCTTATTATGTAGATCATAATACACGTACAACAACATGGAAGCGGCCTTCATCGCGAACCGCGCAAGATCAACAGAACCAAACGGAATTAGAACGTCAAAGGCATAATGCGCGTGGATTACCCGACGCTTCACAATCATCCGTAGCGCAGCAAGCCAGTCCATCCCAACAACGCTTATCTCAGCAACCACAACCATCACAACAGCCTCACGTTAATCTCTCTAACTATACAACATCAGCAGGCTCGGGTCCTTTACCTCCAGGTTGGGAAATGCGTACCAGTGCTGAAGGTAGACCCTATTTTGTGGATCACAATACACGTACCACCACTTGGGTAGATCCTCGTCGACAACAATACATTAGTACGATCGGCCCTGGTTCTAACCTCCAGGTGCAAGTACAACCTGTGTCTCAGTTAGGCCCCTTACCCTCCGGCTGGGAAATGCGACTCACGAGCACCGGTCGTGTCTACTTTGTTGATCACAACACCAAAACCACCACCTGGGACGATCCTCGCCTTCCCAGTAGCTTAGATCAGAATGTGCCTCAATATAAACGGGATTTCCGTCGCAAACTGATCTATTTCCGTTCTCAACCAGCACTGCGTCCTGTGCCTGGACAATGCCACATCAAAGTGAGAAGAGATCATATATTTGAAGATGCCTATGCTGAAATTATGCGTCAAGCACCCGCTGATCTGAAGAAGCGTTTAATGATCAAATTTGATGGCGAGGATGGGTTAGACTATGGCGGTCTCTCCCGAGAATTCTTCTTCTTGCTTTCTCATGAAATGTTCAACCCTTTTTACTGTCTGTTTGAATACTCAGCTCATGACAACTACACATTGCAAATCAACCCTCATTCAGGTATCAATCCTGAGCATCTGAATTATTTCCGATTCATCGGTCGCGTCGTCGGTTTAGCTATTTTCCATCGTCGCTTCTTGGACGCTTTCTTTATTGTGTCGTTCTACAAAATGATTTTGAACAAGAAGATATGTGTATCGGATATGGAGAGCGTAGATGCTGATTTCTACAGAAGTTTGATGTGGATTTTGGACAATGATATCACAGACGTGTTGGATTTGACATTTTCGACGGATGACGATCGATTTGGTGAGGTGGTGACAGTCGATTTGATCCCGAACGGCCAGACCATCGAAGTAACAGAAGAGAATAAGAAAGAATATGTCAACTTGATGACAGAATGGCGTATTTCCAAACGTGTTGAGGAGCAATTCAAAGCCTTCAAAGAAGGTTTTAATCAGTTGATCCCACAAGACCTTATCAACGTGTTTGATGAACGTGAATTGGAATTGCTGATTGGTGGTATTGCTGAAATAGACATTGAGGATTGGAAGAAACATACAGATTACAGAGGTTATACCGAACAAGACGATGTGATTCAGTGGTTCTGGAAGTGCGTGAAAGAATGGGATAACGAGAAGAAATCAAGATTGTTACAGTTCACAACAGGTACATCACGTATTCCTGTCAATGGTTTTAAGGATTTACAAGGCAGTGATGGGCCCAGACGATTCACAATTGAGCGATCGGGTGAAGTGACAATGCTGCCTAAAGCACATACTTGCTTCAATCGTATTGATATGCCACCCTATACAGATTATGATACTTTGGTCCAAAAACTGAGTTTAGCAGTTGAAGAAACAGTCGGTTTTGGTCAAGAATAAGTTATATCTTTTTTTTTTTTTCTTTTTTTTTTTTTTTCTATTTTTGTGAAAGCTTTCTTCTTCCATTCGTATTCCATCTACATATGAGAGACTCATCATAATACCTCCCTATCTCCCGCTTAGAAATATGTTTTATCTCCTCATAAATATCCTTGATTCCTTCTTGTCATAAACAACTCATTTTTTGAATACATAGTACAATATAAATTCATGCATTGCTTCATTTTATGTCGGATCAACGAATGAAAATATGTAAGCCTAAAAAATCCTGCATTCATTTTTTGTGGATCATACAAAGTGGGCGGGGATGAAAGATTTGCAGTTCTACGAAAAAATGCAGTATAGAATTGGGGTTGCAGCAAGTGAACATGGACCAAGAGGACTAAGAACTACTCAATTTTTACTGCTAATGTAAGGCAGGAATATATCGTTTGTATTATTATTATTCACAACTCCAGCTGATTTCAAACACGCAGCTTAAGGGTGAATTTCTTTTAGGCCTTTCATCTTTTTTTTTTTTTCTTTTTTTTTTTGGGTAGCTGTATCATTTGCTTTATTATTATTTTTCAGAAAACTGTACAAAGGGTGGGTAGGGTTGGTCAATCAGATGGGAATAAATAAAGAAGAACAAAACAGAGAGGTTGGATAGAATAAGATGCGATTTAGATACCGCGACCACCAGTCACTTCAAGAGTATGACCGGTAACGTAGCTTGTCAAAGGAGTACAGAGAGTCAAGACAGAGCCAGCGACTTCATCAGCGGTACCAGCACGACCCAAAGGAATGTCAGCAAAAGGATTAGGTCTAGCACCCGACTTGTTACCAGTAGGGATACCAAGAGCGACCTTTTGACCGTCGACCTCAATAGTAGCACCAGCCTCCTTGGCACGAGTCAAACGAGTGTCGACCCAACCGAAAGCAACCGTGTTGCAACGAACGCCAAACATACCCCATTCTTTAGCAATGGTCTTGGTTAAACCCACAATACCAGCTTTAGCAGTAGCATAGTTGGCTTGACCGACGTTACCGTGAAGACCCGAGGTGGAGGAGACGTTGACGATGGATTTGTTTTGCCCATCCTTCTTGCGAAGATACTTGGCAGCAGCACGAACAATTCTGAAAGGAGCAGTGTTGTGGACAGCAAGCATGACATCCCATTGCTTATCCGAGATCTTATGAAGCATACCATCGTAAGTAAAACCAGCATTGTTGACAATATGGTTGATCTTGCCAAAGGCCTTGACAGTCTCTTCCACTAAACGTTCGGGGAAACTGGCGTCAAGAACATCACCGGGAATGGAAATAGCCTTACCACCGGCAGCGTTGATATCAGCAGCCACTTGATCCGATTTAGCTAAGGGTGTATGTAGAGGGAGCGATAGAAAAACAATGAGTTTACTTTTGTTCCACAACACTTATGCTTTGTGTTGTTTCTCTCTTTGGCCATAAGCAGCATCACTTCTCCACGTTTTCGTTTGGTCTCTGGTACTTACAGGCATCAATATCGGTAACAACAACGAATGCACCTTCACGAGCAAAGACTTCAGCACAGCTTTTACCAATACCTTGTCTAATAGTAGAGAGCAAAACACAAGTGAATGGTTATTTTTTTACCTTCTATTAACCCAATTTCCCTGCTGCATGTACAACTTTTGATGATAATTTACCCAGAACCTGTGATAATAGCAACTTCACCAGCCAATAAACCTTGAGGATAATTACCAGACAAGTGACCCTTAATGGTATTCAAACGATCAGTGGCAGACATGTTTACTGAAAGAGATGGGATAAATACGATAAAGTGAACCAAATGCGTACTACAAAAAAAAAAAAAAAAGATAAAAAATGTGGAGTAAAAAAAGAAGTTTAAATCTTTCTTTTCTGTGGTGTGTTATGTCCTACCTTATTTTGTCAGCATGAATGCTTTTTGGGAAAAACTTTTCATCCACTGTATCTTGGGTAAATTTCAGACATTTTCAGAAAATTTATTTAGACAGGTTCTCCATTTTTTTCAGAAATAATGTCTACATTTATTTCAGACAACCTATTCGGACAACTTAATCATGGATAGGATTACATCAATTTTAATCCAGCAGCTGAGCCCAACAGTGACCTACTAATGAATCTATGGACATTGAAGGCTTGTCAATACAGTACGGTGATGTTACTCCTTGCTGAATTACTGATATGCCCATAGAAAGAAGGCTTCACTGTTGCTAAATCTGCTGAGAAAATGTGGAATTCCAAGCAGTATGGCTTATGGATAGCATCCACAGCTTACCGACAGCAATAATGGAAACACCTTTACCGGAAGCCTAAAAAGATAATTTAAAAAAGAAAAGAAGGGTCTGATTGGACCCAATTTGCAAAACCGTTGATGTTTAAAACTTTACAAATTGAGCAGTACTACATAAAGTAATTGAGTTAAAAGAATGAAGCAAAACGAAGGGATGCAATGGAAGTGATGACTGGTGTTTGCTTTCCTTTTGCAGATGGTGTAGATATGTCATAATTGTTGCATTTGACGGACGGAAAGGGTTAGCGTGAATGGTAACAATTGAGCTGATTTCTCGTGAAGGCACACGTTCCAGAGGGCTGATGAAGCAGTTGTCAAACACTTGACTTGTGCGATGAAAAGCGAGAGTTGTTTTGAAGACATTGGCAATTGAATATGGGTAAAATGACAATGATTGCATAGATAATGGATATGTATATGCTATCAGACAGTTTGCAGTTATTTAATGTTTGTATACAATTTTAAAAGATATAATATAAATATGTATGTATATATTATTAACAAGCTAGTTTTATTGTATAATCATATCAACTGATGACGTATATTCGATGGGTATATCCGATGGTTCTTTGTCTTTTTTTTTATAGGTACGTATACTATTGTTGGTAATTTTCTCTATAGATGGAATGAGTTCAATAAAAATCGTTGAGTATCCAATAATTTCTAACGAATGCAAAATAAGTATAGCTTTTGAGTAAGTGACACATTTTTCCTTGATGGTTTAGGGTATAATGAAAAATATCACGAAAATAAGTTATAGTATGCGATCGTAAAAGAATTCGACGTGTTCAGGTAGGTATATTTGATGTAAATTTAGAAAGAATGGACAATATCCTACGTGAGTATACTTGCCGTGCTTCATCGACTATTTGACCTTGCGCGCCAAAAGTATCGCTAGATATATAAGGTAATATCACGCAAAGTCTCTCCATGAAGCGTTCTTAAGTTGTGAAGACAAAGCAATGTTGATTTTTGACTTTCATACATTCCTTTAATACTGTCGTACTTTGTTATTGTACAGCGGGATAAGGATATTTAATCGATTATGGTAAATCCCTACCCAAATGTTGAAATGTCTCTCTAAACAAAAAAGTTGAACAAATATCTTGACAGATTTTCTGAAAAAAAAAAAAAGAAATGTTTCTCGAATGTCTCCAAACACTGCTGTAGGTAATATGCTGTAATGGCGTTGCTGTTTGTCATGCTAGATTAAAATTGATGTCATCCTATCCATGACAGAGTTGTCTGACTACGCTGTCTGAAATGAATGTAAATGTTATTCTGAAAAAAAATTGAAAATCTGTCTAAATAAAACATCTCAATACGTCTAAATAAAAAGAAGTGAGAGTGTTTGAAATTGAACCGAAAATACAATAATTTTTTCCTTAGTAGAGGAGGGTGAAATCGTTTCGTCAAAAGAATAAGTTGAAAATTGGCATTACTAAACTTTGATTACATGAGAGAATTTCTCACGTCAAATCACGTATGCGGCCCCGCACCCACTTTATTTTCAAGTTCTGTTGTGCTCATAGAAAGACCTTTTTCATTTTCATTTTCATTTCGTAGAAACTACTGGCCATTATTTTGTTTCTCAACAAGAGAGATATCCTATGGCATTTAGTCTCCAATAGCTATCGTGCTTTTATTTAAAGCAGCTACTGTAATCATGCCTTTTTTTTTCAAAATAGCGTTGCCAAACAGGAGGAGATACCTGTGTATGGATGCAATCAGCCTGAAAGAGAGTGCTAAGTAAAGGAAGACCTTTGAATGGCATCTCTTCATTTTTGGTTTTTTTTTTTTTTTTTTTGCCCCTTAATCCGATTTATCTATTTTTTTTTTCCTGACTTACAAATCATGAGTAAACGGTTCTTTGATTCGCTCACAAGTCTTTGTTCAGCTTTTTTTCATTTAAGCGAGCGTCCCCTTTTGTCCCGCTTTTTTTGGGGTTTTTTTTTTCTTGGGTTATCTTCTTCATCTTTTATTATATTAATCATCATGGATGCCCCTCGCACAGCCACTATTAAACGAAAGACAAACGAAACAGACATCAAGATATCTCTGAATTTAGATGACAAGCTGAATCAGAAGATCGACATCAACACTGGCATTGGCTTTTTAGATCATGTAGGTTCTTTGAGATGAATAACGTCTTTTTGAAGAATAGGATTTTAAACTGTAAGATTCGAATGGTCAACCTTCTAGATGTTGCATGCTCTTGCCAAGCATGGTGGTTGGTCCTTGAGTGTTAGCTGTAAAGGGGATCTTTGGATTGACGATCACCACTCTGCCGAAGATACGGGTATTGCTCTCGGGATGGCTTTCAAAGAAGCACTCGGTGTTCCCAGAGGTATCAAGCGTTTTGGCTCAGCTCACTGCCCGTTAGACGAAGTAAGTTTGATGGGGGGGGGGAAAGAGTCTTGAGAGCTGTTTTTTTTTTTACTCAAACTCTTTGTTGTTTCTCTTAGGCACTTTCTCGAGCAGTTGTTGATATTTCAGGACGTCCTTTCGCCGATGTGAACCTTGATTTGAAACGTGAAATGATTGGACAGCTGTCGACGGAAATGATCCCTCACGTTTTAGAATCCTTTGCTGGTGCTGCGGGTATTACTCTTCATGTGGATGTGTTGAAAGGCAAAAACGATCATCACAAGGCAGAGTCTGCATTCAAGGCGTTGGCCGTTGCTATCCGTGAAGCTACCACAAGAACGGGCACCAATGATATTCCTTCCACCAAGGGAGTTTTATAGATCGAAACACAATTCCCGAACATCCTTAGAGCATATGAGGCCTATGGCTAGATATGGATACTCATTGTTTTTTTGTACAAATAACAGCATTTATTATCATTCACTTGTAGAAAGGATGGGTTAAGGACTGCTTTTTATTGATCAGCGTAACATAGAGATGGAGGGGGGGTGTTATGTTCCAGGATATAGTTCTTTATAAATGAAATCATTTTGATGGGAGGGAAAATAAATACATAAATTAAGTTGGAAGGAAGAGAGAGTATGACTTGTACAAAAAAAGAAAAGTGGACAATGGCTTCAAACATCTTCTATTTTCGCCATGGCTGCGAATAGATGAATAAGTATAAGCATTGGATAGTGCGGAGTGAGGTGTGTGTGTGTCTGTGGGTGAGTTGACGAGGGGAGCGGTGTTTAAGTAGATCTTTTTTCCTGTTTTCTCAACGTTTCCTTGACGGTGGGTTTTTGCTCATTCACGTGGATGCTATAAAGGAGATGGATGGATCTTAGCATCCAGACGAGTTGGGCCCACTTTTTATCCCTCTTACCTATCCTCTTCATCCTCATCATCACTGCGACTGTCTTCAGCATTATTCCCTTGCAAGACCTTGATGATGACTTTGACAATCATAGCAAACCAATAGAACATGAGACAGTTCAACAGAATAAATAATAGGATATAGATCTTTTGAGTAAAGGGTGTAAAGTATTTTCCTTTCTCTGGTTCCCACTTCATATCTAGATACTTTTCAGGTTCAACTATGCATCGCCAGTGATAGATATAAAAAAAAAGAAAAAGACTTGCGTTAATCCCCACTGATCTTTTTATAGTCAAAAAAATGATCATTGACACGCGCGCGCACCTGTAGTGGACCATATAATCATGGAGAATAAACCGTGTCGCGTGATCGGCCATGCTAACGCGAACAGTCCAAAGGCAATATCACACACAAATGAGAAACCGATATATTTTAGCATTTTGGCGAGCTAGAAGAAGGGCAAAGTTCAGTCACCACACGTGGTTGGGTTCCTCTTTTTCACTTTAAATCAATCCTCGCTCCACTTACGGCAAGTAAAATATCAGCAAAATCCATACAGCAAAGGACAGCATTTCCAATACGTGTAAAATTGGTATAGTAGCTAGAAGAGATCAATACGAGCGTGATGATATGATGTGAAAGCATAGCAAAGTGATCCTTTCTTCGTTTTTCAATGTGGATGGTATACAGTTGCTGGATCCAAAAAGCAAATTGCATTAAATAGTACAATTTCATTCGTTTTGACATGAGAATATGTGGGTAACCAATCCAATATTGTGAACTATCGAACCAATGAGGACTATGGTACATAATATTCTTTTTTTACACAAAAAAAAAAAAAAAAAAAAAAAAAATAATGATCTGAGCTTTTAGTTACAGCAAAAAAGAAAAAATCAAAAAAAAATCGAATTTTGTTCTATGCACCACACACCTCCTCCTTCTGCACTTCTTCCCTCCCCAACAAACACACACACACACACACACACACATACGCACACAGACTTACCATGCCAAATGTCCAAAAGACGGTATAGTAGGTAAACATCGAAGCCTGTTCAGCAAATCTCTGTCTTTTAGCATAAGACTTTACATCAAATAATCGAGCCAATGGATGAAAGATAAATCGCATCACAAAGGCACGTAAGAAAGTAAACGCCACAACCCAAAAGCCGACAAAATAGAGATCGTCAGGGCCTTTATCGTACATCACAGCATTTTCATGCTTTACTCTGTAAGACAAATACACGCTTTTCCTTGCTATTGGAAAGCCAGAGACATACCCCAGCAGTGTAAAAGAACATAATAAAGCAGTTATTTCTAAAACATGCAAACATCGAGTGAGTTGGATATTTCGATAGAACCATATCGAAAAAACCAGTCTTTCTGTTCATACCTAGTTCATGTTTTAGTATCCTTTCCTTGATAGGAGTAGATGTAGTTGTTGGTGCTGTTGTTTTAATAGTGGCTCTGGTGTACTTTGTAGGCTTCTCAGGTGACGTTTTGTTATCTGATAAAGCTTCAGCTGTCATCAAATTCTATCTGATTTTCGATTTGTTGAAAAAGAAAAAAGGGTGGGGTTTTTTTTTTACACGCAAAACAAGAAAAGAAAGAATGAAAGAAAAGAAAAAAAAAAAAAAAAAAAAAAATAATCAACAAAAAATAAAAGGGGCGGAACACACATACACCAGCGTAATACACACACAAAAGAAAAAAAGAAAAAAGGGACACACCACACAATTGAAACCTTTTATTTTTAGGTTCCCTTCCAGCAAAAAAAATAGTTTATTATTTAAACAAATCAGTATTCTTTCCTTTTGATGCTAAGGATGAACATCCGAAAAGTAAAGGGATGATACACTTTTCAAGTGGCGTTCTTTATCATTTTTACGCCGAGCCTCGTCGAATAGCAAAGACAGAGGGCTTGAGGGCTTGAATGATTTACCGCGTCCAGTGACAAATATGAGACAAAGCACATAAAAAAAAAACCGTTCCTTTCTCAGCAAACGCATCCTTTTTTCGCCTATAGCAAAGTATATAGAATCATTCGACTTGTTGAATTCGAATTGGCAGTCCCATTCTTTTTTTCCATTAGCAGATGACCTTATTTGAAGTCGTACGAATTATAAGTGGCATCATGCGTGGTTTTTTTTTTTTTTTTTTTTTTTTTTTCTTTTTTCCTTCTGTTATAGAAAGATCTTTACGTAGGATATACCCATCGTAAACAATGCTCCATCTATTCTGGTTGAATCGTTTCTTCCTTGCCGTCTTGATACTCACCTTATCGGAGGCATAAACAGCAAGCGAAAAAGAAAAAACCCCCATACAAAAGAGGGTGTGAGCTTGCATCGAAAAACGAAGGATAGGTAGCAGAAAGCCACCACGTCTATCTCTGTATACAACATAAAACCTTTTTTATATCAAGATGGATATGTTTTTCAGTAAAGGAAGGGTTTCAATGGAAGCAAGCATCAAACTGTGTAAAGGTCGAAATGATAAAAAAGAGAAAGAACCATGATCCACCACCCATGAAGCGCTTACGACAGTCAATGAAGGTTGTACGCTATTTATAGAAAAGGGTATTCGTGAGGAAAAAGACACCCTTTTTCCCTATAAAAATGACCAAAGTGTACAACTTTTTCTGGGTTATTTTTTGTACTTTCTACAAAACAGATTCTCTCATCAAAATCATCCCATTCACTGGTTTTTGTAATACGATAACTTTTTATTTTTTTTTTTTTCCTTTTATCTTGAGAATGGCGGATAATGGGGACGACGAAAGAATGAGTGGGCTTGTAAAAAATATGGATCCGATAGAAGCATTGAAAGATGACATAGGATAAGATGAAATAGAGAGACAAAAAAGAGAGTAGATCCAATGGGAAAGAACAATACACAAAATACAGTGTTTGTATTTTCTAGGGTTAATAAAGAGGGGCCATTTCATGGGGGTTTAGCCTCTTTACAAGGGAGTGGTATCCAACTTTGCAAAATCAACGTGCCCTTCCATGACATCTTTGTACTGATCCATATTCTGTAGCTGAGCTCGGACATATCTGACCAAGAGGGCAAGGTTGTTTGCTTCTACGGTAGCGGTGGTGGCAACCGAGGGAGACAAGACATTTCTCCATAAAGCAGCCGCCAAGACAGTGTCATCTTTACACATGCCTTCATCAAAGGCTTGTACGGAACCATGACACTGAGCAATGTAATCCTTGATATAATTTGTAATCAATCGCTGCTGGTTGATGCCCAGATCAATAATTCGATCTTCAATATCTTCAAAGAATCGATTCACCACTTCTTGCATATATCGCTTGCCATGTTCGTGAGTACGTAAATGAACCATCATCATCCAAATATGCAAATGTGTTACTGAGAACCATGTTTGAAAATTATCGGGTAACTTGCAAACTAAACCAAATAAGAGTTAGGTTCAACATAAACCACCTTTTCTTCTTTTTTTTTTGATTTTTTACCATTGATAAAGAAATCTCTATTCCTTTCCAACTGCAAAGAACAGGGTCTATACAACATGTGACTTTTTAAAATCGCTGTCGATGCCAATGAATTATAGCCAAACAACTTTGCTAGGCCATAAATGCATTTTTTGGTGAAATTTGAATAATGCGTTTGACGAGGATTCTTTTTATACTCTTCCATCAGTTCGTAGGGCGTTAGTTTGCGACGACGTGGGTGTTTCTGCTCACGCATGTGAGGTAATGGTTGATCAGGCAGAGGCGGAGGTATACTTTTATCTGTCTTTGTCGTAGTGGCGTTTGGGGTAGATGTATTCAGACAACGTATTGCTGTGGATCTCTAACAGAAGAAAAAGAAATGAGTGACGCGATGACAACAACATGAACAGGGGCACGACTCTACCACGACATTGGTTTTCAAGATCTGTTGTGGGGTCAGCATAGCATTCTATGATAGACCAAGGGCCAAAAATTGACATGAAAAAAAAAGCGGGGAAAAAAAAATAGAGATTTTAGCTCATGACATCACGTTGTCCGATGGATACCATTTCGAAAAGCAACAAGACGAGGGGCCTACCTTTCTTATATTGGCTGCCAACAGAGTGGTCGTTTGTCTCAAAAAAGCCATGTTTTATACACGTATTTCTAATGCAAGCAGGGAAGTGCAAAAAGAAGGATGAGGTACAAAAAATAAAGAGACAAGGCTGGTTCTTTTTTTGAACGGGCTTGTCTTCTGTGTTTCAAAAACTGCAAAACTTCTATTTTAGGCAGGCATTTTTTCAAAAAAGAAAAAAGCTATTCTAAGGGAAAACAGTAAAACAAGGTATGATCTTTTTCTCTAAACCGTCAGCGATGAAAATGTACATAAAGTGCCAAATGTGTGTGTGTGTGTGGGGGGGGTAAAATAAATAAGTTGTCAAAAGGGAAAAAAGAAGCTTTGGGAGATATGCTTATTGGTTATGATGTTACAATTTTGTTGTCAAAAAAAAAAAAAAAGAAAAAACCAAAAAAAACGGGTCAATCACTAACAACATTCTGTAGCTTCAAAATACTTCTTACATCGGCAGCAAATCTGAGTGCATCCAAAAACGGTAATAGATCTAATAAACTTTCATCGTTGGGGTTGGAGATCCAAGTAGGTAAAGCCACACCATTTTCTATAAAATCAATCCAAGGTGACAGTGTTAAAGAGAGTCATCCCCCAAAAAAGTCAGAAAGAGAGCCAAAAAAAAGGGGCAGGAGGAGAGGGGGGGGGGAGCGGGGGTTTGATTTTTTTTTTTTTTTTTCTACCTTTAAATAAATCAAAAGCAACAGGACTGTTATCTACGAGACACACTTTACATAAATCTTTCTCTGCTAAAGTCAAGTCTTTGAGATAGTTGCCATTGACAATGACACACGACTGAAGAAGAGAGTAATGAGTGAGTGAGTGAGTGAGTGATTGACTGAGTAAGAAAGGAAAAAATCATGGCTGTCCCCTTTTTCTTTACCTGTCGAAAGAATCTTTGTGAAATCAAATTATTCTCTTGATCAAGCCAGTCTATCACGGGGTCGGCATATTCTGCCATGGAAGCTGTGTAAATGACAATTTTATACCACTGACTTATCTATAAAGGGAAAACGATATAAATACACAAAACTGAATGGGAAATAGACAATAATGATGATGTGTATCTTACAGTTTTTAGAAAGAAATCTACGTGGGGTCGTTTGTATACTTCATACATGAGCGATTGTTTATCACAATGAACCTCGATACTCTTACGTACGATGGACGGGCTTATTTTACTACTGTTACTGTTGTTACCGAGTCGAATAGAATGAACCAATGTCTCGTCTAAATCTAATATGAGCGTCTTGTTTTTGTAATATTGGGTGGAGGGTATCGTATTTCTGATATGGACAGTGTTTGATGTATTGGTTTTCGTAGTGCTGTTGCTATTTTTATTCATGGGCGAACGATGTACGGCAGCAGGTGCGGTTGTTTTGTTGGTTGCTTTCTTGCGATCACTGTATCTTATTTTCGTAGTTGTTGTTGTAAAGATATATTTGAATAAAAATGTAATGTAAAAGTATATCTGGCTGAAAAATATTCGTTTCTTGTGCAGCGAAGTCGTCGTCGTCGTCGTCGTCGATGTTGTGGATGTCGCAGGAGAGGGCGTTCTGAAAGCTGTAGTTACTGTGGCCGACATCGTGTGATATAATGTTGCGATAGTGACGAATGATAGATGATTGGTATATAGACAAAGAGGTGCTAAATGTATAAAAAAAAAAAAAAAAAAAAAAAAAAAAAGTCGAAAAAAAAAGGAACAATATTGAACTTTAAAAAGAAAGAAAAAAAACCGTTCATTATATGAAATAATGCAAATTCGAATTTCTATTTCACGTCAATTTGTTCTTTAATTTTGTAATGTCCGTAAACCTTTTTTTTTTTTTTTATTTTTCCTCCCCATAGAAATCACAGATCGAAAAAAAAAGGGGGAGGGAAGATGACTCTTTTCACTTGTTGTAAAGGTCACTCATTCTTCTATAATAGAGAATTGAATGCATGTCTATGTGAATACTACTAGCTTTACAAGAAAAGAGACTTTTGACTGCTTATCATTACCCGTATCTTTATATTTTGTAACATTGTGCAATGCTAACGCGAAACAGACGACTCTTTGAAACGTTGTTAGGATCTTCAAAAAACCTTAACTACTGTATCAGAGGGTTGTCAGATGTGGGCATTGTTGATAGTGATGGAAACAGCGGATGGGGATGAACACCGGAGGTCTTCACCGCCCCTACAGGTGGGATGGGCTGACTCTTAAAATTTCCCTCCCAAGAGCCCACCCTTTATTACGGATAATGTACAGGCCTTGACATGAAAAGACACACAATGCCTCTCTTTGGATCGACATCATAGACCTGCTCCTATTGACTTGAGTTCCAAGAACAACGCTCATCAGAATTTCAACAAAAAAAAGGATAGCAGTAATTTTTCAACTTTAAATGTTGTCACTTTTTTAATTTTTCCGTTTTCTTTTTGCCCAGCTGTTTAGATTTAAGAGCGGAATCAAAAGATGCCTCTCTTTCCTCCCCCCCCCCTTTTTTTTCAAATCTTCTTAATTGCACCCCAAGACAGGAAAATGGGGTGGAAAAACACCCAATTCTTCAGGAAGAAAAGAGACCTTCTCTTCCATGGTTGAAATAGAACCAATCGTGTTCCAACTGTCAGAATTAGAGGAATAAACATATCCAATTGAAATAATTGTCCTTTTTTTTTTTTTTTCATTTGGCCCCATCTACTGCAATGAGATAGCTAGTCCTCTACCCACTTTTGCATAGTGAACAATGATTGTATGAATGGGAATACATGTTGCCACATTAGAGAACGAACAATGTGATCTGTGCGCTTTGGATGGGCAGCACGTCAGACTTTGAGCGATAAAGAGTCGCGTTTTTTATGATGAGGAAAACGTGGCGAGCGTCATCGATGTTTAATATGCCGACTTTATAGGTGCCTCACTCGGGTAGTTTTTTGTCCAAAACGGGACAGCTGGCACTCAGCCCAAAGCCCCCGCCTCTTAGCCCTTTAGAATGAATCTCGAATAAAATTCCCTTTTGTACTGCTTTTCTATTTTCTGCGAGTCTTTTTTTATTATCCATAAAATAGAAATACTTTATCTGCACTCATCATTATTGGCATCAAGCTTCTACTCTTCTTTTTCGGTCACCATTCATAGAATGCCCTTTTCTCATTTATTCGTTTCTAAGAATCGTAAAGTGGACTTTGAGATAACACTTTTCATTCAAGATCTCACTAATGTGCCGCTTGTAAGCGGTCTCTATTATGTCAAATGGAAAATTAAACATGCGGCTAGTAAACATACACATGGATCCACCATGAAGGCCCCCATTCGAGACCATGCCATCTTTTGGGGCCATCCCATCAGCACTATTGCTCACCTTGTGATTTCATCTTCAAAAGATCGTCTATTAGGCGCTTGCGAATTGAAGCTAGAAGTATATCAGGAATTAGGTGGTAATAATAAGAATATCACTTCAGTGGGGACTTTGTCGATCAATTTGTCAGAATATGCGAGTGCCGGATTGGTGACAAGGAGATATTTACTGGATCAATGTAAATTCAACTCGACACTAAAGGTATAATTCTGTTATTCTTATTTTTTATGAGAGCCGGTTTTCATGATAATTCATCTCTATTTATTTATTTTTGTTGTCAATTTTTCATCATTTTAGTTGTCAATTAAAGTCGACCAGAAATCAGATGCATTAACAGAATTCAATACGTAAGTGACATATCATAAGACGGAGACATTTTTTCCATAGAGATTTTCAACAAATTTTTTCTTTTTGCCTACTGTAGTCCACCTCTGAAACGTCAGCAATTATTTACAAATATACCAACGACGATATCCGATAACAACTATTATAATAAATCTACACAGCAACTATTTGATCAAAGATCTCTCAACACGAACAGCATAAACAACAGCAACGGTACTAGTCATAGACCACCCCCCACAGGCTTAGAGCAACAAAACAATGCACATTTACTAAAGAAATCACAATCTGCCATATCCTTAGTAAACTATCCAAATCATAAAAAATAACAGTAAAAAAAAAAAAAAAAAAAAAAAAAAGTATGATTTTCTCACATTCATCTTTTTTTTTTCTCCTTGAATGGTCTATTTTCCCTACATAGCCTCATTATTGTAGACAAGTATCTCCTTTTGATAATGATAGTAGTACAGATGAGCCATCACCAACAGATTTAGTCGAGCAGTTATTCCAGTCCACATCGACACGTAAACAACAACAACAACAACAACAACAACAACAGGAACTGCAACAACAACAACAACAGCAGCAGCAGCAGCAACAGCAGCAGCAGCAATAACAACAACAACAACAGCAATCGACATCGTCAACATGTATGTCACGTGTATATAGAGATGCTACGGTGACGAAATGTAAATCACATCGGACGGCCCTGGCTGTACTTTTCCTATCTCTTTCTTCAGTGAGGGTTGCGGCTGCTGTTGTTGCTGCTGATGCTGCTGCTGATGCTGCTGCTTCTTTTTCTCATCTTCCAGTATTTGTTCGATAGCCAATAAAACCCGTTTTGCTGGATGTTTACCAGCAGCCGTCATAGTCGTACTCGTCGTCGTTGTTGAAGTAACGACGAATTCAAGATAGTAATTGACCAGATCCAAACATGTCATCACTGTAAAATGAGAATCGTACTCAAATAAGCCTGCAGGTCGAGCGTATTTGAGTATCTTGCCTATGGTATCAAATCCGTCGCGCACCAACAATCGATGCTCTTTGATTTCTTTTTGACTTTTGCTCCTTTCATCAAATTTACAGCATTCCCTCATCAATTCCATGATGCGAATAAAGACGTGCTTTTGACAAAGAGGCAGGATCCGTGGCGATAAATTCACCTGACATAGCCCACACAATACAGTGCAAATCATTCTTCTCAATTGATACCACTATGGGATAAAAAAGAAAAAGCCTGATGAATCGTTTTTCTCCTTATAGAAAAAGAAAAGAGAGAGAACCCCTTACCTTCTGCCATGTATACGATCCTTTCGATAAGTGTAATAAATCCGTCAATCGTTTCATCACTTCAGGAACCACTTTGGCCTTCTCCATGGCTGCCTCACTGTGAATTCCTTTCATGCCACACTGCAGCTCTTGTTCTTTTTCAAACAGTCCATCTCCATCCACAGTTGACCAATCCTTATTTCCATTCAACATGGCTTGAATAACAATGAGACAAGAGAACAGTATCTCCATTGGCGTTTCTTCCGATAATAACTTTAAAAATCCCTCGTCTGTCAGAATAAATAAGAAACTACGCATCGAAACATCAGTCAAATGCCTGATCGCCCTCCCCCCCCCTCCTCCACCAACCCAACCCAACCCAACCCAACATCACCCACGAAAATGAGAGAGATATACATACATTGGCTTATTTGGATACTGTCGGCTTACTCTCGTTAATACTTCCAAAATGCATTGAATACTTTTCGTGCTGTAGGCCTCTTTCGGTGTCAACTTGGCCTCGATCGCAGCATTGATGACAGAAGGATACGTCTGATGTTGGTTGACAAGCGTCATGATCTCTGTATACGTGATATCTTCCCTCAACAAGTCTGCATATTTTTCCGTAATGATCTGCTGTTTTAAAGGTGAGGGCTTGCGGTCATTATGGTACTTGAACGTGAAGAGAGAGAGACATTGAACGAGTTGGTAAAGGACAGCATGCGATCGATGGCTGATCATTTCATTGTAGAGCTGTTGAAGAGCTACCGTATGAAATTGTTGTTGGTGTTGCTGCTGCTGCTGCTGCTGTTGTTGTTGTACTGCTTGGTGCCAAGAAGCGGTTATTCGAGCGAGTGTCATACTGATGCATTCGATGATCGTATAGAGCTTGTATTGAATGCAAATGGGTAGGCAGTAACCAAACTGAATAATGAGCGAGCGGATAATAACATTGGCGTCTTGGATTTGACCCGACAGGTAGTAGCGGATTTCTGAAGCGATCATGTTGAGTCGTTGTTCATGGATTTTGTCAAGCGTGAGGGTCGAAGGGATATCTGTAAAGTAGGATGCATATTGCTCACTCCATTGTTGTATGTTTTCTGGCGTGAAAGCCATCAAGTAGTTTTTGGTATATTTGTGTCGTGTTCTATTCCATTCCAGATAGATATCTTCAAAAATAAGCTGCAATAAATCACGCTTCAACAAGTGCAAAGAAAAACACCCTTAGTCCTCTGACAATTGTTTTCATAACGGAGGAAAAAATTCACTTACGTAAGCTTCATTGGATGGAAAGGGTATAAATGGCGTTGTAGGGGTACTGGTTATCGAACGAAAAGAAGGTGTTCCATTCAATGCAGAATAAGGATCATCAGCCTGCTTGACGGGTACTTTGGCTATCTTGAGAGGCGGTTCTTCCTCTATGGACATGGATGTCGATGTTCTTTGTGTTTGAGACAACGACGGTCCATCTTTATACAATCTACTGCTTTCCGCATGATCAGGCAAAACCATGCCACTGGCAGAGCATGATTTAACATCATGTGTCGTAGGCACGACAGTGGCAGTAGAAATCGCATGATCGTCCTCTTCATCACCTTGGGGTGCTGCTCTCATCTGACTATGAAGGGTCATTTTCGACGTTTCATTCGATAGACTGAAAGCACTATGAGGGGACTCGGCGCGTTTCCTTCTATTTTTTGGCTTCCATGCTGGGGCTACGGTGGGAAAGCTGGTTTGTGTGGATCCTCTGTTCGACGGCGGTAGCTGTTGAGTGCCTGCTACAGCAGGAGAGTGTGTGATAGTAGGAGTGCCTGGGTTGGTTCTTTTTTTTTTCTTTGTCAAGATTTGCTCGGCTTCTGATACAATTTTCTAAGTAAATGATAGGGATTAATAGATCGAATGGATGGCTCTCAACATGTAAGCCAAAGATAAGAAAATTACTTCTCGCTTTGTTTGCTCATTCAACTTTCGTTCCAGCATTTGCTTATCAAACTCCAATGCTTGTATTCTATGTTGCAAATCTTCAATTATTCGTCTACTATCCTGCTTCTATTAGAAAAAATGAGCATGAATAGATTTATCTCCGTGTCACTTCAGCATGCCCATATTTACATCGTCTGGCTCTTGTTTCACAAAAGGCCCATCGGTTACATAGCCAGCTGCGATAGTGTGATAGGTGGAAGCCTGTCGCTGTCCATCTTGAGTAGCTGCTGCTTTTTGGTCCCATGGTCTCTGTTGCGTTTGCTGTGTTTGTAAGTAAGTCGTTACTGCCTCGTCTAATTGCTTAATGTCTTCTTCATCGAAATCTAAATCGTCTAGGTCAATAGACTGATTATCATCGTCTGTGTTCATTACGCTCGTTTATAGGAATGAAAGCACAAGCATAAGCTTTGTTGTTACTATGAGAATAATCGCGAAAAAGGTGAAAAACGAGAAGCGGCAAAAGAAATCAACATCGCGTTTTTCTGTTGTCCTCGTTTTTTAAATAGTATTCAAAAATTCGAATCCCCGATACAATTCTACCACAGAAAAACAAGAAGAAGTGTGTTGCCACTTTTTCACTTACTTACGAATAATGTCATCTGTATTCAACCTGTCACCGTCGAGCAGTACATCGAAAAGGCAAGCGCAAAAGCACCCGACAACCGAAAGACCCTCTTCTATACATTCTACGTCGTCTTCTCACAAAAGTTCTGGCCATTTCAACCGAATAGCATCCACTTGGTCAATATTCTCATTGGATCAGTTACCATTTTACAGCCATTCCGCAAAGAACAGTAATGGGAAGAGTAAAAAAGGAACAAGAAGATTATCAAATGCTAGTCATATCAGTCAATTTAGTATAAACAGCAGTAGCAGTCGTGCAACGAGCTATGTGGAAGATGAAGCAACAGCAAAAAAGCTCTCAAAGCAGAGGACCAAAGCTGCTGAAGGTGAGTGATTGGGTTTTTGGGAGGCTCATTTTGAGCAAACCAGAACTAAATCCTTTTGATCAATTTTCCAGTTGTCAAAGGCTTCATGCGTGTATTACTCTTATGTTTAAATGATTGCTCCAATGGTTTTTACAAAATATTTGACCATATTCAACGGCGTGTACCGTCTATCGTAAAGCAGAAAATCGCTGTGAGGGATCTGACTCAAAAAGTGAACATAGCCATAGCAGATATAGAGGATGTCAGAGAAAATGTAATAGAACTAGAGAGACAAATCGAACCTTTCCGTAACATGTATCAAATGATTCAAGCATCCATCACCATGGCATCTGCTACAAATACGAGAAAGAAACAAGTGGATCATTGAGAGATAGACCAGCTACCTGTATCATTCCCGGCGAGGCTCATCTTCCATCATCTAAGCGATCCCTTTTGGGATAGATAGCAGTTCTTAGGTGTTATGCAGGCTTTTTATTCATGATGCATGTCACCGCGAGGGATAGCAAGTCCCTGTTACCGCCAATACTTTCGCCGTTTTTTTTTTTCTGACAAAAAAAATACGAGACGTTGCGTGCTTTTTTATTGTTTGCTTGTTTGTTTTACATAATTAATCATCATCTTGAGCAAAATAAGCCTTGGCTTTTTCTACATCTGGTATGATGGTTTTCTCTCCTCGAATCCAATTAGCTGGACACACTTCTCCATGTTGATCAGTAAACTGAAACGCCTCGACTAGTCTCAGTGTTTCTTGCACACTTCGACCCACTGGTAAATCGTTAATCGTTATTTGACGCAAAATACCTCTACGATCAATAATAAACAAGCCACGTAGCGCAATTCCTGCCCGATCGAGATACACACCGTACTCTTTTGCCACTTGTCTTGGTTTATCAGCCATGATAGGTAGCCGCGTTTCTTTGCCTAATCCGCCTTGTTGCCGTGCACGGTCTATCCAAGCGTGATGAACGTATTCTGACATCATAGAAGAAGAACAAGATTATTTTAAGCGCTCCAAACCCTTTGACCTTGCGCCATCTTATCGCTTACCTGAATCACATGAAGCAGCAATCACCTCACACTCTAAAGCTCGAAATTCATCCAATGCATCATTGAAGGCAATGATTTCAGTAGGACAGACAAAAGTGAAATCCATAGGGTACCATAATAGAACGACGTATTTCCCTTTATAATCTGAAAGTTTGATGCTTTCGACGATTTCTCCATCTACGACGCCAGGTAGATCAAAGCTGGGTGCCAGTTTCTGAACTTGGGCAATCGTGGGCGCCTGCTCTGCAGCGGCCCTTCGTCCTAAAGAAGATGTGGAAGGTTGTGATACTTGCTTCACTTCTAATATTTTCAAATCCACGCAATCCATAAGAAAAAGATAGTTTTAGATTTTTGTCTCTTTTTTCAAGTCAGGCAGTCCTTGTCGTTGATATAGCATTTACCCATAGTAGTCAACAGCAGTAAAGAAATGGGAGCAAAAATCAAAAGGAAAAAGAAAACAAAAAATTGAATGAACTGATAGACAAAGCAATAAAACGTGAAACAAAAATTTCCTTCGCAGCTGCATTAAAAAAAGGCTGCGGACAAAAGCTGTCAAAAAAATAGTTAAACTAAATCTTTTTTTTTTTTTTTTTTTTTTTATTTTTACTCTAGACTCGAATTTAAAAAGGTAACAAAGACATCACCTAAACGATCCACGTCAATAGTTGTATTCAACTTGTTAAAGTTTATAAACTGTTTACGTAATCTTCTTAATTCGGATAGAGTGACAGTACGAGGTGGATTAACGACTTTCGTCTCTGATCTAGGCACTGTCATTGGCATACCTCCGGGCCCTAATTCCTTTTGTCTCTCAACAAATGCATTGATGATTTCTAAGGTTGCTTTATCTAACTCATAAACGTAATTGGTGGCAGACACAGGCTTTGAAACGGTGGATTTGTTGGGCGGTTTAGCTTGTTTATTGATAAGTGCATCCCATATTTTGTCCAAGGGTAGTTCTTTATCGTCATAGATAATTGTGAATAGTGGTGATTCCCATTTATTACGTTCGTCTGGCTCTTCGTAACGTGACACTAATTCATCAAAACTAGACAAAAGAGACAACATTGAGCTATACATCCTCATTTCAACTATTTCACCACTACTGAACTTTACATTTGTCCATCATATCCTTCCTCTCCTCGACTGGTGTTCCAGTCTTTCGCTACTTCCACCGGTGTACCCATATGTACACAGCAAGACGGTGTACCGATGGCCCTCGCCACACAATACATTTGGTATCGATATCCTTTGATATAATTCAATCCATCCGCAATCACGATATCTTCTTTGGACAAATATCTTTCTACAGCAGACATCATCGCTCCTCTTGCTTTTTTTTCTTCCCTAACCTCTTCAACCCAATTGAATAGTAGAATCAATGTTAGAACGATATCGAAAAACGCACGGCAATAAGTTTTCAAAAGGTCATGCCAAATACCTTTATATGCGTCCTTTGTAACGTGGAGGCTCCCATCGTCAATGACGTGAACTCGCAACTGCTTTTTTTCTTCTTGAATCTTCTTTTGTAAATATTCCTTTATCTCATTAACTCTAGTTGTTTTACCACTTGACGGGAAACCAGTGACTATAATAAGAGGCATTACGAGAGTTGTGCTTTATCGTGGTGGCAAAATAAAAAGAGGGAAAAATAGGCTGACAAAAAAAAAAGAGTTAAAAATAAAAAAATGTTTACCTATTTCAATGGCTTTCACTCTCATGATGGGTCGCTCGAAACGCTTCAACAAGAGCTACTTGGTAACTGAAAACTACATTAAGCCACTCACGTTGAAATTGGGAATGATTTGACACCACTTGTGACTGGCTATACTTTTGTTATTAATCTGTCCTGTTTGAAAAAAAAAAATATTTAATTGAAACAGTCAGAGCGATTTTGCAAAAAGCTTGGTTTGTTCCGTTGTATATATCTTTTTGGTTACAAAACCCAATCCAACCCTCTTCCACCCTTTGTATAAATACCGTTCAATAAAAATCATACTGTAAATACTTTAAAATGCCTCATCAAAAGTTGCATATCAGGTAAAAATTAGGTTATAGTTTTCTATCTTGCAGATCCTTGCTGTTGTACAAAAATGCTAAGATCTTCATCCTACCACTGTGTATTAGTTATAATCAAATTCATGAAGCTATTCGTCAATCTGTCGAACGTTTCCACATCAATGAAGAATTCAAACCCGATCTCATGATTGCTATCGGTGGTGGTGGTTTTATCCCTGCCCGAATCTTACGTACATTTTTGAAGAAGACTGAGAAGGGCAAGAACATTCCTATTCAAGCCATTGGTCTCTCTCTTTACGAAGATATTATCACCTCCACCGGTGAAGACGAAAACGGTGCTGTTGAGAAGCCTGGCACTACTGTTCAAAAGACACAATGGCTCAACTTTGGTGCCTCTCACTCTGAAATCTCTTTATTAGGACGTCGTATTTTGATTGTCGATGAAGTTGATGATACCCGTACCACTTTAGCCTATGCTGTTGAAGAATTGCGAAAGGATATTGAAGCTGAAGAGATCAGAAGAGGAATGAAGCCCGGCGAATCCAACACTGTTTTGGGTATTTACGTTTTGCATAACAAGTTAAAGGAAAAGAAGCGTGACTTACCTGAAGAAATCAAGAAGAATTATTTCGCTGCTGTGGAAATGCCCGATCAATGGTTGGTTTATCCTTGGGATGCTATTGATATCGAAACTCACACTGAGCATGCCAACAAGCATAATTAAGGCTTGATCAATTTGATTTATCTAATCATTATTACTCTTAATCAATCGTTACTCATGTTTCTTTTGATTGTATATCATCTATTTTAATCTGTAATTTTCTTTTTCTTTTGTACCTTTAATATCTTATATAATATTAGGGGATTCAGCTGTCTGTGGTAGTCATGCTGTATCTACTATTTTGATTTTTATTATAGACTTTTCAGTTTTCATTATTAAATTTTTTCATATCCGGTTTGAGTGACAATCTCGCGTGTAAAACACGTCTGGTTTTTACTTTTATGAGACTATCCTTCCCGATCAGGTATTCCAGCTTTTTTGCCGGCAGTTTTTTCAATAATTTAACCACTTGTGTCATCACTCGGTTAAACCAGAGGAGAAGCGATTCATACGTTTAACAACCATGGGCATAAAATTTTTAAATCTCTCTATATTGCCGTGCATTACCATGCCATTATCTCATTCTGTAAAGAAACAAACATTCAACCCTATTGTCATTATGCTCTACCATGCTCAAACTCAAGTCAATAATGAACCCTAAGTTTCGTATTCTATGTGGGGCATAAGTGCAACAAATTTAACTCATGTAGAATACCTAACTCTTTTAAGAATGCTTATTGTTTCACCATTCCAAACTGTTGAAAGCACAAGACTTATAGTCAGATGACAATGAAAGAATTGAATGCGTATTAAAAGTTCTACAAAATGATATAAGCGAAGCAGTTGTTTTGTTGAAGCATACAACTGTTGGCATATCTGCTCAACTGACACTTACAATAGACGGTTTTCTCCATTCACTCATCATGGCCAATGTGCCTGTAATAATTTTCACCGCTCAAACATATCGTCGACAAAGAAGTAACGGTTGCTTGAAGTGCTCTAAAAGAAATAACATGGGCTCTTATTGAAGGCGATAACAAACTGAATATTAGAACCATACTGATTCATAACCCTAAAGATATAAATTCAATTACAACTTGTTCGATTAGGATGAGTACCTTGGAAATTATTGATAACATTAATTACTGTGATAAAAATACTCCAGAGAATTGTCAGCAATAATAGTTTTACGTTAGACATTAAAAGAACCACGAAAATTCTGATGCCAATCTCGAAATATGAGTAAAACACATTATTTCTAATACTTTTAATTTGACGCTGTCATTTCCATTTCCTGGACAATTTATTTATTTCTTGGTTCTAAAATAAGAACTCAAATCCTACAACTTTTTCCTAAAAGGAAATGTTAACAGCAAGAGGCGGAAGACAACTCAGGCACAGTAGAATTGTGCAATTTAACCTATGAAACTTATTGCTCTGACGCAGAATGGTTTACAGATATTGATTATAGAACGTAGTATACACAATTCAAAATACTATTGCCTACTACTTTCTACTATAACAATGTTGATTGCTTCATATAGCCCTGCTTGCCGACTGCTCTTCAACATATCATTTTTTGCTCTCCCAGCATATAGAGGATGCATTATGTAAGTATTCTGAAGACCTGACATCTAATCTCACCTTTACATTATTTCAGAAACAAATTAACATTATTAATCCGGAAAACCATATACACTAATAACAGAAATGGAAACGTTTGCTGAGATTCACGAGTGTCAACTCGAAAGTACGGACGAAACAACCAAGATATCTTTCGTGTAATACTTTGCAATGTAAGAGAGATGATAAAAGGCTAGCGAAGTGAGATGACCAAAAAGACTGGCTGGATATCGCAAGAACACTGCTTACGGAGAAGTTCTGATAAAGCGGAAACACTGATGGCCAATACATCCGACCAGTATAAGGGTCTTCTTCTATTTTTAATGATGTAATGCTCGATATTGTTGCTTAAAGGAGCATAGTAATTGCTGAAGACCAACATAAACATTTATTTTTTCCTTCTAGTTTTCACTAGCTCTGCTTAAACCATTAACTGAATAAATCGATAAAAATACACCTTAGAGTCAACTATCCTCACAATTGATGGAATCAACATAGACAATAACTCATGATATACGACATTAGGAGCAGATCAATTCCCTATAACAAACACTGGACCCAGACCATCAATAATGAAACTGTCCCTGAGTTCATCCTTCAGAAGCTCATCGGTTATTTGTTACCGTATTTTACTATTACACTTAAACTGTTCGTATAATGGCTTATGTATCATCCTTTCAATGTAGTGTTGCACAAATTCCACCAGAAATGTACGATACTGTGAAAAACATGATGAGGAATACGATGTCTCACCCACCCATTTCCTTTCTGATTCTGATTCAAATTCAAAGAATACGCGTTTAGTATCAGTAAGAGGCTATTAAAAAAATAACTCAAATCTTATTTCTTATTTTGCATTTATGATTCAAACCAGCTAATTAGTGCATGTGGGCCTAAGAGTCTAATGCATATCTAGCAGGAGGAGTTTTAGGCTATCTCCTTAACAGTGCCAATTTAGAGTATGATTTTATCCAATCAGTACCAACAAAAGCAAACACGTAAATTCAGGAATTCAGTTCCGACTCTTTTTGAAATGAAAGCTGAGATTGACAAAAATTGAAGTAGAGTCCAGGGCGGGCGCTCGACTGCCTTTCAATTTATTGTTGCGAGCTCATACGGCGCGTTACTAACTTCTTACTAAGTTCGAAAGGATGGCCTAGTCGCCGATCTTAAATACTGGAAAGATTGCTGACAACACTTTTAAAGAAAGTCAAAGCGCCGAATGTTGGTAATTTTCATTTATTTTCGAAGGGACAGGTCCCGGTTTATCTTTCCATATGACAATAGTCATTATATTTTTGGAAAGTTTAATAGCGTATTGCCGCAGTCCTAATGGTGAAGTTTAATGTCAATATCTGTACGGTATTCGTAGACTAATGCATATAATGTTTCCATATGTATTCCTTTATCTAGATATTACGGAATAATGACGTGGTTTTTCCGGCTTCTTACGAGATATTTCAAGAAAAAAGTTACCATGAATGCAACATAACCGTTTGATATAATTTTCCAGTTACGAAAGTCACGAAGGATATAATAAACTGTTTACTGCGTTTTTCCAACAAGATAGTAATATTCTTTAATTGAGTCTCATACAATATCAAATATATAAGTTAGCTTCCATAGTTTCCAAGACATTTTTTATTGTGTTTCAAACCAGTAAGGTCGTAACCCAGAATAGAAAACTATTATTGGATTTTATTAATTTCATTGGCTCGTACCTACTTTTTTCGTCCTTATCACGCATCAAACGAGTATACGCTGAGGTATATGATGCCGTAAAGAGATCTACTCTGATACTTTCAAATTTAATGGTACGCTTCTGAAAGCATTTTGAGTAATTCTGATCACATTTGGCATTTTGCATATTTCTTTGAGAATAAAGAGGATTCCAGTATCTTTCTTTTCTTAGCCACAATATCAGATAATCTCTGCCACTGGATATTCCTTATAGAAAAAAAGAAAATGCATTTCTAAAAAAGATCGATGTAATTCATAGCCAGCAGCAGCAGGATCTTCATATATCTAATAGGCGGATACGTTCCATATCGTGTTTTGCTAGAACAAGTATTTAGGACGGAGGTTTCTCAATCCACTACAATTTCTAATTACGCGTAGCGAATAAGGATTTGTTAATTATGAAGCAAGTAACTTTCTTGAATTAAATATCTTTCTCTTCCCTTTTTATTTTTTCTAACTTTTCTTATTATTTATTACCATCTTTGACCGAATCAAATACTACGTATGCAGGCTGTGAAAATTGAATCGATACCGAAATCAGTCACTCGCTTTGCAAAGTTCATAATACTCGCTTATGCACTGTTAGCAGTGGCGCATACAACAATATTCTTCTATAATACAAATGACAGATCCTACATCAAAACTCGGAGGAGCCTTGTAGAAGAAATGAATGCAGATAGTGCATCCCAAACAAAAGAGACAATCATCAAAGCAAATGCCAATTCTGCGCCACAATCTGTTTATGCCAACTCAGGAGGTATATTTGTGTACTTTCACCTTCATTGAATCCTACTGTGCACACTTACCAAATAATTTAATTGTACAAATGTTATGACTAGACTTTCCACAGACCGCAAAGCAAGATCCCTTTTCCACTTCCAAACTATTTTCTGGAGCCATGGGTCCATCCATTGTGCATCCTTATTATTCCAGAGCAACTCACGTAAACAACCCAAAAGATATCACAATAACTACGCTAGTAACAAATGATCGTTTCCCTCTACTAAGCAGATTAGCGTCCAGATATAAAGGTAACTTCTTCCTCTTCGCAGAATTCACTTGAATTATATCTGTTCTACCTACCAACCGATAACTTACTTCGAGTTTTTCTGAATCCTATAATGTATCTACAGGACCCATATCAGCAGCGATCCATATCAACGATAATAGCCAGAAAGAAGAGATTTTAGCTGAACTTAAAGAGATTATCAGCAGTAATTCTCATGTCAGACGCTATGTCGATATCCATCTCATCATTGACAACTACGATCGACAATTGAACATGTGGAGAAATACCGCCAAACTTTACGCACGTACAGACTATATTATGATGCTCGACATTGACTTTTATTTGTGCACGGACTTCAGAAATGAAATACTGACTAATGATACCCTTCTGCAACTGCTCGACAATGGCCATAGTGCGCTCGTAATCCCTGCATTTGAATATATCCTCCAATCAGACGGCTTTGATTACAGAACATTTCCGAAATCAAAAGATGCTTTGCTGAAGGAAGTGCTGAATGAAAAAAAACTGGATATGTTTCATCGTAGCTGGATCAAAGGTCACTCTGCTACCAACTACAGAAAATGGTACGGAGCTGATCAGGTATATAAGGTTGATGATTACGATTTCTCGTACGAGCCCTATGTGATCTATAAGCGAAAAGGCTCTCCTTGGTGTGATGAACGGTTTATTGGTTATGGTGCAAATAAAGCAGCATGCTTATATGAGATGTATATCTCGGGTATTGACTATTACGTTCTTCCTGACGACTTTTTAATACATCAATCGCATGATTATCCGGAAACAACTCGTCGAAAAGAGGTAAAGAATCAAATAAACAAAGGATAGAAGTTGTAAAGTAAGAAATCTGAAATACTAACTACTACAATTACTCAAATGTCTGTTTATAGCGTTCATTCAACCGAAAGATTTACGCTAACTTTAGAGAAGAAATTTGCCTTAGATATGCGCGTCAATTTATGGCCAACGGAGAGTGGGACACTTCGCTAGCAAATAATGCAAAGTCTGCATGTGGCAGAATCAAAGAGTTCAATCATGTAATTAAGAATATTAATCAATAAGAATCATGTTTGTAACAAGCCCCATCAAGCGCCTTTCTCTAATAGCATCTGTAAATTGGTCATTTATGCTTCATTATCACCCTTTATCATTCATATCGATAATTATTTTCCATAATCTATTCCTATAACGACCCGGTACTATTTATCATTGTCTATTCATTAACACTCCCACCTCATATTTTACATGCTCTCCCAATTGTCACATAATAAACAAAACTTAGAGAAAAAGGCCATACTGGCGAATAAAAAGACCTAAATCAACAATTCATTGTAATTTTAATGAATATTGTCTGGACACACTAAATTGGATTGTCTAATAAATATGATAGGGGAATAATGTCGTGATGGTTGATTAACCTAGCATTTCGGATCCGTCAATTTTGAAAATGCTATCCAGTTGCTCGTGTTTGGGTTTCATGCGGTCATCTTTGACAACTCTAGTTATTCAAACAGTATGATTATGATTCAGCTCTCCAACTTTTACCATGATCCAGCGATATTGATATCCATTTACCTGCTATCCACACGGATATCTTCTGTTTCTAGACGTAATTTAGGCTCTGGAATCACAGCATCTATAACATAGTGGTTATCACAGTGAGGACAATATTCGTCTTCTTCTTCATAGTCGCTAACGAAACCAAACCAAAATAAAATCGTAAAAGAAAGGCAACGATCAGTATTTCTCAAAACGGGTTTAAAGTGCATCTCATCGTAACAACTGATTAACAAGACTCACGTCATATCTTTCCTAAATACTTTTTTGCACTTTTTACACGCAAAAACCATTTCGTTCGTCTTTCTTAGCGGATGATCGGAAACTTCAGCATGACATTCAGCACAATCGAACCATTTCTTACAACATGGAGCTCGTATAGAAACCTGCCTCGTTTAACAAGTCAAAGCAGGGTTAAAAGAGCGTCCCCAAAAAAAATAATTAAGTTGAAGTAGTTCTATTTATTCTTAGCTTTCATATATTTACCTGTGCATTGAGTACGTGTTTGCACATTTGAATGAGAGAAAAAAGGTATTATCTTTAGGCAAAAATAGGAAAGGACAAAAAAGGCAAAATCTGATCTGAAGTAATTTACAGCATGTCTAGGCACATTTCGATTTCCGCCATTATCTATAATCAGATTAATCCTGGTAAAGAGGTACTTGACAAGTAAGTTGACATTGAGTAGGATGTAGTGGGCGAATAGGTGCATCAGAATTCTGATACACATCAAGTGTTAGATAAACAAGAAAAGACAGCTGCTGGTCATGGGTCATGCTACAGATAACGTAGTCTGGCTCTAACGAAACACAACTTAAGAAACGGACAAAATCATCACTACGAATGAGAACGCTGGAAAATTCCTCAAGGTCTCTATCGCTCATATCGTGCCCTTCTAATTAGGTTTAAAGAAAACTTAGAATAATGTGGTGCAGATAAAGGAAGTATACAGTGTTGGTTACCTAACTGTGGATGCTGAAGACCTTCATAAGAGGTAACTGCTGTAGAGTATGCACCCTTGGCTTCAATCTTGAATTTCGACATCATATTGGCAGAAAGCGTCAAACTCCTATTGATAGATTTATAACCTTCTGCTGTGTGTCGTAAATCTGTCAAATCTGGCAAAACAATATATGTCTATACATTATAATGATATAATAGGCTTGAGTAAAGGAAACAAAGATCCAAATTTGTTAACGATAACACAAGAAATAACCTTACATCAGGCATACAAATTGAAGCTGGATTTTCAATTAAAGCTATTCTGTCAGGAGGTATCATTTCAATGATCAATTCTTTCTGATTGTTACAACTAGAATCATAATATGTCTAAATTCAAGAGTTTTTTATTAGCTCCTGGATCCTATCAAAGTGTGTGCCTTTCCTTGGTTTGGCATAAATGTACACTTACTTTGGTTACATAATTAAAAAATAGGACGTTTTGTCCTCCACTTTGCTTCAGTTTAACCTCAATATGCTCGGCATCTTGTAAATCTCTGCTGAATGTTAATAGGTGGGCCCAGCGGAAAGTAAAGACTATTTGATGATCTGCACGACGACTCTCTATTCTATAATTCGAAAATAGGGTAGACTAGAGTGATATAAATCATGATTAGAGGTTCGTGTCAAACAATATGAGAAACTAAACACTCAATTAAAGACTGGTTTTACAGGTTGCATTGTTCTGTAATAATAGCGGGCGAATTGAGTATTGATTGTAGACTTTTCAGACTAGTCTTTGCAATTGAACTTACATCCAGGAGATCATTCCCACTTGATCTGTTTGAAGGCTGAAGAATTTGAGTTCCTTCGTGGAAAAAGAGGCTATACAAACAGGCCCCAGCTTACCCAAGGTCTGGCTAAGCCCTGAAATAAATGATATTAGGCCCTTAATGGTTTATGTTTTGACAGTTTGATATTTTGCTAGTGAGTTATACATACTGTGCAACCCAGTTGGGTTGTTCAAAGTGGCTCTCAAACGCATGAACAAATCTCAAAAGAAAAAAGAAAAGGCACGAATAAAACTCAGTCAGCATTCAAAAACGCGTTCAGACGACCGTCACTTCATGTAAAAGCGATGAGTTCAATAGATAAGCTCTGGTTATATTCAGTTGTATAAAGCATAAATAAAACGATGCATAATCGATACTTTTATTAGAGTAAGTAGGCTAACTCTAAAAAGAGAGCAGTGCAATTTTGATAAACAGAATTCCGAATCGCATTACAAAACAACTACGCATAACATTCAAAGACCTCAGATATCGGTTTGATAGCCATTTTGGCCCTGTTCAAGATGTCTGCCACGCGGTTTTTGAATGCTTCATCCTCGGATTGTACAGACTATTAAATCAATGTAAGTTGAACTGTATGCTTCTTTTCCTCATCATAAACATTTGGTTCATCATACTTACAAATTTAACAGTATCGACAGTTGCCTTAATACCATCCAACATCACGTTGATTCTTTTCTCTTTCTCATCTAAATCTATTTCGTTCTCTCCAAAGTGTGCTTCTAAGAATGCTGCTACATCCAAAAACTCTTGATCCAACTTCTCCGACTCGCTCAATTCATCATGGTTCTTTTCAGAAGGTGCATCATGGCTGTGAGAACATGGCTGTGAACTTACTATAAGCAGTAAATATAAACGTTTTTAAGTTTTCCAAGAAATGGCACATATTTTTTACTAAGAAAAGCGCTCTTTTACCTTTCACACTAGCTGGCGAACTATCAATGGATAAGATAACAGCTAAAACGGAATCTGCTACCATATCATTCATTGCATTCCCGACCCATTCCAACATGATCTGATTGGAATTGGCCGTGTTATGTTTGATATCAATTGTATCCAGTACGCGAAGAACAGTTCCTTGCTGTTGGTCTTCCACTTTTGAAAGATCAGTTTCTGATACTTGTCCGAACATCATTTCTAAATGCCACTTCAGCAGATTGATACCAGCATTGAAGGTTACTACTTGACGTTGCGTAACAACAGTAGTGATCAATCCACCCAATTCATTCAAATCTTCCGAACTCATAATGTTCAATTGAAAGTCTTTCACAACCAATACGCCATTCAATGGCTGGTTCTCTGTGGGATATTTTTCAGCTAATCGACCGATCGTTTTGGCCATCTTTTCGCCACGGAAATGAAGTTTGACTGTGTCGCAGTTCTTAGGTGTGTAAACGGTAACATTTTCTTCTCTTTCTGAATATTTGCTTTGTAAAGCTGATTTTAAACGATACATAGCATTTGCTTCGCCATGAACAAGGATCTATTAAATATATACATTAGAGTTGTTCTAAGTTGGAGTAAAGAGATATATACTTACAACATGAGGGGCTTTGACTTCTTCAATAAATTTACTGTTTTGAGTGAAATCGACGTGCGCTGAAAAAGAAATGTAATCAACGGACATTCTTAAGGGTATTTTACGGCCGTCCATTGCTTGGAAATCAGCCGGTTCATTCATTGCTTGCTAAAATTTGTACAAAATCAAACAAGAGAGTTAATTTCTTGTTCCGGAGATGGGTGATCATTGCAATCCAATATGTTACCCTTGCTGGAGTATTTTCGATACAATAACCAGTAATCACTAAACCATTTCTCTTGTCAGGAGCCCATCGTTCATACAGTTCTCTTGAGAGACCATTCTAGTGAAAATTTCTATGTTACTACAAATGGGAGGGTCTTTTTTTCGAACAAAATGATACTAAGCTTCCGTACCTGAAGCATACCAGGACTTGCCAGGATGACACACGGCCCAGAATCTTCAAACTGTTCTACATTTTTGAGATTGCTAATATGCTTAAAGACAAATGGATTGGAAACGGCAAACTGTTTGCGTATACGAGCATTCATCATGTTGATATAGGTCTGATACACAGCCATACATTTTTTAGCCAAACTAGAAGCATAATAAATAGGTATACTGTCTAAATCTGGATGCGCTTCCCAATATTCATCCAAAATTAGTAATAATTCTTGTGCTCTGCCTAATGCAAATACAGGCATCAAACAACGGCCTCCTCTACCGACGATATTGTGAACCAACGCTTTTTTAAAGAAAGGAATGAATGTATTTAGTTTTAGTGCATAAGGCAAAATGGTTAAGCAGATAAAATCAAATTGACTTACAGGTAAATCGCTTTTCTTTGGCTATTCTTGGTTCATGACTTTGTACACCGTAAGTACTTTCTGTGATCAATACATCCACTGATCCCTCGGGCTTCTCAGCTGCCATCAGATGGCGATCTTCTTCTCTTGAATAATCACCCGTATAGAGTACTTTAACACCAGCTATTTCAATTAGGAACATTGCAGCACCTAACACATGTCCAGCGTTAAAGCTTGTAAATTTGATGCCCTCTACTTCTACTTGCTGATGATAATCGACAGCTTCGATTCGATGAAATGATTTAAGTAAGTCCTCTTCCGTATACAGCTGATCTTCATCGCCAATATTACTGTAAAAAAATTAAGCCAAAGTATGATTATTATTTGCAATATAATCATACTACACGTGTTGTTGAATATCCCCTCCTACCTAATACGTAAGTAATCGTTCATTAGCCATTTATAAATAGCTTTTGTAGGATGCGTCATGAACACACGGCCTTTAAATGTAGTCTATTTTGATAAAGTAATGTTTGAGCCATCTTAAGTATCCAGTAACTAATTCTAACATACTTACTTTCTCCATAACATAGGGTACTGCTGCCGCATGATCAACGTGAAAGCTATTTATTGTTCACATCAATATGATTAGTTCTTTTTTTTTTTTTTTTTTGGCTCTCAAAATTCTATCGCAGAAAGTTTTGCTGCTATTTACTGAGTGACCAAGAGTACATCAATACTTGCAGGATCAATCTCATCGAAAAACGGTAGAGAAGCCAATCCATTATAAGCTGGGTGGATACCGGCATCTAGCTAAAGTTTGAAACATATGAAAAGGTAGAAGGCAATTAACAATCAAAGTTTTTCAACAAGCAATATTCAACATAATGTTGACGGAATAATTATCACTGCAACAGAGACGGTCAGATAGGAATGTGGAATCATTTGTTCTCTTTTATTAATGTTTTGACAATTTCATTTTCGGTTTTAAACTACATTCAACCTCTCTGTCTTTTCTATTTTCCCCCTTCAATGTGAATAATAGTGCGCTACAAATTGTGCACACTTTTTTGTAATTGTTCAACATGTATGTTTCGCTACTCTGTAATCCATTGTCTGCCTGACTCGTACACAGTGATTGTGTATTGTGATAATTATCCATATGCTAAAAGAATTAAACCTACCAAGATAGTTTTCCCTTTGTATTCCAATAAAATGGAAGATCTGCCAACTTCGTTTCCTGCACCCAGCGGTGTAATCTTCAACAGGTCGTTCTCGTCAACAATTGGAATTTCAGCTTTACGTTTGATGCCTGCCATTTTCTTGCAATGTAAATGAATATAAATTGTATGCAAAAGGAGAAATAGAAGGATGCTGAATTCTTTTAGCTGTCAATTTATTGTGCTCACTACTATCATGAAAGAATCACAGTCACCAAAAATCGAATCTAAAATTCACGGCAGAAAAGAAACCCTTTCTCTTTTACCTGTTTGTTCATACAACCAACCACAGAAGCCAGATCACAAAATGCCACCTAAGAAACAGACAAAGAACGAACAGAAGAAAAAAGTCAAAGCTGCCGAGGATAAAACCTTTGGTATGAAGAACAAAAACAAATCTGCCAAGGTTCAACGCTATGTTCAGCAAGTGCAAAATCAAGCTAAACATAATGCTGAACAAGGAAAGAACGTAAGTATTTCATAAAGCTTATTTATCTTTTACCTGACTACTACCTTAGTATAGACTTGATCATTATTATTTCGGAACTGCTACTTAAGTACTTTAATATGTTTCTTTAAAACCATCCTTACAGAGTAAACTTGAGGCCGCGGCACAGAAGAAAGCACTTGAACAAAAGAAAAGAGAAGAATTTGCTGAGCTCTTCAAGCCTGTTCAAGTACCTCAAAAGGTACCCTTTGGTGTCGATCCAAAGACTGTGCTTTGCCAATATTTCAAGCAGGGCAATTGTGAAAGAGGTGCCAAGTGTAAATTCTCTCACGACCTGAATGTCGGCCGTAAAGTCGAGAAGAAAGATTTGTACACTGATGACAGAGCCAATGGTAAAGTTTGAGAGTTGATAGAGGTCTGTGGCGAAACTAACTGGCTTCTGTTCTTTTTTGATCTTTATCAACAAAATAGATACAATGGATAAGTGGGATCAACAGAAGTTGGAAGAAGTTGTTAAGAGCAAATCAGGAAAGCAACCTCCCACAGATATTGTGTGTAAATACTTTTTGGAAGCTATTGAAGCAAGTAAATATGGCTGGTTTTGGGAATGTCCAAATGGTGGTGCCAACTGTAAATATAGACATGCTCTTCCACCTGGTTTTGTTCTTAAATCAAAGGCTGCTAAAGCCGAAGAGAAGGAAGAAATTTCGCTGGAAGAATTTTTGGAAACTGAGGTAAAAGCAAGCTTACTCGCTTTCTTCTAGTTAGACTGAAGCCGCTAACGGATAGTTTTGTAATAGCGTCATAAATTGGGTCCTAACTTAACACCAGTGACACTTGAATCCTTCAATGAATGGAAGAAGAATCGTGTGACTAAGAAGGAAGAAGAAGAGAATAAAGCAAAGAAAGCAAAGGAAAATCGTTTGAAGGCTGGCCGATCACAAGGTATGTCTGGTAGAGATTTGTTCGAGTTCAACCCTGAGCTTGCACGCGATGATGATGAAGATGAGGATGCTATTGATTTCTCTGCCTTTGATCGTGAGGAAGCAGAAAAAGAACGTGATCGTTTGGAAAATGAGAAATTCCTGGCTGAGCATACAGCAGAAATGAGCTTAAATGATAGCAGTAGTGCTCCTGCTGCCACTGAAGTGCAGTGATGAATAAAACTGTAGAGTAGGCAATTGCTTTTTTTTCCTCCCCGTTTTCTAAACAATAAATCTGTCATAGATTGACTGCATTTTAAGAAAATTTACATGCTATTTGTCTCAAATACTGGATGAACGAGAAGGTTTGCCGTTCATGATAATTTAGTCAGTCCGGCCAACACTTAAACTGGATATGTGGGAACTTATTAGCAGCACATTAAGTAACCTACGATTGTAAAGAAGCCCGACAAATTGAGTTACGCGTACATAATTCAGATTCATCTTGTTTCCCCTCCTCTTCTTTTTCTGCTTTGACAAACCCTCAGGCGCAAAGAGAAAAAAAAAATGGCACAAGTCGCTCCTCCACCAACACTTGACTTCAGTATTAACGCTGAACAAGTCGAACAGATTACTAACGACATCATCGCCGCGGAGCTTGCTATCAATGACGCGGTTGCTTCATTAAAGCCAGAAGAACGCACTTACGAAAATATTGTAACTCGTTTAGTTCGCGCCGAAAATGAATTAGCAGGTTGGATACAACCATTTTATAGTGGAATGAACTTGACATATTTACGTGCAAGTATCCTATCCCAATGTTTTTAGGCAAAGCCCAACTCGTCAGCTCCCTGAGCCAAATATCCCCTGACGCTGCTGTCAGAGAGGCTTCAGTTGCTGCTGAAACCAAATACGATCAATTCAGTATCGAGCAAAGCATGCGACATGATCTCTACGTTGTAATTTCTGATTATATGGCTAAAACAGATTTGGATACGCTAGCCTATGAAGATGCTCGATTTTTGCGTAGACTCGAGCGTTCTTATCGTCGTAACGGCCTCCATCTTCCTGAAGATAAGCGTAACGAGCTTAAGGAAATTCGTAAACAACTTAGTGAAAAGTGTATCGAATTTAACAAGAACTGGGCTCGAGAAAGCAGCAGTAAATAATCCTATGGGTTGTAAAATCAATTGCTTAATGATTCTAACATTTGCTTTCTACTTTTGTTTCTATTCATCTCTATTGCCTTTTAGCTGTCAAATTCACAAAGGTATATGAGTTCTTTGAAATATGGTTATTTAACGGTGAATGACTGACTAAAAAAGTATACAGGATGAGTTGGAAGGACTCGACGATGATTTCCTAGGTTTGTCATAGAGTAATTTAAAAAAGGATGTTCATGGAATTATTAACCAAACAACTACATCATTCATAGGTGGATTGAAGACAGTTGAAGAGGATGGTGTTACAAAATACGTCTTGACAATGAAGTAAGAATTAAATAACTCATTCAGTTATAGCATAAGCCGGATTGTACTAAGTTTATGAATTAGGTATCCTGGTAAGAAAATTGGATCCTACTGTTCATATTATTTTTAATAGTCTCATAATGATATTCTCATCAATGCCTTGACTACACTAGATGTCCGTCCTGGTAAGTCATTCTAGCGAACCATATTAAACCTCCTAGTGCTTATGACTGTTTTCTTCGTTGCAGTACTGAAATTATGTAAGAATGAAAATACACGAAAGGTTCATGCCACCGCCTATGAATCTCGTAATAAGGAGAATATTGTTTTGCTTGAAGAAGTATGTTGAGGTTGTGGGTAGTTTCGTAGCCTTTTTTATTTACATAAATATATTTGATATTAGGCTGTAAAACTTCGTCGCAAGGCAGCCAAGGTAAACAAACATACGTGAATTAATGCCAGTAAGAGGAAAATAACAAATTGCTCCTTTAGATCCTGGGTTATGATTCACATGCAGCTTATGTGTTGGAAATTAAAATGGCCAAGGAGGTTGACGCCGTCAATAAAGTAAGAGTCTCAAGAAATGGAATCAGCGAAGGAATAGCCACAGAAGGATAGCTAACAACATTAATAGTTCCTGAACGACTTGACTGATAAATTACATGAGCCTGGCTTGAAGGAAATCGACGAGCTTAAAGAACTTAAGAAGGTAAAGAACGGGTCGACATAATGTGCAATGAACAATTTTTTCTAAAACTGACCTTTACCTTACATTATAATTGAACAGGCTGAAAAAGGTGTGAACTGCAATGTCAGCTGTAATAGAATTATTTGAATATGATGCTAATGTCAATCGTATTTCTAATGTAGCTGAGCGTGGCGAAGAATACGACGGACAATTGAACGCTTGGGACACAAGCTACTATCAACGCATTCTTCTGGAGAAAGAATATTCCGTTGATCAAGAGTTAATTAAGCAATACTTTAGCCTTGAAGCTACCATTCAGAGTAAGTCCTGGCAAACAGCAAGAGTATTCAATGCGGTTGCTGACCAACTCGTCGTTTTATGGCAATAGAAATGCTTGAGATTTATGAAAAGGTATTGGGTCTCAAATTCGTCAAGGTTCCTGCAGATAAAGCTGTTGTGTGGCACCCTGATGTCCAACTTTACGAATGTTGGGACGCTGTTGAAGACAAAAGCTTTTCAGGTTACATGTACCTTGACTTATTCCCTCGCGACAACAAGTGTAAATATCTAAGTCTACCATCTCTGTTGGCAGTTGCACTAATGTCTGTTATATGACGGAAATAGATCCTCACGCAGCCTGCTTCCCTCTCCAACCCTCTTATATTGATGAGAATGGTGAACGTGTCGCTCCTATTGCTGCCATGGTTGCTAACTTTACTAAACCGTATGCTGATCAAATAGTGTATATAGCATAATTCGCAAGATAATATTAATCATTTTTTTCCCCCGAATAGAACTGCTGACAAGCCATCTTTGTTGAAACATGATGAAGTCGTCACCTTATTCCATGAATTGGTAAGCTAAATTTGGTCAAATCGGCTTCAGCAACAGTTAACCAATAATTTCTTTTGTAGGGCCATGTTATGCATCATTTATGTTCTCGTACTAAACTTGCTAGATTCCACGGAACCAGTGTCGAGGGCGACTTTGTCGAAGCACCTTCACAAGTAAACTTCTTACTTTTGTAAGGGGCAATACAAACTAGTATTTAATGCACTTCTTTTTTTGAACTTTGATGTTAGATGCTTGAAAATTGGTGCTACGATCCTAAATCACTCAAATACCTTACTGCTCACTTCAAAACAGGTGAACCTATTTCTGATGAAATCATTGATCGTATTGTAAAGGCCAAGAATGTGGATGCGGCTATGCATAATTTGCGCCAACTCTTCTTCGGTATCTACGATATGACCCTCCATACTTCTGAAGGTATAAGTTACAATAGGACAGAGTCATTTTTGGTGATGTTTTAATCAGTCGCCTTTGTTTTGTTGTAGATGAAAATCTGGATACTTCGAAGTTGTACAATGATCTCCGGAAGAAGATTTCTTTGGTAGCAGCTCCTGAGGTAAGCTGTACTTCCGCACATGCAAATGTCGTTCAGTATACTTATTTGACACTATTTTCAAATAATGTTAGGGTACCTATGGTCAAGCTGCCTTTGGGTAATTTACAAGACAGTATACAATATGTTACATGGTAATGAACTAACCATATACTTCCCTTGTCTAACAATGAATAGCCATTTAATGGGCGGTTACGATGCTGGTAAAATTCATATATTTTGATCATATCGTTATGCTCCGAAATTTTTACTAATTATTGGAAACTCATTTTTGAATTGTAAATGCAAAAGGCTATTACGGCTATATGTGGTCCAAAGTTTTCTCTAGTGATATGTACTTCAGCAAGTTCGAGATCGATACGCTTTCACCCGAGGTTGGTTATTCCTACCGTAAAGAAATTCTTGAAAAAGGCAGCAGCAGGTAAGAAAGAAAAGTTTTTGCTTGGTGAATAAATCAAGTTTATCAACTGACTGACCCTTTTCACATTTCCAGAGATGGTATGGATCTATTGAAGGCCTTTTTAGGTAGAGAACCATCGTCAGATGCCTTCATGAGAGAAGATATTGGAATCGCCAATTAGAGTTATTGCTCGGCAAGCGTTCCTTCTTTCAATACATATGCTACCCTGAAACAAATTTCATTGTTTTGGAGGATATGTTCTGCTACCAAATCAAAACAAACCAAAAAGAGGATGTGTAAGGAACGTTTCTGAATTTTTCACTTAGTTGTGAAAATAAAAAACATAAATATCCTTCTTTTTTACCATCTACGCGATTTTTACCTTGTGTTAATTGTAGACTCGTCGTTGATTGTATTTATGAAAACGAAGGAGCACGTATAATTCACTTAACCACTGTAGATCTCCTATTCAATTAAGCTGATCCCTTAGATATTGCTTACTCATGTTTATTATCAAGACAGGAAAAAAAACTACTTTACATAATGCTTTCGTATGTTAATAATGATGATCAATTTACAAAAGCTATGAGCTCAATTTCTACAGTTATTACTTGTCTCAATTCACGAGCTTCAACGAATAAAATCATACAACAGTGTTATTTGCATATTAGCATTTTAAGTGATGCGAGACTGAAAAATATGTTATTCATTTACTAGATTCTACAATAATAGAGTACAAGATATTCAAGGACTATATACAAGGTTAAAACTTATTGAGTTTATTTCCTCCACGGCCTCCACGGCCTCCACGGCCTCCACGGCCCCCACGACCGCCTCTTCCACCACCGCGTCCACGGTTGCCATTGCCGCCGCGACTAAATTTGCTGAATTTGTTAAACGAAGGTCTGCTATTGACTCTTTCAGAATCATCGCCGCCACTAAAATCGGTACGCACCGGTCGGCCTTCTATATACATTCCGTTCATGCCCTTTACAGCTGCTTCTGCCTGATCCTCTGTTTCAAATTGAATATAGCCAATACCACGAATTCTACCAGTTTCTTTATTCCAAGGTAAACGCACATCTCCAACAATAGTGCCGAACTTTTCAAAAGCTTGTCGCACGCCATCTTCATCTAAACTATGTGCCAAGTTGGCAACAAACACTGTATTCGATTTGGGACCAAAGTTGTTATCGGCTGTACGTGGTTTGGCAGCATCAGCATTATCCACTTTAATAACACGTCCCATAAATTCAGAACCATCTAATTCCATTGCAGCCTTCTTGCCTTCCTCATCTGCAAAGTCGACATAAGCGAAGCCTCGTGACAGACCAGTATTAGGGTGAGTACGAAGACGAACATCATTTACTTGACCACAAGCGCTAAAATGTGCTTCTATATCCTTTTTGGTTGCCTTGAAAGCAAGCTGGCCAACCCAGACTGTATGTCCTTCTGACCCAAATGCTTTCTTTTCAATGGTTTCTACTTTGACTTTCTTGACAGGTTGCTGTTCTTGCGTTTCTTCATCATCGTTCTCGCTGTCACTGTTTTCTTCATCTTGTTCCGAACTTTGACTTTCAGCGTAGGACCGCTTTTTACTATTTGTTTCTTCTTGTTCTTCTTCCTCCTCGTCTGAAGAGGAGGTGCTATCTTCTATTTTAACTGCTTTGTCAGAATCTTCTTGATCAGAAGCTACGGTTGCTTGCTGGGTATCGCTTTCTTCATCGCTTGAATCATTTGCAGCGCTGGAACTGTCCTCATTAGAAGAAGAGACTGCTTCTTCCTTCTTTAAATCTTTAGTTTCTGTAATAGATTTCCCCATTGTATTAGCTCTTTATGTATTGTAGTAAAAAAAAAAAAGTCAATACTTCTGTTTTTTAAGGAAAACAGTCTTTATGCAATAAACCAAAAATTGTGACCACCCGAGCGAAAAGCCACGAAGAAAACTCAGCTTTCCATGCAAATCAAGGAGAATTCAGGAACAATATTGTGTTTAATCCTGTTCTTACAGAAATAATGGGTTTAAGTAGTAGTGTTTTTTTTTTTAATTCTACATTATGTTAAGGTATATTATAAAAGCATGAATATGTGTAAATAGTGTTGCATTAGTTAGTTTGGCTCAAAATCGTCGTTGAGCTATTGAACCCAAACCCAGTTGGTCACCGCTGTTGTTATTAAATAGCATTTTCAATCCTTGTTGTGGCTTTATCAATGGTGAGACGGGGCGTGATGTTTGCATATAAGATGATGAAGACTGTTTCCGACCATTTGCCAAAATAGTAGGTTGGTTGGAATTTATGTCGTGTTGCGAACTTTCTTTAGCCACATCTGTTGAATTAGATATTATTGAAGTAAAATCTCCGTCCGAAATAATACTGGTTCGCCTTGATAATGTCGTTTCTGAAGATGAGGAAGCTATGGAAGCTAATTTTACCAATCTGGGTTCCTGCAACATGTGAATGGTGCCTTGAGCCTGCTCAAGCATTTGTGTATATTCATTCATTCTTTTCACAATATCATGAACATTTCCTTTCTGGTTTTTCTGCTGGTCTTCAATATACTTTAGTCTTCCTTGCAGTTGATTGTTTTCAAAAATGACCTGTATATATGTAGATACAATAAATGGATCAGTAATGATACTTTGAACGCATGAAGGTATTGGGGCTAGATTGATCTTTACAGAAGCTAGATCCGAATACATGCTCTTTATAGCTTGAGTAGCAAATATGTCGGATTCCTTCTGCGTCTTAACTGCTTTCTCTAATAAAACCTGAAGATTGACATTGACCTCCTGCGTAGCTGTCAAATCTTGATCAATTTCCACTTAATTTCGGAGAAATGAAATGTTAATCAACAAAACGCTCTTTAGGAGAATAGAAAAAAAAAAGAAAAAGAGAGAGAGAGAAACCAGCTATCTCTCCAACCTTGAAGATAACTTACATACTCTATCCTTTGATTTTTCCTGTTCAATTCACAAGCATGTTAGTCAAAAACCGATAGCCTTCAATAAAATAGTCATTAAACTTAATGGTTACCAGATCTACAGTCATATTGTCCATTTGCTTCACTAAACCGGCCATATTTCTTCTAAATTTTTCTAGATCTTCCCGCGCCTGTTCTATTTCATTAAGAAATTTAATTCTCTCAGCAGCATCAATTGTTCTGTTGTATTCCTTTTGTTGCGCTACTAAAGGGGTTGATAATGATGAGGTGGGCTAAGATAGAAACAAAAAGCGGTTACAACTTTTCAAAATTAGCAATTACGATTTCAAGAAAGATATTGTGTGGTGACAGTATACCTTGATACTTGGTGGGTTTGGATGTTCGATAGGGTAACAATATTCTATTTCATAAGGGTCCTGAACAACTTCTATTAAGCTGGCTCTTCTTCCATAAAAATGTGAGGTATCTAGAAATAAGGTGAGTTTGCTGTAGTGCGGTGAAATAGCTTATCATCTATAACATAGACTTACCTTTGTTGTGGTTAGCTTGCCAAGGATGCTCTTTACTTTTCTTGGTTGAATGAGGTTGGGCCAAGGACTATTAGGATCATTTTTTTTCTTAGTCTGAAAACTTATTCGCTTGTCACTTTTGTATTCTTTATATTGTTTTCAGCTCAATTTACTCTGATCACCTCGGAATCCATTTAGTGATTCATCAAGAATTGTATAGCACTGATTTGTTGAAAGAAAAAGTGTTGCCGGTATTCAATAACAATTTTCTTATTTTTCCGAAAAAATAGTCCGTTGGATGAAGGAAACTCAATGAAGAAGAGAACTGAAAGAAGGACGAAAATAAACTCCAAATGCATAACTCAAAGGGAAAGAAAGCGGTCATTACCACTGAACATTATTATTACGACCATTCAAACAGCGCATTCTGTAAAAACAAGTGGATCCAAAATCTGGGGTCACTTCCGAACAGATGCATGCTTCCGTCTCTTAATTTTTCCCTTAATACTATGCAATTCAAACTTGCATAGTGCAGTATTCTCTCTCTTAATGAGTTTAAAGTGTTAACAAGACGTAACAAGTATTAATATTGAAGGAAAAATGTTGCATGATTTCAATAGAGTACATCTCAATCTTTATCACGAAAAGCAAGTATGTCAAGTATTACTTCCGACCTGCAGGGCGATAAAAGCGGATCTACTCTTTACAGTGCTTTTGGCTGTCTGTCACCGCTGTACTAGTCTTTTCGCAGCTGATAGGGGGCGGGGTGTGCAATTTAGAGTATTGTACACTTAGAGAAAGTCTGTATTTGAGTCCATGATGTACATTTAGACCTTCCCATTTAAATTGTAGAGTGAAGAAGCAAGGTCCAACGGACTAAACTGTCATCATTTTGTACTTTTATTGAGACCAACTAGGTCTCGTAGCAATGTTATCAGTCATTAGTAGCATAAATTAGCAGATGCTATAGATGTTTATTTGCTTATTTGTTAGTGACAGCTACACATTCGATCTCAACAGAAACATCTTTTGGCAAACGAGCGACTTCAACAGCACTACGAGCAGGACGATGATCACCGAAGAACTATTTCATTGGAAGAATTTGCGTAAGAAGAACGGATCTCAAGAATAAAATCGTAGAGGTATTACCTTAGCGTAGATTTCATTCATAGCAACAAAATCATTCATATCTTTCAAAAAAACTGTAGTCTTCACGACTTTATCAACACTTGATCCAGATTCTTTAAGGACAGCAGCTAAATTGTCCAAACTTTGTTGTGTTTGCTCTTTAATACCACCGTCAATGACATTACCTGAAAAAAGAGAAGAGATTGGATAAGTGTATGGAAAAATTCATAAAGAGAATAAAATTGTGCAATTTTCCAAGTACCAGTTTCAGGAACAACAGGAAGAGAACCGGAAGTGTAGACAGTATCATTTACTTTGATAGCTTGAGCTATTTTATTGTTATGAGTTTTAATGTTCTGAATCAGTTTCTGTTGATGCAAAATGCTTTACCGTAAGGGCCAATAGCAGCGGGTGCAGCCTTCGTTTCTATTTTTTTTTTTAGGGTACGCGGAGAGGTACGAATGATCGTTTAAGTCAATCACTTTCACAAGCAATTAGCATTGGCGATTCGACAAACTTACGAACACGAGTCAAAGTTGACATAGACCTTGTAAGTAAACATAAACGTTGGTTTCTAAGCATATTAGACTTCAAATTGATGAATGATAAAGGAAAAAAAGACAGGTCTTGTTTGAAAGCGTCAACATTTAAGAGTTAAATTAAGGAAGTCTGGGGTAAATGCTTTTCCCAATACTTTGTGAAATTCCACAATGAGATTCGCGCCTTTGTATTTTGGACCCCGAAAATGCGACTGGATCAGTACAGGCTTTTGGCGGTCTATGTCATTTCATTTTGCGGATGTATCTGACTAGAAACTTTAGGATCTGCCACCAGGCAATTTTTGGTGCTCATTGGCTTTTAAAATATTGTAAAACGTAATGAACTTCTATCAATGGAGGCATCTAGCGGATTAGAGAAAGAAGACATGGAGCATACAATGAAGACATGTTTAAACGTTTAAACTCAGCCATACCTTTCATCAACTGTATTGCTCGAAAATATCTCGATGCAAGCTTTTCGACGTTAAAAAGGGTACAAGTATTTAGTGTTCAATCGATCAAACAGACAATAACATTATCATCAACCCAGGTTGACATGACAAAAATGGGCTATTGTCACATTGAGCACCGTAAAGCTGAAATGCCTGTCACGACGAAAAATACAAACGGCTCTGTGTAATGGAGCTGCTTGAAACATTGACAATGTTAATAAGTGAACAAACAAAAACAATGAACATACCAAATCAAGAATAAAATGGAGAAAATTCGCTACCCGGTTCCTGTAGCTATTATTCCTACTTCTATTCCCGTTCCAGTAATCCAAATTTCGCAAGTTACCAACCCTCGATTCATCTATGTCGAACTAACAGATACGGTGCGTTCTAATGTGTCGCTTTAGAGCATTTTTCATGTTTTTATTCAAATTATATATGATTGTTTACAGTATCTACAATAAAAACATTTATACATCTGTAAAATCAGCCTGCAATTGAAAACACTTTACGTCATAAGCCTGAAATTTGTCACTGCGTAATATCATTTATACTAAAAGTCTTATACATAACTTTTTATTGAGTAAGAATGCATTGCTTCTACAAGCTTCTACTGGTAGTCTACCATAAAACAAGACAGGCCTTTGATATAACTTATGTGAACACAGTATTACTGCTGTTTATTGAGAAATGGTAATATTATTACGTTCTGGAACGGTTTAAATACTTAAGTTATTTACCTGGTGTGGGGGGTTTTTTTTTTCCAAATGAGAGAACAAGAACATGTTGACGGAAGAATTTGGATAAATGGCATAATTACATGTCAAAGATAGGATTTTTTCCTAGAATTCAGTTGTATAATATGATATTTTTTTCGGGATCAGGTAGCAGCAAGTTCGCAAAAAGCATTTTCGACTTGACGCAGCCTATTTCGCCCGACTTATAAGAATAAATATGTTGCGTACTTTGACCATTATGTCCTAGGAAGTCACTAAAACATCTGCAATATTCTCTTGGATGCAATACCACTGAGTTTTCAATACAGACGCTGCTTTTCTTCACTACAGATTTGGCTGGGCTTTTTCATGCTTGAATTGCGTTCGTTAGTGTTCTTAAAGCATTCAAAGGAGATGTTTCTCTATTATAACGTACTTATTCAAGTCCTTAATTTTCGCTGGCTACTTGTTTTGTACAGTAAGTATAATCTTTATGTGTTTCGAAACTTTTGTGCGAATGTCACACGACAGCAGGAATTTGAGCATTTGATTGTAAAAGATCGATCCCTTCATTAGTTGATACTCTCTGGACAAATAACAGCCAATAGAGCAAATCACACCTTCTCATTGAAAGATCCAAGGTGATGATACTGTACCAAAGCTGATAAGACGATGAACGGCGATGAACGGCTAAAGAGTAAATATCAACTGTTTGAAATTCACGCGTTTTGGGGATTTAAACCCAACAATTGGCGGAGTGTGCCTTTTGTTACATCCACCAAATGTCGGAAAAAAATAACTGTAAATGTTCTTAAATGGTCAATTTTCTTTCTTTCTGTCTAGCTAGACTTGCAAAAGCCCTTAACAAAAATCAGCTTGTAGGATCGATTCAACCACAACCAACGTGTAAAATTTGAAATGGTCAATTGCAATACTACTACTGTCTTCGCCGCTATCGGTGTAGCGTATATTGGTTATAAGCTTTTGAGTCTGTTGAAAACTGTGTTCGATGTCTATATCGCCAAGGGTACTTCTGTAAGGTTTACGTTTTGTTGCATGAAATGCTTGGCGTTCTTAAAGTCTCTGACACGCTTATGGATTCAATATACGCCGTAAACTAAAAAATTTTATTTCTTTTTTATACAGCTGAAAAAGTTTGGTGCAGGCCAAGGCTCTTGGGCAGGTAAAAAGAAGATTGGTTGACAAATGAGGAATGACGAGTGTGAAGCAGATCCCGCTAACGTCTTGTATGGATATAAATAGTCGTTACTGGTGCAACGGATGGTATTGGAAAAGAGTTTGCTTTGCAACTGGCAAAAAACAAGTTTAATATTTTCTTGATTTCTCGTACACCCGCCAAGTTGGAAGCTGTTGCTAAGGAAATCTGTAAGTTCGAGTAAAACAGGAGACGCAAATGAAAAAGAAAGATAAAAGAAGAGAGAAACGGAGTTAGAGAATAGATGTGTTGTATTTGCTCAGTTATTCTAACCTTTAACGATCAAACAACAACAACCCACAACGAACAGCTGATAAATATGGGGTGGAAACCAAAATTTACGCCATGGATTTCACCAAAGGAGATGCATTGGATTTCAACAACCTTAGTACGCAGCTCAATGCTATCCGTGTAGGTGTTTTGGTCAATAATGTTGGCGTTAATCACGATATTCCTACACCTTTTGTTGAGGAAGATGATTCCGTCATCAACAACATTGTGGAAGTGAATATCAAGGGATTAATGAAGATGACGAAGCTTGTTCTTCCCCAAATGAAAGCAAAGTAAGTTGGCTTACGTATCTGTTGATTTTATATGACAGAGGTTTACATACTTACAACATTATCGGCAATATCGTGATCCATCATCATCAGCCGTGGTGGTTTGATTCTCAATATGGGTTCATTTGCCGGTTTAGTCCCTACACCTTATTTATCCGTCTATTCAGCCGGTAAAGCCTTTTTATCTACTTGGTCTCAAGCCTTGGGTATGGAAGTGATGAAAGATGGCATTGTTGTAGAACATGTGAACACCTACTTTGTCGTTTCTGCTATGAGCAAGATTCGTAAACCCTCTGCTTTGATCCCTATGCCTAAGGATTATGTCGCTAGTGTATTGAAGAAGGTCGGTGTTCCTTGCGGCGCCAATGTTCCTTTCACATCTACTCCTTATCCTATGCAAGGTTTGGCTAACTGGGCTATTAATAACGTTTTTTCCAGACATTTCTGGGTAAAACAAAACAACAGTAAGCTATCCTTCTTCTACCAGTATGCATTACAACAATAATCTCTAATATCATTAACAAAAATGCCGTATCTCCTTTTTTGCATTGGATAGATATTCAATTAGATATCAGAAAACGTGCTCTACGCAAGCGTGAACGCGAAGCTGCTGCTGCTCGTAAGACAGAATAGAAGGATCGCGCAGCGATATATATTTGTATAAAATGTGATCTACGTATTTATATATAAAAGAGTATAAATAAAAAAGCTATCTAATGTATATGTGAAGCAAAAGTATATATTTTCAAGAAATGGTATTTTCTACATGCAACTTGAGTATAGAAGAAAAGAAAGGAAAAGAAAAAAAAAAAAAAAACCAAGAGTAATTTACAATCATAAATTACAATAAAACTTCGTCTAAATGGATAACATAGTTTTCTTAGTAGCTGTAGTGGTATTGTTGGCCTGATCTAACCAAGCCTTAAGAGTTTCGAATTGCTGATTCTGCGCATCTACCAGATATTGAGGACTTTCAGAAGTGATACCAGCATAGTTCTATATGAAATGGAGAGAGAGACGGTATGTATGAGGTATTTATCAACTCACAAAGACGATGACTATGGACTTACAGCACAGTGAGTCGATTTAGGTAAGATGATACTGTTTGCTAAATTACTGTTGCTATTAATTTGAGGACTTAAAACACTCAATTCTCTCCAACTGTCCCATTCACCGTCTATCCAGATCATATTTTGCAAACTACTTCTAATATTCCAGCCGCCATAAATTTGGTTTGTCTTATCAGTATCAGGTAATTCAGGAACATTGGTACTATTACCGAAGTAAAGCTGGCAAAGACGTTGCATACTGGCTACTGCCAATTTACGAGATATGATACTAGGCTCACCGGAAGGAGGAGCCACTTGGAAATAACCAAACTCAGTACATGTCTGCCACAACCAAGAAGCAGTAGAAGGATCTTGCAATTTCTGCTCTTGAATAGACGTAGCATTATGAGTATCAAAACAGGGCTGAAGATCAGTAGAATTCGTGGTATCACAGTAGGTTTGTTCGGAATACGGCTGTAAAAAGGCGGCATAAGCGATGATGTTCTCTTGAACCGTGTTGTTATTTTTAAAGATCTTGTTGCACATGATATTTTCAAAGAGGTTCGTTGTGTCATCTATGCCGTATTGCCAGAATTCAGCCATAGGATTTAGCAAGTAACTAGCGAAATCATCGTCATAAAATCCTTCGGCGCCAAAAAGTTTCTTTAGTTGATCTATGTCGTCAGTGGAATTACCGAAGAGGATGGAATCAATGTAAGCTATAGCATCACGGATATTGCGGATACAATCTGAAGGGCCGTATCGTATGATAGGATCAAAGTATTCATGGAAGTCGGTTTGAGCTTGAACAGGTGCAGATGAGGCAACAGCAGCGAAGACCAAGTCAGGATATTTGTCTTTCATCCAGGCGGCTAGATTACCGCTGTAACTGCAGCCATAGACAATGACCTTTGTTTGCGGGACAGGTAGAACGTTGAGTTCACTCGGGAACTTGGAAGAGAGTAAAGAACATATCAAATATCATCAGCTTTGGTATACTCGTCTTCTACAGTATACTTCAATCGATACTATACCTCGATTGTTTGCAATAAATAGGCCATGTCAGCCAAAGCTTGTTCACTACTCAGATAAGGAATGTACTTGTCCTACGTATGCGATACAATAAAACCAGCAGGTGTTCAGAATGATTTCATTCGTGTACGGCATTGTATAGGTAGTAGTTAAGTATGGCTTTTTTCTATATCCCTTACCAAATCTTGTACACCATTGTTGTTAGTAACAGGAGTCGATTCACCATAAAAGCGATGTTCCATATAGACAAAGATGCCATTCAAGCGCTCTGTCAATTGAGCCATGGTTGTATTAAATAAGACGACAGAGGCACTTTTAACTTCAGCTTCACCGGCGTTGGCGACTAAACAGATGATGTATTATATGTTGAATAGATGACCATATAACGTGTACATACGAAAAATGATGTCAACTTACATATAATAGGACCACCTGGTTGGTAATAATCGGCATTGATCCAGTATCTATTCTTAAATGTAACTCCAGTGTCATTGTTATCGTGATTCAAAGGAACATCGATATAGAAGGGACCATATCCAACAGGTAGAGCAGGCGCAAGTGGAATAGCTGTGGATGTGGTATCATTGTTTGAATAGCCAATGCTGAAATTTTTGATTCTTTTCTTATTGACAAGGTATTCAAATCTCTTTTTATTTTCAAAGGAAAATGCTGTTGATGGCTGAATGAAATGACAATAACAGCACACTAACAATAACAGACATATCTTTGTAAAAATCATAACGTTTTCTTTTCTATGGCGTTGTGGCGTACAAAGTACAATGAGTATAATGAAAAAAGAGAAAGGAACAGAAACAGGAAAAGCAAGATAAAGCGGCTTTATAAAAAAAAGGTGAATTGACTTCAGCAGTGTCTTTATCTTATTTCTCTCTATTATGTGGTCTCAGGAACGATGAATGACAGGTACATCATTTCAGCTTTTTATTTTATTTTATTTTCAGTCTCAATTTTGTTGTCAAAACGGCAAAATACCCAATTGCATTGGACTTTTGCTTTTTTCAGAAAAAAATATGAAATCTGTCGGTGTTTAAATTTTTGAAAGAGCAAAACAGCTCAATTTCAAGTGTTTGATGCATTCATGTGCAGCTCTTTGTAACTTCTTCCTTTCTTTTTTCGCAATTGCTCACTTATCATCTGCTACTATGTTTACAAAATGAGTCTTTTTGCCGCTATAAGTTATTATATTCCTTCACAGTCAGGCAAAAAGTTGATATCCTTCCTAGTGGCTTCATTCTTGTTCCTTTATACCCTATTCTTATTATTCGGTGGATTTCAATTTTTGATATTTCTGATAGTTGGTTTCGCCCTGGGATCGTATAATTCTTACAATAGCAGCAGTAGCAATTATGACAGTCAGCATATACAGTCTTTACAGAAATACGAGCAATATCTTATTGATAAAAAAAAGCAATTACCTATATCGGATGAAACAGAAGAAAAGGTACTGGAATTCCCGTTCTATGCAAGCATACAAATAGCGTTTATTAAATTACAAATAAAATAGATTGACGATAATAATAATGGACGTGTTGAACTATCTTACCCGCCTTTAACAAATGTTATCAATCCGTTGCTAGATTGTATTATGAAGGATTATGTCCTCAGTTGGTGGGATCCGTTGAATATACATCACGATGTGCAATTCCAGAAAATAGCAAGAGAAAGATTGAATTTAATGGTGATTAATGTAGAAAAAATATTGATGAGTCAAGAAAGGAATGACATTGTCATGTCCGTGCTGTATGGATTAGCGAACACCCTCATTATTCACATGAGAGAATGTAGAGCCTTGGAAGAATCGAACTTGTCCATAGAGCAATTTATTTTCCAGAACCCCCAATCACCTTTTGCTCAGCTATTATCAACAGAAGAGCAGCAAATGCAATTAAGAAATCTCAGCACTTTGTTTTTGAAACGTACGCTACCCAATACGACAGATACCCTTCTAACAAGCTTATTTACTGAACTTTTAGCAACTTACCTTTTTGGTGGAATTATCGATACTTTCAGCGATCCAGACTACTTAAATGCTTGGATTGTCGACCTTCTTAAACCAACTATTACTACCACCTCCACTCCTAGTGAATCTGATATGCAAAAAAATACGTTTCTGACGCCACCAGCTACACCAGAGCCTTCTACTATGAACATTACAAATACAACACAGCAAACGGAACTGCAGTCATCACCATCTTCTTCATCTCTTACTACTAATGCTGATACGTCAGTCGTACCAGCTATGATCTTCCCTCTGGGCACTGTCAATTTTACGATCATGGATATTTCACAGCCATCATCCTTGCCTCCAAATAAATCAGAAATGCTCTATATTATACAGATTGAAAGACCTGCTGCAGCACATCAACAGCACCATTCATCCTCTGAAGGCGGCGGATACGTTATTACACGTACTTTTGCTGATTTTGAAAGTTTTCATACTCTATTGAGTGCCAAGCATTTCAACAGAATTCGCACCTTGCAATTAAAACTACCTTCCTTTCTAGCATCCTCTCCTCCATCCTCACACTCAGCATCATCATTGCTCCAAAAGGGCAATTCACAACAAACTCAGCCTAAGGACATAAGTCAAGAATTAGAAAATTATATTGATAAGATTGTGCAAGATGAAGAATTAGGTACAGAACCTATCATTTTATCCTTTTTAGGAAAAGAAAGTCAATCCAAAGAACAGAATGTATCGTTTGCAGAAGAATACAAAGCAGAGGTCGCCAATGCTTACTCGATTCTTCTATCGTCCTCTTTGTCAAGCAACAGTACGTCTTTGCCGTCACTTGCGAAAACAAAAATATCCTCTTCCAAAATCTCCTCTACCACTTCTGCTACGGCCACCAATACTGTTATAGAGAACGGAAGAACATCCACATCAAGCATTCGAAGCAATACCCCATCTTCATCCTCATTATCATTACCTGAATTACCAGCTATTGTAACTGACCCACATCCAATGATAATTTCTACATCGTCATTGTCGTCCCCTTCGCCTCCATCCACAGCAACAACACACCAAAAGCAGCCTGCTATGCCGTTATCTACCATGGATGTGGAGCTTTTAATTGAAACAACGTATGCTCTTGTTATTGAAACTTTTCAACTATCAGCAGGATTTAATACCACGAATAAAAAAGCAACGTGGATGAGACGGTCTATTTTGAATCTGTTGAGAGAAATCGTACGCCGATCTTATACTCAATTTATTTCTGAACAGTACAATGATTTTGTTGAAGCCTATATTTCACCAGATGCCATCGTACACATGTTGGACCAATTGCAAAATAGTTTTTGGCCAGATGATACAGAAGAAGCTGGAACAGCTGCAGCAGACCAACGTAGTAGTCATTTGTACGATGATGAGGTGAAGGAGCGAGGAGTAGGAAAAGAAAAAGTTAATACAAGTGACAGTGTTCAGCCAACAACAAAAACGAACGACAAGCAGAAGCAGTTGGCCAGAGAATTGCTGATGACAGAACTAATACCATCCACTGTTAGACAACTTATTGGTGACCAAAATTGTAATATGGCTATGCATCGTATCTGGGCGAGATGTCAAGATCCTCAGTTAAACCGTGTTTTGATTTTGCAAATATTAGAACGTATCGTAAAACCCATTTTAGGTTAAATAAACCATTGCTCGTAATAAATTTAGACAGATAATGCAATGGACACAATACACAAAGTTGGTTTTTGCACAGAATACGACATTACATATTTTTACATGTGTAACGCTAAATGTTATTAAATTCTTCCTCTTGTGCACAATGGATAAGTTTGATCTTATACTTTTATCTCGGCTTTCTGCTTTTCTTCCTTCACTATACCTTTACATACGTTTCAGTCTATCATTAGAGATCACCAATAGTCGTCGGTCATCAACCGATCATTACATAACATTAACAACGATAGCAACGACGATATATAATTCTGTATGAATCCATCTCGTTATTTAATACTTCTCTTTGTATGTGCGGTTTATTTAATCACCGTCAGCGAAGCTGCAAAGACCAAATACTGGAAGTTCTACAATTGGAATAAGTATGGCAAAAAAGTCACCGTAGGCAAAGGCAGTGTCTGGGACAAAGCCTGGGGTATTCCTGAACATGGCGGCTGGCTATGGTTCTGGAAAGATGCTGATAAGCTTAAGAACGTCGTTGTCAGTGATCCTTCCGGAAGAAAAAAGAAGGACTTGATGCTCCGGGTCAAATATCCCAAAGGATCCAGAAACCCTGAAGTCAACCCTATTGGCGGCCTTGGCTTTAAGGCAGCTCCTTTAAAACTGGATAATAAAGTAAAAACGGTCGAATTGCAATACAGTGTTTATTTCCCCAAGGGATTCAATTTTGTTCGAGGTAGTATATCTTAACAGACTGTCCAGTGTATTGATGTAAATAGCCAATTGGCGTGACTAATTTGAAATTGTCTACCCGCTACCCGTTCACCCATGTATAGGTGGTAAGCTTCCAGGCCTTTATGGAGGCCACGGTGAATGCACCGGCGGTGAAGAGTCCAAGTCTTGCTTTACAACAAGGTTAGTGACCAAACTTAATTATAAGCTCTTGCTGAAGTAATTATAGTAGTACTAATATCACTGAATCGTGTACGCAATTTGTCAACGTCTGTATTCGTATTTCAGACTTATGTGGCGCCATAAAGGTGAAGGTGAAGTCTATGCTTATTTACCTGACTCTGTTCAACGGCCCGATCTGTGTGACAATAAAGTCAATATCTGTAATCCTGACTATGGCTTCAGCCTGGGTCGCGGTACTTTCAAATTCACTACCGGTGAATGGATCTCTGTCCGTCAAACATTGACGATAAATACTGCTGGCAAAAAGAATGGTAAGATTACCCTTCATATCAATGGCAAGAGAGTCATGACAGAAGACAGACTCATCTTCCGTACAAAGAACGCTGGCTATGTTGGTGGTATTAGTAAGTTAAATCGGTTTTTTCTTCCTCTTTCATATACACTTACAATAAATTTGTATATTAGTGTTCCACACTTTCTTCGGGGGGTCTGATAGCACATGGGAATCACCAAAGACTCAATACAGTTATTTCAAGAATTTCAGTCTTAAAGCATCCTATTAACATCTACATAAAATCTCCCCTTCTTTATTTACCAATGCATAGCATTATGAATCAGCCAAGCAAATGCTGTGTTGACGGTGCTTATGTCTGACTGATAAAGAGTTTATTCAAAGTTGACTAAGATGAAGCTTAGTGTTGATACAATGTAGTGAATCTCAATATATTATTGACGAAAGGCAATCTGATGCTTTTGCTCTATTCATTTTGAATGCAACCCACTTAACGGCTATTTGTGTCCATTCACTTTATAATGGCATATTTTATTTGTCTATGCTGTCTTTCCGAAACTTTTAAATCAACGTTCCAAGCTCTCGATCAGCTCATATGCAAACGTTACGATGCGGATAGTTCTCAAATATTGCATTGAACTTTTAAAGAGAAACAAAATTTACAACTATCTGAAATGTTTCTTTTACCAGCCAGACATATTATAAATGAAATGTTGCATCCAATCTTGAGGATGTAGATAGCAAAATGCATTAATCAAACATCGCAATTTATAATTTGGAAAACAAACATATTCGCCTTGACGTTTATGGATTTTGAACAGCAAATTCGATATAGTTACCGACTCTCCCAACATAGGATATATAGTATAGATATACAAATGTGTATCTATGATGATGATGCCTTCCCATACTTCGATAAAATACGACAAAGTTACTTTTCAGAAAACGTTATTGATGTTATGAAGCCTGAAAATTCGCATTTCTCGAATACTATGAGTGTTTCAACAAGGAATATCTACTTGACCTATAGCGCTCAAGGAAATCCTTCTGTTCGAGCGAATGTCATTGTTTGATATTGTATTGTTGGATGGTTTCCAATGAAGCGAAATACTCTGACGACAATAGTCTATCAGAAATTAAGGACATCTTAAATCCAAAGGAAGATTAAGATTATCTGAACAAGTAATTTTTTTTTATAGAGTTTCCAAAGCTGAGCTGAAGTAACATTGGTATAATCTCTATATAACTTAGGCTTTACGAGACAGTACAAGTTATTGATTAATAAGTATGGACTATCCTACAATACTTTTATTAACAATAATAAAATATAATACCTCTTTCTTTCTATATTATAAACGAGGTTAAAGCATATAAGTTCTTGCTTACTGATTTAAGCAAAAAGGTTGACCGGAGTAAGGGCAGCATGGATTATCAGGATCTGCAAAATCAGCAGTCAGATGCTATTCTAACATAGAGTGAGGGATACTTTCTGCTTACTTACTCAAAAAAATACAACTATTAACACATGCATTAGGGCAAGGCTCTATAACAACATCAGGACAAGCTGGTTGTTCACTACATTGGAGTTTCATTTCTAATTCAGAATTCTGTCTTCTTGCGATGTATCTATACCAAAGGATCGATGAAAAAGCAGATTCCATTCTGTTAGACATAAAAAAGGGACTAATGCCAGTGGGGAAAGAATCCTACTTATTTCTTGACATTTTGTCAACAGTAATGGCTGCCTCAATAAACAACGAAAAAGTGATGATTGTCAATATAAGGCGTGTGGCAAAAGTATAGATCATCAAGAGTAGTGCACTGTCTGTGATGAAAAAGGGGAAAGAGAGGAACTGAGAAAAAGACAACAAATATGTACAAATAAGTATTCAATTAATCGAAAAACGAGCTGGACATAATACTATAACAACTGCAGTTGTTATACAATTCCGTGCAGCGCATGATGTGCACTTCTTAGTGTGCCTTCTATCAATCTCGGACACTGTAAGTCTGAGCTATATTCTTACTACCTGAATAATGAAGTTGAGCGGCTGATTTATGGTCCCATTGGTTAGGATAAAGGTCGTTGTTGAGTAAGAGTGGAACAAGTAACCCATGTGGTGTGGAATCTATTCGTCAGAAGGCTTAAAGCCTCTGAAAAGAAAGTACTTGGTTGTTCTGTTTGATTATGCGACAGTCATATTATCAAGCGCAAGTTGTATACAAGTTCTGACATAGTACTGTGAGAAATCGATTGGAATATTAGTGCGCTGAGCGAACACCTGTCGTATGATCGGCAGAAAAAAAGCAATGTGCACAATTCTATTTAATATATAAGTATCGGAGTGTTTGGCTTTTTGACCTTTTGAACGGCATGATTTCATACCCATATGTTGTCACGGTATGTTAACTTTTATTAAATCAGGCATGAATCCACCCCCCCTCCAATTTGCCGTTAAGAAATCCTTATTCCTCTTCTTTTACCGATAAGTTCAATTAAATGTAAATTTTACCGTCTACCCAAATCTGCTGTAGTTCCCAGCCCAATATTTTGATCAATTTATTGTATAGTATTTAGACAATCTACATACTAGTAATTTACAAAAAGTTGAGACCAAAACCAAATTGTAATTTAGGTTCTGGTAAATCAGTTGATGTGTATCTTAATGGTATACAATAATTTGCCTCAATTCTGGCGATATCATGGTGAAATATTAAGCCGAAACCAACGGACGCACGAGGTGTTTCCGCAAGTGCCTTAACAGTGTCTTCTAAAGGTACACCGCGAGTATGAGTAACAATACTGCCTGCATTGGCAAAAGCATGTGCTTTGATAGGAAGTTGTTCTAAGCCAAGAACTGAGGAGATAACGCTTACACCAGCAGCCCAATATCCCTCCCCGCCTACAGCATCGTCTTTAAGGACGAAAATTGCAAATTTAGTATCATCAATTTACTAGAACTTCTGCAGTCACTGATAAAAAGCAATCGTCTACTTACTACCGTCTCTTTCACCTATGCCACCTGTTTTGAAACCTCTTACGGACAATGGTCCTCCTAGATAGAATTTGTCAGAAACAGTTGGGCCACGGCTTCTGTCTGGCTCCCCAAAAGATGAGAATAAACCTGCCCTAACAGTTGCACTGATGCTAAGGCTGGCATTACCGCCCAAATTATTTCGGCTATTTATTAGAGAGTGATGGCAGGATGCATTTAATTCATGTTTTGCGTATACAGCGTCGCCGTAACCACCTAAACCAGCTAACTCTTGATATACACCAATGAAGTGGCCTTGTGTTGGAAGGATTGCATTGTCACGCTGATCACGCACGAAAGAATGCTGGATGGATTGCTTTTGATTCCTGCCTGATTGAGCACGAACACTATACTTTATATTTTAGCAAACTTCCCCTCACATGTTCTATAATAGTCTGATAATACTTACGCACTTGAGGCCGTTGATAAGGCCAATACATCTCTATGAGTGAATGCATAGGAAATTTCATGACGACCATAAGGCGTAATACCGCGGAAACGGATACCAGTTGCCTTTGATGTCTCATTAAAAGCATTGATTTGAGAATGGTCTCTTATCGACCCATTCACAAACACACCAATTCTTGCGTTGGCATTTCCTTTGAACGGTGTTTCTAAATTACCCTACCATGGACGAGTTAGGAGTCTTAAACTTCTGTATAGCTCAATGAAGTTGGGGGGGGTTTCAGTACCTCAACAGATGCTCTTGTCCGGTTGCCGAACGCAAAATTGGCTGTGGCAGATTCTGCACCACCGAAAATATTGCGGATACCGATACCACCGTTCTAGAAAAAAAAAAAATGATTTGTATGTCATCAGTATCAAAATTTCCCTTTTTGGATTATCTGGGCTTCACTATTCGAGATGAAGTGGGGGAAGCACTCACTAATTCTGCTTGGTTATTTCCAATATTGACAGTAGTTTGGAACACGCTTCTATCCTTCTCCTTTAAATGTAATGCTACGTCCACTGTATCTGCAATATCTTTATTGCTATCCACATAAATTTTAATCTCGTCAAAGATATCGTGCTTTTGTAGTTGATCCGCTATCTGCTGAACCTTCTTGAGTACGTCGGCCGTATTGTTGGCTTCAAAAACATTGGATGTAATACTGTTGAGGAAAGACGTTCGAGTGGCAGCTGTACCCAAAATTCTTAAAGCATTTACTCGAAGAGGTGCTTCGGATGGTACTGCCTAGAACACCAAAAAAAACCGTTGAATACCAGACTTTCAGTGGTTTTTGTAGAATCCTTCAGCCAATAGTCACTTACAGGAATGTTAGTATCATTTACTGATGTTGACATTGTCTTATGTAGAAACTTCCGAAAAATAGAAAAGAAAAACAAATTAAACAATTTTGTGGGGAAACTGGAGATACAATGATGTTTTGAAAAAGTTCCAAGTCACACCAGTTCCAACCTGTTTATACTTTCTTAATGCAAATCCCCTGCCAAAGCTGGTCACCTTACCAATAATCACAGTCCTCTATTACCTTTTTGTTATGTATTCATGACTTTGAGTGTACTTCTGTGAAGAAACAGTAATCTATATTAATTTACGCTGCCTTGCTCTGCTATTTATTTTTTTTGTAGATAGAGTTATTTCCAACAATGTTTCAATAATGACGTCTGTCAGTTTAGTGCCATCTAATGCATTTGGCTTCCTTATCACAAGAGTTAACGAGCATCTAGCAAGGGTTAAAGCAATCAAAGAGCAAACTTTGGTTTGTACAAAAAAGAAAAAAATAAAAATAAAGGAGACCTCTGTAGTTAGTTCGATGCATCAGAGTAGTTACTTCATTCTGATATGGGTTCTTATAAGACGAGTCAAGATAGAATTTGAGCGACCCATTTGATCTACCGGATCAGAGAAAGACGGGTAAAAAATTCCGTACGACCGAATTACCAACACAGACAACACTTTCCTTTTGCAGGATCTGCATGTACTATTAACTCTTTTTTTCGTTGTTCCTTCATTTGCTTTATCTTACTATTCTCTCCGCCCACCCTTTCTTTCTCTCTGTCTTCGTTTTGGAAAAAGCTTCAGATCTATGGATGTCGAGGGTATCATTTTACCAATTACATTCAGACCCATAGTACTCATTTCCATAGGTGTCTGGGGCTGGGCTCTCAATCTATTCATCCTGTCCAAATGCGGCATCGACATTACTACATTATTACAACTTCATCATACTGACAAACACATTCCTTTGCACAAGCCCATCTTTGCTTTATCAGCCATTATTTCATCTATTGTCTTCATCAGCCTTATATCATATTGGTACTTCCAAATCTCATCTAATGTCTCTTTAGTCGCCTACCTCGTCAGCATCATTTTGTTACTATGGCCAGGAAAGGCTTTTCAACGTAGAGAAAGGTTTCGCTTTTTAAGGTAAATCAACTCTAACAAATGAAAGCTCAACCGATTGTACTCACTTTTCCATTAATGAATTATTGTTGTACTATGTTAGAATGTTGGGCAGAGCGTTTACACCTAATCTTTTAGCTCCTGTATTTTTCTCTGATGTCATTCTAGCAGATATGCTAACCAGTTTTTCAAATGTATTTGGAGATCTATTCATCGCCTTTTGCGTCCTATTTACTGGAAAAGACGCAGCTTTCTTTATAGACAATGTAGATAATATATATTCTAGAGACTATATCGTACCCTTACTAATTAGGTATAATGAGTTAATTAAGCCAGCAAAAAGGAAAGGAATATGATGATGCTAACATTTTTTGTTCATGATTAGTTTCCCATATTTGATCCGATTGAAACAATGTATAGCAGAATATATTGTAACAAAAGAAAAACGGCACATTTTCAACTCCCTGAAATACGCATCATCGATACCAGTTGTCATTTCTTCTGCATTGCACAGAAAAGCAATGATCTACGTTAGTGAAGCAGGCACAGTTCCTACACATTGGTTTATGAGCCACGATACGATTTTTCATTTTTGGTAAGCCAAGATCACTTTTAATTGTCAGGGCCGCCATCATTGCCAATGTTGACGAAGATATCTTTAGGATTCTGTTTGTATTCATAAATTCAATGTATTCATTTTGGTGGGATATTTCCATGGACTGGAACCTAATCAATGTGTCCAAGAGTCAGCCACCTGTGATGGAAGATATACCACAAAGTTCTACACCCAGCATTCATTTCAGACGACAATTGTATTTTTCCCAACCTATTTGGTACATTCTCGCTATAATCATCGATTTCTTACTCAGAGTCACTTGGAGTTTCAAACTGAGCTCTCATATTTACATACAAAAGTTGAACGGAAGTATGTTCCTAATGGAATTATTTGAAGTTTCGCGACGCTGGATGTGGGTTATTTTCAGAATAGAAAGTGAATGGGTTAGGAAAGTATATACAACGTTACCCAGTAGCAACAATAACAGCAATTCACTTCGAATGAATTTAATGCGCAGAAAATCAGCCGGCTTGCTTTCACCAATTGATGAAGAAGATTCTTCGTGACTCGTTAAATTAAACAACAACAACAATAGACTTTTAGATCTTTTGACATTTACCTGCATCCCCATTCTTTAACAATAAACTTCATTTGATCACTTTTGCCATGAATACCTACAAATCGTACGGTGATCGTGCTAAGCAGCATCCTAATGCCTGTGCACGTGCTTTACTTGAATTAATGGAGCGCAAACAAACTAACCTTTCAGTTGCTGTTGATGTCACAAAAAAAGATGAATTACTCTCTATTGCTGATGCTGTGGGTCCTTATGTTTGTGTCTTAAAGGTATCTCCTTGAAAAGAAACCCCTTTTTCTACCTTTTTAGTCAGTTTAAGGCTAATGGGAAATACCGGCATGGGGAAACTGTTTATAGACACATATCGATATTGTTGAGGATTTTGACAGCGATCTCGTTGAGCAATTACAACTGTTATCCAAGAAGCACGATTTTATGATTTTTGAAGATCGCAAGTTTGCAGATATCGGTAACACTGTGAAGCATCAATATGCTAACGGTATCTACAAAATTGCTTCTTGGTCCCACATTACCAATGCCCATACTGTACCAGGGGAAGGCATTATCAAGGGCCTTGCCGAGGTCGGTCTTCCTCTTGGTCGGGGTTTATTACTTTTAGCAGAAATGTCTTCTAAAGGTGCCCTCACAAAGGGTAGTTATACTACAGAGTCCGTAGAGATGGCACGACGCAACAAAGACTTTGTGTTTGGCTTCATCGCTCAACATAAAATGAACGAGTCGGATGACGAGGACTTTATTGTTATGTCACCTGGTGTGGGTTTGGATGTCAAAGGAGATGGTTTGGGTCAACAATATAGAACACCACATGAAGTCATTGTTGAAAGTGGAGGTGATATCATCATTGTTGGACGTGGTATCTATGGTAACCCTGATAAAGTCGAAGAGCAAGCAAAACGCTATCGTCAGGCAGGTTGGGATGCCTACCTTGAAAGAGTTCGTCTTCATCAAAAATAAAAGTTAATAAAGAAAATTGCCCAGCTATGAATCACAATATTCATTTGACCTTGAGAAAGAAATTGTAATAATAGAAACAATTATTTATTTTTAATTTAAATTGTATACCGAAAAGACATATAGAAAAAGAAGGGGAAGAAAAAAGATGACAAATTGTATTTATAGAATGTTGTTTTTCATGAGTATGGCTTTTCTCTATTGTGGGGTGAGGAGGATTTACCAATTGGGACCACCGGCATGAGACCAATCAGCGACATATGAGAAGTTTTGGAATTCTTGTTGTTCAACACGATTCAATACATTATTGATGGGCGTCAAGGCAGGACGCTCACGAGTAAATTCTTCATCAAAGTTGGAGGTATCCAGTGGGCCTGAAATGGTAGGACAGAAGGGTGGTGGGACGCGTTTCGCGAGCATATCATCCCAGTTAACACCTTGGAAGAATGGATGTTCCTTGATTTCAGCTGCATCATTTGGTCCAGCGCCCAATCTCTTCTTGGGGTCACGAGTAAGTAACTTTAAATAATAGATTCGCACATCAAATTAAGGATTATTAGTAGGGAGGCAGTAACCAAATTCACACCGTCTATGAACCAACTTACTCTTTGACAAATAGATACTGAATCTCTCGACATATTGACAGGATAAAGAATCTCATCTTCTAAAATAGCATCGAAAATTTCATCCTCATCTTCACCACGGAAAGGTGATTGACCTAATAACATTTCATATACAAGCACACCGAATGCCCACCAGTCAACTGCGCGACCATACTTTTGTTCTAGTAGAATTTCAGGTGCCATAAACTCTGGCGTACCACAGAATGTACCAGTTGTATCCTCATACCACATATTTTCCTTACATAGACCATAATCTGCAACCTTGATATGACCATCCAACCCGAGCATGATATTATCCAACTTCAAATCACGGTAAATAATACCTTGGCTATGGAAATATTCTAAAGCTAAAAGGACTTCACAAGCATAGAATCTGGAGAGGTTGATTGTTAAATAAAGATATATAGTACCTCAAGACTATGAATGAATCCGAAATCTCTTACTTTGCTCTTCGTTCAGAAAATGGTTCACGTTGGATATGCCACATCAAATCACCACCACTTACATATTCCATTACGAAATAAACACGCGATTCCGTTTGGAAAGTGGATTGCAACCCAATCAAAAATGGATGTTTAGCACGGTTAGCAGCTTGGAAGATACGCTTTTCTGAGCGAACACTGATGAGTAGAATGAAGACATATTGAGTGCGCAGACAGTCATGAGACATCTTCAGTGAAACTGTAATACCATTACCTTTCAATTTCGTCGTTATCAATAATGAATCGCTTCTTCAATACCTTTACGGCGTATAATCGTTTATCATATTTATCCTCAGCTAACATGACTTTACCGAAATTGCCTTTACCAAGCACAAACAAAAAGTTGAAATCATTCAATGTAACACGTCTTTGTTGTTGTTGTTGTTGAGGTGATTGAGGTTTCATTTGCATCTGAGGAGGACGCATCATCTCCATACTATGTTGTGATGGTGGTTGTTGGTTAAACGTAGGGGCAGGTCGAATATTAGATTGCTGCGGTGGATAAGCAGGGCGCATCTGATTTTGCTGATAACGAGGATCAAATTGCTGTTGATAACGAGGATCATTTGTTTGAATAGGGTATTGTTGTTGTTGCTGCTGCTGAGGATAGTAAGGTTGGGCATGAGGGGGCAAAACAGGCGGAGGCGGTGCTGCTACAGGGCTATGACCAGTAGTGGCATAATGAGATTGTTGCTGCGATGGCATAGGCATAGGCATAGGCATGGAGGGTATTTGCTGCTGATGGTTGTGATGCTTTTGCTGTTGCTGCTGCTGCTGCTGCTGTTGTGGAGAAAGGTGAACTTGATTCTGCATCGAGGGCGTTTGAACCATTGATGGATAACCATGAGATGACTGTGAAGGCGCACTCTGCTGTTGTTGAGGTACAGTTTGTGGACGCGACTGAGATTGAGGTTGAGATTGTTGCTGCTGTTGAGGCTGATAAGGCTTAGGCAGAGGCTTTTGTTGGTTTAAGGATATCTGCGACATATTCTCAGCAAGTTTATTTTCCTCCTCATGACGAGATGAACGTGCTGGTTTCGTACTCGTGGTGGACGATGTAGATGGGGTCACTGTTCCCTCCAGCGTTTTCCTCTTATTAGCTGCTTTGATTTCGGCAAGCATTTGGTTGGCCATTTCCATAGATAAACCACAAAAGTCTGGGATAAAATGTTGACACTTTGTATGACAAGTAATTCCACATTCTACGGCATGGAAGCACAAAAGTTAACAACTATTTTCTGGATATAAATTCAATGACAATTCTTACCTGAACATTTCTTGGCGCCTCGAGATCCTAAAGGTAGCATATAACCACAATGACAGCACCAGTTGGCACCGATATTGGTGATGGGTTCGAAGCGATGAGGAATTCTATGGTTAAGTTTGTCTTCGTCTGCATCTTTATCAGAGCTAGATTTGGATATACATTTGGTGACAACTTTTGTATAACATTTCTTATGGCAGGTATATTCACAATCATCACACTGATATCCAACATTCACCATGAATTCACCACAAAGAGCACAACGCATGATATTGTAAAACTTCTTTTCAACAAATTGATGGCCATTCATTTCATGAACTTCTTCTTTACGCTGTCTTACGGCGCCTGCACGACCCAATTTGTCTAATGGACGGCGATTGGCAGCCTCACGAACTATAAGAGAAATTGAAGGTGATACGCAGTTAATGAAGGCTAGTAAAAGGTATTTTCGTAGTCTGAGAGTGCTTCTTACCAAAGTTAACACGTAATAACATTTCACCAGAAGGCTCCACGTCAAACCAAGCCTGTATACCATCCTCAGTAGCATCGACGCGTGTTGGTTGTTGTGGGACAACCTGCTGTTGCTGCTCCAAATGCAGTTTTTGGTTACCTCCTTCTTCTTCTTGTTTTTGGTATACATCCGCAGGAACCCATCCAGGGCCGCTTTCTTGTTGAATTTTTTTCTTACGTAAACCTTCAGCAATATCGGTAATCTTCAACCAGAACAAACCAATAGGCAAGCTGCGTTCGGCCTCTTGGTCATAGATAGAAATTTCTACCTCGGTCGCCTTGTTGACATGTGTTTCACACATATCAAGCCATTTGTCGTTTCGTGACAGCTTTGAACGGAAGACAATATTACCATCAATTTTGACGTAAACGATCGTATCGGGCATCTTGAACATTCTTGTGGGCGCGTGAGCTAATCCACGAGCTTGTATAAGTTCAAGTTGCAGCTTTCCTGTCACGGGTCTTCTAAATCCAGGAGGCATACGAGCAGATGGAGGCGTTTCAAGTTCTGTTTTACGAGAGGAATAATAAATGTTCATCACTCCAGCGCAATCTTACAAAAGGAAAAAGCGAATCACAAAATATTTACCACAATCATCGTCCTCATCACCTTCGCCAATATAAAGGCTTTTGTATTTTCTCAAAGCTTTCGTTAAGAGGTTCAGTTTCTCAATACTTTCATACATTTGGCCTTGTAATTCTGATCTTCTCTTTCTGTCACTCAGTGATGAATCCTTATCCAACACGTCAGCCATGGTCTTTATACCGGCCAAGACCTTATTCTCAACGTCTAGTTTATATTCCAATTCATGAAGCTTAAGGGACACCTTCGATTTGTTATACAAAGTTTCAGTGGTCAGTAAATCTGTTTTAGAAAGATTCGTAGATATAAAAGATTCACTTGGTTAGTACATCGCTCACTCAAATATCAGGTCTATAGCGTATGCAGCGGTACCTAGAGTCGAGTATTTCTTTACCGGACCATCATTCGAGATACTGCTCGTTCGTGGCGGTGGCGCAGAGTCGTCTTTAGTAACTGATGCATTATCAACAGTTTCGTTGCTATGATAGTTACTGACATTCGAATCAGATCCCTTTCTTGATTCCATTTTCGCGAGTTCTTCCGTAAAGTAATCGATATATTTTTGGCATTCTCGAATTTCAGTTTCACATTGAGAAAGTGCGTTGCGATCTGTCAATAGAGGCTTAAGCTGATAGGCTTTGTCGCGCATTCTTTCGTTTTGCGCAATCTTTGCTTTTAGCTCTCTTATTCTAACTTCATATTGATCCTATAAAGATAAACAAAGAAAGCGAGAAAAAAAACAAATAAAAAAGTGGGGTTAAAATAACGCTTCACGAGTAAAGATGAGAAACCTTCAATCTATTAAACAAGGTGGATATTTGAACTAACACTCATTCTAACTGTTCCAATTCAATCGTTCGTTGAGAGCAGCTTTTTTTTTTTCTTTGGAGAGAGACAGAAAAAAAAAGGCACAAAGTGGAGAACGGGGAAAAATCTAACAAATTTGATACAGAAAGCACAAATATGGGCTTACTCTCAAGATGCGCTTCCCAAGTGTGGATAAGGTAGCGGAGTTACAAAGCGAATTTCGAGTGGTCGTTTCGGTCAAAACCTTATTCTCATACAGAAAAGTAGTTTAAAGGCGTTAAGATGAAAGTGCAGCCAATCAGGTAAATAGTTTTATCGGAGAGCAGAGCATATTTCAGGTACAACTGAACAAAGAAACTGCGTGAGTGTAATCTACATCTGAATCATATCTCACTGAATTGCAATGTTTACTAAGATCGAATATAATCTGTTTTTAAAACAGCGAGATATTACTGTAGAGGCGCGGCTCACTACATTTCATGAGTTTCATTCCTTCCATGGGCGTCCGGAGCAGCCAGCACATCATTAAAGGCTTGCTCTACCAATGACTACTTTGCATAAAATAAATACCCATCGTAACTGAACGAGTCGTAAGCTGTAGCGAAATCACTAAGATATTTAAACATTCGGTAGTGACCGATTAACTTATTCCATTTTGCTATGTAAATCAATTTACGGTTGTATTTACATATCCATATACAGCCTTCCGATTCTGTTTTTTGTACCTCACACTAGTGCTATCATTGCTGCTACGGTAAAAGAATGACAGATGTGATTTACTAGCTTTTGCACTTACATAGACCGTTCAAACATTATTTTATTTTTTGTATATGTTCATGAATGCAGCTTAGCTATTTCAAATCGTATATGCTTGAGACTTCATTAGCAAACATAGTTGCTGGAGTTACAGGACTCATTATATTTTATGAATATCCGGGCTATCAGAGTAATTAAGCGTTTGAAGATTGATTGATCGCCCACACGCAGATATCTGAAGATTCTGCAAATGTTTAAATTTAAGGCAACTTTGCAGAAAACTTGGAAAATAACGTGTTGGTAGAGGCTAATTAATGATTTTTCAACTTCTACTTTAAACATCGAATAGTGCCCTTATTCGTAACAAAATATATTTTTAACTTTTCTTTATTTCATTTGAATTCATTTAATTAGCAGCAGCGGCACCGCTAGCACGCCATTCTCCTAAGATGAGGGAAATAATGTCATCCATTCCAACGCCATTCTTGACTTGGGCAAAAACAGTTGGGCCATCACCTCTATTTAAATGCAAATTTTATGGATAAGTTAACAGGAATCAGGTCTTATTCAAATATGCCTTCCCGTTTATATTTCTTCATACCTCATCTTTTTAGCATCACGAGCCATGACGTCCAAATCTGCACCGACAATAGGCGCCAAGTCTGTCTTGTTAATAATCAGTAAATCACTTTGAGTAATACCTGGACCTGAAGAAATATCGTGAGAAAGCAAAGAAAATACGTCAATATCAGGGGATGGGAGTACAGCTGACTTTCGTATAACGCCTACCTCCTTTTCTGGGAACCTTGTCACCACCAGCAACATCAATAACGTAAATGATATAATCGGCTGTAAAAGTGAACAGATTAGTAACTCAATATTCTCGAATACACGCTGGAATTGTGCTAAAATGGAAATACGGTACCTAATTCACGGCTTTTGATAAGTAAGTGGGGTAAGGTATCAATGGAAAAAAAAAGGTACCATTAGTAATCATCATCCGCATTATGTCAAAAGCATGTAACACGACAAGTATACTCACCTATAGTTAGCAGCCAAGTTATCGCCACCAGATTCGATCAATAAGAGTTGTGTGTTAAATTTGGCATGAAGTGTCTCTAAGGCATTCAAATTGGCAGAGACATCCTCACTATATCATAAATTAGTCGAAACAGGCGTGAGTGATGTTATGCATGAACCACAGATGCACTACAATTAGCAAATTACCGAATAGCCTATTGAATTGTGAAGAAACGACGGTTAATACAGCTATTAGATCTCAAAGACAATGCTACTGGACTTACGGCATGAGGGCAACCACCAGTCTCAATGGCAGCAATACGCTCTTCAGGTAAAGCGGCATTACGAACTAGAAACTCAGTATCTTCTTTAGTGAAGATATCGTTTGTTACAGCTGCAATTGAGTATTGATCACGAAGACGTTGACATAAGGCCAACATCAAAGCCGTCTTGCCAGAACCAACAGGCCTATACAGAACAAGCCGAAGGTTAGCTTTGTTTCATTCTACAAAAAGGCAAGCAATTTGGTTTCGTTACCCTCCAATACCAACAGTAAAGGCTCTCTCGGACCAATCACGATTATCATAGATAGCTTTGGGTCTATCAGTGTATAATCCAGGAGAGTCCAATTGTTCATGAGTATGGCCATGATCATGGCTATGACTATGATCGTGTGTATGAGTGTGTTGAGGTTCAGAATTTTTATTCTGACTATTTTGGTGTTCTTCAAAGCGGCAAGTTTCAGCTGTCATATTTTTACTCCCTCTTTATTCCGTGGATGGTTATATTGAGAAAATGAAAAAGTAAAAGTAAGAAAGAGGAAGCGATTTATAGAAATATACCCTCACCAAAACATTGACTGTCGTAATGGATACACAAACAGTTGGCATTAATTTCCTTTTTTTTTAACCAATAGTTCATAAACAACCTTATCACTATCAAATTTTGTTAACGCGGACAATCCCGAGGGGTGTAAGATAGTAAGCTTTATAGACTAGCGAATCATATTATGCTTTCTCCCTGAGATACATGTTGTTTTGAAAAAAAAAAAAAGAAGGCCTATATTTGAAGCTTATTTGTGATGGAGTTTCACCTGTGAGGTTTCGAGAGCTATCCCTTTGTAACAAGCGTTTATAGAATAGTCACTATTTTAGCCCTCTAGTGAAAATCCTCTGAGTATAAACTTGAGACAAGAGTTTCCAGCAGCAATGCCGTAATGGAAAACGGTAGCTCGATATTACCAGATTTTTCTGTGCTTCTTTTTTGGGTGGGTTATGCGCTGATATTCCGCCCTGGCAAATCAGTGTAATACCATTTTACCAGAAACTATATATTACTGAAACTCAAGCAATGGGAATTGAGGGATTTATCGCGTCACTTTTTATATTGACGTTGTAGACGTCAACAGAAGACTCTCATGTTAATATTTTTCAATATAACGGGTGACTGTTGACCTTCCATAAAGAGTCTTCTGTGCGTCATATCAGGAAAAAGAAAGGTTCTTTTTTTGCATCAGTTGAAGAAGGGTTCTTTATCTCTAGTAGAAAAGGGTCCATCTACCCTTGTCTCTTATTGAAGTCCTATATAATAATGTCATAGACATTTTGGAAAAAAAGAAAAAAAGAAAAAAAGAAAAAAGAAAGGCACAAAAGCTTGTGGTTGGATCAATTTCACTGAATTACTCCTAAACCCTGAACCAAGCAAGAACAGAATATTGCTCCCATAGTGAAACTGCTTTCATATGTTTGAGAAGTATGGACACCTGTTGTACCTGAAGTCGGTATCATTCGTCGCTGGAATTCAGAACTGATTACACAAGAATTTAACGGGGAAAAGTAGAAAGGCCCAGATCGCTTGCAGATTGGACATGGATCAGATTCCTTTTCAAGAGCTGTATGTAACCATCCAAAAACAGTTTACCTTTATTTTATTTTATTTTTTTTTTTTCTTTTGAAACCATATAAATAGAGAACAGAAAGTTTCTGCTTTACAGAACAAAGAAAAAGTTCAAGCCATCTTTTGTTCTTCTTTTCTGTCGCTACCCACTATCACTTTTCTACCCTTTTTTTCCCAATAAGCCAAAGACGTTCGACTCATGTCTCGCTTTACCGAACATTTTGACTTTGATACAACGCAATATGCGTATCCTTCACCATCTAAATCTTCATTTCTATCGTCGTATTCATCAGAAGAATTATCTATACATCAAGGACATAAGCATATATATCCTCTTATGGCAAATTCATACAGCTCCTTTGATAGTCATCATACCACCTTGACGAAAAGTAGTACTACAAGTAGCAGTAGTTGTAGTAGTAGAAGTAATAGTGTGCCTTGTTCACCCATCACACCAACCACTTGTGAGGAGGCAGACGACTACATAAACAGACTTCATCCCTCTGAAGAGAAAGCTTTGTCTTCCAAGCTAAAACGATTACTTACCACCATGTCGATAAAGAAAAAACGAACCTTACCATCTACAGCAAATCTTTATGCCTCCTCAACAGCTTAAAATTATCCTACTTGCTTGCATTTACCTAATGATTTATTTATACCATTATTTCTATACAGACCTTCTATGCTTTATGTATAATTTTTTTTCTCTGCCTGCTCATACACTAATGACGACCTTAACAGTCCTCTCTCTACTACTATCACTCTCTTCCTCCCTCTATTCCAAATACCCTTATGATCTATGTATTCGTGTTTTCAATGTGATTCTGACCTCTTTTTCAAATGACAATAACATCATCATATGAACGCTTTCTTTTGCTATTATTTTTCCCATGGAACTGGTTCTTTCCTATAAATCTCAGTTCAAAATATCTTTTCTTCTAAGCGGTTCAAGTTGATCGTAACGTTTAAGTAGTGAAAGGATGGCGTGAGCTAGGAAAGCATATCTCTTTATTGTTCCGAAGGATATTTAGTCGTCTATAATATTGAAGCATCAGATCATACCCATTCTTGCCTTTTTTTAATTTTTTTTTTTTTTTTCTTGAATAGGTACTTGGATGAGTGTGCGTGAGATGATCACGCTCACTACACAAAAAATCGATTTATTGTTGTACCTGTCAATTACCTCTTCAAATGACTTTCTGTTCTATTCTTAGTTCTCGTTAGCCGTTATGATCGACATCCAATTTAATTGGTACGGTTCTAGAAAATCGGCCAGCAAATTATACAAAAGTAAAATTATATATAGAAATAGGGTAGCACCTTACGTTTTTAGGGTATAGCTTAAATATATTACTCAGGAAGCAGAGTGCTTCAAGGGTATGCTGTGTCTTAGAGTAGAACAAATAGGAAAGAAACTGCTTCAAGTGTTTGAGTCTGCTATAGGTCAGTTATTGTGATCTTCTAACATTCTATCGTAGAACTATTTTCAACCAAAACAGAGGAGGGGTGTTATGGATGAGGCAGGCTATACAGGGATAAAAAGTCTGACGTTAAACTTTCTCTTCGTGTTGCGTGTTTGTACTACTCAACTGTCCTACAGCACCCAAGTCGTTTTCAATTCCTATATATTCTTGAAGAGGCTTTGTAACCAGGTCTCTACGAACTAAAAAGTATATAGAGCAACCGATCCTTCAGTATTCTAGATTCTATTAACACATTCACAGTATTTGTTTTGATCCTTGTACTTTGTCCATATGACTTACTTTGTAGAGAAGCCAGTTCAGACACTACCTATTCATATACGGTTTTATAAAACAATAAACTACAATGTCTTTACGATCTATTGTGGTCTACCTATGCCCTTAAATTACATTGTCTTTATTGTCTGGTTCTGGTTTTTGTTTTTGTTTTTTTGTTTCTTCACGAAGAAAGCATTTCGCTATGAGAACGTGCAATGTTACCCACTGTGTATCTTACTTCTGCTTTTTCCAAATTTCCGGCGTCCATTGAAACTGAATCAACAGCTTTTAGCATTGCAGTAAGCGGTCTTTGGCATATCCTCTTACAGAGTCGGGTTTGTGTTATAAAAATGTCAAGTAGAAATCGCGGTGTTTTTGACAATGTAATCTAACGCTTTTAACTCTTGAAGTCTGCTTGAATCATTTTTTGATTATCATCAGTGGCTTGCATTAAAGGAGCAAAAGATGGAATACTATTTACAAACCAAATTATAATGCAGCAATCTTCGACGAGATTTGTCTCTTACCTGTCCAACCGAAATGTAGTAAAAAACCTGGCACAAAGAGTTTTTTAACTTGACCAATCTGGCGAGCTTCCTGTTTATCGAAAAGATTGACGATAACCAACCAATCATTTGTGAGAGGTTAGGTAATAAAGTAGACTAAAAAAAAGGCAAAAAAAAAAAAAAAAAAAGAATTTAGCGACGGTGGTAAACTTTATTTAAAAAAATCAAAGATACAGAATTAACAACCTGGTACAAACTGATTCAATATTTGTATGAGAGCTGGATTGAGAGGAGAAATAATAACATGAAGAACTATCTACTTAGTTATTCTATACTTACATAATGATTCGTATTCCATTATCTGATATGTTCGGTGGTATACTTAGCTAGCTGAAGGCGTGTAAACTATGTATTTGTATAGAACACGAGTGATTACATATCAATAATGCCTAATAAGGATACTTCTTGTTTTACCATTACATCGTCCACTGCGACTATTGATGCCATAAGGATTTGAGAATTTCCACAATTGTTGTAGACTTCATAAAATTAAGAGTACACCTGACAATAACTAGGAAGTTTCTCCTAAAAGGGCGACTATGGTGTGTCTAAAAGCATGCTTAAAAAATCCTTCTTATTGCAATGATATTATCGTTAAGACAGTTAGCTATATACGGCACTTAACAGTTATGTACTCACAGTATCTAGCAAGGCAGTGTAAGAAAGGTTTGTATATAGCGTAAAGAACTTTGACAATAACGGGCAGAAGAGCGCTTGTTGGTAATGCAGTTGGAGATTATACTACATCTGCCTGGAAGCCGTCTTGCAGGATATGGTATAAGCATATTTGCCGCATTTGGATCTTTTCTATCGATTTGATTAACAAGGGGGGAAAAGCTAATTAGTTGTTGCTTACTAATAAGTGTTATGATGATCCATCATTCTTTCATCGTGCAACATTAACTTCGTATCAATGTCTTATTGTGCGATGGGAATATATATACACGAGTAACTCACTCACAACGTCTAACGAAATATTACAATAAAATTTTGTTCTCAAATATGAGCGGTACTCATCTTCGTTCCCGTTTGATAAGCGGTGTGTTCGATAGCATACATTTAGAGGTCAAATGTATAATAATAAGATAATTCTAATTCAAAAATAACTACCTCACATAAGAGTCAAACAAGTTGCCTTCAGGAATTATATATTACTTATGTTATCTATAGCTATATGACTTTTGGGTTTATAGCAGGATATATTGATTCAACAACCAGAACATAGTAGGTTGTGTCTTTACTTCCCCTTCTAAAGATAAAGCATAGTTAGTGATTATAGGCCCAATCACTCTTTAAGAATATAACAAAAGTTCAGGCACAAGTATCTCTTTCTAGCTAACATCTACAATCATTTCCACAAAACTGGAGCTATATAACTGGTGGCTGATAGATATTGGATTATAGATGCAGCAATATGATGACTCTCGATCTGCCAGAATGATTTATTCCAGGCTAATGCACTCTGGGTAGACTTGATTCAATGAGTATTATTTGACCGTAATACATCAGTGTCAGTTATGGCATCCGATACATTCGTAGACAGCAAACGCGATAATTTTTAATAGTAGTAGTTCAGTCTTTTCTTTTTTCTTCAGTTTGTTTTGAAGGAAAATGAAGACGTTGGGGATTTCGTTACGCTTTCGTGTTAATTATCTCTGATATCATCCTTTTTGTTCATTCTTCTAGTAAAATTTGACGAATACCACCGTAGAATCGGTTCTAGATTTACGCTTTTCTGGAAATGGTTAGCTGTAATTGACCTTGGTCTTGCAAAATAATAGCTTAGAGTTTCGTTGATCATATATCAAGTAACCAAAAAATCTCTCCCTTGCTAGCGTGCGAGTCCTAATTGAAGGTCTTACTATTCGAGTAGATAAGCCTAATACTTAAGTTTCAAGAGGTTGATTGGAAAAAGATTTAACGTTGTTGTTCCCAATGCACTGTCTTTTTTCAATTCAGTTTTTAAGTGTTCAACATTCGATAAGAATTCTATAAGTGCGAAAGAGTTGCTGCCATACGTCTGAGGAAGCTTAACTTGAACAGTATTGAATTGTCAGTTGAGTGATTTTATTAGCGTGATCATAGGGGAGCAGATACTTTTACAAACCATCTCTATCGGGCACTGTAGACTGCAACAGCAGTTAGAATAATTTCGTGCTTTTTACTACATTTCTGTTGGACAGGTAAAGAGACAAATCTCATCGAAAATTGCTGCATTATAATTTGGTTTGTAAATAGTATTCCATCTTTTGCTCCTTTAATGCAAGCCACTGACGATAATCAAAAAATGATTCAAGCAGACTTCAAGAGTTAAAAGCGTTAGATTACATTGTCAAAAACACCGCGATTTCTACTTGACATTTTTATAACACAAACCCGACTCTGTAAGAGGATATGCCAAAGACCGCTTACTGCAATGCTAAAAGCTGTTGATTCAGTTTCAATGAACGCCGGATTTGGAAAACCACTATATTATACGTATTTGCCTCCTACTTTCGTTTTCGTACCAGGCAGTGAAAGGCTTTTGATTTTTCTTTTTCTTTATTTAAAAATACTTGTATACCAAAATTTTGGACATAAATGCAATTCATTTGTGTCTATACATTAGAATATTAACAGTTTATAGACACAATATATATCAAATGAAAATAAGAACAGATATAACACAATAAACCATTGAAGTAGGTATAGATACATCAGCTTTATCAATCAGCATTATGAATCTATAATAAATGAGTCAAGGGGTGGCATGAACCAACAGAAAATTGAACGGTGTAGCCGTCTTACATATAGAATTACACAATCAAATAGAAAAATAAATAGAAATACAAAAATTTTCTTCAAACAGATCAAGTGCTGACAAAAACCAGGAATTCCTTTCTTCATAAAAATCTTGAACAGATAATTTCTATTCGGCTTTAAGTATGAGATCGGCGACTATTGGAGGGGTGCAAGGTATTCGTTGGTTTACTGACCGAGACATCTTCTCTATGCTTGGCATTGAGTTTGTGTGGTAGCGGTTCGTCGCCTGTTTTAATAGAAGTGTTATAAGTTGTATGACTTTGAGGGTAATCAAAATGTTCAGGTGATGTAGAAGTTGAAGTAAAACTGGTATTTGATATGTGAAGTTGATCAGAATCTGAATAATTATCGATAAACAGAGATGAGTAAACTTTTCGAAAGGGGAAGTATTGAAAGAAAAACCGACTGCATCAAAAAAAAAGACTTACAATCACTATAAGGGCGGCTCAAGCCAGCTTCCAAATCTTCATGGTTATGAGTGCTGTCATTAGGAAATAGATTTTCTGGGGCCTTGATCCTTAGTGGAAATGGTTTGTGACATTGAACATCTGCTAAGGATGGGTAATACTGTCTATAGGCGAAATAAGCAAATACAGTGCCTACACAAGTAGAAGGTTACACGCATGACAAAGGATATTGAGATTTTTCTGATCAGCTAAAATGCGTTTTCATGGTTCTAATTTCTTCCTTTACCTATAATTGCACCAGCAAACACGTCTGTCCAATGATGCCTATAGTCATGCAAACGTGATATGGCGACTAATAAAGCTGCTAGAAATGGAAAGGAGAACACAAAGCCTTTATATGTATGCTAAAGAAGAACATAATACAAATATATGGTAAGCTTCTAATCCATATTCATGAATGCCAAACCATTAATACTTTACTCCTCCTTCATCGAACAAATGCATTTTTCCAGCGAGATAGAATGACAAGTAACCCATACCAGCGAAAGAGACTATTTTTTTAAACAATAAACTCATATATCAATCTTAAGCTTGAACACCAAGACTCACTTCATCAATTGTACTTTACAAGAACTATGCCCACTAGGAAAACTCTTGAACCCGTCTCTAAACTTGTAAGTTGTATGGTCTTCTGTGCAAATTGTATAATTAAGTAAGTGTAACGGTGGGTTTTCGATGTTTGGTGGTGGCTGACATCTATCCAGCATATCCGGTCTAGGTCTACCCACAGTGACCTATAGGAAAGAGAGGAAAGGTTCAAACCACAGGTTAGATGACTAAACCAATCAAAATATTTTCTTGTTGATTCCTTTATCTGGCATGATTTTGTATCTTCTTTTTACCTTGATCACATCTGTTATCATGATGGTCAGCGATAGTGATAATGCTAAACCAAGTAAGGCACTATGAAAATCTAAAAAGCTTCTGCGCACTGCGAGCGCTACAATAGCGATAATAACAATTGGAGCAACAATGGCTATCATCTATCAAATTGAAATTCTTTTTTAGCCGCCAAGTTCTCAGTTATTGTTAGAAAATAGAGTTTAAAATCATTAACTTACAACAAGAGCCCAAACAGGCACTGTTTCATTAACTGTATAGTAGTGCATTAATGCCTCATCATGGATTGAAAATTCTCTATGGTGAGGGTCGACAGAGTCGATAGCAAAGAAAATAATTATCATGATAATGACAAGGACCCAATCTTTGCCATAGCTGATGATGAGACGTTTCTTTAATGAATCTGTGGGTCGAACAAGCCGAAGCATGATTGTTTATTCCAGTTGTTGTGTACCGTTAATGCAAGTTAAATTTCGATTAATTGAAAATTGCTAAAAGTCGTGTCTTTTTCAGAATGAGAAAGGAAAGGTATTATGCCTCTTTTCTCGAATCTGAAGGTATAGAATCCAAAGATACAAAAGGATAGAGAGAGAGAGAAAGGACAAAAGAGACAAAGGAGAACAGAAAAGAAAAGCGTCATTTAAACAAATTAACCCATTATCCATAACAGTATTTGGCTGGTTGCTGAATGGAAATTTTTTCCGCTGTCTTTTTTAGTTTAACCCACACAAATCTACCAAATCAATTACTTTTAGCGGAAATTTGCTAGAAATTCTATCTGTTCGACGATCTCGTTTAACGTTCACAGATATCTTTGTGAATGCCAAGCATATTATCATTGCTAAGCACAATTTTAATGTGAATAGTTGGACAAATAAGTTATTAAATGCAGCCTCAGTGAAATATTATCCTATGTATGTGCCATATCGAAAGTGAGACTTCATTTTGCAAACAAATAAAGTATAATTGCATACCAAAAACCAGTGTTTTGTTGTATATTTGAATCTGCGTCATGGATCCGTCGTCGATCACTGGACTGTGTGTGTATAATAAAAGTTACTTCTATGTGGCAAATTTACGTCATGTCATTAACCAAATTGAGAAAAAGTAATCTTCAGTGGATCATATATTCTATTATGTATTTGGATTTATGGAATGCACAACCCCATCGTATCCTTCTTTTTTTGTTTCATTCGAAAACATAATGCTATTTCAATCTGTAAAATTGGGCTTTAAAAAATTTAGAAATATCTGGGTATCCTTCCGACAAAATCTATCCAGTGATTTAAGAATAGCTTTGGCTTTGGGCCGGGCGTGCTACCATTGTAGAAGCTGCACTTATGCTTCAAGTTTTTGAAATTTTTATCTTTGATGGAGGGGTTTAGTCGTAGATGTGCAAGAAACGGTAGGTTTGATGCTATATAAGCCAAATACTCATGAAGGTGACAGAACTCTGTACATGAGCTATCAAAACAAAACAATAAGTACTTTCGTTGTCAAAAGAAACCTCTCTGATCGGGTAGAACCTTTCTATGAATTGTTGTGCTAGCACCAAAAGACAGTGGAATTAGCCGTGATAGTCATGCTAACCTCCCTGCGTCGTATTTTTGAAGCTGACTGTAATTTTGTGGTAGGTTGATGATACAGTCATGTTTGCAAGCAATCAATGATAATTGTATGAAGCAGCAAGAAGAATGGTGGTATTAGAATACGGAATATTTATCCTAAACGAGCACATACTATTGAAGCTAAATAAGACTTGAGTGTGTTAAGCACCTGCTGTCTTCATTTAATATGCACAATCTGTGTATAAGGATGACTGCAACGTCTGAAAAGAATATTTTATAAATAGGCAGGTCGCTCTCTCACAATCTTTTTTTTTTCGGATACTTGTTCCAGACTCCTTTCTCCATTTTATCACATCTAGATATCATTTTACCCTAAAAATTAACAAAATTAAGGAGTATAGCATGATGTGATCAAAAAAGTAATTTAATTGCTTGTTAAGACTCTCTTTATTTGTACATCAACCATGCAAACACGTAACTTGCCTACTAACTCCACTAGCAAATATTGTACAGCCTGTGATCTCTGAGTCTCAGTCGGAGCTAAATTTGAGCAGTTGCCATCAAGCTGTTGAATGGTATGATCGAGGAAGTTACAGATGATTAACATGATGAGTTGATTACAACAATCTATCATATCATTGTTTGATATCATAGAGAGCAAGCGTGTAAATTTGATAGAGCAATTCATTTTTGGCTAGAGTATTATCATCTGCTGCTACCAAATACAACGTTTTAACCAAAATATTATGTCCCAATTCCCTCGAATAAGTGTACCATTTAGCCCCTGAAGAAATAAATGTGTGTTGTCTAATAAGGAAAGCAAGTGAATTGTCTGTGTCTCATAAGAAGTATAAAATGTATTGGAATCTGGCAGATGTTTGACAGCTCTTCAGTAATGAAGTGCGGTAGTTGGGAGTTCTAGACTGTAACACACCGTGTGGCAAACCCTAGATTTGTGAACATTAATGGTTGCTAAATTAATCTTTGCAGTAGAGTTATTTAGAAGCAGCATTTTTTCTGGTAAAAGTGCATGCTAGCTCGCTTCGAGCTGTTTTTCTTCTTCTTTTTTTCACGTATAAAAAGAAAAAAGATACATTCGACCTCCTTACAGCCCTCTTCTCCATATTAATTTATCTTTTACATTTAAACTTTGCTGCCTAAGGTTTTTTAAAAAGTTTCAGTCTCATTATTACAGCTTGAAAGCAGCTTTGTTCTATCTTTTGCTATTCAGACTGTAAACTCTACTCCCTTTTCTAATGTCCTTTCCTGCACGATCTCCAGCAACAGTAGATGAGACAGGCTATAAAAAATATAAAGGCAGAAATAGATCTTCATCGTTCACTCACTATGCAACATTAACAAACGCTTTACAGCATGTACATAACAACGGCAATAGCAATGCTAATGCAAACAAATATACGTCTTTACTGTCATCTTCGGGTATAGCAGTAGCATCGACTGCCAGAAGTAGTTTGAACCGAATGCCCAGCTATGATTTTACCAATATGAAGGGAAGCACAAGCCTAAGTACTAGTAGCAGCAGTACTTTAAGCCAACTACATCAAAACGATAATCGTGCTATAGACGTTAAAAGATTTCAACCAAGTACATCTCAAAGTAATTTTTTGACAGTTAATACCCAATTTGGACATGGTGCAGCTTCTTCTAATGAAGAATCAGGGGGATCCGACGATGAAGGACTAGAAGATGAGCTTATTGACATTTACACTTATGACAGTGAACGTAAACAAGAGATATCCAGTCGAACTTATCCGTCGTCAACAACAGTAGAGCAACATACATTTGTAGGTAAGATTAATCTCAACAACAATGAAAGATGCTTGATATATGCAAGCCTATTTTATTAACAAAAAAACTATTTTTCTTTTCCTCTCTTTTATTGAAGAGTCACCAACTCCACTTTCAACTTTTACAGAAAATAAGAGCCACCACCAAAGTAGAAGTCTCGCACATTCTTTCAAAGAAAAATTAAACATAACGTCGCGTAAAAGTACAACAATATCACCCAGTGGGAAAAAAGGCTTTCACCTCGCCGGCAATAATAGTAATAATAGTCGAGCGAATAGCGGTGTGTTCAATACTTTTTTAAACCATACTACGCAAAAGAATAATACTACAGGCTCTACTTCAGCTACACCACAGCAACAGCAACTTTATGATGATGGATCAGCACAAACATACCCGCCTCCTCAAAGACAAAGTAACAAAAGGTGAATAAGAGATTAATTTAATATGGTTTAGAAGGCCTTAGAATACGTCATTAAGCAAATTTGTGACTATAGAGATCAATATGGCTTTTTAAAAAGTTCTCAATGGATATCTGATGAAGCTTACAATGAGTTTGAGAGTTACTATGAACCCATTATTAAAAGACGTCAACAAAAATGGCGACAGTTGTTATGCGAGAACAATGAACAATGGCCTCCAAGAAGTAATAAATGTGAGAATCGAATTAGAGTAAAGGAAATTTGAAAAACCGAAGATAAAAGGCTAATAATTCACCTTCTTTCCGTCTCTAGTGAAAAGATATATTCGAAAAGGTATACCAGTAGAACTTAGAGGACAGGTTAGAGAAAAGAAAACGTTATGCCTACCCTTTATAGCGATGCTTAAAGTAGAGTCTATTTTTCTACGTTATTCAGGCTTGGTTGCATTATAGCGGAGCCAAAGCAAAATTGGAAGCAAATGAAGGTGTTTATGACAAGCTTATCCAGAAAGCAGAGGCATTAGGCAATAACAATGAAAATCTTGATATCATTGAAAGAGATTTACATCGAACGTTTCCCGAAAATGATCGATTCCGACCCAATACCACTGTTGAAATTGAACAACAACAACAACAACAACAACAACAACAACAACAACAGCAACAGCAAAGTATACCATCCACTACGAACAACTCGAGCAATATACCATCACAAACTATATCGAATACTACGGCCACATCGTCTGTGTCGGCATCATCCAAAGATATAAAGCAGCAACCTGCCATTATCCAATCTCTCAGAAGAGTCTTACTTGCATTTTCTGTTCATTCACCTTCCATTGGTTATTGCCAGTCCCTCAATTACATTGCAGGCATGTTGCTCTTATTTCTCAGTGAAGAGGAGGCCTTTTGGACATTTGTGACACTAATTCATGATATTCTGCCACCTAATATCTATGATGTGACCATGGAAGGTGCTAATATTGATCAGCATGTGCTCATGATACTACTTTCAGAAAGATACCCGCATATTTGGAATAGATTATCTGGTGGGAAAACGTTCTGGCAATGTGAGGATGAAGAGGGAGACCACGTGGGTGGTATGCCTACTTGCTCTCTAGTGACCAGTCATTGGTTCTTGACACTTTTCATCAATATTTTACCGGTTGAGGTAAGCTAGATCATAAAACAGCAACTTGTATACTACCTAAGGAACATCTGTTTAACAAACACAATTGACTTTTTCTCTGCTAATCATACTTTTGCAGAGTGTTTTACGCGTTTGGGATTGCTTGTTCTATGACGGACAAAAGGTACTCTTCAGGGTAGCTTTAGGGATCTTTAAATTGAACGAAAATGAAATTTTATCTGTACAGGATCCTTTGGAAGTTTTTCAAGTCGTTCAGGTAAACGGGCGCAAATTAAACTAGGTTTTATTGCTTTACAAATCAATGTGTCCAACATACTCTCCTTCATAGAATATGCCGAAACGTATGGTAGATTGCCACAAACTCATTGATGGTACCTATCTTCAATATGCCTCAACTACTCGGGTGAGCGAAGATGAAATTAGAGAACGTCGAGAACTATTCAAGAGAAGAAGGGATGAGAGGCGTAGAAATATACCTGTAGAAAAGAGGGGAAAGCTACTAAAAAGAGGCACAGTTCGTGGTGCTATTATCCATCGAGCAAAAGAAGCAAAATATTTTGTAGAAAGAGCGAAAACTGTGCGAAAAGGATCGTAATCCTACATATACCTGACAAGCCTGTAATAAAGAACAATGGATAACTCGTAATAAAAATGATCAGCATGTAATCAAAAGGCAATTGCGATTGCCCGTTGTTCGCTAGCATCTGGACAATGTGAGTACCTTGCTTTTTGAAATCGCTATTATGGGAAAGTTCGAGTGCCAAAGGAAGAAGGTCCTTTTGTTTTCAGTTCCAAGCTTTATTTGTAATTAAATTGTGTATACATAACAATTCTTCGGCTTTGCGGCAAAGTAAACTTTGTATCCGTAATGGAAGCTTACATTAGAGTTGTAGCCAGTTGTTGAGGAAGAAGCCCATTGAATCGAAAAAGCTTCTAACAGCTCACTTCCTGTCCACTTCCGTCAGTGAAACCGATGTATGTAACTCATTTCGACAGAAACTGGAGATGTGAATTGCCGCTGCTGCCAATTATAGCTATTTGTAACTTTCTTTTTCACCTGTGCCTTTTACGGAAGCAATCGTGTCAAAATTTATTTTAAAAGATCTGTGCAACAAGGATAGGCATTTTCTTCCTTTCTTTTTTTCCATATAAATTCTGTTTGATTTCTTTGCTTTTCACAGCTTTCTTCTTTTTTTTTTTTTCTGCTTTAGAAAACTTTGTATAAAAAGATCACACCGTTCTTTAAAGAATGCTCTCCTCAATTGCCCGCACTACTTTCAAGCCTACTACTCGCATTGCTTCCCGTGCATTTGTCTCTACATGGAACGCTGTTCCTCAAGGTAAGTTACCTTTCAACTTAACGAGGGTAGAACAATGGAAGAGTTTTCCATTGATATCAAAAAGTGTTCATCAAATCAATTACCCCGCACCTTGTGCATATTTGTTTCATATCTGACTTTATTCTTGTATGATTGCATTAGGCCCCCCTGATGCTATCTTGGGCGTTACTGAAGCCTATAAGAAGGATACTTCACCCAACAAGATGAATTTGGGTGTTGGTGCTTACCGTGATGACGGAGGTAAGCCTTTCGTCCTCAATGCAGTCAAGAAGGTAAAAGAGAGATAGGAGTAGATTAGCTCCTTATAATAGGAATATTTGTGAAAAGTGATGAGGAACCTCACAAATTCCGTTGACAGGCTGAACAATACATGATCGGACAAAATATGGATAAAGAATATGCTGGCATTACTGGCGTTCCCTCTTTCACTAAAGCGGCTGGTGCTCTTGCCTATGGTGATGATAGCTCTGTGATCTCTGAAAATAGAGTAAGTGCTTTTTTTGGAAGTGTCTTTTGTAGTTGATAATGTTGTAGATAATTGACAAGCAGTGTTATAGCTTGCTATTGCTCAATCCATTTCCGGTACTGGTGCTCTTCGTGTTGGTGCTGAATTTCTCAATGCTTGGTATCCTCATGCCAAGAACATCGTTGTTCCTAATCCTACTTGGGGTAACCATATTCCTATCATGAAGAATGCTGGTCTTTCGTTGGAAAAATACACTTATTTCGATAAGAGCACCAACGGTCTTAATATTGACGGCATGTTAGAAGACCTTCACGTAAGTGAGAAAGAAAGAGAAACTAAATCGGCTTACCATCGGATAAATGCTAACGTTGACCTAAAACTGATTTATAGAAAGCTCCCAAAAATACAGTTGTTCTGCTCCATGCTTGTGCTCATAACCCTACCGGCGTTGACCCCACCAAGGAGCAATGGGATCAAATTTCTCAAGTTATTAAGGTAAGCTTCTATTCAACTTCAGACAGCAAAAAGAAAATTCGAACCTTTACTAAAGCATATGATTTCATGCAGGAAAGAGGACACTTCCCCTTCTTCGATATGGCTTACCAAGGTTTTGCCTCCGGCGATTGCACCCGTGATGCCTATGCTCTCCGCAAATTCGTTGCTGAAGGCCATCAGGTTATCTTGGCTCAATCCTTTGCCAAGAATATGGGCCTCTACGGTGAACGTGTAGGCTCTTTCTCTGTTGTATGTGCTGATGCTGAAGAAAAGTCTCGCATTGATTCTCAACTCAAGATTATCATTCGTCCCATGTACTCCAACCCTCCTATTCATGGTGCTCATATCGTTAGCACTGTCTTGAACACTCCTGAATTAAAGCAAGAATGGCTTGGAGAAGTCAAACATATGGCTGACCGTATCATTTCTATGAGAACCAAACTAAGAAACCATCTTGAAAATGATTTTGGATCCAAGAAGAGCTGGAACCATATCACTGATCAAATTGGTATGTTCTGTTATTCTGGTATGACACCTCAACAAGTTGAGAAGATCAAGTCAGACTGGCACGTTTATTTGACTCAAGACGGCAGAATCTCCATGGCCGGTATCTCTTCCTCTAATGTCAAATATCTTGCTGAGGCCATTCACAATGTCACCAAGGACTAATAACTAACATCGTGTGATTTTTTGACGTATATCTCCCTTTTCCGACTCTTTACCGTAAACTTTTCTGTTCATTTCCATATCAACCCTATAATGTAAACTTGTAATATAATTTTTTTTTGTTAGATTGTCATACCGAGAATTTACAACTTTTTGACGACTCATGATGAGTTATAGTTTATACAACAATTTAAGCGTTCTTGTGTAATGTACCTTCCATTGATAAAACGGGTGCAAAAGATAAGAAACAAGAAATTAAAGTGCAGAATCGAAAATTGCCGATCCATGTGAATGTGTAATCATAGTCGTACTTCCGAGGTGTGAAAATTGTGATAAGGCAGGCCCTTTGATCATTATTGAACATAATTTAATCCTTTACAATCAAAACTGCAGATGAACAATTCACCCGTACTTACTCAATATCAAGCACACCGCACAAATAAAGAAAAAATCATAAAGATACATACAAAAACGGGTTTATTTACAAATTAAATACCATAATACTATTACAAAGATGCTATAAGAGGATATACAGAAACGAGGCAGATTTAAGAGAAGAAGTATTTATTCAAAAAGGTTCAGAAATAAATTATTGACGAGCAGCAATTTCCTTAGCGGCAATAGCAGCACGCTTAGCCATCTTGGCATTGGATTTGGGACCCATGATACCACCACCCCAATGGCGACGGACTTCATCCCACTTCTCCGTGAAGTTAGCATTGACAGCAGAAACGAGATTAGCCAATTCAGCCTTATCAGCTTCAGAGACTTCAGTCAAAGCCAAAGCAGTGGCAGTCTTCTTGTGAACCAATTGACCAAGACGAGCTTTACCCTTGACAATACAGTAAGGAACACCCATCTTACGGCAAAGGGCAGGAAGCCAGAGGACCAATTCGATGGGATCAACATCATCGGCAATGACAACCAATTGAGCCTTCTTGGCTTCGACAAGAGCGGTGATGTGATTGATACCATACTTGACGACAACAGGCTTATCAGTCTTGGGAACTTCCTTCTTTTCAGCCTTGGCGGCAGCAATAGAACGAAGACGTTCCTTCTTTTCAGTCTTGCTTTCAGGTCTGTACTTGTGCATCAACTTGAAGAGTTGAGTAGCAGTGTTCTTGTCAAGAACGTGAGTGAATTGGTTGATAGCAGGAGGGACCTTGAGACGTTGGTAGATGATCTTCTTTTGACGTTGAAGACGGACGTAATGAGGCCACTTGACGAAGCGAGAGACATCACGCTTGGGTTGAACATCTTGACCAATACCGAAGTTCTTGGGAGTCTTTTCGATCAAAGGGTTGGTGTTCTTGGGAGTCTGCTTACCCTTAACAGCATAAGGAGAAGGGGCGACCTTTTTGCCAACGGATTTCTTTGTAGCAGGCTGTCATGGAGTGATAATGGTTTGATATCAGATTCAAATTTCTTAAGAAAATTCACAACTCTGATAAAACTACACTCTAACTAGCTGGATATTTCGCCTTCAAAAGCGAAGAGCAAAATAACGACCAGCTCAGCCAGATAAATAGGATAATCTTTATAACCCCTTTGATTGCCAATTCAAATTGATGAAAGATTACATCAAGCCTCAAAAATTGAGTCCATCCTTTGCATCCATACAATACAAATTCTTGGTGCTTTACAGGGAGATAATCCAAGTGAAGTTTTTAAAACTGTTTGATAAGGGATGTTTTAACTTACCATGACTGATGGATGTATTCGTTTAGTCAGAAGTGGATGAAAAAAGAAAGATTTTTTCAAAAATAGGTCTTGAGCGCTTTTGAAGTATTTTTGACAGATTGTTCCAAGTTATTCCGAATCCACCACCGCTCGGAACGAACATTTGCTTTTGACGCGGACTAACAATTCACAGTCCGGCTTCAAAGTATTGCAGCCAGTAGCTAATTTTTCCATGGTTGTCTTTAAACGGCGGCTTTCTCATTGGCTCAGGAAACTTAATTTTACAGCGAAGCTTATCAGATTTTTTTTAATTCTTATCTGTGGTTTCTTCCTGCCACCTTAACCCCTTGTACTTTAACAAATTATATGCCTTCTCTGACAGACACAACATCGTCAACAGAAAAGCTTATATCAGCTTGTGGTGGGGCTCTGTTGACTTCATTAGTAGTAACGCCCATGGATGTTGTCAAAATGAGATTGCAAACACAGCATGTATATACCCCGTCTTCTCCAGCTTCAACATGCTGCAATACTTTTAAAAGTTGTTCACAGGCGATCAAACACGATTTACAACTTAATCGATTGATAAGAGGAGGCCAGTTTGCAAATAGTATTTTTTGCCCCATTTATGTTGATAACATAGCTACCGCAGCTTCACGCTCTGTCATCCTTAAAGGAACTTTCGTAAGAAAAAATCATCCACCTAAATCGAAATATTTAGAATCCCAAATGAACCTTTTTCGAAACTTTTTTTTATATTAGGATGGGATCTATAAAATCTTGAAATACGAAGGGGTTTCAGCACTATGGAAAGGATTATCTCCTGCCATTGTCATGTCTGTTCCAGCCAACGTTGTCTATTTTGTCGGCTACGAATATTTGAAAGATTTCATTCAGCCTATTACTAATCTAGCCAATACAAAGATGGATTATTCACCAATATTTTCAGGCGCAATTGCACGCACAGTAGCAGTTACCATTATTTCTCCTATTGAATTGTTCCGTACACGTTTGCAAGCTGCAGGGAAAGGACATGATTTCAATTGTAAGTTAACTGCAAGTAGTAATTGATCAAAGTGTTTGACTGGAATTGAAAGAGAAAAAGCTCATGTATTTGATTGGAATAGGTGTATTGAGGGGCGTCAAAAATATGGTTGTGCAGGACGGATTGACCGCTCTATGGAGGGGTTTACCACCGACACTATGGAGGGATGTGCCTTTCTCAGCTATTTACTGGATGGGATATGAAGAAATAAAGAAAATTATTGGGAATAAGTATCCTAAGCATGAACTGCAAACATCATTTTTCGCAGGCGCTTTGTCTGGAATGGTAAGCATATAAATCTTACTGTAGGATAATGCTTCTGGAACTAACAGAACATGTACAATCCGTAGTTTGCTGCTACTTTGACTACACCATTTGATGTTGCAAAAACGAGACGACAAGTAGATGCTGGCAGAGGTAATACCGCCAAAGAAAGCATTCATAAATAACTCGAATTTAAAAGTTTCGTATTTCATATTAGATGTTCCATTGCTGAAAGATAATCGAGTGCCGGCTATACTTAAACAAATATATAAGCAGGATGGTTTTTCCGGATTATTTAGAGGTTTGTAGATATAAAATTCCTTACCATTTCATATAATTAGGAAACCAAGTTTGACTGATAAATATTTTTTATTCCCAGGTCTTACACCCAGGATCGCAAAGATTGCGCCGTCCTGCGCTATCATGATAAGCAGTTACGAGATGGGCAAAATATTCTTTGCTAAACAACATCAAGAATAAGGAATAGCTGATAGCTGTAGTTGGGGGAATACTGAGCTTTTAGTTTTACAACATACCACCCAACTCGCTGCTATTCTAGAATGACGTTATTCTATCCATACTTATATTTGCTATAGATCGTTACATTACGTATCAACAAAATTGTATATAGCAAGTTGAGGACCGATACTACAATATATCTCAACTTATACCCGTTACTAAAACATATGACAAATTAGACATTGGTGAACAGTCAGACGAAGCTTCAGCTACCGACATTCACAGCCAGCTCATAGCATGTTAAATAAGAAAGAAAGACTGAAATCGATGGCTCAACAAAATCTCTTTTCAATGTCATGTCCGCTTGTTTGATTTAGAGTCTACTTATTTATATACTATTACAAATGCCCATTGTAAAGTTTTCTTTTTTCCATTTACTTATTATATAGAATTCCTTTTTTTATTTTTTTTCTTTTATTTTGTTTTGACTTCAGTTAGTAAAATCATAGGCAGGGCTCCTCTCCATATGTAATGGGTTGGCTTTAAATAGACTAAATGCAATGCAAAATAAATTTAGCAAAATTGATTTGTATGAGATCCTAAGCTAATACATATCGTACGATTCCAGATCTATGTTTCTCAAAATGTGTCTATTGAATCCGACTCTTAGGTTAACGATGCCAAATCTTTAAGCATTTGGCTAGATTTAGTATTTCAGTACCGCAATTTTAGCGGAGCAATTATGCACTATAGATACACAAATGAGAGTATGTGCTTGCATGCGTGTGCCTGTTGGAATTGTTCACATAATATAGTGGCTATAGCAACTGCCATAGCCTTTTAAAAATAGAAGAGACTAAAAGCAATGGCTTACTAAATTGACTTATTAAGCTTTTCAAAACATGACGTTTTCAACTTGTTGGAGTGATGTTGCTTTTTTCTCGGTATAATAACTCTCTATTTTCTTCCAAATGCAACAACTGATCAAAACTTGCTTCGAACATATCGCAGCAGTAGACTAGACAATGTACAGTAATCCTACCCCTCTGTTATAACTATGACTGCTGCTGCATCTGTTTTGCTATTTTAAGAAAAAAAGGAATTCTCCACTGCGACGCTGCCTTTTCTAGTAACTCTTTATGCAAGGATTCTTTTTTTAAAGTTCAAGTAAAATTACATATTGTGTACAACCCAGGATTAGGAAAAAAAATACCTGCATATTCTACTGTTCTTTTCTTTTCTTTTTCTTCATAACAAAAACTTCAGTTTTCACCTGCAATACATTCTTAAGAAATGGCAAAAGTCGAAGGGGTGAACCAAAAGTCTATTGTTAGTACAGTCTTTAAGCTGCTGCTTATCGACTTGTTCTCCTTCACCATCATTCTTCCTTTATTTCCGAGACTCTTGAATTACTATCAAAGCGAGGAAATGGGACATCAAGTAAGTCATTATACTCATTATGGATTCGCCTAGGGTAGGGATTGCATTGACTAAAAGCTTTGATGGTCAATTTTATGCAACAGGAAACAATTCTCGGCCATTTTCTTCATGTTTTGGAACAGTTCAAATATTTAATCATCAGTAACAAACACGAATCAGTAAAAACAGGTTATGCAGATAGATGGGATACGGTTCTCTTAGGCGGATTGATCGGTTCATTATTCTCTTTATTACAATTTGTCATCTCCCCCATCCTTGGACGTACAAGCGACAAGTTCGGACGTAGAAAAGTGCTGTTGTACACCATGGTATGTGAGGATGACGAGAGTTATTACTGTTGGTTGACAAGGCCTTTAATAATTTGCTTGTTAGATCGGTAATATTCTCTCTACAACAGTTTGGTTATTTGCACGATCTTTTACTTTGTTTCTAGTGGCACGAATTATTGCTGGCTTGAGTGAAGGAAACGTTCAATTGAGTATTGCTATTATTTCTGATGTCACTACACCTGAAAAGAGATCTCGCAGTTTGGTAAGATATCTGTGACAATAGTAAATGACAAGTTAGAGTATCGGTTTAATGTACGAATGGAAATTGTATTTGTGAATAGGCTTTAGTCGGTATCGCATTTGCCATTGCGTTCACAGTGGGGCCTGCTATCGGTGCCTGGTTCGCCTCCGTTGACCTCAGTGTACTTTGTCCTTCCCTTGTCAAATTCGGCATCTACCCTTACTCTATGGCGGCCTTGGTTGGCTTGGTTTTATTGTTAATTGAAACCGTATACATGTATTATTCATTACCAGAAACGATCCATTTTCGTCAAGGAATGGAGAAGTCCTCTTCCGGTAATCCTGCTGGCGATTCTACTCAGCAGCAGCGTCTATCCTTAGCGGCCATTCAAGCCCGTTTGATGAACTTGAAATACCTCAAACAGATTATGTGTGCTTTCTCACTCATATTCTCTGGTATGGAGTTCACTCTTGTATTTTTGACATTTAACGTATTAGATTACGGCCACATGCAACAGGGCAAATTATTGGGCTATATGGGTATTATTTCTGCTTTAATTCAGGGTGGTTATGTCAGACGCCGCGTCCAAAAAGTGGGTGAAAAGCCCATCGTGATTCAAGGTATGGCTACCTGCGCTCTTGGCCTTTACTGCCTTGCTTCCACATCAAAGGCTGCTAAAATAAGCCCCTCCACATGGCTTTACGTTGGTGTGACATGTCTTGCTTTCACGTCTGGTACTGTAGTGAATTGCTTGAATGGACTGGCAAGTTTACAATGTTACGAAGACGGAAACGAGGATAACGGCCTCTCTAAAGGACGTGCTCTGGGTGAGTTCCGTAGTTTTGGTCAGTTAGGTCGATCTCTTGGACCTATTGCTGCCTGTACGCTTTATTGGATTTTTGGTCCATCTATTTGTTATGCTATCGGTGCGATCGTTATGATGGCTCTTACTTGGATCACCGTTTTGATGGCACCATCAAGCTCAAAGTCTATAAGACAAAGCCAAAAGAGAGCAACAGATAAATCTCAGAAGGCCGATTAAAGAAACTGTCAAGATGGTAGTGGATATGGTATTATGTCTTTGCCCCCAACTTCCAACTTCAACCCTCAAATTGTACATAACATCTGATACTTAACAACGGTAACAGTATATTTTATTAAACGTAGGAAAACAACGAAAATATTTCATTATGAAAAGATAGTAAAAATATAAACATTAGAAGATAAATATAATAGATAACATTAAGTAAGCAATATTAGTGATGAAGTAGCAGTGAGCATTAAGTAGATGACACCTTATTCGAACTATTACGTCCCATGAAAAATTGCATTTAGTTCGTCCACAAAAAAGCGAAAAAAAAAGTGAATCAAAGTTAAGTAAAACTTACGTAATTGCTGGGAACAATGCCAGTAGAGCCATCTTGTTTACGAGCTTGCCACCAATTGCCACTCTTGTCCAAAATTTCGAGAACGTCACCTTTCTCAAAAGAGAGTTCATTGGGATCATCGACGCTTCCCTTATCTACGTGTCATATACAAATCAGATTAAAGCGCATGAATTAAGAAGACAAGTAAATTCCACAGAGAAAAACTTACATGCATGTAAAGCAGTAACTTGCTCAGTATGATTAGCATCATATTGAGAATTATTATTGTCACCGCCAACAGCGTTCTCTTCGTCAAAGCGACGAGGCAAAGGTTTGTTTCCTCCTTCATAGTTGCTGTTTTTGTTACCTCCATGAGGTCCAATTCTAGATCGTTGAATACGAGCATTGATCTTTTCTTTGGCGCCTCCGAGGCTTCCAAGGCTCATACGAGTACCTCCACCAGGAGCAGTTAATTCAATGGCCCAGATAAACTAACAAATGAGAAAGCAAAGGGGAAAGAACGGGGAGCGCAAAAGATAGCGTTTGTATTAGAGTTTTTTGTTTCACTTGTTCCATTTCAGTAATTATCAACATTTGGCATTTGAATGCTACTTACTTCAATGATGAGCAAAATGATTGCACCACCTGCAGCAGCTCTGGCACCACTTTGGCCCAAAAAGTTAAGATTAAATTGACACAACCATGTCAAATAAACAAGACTAACAGCCATAAATAGCCAAACCTACAATTGACATAAATTCAATTAAAGTCAACTTATCGGATCAGAAAATGGAAACGATCCGAAAACATACCATATTATGAAAACGGCCAAATTGGTTTAAGCCGAGAACGACAAAAACAAAGACGAGGAAAGCAAGTTCATAAATGATGATCCACCAAGCTGTACCGTGGAATCCTGCTACACATGCACCGACAAACAGGATCAGCCAGGCAATCTATTAGAATGAAAGGGTGGAGCGATTCCAAATGATTAATTGAATCATGCACGGCGGATCAAAAAAAAAAGAAAAAAGAAAAAGATGTTTTTAATATTTACACAGGCCAAAGCACCAGTGACGGCAATGAGTGGGCTTGATAAACTATGGTTAAATACAGGAGTAGTACTAGTGTCGTAATCGTCCATTTCGTGATAATCTAGTTGAATACAGTTATATCAGATATAAATCTACAATTCGATGAGGTTAAAATGATAGAAATTGTAAGAGAAGAAAAAGAGATCAACAGAATCACCAAAGGACGATTGAATAATGCAGATATATTATATCTGTTCAAAAAAAAAAATAAGGACGTGAATTTGAAAATAATTCAACAGTAATAGATATGTTTCATAGCAACAGAAATACTGGGGGTTCAGAAGACATTGATAGCGAAGAGAAACCAATTTACATCATAATTCTGCAAGGTTCAAAATATCAGGTTGAGAATAAAAAAGCACGTTCAATCATATAACATCATTAAAGGAAAAAAGGTGAAGCGAGTGCATGCGCATAAACGGGCTTCTGCTTTAACTTTTAACAATCAAATAAGATTACAATAGTCAGAAACCAGCCATAACAGATCTGAGAACTTGGTTTTTTTTTGTGGTTTTTTTTTTTTTTTTTTTTTTTTTTTTTTTGCGGTCGACAAGACAGGACATCTAGCGAATGATATTTATTTCTATTGTTTAGAAACGACAAATAAGATAGGAATGAACAATGACTCTTCCGATTCCTCTTTTTCTGTCTATCTTTGTAACTTTCATCATTGTGATTTCGTGCAAGATGTATCTTTAACGGTACTAAAAAGATAATCAGCAAAGCTGTAAGTTTTTACTGTCCGTTTGCATTTACAGTATATAATTCGTCAGATTTTATACCTTGTGGAAGCCAATATCATTGGCATATTCACGGAAACATTGACGGCACATGTTCAAATTATACTTGCGGATCAAACCAGCACGGTGAGCACAGACACGACTATTTCACAAAACGATGATGATCAGTTACGAGACATACATTTAAATGAAGGGTTTATCTCTTATTAATAAAACGAGTAAAGCTCTAAGTGATTGCATTATCAATCTCAATCACCTGTCAAACAATTACAAGCCACACATTTTGCATATCATTCATCTCATAACATATTCTCCGAAGCGTCTATACATATTCCATCATACAATACAAGGTCATACTGCTGATGAAGCCGACTGTGCAAATGAAATGACTTTGCAAATTGCATTTTCTGTAATTGTTTGACAATGCTGAGATGCTGCAACTGACACTTTTCAGTCTTTTTTTTTATTTCACGGACACAACTTTAACCTCCTCCGCTGTTCTATATAAACCTTCTGCCTTCCTTTCCTTTCCAAAAAAAAATTGTTCTTGGACTGAAACTTACCATTGGCGAGAGCCTTTACCGTAGCTCTTGGGATGAGAATTCCAAACGTTAGCGTGAGCCATAATGATATATTATTTTCAAAGGAAGAGAAACAGAAAAGAAAGGAAATCCTTCTAGGCACCAATAATAATTATTACTATTGCCCGGACCAGGTGGTGAGGAAAAATTTTTTTTGTTTGCAATGAACCTTTCGTGGCTAAGCCACTTTTGTTGACCGGGAACGGTGAAGAACCTTCTGTGCCGAAACTCCCGATTTTTCTTACAACAGTGCAAAGAGCGGATCAAGAAAATCCAAAGCGGAAAGAGGGAGACTGCGCGGCACACGCGACACCCTGAAAACGGGCAGCTGAACATCGATCTTGGAACGGATAGCACACATTTACACACTCGTACACCTGACCATTAGTTAAAAAGTTTGATTAGGCATAATTAATTTATACGATAGCTCTATTAGATGATATCATATCAGGAATTACACTTTATCTGAAGGACTTTCCCATAAGCTTTCCCGTTTTCACGCTGGAGAATATTTCCTTTTTTGGAAGAATTATATTGCAGCGTGCAGATTTTAAAACAGTAATCTACAAACTTCATCTTTTTTCATTTTATGGCTTTCTTTGGTTTTTCATTGTATTTTGATTCAAGATATGGTATACATATTGTCACCTGACGGTATCAAAAGAAAATATGCTTGCATAAAATGTATTAAAGTAAACAGCATAAAAAACAAATGGAGATTATGAGAATAAATCTTCGTCTGAAATCAGCATTGCCAACCTGAAACTCCTTTCCCCACATCTGTAGGGACACCGATCGTCAAAATGCACGCACAACGATAGAGAACTGTTTGAAATCAAGAAGAAAGGGAGGCCTATTACACAGTGTGCTAACTGTCGCTTACTACGGAAAACGCGGCAATTACATATCAAGTGTCAATGTCCTAAAGTAGAGTCTCTTGGTAACAATAATATTGGAAGCGATACAGGTGAAATAAGGAAAATCGATTATTGTCGCACCGTAGACTTAATTAAACCTTTCCGCTTTGTACATCACTTTCAGATAATGGCCACACAGCGAATGTTGACCATAGTCAAGATGACAATTCCAACTCTGATAATGTGGAGAAAGGTAGATAGTTTTCTTTTTATACCATGGAGCTAGTAGATGATTTTCGTTAAAGATTTATATAAAAATTTAGGTCATGATATTTCTAGCACAGTTTGCCCACAATGTAGCAGGCCAAGACTATACTGTCATTGCTCGACAAATCATAATGCGACGTATTTTTGGCAGGAAGATATTGCATCCTCATCCTCATCAAATAGTTCTGAACGCTCAATCACTCCACCACCCACTCACTTTAATATTCCAGTATCAACAACTTCATCTCCACTAACACCATTAACAAGTCAACTAATTCCTCACAACACATCCAAGTATAACCATCACGATACAGGAATCGTGTCTACTACAACGGCAACGACAGCGACAAGTGCTACTGCTGCCTTACCGTCCATCCATAGCATAGCTCGATTAGTATCTCCGTCTTCATCACTTACACCTACTACTAGTACTATGGGTTACAGCAGCAACAACAATGGTATACCAAACAATCGTTTGCAAGTACGTCACCTGATAATACCAATCCATGATCCTTCCGATGATATTGATAGTGATACACCTATATATAAATCAATGGAGGAGAGTCATGGAAATTTAGGCGAATTTGCAAACAATAGCTCTGAGGAGCTCATTCATCAAATTTACAACAATTTCAACTCCTCCAATTCATCAGCTTCCTCCCCGTTACTGACAGAAGAAGACGATAAACTGGTAGAATTGGCAAGAGACCCTTAGAACGATGCTGGCATTGTGACATATGATTATGATGTTATATGCACGAGACTTTATTACTATTCTTTCTAATATTTTCTCAACTTGCATTAATATCATCATTATCGTCATCTTCTTGTTCGATATAATCTAATTGCTGTGGTTCACCATAAGTATATACTTTAACATACCCATCTAAAGAGAAAAGGAATCAGTGCAATTGTTTAGCGTAATTCGTAATAAAATAATTTGAGTGCATTTCAAGGGCTCGCTATGAGCTAAACATTTACCATCTCCACAGGAGAATATAAGCGGCTTGTAAGGATGAAATATAACATCACGTACTTCAATATCTTCATGTTCTTTGATAATAGCTGTCACTTGACCAGTTGCCATGTTAAAGACAAAAATCTGGCCATAAATAGTAGGTGCCAATATATATCGTCCATTAGAAGTGATCTTAACAAGCCACGAGTTTGAGTGATACCTTTAACAAAATAATTTCAGTTAGGATAACTGTAGCTTTCACTCATCTTTTTCAGCAACTATTTTACTCTTCGTCTGTGTATCTTCGGACTGTTTCTAACTCAAATTTGCCGTCCTTTTCCGTCGGATAAATCAGCTTGTGTAGTGTACAGGTGTTTGGTTTGGATGCTACATAATAGCACAAGTATGAATAAGAACCAATACTAGGAAATTATTTTATGCTCAAATGGATGCTTACAGACGCCTTCACTAACATCACACATCTCTGCACCACGACTAATAAACCAGGCTATTTGCCTGTTGTGTCCTGTGCCTTCATCCTTATCTATCACTATTTTCGCTTCTTGTTCCTTTTCATGGCCATCACCTTCCTCATCATTCACTGTTAGATCTTTTACTTGCTTTTCCATGTCTGATATAGATGGTGGTGCATCGAGCCAGTTGACAAATTTTCCACAATCACAATAAGATGAATATAGGTCCTCGAATGTTTGTAATAGCTAAGATAACGGCATAAATGTTAATAAGCAAGTAAGATATGGAATGCTTCGAAGAAAATAACTCACTGTAGCTTGTTCAAAATCGTAAAGACGAAGATGCTCATCACATGCAGCAATAAAATATTTGTTTCCTGTGTTCGGCACAAAACTAACAGTAAACGCCATGCATGTAAGGCCGTCATCCATGCGCGTGGATTCCAGTAATTTTCTAAGTCACAAAGAAAAAATCTATGAGTTTTTGCGAATATTTTATCTGCTCCAATATTCAACATTACGTCCAAGTAGAATCCATATGCCATTTAATGATATATCCATCCTGACTAGTAGAAATGAGATAGTTCTCGCCCAAAAACTGGATGGCCTTAATACATAAGATCTCTTCTGCGTGTCCCTCTAGTAAAGTTGTTCTCTTGCCCGTGACAACATCAAAAATCTTGAGAGGGCATGGCAGAATATGACTATCGTTATCTTCCGCAGACCATCTATATCGATCCTTCAATTTACCACCTGCTACAATCAGCCCCTCATTCTCTAATATTTGGCCACAATAGAATTCGTCAATCTGTTTTTCATCTTTATCTCGAATATGACGTAGAAGTTTGAAAGATTCATCGCCGTCTGCAGCAGCATCCGTAGCAGCGACGTCCCAGACTTTGATGGAACCAATATTAGAAAATGTCGCAAGAAGTGTACCGTCACCGGACAACGTCATGCCGGTGATGGCTCCTTGATCACTGATGGCATATGGTAATGCAACGACTGGGTTGTCTTCGCTGATATTGTCAATCATATCGTAACCTGAATCTGCATGAAATTTCCAATAGTCGTCTGGATATTCCGAAGCGTACTTTTTTACCTTTTCAGGGTCATATCCTTCTGGTTTCTTTTTAACAAACTGGACGCAGAAAAAAGCATTCAAAAATAAGTTTATTCTACTCGTACAGAAAAAAGTGGAGTTATCGTACCTTTCTCAAAATATCGGCTCCTGTATTTCTCGTTGAAGATGATGATATGGACTTTTTCTTTGTAAGGATTTTCTTACGTTTCGTAGGTCCTTTACGTAACTGAGGCAACTGTTCTACATGATCCAACAAATCGTCTGTATCAACGTCATCAATATCGTTCTCTTTCTCGTCAAAGTCTGTATAACTGATCTTTTTGCGCTGTTGTCCTTTCTCTTGCTTCTCCTGATGTAATTCTCCGTCCACTTCCATATCCTCCAGTTTGACAGCCATTTCCTCCTCTTTGGCTTCATCATCCAATTTCACTGCAGTTTCTTGACTATCGCTCCCTTTATTCGATTTGTTTTGTCGACCTGTCGACTTCTTTTTGGCTTTACTATTTGTATCGTCCTCGTCGTCAGAAATGAACTGTTTCTTCTTTCTTAACTTTCTTGTCTCCTTTGTTAACAAAGTGTCATCATCCACTGGCGCGACTGCTGAACTTGGTGCTACAGCAGAGTCTTTATCATTTCCTTTTCCATTCGATATAGATCTCGACTGCGTATCATCTATCTCCGCGTCTACAGCACCTGTTGCCTGGCTATCTTGATCCATTGTTGGTTGAGTATCATCAAATGTATCATACGTACTGCTTTTTGGTGAAACAATCTCAATATCTATATCACTGTTGGGTTCTGAAGACATTATATCAAGGAATAAGCGTTGGTGAATATGAAATAAAAAAGGGGAAAAGCATTCAAAAAATAAAAGTCCACGAAAATTAAGAATTTTTTTTTAAAAAAAAAGAAACTGAGAAAGAAACTTTTTCGTGTTTTTCTGGGCAGCTTTTTTATTTCACTTTATTCTATCGCGGGGTATATATCATTTCTTCGATGAGCCATAACTGGCATTTCCAATCGGATCTTGTTCAAGTAATCTACGTCAATATTGCCTACTGCAAGAGTTGGTTCATGGTGATTGTCAGGGCAACGGGCTATCACGGTTCCCCATGGATCAACAATCTGCTAAAATGATTAGAAGGATATCCAAAAGCCCTACATAAGAAGAAGATGAAATGATGCTTACCATAGCATTTCCGTAACTGGATCTCTTCTCGTTATGAGCTCCAATTTGTGCTGATGCAATAACATATGTTTGAGTTTCGATAGCTCTGGCACGTAATAATGTTTCTATATGAAAAACTGTCTTCGTAAACCCGAAGCTTTCATTCGAAAGATTGATAATGTATAAATTACGCAAACACTTACCCCAGTGTGCCATACCCGTTTTGATTGTAAAGGCACTTGGATAAGCCAATAACTCGGCTCCTCTTTTGCGCAATGCTATGGATGATTCAGCAAATCTCATATCGTAACATGTCTGTAAACCAAGCATGCCAGCAGGAGTGTGTATGGGATCTATTAACTTATCCCCGGCTAGTGTCGTATCACTTTCCATTAATCTTAATCCAACCAAATCAACGTTGAATAAGTGAACTTTTCGATATCTGGCCAGCAGTTCACCTTCCTCATTTATCACAATATGTGTATTGAAAATCTTTTGCTTTATAACTTCAAGACGGTTGTCATTCGTTGTTCCAGCATCAGCACTTTCATGAATGCCAACTGAAATCCACATACAATTTTCTTTTGCGCTCGCTTTCAATGCAGACACGAATTCAGAATTGTCAATCGGCGTTGTTAATTGTAACGCTTCATCTCTGCTATGTGAAATGAAGTCTGCTGCTTCTGGCAGAAAAATCATCTTTGACATTGGACGGGGGAATACTAAGCTTCTCAAAGTTCAAAGTTTTTTATTACTGTATTTCACGAACGAAGCTTACTTTAGCTCCTAACGAAGAAGCCTGATGCACAAGTTTACAACATTGAGCCTTATTGAAGCTGATACTTGCTGTTGCGCAAATTTGCCCAACCGCAATAAGAACCATAGTCAAGTCGAGTGATAGACTTTAAAGAAGGGAAGCAATAGTTGGAAATAGATATATTACTGTCATCAGCTCTCTGTGTAACAAAACCTCGGACTTGAATCATCGATGTCATATCATTTAGCTTGAATTTTTCGCTGCTTTATCAAGCGTATCGAGTCAAAAATGTCAAAACAACGAATCGTCTGTAAACTGTGTAAAAGTGAAATCATATATTACGGCATTGGGTTTCCAACCTTTAAAAATTCGTTTTTGGCCATGCTCACAATCTTTGTTGCTCTTTAAGCTTCAATTTGCCATTTCTCTATGTGAATCAAAATGCTATTCTGCAGCTGCGCTCATATTTTGCAATTTTCATCTAAGCTATGCCTTCAATGTCTTTTTTTCTTCGAATCATATCTAATATTACTGAATGAAATAATGCTTGTTTATTATATGCAGAGATGTAATGCGTGAATTGGCCACTCATAGGATGACGTCGCACTATAATATATATAGGAGGATGTTAACATGATGGCTCAGTTACGGTATATATAGATGAAGGTGAAGCCAACATTTATAATAGTTATGTGATTGTCTTTATTTGCTGTGCTTTTCCGTCGATGTTGCGAATTTTTTGACGACGCTTCAAGTACCAGATGCCTCCAGCAGCAATACTTAGTGCTGTCAACAAAGGGAATAGAATTGCAAGTCCAAGTCTCCAGGTTTGCAGCTTGTTATTGGTGGCAGTGGAAGGCGTATCCAAAGGATTGTCTTTATTATCGTTCTCGTTCCTCAGATAAAATGGACCATCAGAGTTATACATGACTTGGTACGCTAGAAGATTTTGATAGGGTGCGTTGTAATCCAAGGCTATTTCCGTTTGAGACCAATCGAGCAGTACATCGTTAAAGGTATCATCAGCAGCAGGTCCGCCCACCAATGCTAAAGGAAAGGATAGGAAAAAAGTTATGAGTCTAAGGATAGACAGAAGTTAATCTCGTTTTTCCTCCTCGCGTTTTTACCGCCGTGAATTGTTTTTGCATGGCTACGGTCTCCAGCCTTCATTGCCGCTTCTGCAAGCGATGTGAAGCCACTTGCAGGAGCAGAGTGAGGAAATCTTGGTGAATTGGGTCGCTCCCCAACAACATAATTTTGATGGATAGGATTCATTCCAAACACATAATCCAATTGAGATTGTGCCAAGTCTAGCTTGATTGTAATTTTGGAAAGTGTTACAGATTTGCGATCAATGTATATGAAAACACGTAAATAATGTTGCGTACCTTGATAGCTCTTTGCCTTTCTCAACAAATCGCTTCCGTCTTCGTGTCCCCTATCCGCTAAGGGATGTAGTACTTTAGCAGCATAATATAGAAGCAAATAGCTTGTACTCATAGCAACTGAATTGCTGTTTAAATTGCTAAAGAGACATGTATATTGTTATAAGTGTTATTTTCAAGGAACCAGTTATAAAGACATATTTCCCATCAAAGTACTCTCCACAAAATGGTGCTGTTTGTTATACCTATAACCATCCCAGAATAATAGCCCGCCTCTTGTCTTGTTGGCTGTTGTGCCATCAACGATGCTATCCAAATATTTCTCGGCGCCCTCTCTGGCCTGAATAGCCTGACTGCGATCTTGGTGATCGAGCATCGTTTCAGCCAGCAGAACATAAAAGGCGCCCCACTATAAAAAAAATACAGTTTTAAGTCATCATCAACTGACAGTAGAGTTAAATCAAAAGAGTGGGGCTATCCATTCTATAAGGATACCTTGTTATCCCAATCTAAGGGTTCCGTATGGTTATCGAGGCCTTCAACTTCTGAAAACATTTGAAAGAGGTGCTCTAAATAGGTGGAATTCCCTGTTGCTCTGTACATTGATAGACTAGCCAGCAATAACTCATCAAAGTAATCTGAATGGTAAAACAATGACCAAAAATAGAATAACGCTTCTTGTCAGTCATTGTTCTATTCTTACTCAATGGATCACCAGTGTTATAGTGTGTTTTAAAATCACCTGAACTGGAGTAAACATGAGTTGAAGTAAAAATAGACGTTTGATACAATTTGTACGGCCGAATATTTCGTGCTGCATTGTATAGTTCAGTAGCATGTGTCATTAATGTATTTGCATAGTTTGTGTCCGTATTATTCGTAGCATTGCTTCCTGTGACATTGGAAAGTTTGTTGAAAAGCATGGAAGCACTGGAAAAGGCGACAGCTAAAATGAGTGGAAAGGAGAATAATCGACAGCTTAAGAGTATTACGATGACTGAACGTTGATACTTTTACATGTATGAATGGTAGTTTTTGTGTAATTCGAGGTTACTATACCTGCCATCGCTGCAGCATCTGTGCCAAAGAATTGTTCATTAATATTGTAACACGGCCTTGGCTCTGGTATGTCCGTGTCAGGTCCTATTTGTCAAAGTATGAAAGTAAAATAAGTAAAAACAAGCATTTGAGTACAAGTCATGCGTTCGTCTTTGGCTTTGCAAGGTGGTTCTATGCATGGCATAGGTAGTGTCATCGTACCAAATGAGTTATTATCAACATCGATATCTCCAACCTATTCCTCCCAAATAAAAAAGTTTGGTCACATATTTCTTTGTTATTAACATCTATATTCTGCAAAGCTTAATTTACTTGTACATATAAAGTGGTTGGCGTAGGATGCGCTTTTATCAACCAATCTGTGGCCTGGTGGTAGCACATGATATTTTTGTCAGCCCTCTATTCAACTGTGTCTCTGTATAAACAAATGACATACCCATTTTATTTGTTGCTGGAGGAATTTTGTTTGATTAGCTAGTTGAAAACCTTGAATAAAATCGGTTCCTGTAAATTGCAGACACAATTGTTTTAGTGAATACAGTCGCAGATCAAATCCCCATTATCGTGTTGTCACCATCTTTTTCATATAAAAAACTGAGCGCATTACCTCCCCAGCTAAGCATGAATACCGTGTATGACAGAGGGAACGTGAACTACAGATGTCTCAGCCACTGAATATCATGTACAGGCTTTCTGTATTGGATGTGATGGTATGATTTACCTTTAGATAATCACCGGCGTCATAGTATCCCTAGGAATTTATCAAAAAACCCAAAAAAGAAACAAAGAAGGAAAAAAGTCAAATAAATGAGTGAGTATATTCTTTCGAATTATGCTCACTCGATTTTTCATGCTTACGCCTGTTAAGTCAATGTTACAACTCTGACCATCCTTTAGGGCTGAATCATGTCGCCTAAAAGTTTATTAAAGATGAGACACTTGGTAAGTTGATAGCTGTATATTTGTTCAAAGAAATTTGATTCTGTTACCATGGCACGCGGTTATCTAATGGGAGTTTACCCGACCGTTGTGCTTCGTAGAATAAGATGGAATGATCAAGTAGCCTAACATACTCTGCGTTAGGAGCTTGAACTGTAGAAAGCGAGTATGCTGTGGCATTCTTAACGATTGCTGCAGATACAGCTGACAGTATCATGCCAATGGATAGAATTGGGTATATGAACAAAGAGAAAATGTGCCAGCGTGAAATTTGCAGTTTCATTTTGCGCTATTGAAAATACAGTACAAGGATTTTGTGAAAGAGTGGAAAAACATTAAAAACGAAGAAATGGATGGTTTTATTGATAAAAAATATGGATAATAGGGAATGAACGAAATGAATGTACATTAAGCATAGAATGTTTTTTTCTATTAATGGGTGTCAAATCTTATCGGGAAACAATTCTAATGTTGTGTTTGCATAACGATGTTTGCAGAGACGTGGCTTTGCGCTTCAAACGTTAAAGTTTATAAACGTACATAAATATCGTAAGGTAAGTATTATAAGAGAATGTTGAATAAGATCATTTCTGGCCGGACTATTCATGTCGAGTCAAACCGCATTTAAGCATTGTATCCTCCCACAAAAGATCTGTTCTATCCCATAAATTGTTAATGGTAACTGATGGGATGTGATAATTGTGTTTGTTCGCCCAGTAAGCACCGCTTTCAACGTTATCTCGTGTTAAACAGAGATACAAAGGCGTTTCAGCACCTTCCTTTGGTGAAAGCATAATGAAATCAAAGATCTTGGACAAAAGCGGTAGTGTAAAAATGGTAGTATGCTGGAATAGTTTTGTTCGCACTGTGCCTGGATGGTATACTATGAAGGTTTTCGAAAATATTCTAAAATGAGTGGAATAGTGACAGGAAAAAAGGTCTGCCAATCCCTATTTACCAAATACTTTAATAGGCGTCGTACGAGACATATGCTTTGCAAGCTGGGCGATGCAAGCTTTACTGTATGCGTAGTGATCAAGGCCATTGAGTCCGTACTTTCTGATCGGCATGTTCGTATCTAAATTGTTGATCGCGTAGATGGTTGAGCTTGATGCAAATAATATGCGGCCCTCCATTGTGTCCATTGAGGGCAGTAACAATTTTGTCAAAAGGAATGGTGCCAGATAGTTCTGCATAAGTGGTCAATTAGCAACACATGCTTTATCAATAATTTATCTGACAGTTAGACTTACAATTTGGCACTGTGATTCGTAACCATCAATAGTTGTTGAGAATGGAGTGTTCATTACACCAGCGTTATCTAATGACAAGTCCGTATGATAGATGAATATTGCGTCCGAAGCGAGTACTCAAACCCACTTACTTATAAGTAATCTAATGCGTTTGTCTTGCAAGTAAAGCTTCACCTTGTCGGCAAAGTTTCTCACAGATTGAAATGATGTGAAATCAACCTTTAAGATATGTAACTTGTCGGATTCAGTGGCCTTTTTGACAAAAGTCAAGGCATCGTGACATGCTTTTAGGGAACGGCTACCTAACAATAGGGTACTGTGTATCAGTTATCCATTCATAGACGAATGGCTTATACGTATTGTTGTGCAAACAATTTACCAACAATGACACGAAATCCGTTTTTCAACAATTCACTGCATATTTCGACACCAATACCTGAATCGGCTCCTACTATGACGGCTACTGGAAGGTTGACAAAGCTGCTTGCTGAATCACCTACAACAGCCGTATTGCCTGTCTTTGTTTTCTGATTGAATACTCTATCGGGCAAAATTCTTTTGCAGACGGTGATGTAGATTGTTTCAATAATGCCAACAAAGTAAACTCTACACAAAGTTGGCATCCAATTCCACTGACCGCAATGTACAGTGACAGCCTGTAGAATGCAATCTGGAAGTGGGATCCCCGCATCGACTATTCGTAGTTCGTCTATTGAGACGTTGAGGGCACATAAAATTTTATACAATAAGCATGATGCTACCAAGACGATGCTACAGCAAACAATAAAGAATAACATCTTTCATCGTTTCTTTCGTGGCATGAGATGAATTGTTGGACATGGACGGCAATAATCACCAGAGTCGCACCAAAAAACAAAAAAAAAAAAAGCAAAGTGAAACAAGAAAAAAGCCAGAAAACAAAAAAGAACTTTATAATGCACATGTTTTTTGAGATCTTGGTTCACTGATCGCGATACTGATCTCTCTGAAAAAGATGCTGTATTGCAGGACATATAGGTATATCATCTCAACATCGTGCTTGGTTTTATTCAGTTATATATTGCTACATTTCTTTCAATGTATTAAGCTTACTACGTTGAACATAAAAGAATATAGTAAGTCATCCCCACACTACCAATGTCATTATCAACATCGTTTAGCTTAATATGATAATGCACGCTTTATTTTCGAATGAGTTAACATTTTCAACACGGAACAGCTTGGGTTCTCGTAATTTTTGCACTACTCTGATAATGGGCCAATAAAATAGATGCCCTGGATTCTGCATTCTTGAGCTGAGTGATGGCATTGAAAACAGATTCTTTGAAGCAGATATGTACAGTTCTCTCCAGGTGAATAAAAACTTTCATGTCTGTTTATCAGTGATGTCTGTTTTCATTTTATGCATCATGTTCTCCTGTTTTTCGAGCTCCAAGGTCATTTAAGCGCAGTACTTACATAAAAAATTACCAGTACTGATAGGCATTCGTCTAATCATTTTCGTGCACTAGATATATTGTCTTATAAACTCAATAGGGGTCATGGAAGCGTGATGGTTTTATAGATAACATCAACGAATAACCATCGACGGTACCATTTTGCTAACAAACAATGAACAAGAGTAAGAAGGATCTGCTTCGTCCATCTTCCAAGATACATTGTAATCCATATCACTGTCTGTTTTATCAGTTGAGCTTGATAGCTAAAATACCGGTTTCGGACCCCTTAAGGGAATGAGCCCTGTTGTTGTCTTTTTTTTTTTTTTTTTGTGGAGTGAATCGGGAGGGTCCCAGCTGAACAAAAAAAGAAACTTTCATTGGTTTAGTAAAAGGCTTGGTTTCAACGTGACTGAAAATTCTCCGTAGCTTATTTTTAAGCTTTTTTCGTTCATCAGTGTTGGTCATCCGGGACGTTTCAACCTCCCCGAGTCAAAATTTTTCTCGATTTAATGGGACGGAGGAAAGAAAAGACCAAAGAGAGGGGGGGGACTCATGAATCTTCTTTGGTGAAAGACGTGGGCATATTTTTGGGTAGCTGTGGAAGACGCAGCGAGAAAATAATGAGGGAAGCTGCCGGAGTGGCTAGAATTCAGCAAAATTTTTTCTTTTTGCAGCTTTTTTAGAATTCCTTTTCTTTTTCTCCTTCTCTCTCTCTCTCTCTTTCTCTTTCTTTTTCGACGTTCATCCGCCGTTTTTCTTCTTGCTTGTCTATTCTCAATTCTTTTTTGGGTTTCGACATAAAAAAAACAAAAAAATATAATATCTTTTATATAAACATAAATTTTAAAAAAAATTTAAAAAATAGAAAAAATACATATAATGTCTTCTACCTCACCTGTCGTCACTCCTGCTGAAGCTGCCCCCGTCCAACAGCTCTCAGCTGAACAACAACAACAAATTGCTCAGGCTCAAGCCTCTGCTCCCCTTGGTAGTACTGCTGCTCCATCTCCTTCAGCTTCTCTTTATGTTGGTGAGCTTGATCCCTCTGTCACTGAGGCCATGCTCTTTGAAATGTTCAACATGATCGGTCCTGTTGCCTCCATCCGTGTTTGCCGTGATGCTGTCACCCGTCGCAGTTTGGGTTATGCTTATGTCAACTTCCACAACATTGTCGATGGTAAGACCTTTTTTTGAGTCAAATGCCCTTCGTAGCATACACTGTTCATAGAGTTCCTTTTTTTACTAACTTTTTTTTTTTTCTTAAAAAAAATTTCATTCTCAACTCAATCTCGTTTTAATTTCTCAACAAATTAATTTTTTTCAATCATGGATGCTCGACAGGTGAACGTGCTTTGGAAAGCCTCAACTACACTTTGATCAAGGGTAAGCCTTGCCGTATTATGTGGTCTCAACGTGATCCTTCTCTCCGTAAGACCGGTTCCGGTAATGTTTTCATCAAGAACCTTGATCCTTCCATCGATAACAAGGCTCTTCATGATACTTTCTCTGCTTTCGGTAACATCTTGTCCTGTAAGATTGCTTTGGACGACAACGGCAATTCTAAGGGTTACGGTTTCGTTCACTACGAAACTGAAGAAGCTGCCGAAAACGCTATCAAGCATGTCAATGGTATGCTCTTGAATGACAAGAAAGTGTAAGTAGTATTGGGATGATACTCTTTTTTTTTTTGCCATAGAACGAGTCAATTTTTTTTTTTTCTTAGTTTGGATGCGGATTTAAAGTAGAGGATAAAAAAAAAGCGGTTTTTTCATTTTGGAAAAAGAGAGGGGATTATCAGGAATGCAGTACACGATAGTTGATATAGGAGGAATGAATTGGCGGGGGGGGGAAATGCGCAATTTTGTCAAAAGAGAGAAGAGCGAGAGAAGAACGATGATTGATATCATTCAGATAGAACTAATCATCCTTTTTGACATTGCCCATATGATGATGTAAAAATAGTTATGTTGGTCACCACATTCCCAAGAAGGAACGTCAAGCCAAGATTGAACAATACAGAGCCAAGTTCACCAATGTTTATGTTAAGAATTTGGATGAATCTGTTGATGATGAAAAGTTGAAGGAAATGTTCAGTAAATACGGCCCCATTACCTCTGCCGTCATTCAAAAGGACGAAGAAGGCAAGTCCAAGGGCTTTGGTTTTGTCAATTTCGAAAACCACGAAGAAGCTCAAAAGGCTGTCGATGAGTTGAATGAAACTGAACAAAACGGTAAGACTCTCTATGTTGCTCGTGCTCAAAAGAAGTCCGAACGTGAAGAAGAACTTCGTAAGCAATACGAACAAGCTAAGCTTGAAAAGCTTGCCAAGTATCAAGGTGTCAACTTGTACATCAAGAACTTGGATGATGATATTGATGATGAAAAGCTTCGTCAAGAATTCTCCGTTTACGGTGTCATCACTTCTGCCAAGGTGATGTGTGACGATAAGGGTCATTCCAAGGGCTTCGGTTTCGTCTGCTTCTCTTCTCCTGATGAAGCTACCAAGGCTGTGACTGAAATGAACGGTCGTATGATCGGTTCTAAGCCTATCTACGTCGCTCTTGCCCAACGTAAGGAAGTGAGACGCTCTCAATTGGAAGCTCAAATGGCTCAACTCAACCAAATGCGTATGCAACAAGGTATGCCCATGTCGGGTGCTCCTGGCTACATGCCCAGTGCTCCTATGTTCTACGCTCCTCCTGGTGGTTTCATGCCCCAAGGTCAACGTCCTGTTTTCCCTCCCAACGGCATGATGCCTCGTCCTCGTTGGGCTCCTCAACAAGGTCAGCCCATGCCTGGATTCCCTCCTCAAGGTTTCCCTCCTAACGGCAACATGCGTCCTCCTCGTCAACCTCGTGCTCCTCGCGGCGGTGCTGCTGGCCAGCGCAAGTACGCTAACCAAGCTCGTCAACAACAACCTCAAGCCGCTCAAGGCCAAGGTCAAGAAGCTGCTGCCGCTGCTCCTGCTGTCGAGGGTAACGCTCCCTTGACTGCTGCTGCTTTAGCCGCTGCTCCTCCTGAGGCCCAAAAGCAAATGCTCGGTGAACGTCTCTACCCCTTGATCACCGCTCAACAACCCGAATATGCTGGTAAGATCACCGGTATGCTCTTGGAAATGGACAACAGCGAATTGTTGAACCTTCTTGAAGATAACAAGGCTTTAGACAGCAAGATCAATGAAGCTATGGAAGTTCTTAAGGCTCATTTGTCGGAAGCTAAGGAAGAAGGAGCTGAAGAAGAAGCTACTGCTTAAATTGATCCATAATATCTGTTTCATCTTTTTCCGCTTTTTTCTTTCTTAACTTTCAGAAAAAAAGAAAAGAACACCTTTTTTTTTTTTTGTCATAATTAGCAAACTTTTTCACTTAATAAAATATTTCGTCGAAACCTTGAAAAAGTAAAAAAAAAAAAAAAAAAAAAAAATTGCTCTTTTCGATTTTTAAAAGGTAATGTTTAGTTGCCAAAGATTATCTCTTGTTTCTGTTTGTAAACGATTTTATGCAACGAAACCGTGGAGTTATAAAGAAGCTTTAGCATGGCAGCAAGCTTTCGATCAACACAAAATTCCGCAGGATCACATCTCCATTCAATTCAGTAGGAGTAGTGGACCAGGGGGTCAGAATGTCAACAAAGGCAAGCTCTCTTTGTTTGTTGTTTCGTTTTTTAAGTGTGTATGTTGCAGAGCACCTAACTGTTGTCTTAGTGAATACAAAGGTCGATTTACGACTGTCATTGTCAAAAGCCAAATGGATTCCCGAATATGCAATAGAAAATATAAAAAAGTCAACTCAACTACGGAAGAATAAACTGAACGAACTCATCGTGACATCGGACAAGAGTCGATCGCAAGCGAAAAATATACAAGATTGTTATGATAAACTTGTAGCTATTATTAAAGATGCAGTTGCAGTAACAAAAGAGCCGGATGAAGCCACTTTATTAAGAGTAAAAAAGCTGTAAGTATGCCCTTTTCAAATGACTGTAAAGCTGCACTGGTTCGCATCTAACGATTGTTTCATTCTTCTTTATCAGGCGTGAAATAGAAGATCAAAATCGTAAAGACTTAAAGAAGAGGCATTCGAAAAAGAAACAAGATCGACGATGGAAAGGCAACGATGTTTAACCCTTGTTGACCCATTTTATGAACTTTGACTAAATATACCCATCGTGAGTTTGAATTATGTCAATGAATTTGGGCACAAATTAAATGAGGCTGCGTGCGCCAGATGAAAAACTTACTCTAAGACTAGTCAATCCAAGCATATCTGAACTTTTTCTTTTATCATTGTTTGGATTGAAATTGTATACAGGAACGGTTGAAGATGTAACAGAAGGCCCTCTCCCAGTCATTGATGATGTTGGAGTGCAATGGGAGGGTAGATCATCTCTCCCATCGGCCATGTTCGCACGACTATTAGGCCTCAAGTGCCATAGAGGCGACTGCAACTGTCTGTCTGAACTAGGATCTTCCGGAAGATCCTTTTCATGAGGTTTTATATACACCGTAGTATACGGTTTGCTCTTAATAGATGTTGTTGAGATGTCTTCTGATTCTTTAGAGTGTATGGAGCAATGTACAATAAGTGAAGAAGGAGCAAGTGAGCTTTTATCACCGTTGGAGTCGGAACTCATATTGCTGTAGGGGAAGAAGCTTTTGATATTATCAGCAGCAGTATTGTTTCTGGTATTGTTATTACTACTATGATTGATCCACCATTTCCAATAATTCTTCTTGTGAGTCTTTTGCTGTTGTTGTGGTGCTGCGGTTGTATTCATTGTGAAATAATCGTCTTTGAACAGAAAAAAAAAGGGTCGGGGGGAGGGAGGGAACAAGCAAACAGGAAAGAAAAAGGAAACAAAAGAATCGTAACAGAAAGTTAATCTCTTTTATAGATAACGAAAGACCTTACTTGAAGTATAATGCACGACAGAAAGAGATAGAATGAAAACTAACTTGAGAAAGATAATGAAATGATTATAATAATAATGCAGCCCAACCAGCCATCATTGTCAAACCGCCCAAAGGAGTAACGGGGCCTAAGGCTCTGAAGCTCTCGCGCTTAAGAGTTAGTAAATAAATAGAACCGCTAAACATGATAGTACCAGTGAGGATTAATGGACCAACGGCAGGATGGATTCGGCGAACACTAGGTGGGATTGAAGCGAGGGCGATAAGTGCAACACTGTGCATGAGTTGATAATGAGCAGCCATGCCCCAATTCTATACAGAAAAGTCCCATTATCGATTGAATTATCTAATCTGCTTTTTTTTTTTTATCGTTTAATTCATTCGTACCTTGAGTTTAACTTGATCATCGCCCACGACTTTAACCAAGCCGTGTGCACCATATGCACCTAAGGCAATGGCACTACAGCCTTTTTTTTTACGCAACCATTAAGAGTGTGTTAGCTTGCAGTGGACACCACGATCAAGGTGAACGCACGTGATGCATAGGTCTTTACCTAAAATACTACCGGCTTTCCATAAAAAAGGTGAAGTCATTTTCAAGTCTGTTAAACCAAAGTGAAAGAATTACAATAAGAAGGGGAAAAAAAAAAAAAAAAAAAAAAAAAAAAAGCGAAATTAATGCACGCGAAATTCATGGCAAAGTCGAACAGGGTTTTATTGTCCCGCAAAAAGGTCAGGGTTTCTTTTTTTGCCTATTTTCCATAAATGGTCAACGATCCCTAAGTCTGCGTTCATTGATTTTGCCCGTAGCCAAAAATATCACAATATCTGGTCTAAGTTGGTTTTGTTGTTGGCTGACGTTAATAAATATTACTAGCTTACTTGTTCATACTAGTAATTGATTATAGCAGGATAGATGTTTCTAAATATGTTCATTGATACACAATGCTGGATAGCACGACCATAAGGTCACTTCAAAAGATTACGTTCGCTCTGTCTCTCTTTTCTCATCCATTGTTGCAAAGGCTTTGTTATCACGCTTCCTCGATCTTTCCTCAAGTCGATGACTTGTCATGCATGGTTATTGTGCCATGACAATAAAGGAATTTTGTAAAGTCGGAGCGAATTTTCCAATTGCTCAACAGCTCCAACTAACCAATCTGTATCACACTATCCAACCATTTACTTACTCTGATTCTTTGATACAGAGGATAAATATACAATTGACGGTGTTCTAATTACTTTGTCTAAGCTGCTGGTACAATAGTATTTCGAGCATTCTTTTGAACAGGAATGTAAGCATACGTAGGTCAAAGATAATTCAAAAGATATCAAAAGTTGGCTTATCAAAGGAATAGTTCTCTACTATTCCGATCAAAATGGAACGTTGCCTGCTGAGGGCAAGAGGAACTAATATATTGTGCAATTGGAGATATAATTCATCATGTAGCAATTTTATTTGGGCATGAACAAGGGTTTTGAATCGTAAAGCAAACAAGATTTTTCCTTCTGAGAGAGTTTACAACTCGAAACCCTAAAAAAGATACTTTATACTTGTACTTTGAAGTAAAATCATTTGTTATACCAAGATCGATACAAGCAGGCATAATTGTGTTCCGAATAGAGTTATTTTTACTTCCGTACGAAGCACTTTCGAATTTTTTAGTGGACAATTTGAGTTTTATTAGAAGACGTTTCTAGGTAAAACAGGACAAGCATGGAAATACTGTACGATATTTAACACTTTAATTGGATAGCGTCACCACGCCTAAAGTACTACGAGAAGTATTGAAACTTTCAGCGCGACACAGATCTTATTAGTAATAGACACAGGGTTGTGGTTTACGAGACGTTATTTATGGATCAGATAAATTGATCCACGTGTTCTGCCGGCACGTAGATAACGGTTGTTATCAATTGTAATAAAAATATATGTTGTCAAACTTGAAGCATTTACAGAAAATAAGATTGACGTCTTTCCTTTGATTTCCATCTTCTTATTCTTATTCTTCTTTCATACTTTCTTTCCTCATCCTATAAGCTATTACTTACCATAAAATCTTGCAAAAAATCAAATCGGTGGCAGAAGCCCATAAGAATAAAGTCAAAGATAAGTCCTTCCGTAAGTAACACATGATCGCGCTGCCACAAATAGGTTATAGTGGTAATCCTCAAAACATGTTTCGTATGACTATGTTGAGTGCAACGATTGCAAAATACGCGGACATTTCAACAAGGCATACCATGAATGCAAGTTTTACAAAGCAGTATCTGCGCGTGATGGTAAGTATCATGCTCTCACTGCAAGACAAGTTTATATTTGCTTAACGAAAATTTAGTTGGAAGTAGCGGCAAGAAACGTAAGCAATCAGCTACAATCAAGGAAGAAAAGAAGCAAGCAAAGAGAAAGAAGAAGCAAACAACTGGAGATATCAAGTGCATCAGTTGTGATATAAAGGGTCATTCTACTTCTCGTTCCCTCGAATGGAAAAGTTGCCAAGGGTTATACAGCCCAATTCGAACAATTCTGTAAAGTCTTCGACTTCGAAAAGTTAGGCTTCAGAAGGTAAAGTAGATAACACTCTGCTAAAAGATTCTGTTCTCAAGATTATTCTTTCACTTTTATCGTAGTATTGTTGAGCTTAAAGACAAACACAAGTGTGCTCTTTCGCAATCTGATTCGATTTGATGGCTTCACTGTAGACTTTTTATTTAGTCGTAAGAAGAAACCAAAACAAGACGCCATCATTGATCATCATGACTTGACGTTGGAAAACTTCTCATATGAAGAGATCACAGCAAACTACAGACCCGCATTTGTTGATCCTGGTCGAAAGACCGTATTTACAGCAGCGATCGGGTTAGAAACAGAAAGACATGAGATACGACGCTGCTCAACAAAAGAATATTACCACATGACGGGTAGTACTCGTATCAATACAGAATTAGAAAGGAAAAAAGCCAATTGTACGATAAAAGATATAGAAAGCAATATATCGAGTTGCAAAACAGGCTCGCCTGAACAGTATAAAAAATATACTACTTATATACTGCAACATTTAGGCACTCTGTTCTCATTCTACGGGTCTGATATGGGTGAAACAAGATTCCGTCTGTATCAAGGGCAGCAAGCGTGCTGCAGATACAATGTCGAACATGCTTGTTAATGGAGGTGTCAAATACGACAAAGAATTACGGAAAAAGAGAAGGGAAGAACAGATAAAATGGCCAAAGAAGAAGGGCAAACCTAAACTTAGTAAAACAAGAAAGAAAAAAAGAAACCGAAAGAGAAAGAGAAGCAGGAAGAAGAAGAGAAAGAGGAAGATAACCACGTTCAGTAAGTCTTGTAGCGATCAACTGTCAACTGAATTTGTGTATACTCACTCTAGTATCTTTCTTCTAGAAGACGATGGACCCTTGAGAAATTCAGGTTGAGTGATAGCAAAAAAGTTCCTCTGATTGTATTTGGTGACGGCATGTTCAACAAATCCGCCGTTCATTTAAAGGGCCTTAGAACTGGTGTCGTTGGTGTTCTTTGGCGTGCATTGGAGCGAAGAGAGGCCGCCGGCGATTTACTAGTGATAACCATTGATGAATATCTTAGCTGTCGAACATGCAATAATTGCCGCTCCAACACCGTTGAAGCGCTGAAGACTGTTCCAGGCCAAAGTATCCTTGTCTGCAAAACCTGTTCAATACTTAGGAACCGGGACGTCAACGCTGCAAAAAACATGTTGGCAATTAGCGTGTCGAAATGAAAGTCAACGGGAAGACCTATTGAGTTTTGTAGAAAACCAAGGAAGTCACCCGCATCAACCGCTTCCAATCGTCAGAACGAAACTGGGTCGATTTTTACAGGTAGACCTAAGTTTAGAAAAATGTAGTGGCGGCTCGTAAATTTGCTGCAGAATTCTAAACACCAATCTTACTTCGTCTGCAGTGATATTTTGACCCGTCTCCACCACGAGTAAAAACACTGAAGAGCAGTGAGGGGCCTAGCCCCCCGGTGGAGGTAGTTAGCACCTTGGCTTTCCAAACCAACGATTGTTGGACGCCGCTGATATTTTTCAGCTTTGATCCCTTTCTCTCTGCTTCCTAGGGTTTTTTAATGCCGCTATCAAGGTGGTTCTCCCTCGGTGTTGGTGTTTAAACAAATGATGAATAATTGTGGTGCCCGCCCAAAGTCTTAGCCTACCAATTATAATGATTAGTTTAGCCCCTTCCCCCTCCCCCCATTTAGATAGTATGCTTTTTCGCCCACCATGTCACCCTGACCGACACTATGCATCACTCTATTCTCAAAAAATCGAGCTGCCCCGGGCAATTTAGATAAGCTTTAATATCTCGTGTCCATTGGGCTTAAAAATGTCAGTAATAAAAATCCTTGTTTCAACGTAGAGCAGTGACCATCAGTCTGTGATCCCATATCTTATGTCCTCAACCGTCTTCCTACACTTCCGATCAAAAACCCATCCCAAATACAAAACTGGCCAGTACTTTGTCACATTTTGTTTGAACTCGACTACTTACACCACTCTCGAGAGCCTCCTACAACTCGTCGGTTAGGGCATCTATTGCTCGACTGGTTACCCTCTTCGCCTTCCCCAACCCTTTAGTATCTCGTGCCCATTTGGGCTTAAAAAAATTAGCATTTTGTAATGAAATCTTTGTTTAAACGTAGAGCAGGAAACCGCAGGTTTGAAAGACCGATTATCAATTTGCTGTAAAGCTTGGACAGCAGCTTAATTTTTCCACAACTCCTATTACACTTTGACAGATTCATTTGCAATGGCACACGATCATCACGATCATTCTAACTGCAACCACGATCACAGTGTTGATAAGCTATCTGCGGCCACTAGTCAGCTGACATCTCAACAGCGGGCTGTAGACAAACTAGCAAAGGTAAAGTAGAGATCTCTCGATGGAATGGTAAGCTAAGGCGGCCGATAACGAACTTATACACATATTTGAAAATATGTCAGGCTCTAGTAGAGATGCAAGAGTTAGCAAATTTGCATAAAAAGTCAATCCAGTAAGTAAAACATACTATAGTATTTGCTCAGAGCAGCAGCCTGAATAACAAATTTGTGCTTTGTATAGAGATAAACCTACCTCCAATGAACCTGTGAACAAAGCTGATGTGGAATTACTGGTATGAAAAAATCCTTACAGTGAAAATGAAAGGCAAGATATCCTATTTACATTAAACGCGTCTCGTTTATGATAGATGAAGGAATTTTGTTTAACAAAAGCTGAAGCAGAAAAGGCTTTAAGAGCTAACAAATCTGATTTGGTTGCTACCATAACCGAATTAATCAAAGCTTAGATGAAGAGTGCCTCAAACAAAGTAATTAGAATATAATATGGTACAGCTAAACAATTCATATACAACATACCAACCCCATATTGAAGTTAAATTAATAAAAAATATCGGGCGGGTCTCTTCAAATTATCATTTGGAGTATTTCTTTTCGACAATGTGAAAATTTTCTGATCCTGCAACGATGTCCCGTTATGATCTCTTTTTTTTTTCTTTTTTTTTGTTGATATTATGGAAGGAAAGCAGAAGAGAAAGAGAAACTGTTTTGGTGCAGCAACGTCACAAAGTAGTACTATTTTTAGGAAGAAAAAGTCTCGCTCAAACCTCTTCATCTCTACGATAGTTTACTCGTGACGAAGATGGTTAAAAATATCACTACAAACGAAGTAATGATATTAAGAAATTTACGAGCCGCCACTACAATTTCTAGACCTGGATCTACCTGTGAAATCAAACCAGTTTCGTGCTGGCGATTAGAGGGAGTGTACAGAAAACTCAATAGACCATCCCAGCGGCTAACTATGAGGGACCTTTCAGATCGCATGAAAGCAACAACCAACGTCAGGAACAATAATTATCCCGGGGTACTCCTAAACGCTCGAAAATTCGCATCTGATTTCAAAAAAATATGTAAGCAACATGATAACATCCGATGAATTCAGGGAAGAAAAGTAGTTTTTTTTTGTCAAAGCCTTTGGGTTAGATGAGTAATTATCCACCTAAGGGGAAGACTTACTCTTTTACGGAAATTTCTGACTCACTGAGTATTACCAGACCATAATACATGTGCCATCTATATATCTCGATACCCATTTCGTAGACAGCAGACAGTATAACTCTTCATAAATAGCAGTAATTTTAGTTTTCTTTTCTTTTTCTGTAGTTTGTTTTTGGAACAGAAATAAAGACGATGGTTTGATTTCATTGAGCTTTCGTGTTTACTTTCTCTTGTGCTATTCTTTATTTTTAATCCTATAGTTAAAATCAGCGAATACCACAGAAGGTATGCAATAGAGACATTTTCAAAAATTGCGTTAAACTTATTGTTAGGCTTTTAATAATGTATTTCCACTGCAATAAACTATATATTTATAGCTGCTCCTGCTTTAACGTAGCAAGAAGTATATACATCTTTGCCGTCCTTCACTGCTACAGCCATGGGCCCAATTTTTCCTCAATATCCTGCAACCTTGCAAGTTAACCCTGATCGCAATGGTCGCATATCTTTCACTGACAGCGTCATTGCGTACATTTTTGCAGCAAGAGCAGACCTTCAACCTAAACAATGATCCTGCCGAAACTGCAGCATTCAAAAATGCTCAGATTAAGGGCATTCTGTCTCACCTTTCAGCATATAGAAAAAATGTCTGCATGCTCATGATGAATAATTTGGTAGAGAAGAGCAAGGCCAATAATAACCATCCTTTCGGCATTTCGACGCCTTGGGAAAAGCTGCCGTCGAGCTATAAGCAATTCTATGTCAAGCAACTTGGAGAAATGGCTTCGCAGTCCAACATTCCTTTAGCAAGATGTGAAGACAGTAGGGCTGCGAAGGGACTCTTGCGGGTGTATTAGCAATCATCATTACAGCCTTTGTGGTTTGGTAAATTGACTACTTTATTATTTTTGTGTTCTATCATTCATATGATCTCTCAACTAATAGTATAACATTCTTTGTTTATCCTTACAACTAGTATCAGATTGCATATACAAAACCTCCATCCAAGCCCAAGTTGAAAAAGTAGACTATTGTTAAAAGGAATAAGTACATGATGCCCTGAGTTTTGCTTATCCCAGGACTCGAACCTGAATAAAAGTAAAATTAATTACTCTTATTTCAACCAGTTAAACTAGATAAGCGGGTATGGGAATCTTGGCCTGATGTCTCCTTATAATCCTCTTAACATTTAACAACTTGCTCGAAAAAAGAAAAAGAAAACTATGGAACGCGGAGAAGCTTGGACTATAAAAGTTGAAGTCCTAAGCTAGGTCATAAAAGGTACTCTGCAAAAGCAGGTGCTCGGTTTGCCCTTCCCGCCAAGCGCTTCTCGATCATGATTAAAGCTTCAGACAGACAAAACAACTCTTGATAAGCAAGTGGTAAATGAGGGGAAACAAAAAAGAGGAAGGTGTGAAGGGCCATGACAAACTATCTAACACCATTCTTCAGTGTTAGGATCCCAGAAGACGACAGATGACCGCTCAACGCCAACACTAGCGACAAAGGGGTTTACGAGGCCCAGTAAACTGCCCTATGGTATGCCGGTGTCAATCAGAACAAGATTAATGGGAACAAAGAACATAGTATGCAGTAGATGACGCAAAAGCCAAGGAGCAAGCGTTACAGAGGATATAAGTAAACGATGGCCGTTAATGTATGAAAAAAAAAAGAGAAAAAAAGAGACCTCCAAAGAGAAAACATGGGGACTTTTTATAGCAATACAAGCCTCCCTATTCGTATGTAAGTAGTCTCTTTCTGAATAGTACATATGCCTACAAATTATCGTGGGGTACTTTTTTAACTGATAGAATTCTGGCTGATATAGGCGTTAATTTGAAAACTGACTTGGCTAAATAAGATGTGACGTTATGTGAAGACTTATATACTGACCAAAGGTTGCTTGACGTGATGTTATACAGTTAGGTTCTTTTATTTTGCTTTTGACATAAAACCTTTCTAGTATAGCACCAACAAATTACTTCATATATGCTTCTTCAATGAAGATACCTTGATTATCATTCACATTTTATTCAATCAGTAGATATAAATATTGAACGTTACTTATTCTTCTACTTATTCGTTTATTCATTTGTTTTTACAATTCTATTGAACATCAGTATCTGCATAGTAGTTTTCCAGTAATCATCTCAGGAAAATATAAAATACCTCAAGTTAGTGGCAAAAGCTAAACAAATAATACTGTATGTGTTTAAGCATGTTTGTCCAAAGTTTTACGTGCTGATTATTTTGACAAATGTGCGCCAAACAATTGATGCATCACATTTTCTGAGACACCCATTTATAATAATCCCTGAAGAAGTTGCATGAGCGTTCAGTTGGTTAAAGATCCAGAATGATTGCCATTGTTGCTAGTATTGGCTAACAGAGGAATGGGATTATGGAAAAAAGTCAACGGAAAGATATCCACCCTATTTTCTGCAGATGCTTCGAGTTTAGCAACATATATTTTTAATACAAATGACAATAGCCGTTATGAGATCAGTTGAACGCGTAGATCAATTCATTTGGTCCATGAATAAAGTCTCGTCAATCGCAACCTTGTGCCTATTGCTAATTCAAGTACGCCTTATAGTGCCTTAGACGTAGTGTCACTATCAATTGACAAGTGTCCACTGACTTTCAAAATAATGCCTCCAATTAAACGCTCAGAGTTTATTCCTGGATGTTTAGTTGCCCGCAGTTCAGTCCTTTGTTTCTTGGTTATTGAACTTTGAATAATGGTGAAAACTACCATCATCGCTAGAATCTCAGATGGGCTTCCCTTGGCTGCCAGCATGGATGATGAGCAGGTAGACATATCAATAAAGATGTCTTAAGCGTCTAGAGTCATTTATTCACACGTCGTACCCTTATTATAATTTTTTCATGTTTAACCCTTTCAAAAAAAAAGATTGAGATGGAGTTAACTGACTACAAGAATCAGGCAAAAGCTATATTCAAGAGACTTAACATCAACTCTGAGCCGAGATGTTCCATAGAATCAGGCAAATATGTGTTTCAGTAAGTTTTCTCTGTCTGTTTTTAATGATACAACATGTAGGGTACGATTTGATTGTATTATATATCTGCTAACGCGACGGACTCCCTCATCGAATCTATAGCTATATAATTGAAGGAAGTGTTTGCTATCTTTGTATCTGTGACAAGTCATATCCTCGGAAGCTTGCTTTCAGTTATCTGGAAGAATTGGCCAAGGAATTTAATATGAGTTATGGTAACGAGGTTGAAAAACCTGGTTTGAGGCCTTATGCCTTTGTCAAATTTGGTAAGCTTAAATTCCAAACTATTGAATATTCTGATCACCGTTTCATTAACGAACACAATGTTGCTTTCAGATACATTTATGCAAAAGACAAAAAGAATTTATCAAGACACACGAACTCAAAGCAATTTAACAAAATTGAACGAGGATTTGCAAGATGTAACACGTATCATGACAAAAAATATGGAAGATTTATTATGGCGAGGAGACAGTCTTGACCGTATGAGTACTATTTCAGGCGAATTAAAGGATAGTGCAAAGTTATTTAAAGACAAAGCACGTCATTTAAACTTGCAAGCCTTATATCGTAAATACGGTCCACCTGTCATTATTGCTTCTGTCATATTATTCGTACTCATCATTCGCTATTACTGGTTCTAATCCTCTCCACTCAATTCAACCTGCGCTGAAAACAAGAAGAGCAAAAGAAACAGCTATACCTCTTATTACATCATTTCCTAATAATACTAATGGAATAAAAAAAAAAGTGCTTATTCAATCAAACACAGGATATCGCATATCGCGCCAGTATTTGCTAATTGTTTAAAATGGTGAAGGCATGAAGAACCGGATATGCCTGATCACCCGTGTTCAATTTTTCTTTCTTCATGATAAACAACTCAAAGTAGGCTATTACACAAATGATAAACTTTGAACGATTTAAAACGCGGATTTTAATGGTACAAGGCCAACGGCCTAGTGTCTTTGCTTGTATTCAAAATAAAAGGTGTTTGCCAAAAGGGATGAAAAGCTCCTTCTAATATAATGGCTGTGAGAATATATATAAAAGTATGTATAAAGGAATATTTATGTATAGTTTTGGAATGCTGATAACTCCCCAAGTAATATATAATAAAGAATCTACAAATGTCTTTTGGGCGTCAATAACGTCTAAGTGTCCATGATTTTTCTTAAAAGTCCGTTGTTACTTTAGATGCTGTCCTTATTTCTATCTATTTAATTACTTCTTCTTGCCAAAAGTTAAAGGTTCACCGATATTCTTGCCTCTCAACTTGATACCAAGAGCACGTTCTAATTTGCCGAGAATTTGCTGATTAGGAATGGCCTTACCAGCTTCATATTCATTGACAACTTGAGGCTTTTCGTTGATCAATTGAGCTAAATCCTTTTGAGTGATATTCTTAGCTTGACGGCCCTTTTGAATGGCCTTACCAACAGAGATATCAACTCTGGGAGGAGGAGGGACATCGTTTTCACGATCCAACTTGGCAATACGCCGGTGATCGGTATTCGCATGTCCAGCATTGGTCAAAGTGCTCTTCTTTTCGGTAACAACAGATGCACCAACCTACGAAACAATAAAGAAACGAAGCATCATGATAAGCAAAAACGTACACCTTTTTTCTTGCGGAAAAGAAAATAAATGTAAACTCTTGTCCCTCGCTCCTTAAAGAGACGCACAAACGAATACTTACTCTTCTGGCAGCATTTAATTCAGCTTGAGAACGAGTGACCTTGGCTTTAGCAGGATCACGCTTGCGAAGAATGGTAGTGCTATCCCAGTCTATAAAAAATGTATTCCGTATTGATCATCGATCAGTATCAAAACTTCTCTGGTAATTGTAGATACATATGTGACTGAACTGTCCATCAAAATACGTACCAGACATTGTTGAATATATATGGAAAGATATGTTTACAAAAAGAAAAAGAAAAAAGTGTAGAACACAGCTGATTTCCCTCTTATAAGACGAGTGAGAAAAAAAAAAAAAATTGACCTATAAAATTGACTCACCAATAACAATTCTTAGCTTAGCCATTGGAAAGCCATGGAACAAATGAAATGAGCAAATTTTATTTGCTTAGCTGTCATTGAAAAAAGTGTCGCACGTTTTTTGGTGAGCCTTTTGACAGACAGAACTGCGGTAAGTAAGTGCAGCTCAATTATATTGCTACGCCATGGATGTAGTGTATCCAAAAGGAAAGACTATCGAATTTTCAAAAGAAACATGCTATAGCAAACAGTACAGCACGAATTGTTATTGTCGTATTTGATATCTTCCTTTCCCAACTTTTGCTTTTACCAAACGAGCATAGTATAATGACTGTAGCTTGCGTTGGCTACGAACGACCAAACTTCTTTCTATACAATTCAATATAGATTAAAATAAGGATTAGCCATTTTCGTCACTAGCTATTGGTTTCATACTCTCGATGACGCTCTCACTGTTATGCTGCTTTAAAAGTAATCGCGTACGGCTCTTCAATAACACGACTCTGGGTTTCAACTTCCGGTTAATGCATCCTGCTTTCAAATGTTTCCATAAAATTTATCTTTTACTTCCTAACGCATCTAAAGAATTTTGAAGAAATGAGCGAAGAAGAAAGCAGACAACAACTGGAAAAAGAGCAAAACAACAATAACCATAATAATGATGCTGTAGAAAGTGAACCAGAATTTTCTGAAAATGAACAAGAAGAAGTTAACGCGGAAGAAGAGCTTACTGAAAAAGGTAATGCAATGTTTGTACATTACAAATCAGTTAGAAAGTTTAAAAGACTCAACAACACTATTGATATCGCCCGTCTTCTAGAGCTTCTCGACGATTACCCTGACGACGAGGAGGTAAAAGGAGCAAAGGTACACGAAAATTGATTTTTCGTTTAGAAACTCATTGCCATTGCATTGTGTATAGGAAATTAACTGTATACACATGAAAGTAAACAGTATACCCAATCTCGGTTTGGAGCGATTCAAAAATCTTCAGGTGAGCGAAAAAGCATTTCTTAAGCCAAAATAGATACCCAATAGACGTGCTGGTTCTAACATTGCCGTTCCAACAACCCTAAGACTCTTTGCTTGAGGCAAAACTTTATCATTGATATTGAGGGTTTGGAACCTCTAATTGCATTGAAAGAATTGGACTTGTACGATAACAAGATATCGCATATGCGAGGATTGAATCATTTGGTGCAGTTAGAGTATGGATGTTTTGCTAAGACTGTATCTTAAAAATGGAAAGACTTATTCAACAGCTGTGAATGCTATTACCCGCTTTTTACAAATTAGAAACCTGGATCTTTCATTCAATAAGATCAAGCATATCAAAAATATTGACAAACTAGTCAACCTCAATAATCTTTACTTTGTCAGCAACAAGATTTCGAAAATTGAGAATTTAGATACGTTAGTGAATGTTACAAACCTGGAATTGGGAGCTAATCGCATTCGTGTGATTGAAAATTTGGATAACCTCGTTAATTTGACGCAATTATGGTTGGGAAAGAATAAAATCACAAAGTTAGAGGTAACCTCACCTATTCAAGAAGTGTTCAACTCCAAAAGATATTTATTGAAATCGTCTAACACTCTTCCAAAACGTAGAATTTGGGCTGTTTGAAGAATTTGAGGTCATTAAGTATTCAAAGCAATCGTCTGACAAAAATTGAAGGGTTAGAAGAATTACATAATTTGGAAGAGTTGTATTTGAGTCATAATGCCATTGAAAAGATAGAAGGACTGGAGAATAATGTAGGAAACTGCACTATCATTTTTCATTCAATTTACACTTTCTTCCTAACAAATTCTTTTGCAATCTATGGGAATTACAGCTCAAATTGAATACTTTGGACGTAGCAAATAACATGCTAACAAAAATCGAAAATCTATCACATTTACCAGAATTAGAAGAATTTTGGGCAAATTCCAACAAATTCGACAATGAATGTTATGAACAGGTAGAAAAAGAATTCAAGAACACCAAGACGCTAGCCACAATTTATCTGGAAGGGAATCCAATGCAATTGAAGAATAGAGCAACCTATCGAAATAAAATCAAACTTGCTCTACCTCAAATCAGACAAATTGATGCTACGTAGGTTATGAATGTATGACGGTAATACTCATCCGTTCTGACTACTAACAGAGGATTTATTACATAGACCTGTCAAATAAAAAAAGAAGAACGGTAAATGTATTAACTTAAGTGTGTATCAATGCATATCTGCGAAATTGAAAAAAAAAGAATAAATATTGTTCGATTAGCAAGAATTTTATTTATCAATATTTACAGCTTTAGAAGCACTACAAAATGGCAGTGGCTTGCGTCTAATCAATTTCATTTCCCGCTTTCTCTTTTCAAATGGAAAGTTGAGTCGCCTTTTCTAAGGTGTTTTGAAATAAAAAATGTCGTTTTTCGACCCCTCCCTTCTCAATTTCTTTTCTCTGCTTACCTTTTTGATATCAAATTCCTTCTTATTCTTTCATAGTTGAATAGATAATGATAGAAACTAATAATCCCTACATGTTCAGCGCCAATACTACTAATATTACCACTACCACTACCACTACTACTACTATTACTGCTGCTGCTAAAACTGATACCACTAATGATATCCCTCCAACTACTACAAATATGAATAAAGATAAAAGCAAGATTATCTCAACTATTGAAACACAAGCTGAAAACAATAGAAGTATATATAGGCACGAACCACTGAGCAATAATGGAATCCTCTACAATAATAATTCCCATCAACAACAACAGCACAAATATAGCAGTGGCACCAATAACACTAATACAATGCCCATAAAACGAGACTCTTCTCTATTTGACAATTATATCTACAATAATAAACCACCAACACCAATTTCAGCGTCGTCAACAACATCAATATCCTCACCTGCCCTTTCTTCAAATATGAAGTTTCAGCAAAATAACTACAATAGCGATAACCATTATTCACAGCAACAATCTAGTAATGGCCGTTGGTACAATGGTGCGTCGTCATCACCAGCTGTTGTTTCAGTCATACACGCACCGCCGCCACCGCCATCGATGAAAGAGAAAGAGGCTATAGAGCCAGATTCCAGGCAGATAAACACTAATACAACCTCCACGACTACAAATAATAATAAGAAAAGTAAAAGACGAAAAGAAATGACGAAGTATATGGAAAGCTTAAATCAAAATTTTTTGAAAAACAAAGAAAGGTAACACACAATAGCCGCATACGTTTGTGGATAAACAATTAATTTCTTTTTTCGATATAAAGGATATACCTGGAAAGGCTGGAATCAATACGACAAGAAATGCTTTCTGCTCGCAAAGGTATATTTATCAAAAAAAGAAAAAAAAAAAAAGAATGGGGCTAGGGTAATGGCTTGCTGTTCCCAATTAATAAAGCCAACTTGTTTCTATTATGTAGATCAGCACATAGTCTATAAAGAATGCTTACGTGATCTAGAGCAAATGAGGCAAAAAATGATTGATGAATTCTCGCTGTTCAAAGAATATCAAATCGAAGTTACAGATAGGCAATTTAAATTAGAAATATACCAAGCTGATGAAGAATATACCGCTGAGAAACAGGAAGTTAGGGAAAAGCTATACAACATGCTTGAAGAAAAACGAAGGAAGCTGAAGGAAGAGAAAGATAATTGTGATTTAACATACGGTAATACAATGGAATGTCATTCTGTTTTCTCTATTCAATTCTTTAAACCCATTGTTTTGCACATCATTACTAGATATCATGATGGAAACTCAAGCTAGAATGCATAAACGTAACTTACGAAAAAGAGGTGCTGAGCATCCAGAGAATAAGTCAAGTAAAAAGAAGCAAATGACAGGACCTGCTCTAGTCATTGGTTTGAAAGAGGAGGATATAGTAGCGGATTTGCAAGCAATGATGCAGGTAAAGTAGAAAAATAGCAAAATTCGGCAATCATCTATATAAGTTATTTGTAATGACAGCATCAGGATATTTACTACTCTTAATACGTTAGAGTTCTGCTGCTAACCTCGTCACTACTTCATCTACAATGTTCAACAATCATACCTCATCACTAAAGAAAAATATCTCTGCGAATAAAAAGAAATAAGAGATTAGAAAAAAAATGCATGAACAAAAAAATTACACCGTCCAATCACACGTCTTCTGTGCAATACAGCGTAGGGCCAATCATGATTCTTTACTTCTCGTGCCTGAAAAAACTTTATTTTTCTCCTAAACGTGTGTTTGATGAACCTGAATCAATCGAACAATCTCTTCACCGAGCTTAGGATCGATAACCGTTCCATTGCTCGAAGTGCAAATAGCTTTCTTATGATTCCACTTATTTCTCTTGCTGTGAATCAACTTCATTGGCAACTGCGATCTTGTCATCCACTGAACACGACAGACATACCTCCAAGCAAAGTCATTCATCGTATGGGCCTTTTTGATCAGCATGTTATCAACCAATGATTTCGGTAGCGTGTACAAATCAACAGCTTCACTCATCATCTTGGCGCATCCATGAATCATTTGCTTGCGTTTATATGTAACATTGTCTTTTTTGTTCGCAAGGCTGAAAATCAGGATCAATTGTTGACTCGCATTGAAAATGTCGTTGAATTTCTCCACATTCTTTTTTGGTATATGCAAATAACCCATGTTTTGTGCCAAGTCAATGTCAGATATTTGAAGCAGCTTGACCCATAAATAATTGATAGGGGATGAGATTAGACAATTTCTCAACTCGGAGTTGATAGCGTAGGGTTTTTGGCATAATGCATTTTCTGAAAAGGACACGGCAGCGCTATTTATACTGGGTCTGTCAATATACTGTTGATGTAGATCAATAGTGGTATTGATGTCCCCTTGGTAGTAAAATGAGTTTATAAAAGTCCAATACTCTATCGTAGACGAAAAATGCTGTCAATAATGATTATGATAATGACGTTGGACAAAAGCAGAGGCTGTTATCATTGTTTTGTAATTTACCTGAAGTCAGACATGGTATTACTATGATTGGCAGCTGTTGCATTGGCAAAGAAGCGGGTATATCTGTCTTGATCGGACTTTCTTGATGTATAAAGGGCATGATTGTATCTTTTCTTTGATTTCTGTTATCACTCGTTGCATAGAAATATTCTTTACTATTGCTACTGAGACTCTTTTTTTTCCTTCGGTGATAATATTCGTTCAACTTATTTTGGGTGTCTCTATAGAAGTCATATTCTAACTCAAGAAACTGTAGAAAAAATTCAAAAATTATATGAGCCACTTCCGCAAAAGGTACGCAAATCAGCAACGAAAGTACTCACATTACTAGGCTGGCAGATAATCGTATTTGAGCCTATTCCTAGGGTATTAAATAACGAAATGTCAAAATTTTTTGTCTCTTGTGCGCAAACATAGGGCGAGTTTTCTTACTTGTAGAGTTCTTCTCATGGTAGGCTCTAAACATTTCAGTGCACGATCTATACACAACATAGGCACATTGAAAACTTGGAATATGCCTGATATACTATAATGACAACGCTCAAAGTAAAATTCAATAGCCCACTATAATGACAAGATTTACTCTGAAGGGTACTTACTAACACGTTGGGACTAAAGAAATAATTTTGAATCTGCTTATATTTCGCATTTTCAGGTAAATTGATTATTTTCAAGGGACAAGCATAATGGTGAAGCAAAGTTCGAACAAAAGGACTGCATTTTAACCAGTCTAAAGATCGATGACTTCGATGCAGCACTTCCCATAAAGTAGATGACTTTGACTGTTGCTGCAGTTGTGAGTTATTATCATCACTACAGTCACTTTGACTCTCTTGATGTTTGGAATAACGATCTTTATGGTAGCTGGCCATCAGTTTTTTTTTGTCTTTCATCGTTAATGTATAGTTGAAATGCTTATCTGCAAGTATTTTCCATTCTTTGAACTGTTCATCTTCGTCATTCACTTCCTTGGATACTATAGGTATACCAAATGAAAAACGTGCTTGTCGTTGCTGTTGCTGTTGTTTTTTGGCGGCTAATTCATTATGAAAGTCGACATGCTCAACTGGGCATTCGCATATCTCTATCTCAAAACTCTCTTTATCGTCTACATCGTCTACATCACTTAACGTTCTATTTTGCTGCTCATTATCTGATAGTGTTACCATAGAGCTTTCACTGTTATGGATATTTTCTAAATCGTTAAAGTGGACATTATTATGGCTGATATCACGATCAACAGCTTCTGTAGTAGACGAAGATTGTAAATCCTTTTTCGCTTTCTCCTTGTCGTCAAGAAAAAGGCATACTGGCTCTCTCAAACAATCTTTGTTATGCATAGTAAAGGAAGAGCCCTCATTAGGAGCAGACTCTGAGTGTGAGTGTATGCTACCACAACTGACAGGATTGATAGCAGGACTTTCGTGTATTTTCAGTTTATTTGACAACGTGTCGCTCGGACAACGTATACACTCAGTACTGTTCATAGACTTGTCGTTGTTATGATTATTTTCGTCGCCTTTGTTGCTTGTTGTTGTTGTATTTTTTATTGAAATGTGTTCATGATTGTGATATGCCTGATGAAGATCGTTATATTGATATGAATCTTGCAGAAAATCAGCCTCCACGCGTTGGACAGGTATATAATGTCTTACAGCAGAAGATGATGAATGACTTGGTAGCACTTGCTGCTTTCTGTTATTACGCGAACCGTCTTTGTCAACATCCACCACGTTGTTCGTAATATTGTCTCCACTAACGGAAGAGCACTCTTCCTTATATGCTATATTCTTTGCCTTAATTGTATATGGTATATCGTTCATTTCAAGGACAAAATCGCCGTTATTATCGTCGTCTTTCTCTGCATAAGTAAATGTGATATTTTGTTTTTTGGAAAGAATAGCAGTTGCAGTATTAGATTGCACAAGTAAGACTTCTGCATCATCTACTATAGGCTGTTCAGCATCACTGCTGTAGCATTCTTGAGCACTTGTTGAAGAATCGTTTATCTTTTCGAAAGATGGAACAGTCATTATACTTCGCATGGAGAACCTCTATAGAGAAAATAGTGCAGCTAGCAAATAATGGAAAAGTTAAAAAAAAAGGAATGGGAAAGAAGATTGTATACAAACAACAAAAAAATTATTTCACTTTTCTTCATTATTTCACGAGTCATATTATTCAGCACACTTTTGATATATAATGCGCGTTGTGTAAGAAAGAAATTTAACTCTTTAATAGATCGACTCAAAAAGTTAGGGTTTCTGTTTACATATTGAGGCAATCCACCAGCTATATTGCTATTGCAGGTTCAAACCTATGCTTTGCTATCATCTTTGTATAATCATACTGCTAGCTAAATCTCCCACCGTATCTCGCTGCTGAAGCCTCCCTTCAATGCGACTATTTTATGGATCAGCAAATCGGAAATTCAATAAATTAAAGAAGCATAAATAGTCGATTTTTGGCCAAGTTCATTTTACCAACACACCCAATTTTAATGGATACAATGGAAGTAGAAGATATCTTGACAAATAAATTCCTTGAGTTTAGGCAGACAAGCATCAAAATAGGTCTTGAAGAAGCTCTGGTATTATTTTATCAATTTTTTCAATTCCATATACATTAAATGCTGTTCTTAACAAATTCTTTAACTGTCCGTTAACAAAAAAAAAGGTACAATACTCATCGATCAACCAAACTGATTGGCGATTGTAAGCAATGTCTCTCAAAATGCAACTGTCTTGTACTATACATAACGTTAGTTTATAATTTTATTATTTGTTGCAACTAGACAAACGCTGTATGAATTATATTATATAGACACAACCGTGAAGCAACTGTCGAATCGGAAGACTTCTTCTGAGACACCCACTGCAACTGCAACAGCAGGAGCAATAGTTATAGATCGTACAGGTCAACGTATTCGTGCTGGTACTAAACTATTGAGCAATGCATCCTTTATCAAAGGATATGGAAAATCCTTGTTCGATATATTTGACAAATTTGCTCAAATTATGGAAGAATACGAACAACAGGAAGAAGCTTTGTATTCATGGAAGGTATGATATATTTAAGTTTGGAAGCGTGCCGAATATATTTTGGTTAAATGACATAGAGATATTCAGCATTTATTAGAAGGCTTGCTTCATCTACCTACACGTTGCGATATAATGGAAGGATTAGCATTGCATAACCCAATTGATTATGCTTCGGTAATAACATAAACAGATACCACAATTGAAAAGCCGATGAAACCAACATATCTTTTCTTTTTGGATCTGCTTTGGAAAAAGCTCATTGATGAATTATTTCAGTTGAAGGTGGACGCGAAATTTCATATGCACATAAGGTACGTATAACACTTACAAACAGCCCAATATCTGTATAATATACATATACAGCTCACTCAAATTAACGATCTTGTCACTAAGTGAGATGATCTATAAAGTGGTTGAAACCTATCCGAACTATGCCTCTATAGCACGTTTCAAACTTGTAGAAATGCGTTCGTTGCCAGATCTGGTAACTCGATTGACGGTAGTTCACTGTGGCGATACCGTTGATTTTTTGAACGGTATTTTTGCGCAAAATCTCAAAAGTGTGAATTGGTTTTTGGCTCAATCTGTGAATAGTGGGCATTATTTTGTAAAGATAAAACAAGACATCATGGTGGATATTGTGGAGCCCCTAACAAAGGTAGTATCAAGAAAAAAAAAAAGAAAAGAAATACAACAATTACCAAATGCTGAGTTTGAGCTAAATTCAACGCCACCATTTTTTCATTATATTCATAACAAAGATGGAAGAGCACAGACCCAGTAATTTAGAATTAGTGCAATTAACAACTGCACTTCGTGTTATAGCTGGTATTGTTGGTTATTTCGGTATTAAATTGGTAGAAAATGAAGTTATGACATGTTTACAATTATTAGAGAAGGCCCAGTCCAAAAGGTATGGAAGAGGCAAAGAATGAAGACAAATTGAGTTAAACTCTTACTCACATAAATGATGTTTCCTTTCCGCAATAGATTAATTGAATTACTATTTTGCTTACTTCTCTTGGCAGCTGACCAGTTTTTGCGGAAACAGGTAGATAGAATATAAAATATTGTAAAAGAGGATCTCGCGTATTTAAACTTTGCAATATATCCTTTCTTTAGAAAGAGCTTACTCATGTTATCAATCAACTCATCAAATCAAATACATCCGAGCTACCATTATTGATGTATGTATATTTCCAAACAGATGCCATCCAGCAAATTGAAGACAATGTTAGGTCTATCTTATCCATGCAGTTACCCATACGTAAGTATAAGCCCCCCCCCAAAAAAAAGATGAGTTATACAAATAATTTATGGACCCCTCAATTTGGCAGATAAACTTGGATTATTCGAATTGCAGAAATTGTTCAGATCTATCGTACAGCCTGCATAAACCAATGAATAACAACAGCTTACCAATTTTTTTGTCCCTTCTCATGCATCGGCACAAAAACGGAGAAACAACAAAGAAAAAAAAAAGTACGATTCAAGAACGATGAAATCATTTAAGCATTTAAATTTCTCATTATATTGCTACTTCAATGTATCTACTTTGTTAACCTGTTTATAGTATTGATACTGTCGCATAATTCCAACTGTCTTGTACATAGTAAGGCAGTATACTCTTTTTCGTGCAAAATTTTGTTTCAACGGCAACGTTATCAATATTCCCATCATTTTTCTCTCCCCATCAAGCGTCAGCATTAATTTTGTTTTTCTGATAGAAAGACTTGTACCTTTCAATAAAAACAAACATTGACTATCAAAGGTTCATACTAAGTGTTTATCCCTGCCAACTAAATTCATATATGTCGCACTCTTTGCTTTCTTTTATTATGACGAAATCACAGTGAGTTACACTAAATAGCGACTATGTATTTATGGAGTAGGAAGGAATCCTCTGTAGTGTATCGAACGTTATTACAAAAAGAAATCAGTACATCAATCTTTGATCAACCGTCAACTTACTAGCCAAAATTTCCTTGATTGAGTCAGATTTACTACGAAGTACGTTGGTGTATGAACCTGCTACAGCTTTTCCATTCATTGAAAAATTTCAGACTGTTGTTAGTAAAAATTGGGACAAAATACCTGAAAATATCTGAACATTTGGAAAGCAACCGGGCTTGATCCAGTGATATGGGTGCGAATATTGTTGAGTATAAATTAGGGGCAGGATAGCTTCACAGATTCACTTTGGTAACAAGAAAATGATAAAATGTAGAGTCAACATTGCTAATTGTCCTGTTCTCATTGTGAAAATGAAGGTTAACTCGTTGTTGGTCAAGATTGGAGCATTCAATTGAAGCCTTATAACACGAGATCGTTTTAGTCTACCATTCTGGTGATTGTACTTGTGATTTTTATTATTATTAAAGGCCAACCTTGACATAGTTAGAAAACTTATGTTACGGAAAGTTATGAACTTCCCTATTATTTCAAATGTGTACTATTATTTTTAACCCGTTGTAGAAAAAGAATCATTGAACAGAAAAATCTTGCCATTCTCCGGTACTTTCGAACAAGAAAGTCTTTCCGAAAAAATGTACTACTTGTCTCATTACTGTATACAGCGCCTTATTATGTGAACAACTTTCCAATTGTCACTTTGCTGAGCTTCATAGTGATTAGCGCAGTTTTACAACTTCATACGGAGGTTGATCGATCAGTTTATTTAATGACAGACAGTTCATATAACTCTTTCCATTGATAAATATACAGTTGCTCGAGATATCTGTTCTAAAAGGTTGGCTGCTCAAGTGAAACGTTAATGTGTTTGTCGGCTTTCTATCTTCTACTCGCAGCTTTCGTACGAGTCAAACAGATTTTGGCTGTAAATCCATGAACTGCTCATTCCTTTTCTTTTTTCATTCTCGGAAAGTTTGATGTTCATGGACTTTCTACTGTTTAAATTACTGTAGCTGTTAGGTTGTCCTGCACATTGGAAAATCCCTGTATTTGCTGTTAAGAAATTTCGGGCGAATAACGCTCTTCTTCTCTTCCTGCTGAAGGTGTCTACAATTGATCAAATTGTCATCGATCGCTTTTTGATCTTTCCTATATCAGTTGCAAGCAGTGCGCTTAAGCATCTACTTCTGTGTTGCCTGAGAGATGACAAAGCTTTTTCGTTAAACTAAACTAAAACCCATTTTCAGTACCAAACTTTGTATAGTTTCGCTTCTTACGGTTTCCGTTTAATTGCATCATTTCTGTCTTCATTAAAAGTGCTGCCTCTGCCGTTTTCATTGAAGAATTTCCAATCGTCAAATTGTGACAGACAAAGGTTTGCGGCAACTTGGTACAATTAGAATATGTAATTATCAAATATCGGATTTACAATGTAAATTATTTTATTGTGCAATTCGAGATCACTGTTCGTGCAATCTGAACCTTGAAATCGTGTATCTATTTCCTGAAAAAGTCTATTATTGAACTTAGATAGTATATACAGAAGAAATCTATTTTGTAGTCTAATTCAATTACAGTCACTGTAATTCTGATAAGAGATATTGTTCTGGTAAGAATTATGACCATGGGAAAACCGCAATTGTGCATGCCAGGTAATTCTTGCAACTATCTGTCTTCTCAGTTGAACTTAAGGTTTCGCAGGTACCACGTTAATAAGTATTCATGTTTAAAGCATTGTTTAATTGTATCCATAATCTGTTTGTTTAGTCACCCAACATAGTGTATCTCGAATTCGGAAGAAGCATGCTTCTATCCGCAGTTGATTATAATCAATTTTGTATAGATTTGTCACAATAGTTAAGCCACCGTCGCCAGATCCATACGCTTGTTAAGAATTTGTCCCATTGTGACCAGTGTCAGTAGATTCCATTTCCGAGGACTAAAAAAAAAGTATCCTCTTACAAACCCGTAATAGATAACATTCACATCAGAAAGACCAAATCATTTAACAATGAGTGCACAACATAGAGCTTTTTTCCTTTCTTTTCCCTCTCGTTCCGTCAAAATGCTTCAGGCATTAATCTATAAGCTGCCACTATCTTGGTTTTTGTTTACTGTAACTCTTGCAATTTTGCCAGGAGCTGCAGCAACGGATTTTGGTTCAATTCTTACCGCTGGGATCCAGGATATTAGTGCAGTCGCTGCTGTATTTGGCACGGACCTTGTAGAAAAACAATGTAATAGAACATTAAAAGGCCTTCAGTACCCAATATTTGCAACAATGGGTATGTTTGGAAGCCTGGGGTATGCCAAATGGGCTCTACAGACTATTTTACCAGTTCAAACATCCATACGCCTATTCACACCTGAGAAAGGCCAGCTAAGTTTCGAATGCAACATTTGGATGTTCAGTTTTGGCAGGCGCAGCTGTTGGTCGAATGAAGCCGACACTATTGCACCTCCTGTGGCATGGAAATTCTTCACAGGTGGTATTGCAGATGCAATTAGATATCTCGATCTTAGTTTGATCAAGGAAACAATTCATCAGCCCGTAATTTCGGCCAGTATCGCGTCATGTCTAGCGATATTTGCATCGTTCGTCGGATTGATTGCATTTACCCCACAATTTTTGGAAATTGGTTTACAATGGGGCCCACTGCTTCGCTGCACAGCATCTGCAGTTCTGGCGATCTGTAACGTATGGCAACCGTTGATATTTGCAATGTTCTTGGTCCCCAATTCACCTGGTATCGAAGGAATAAATGCTATAGGTTTATCGATCGCTATGATCTTGGCAGGTGTTCTTTTCGTTGCAGCATTTGCTTTGGTGGCAGGTTATGTTGGAAGTTTCCAAATGGTGCAAGCAGGATCAACAAATGCATCAATTATATGGCTTGCAATTGAACTTTGCCTTATGGTTCTCAGACTCTGTTTTTGGTCCTTTTCACTGAGTTTTTTACATTACGGCAGTATACGTTTGAGATTGGATGATCCGGCACCCTTTGCCGCACTATCTTTTAAACGTTGGTTGAATGAAAACGAGACAAAAATTGCTTTCTTCGCATTTGGTGCTTCTATTGAAAGCATTCGGGAGTTCAGTAATATTACTGGCTTATGGATTCAGGTTCCTGAAACCTATGTTGCTGCTATTAAAAATGATGAAGAGCGTAAATATCTGATCAAGCCTCGCCCAGCAGGGCAATGGAGAGGTCTCTATGGCAAACAGTTACAGAACAATACTCTCGCTGATATTCTAGAAGCAATAGCTTTGCCACTCACAGCAAATCCTGATAAAGGCGAACGTACAGCAGTGGACGTTCTGCTTCACGATTCAGTCGTTTTTCAAGGTATTCATAATCCGAAATCAAAAAAATATCAGTTGGATCTTATCCCAGAAGCACAATATGACAATCGACGACATTTGAAGAGCCCGGCTGTATCTTTAAATGGTGCTGAATTTCATTCACTGACTGAACTGGATTTTAAATCATATTTCACGATGGTCCTCAATTACCTTACTATAAAGCACAAGAAATCTCAAGGAAAGTGTTTTGATGCAAACTGCTAGATTACAGATTATGCGTAAATAGTATGTATTACAACACTCAGAATGAAAATAGCTTTAGCAATGACTAATTTTACAGAAGTATACTGTTTGTAATTTAGTAAAAACAATGTTGGTCAGTACAATAAGTACGTGGATCTGAAATTTTCAAACTTATCGCCATTTAGAACTTTTAGCATTAATATGACGCCTTTATTGAATCTCGCAAGATGTTGGTGGCCATCAGGGCACAAAAATAATTGCGAAGACTTGTTTCAGTGTGGATGATGGTAAGTTGAGACGAGAAGTCAGCGGTATGGCTGTCACTTAACATAGTTACAGCCAAAAGCATGGGGATGAGTAGGTATACAATCAGTCATTGAAATTGTTCAGGGTGCTTTTGCAGTCTTGGTCTGTTCGAGTGCATATATTAACTACTGAGTTGCTTTTAATGTCTTTGGATGGTACTTGAACGTTTCATCAACGTATCGAAGAACACGCAACTCGTTAATGAATTGATTTCTGTACTGTCTCAATTTACAAACTCAATCGTGTTGCTCCTCAAACTTTGCTGGATTGCTACTTTCAGTAAAGCAGATAATCGTTTTTCAACCGAAAATTTGCGTTCATCCCTCAGAAAAGTACAAACAATGCCGCGTAAAATCTTATGGATATTGAATTGCTTTAATGAATGCTTGATCACCTTAACAACAGTAGCAGTGGGATAAGCACCAATACATTTGATAACGGCCACGTTATCCTCTTCAATCAAGATGCATTAAGAAGCTACCTTTTCACAACTTAAAAAATGCTAACAGGGCACATATTGTATTTCTCTACCCAACTTTTAGCATTTCGAATGTGATTACCGGACTGCTTCATCTTTTCTTTTGGCTTTTCTACCAATAATAGACGATTCAAAGACGCTTCATTAGGGACATTGCCTTTCCATCTTTTAATAGAAATATTATACCGCTAAATTACGAGACATTAGAAGCAGCAGAAAGGGTTAATAAAAATATGCGTTCATTTACAATAAGTGCGTGCCATAAAGTGGACTTCTGAGTGGGCGGCATGGTTATCAAACTAATATGGCCTCCATTTTATAAATGCGAGTGACAACATCAATTCTGCTCGGCTGTAGCATTCCTTGTTAAAGCACTCGTCCATTTGTTTGAACGCAGTTCTAAGAAAATTGACAAGGGAGACAAACAGAATCCGTTGCTCTCGCCGTATAACAGTCATCAGCCAGCAGCATATCAATGCCAATAACAGTATAAGGATACTATCTCCTTTTTTTACCGTCTAATATGAAGCTTCCATTTCCGTTTCAGTAACAAAAAATTGGAATGGTTAATGTGCATACTGTGTGTTGTTTGTATCCCATAAAAGTACGATCAACTTTCTTTTTATTGACTATATTATCTGCCCCATAATGAAATGACAGGAGGCGGATAGGGGCTTTTTCATTTTTGCTAGTTTTCTGTTTCCGTAATTTGTGAGTTGCAACTGAAAAAGAAGATTTAGCATATGGGTTTTACGTTTTATAGCCTTTCGACTGATGTTGTAAGTGTTCGTGTAAACTAGTTTCAAGTTCCTCTGTTCCTGAAATTCATTAATTAACTGAGACAGTATAAATATATATATATATATATATGCACAATGACTGTATTGAAATAAAGTCGATCTCTTTATTTTCTTGTCTGTTTTCAACTCAGAAACTATTATACAATATAGAGTTATAAGGAACAAAGTTAACCATGAAGTTTACCTACATTATGACAATTGCTTTTGCTGTAGCAACTGTTTCTGCAAGATTTACTTACACGCCAGCAATAGCTGATATTGACACTACTTTCAATAAAGCCCCTCTGACAGCAAGAGACAACAATTATCGAATTGATGAATATCGCATTACTGATGCTTATGATCGTAACAAAAAGGTAGTTGCTGATGCTATTCGCCGCCGAGCTTACCGTAATCAACTTCTCAACCGTCGTTTTGAGCAAACTGACGATGAAGAGGAAGATGAAGAAGAAGAGGATGAAGAGGAAAATGATGAAGAAGAGCCAGATGAAGGAAGTGGCAGCAGTTCATCCATTGTAAGCGCAGTAGTTGCAAAAGCAGTTGACGGTTCATCATCCGGTGATGCAGGCAGTGTTGTTACTCAAGGAACAGATCTATCGTCAGCATTATTAAAACGCCAAAATGGTCCTAATGCATTGTCACATCCTTCAGTTACTGCAGAAGTTGAAGATGAAGAAAACGAAGACAAAAACGAAATAGATGAAGAAGAGCCCGAAGATGAAGACAGTGATTCAACAATATCATCAACCACTGATAAAAATAAAGTAGTTGACGATAAACACAGCCTTATGAAGCGATGCAATGACAAGAAGCACAAGCATAAGAAGAATGGTGATCAAAATAAAACCAACGGAAATAATTCGGATGAAAAAAATGTAAATGATACAGACCACGATGCTCATAAGGATGATTCTACGGACAATGACGGTAATAACGACACAGAAGAAGACGTTAATTATGTTGCTGAACAGGACGAACAAGATAATGATGGCAAATTAGCTGACAATGACGATGACAACAAAGAGATTGATTACTCCCATGATCTTGTCGGGTATGATGAAGATGTGAATGAAAAGGGAAAGAAGAAATGTAACTGCAAGATTACTAAGAAGGCCGGGAAAGTCAAAACTGCTGATTTTAGTGATTTAACTAAGGAAACCTCTGTTAGCAATGACGAACGTGATGTTTATGAAGTTGAGGATCCTGATGAACAGGCAACAAAAGAAGATGAAAAATTAGCATTGGATTACGAAGAAGATTTGGAAAGCGAAGAGCCGGCATCAGAATATGAAAAGATAACACTAGAGGACGAAGAGACAAGCGACCTTGAACTTATCCTTGACTATGAGAAATATGTAAAAGATAGCCAAATTGAAGGGGTGTCCGAGAATAATGGAGACCTTCTAGCCGATAAAGATGTACAGGAAGATGCAGACGTTCAAACAGAAGGTAACAGCTTAGAAAATGACGATATGTGTTCTGAAGATGGCAGTGATGATGAGGGAAACAATGACGAAAACGAAGACGAAGATGAAGATGAAGATGAAGATGAAGACGAGGATGAGGAAGAGGAAGAGGAAGAGGAGGATGAGGAAGAGGAAGAAGAGGATGAATAATGCACTTTTCGAAATTGTTACACCTCTCTGCTGTTTATGGAAAGAAATTTCTTTATATCAATGATACCCATTTGATACTCTCCTGTTCATCCATGTACAACGTATAGCACCCCTAATCTGTAGTCACCATCAGCTCTATTTTGATAATTTAGCCCTTAATATCATATCAATAAATCTTTCCAATAACGCAATATTAGGTTCTTTCTCCCATAACTTGTTAGCTCCGGTAAGGTATGTGATTTAGACATTTAGTAATCACTCCTTTTTTGGCAGTGGATATGAACTTCAGAAGGATATAATCAGAATAGGAGATTTTTCATATCATGACTATTTCCTAATAACCAAGCCAAAATGTCAAACACATTTATTGTGCTCAGATTCGAAAGCTTGTTTGCAGATCAGGAGTTATTGTGTACTTTTATCTGTGCTTTTGATGTAGTACCAACAACGTTTTGCTGAGTATAGGTTGCTACGCTTTCGCAATCTTCATAACATTTGATGCATCAGTTTTACTCCCCAATCACGTCTTTGCTGTGAAGCGGTATGTTCGTACTGTACAAAGTCGATCGCTATTTCTCTATACTTTGTTGTACTGTCCTAGTCGACTTATTTGAACACAGCTATAAAACATGCTCCTGGAAGTCATAAATCTCAATTATTGCTCTCCTTCTTTTAATGAAGGATAATCGGTGTAATTTATGAATGGGCTCATCCGGATGGTTTATTATTCCTGCCTGTACTACGTCATAAACAAGAAAACGATGTACGGCTCACCTAGCTTAACAACTGTTCAATGTTAAAACTCTCAAAAGCTATGTGTAGCCAATAACCAGCAGCATCACCAACTATTTTAACGTCCAAACATAAACTCACGTTCGGTCTCTGGCATATGAATATATGAATCTGATTAGAAACAGACCTTCTCATGTAACTCATCCGGATATGATCCATTTCCTATCGAACCCGCTCAGTTTCTGTAAGCCAATCGTTTCTTTATTTTAGACGTACTTTAAACAAATTTTGGACAGTATTTTACTTTTTTTTTTGAAATCAAAGATTTTTCGGTTTTTAAGAGATCTTTATATGGGACATTGTAAGATAAGAGATCTGGCTCTTTTGCTGGTCAATTATGAATTTCGTCTTTAGAAAGATAAAGTGAATGCGAAAATCAACCAGCTAACGTAATGCGTTTGTAAAAATAAAAATACCGTAAAAACTTTGCAAACCAAGTGCATGCAGTACATCTATGCTACGAAAGAATTGTCCTTTTTTCACTTTACCTTACAAAATACGACATTTAATACCGAGCACACGTCTCGAATACAATAATATGGGAGTTACCAAATTATTTCATAATACAATAGATGAGGTCTTCAATAACTTTCCTATATATCATTATAAGGCAATATTAAATACGGACACTTCTTTGTCATTTCAGCACACACTGAAAAGGGAGCATAACAGTAAGTCATGTCTACACTTGAAGAATAAAGGTAAGAAAACTATTTGCTCCTTGAACTTAAGTCTTTAGAAAATCATCAATAGCTTGCGCTGTATTGCAATATGTTGACATGTGCATCTATAGTGCACGTGTTACATCACATTGATTACAACTATGCATGATTAATATTGAAGTATAACCGGTTGGTATCCATATACAGTATAATTCAGCAAAGTATTAGAGCTGCCAATGTGCTTCTACATGAAACTGCGAAATTGATTTTAAACCATGTCACCCAACCGGCCAAGAAGGCGAAGCCTGTTAATTAGTTTGCGTTGGTGTGCCTACGAACCCTCTTTGACATCCATCCGATCAAGTGAAGTATTTAAGATGATTTCCCATATGTAGCGTCGTGTAATTTCGAAACAAATTTACGTTAAGCGAGAGACAGCTTCTTAATTGTTGTGGAAGTATCAATGGATACAATTTTATTAGACTATCGTTCGTGACCTTTTTGTGAAGACTCAGTCAGCAAGCTATTCAAAGTTGTGATGATGCTAATTGTGTCATTTTTTCATGTTACATTCACAGTGGTATTAGAAATGATCGTGATTATGTTGAACGTTTGAGTCTCTAGGATTCTATTTTTGAGTTTGTTTCTAATACTATTACTACGCCAATAAAAAAAAAAATAAAATTAAAACGTCAAGGACTACTGGTTGTAGCAGCATCACGTAACTTCGATAGTGCTTATGTGCCTTATTTAAGCCTGAGATAAGTTTCACATAAGCTTATTGCCATAGAACAATAGCTACAGGATGATTAACCGACACATATGTCCCTGTCACGGTTACATAACCTTTATAATAATACAACTATTACATTTAACAGTCAGGTTGAAGCGTAATGCACGGCAATGCATTATGTGTGATAAACAGATAGTTAAGTAAAAATAATATTATTACTATTGCTAGTTTTCGAGAACTATTGTACCTCATCGATACAAATATCTGAAAACCATCATATTCGCTAATATTATGGTTGAGTTAATTTTCATTCTTTATTTCCGTTTTTTTTTTTTTTTTTTTTTTTTTTTTTGTATCTCCTTGATCTTGCCCAGATATGCTTTAAGGAATCACTAAAATTGATGCAATGCTATATAGGAAAGCTATTGAAGACCTCATCTATTGTATTATGAAATAATTTGGTAACTCCCATATTATTGTATTCGAGACGTGTGCTCGGTATTAAATGTCGTATTTTGTAAGGTAAAGTGAAAAAAGGACAATTCTTTCGTAGCATAGATGTACTGCATGCACTTGGTTTGCAAAGTTTTTACGGTATTTTTATTTTTACAAACGCATTACGTTAGCTGGTTGATTTTCGCATTCACTTTATCTTTCTAAAGACGAAATTCATAATTGACCAGCAAAAGAGCCAGATCTCTTATCTTACAATGTCCCATATAAAGATCTCTTAAAAACCGAAAAATCTTTGATTTCAAAAAAAAAAGTAAAATACTGTCCAAAATTTGTTTAAAGTACGTCTAAAATAAAGAAACGATTGGCTTACAGAAACTGAGCGGGTTCGATAGGAAATGGATCATATCCGGATGAGTTACATGAAAATATTCGATAGCTAAAACGACAAGTGCTACAATAGGAACCGAATCTAAGTGTCGTACAGCAGCATCGGAAAGTTGTGTGTTATTGTTTCACTGATCGACATTTCCTTTTCTTTCGAAGTGATTTACAAAACTAGAATGACCTCAATGGTAAAACTTCATCATTCAAATAGAGCAAATGTGTGTATCAGAAATATAAGCATGTGCTGACAAAAAGGGTATTGTTTGCTCATGAGCAATGTAGGATGTGCGAGTATTTTAAACAAATTGATGATTCCGCGGTGCATAAAAATTAGTTACAAAACTTACTTTTTTGGTATATCTTATTGTATATGTACGTAAGGTAAACTTCCTCTTGGTACCAGCTTTGTATTCTTTTTAGCATGCGAGAAGAAATCAGGGAGTAACAGAAGATAGATGTTTTCAACAGAGCAAGGGAACACGAGTGAAGTAAAGAGAATATTTTCTCCGTAAAATGAAGAGTATCGCACAGAGTAGGTAACTGCGGGGAACCTCATCTCTGCTATTCCATAACTGACTTATTGCTTTTTGCTAAAGAGCTATTTTATGGGAGTTAAGAATAAGCACCGATTTGGAGAGGCGATCATAATACCTTAAATACACTCTCTTACTATACTAACAACCATAATAGGTTCAAGAACTGGTACGACGAGGATGATAATCTATCCAACTTCTCCATTTTTTTTCTTTTTCTCGTTTCGTCTTAAATAAAGTTTGATAGCTTAACAATTGTGAATGTAGTAATTTCTTACTGAATACTGCTTGCTTCAGAAAAGAAAAAAAAAAAACAAAAAAAAACATCATAATGAAATCAAAGCAGGGAGGCAGAAGATGAAGCTAAGCAATGTGTGATGTATGTATGTAGGGTTAAACAAATTAGGGATGCAAAAATAACCCTTTTATGGGGTTGGAGTTGCTCTCTTTGCTTTCCATATGCGTCTTTCAAACTCTATATGTACGTTGTCGTGATAAAATAAGCGGGTTATCTTACATTGAGAAGCCCGCATGTTTGTTTGAGGACAAGAGCTTACCTCCATATTACTGCTGCTACGACTGCTGCTCGCTGTCATCATTTTTTTCCAAAATAGAAAAGATAGAAGTTAAGAGAGAAACAGATTTTCAGAACTTAAGGAAAATTTCTTCAGTGGGGTAAAGAGTAACTAAATGTCTGAAAGCAACAACCAAATAAAATAAGAAAAGCTGAGCAAATCTATAATTAATTGCTAGCACTTTTAGTTGAACATAGCTAAACGCGTTTGATTTCTCGATGACTTGTAAGACAATACCATAAAAGTTTTTTTGGGATGAAACCACAAATATGCACCTCTTACAAGTATTCATTCTTCTCAAAAATTACGACGGAGCGAACCACGAAAAGAAAAAGAAAAAATATTGTACATCCATGCAAGCCATGTACGATCTTCACGGTCGTTGTTCTCTTTTTGTGGAAGCAGACCAAGCTGATTAATAATGCTAAATTCGACTCCTTCTCTGTGCGTTCCCTTATAGTTTTTTTTTTTATATTTTTTTGGGCCTTCCCTATAACTTGCAGTGGCAATATTGACTTGATAAAATACTAAATGTGCTACATTACGATTGTGTATATCTCGTGCAATTAGGTTCCGGCAAAAGTGATTCTGTCAAAGCTTTGTAATAAGATAAAGAAAAATATTATACCCTAACGCACATATTACGCGCATTATTTATTATATATCTGAGCATAAAGTATCGTCGACTTATAACCTCTCCATTTTGAGGGTGTCTCGACTTTTTGAAAGAAGCGAAAAAAAAGAGCCTCCTTTTTCATTCTGCATTTTGGGCTGCAACCAATTGCAAGTTATATGTCCCTGATTTCTCTTTTCTAGTTCAATGCATAATCAAGTGTTGTTAATAAGATTTAAGGAGATAGGAGTGAAAAAAAAAGGTCCCAAACAATGTTAGAAAAGCAATATCAAAGGATGAAAGGGGAAAAGATTATATAAAAAGGACAGACAGATAGACCATCTTCATCGTTCCATTCTCTTTCTCTTTAAACTTTTTCAGACTTCTTTTAATACTCTTACAAAAACCCGGTACAGCTTTTAGAGGTTAGTTTCTACAACATAACTATACATGCAGTGTACCATTAGCAATCATTGAGGAACAGTGATCTAACATTCTTTTGCCAATGCTTTCTATTATAATAGTTTACTTTAGACCGACCTTATAATTTATTCTTAAAAGCATCTTAAAAAAAACTAGAAAATGCATTTCAAATTCGTTCCTCTTGGCCTTATTGCAAGCATTGCTATCTCTGCCGTTTCCGCACGTTCACTCTACTCTCTTGAAAAACGTTCTGGTGGTGCTCTTATTAGTGCCGACCACAACAAAGTCGGCTTACATGATACAGCTTCACACATATTAAACGATGCTCATATTTGTGACAACCTCAATAATGCTGATGTCAACGTCTTAAGTGGACATCATGGTCATCATGGTGGTAATGGCGGTGGTTGTGGCGGCGAAGGGGATAACGATGGAGGCCATGGAGGCCATGGTGATCATGATAACGGACATGGCGGACATGGCGGACATGGCGGACATGGCGGTCACGGCGGTCACGGCGACCACGGCGATGGCGGCGACTGTGATGATTCGGACCACGACCATGACAACGGTCACCATGGAGGACATGGTGGTCATGATAACGGACATGGTGGACATGGTGGCCACGGTGGCCACGGTGACCATGGTGGCGATCACGATACAGATGACTGCGGTGATGAACACGACCACGACCGTGATGATAATGATAATGGTGACTGTCCTTGTGCTGCCTTAAGCAAACGTGGTGGACTTATTTCTATTGACGGCAACGATGTTAAAGCCAAACATACTCTCTCTTATATCGGAAATGACGCTCATGTTGTAGATAACCTAAATGATGCCGAAGTCAATGTTCTTAGACGCCGTCATGGTGGCCTCATTTCAGTTGATGACAACGATGTCAAATTAAAGGATACTGCCTCACATATCCTTAATGACTTAGTTGTTGACGACAATCTGAACAATCCTGAAGTTAATGTACTCAGCCGCCGTACACTTGCCTCTATTGATGATAACAGGGTTTATGCTCAAGATACTGCTTCTCATATCGCCAATGATGTCCATGTTGTGGATAATGCAAATGATGCTAGAGTTAACGTGCTTCGTCGCCGTAGCGGTGGACTTGTTTCCGTGGATGATAATGATGTTGCTCTTAAGGATACAGCTTCTCACATTTTAGAAAATCCCAGGATTACCCGCCTCGCTAACGATCTTGACGTCAATGTCCTTTAGTCTGTCTAATTATATCTTTGAATTCCATAAATTCATTTATAATTGTGCCAAAGTAATAATTTTCTTTATTCTCCTTTCTCACCATAGTATTAATTTAGGCAAATTTTGCTGTTCCCTTCCTAGTTTCCTTCATTTTGATTTGCAATTAGTTTATTTCCGGTTTTTAATCTCATAAATGACATTATCAATAAAAAAAAGTTTGTAATGTATTGTCAAAAGAAAACGAACTTTTTTCTGGTACCTAGTTTTTTTTTTTAGGTTTGTAATTCTGACCAATTTTTTGATCTGCTTTTTGCCTTTTAAAATCCAGCCAAGGACTGTCTTCTCCTCTGCACTTCCTATTTTTTTTTTGAAGAATATGAGCAACAGCTGAACTCTTTATCTTAACTTTACTAGCCGCTGACCAGGAGAAGTGGAGAGTTTTGAAGCTACTGTATACGGTTGAACGAGTGACCACGAACAACAACAGTATATTCATCTGCTCTATTTTAAACAAATTCGCAACATGAAAAGCAATCAGTCAAAACCTTCTAATGCACCTCGGAAAAAGAAAGCCGCTCGAGCCTGTATTCACTGTCAGAAGGTTAGTTGACTATCTAAAATAGAGTTTTGAAAGGGCTTTTGACTGAAGAAAGAGTATTTTTTTAGGCTCATTTGACGTGCGATGATTGTAATACATTTTCTTACTTTGCCATGACAATGCTAAAGAGAAATGAATACTAAACGTGCCCCTCTTATTTAATTGAAGCGAGACCTTGTCAAAGGTGTATCAAGCGCAACTTAGCCAATACCTGTACAGATGGTGCAAGGAAAAAGGCAAAATATCTGCAAGACACTGATGGTATGAATATATATTTTGGGCGCAACTATAATTCATCAATGTGCCGGAGTACTTTTCTATTAATTCATTTTCTGTTCCTTCCTACTAGATACAAGTACAGTGAATAACCAGCCTTCCCCTGGGACACCCTTTAACCACACATCTGCTGCTTTACAGACTTCTGATTTGAATACGTCTTTTGTTCAGGACGTTACATCATTCCAACCAGAAAGCTTTTTGGATACAGGTAGAAATTAACGAAGAAAACTGCTTCTTTTTTCTTTTTTTTTTTTTTTCTTTTGTGAATGATGATAATCTAACGTGCAAAAGGCTCTTTTTCTTACTCATCTTCAAATTCAACAGCATCCAACAATAACACAACAAATAACAACAATAATGTAAATGCGTTGAATAACCCGCTGTTAATGAATCTGGACACTTATAATTATGGATTTGGATCCAATGCTACCAATCTTGAATACTCCATCTTGTCAAATATGTTAGGGTCACCATTACTTGATCCTTCCGTCACATCTTCTTCCTCACAGCAACAGTTACAGCGGAATACATCTGATCCGCTCAATGGTCTCTGGCCTCAACAACAGCAGCCGCAAACTACTTCGATAGATTCAGCCAACACTACACCCATGAGTTTAATGCAGACGACCAATGATCCTACTACTACTACGACAACTACTGCAAGTACCACTCCTATTACCAGTACATTCTTACAACAACAATCAACTACATCAACGCCTTTAATGACGTCCTCTACTATTAATAATACTGCCAATATGCCTTTTAACAATACGAATACCAATACCCCGATTGTTGGCACGAACAGCAATAACAACAGTAATAATACCAATAATATCAACCATCCCAATATTACGTCCATTTCCGCTGCATCTATGGACACGTCACAAGTCACGGCTTCCGGCATATCTACGTTATCTGCTTATGGCGAAGGCGCAGTGGTTGCAAATGTTGTAGCTAGCCCCATTAACAATAATCTGAATTCAGTCAATAACACTGCAGCTACTACCAACCCTACTTCTAGTACTACTCACACCACAGCACCAGTGATTATCGGACGACGTAGTAAAAATCAAATTATTACACCTGAAATGGCGTATGCCAGTGCTACAAAACCCTTTAGTTATGCCGATGGATACCATTATTTGATTAATTATGTTAAAACGAGGTCAGATTGAAAGGAAAGAAAAGAAAATGAAACATAAGCGATAGTAGAGAGTCAGCAAAAAAACTTATATTAATGTCTATATTAGGATGAGTAGAGAAGATTTGATGAGAATTAGCAGAGCTTTAGCGTTATTTAGACCCTCTGTGTTGGCATCCATGATGAATTTGACGGAAGATGATCTGATTTTCACAGAGAAATGTTTACAGCGTACATTGCTGGTAAGAAAAGAATGAAAAGAATAAACACAAGGAACTTTTTCTTTTTGAGTTAGTTCACTTATTTTACCTTATTTATGAATTCAGGAATACGAAAAATTGATAAGTTATTCAGGCACACCCACCGTTGTTTGGAGGAGAACAGGAGAAATCACATTGGTAGGAAAAGAATTCTCATTATTGACACAGTGGTCTAGGGATATGCTTTTAAGCAAAAAAACGTACATTTACGAGGTAAATATAGCAGGTGTATACAAATGAACAGCTTCAATAGTTCTTTCTTTTTTCTTTCTGTGCTCTCAATGAACTCATTTTGGACAATTTCTGTGAAACTTAGTTAATGAGCAATCCCTCAGCTGTGGAATATTGGGAAAAGTATGCCTTGCATGCCTTTGATAACACTGATTCAGCAGTGTATAGTACATGTATCCTGTTGAGTCCGACAAAAAGGATCGTTCCTTGTACATTCTGCTTCACTATAAAACGTGATATTTTCGACTTACCCAGCGTTATCATTGGAAATGTAAGTAAGAATGATCAAATGCTCTCGATTATAGGATGATGACTAAATGAGTTCATTGTGGATAGTTTCTACCAATACTTAGTTAGGTTTATTTGTCGATTTCTATTACATATCCTTTGCTAAAAAGATACGTTATATTTATATGTGAGCAACCAATGCTATTATATTTATATCCCCTCACATTTCGATATGAAGCCACAGACCAGCACACGAGCAATCTGAGTTTTTTTTTATACGGCTATTTGAATAGAATTTTAATATTTATATCCTACTTGTAATCTCAATCTGATGTTGGTGTGCACTGAAAAAGTAAACACTCGATTTGTAGCAATCTTTTTATGGTTTCGATGTGATAACCGTGCGTTCTTGCTTTGTACGCCTTTTGTGAAGCGATGAAAAAAACTTTTTTATTTACTTTTGTCATATAAATATTTGCATGCATTTTGAAACGCAAGTTAAAAAGCGAAGAAAAAAAAGGTCTTTTGTCTTGGGTTCATCGCTTTGTGTGCAACTTTGCGAAAAGAGCAAATCACATGAAAAAAAGCATTGGCTGAAACAAATTGTGTGTTCGTGTTATGCCCACGGCCAGTACTCATATGGCGGTTGTGGTTTAGAAGAGGATGAATAATAACAAAAGTAGTCATCCGGGCTATAATCAACAAAGGTGGTTGCGTCGTAGGCTGTGGAGTAGGTAGGGTATTCGGAGAGTGAAATTCTCCGATGTTCACTTAAATTCTGGAGTAAATGGTCACGTTGACTTTGACTGCGGCGATGTCGTTGTTGCAGTATTTGTTGTTGTTGTTGTTGTTGTTGTTGCTGCTGAGATTGAGCAGAAGTCAAAGGCGTAGTTGGAGCTGTATTCCAACAAATATTTTTCAGGCTTGGTGGCTGTTGACTGCTGTTATTAATATTATAGTGATTTAATGATAGTCTACCATAGTCATCTGTTATAAGATTAATGTTGGTGGGTAAACTCAAATGATGGTTCTGATAGTGAATATAATCAATGTATTGTTGCTGCTGTAGTTGTCTGTCAAATAGTTCTGGTGTTGCTGTAACCATCGGAATGTCTTCCTGAGACTGCCCCTTATTCCGTCGGGTGAAACGATGATATTGATTTTTCATTAAAGTTTGATTTTGAGACAGTGGTATGTCAAAGTGGGTCCTTGTACTGCTACGCCTAACCTTATTATTCATTATGAATTGTTTATTGACATCATTACCAGTCGTACTGTTTCTATTTTGAACAAGTTGAGCGTCGTTCACTATCTCTTGCAGTTCAGATGATGCTGTTGCTCTAATAGTAGGTGACTCCGCAGGCGTAATTGTGATGACACTAGATGATGATGATGTTGTTGTTGATGGTTTGTTTCGTTGTTGTTTTTTGTTTGACAGATTGTTAAAAAAACGAGCTAATTTATTCGTTCCAATGTTACTAAAACCATTACTTCTATTTATATTGGCGTTTTCGCCGAATGACGGAGACGTAGAGGGTGCTGTTGCTGTTACAAATTCAGAAAGGAACTGAAACCTCTCTTGATGATCTTCTTCTAGATCAATGCAATAGGCATTCATTGCGGACACAGACTTTCGGTGCTTCAATCGTAAAGAAGATCGGTTACTAGAAGTTGATGGTGTTGGTAAGGGTGAGCATTTCGGCGTTTGAGTTGGACTATTATCAGCACTCAAAGATATTTTGTTGTAATTGTGTTTTTGGAGTATGTCTGTTTGAATCTGCTTTTGTGACCGCCGTGCTTCTTTTTCCAGCCTGAATTGCAGCTTTTGTTCATTTAATAACACGCTTTTATTCTTTTTTTGTTGTGCCTTCGTGGAAGTCAAGTCATCGTATACCAAATTATCGTTTAGACCAGCGGAAAGATTGCCGTTTGGAGGCGTGACTAAAGCGGATACTGCGTCTTCTTGAAGAAATCCTTTGCTGATAAGATCTCTTTTCCAACTTGTATCATTAGATTTATCCAAAAGAGTCATTAAGGACATTAAAATGATCAACTCCAACTCAACTGATTTTGTCAAGTTGCATCGAAGCATGTTGTAACCAAATAGTGATATAATACCGAAATATTCATCCTTCAACGTGCATGGCAAATATTGTGCAACGCAAATATTTCCTTAGGTTTCGAGTCAAAAAATAGCGTTTGCAAAGTTAGGCTTGTTCTATCACAGTTAGATTTCGAACTTGCAAAAACTTACCCGTCTTTCGAATGGCTCTGCATTCTAGGCTATTACTCATCCTACTTTCGCGATTCCTAGTTATAGCAGCATATTGGAATGAGTATTGCTTTTACGCTAAATAAGAAAAAAAGGTCGAGCAATAGATTACCATTTATAGCGTTCACCCTCCCATGTGAAGCACCATTCGAATCCTATTTTTGAAGTGTCTTTTAACTCAACTGACGTATCCTGCTGCTGTTGTTGTTCAGTAGCAGGACAGTGCAAAAGAATGGTCTTTAATTTAGACGAAGCACTTTTGACCTGGGTTTCCGCTTGTACTTCGAATGTACGCGGGTCGACTAAGCTAACTGCATAAAACTTTGACAGTCTATGCCTGATTTTGATGTATTTAATAATTCCTGAATCCTTCTCCTTTATGTCGACGATCGCTTTATTTTTGGGATGACTGGACAATACATAGTGTGTCACCACATCTTCAACTGTTAGCACCATTTCGTATGAAAATTCGACAGAGAGAGAGCGAGAGAGAGCAAATGTTTATTGAAGGAATGTGAAGGAAAAGAGGAAAGTAGGATAAAGGTGGAAAGCCCGCTGTAGGTTTTTTTATTCGTTTTTGCCATCTTAACTTCTTAGGAAAATTGTTACCCGACCTTTCTGCATGGTTACACTCCGAGTGACTAAGTAATGGTGGCGTGCCTGTCATCTTTTCTCTTCCTAGTTAAGATCAAATGGTGTCAATGAATTGGGAAGCTTTTTTGTTAATCTAAGCATTCGATGGAAAGATAAGCTATATCTGTTCTCCTATCCATGTTCAGCAAACAAGAATAGTCTGCCGTTACAATTTCAGAAAAGACAGTATGTGTCAAAGTGCAGCACTTCAATGAAATAGGCAAAAAGTGCACGCCATATAAAATTTTAGACAAGGTAGGAATGTCAGAACTTTACTTTGGTTTTGGTAGGATGAACTCTTAATCTTTTTTGTATCTACTTAGATCTAGACAAGCAATCGAAACTAGACTTGTCTAGCAACCCACCCTTATGATTTTGTCATACATCTGAGATGTTTGGACAAAAAAACTTTAATGACTGCCAGGTTTATATTTCTATTTTATACTGTAACAAGGATTGTTTCCTGTATCCAATAACCTAAAATGGTCAAGCAATATCAAGAGAAACAGAGCTACTCCTTACTTGCAACGTTCTTGCAAACAATCTTACCATAAACGTCTATAAAAAATCCTGCTACGAGGAGCTTTTCAAGGCCCAAATTCGAATGATTATGTTCAACGACTAACGCAATAAACCAAAATTAAACTAACATAAGCTCCATTCTCAAGTGATACCTTTGGCCTCTTTGAGAAAATCAAGCCACTGATTACATCCCCAGCCTTATCAACAGCAGTTTGATATTGTCTCATTTTGGATTCTCAGTTAAGTTTTGAGGATAAGCTTCGTATTTTGGAAAGTACAAGTATATACATCTGCTATACGGTTGGTCGCTGATATGAGGACTATTCACGAAAGGCTATGTAATTTGGTTTATGCTCTTGGTCACACCACGCGCATGGAAATACTTCAGTTACAATTGCAAACAACTAGAGTAGTCCATTTAACAATACTAAATATTTTTTCCTTTTTCTTAATGTTGGCAATGAATAGATCACAAAATAGTGCCTGCAGTGGATTATTTTATTGAATAGAAATGATGCAAATAGCGAAACGCGGCTTTTAGAAGGCTTTTTGAAGCGACAAAATGGTACTGGACTTGAAACAGCACACGAGCAATTGTTGGAATTGCGTATATAGCAGCCATTATTATTTCCTTCCACCATAGGTTTGGCAGGGAAGATTTCCCTTAAATGGATGTTCTATCAACCAAGCGAGCTACTGTTGTTATTGGCTTGATCGGCTTGTTTGAGCTCAGGCTATCAACTCCGCGTATCCAATCTCTTCTTTGTAGGTTGCTGTTTCTTCATTCATATGTTTAGATTAAACAACTATGACTATAGTATGTTTGACGTATTACCGCATTACAGGCAGATCAAATTCGTTGCGGCTTGAACAGAAACCGCGGGGTTTCGTACAGACGAGCAGCTAAGAATCTCGAACCTTCTATTTTTTTATTTTTTTTTAGTTTTCACATTGCTAGACATCGATAAATGCAGTTGTCCGAAGGAAGCTGTTCCATAGACTGACTGAATGTACATTATAAAGATTAGTAATGGTGTATCAATAGGCTGAGCTTGATCCTTCTAAGAGACGCCAGGTCACGGGTGCGACAGAAGGATAGGTTTGAGAAAAATCTAGAGAAATTGAGAAACCTGCCGGCAAATTGCGCAGTTGGTCAAAGGAAAACAATCTTTGTTCCATCTATCTTCGTATGGATTTTTCTATATTTGGAAACTGTGCGTGGAAAGTAGTAAAAAGAGCCTTTCCAGAGAGTTTCGATTCGACAGATTTTGGCTAAACATAGCTCATAATGTATCTGGGTAAGAGCTGGGTTTTTTTTGTTCAGTTGCTTGCAATGGTCAAGAGCAGCACCACCAGGGATGTTATCACTTTGAATCATACGGGTTGTAGGTGGCAGGAGATTGCTGAAGATACGACAAAAAAAAGATGATTTTCCGATAAATTGATTGGCACATTTATCAGGTACTCCACATCGATAGAACCAACCCGCAACCGTAGCCATGAGTTTTTTTTTTTTTTTTTAGGGTTTTATCTTTTAAGCATAGACCTTCAGTATCAGATCATGATAGATAATTGAAAAGATGGAGCTGCAAGGCGTATCTCATAGTCATTGTTAAAAGAGAGATATCAAGGGGGATAAAATTAATGCCCATCTCCGCAGCCATACACTACCTACTGAGTTTCATTGAAATGGGTAACTTAGCATGAATTTGCATAAAAAGGAGCCTAGCATTGGAAGTACTAAAGGATTTTATAAAGACTCCACTTTCACGATTACAAAGAGTCCTGTTTAGCGCCTATTTAACTAGAGGACAAAGAAGTTAAAGTAAAGGCTACCACAGGTGCCGTTCAAAAAAAAAAACACTCGAACGTTCTTCACATACAACAAAAAAAACCCGCGATTTTTTTAAGGAGAAACTCCCAACCACAAGCATAAATGTAATACCCAATGACGAAGGTGATGTAAAATTGATCCAATCAATTTTTATTTTTTTCCGCAGCTCCAAAACAAACTGAACGGGTATAAATAGCCTTCAAATACTTTTCCATCTCTTTCCCTATTTCTTTTTTTCATTTTTATCACTTTATCTTTCTCGTAGAGAACTAGTTATTTTTCCCGGCAACATGCAGATTTTCGTAAAGACCCTCACTGGCAAGACCATCACTCTCGAAGTTGAATCCTCTGATTCTATTGAAAATGTGAAGCATAAGATTCAAGATAAGGAAGGTATCCCACCTGATCAACAACGTCTTATCTTTGCCGGTAAGCAATTAGAAGATGGCCGCTCTTTATCCGACTACAATATTCAGAAGGAATCTACCCTTCACTTGGTCCTTCGTCTCCGTGGTGGTATGCAGATTTTTGTCAAGACTCTCACTGGCAAGACCATTACCTTAGAAGTTGAATCGTCTGATTCTATTGAAAACGTTAAACAAAAGATTCAAGACAAAGAAGGTATCCCACCTGATCAACAACGTCTCATCTTTGCCGGTAAACAGTTAGAAGATGGTCGCTCCCTCTCCGACTACAACATTCAAAAAGAGTCCACTCTTCATTTGGTGCTTCGTCTTCGTGGTGGTATGCAAATTTTTGTCAAGACTCTCACTGGTAAAACTATCACTTTAGAAGTCGAATCATCCGATTCAATCGAAAACGTCAAACAAAAGATTCAAGACAAAGAAGGTATTCCTCCTGATCAACAACGTTTGATTTTTGCTGGTAAGCAACTTGAGGATGGTCGTTCTTTATCCGACTACAACATTCAGAAGGAATCTACACTTCATCTGGTCCTTCGTCTCCGTGGTGGTATGCAGATCTTTGTCAAGACTTTGACTGGTAAAACCATTACCTTAGAAGTTGAATCGTCTGATTCTATTGAAAACGTCAAGCAAAAGATTCAAGATAAGGAAGGTATCCCACCTGATCAACAACGTCTTATCTTTGCCGGTAAGCAATTAGAAGATGGCCGCTCTTTATCCGACTACAATATTCAGAAGGAATCTACCCTTCACTTGGTCCTTCGTCTCCGTGGTGGTATGCAGATCTTTGTCAAGACTTTGACTGGTAAGACCATCACTCTTGAGGTTGAGTCCTCTGATTCTATTGAAAACGTCAAGCAAAAGATTCAAGATAAAGAAGGAATCCCTCCTGACCAACAACGCTTGATTTTTGCTGGTAAGCAACTTGAGGACGGTCGTTCTTTGTCTGACTACAATATTCAGAAGGAATCTACCCTCCATTTGGTATTGCGTCTCCGTGGTGGTCAATAAGCATTTCCTTATCTTGATATCTACATATTAAAATAATGTACATCTCAATAATATCAGAGATATATTATTTGTTTTAAAGAATATTCCTCCCCCTTTCATCCGTACTCCATTTCATCTTTTTAGCAGCTTGCTTTTCATTATCCTTACTACCGTTACCACTTAGCTTTTTCTTTTGGTAATAAATTGACCCCTCTTATCATCGCTTTCATCAAAGAATTATTCATAAATCGTGTGTGCAATGCCATTGTGTTTCATGACAAATATCTTTTGAGTAATGAAAGGTTCTCCTTGACTACGTGTATTTATCTATTTACTGGGATCATTGGTAACTTTTGTAAGGCATTTTGAATGGTACATCAATAAAAGGATCAATAACCAACAAGATTGCGAGAAAAGCATGTCACGAAACATAAAATGGTAAAATAAGATTAACAAACAGTTCTTATTCATCTATTATCAACTACGTGTATAATGTTGCTTTTTATCATTATTTGTAATATTTATTGTGTATTATCATCTTGCTTTGTGATTTTCAGAAAGATTCGTCGTCTCAAATTACCTATTTTACATGATTTTGAAAAGGGAAAATGCGTAATGATTATTATTTTCCTAATAAGAAGGATCGTCTCTATGTTTTTTGGCGTGTCTTTGTCTGAAAACATCGAAATCTGGTGGTCTATTAGGGCCCATTCCTAATGGAGACGCAAATACGTTAGTGAGGCCGCCGCACTGTGATTGTAAAACTTTTTTTCTTACCTTTAGGTGATTGGTAATCATCATCAAAATCGTCCCGTCCTCGACGTTTCATACCTTTTCCTCCTCCTGCATTACGCATATTATTGTTACCGCCCCGGGCTTTTCCATAACCTGAACGATTACCAGCGCCGCCCGCGCCACCACCACGATTTCCAAATTGACCACCGCGGTTACCATCTCTTCCACCTCCAGGGTGCATAGGTCCCTTACCGCCTAGGCCACCCATCGGTCTTTGCTGTGATGTAGGCTGTTGTTGTGCAGAAAATGGCATCGGGGCTGTTTGTGGTTGTGACTGATTTGGGGGTAAAGGCAAAACTATACTTCTTAAAAGTTCTACAATTTCAACTGCTTGAATCAAAGGCCCGTTGAAAGTTTGTGGGGGCGGTAAATTAGATACAAAATAAGCTACTGCGTCGGGTAAAGCATTCTGTTGAGGAACAGGAGGAGCTGTCATACGAGGACTATGACTCATCCATCCACTACCAGCTGTCGAAGGAACAGCAGCGGGCGGTAACTGAGAAGGTGCAGATCGTTGCGTTGTAGACTGTTGATGTATCATTGGCAAAGGTGCAGGCTGTGCTGGGATGGACGTTTGTTGTCGTACAACCGGTTCTGTTTGGATAGGTCCTTGATGTGATGTTTGAGGAGATGGTTGAATTTCAGGTACAGGTGCAGAAATCACAGTTGTGATAATGGGTGATGCATTCACTGGACGTGGAGCTGGTTTGTAGCTCTGCCATTGACCAAGATCAGGACGAGGGAACCTTTCGGGATAGACTGAATCCAACAAAGGTCGTTTGTGCTGTTCATGCGTACGATGCTCATGGAGAGACTGCTGTGCTCCGAGTTGCGACTGTTGTGCTTGCTGGTGGGGTTCATTAGCTTTTGAAACGGCAGTTGATGCAGATTCAGATTTCAGTTGCTCACGCGCTAAAAGACCAAGTTCGTAGTGTTCTATATTGCGAATATCCATGTAGGACTGTCGTTTCAAAAATGATTCCATTGTGTTGATATTGGGATCATTCATAGCTTCAATTCGTCTTTTCTCTACATTTTGTACCGAGGCCAAATCTCCGTATTTAGTTTCGTAATCTAAGAACTTGCGCCAAATAGGATCAGCACTTTCTGCAGGCATTGTTGCCAAAGTTCTTTCGAACAATGCTCGAGTGTTGTTATCATCGTTCATTTGAATCAAGAAATCCAAATATTGGCATACAAAATCAGCATTATCTGCATATGTCTTTTGACCCAAACTGAATACTTTCCCCGCAATTGTGGCGTCTTTAGAATTGTGATATTCCATAAGGGCATCAGCAACATAAACATGGTAAGTACAATTGGTTGCTTTACGAGCTCTTGAGAACAAGGCACGAGCGCTCTTAATACCATCTGTGCGACGAGCAAATCGCATATAGTTAATCCAAACTAAAGAGCCTCCACGTGCAAGTACTTCGATTTTCTCATCAGAGTCTTTTTTACGGGCCTCCTGCTCTTTCTTGATCCGCTTCTCACGCGTACGTAGCTGCTCTCTGAGCTCACCATCAATATCATCTGATAAATTCATAGAGGCGCGTTCCTCTTCTGCTTGCTTTTCCAATTTCGCTATTTCTGCTTGTGCTTTTTCCCTAATTTCCTCTATCTCTTTGTCTAGACTTGATATCAGTTGTTCATATGTTTCACGTGCATCATCCAGTTGTTTTCTGGATTCACATAATTCACTGTAAAACAAGTTTAATAAAAGACTAGTAGGCATAATCTCGATACTTTGCTTCAATATTGAAAGTGCCTTCTCGGGTTTGTTGTGTTCCAGATAGTAATTAGCCAAGTCGTACCATAATTCAGGATAGAAGCGAAGAGGGAAGAAGGCTTGTTGATATGCATAAGCGACTCGGTCCATCACTGCCGTTTCATCCTCCAACTGCAAAGGATTCTTCTTTTCCCAATCAATATATTTCTTCCATGCATCTAACTGAGCAATTTCATTTGAAGTCCAGGTAGGTGGTACAGCAGCAACGTTAATACTAATCTTTTCTGTATATAAGCGCATTTCTCTTAAGGCCGTACGAGCCGTCATATAAGCGGACGAAGTTTCTCCGAGGAATTTTTTAGCCTATAATTGCAAAGAGTGAGTTATATCACGTTGAATGATGAACAATGGTGATGATTGAAAATAAAGCTTACAGTTAATCTGTTTAAGGTATTTTCCCACTGATCATATTCTTTCCAGAGATGTTCAATATTATTCAAAGGAATAGTTACTGCTCTTTGATAGGCACGACGCATTGAATCCATCTTACGTTGTTCTTCCCAAGTATTAGAGGTCTAATGAGCAAAAATCATGGGATATAAGCAGATCAATCTACTGATCACTTCTTCATCAAAGCAATCATTCTTTTTTTTTACCTCTGCAGACTTTAGGAAATAAATGTAATCAGCCCAAATTGGGCCAGCTTCTTTATCAATGCCCACGTTACTCAAAACATATTCGTACGCCTTCTCGATGACAGCTCTTGCTTCAGGAGTGGCCGTCGAGCCACTCTCACCAAGATTGATACGACGAATATATCCAAGATAAAATTTCCAAAGGTCAACAGACAAGACAGTTTTTAGACAACGGGTAAAGAGAGCTTCGACTTCATTAAAATTAGAGAATTTGAGTTCGAGTTCAAGATAAGCGAGCCAGTGCTTTGGCTACAAAAAGTAACAGACAATACCATCCGAACAAAGTAGATTGTATACAAGTAATTGTTTTGTGAATAAGTCATTTCGATCCAACTTAAGCATTTTTTCCCTTCTTGTCTTTTTCCTCGTCTATCTTTCCTTCATAAACATCTCAAATTCATCTTCTCAATTCTACTCTTTTTCTGACCCCTTTCTGTGTAAATTGATAATATAGAGAAGAAAACGCGCGCATATACATCGTTCAGGTCCCATCAAAGAGGCGGGATTTGCACTGAAATTATTCGAATTCTTTCCCTTTCCGAACGTATTTCGACACCATCACAAAGGAGAGAAGAAGAAAGAGAGAAGTGAAAGAGAGATGAAGATAGACAAACACACACACGCACACATACGCAAAGACTGCCCTTTTCACATATTAATATACAAAAAAAAAATATAAAAAATAAAGGAACTTACCGAAATAGGGAAGACTTTCAATACACGTTCATAAACATCACGAATAATGTCTAAATCGCCAGTTTGTTGAACATCGTTTATTAAACTTGTCCAGGCCTCAATATCATATTTGTTTTCTCTAATAAGGGCTTCTAATTTCTCTCGCTTAGAGATGGATTTAACAGTAGCAGGGTTCACTGAGTCTAATTGGTTTTGCGGTTGGCTTTCCTTAGGTTCAGAAGGCGTTATAGTTGCTGTTTGTTGCTGTTGCACTGATGATGGTGTAGGTACAGCTTGAAGTTGCGTCTGTTGTGTTAAGGCAGCAATTGGAATTTGCCACGAAGCAGGTGCGCTGAAGTCATTCTTTTGTCCTTCGTCGTCATTTACCTCCATGGGTGTAGGTTCAGGCTCAACAGCGCTACCTTCATTCTCAGTATTAGCCTGTTGATCTTGTTGTTGTTCTGTCTCCATAGCTTCGGAATGTTGTTGTTGAAATAGCTCCTCGTTGATTTCTGCCTGGTTATCAGCTTTTCGTTCATCATCCACTCCAGCAGGCTCAATCTGCTGTTCTTGCATTTCCACATTCTCTTGGTCAGTAATGCTCGAAGGTTCGGCTGATAGGTTGGTATGGTCAGCTGTTTTTCCTTGCTGTTGTTGTTCTGTTGAAGCAGGTAACTCAGGTTGATACGACTCAGGCTCATATGCCGCGTCTTCAGGATGCTCTTCTATTACCGTCTCTGCAGGTTGAGCATTTGGTTGTTGAGATTCGGTCGAAAACTGTTGAATTTGTTGTTGTTGTTGTTGTTGTTGTTGTTGTTGTTCCCCATTTATAGTCTGAAAGTCCAAGGTATCAGTAGCAACCTCGCCAAAATTGTTAGTCACTGTGTCAGTGCCAGCATCATCTTGTTGCAAATGAGAAATATCTTGTTGATACTGTTCTTCTGAATGTTCCGGCTGTATATGTCGTTGCGATAGCGAATCAATAAGCTGGTTATTGATGACTTGATCAACATTTTGTTCCACTGGTTGATTCTCGGGGACGGTATTGCTTAAATCTGTATCCATTGCAGAAGAGATTCTTTTCAATGCAGAGGATATAATTTTATTGAAGGGTGAAAACAGTGTAGCTTAATGTCTTTCAGTGATAAAAAGTAATAGGCGAGGTTACAGCAAAAAAAAAAAAAAAAAAAATTGATAAAGAGCAAAAAGAAAAAAAGGACAGTGACGTACAGGGTCTTTCTACATATAATGATAACGCATGTACAATTTTAATGACTGAGTTTTTTGGCAATTTTTTTTTTTCCCAAAACGCAAAAAAAAAAAAAAAAAAAAAAAAAAAAAAGACAGTAGCATAGTGATCCATAAATCAGTCTGTTAGTCTTTCGTCCGTCAAATTGAGCTGATCATTTACAAATTTATTATTTAAATGCCACATAAAAGAGCAAAAGCAAGTGTTCGCAAGGGAAGAAAGGCTGAGTATGTTCCGATCAGCAATCGCTTTTTTTTTTGAAAATGAAGGAATTCATGGTTGATTGTTTCTCTTTTCCAGAGTAGATCTTCCGGTAACCAATAATGACATGAACTCTGAAGACACACCTAAGGGATTCTCTCGTTTGATGAGATACAAAGAGTTTGCTTTACAAAAACGAAAAGACAAAATGAATGCCAAAGAGACTAATACTGGAAATTCATCGGTAACAAAATTTGAGTGCAAAGGTATGAGAATACTGAGCTTTGTCTGAAACTCTCTTTTTTTTTATCAAGAAACCAAGCTTGCAAATGCAACCTGGTGAACGATTGAAAGATTTTGTCGGTAGAGTTGAAAATCAATATCAATCAGACCTTCTTGCAGCTCAGAAGAAAACCAAGACTGTAAGCGCTAGAAAAAAGCGTAACCAAGAATTAAGGAAACAAAAGAAAACGGCCAAGCAACAAAAGGAATTAGAATATTACGGAGGACGAGATTTTGATGACTTGAAGGATAATGTCAAATTCGGCGAAGTAGCTGATGCTCCACCTATTCTTACCAAACTACCAAAGGCTCGTGGACGGGGTAAAGAGGTAGGTCAAAAAAAAAAAAAAAAATGGAAAAGATAAAGTCTATTCTTAGAAGCCACTCATTGATGAAGCAAATATTTGTCCTTTGTTTTGGTGTTATTAGACATTGGAGGCAAAGACAAAGCAAGCAATAGGCTCAGTATCATCAGCTACTACAACAGCAACAAAGCCAGATACTGGATATGAATCAGAAGAAGATGAAAATATGAAGGCATTGAAGGCATCGCATAAACGAAAATTACAAAATATGAGTGCAGCTGCTAGAAAGCAATTGGATTATGAGAGAGAAATGGTGATTGAAGCTTATAGGGCCAAAAAAGCTAAGCGAATGGCTGAAAAGGGGCTTCTTTAAGTTGTAAATATAATAAATGAAACGTATATAGTCTGTACATAGTTTGACAGTTGGCTCATGCGCTGGTAAAAGTAGCGTAGTAGAAATGAGTGGCCATATTTTCGATTTCTAAATTGGTACTTTCATTACTCTTTGTGTAATGTGGAATTTTACGGATTTTCATAATAGCTAGCCCCCACATTTTTTAAAATAAGTCCTATGTAAACGATCACTTCCCTCTGTTTCTCTTTTCATTTTTGTATTTCATTGTATCCAACTTTCTGTGTCGTTCCTGAAAACACTTGCTTCTCTCATTCAAATACCGCTGTGTCAAATCAACTCAAAACTTATTTATATGTCAGAGAAAAGAACCTTGAATCATGACTAAAGGGAACAACTTCAATACAGCGGCTGTGCAAGTAGGTAAAGCCGTGGCTTTTGACTGACTTATCTTCTGCTCTTTTTGACATTTTTGCCTTCAGCCTTAAGAATAAGGCCACTAACAGATTCCGATCGAAAGCAACCACGATTTGCGAATCTTGCAGACGATGATGTCTTGAAATCTTTTGATAAAACAGTCAAAGTCCTTCCATCAAATAAACTTTTCACTTTTGACCATATATTTGGACCCACAAGTACCCAGGAAGATGTATTTTTTTCTATAGGTGAAAATTTAATACATAAATTTGTGGAAGGCAAGTTCAAAGACAGAATAGGAGTCAAATACAGAATGATTAAACTCACGAATTATGATAGGTTACAATATCACCATACTAGCTTATGTAATGAAGCAGGCTTAGTGAATAAACCCTGTGACGCCATGCACTAAATATGAATGCTGATTGTATATTCTTTATGTAGGGCCAAACATCATCCGGAAAGACTTATACTATGGGCACAGCCTCAACAGAATCGAGTGTGAGCTCTAAAGATGAAGGAATTGTACCACGATCAATGGCCCTACTCTTCGACTTACTATACAAGAATAACGGACAGTCAAAGCGACCGATATCACCTGCACCATCTGTATCGTCTTCAACTTCTACTTCAAATAAAAGTAATCGGTCAAAATCATTAAAAATCAGAAGTGGTGGCAGTAGTCATATTCCAAGTCCCAACACTACTTACCAGAAATCAGCAATCCACTACGATGAACAGAGTAGTACACGGTATACGGTCAAGGTGTCATTTGTAGAAATATATAATGAAGAGTTGCATGATTTACTAAACACAGCACCTGTGCATGAACTACCTACAATTACCATACGTGAAGACACGAAGGGCAAAATATACTGGACTGGCGTGAAGGAAATGACGATTCATAGTGCAGATGATGCTCTATAGTAAGCAAGAGTGGGCTAGGATGAATATACCTGCTGTAAAGTACGAATGAAAACTTTTTTAATATTGATACATATTTTACAATATGATAGCTATCTTGAGCAAGGCACTCAAACCCGTGCAACAGGTGCAACAGATATGAACGAAAAGTCCTCGAGATCTCATGCCATATTTTCAGTCTCATTAAAACAGGAGAAATGGGTTCCAGTAGACACCCAACAAAAGTTGAGATCAACTAGTGCTCTTAATTTACGATCAACTACTCCCTCACCCATTCATAACCGACATGCATCCAATCTCAATTTAAACTTGAGTCAGGCACAAACGCAAGAAGAAGGCGAATGGCTAATAACAACTTCAAAATTCCATTTTGTAGATTTAGCTGGCAGTGAAAGAGTAAGTATTGTATATGAAACATTCGCTTAATGTGCAAGTTGGGGGCTTCACACTAAAAGGAACACCAAATCCTCTACTACGCATATAGTTGAAACGAACAGCTGCAGAAGGCGATAGACGAAAAGAAGGCATCAATATCAATGCAGGCTTATTGGCATTGGGAAACGTTATATCTGCTTTGGGTGATCCATCAAAAAAATCATCACATGTCCCTTATCGTGATTCCAAATTGACTCGACTTCTTCAAGATTCCCTGGGTGGTAACGCTACGACACTTATGATTGCATGCGTCAGTGCTGCTGAATACAATTTACCAGAAACATTGAATACTCTTCAATACGCAAATCGTGCTCGCAATATTAAGAATCGGTCAGAAAGGAATCAAATGGAGGAGTGGATGCTGACAGAGAATACTGAAATACTTAGAGCCATGATAAAAAAATTGAAAAATGAACTTCAATACTTAAAATTGCAGAATTCTGACAACAAGATACAAGCTATTACTTCTCACCAGGATCAGCAAACTGGAGATGACTTTTCAACCGAAGAGGAGAGTTCATCTTTGGAAGACCTGTACCAGGACCAACAACGCTTAATATCTGATTTGCAAAGGCAAGTCGAAGAATTGGATAGGGAGGCTACAATAACGCGTGAGCGCAATCACTTTGTTGAGAAAGAATTGCAGCGTATGCAGTTCCATGAAGCCATGCTACAACAGCAGAGAAAACAGCAGCAGTTTACTAAAGAGGATGACAACGGTAGAAAAGGCATGGAGTTTCAACATTTAGTAGAACCAGTCATTGAAGAGTACGAAAAAAGTGTATCAAAACTAGAATCACAACTGGCCATGATGAAGGCTGCTTTGAATCATTCTAATATGACATATGAGGAGCAACAGAACGAAATCAGCAACTTTGATTCTATCACCACACAACAGGAAGAGACTATTAGCAAGCTTCGCCTTCGTCTGAATAAAATATTAGAAAGGGAACAAACAAACGAGGCGTATATCCAGGAATTAGAAGCAAAGCTTGCACTGTCAGTAAAAGAATCTAATAAAGATCAAGAAATGCTCACAGACTTACGGAATCGTATTTTGAAGTTCAAAGAGTCTGATGAGAACACAGAACAATATATCTCAGACTTGGAACAGCGCCTCACATTTGCTGATAACGAACGTCTTCGCCTTCAAGGGCATCTTGAAAAATTAGAGGCGGCATTGATTTCCAAAGAGCGTAAAAATGTCGACTTGTCCAAACAGATCATAAAGATTAATGCGGACAATGCAAGTACAATGAAGTCAATATTAAAAGAATTAGACATTGTAAAGGGAAAATATAATGAATTAGAGAATGAACGCATGACATGGAAGGAAAAGCAAGATGCTTTTCAACAGAAATATACTACTTTGCAGAATCAGCAGCAAGATAGATCTGGACGCAAGCAAATTAGTTTGGTGACGTCTAACAGCATTGATACTCTTTCCTCCGAAGATTATACTAATGAGCTTCCTAAAGATGTGGCAATAATTTCAAAGAAAGCACAGCATCGGAAGAGTTTAGCAGAAGAAACAGAAATGGCCACTTCTATATTATCATCACAGTTTACAAAAAGTGAAGCCCGTCCGAAAGAGGAAGTTGTGCAAAGCAATCAATTAGAGACTATCCTGAACAGTTCAATACATGATCATATAGACGCTTCAAATGAGTTAGAGAAAGTGTCGCTGCAACACCAAGAAACTGTTGATCAGCTGGATTTACTACAAACCAGCGATATTATACCCAAAGCAGCGACTACTGTGAATAGAAATTGTGTGCAAGCTAGTCAGTCCAATTCCGCTCCTCCAAAAAAAGAATTATCTGAAGTCCCAAACGGTTCAGACCTGATTACCTCAAATCACGAACCTAAATCGGATAACGAAATACTGCGTCTTCAGAGACAACTTGATCAATGTAATCGAACAATCTCAGATAAAGACATAAAAATCATACAGTTAAGCAAGGATTATGAAAAACTCCAAGAGGAGTTATTGGTTGCTTATAACCTCAAAGCAAAACTGGAGCAATTTGTGGAAGATGCAAATAAGTTGGATAACGTCGAAACCAGCGACATCCAGTCATTAACATACAATATTAACAGTGAGGAAAATGAGGAGCAATTACTTCAGTTGATCAAAGTTTATGAAAAACTGCAAGGAAGATTAAAAACAGCATTACTTGAAACTCACAGTAAAGACAGCAGTATTGAAGAATTGAAAGATTTACTCGTACAAAAAGACAACGAAATACACCAATTGAATGGTCAAATAAGCGCTTCAAACGAGCAGTCTGCCGTGCTACACAAACGTTTATCGGAGTCTCTTGCTTCATTAACAATGATGAAATTGTCAAGCGAAGAACTTCAAAAACGTCTGATAATGTCAGAGCAGAATGATGTCCGGCTCAAAGAACTAGAAACCGAGAATATAAAAAATATCGAAAAATTAGAGAAAAGGCATACCGAAGAGTTGAACGCTTTAACAAAGAAGTTTGAAACCGATAGAAGTATTGTCCAAGTTGAGCTGCAGAACAGGCTCTCTGACGTACAAAACTTGCTCGCTGTATGCAGAGTGGATCAAGAAGCCGCTGTAAGAGAAACCCCATTACCAGAAAAGCAATTTAGACACGTAATTAAAGCATCGGCAGCAACAGAACAAGAATTAATCATAAAATTACAACAGCTGATCGATAATTGCAAACAGGCATTTGAAATGGAACGCAATTCTTTCCAACAATGTATTAGTAAACTTGAAGAGGAACTAAAAGACTCAAGAAGCTTACAAGCTAAGGCCCTCGTTCAGCATACCAATGAAGCGGAAGAATTGAAAAAAAAATCGGACAAGGTGAACAAAATGTTGGAAGAGCAAGCCGTCGAACTTTCCAAACAAGTTGAAAGATCGGAAGTTTCGCTTGAATATGTCCAACCAGGACATGAAAAAGCTGTACAAGAACCTTCCAAACCAAATGAGGTTGCTATTGAAGAGTTAGAAAACCAGATTTCATCCCTTGAAAGCGAATTGGAAGCCTCCAAGGACATCAATGATGAACTAATCAAAAGCCATAAGCAGCGTGTTGAGGAAGCTGTTGCTGCTGTTCGAAGAGAAGAAAATGAAATTTTAAAAAATGAATTCAATAATCAATTAAACGAGCAACAACGGAGAATAGCAACATTGCAGTCCGAACTTGAGCAATCGATGACGGTGAGAGAAAACCTCATAAACGATTATCAAAAATACCAGGAAAAAATGACTGTACAGATGAATTATATCCGTCAAACATCAGAGGCTCAAATATCGAATTTGCAAGCAGAACTTCAGACGATTAAAACACTGCATTCAAAGCGTATACCCAAAAAAAGTGTACAGGTTCAACAACAGCCCCAAAATGACATTTGCGATGAATGTTCACAGAACTACTATCAAGAATGGAGAGCTCTAATTGGTGAAAATGAAAGGTTGACAAACACTTTGGATACAATGAGAAAAGCATACGAGCAGCATTTTAAGATGATTTACCATAATCCGGAACGAACCAAATATCAGGGGGATAATGGTGTTGATGCCGCAAAAATGGCACTACTTGAATTACAATCAGTATTTGCCAAAAGTTTTGAAGATTATACCATAAAGAAGAACGGAGGCGCAATGACATTGACGGATGGCGACCAACAAGATAGTCGATCAGCAGTAACAGTTTCTTCGTTAAACGACAAAGATGTAGCTATATATGACGTCAAAATGGCCTGCTCCTTCAATGAACATGCCACTAGTTGTAATAAAATATTTTTAGAATTAAATGATGACCCAGTCAGTAACAGTAAGTCGAAACAGCTTCAAATAGCCGAAGTAACAACTTCTGGCATTTTAACAGTCGACAAGGATGTTGAATCAAAAGTACTGAAGCGCGAGACAACTAACGATGATATAAGCCCTACAGTGACCTTGGCCAAAAGTTTGGGTCTTGAGGACAAAGAGTGGTTTAAAGAATTGCTTGATCAGCTTTCTCAATTCAAAGAAGATAACAGAGTGTTACAGGCCCTATGTCACGAAAAAGAGCAAATCATACGAATACAACAGCAGAAAATGGAAAACCAAGAACTCGAATTTGAATCTTTGTCAGTCAACTTACAAAATAGACGAGACGATATTAAAGATACATCCACTGCATTCAATGAGATCAACTGCATGGATCAGAGGCAAATATCTACTTCCCACAACAATTCTTCAATCATAACCGCATATACTGACAAAGAGGAACTAGAGGCTTACAAAACTCAGATATCAAACTTAGAGAAACACGTAAACCAATTGATGGAAGAAAATATCGAGTTTGGTAGTCTTACAGACGAGCTAGGAAAAGAACTTCACGAAATGCTGTCTCAGAACGAGAGGCTGAAGGAATTAATGAAGATCAAGGAAAGTGAACTGACATTGCACTTGTCAAATTTAGCGGAAATAAGAGCTCTATTTCAGGGAACAAACATGTCAGATAAATGCATGATAGATCGCATCAAATGCTTATTACTAGAAGAAAAGGATAGTAAAGGACGTAAATTAACGCGGAACATGACAATACATCATAAGCATCAATATAGCATTTCACCGCAAGATGAAAAGCCGTCATTCATTAGTGAGAAACCTTTCCCCCATCGAACAGAGATTCAACAGCAGCAGCCTGATGAGGTGAGAGTAAAGGAACTACAAGACCTCAATGAAAAACAACAGAGGGACCTAATTGACGAACGAAAGAAGCGCGAAAGGGCGGAACTAGCCATAAAAAAACTAGAGAGACAAATAGATGAGCTTCTTAATAAGAAATCATCCTTTTTATGCTTTTAATATTCGATACATAGAGGAACGTTTGAGATTGTTAATAGTACAATCATTTGTCTTACCGTGTCTATCTAATGTTGATATACAGCGTGTATATTTGTATCCGATAACCGATATATCAAAGCTAGTTTTTTTTATTGCGTTATTATTACAAGCAATTCTCTTTCCTTGGGTTTTTATTTTTCAAAGATTAAAAACTTATAACTTATGAATCTTTTCGTCTGCTCTTTCTTTGTTTAAAATGTCAGACTAATGTCGATTCCTTTGGACGGTACAATACTTCTGGCATCACCTAAACAACTAAAAGATATGGGAGAAAGCCTTTGTAACACGCTCTATTTTGATCCACAAACGTAGTCTAAGAAGCGTTGGGGGCTACTAGCAAGGAATGCATCATAGTTATCCTCTTTTTCTCCGGAAACATGCTTTAAGACGAGATTAAGCGTATAAAAGATTTTACCAGCTTTTTTAACCCGTTTTACCTTTTAAAAAAAAGAAATGGGGATAGTTTACAAAATTAGCTAGCTCAGGTCTTTGTCGAAAATTAAAATGGTATTACACTAGCAGAATCGTTAAGATGCAATAAAGAAACACCGTTCATCCTAGAAAAGAGAGTCTTGACGGAGTTAGTGCCATTAAAATAACCAAATCAAGATCTGCCAATATTTCTTTAATTGTTATTCTTCAACCTTAAAAAGCCTGATAGACAGGGTCTGAAATCCTAATCAGTATTTCTAATAGCTTTCATTTGGCAAGCTGCACGTATCATCACAAAGATATTTACTAGTACTGGGTGTGTTGTTTTCTTTATTGCTTTTTTCCAAACCAATCCTCATTTTTACTTTGGAAATTTCGGTGGTAGCAGCAAACATATATTTTCAAAACTCTGACGCGTTTGCTTTAATATTTAAACATACAGGATCAATCGTTTTTATTATCTTGACTTTTTGAGTGCAAGCCACTATAGTGGCCCATATCACGTAATTTAACCTAGATAATTCGTCAAAATCTGACCAGACCGTATCTTCTTTTTTCCTCGAGCATTACATTGAGTAACAACGATTTGTTTAGCAAAAGAAATAGATTGATACACATTTTGGTATATTGTAACAGTAGTTACTACCTTCATTTTAAGTCTAAATCATTTTAAAAAGTGATAATTGTTTTACATTATAGCGTCATTTGCCCTTTGACAATGTATTTTTAGGTCACTGTACACGTTCTCTCGGAAAGCAAAAATACACATTTCCATTTTCTGATATTGTCAGTCGGAAAACGGTAGACGTACCTATTTTGAAGTTTCATGAACAAAGAGACGAACATCGATAATATGCCAGTTTTAGATGTTCTATTCAGAGGTTTTCAAGCTCAATTTCATGAAGAGTTTGGAATTCAAGACTTCTCATCCATGATACAGTAACTATTTTATTGATGAGCAAAATTTTTTGGAGAGACATGCTAATTAGATACGGTCTATTATTAGCTACATAGTTCTGTTCGTGCAACTGATTGACCCGTACATTCTATCAAGCATCACCATATCACACGCTGAGATATGTAACAGGAAAAAAACCAACTGCTTTAAACCCGATTATCTTGTGAGTCTTTATCACTGGCCGCAAGATAGTCTCCGACTAACAGATCTCTGCTTTTTTTTTTTTTTTTCTGTGCCCCTGTGATGCCCTTGATCTTACCAAATTGATGAATTCATGCTTCAACAAAAGTTATCTATTTCGACCAATCAATCGTAATAGTCATATAGCTGTTTTGTCCGTCAAAATTGTCTCTGGAGTACCAACAAATAGCTGTTTCATAAAAGTATGGGATTCTCGCTCATTGCGTTTAGCATCATCGTTGGCGACTGCTCGGCAAAGTGTTGTTTCCTATAAGGTAGATGAGCCTCGCAAACCAAAGAAGAAGGTAGCTCTTTTTTTAGGATATAATGGAACGCCGTATCAAGGAATGCAAATGTAAGATAAAATATTTCCTTTGAAGTGCAAACTTACGTGAATTCTTAAAAAATTATATAGTAACCCTGCCGCGCATACTGTGGAGGGTGTGTTATTCAAGGCATTATGTGCAGCAGGAGCTGTGTCGAAATCTAATTCTGTGGATCCTAAGAAAGTACAGCTTCAGCGGGCTGCTCGTACAGATAAAGGTGTTCACGCTGCTTGTAACGTTGTCTCGCTCAAAATGATTGGATATGATGACAAACAGATGATCAACAGAATAAATGCTGCCTTGCTATCTGACCCTATCCGTGTATGGGGTAATGTTTAATTACATGTTCGAGCAGTAGAAGATTAAATAGGACTAACTTAAAGGTAATGATGATCTGCTTTATTGATAGGCTACGTAGAAACGCAACGTAGCTTTAGTGCAAAAAATTCATGTGGATCACGCATTTACGAATATATGTTACCATCTTATGCACTGAAATGCTTAGAGCCTATTCGAACATTGAAGAACACCAAGATAACTCTGAATCCGTCAATATATCATTCCGACTTTATACCGCTACCGAGTAGCAATGAGGAACTCGAGAATCGACAAGAAACGCCGTCAATGAGATATGTCAAATTGATAGATACAGAGAAATTGAGAAGTTACCGGATTGATACTGAGCGGTTAGAGAGATTCGAAGCAGCATTATCACTGTACAAAGGCACGCATAACTTTCACAATTACACAAATGGAAAGGCGTTCGAAGATATGTCCGCCAATAGACATATCATTAGCGTTGAGGTATAATAATAGTGGAAGTGATGGTTACCAATTTGAAAATGAGTCATCCAACAATACGTTATAGGTTAATGGGCCTAAGCTTATCAGTGGCATGGAATGGTTAAGTGTGAAACTTCATGGCAATTCTTTTATGATCCATCAGATTAGAAAAATGATAGGTAAAAGCTGCAAATTTTCAATCATTATCACTAACTGAATTTAAACTAATATTTGTTCTCATGTAATAGCAATGGCTGTCTTGTGCACGCGAGCAAATTCTCCGTTGACAATTATACCAAAATCCTTCGAGTCAACAAAGATCAATATTCCTAAAGCTCCTTCTTCAGGGTTATTGCTGGATAGACCTGATTTCATGGCCTATAACAATTTAATTATGCTACGACAAAAAGAAGGTACAACTACCAAAAATATTCTGAGCTTTGATGTACACCAAAAGGAAATTGAAGCATTCAAGGAACAGTTCCTATATCCTCATATTGTTAAAACCGAAATAGCTGAGCGTGTGTAAGTTCTCCCTCCTATAAGTATACGCTACTGTTTGTCAATTTCTTATAGTTTATAATGTAGGTTTGACACCTTTCTTGCATCTACAGAACCTTATTTGGACACAAATTACGGATACTTCCTATCAGGCAAAAGTTAGACCCTGCTTTTGGTCTTGTTGTTTAACGGACGTCTTCTCTATATAAGGTACTGATGCAATATTCGTTGAAAATAGTAGTCGCTTGTACCTAATAAAAGCAAAAGAGATAGTATTTTTCTGGTCCAATAATATATGCTAGACTGTACTTATTTGCTTTAGAACTTACTTATCTGTAGTTAGCAATTTACAACAAAATCCAAATATTTTACGATCTATTCGTGTTCAATGTCGTCCCTCTCTTATAAACTGGTTACATAAACCGAGCAGTTGCTAACTAAAGTATCATTCTCAAATGCATTAATGAGCGCTAGACAATACCTAGATATTTCTTCAGCTGGTAAACCTATGAAACTGAAGCGCAACTAGTATGTAGTGCATAAAGTATAAATTCATCAACAACGAATATCATGAGCCCAAATCTTTTCTCTCCTCAATTAATTATCATAAAAAAGGGCTTTATTTCAGTGTCCGGAGGAATAAAAAATGAGTATAAATTAATGTTTATCAAACATAATCAACATAATCGTCAATGTTATCCATTAACTGTCTATGGTATCTTATTGTTTCTTCATTGCTATAACATCCCTTAATATTGTTGAACAAATAACTCATGACCTGTAAATTTCCCATAGTCCATGTCGTGACATGAGCATCTCTTTTGGGCAGAATATGATCGATGGTAATAGAATAAAATTTTCCTTGGCCTAAAAGTACAGGTTGATTGCTGATTGCACAACATAAATTACTTTTGAGGCACAACTCATATAGACGCTGCGGGGTAATATTGAATGGCAATTGACGATGCCGCCGAAGTTGGAAATTCTGATAACAGATCGATCGTCTTACCATAGCGCGGTGTAGCTCTCCTAAATCAATGCTTTTTTCGCTTTCCTCTGCTGGGAATTGTCCTGTCTTCAGCCAATTGATAATATCTTTAAGACCCTTGTCATTGGTAGCTATAGCTTTCAATCTGCAAAGAAAATGTCATGAACAAACAGTGCTAAGTTGCGGGCTGTACTTACGGAATTATACCCATCACCCTTCTCATATTATTACCTGTAGCAACCGCCACAATAAAGTATGCCTCTGACGTTAACTGGCGATTTCAACGGGCATTCGGGATCAACTTGAAGTCGGACCTTACATATTGGGCAGCATATTACAATTTGGTCATTCTAAAAGCCAAAATTATCAGCAAAACCTTACCAAGCGAGAAAAAGAGAAAGAAAACGAAGTAGCTCCTACCTTTATCATCTCACGTGCCTTTCTTTGAAAGCGTGTAACTAAGAATTCATTAACTCTGTGAAGCCTACCCTTTCTCTGCCTCGAACCCATTTCGGCAAGAGCTTTTTTTCTTTTTACGTTGAGTAGGTGACTATCGCGTTTTTTGCCCCTAGATTGAAGCCTAGAAGAAATTCGATCATAATCGTTATCCCTAGCATCACTGCTAACTGCTAATTCTAATTGGCTGTAGGCATCGTCGTTATCAATATAACTACTACCATCGCTACTGATCGTTATGATACTATGCGTATCATCTTTGTCACTATTGAGCTCAATATCTCTGTCAGCCACTGCCGTTACCTCCTCCTCGTCAGAAGAAACAAGGTCAATAACCAGCTTCTCAACATTTTCAGCAGCATTCCTGGAACCGGTAATAGTGGAATTGACATTTGTAACGTCATAATTCACTAAAACCATAGTGCCATTAGGTTCATTATTATCAAAGGAAAGGGGATGAAAGGTTAAAACATCGAGTTTCTCCACCTTATCACTATTGATAATAGTACCGTAAGCAGCAGCAGTAGTAGCATTACACATACTACTTTGGCTTCTTTGGGCCACTGCTGATATATTAGGCTGATATCTTCCTTCTTTACCAAAACTGAGGGAGGGTAACGCAGAAGAAGAAGATGCGACAGTATCGATGGCAGTGTTTGATAACTTAACGGTGCTGGACGTCTTATCGTTGAAGAAATTGAGTTTCCCCGCTATAGAGTTAAAAAAGCTGGTAAACGAGGAGAATCGGCTAGTTGTAGCTACAGTGGTCGTAATTGTAACATTAGCAAATGCCACATCTTCATTCCATCTGTTTTCATCCCTAATATACATGCCATCATCGATTGTATTAAGGGCATTTTTCCTGTATTTGTTGGCTCTACTTCCAGAATCACCCTTAACTACTTTTAACTGCTGCGGCTGTTCAGCCGTAACTACAATTCCATACCTTTATTACTTCAAGATACCTTCCCAAGACATGACAAAACGTAGATTGTTACCTGTATGTGTGAGTTTCAACTTTTCCAGTTCTTTCACGTATTTCTGATCGTCGAAGAAGTTGAGTGAGTTACCGTGCATGCCTGATTTGTGTTCTTACGTTTAAAGGCGAAGAGAAAAAAGGTAAGGCGGAGCAGAAATGAGTTATTTGTGTGAGTGCAATGAAACACTTACTTACATTATTGGAAGTAAAGTTAGACTCTGATTGTCCCTCTCTCCCTCCCTTATTTCTTTTATTTTACCGAAATCGCGATTTCTTATTGATAATTGCATAGATATGATAGCATTTTAGTTTATTTTATAGTATGTTTCGAGAAATTGGTAACACAATCAGATCTCCTCCTACTCCCAATAATGAAATTGAGTGTTCCATTGCAATCACACAGATAACTCAGAAATGGTTTTTGTTGATTGTGGATGTTGTATCTAGTCATTTCCAGCAACCAGCACTAAATCTTATGGCAGCACTAGGTTACTTTCTTACACTGCACGCCATGAACCAAGTATTTCAAGAACAATGGAAGATCCGGCGTTAGAGTTAGTATTCCATATTGTAGAGAATATCCTGGTAAAGGAAGGTTGTTAAATCCAATATCATATTGCACTAAGATTACCATCATATATACTGTAATTAAATCTTCCATTTGATAAAATCCAATTCGTACTTCTCAGATATTGTGGAAATGATTATATATGTTAGCTAGGACGAGATATTCGTGCATGATGTTCTTGATTGCGAGAACATTTATTGTATTAATAAAAAGTGATTGAGCCTTTTATCTCCAACTATACTTTATTCCGGGACGGGAAGCAGTACCACAACTTACTATGTTCTGGTTGTTGAATTGATATATCCTACGAATACATATCAATCCTGCTATATACCTATCCGTCATATAGCCATAGATAACATAAATAAAATACATTTCATAAAGTTAACCTATTCGAGTCTTATATGACGTTTCTAATCTCATATAGGAATTATAATCCATATTCTTTGTTTAGCTTATCTTCTTATAAGCATTTGAACTTAAGAAATGTATGCAATCGAATACACCGCTTACGAAACGGAACGAAGATATGAGCGTCATATGAGATCAAAAAATTATTCCAATATTTCGTTAGACGTTGTGAATGATTTACTCATGTAAATATTTTTATCATCGTGCCTTAAATACGACAACAACAATATATAATAAGTGTGTTTTATTTGATAACACAATAGATAGTCAAGTAAGGTAAAAGAGCTAATGATTTAAAGAGAGCGGATAAAAATACTACCGAGCATAGATAATGAGCTAAGGCTATATTTATACGAGTTAGTAAGTATGAAATTTGGCCAACAAGACAGACAGAGATGGTCATTACACTGGCATACTCGAAGAAACATATTGTTACTATAGGCAATTCGGGCGTCCTACACCACTTTTGAGTATCATACATCGCCGCGAATATCTTTCTTCTTTTGACTTTACAAATACATTGATTTCACTCGGCGTGAATGATACGAATGACGATGAATATGAAGATGCAATGATTATCTTGGAGGCCAATGTTTAAACGAAAGTATACAGTAAATAGATATAGTTAAGACAGTTTTACTCTGAAAAAGCCAAATCACATGTCGTATTCTGTATTCTGTATTCTGTATTCTGTATTCTTATGTCATAAAAGCCAATGGCATTGTAAATTATAATTTTTGTACTTAGCTTACCATCCGCGATATTCAGGCGACAACCGCTCCATATCTTTTATGAGGGATCCGGCCGCAAATAAAATAGCATCCACGGGCAACATTGCTCTTATTTAGCTTATTTGGATTAACGGATGCAATCCTTTACAAATTCTGCTGTCGAAGCTTGGCTTTACTGTATTTGATCTACAAGCGAATAATAATGCGATTGCTAGCAACAATGATCGTCCATGGCGACAGAAAACCTTCACAAACTCGGTTATTTTCTTGGCGTACTTAGTGTTCTTTTTTGCCTCAAAGTGTACCTTTCGTTGACATAGCTCGAGAATAGACTGCGTAGTTCTAAACAGTAAAAACTACAATTATCAATGGCTCAAACACTTTATGAACCGTGCTATGCAACAATAATAATAACAACGACATGTCCGAATGATCGTCAAGGAGTTGACAAATTCTTCCATGAGTGAATGTATTGAAAAATTGCACTGTAAGGATTGGAATGTCTACTACAACAATTCTTTAATCCTGTCATTGTTACCACAAGTAATGCAACGATTAGGTTAGCATGGGGGAACCATGGGTTTTATGAGAAACACAGCAAGAACATGCTTCCCTTCAACTTCGGGCGGATTTGAAAGGAGCAGCAGAGACATCCTATCTCTTTTGCATTTACTGTGAATACCAAACCTTTCTTCCGTTATATGCATTATGCTAGAGTTAGTTTCACTATGCACCGGTAAATAAGCGAGCAACCCGTACAGTGAGCAAGAAATTCTGGTGAGAGATACGCTATTTAAGACGAATCTTAGGCAAAGCACGGAACTGTCTTTACCTTAATCAATGATATGTTTGACTCATTCAAATGCTTGGGACTACTATGGTTTCTTTTTCACAAAGAATTGTCTTCCGAGTATAATTTCTCCCTTAACTATCAGTAATGCAAAGAAGTAGAAGGAGGATATAGTCACCGATTACGTAGTACATACTTATGAGTATAGAATTATATAGCACCATCGTACAAGAGTCCATTGATTGCATATCAAAATTCAAGTCAGCTGGTCCGTGCTTTTAAGCTTCAATCCTTTACATAAAGAAGGATAAGAGCTCCCTATACATCATATTTTACAAGGAATGGCCCGAGAATGCAGGCACAGGGTTACTTACTTAACACAATCGGTCATGTGGTAATTGTCAAAACAGGTTCTCAATATAATTGATTTGTGTTCGTTCTTCTTGAATATCCCATTAAATGTACTGTATTATTTCTTTGGATCAAATTATGGGCTGTTTACCGTAAAATAGTAGCTATAACTGGGTTGAGGCTAAGCTGTGATGATTGTTGTCAATAACGATATGCTCCGTTGCTCTTTTTTCATCTACTTACTATTACTGCCCATGAGGTTTGTGTAATGTTATACAGCAAACATAGCATATATACTTATTTTGATCACTATCCTTCAATTAGATGAAAGTGGAAGTAGAAGAACAAAAATAAAGGGGGTCGGGCGGAAAGGAGACGAGAAGAAGTGAGTAAAAGTTGAGCTTTTTTGCTTTTTTTTTACACTTGTGTATCCTTCATCGAGTTTCTTCCATTTCATTGAGAGGTGGACTTTTTGATTTTTAGACCGTTAAGATTTCATGAGTTATGTTTGCACGTTCTTTGGCTTTTTTTTATCGTTTTTCCATGATGAAAGAAGAAATGCTAGAGACCAACAGCATTTCTTTTTTTTTTTTTTTTACTTTTTTCCTGTTATGCTTTATAGCAGTACACACAGACTTTTCCTCTTTTACCTAATGCCGCAGGTCGGCAAAGTTGATGTTCCCTTTTAAATAATAAAGTTAATACACGTTGTACAATAAAAAGCGACATAAGTTTAAAGCAAAAGTATAAGATGTGTCAGGTGAATAGGATAGCAAAGCATATATAAGGAGAACTGATTGTAGGACTCTTGCGTTTTTTCAACACTGCTTTTATTATTCCACTTCATATATCTCTCTATAATTAAAACATCAAGCCCGATTGAACTCATATATGATGACCGAAACAACTTACATTGTAATCAGCAAGTTTTTGTATCTTATGTTTCAAGTAAAAAAAGACTGACCCAACAGTTCCTTTAGAACACTAGTAGGAAACATTTTCCTCGTTCCTTCCGTCCATTAATTCTCTTTCATGATGGTCCTTCGGAAACATTACTGACACAGCTCCATGCCAATGCAAGTTATGATCGTATGGCCATAGATCATCATAAACAGAAAACAAACGTTATGCTTCAACATAACGCACATTACTTTAGCAAATCGAGCTTCAGCGATTCTGAAATGGGTAACTTGTTACACTAAATAACCGTGCACAACAAGATATAGGAAGTGAAAAGAAGATAACCAACTCTAAAAAGTTCCTATAGTAGACACCAACAACATCGAAGTCTCACCCAGTACGAGTACAACATCAAATATTAGTACTTCTTCTTCAAGTTCCAGCACTTCGTACGAAGATAGCTTTAGAACAACCATGGAGGTCTGTAGCCCATTACAACATAATAAGGCTGATTATGTTTTCAATAAATATGGCTGCATTTCTTCTGCAAACGAAATGCAAATTACTGGTATACCAAGCCTTCACTCAGTTATCACACATGCACAGCCATCTCCTACTCTCAGTCAGATGATGCATCGAACAGCAAGTTCAACGGCCCAGTCAAGCCACACAGCGACAATAACACTCAACATCAAAAAAAGACGCAGAGGAAACCTTCCCAAAGAAGTGACAGAATTTCTACGTGAATGGCTAATTCAGCACAAGAGGCATCCTTATCCTGCTGAAAAGGAAAAGGCCGATCTGGCTCGACGTACAGGGCTTACTGTTAACCAAATAAGTAACTGGTTCATTAACGCAAGACGTAGAATTCTGCAGCCCATGTTGGAATCTGAGCATATTAACGCACAATTGTCTTCACCTTATGCCTACACTGTTGGGTTTGGAGTGGGTAGTGATCTAAGCACCGTCCACCACAATAATGCCAACATGAGCAACCACTCTAATACTAATGGTATTAATGCTTCTTATGCACTTTACCTTCAAAAACATAAGCAGCGTCGTAATGAATTTTATACATACAATACATCGTTCCCATTTTCAACAGGTAATATAAGCTGCTCATGTACTATGTCTCTTGCCTAAGGTAGCTAATTGTATCTAACACTATCGCCACTTTATAATTACAGTTATGGAGAAAGAAAAAACCCCATCAAAGCCCTATTCTGACTCGATCTGTAATCGAGATACGTACTATCAGCACAGTCAGCAAGTCTCTTTACCTTGACAAGATCCTACGTCTAGATCGTATATGCCTGTCTCCCTCACTTCTTTTATACCTCACTATGATATGTACAGTTTTTTTTTTCTTTTTTTGGCTTTTATTTCAAGTATTTTATGCTACTGTCACTGTTTGTATTCTCTCTTTTACAATTTTGGTTTTTTTGCTTAAATTCATTGTTTTTTCAACGCATATTACTGCTGCTATTTTAAACTAATTATTCGTTATTACCGCTCAGTCATCGTTTTTGCCTCTCCTTTTTATACCAACGCTTCGTATGCATTCCTCTCCAATAAACCTTGAGAAACATTTTACTTAGTATAGCAAGTTGTGCTATATTTTGGAACAAAGAAAAGATGTAAAAGGTATGCTTTATTTGATAGAAGAATTCGCCTATCTGCAACGGTAAAAACGTTATATGAGAATCATTTATCCTTATAAACTTGAATTTGAGGAAAACGAGAACAATAAAATTGCCCAGGGCAGTTCCTACTGGTTTATTCATGTGTCCAAAGCCCTTTGAGATCAAGGGTAAAAAGGGGATGATCAAAGGGTTGGTAGGTGAGAAGGGGACATCTATTGGATCAGTAGGGAACCTACAACAACATTTAAGGGTGGGGCTCTTGACCGTGGAATAGATGGTCTAATTCGTAGAGTATGCAGCAAATAATTGCTCAACGTTGTTCCCATGGACGTCGTGTTTAAGTTTATCGGGGTGGGTTGTTGGGTAGCTGATTTAATCGGTGTGACAGGGGATCATCTATGTGGTGTGGTTGTTGCAATCGTGAGAGCATATGCAAGCATTGTATCGAATGTGTCTTTATCAACAGTGTCGAGGGGTGCCGGATGCAGTAAGTGTTATTTACCACTAGCTAACCAACCCAGTCACCAACGAAAGCATCGACTGGGTTCTTCTCTCGTCATAGGGAGCCATAGATGGGATCTAGACTGATTGTTGGACTACAAACTGAGATGAACTTAGAGTGTAGGCTCTTTCTTTCATTGAAGGTTGATTGGCTAAGTGACACATTATTTTGGCTGAGGTCCGTGTTGATCCACCAAATATCCGCCGAGTGCATTTGTTCTGGGCGTTGCCTAGCTTCATGTGGTTGATTTTGTTCACTTTACATATTGCCAATCCGTATTCCAGTTGTGGGCGCACCATATCGGTGGAGAGCCTAATTGTTAACTACGATTAAACATGATTTTTATTTTATTTTATAATTTTTAGCCTAATGGGCATTCAGATAAACTACATATCAGAAAAATGCCCTGGGCAGATCAAATACGTGAGGAATTAAAAAACCCTAAAAGAGACTAGAGAAAAAAAAGGATAAGTGATCACAATGCAGACTAGGTAAAAACGGAACAACCAAGAAATGATGGGAGTGGACGCATAAAGCCAGTCTAGCAAGGGCTGTTATGATGTTTCTAGCAGGGTAGGGGGCATTTTCTGGTGCTGAAGGTAATCGATCTCATCAAGAAGCATTTGGACAATTGGCCAAGATATACTCCAGTTGACTGGGACATCGGCATGCTGTTTTATGGGTCGAGTGGGGAGTTGATTCAACAAATAAGAAATGGAATCAACGACAGTTGTCGGAAGTTGCAGGCGGTTATGTTTTGTAGGCATTCAATGATGTGGGCTTTAGTGAGAGTGCTTAGGGGTAGGAATAGGTAATGGGCTGAGTAGTTGTTGGGGAGCCAGCCCAGTCTCCAACGAAGACAGCGACTACGCTCAATAAAGCTCATTGGGAGTCAAAGGTTGGGATCAAGAGAGATATTAGGATGGCATTGTCTTACTAACTTTGAGTTGGGCGCTGAACGGATGGCGTCTAAGTTCTCTTGACGATATGCTTTGATGGCCTGTTGTAAAGCCTTCCTATCGCGAAATGGTGAATGCCTTCTCCAAATTGTATTGGATTGTGACAGTTGGGACCAAAGGGATTTGCTAGTGGCCTGAGTGACATAAGGAAGTAGGCACTTTGGCAGGGCGTTAGCAGGTAGGCTTTGGGGCCGCAGTAGAAATTTCGCCTGGAGAATGTGGAGTCTTTCACGCATCGTTGGAAACTTTAACAGATGTAGCATAATGTGCACGGATGAACGGGAAGAATCACCAAAGATATGGCGAAGGCATTGTGTTGGTGCCTTTTTCAAGGGGTCGACGATGCACTTTTTATATTTGATAATAGCCAATCCGTAGTCCAATGGAGGACGAATGATATTGGGATAGAAGCGAGCTGCTAGTAGCCGGCTGAAGCCTGTAGGGTTGACACCAATAGCTGTGAGTTGATTGAATGTTTTCAGGGCCTTTAAGGTATTTTGTTCAACAAGTTGTTTGCTATCGATATAGCCGCCGGGCTTGAAGGGAACACCTAAGTACAGGAAAATAGAAGCTAGCGGTAAATCTGATCATATAACTTGCATGCTGGGTGACTGGTGTCGCTATCAAGGATTACGCATTTTGTTGGGTTCCATCTAAATCCTAATTCATAGCTATAACGTTCACATTGGCTAAGTAAGTTGCACATTTCTGTTTGGGTGGCTATCAGTACTACATCATTGGCATATAGTAGACAGTCGGGTGAAAAAAGCTGTGAGGAGCTATTGTTGTCTGAAGTATTTATGGATCTAAGAGTTCGAGGGAGGTCATTGGTATAGTGCGAGTACAGGAAAGGTGAGAGAATGGATCCCTGCAATACACCAGTGGTTGGTCGAAAACGATATAATGTTGCATTGTTGAGCAAGACTTAATTGTTGACTACGTTTAAACAGAAATCTTTTTTATTACAATATTTGAAAACCAATGAGCACCAAAAATTGCCTGGGGAAGATCCTAAAGTCTCTATATAATAAACTATATATTGCTAAAAAACTCCTTTGGAAACAAGGGTAAAGAAAGGATTTAATCAGTTGTGATTGTGTGAGGGCTAGGGGTCAACCATTGTAATAGGGCGAAGCACAGTGAGAGGTCTGGTGGAGGTGGATCAAATCCATGAAGCAAATGATCAAGTTCATAGAGAATGTGACAAATAGCCGGCCAACGGATGGTCCATGATTGGCGAGTGGCGGCTGACCGAAGGGGACGGGTGGGAGGTTGATTCAAAAGATCAGACAATGGATCTAGAATTGATATTGACATCATCAGGCGTTGATGCATCTGTAAGCACTGTATGGTATGTTGTTTTGTCATGATAGTGGTGGGATGATGGAAGCAGAAGTTGGAATGACCACCAGGTAGCCATCCAAGACGCCATCGGATACAGCGGCTACGCTCTTCATTAGTCATCGGGAGCCAGAGTATATGGTCTAAGCTGATGGATGTCCGACACGCAGAGAGCAACTCTAAGTTCTGGTGTGGTCGTTGCAGTTCATGTAGGGTTTCTGTTCAAAACTCACGGATGCATTGGCTGAGGACCTTGTGATCAGTAGACTGCTGTTGCTGTACTCGGTGTCAAATAGGAGAGCGACTGAGACGAATATAGGTTGATTTGCTGGATGGATATTGGATATAGCGGCGCAGTAAAGTGAGGAGAGCATCATTTGGTAAGTGGTGAGAACGAAGTATGTATTTAGCCTGGAGAATCACACAGCGTTCTTTCATGGATGGTAGATCAGCCATGTGGAGCATCACTTTGACAGATGATCGGGACGAACCATCAAAGTTCCTTCGAATACAGGTATTTTGGGCCTTCTCCAGCCTAAGGACGTTGGCGGAGGTGATAGGGCATATAGCAGAATAAAATCGGAGGGCCAAGAGTTTCTCAAAGCCATGGTGTTTAAGGCAATAGAGCTGAGGATATTCATCGTAGCCAAGGATTTCGTGGTAATGATACGGATGAGTTCGTTGAGATCCAAATAGCCACCCGGGCGGAAAGGAACACCAAAGATTGTTAACTACGTTTAAAGAGAGGTTTTTATTGACAAAATAATTTCTTTAAAACCCAGTGGGCACCATGTTATATAAAATTGCCCGGGGCAGATCCGACTGTTTATAAAAGTATCTAAAAAGCCCTTAAGGATCAAGGGTAAAAACGAGTTTGTCACAAGGTTGAGTGATTAGAAGGAGGCATCCATTGGAGCAGTAAAGATCCTAGAGCAACATCCAAGGGTGGGGGTTCTTTGACGTGGAATAAATAGTCTAGCTCATATAGTATGTAGCAGAGGATCGGCCATTGGTCTTCCCATTGACGTTTTATCGTAGGTTGTCTAGGCGGGTGGTTAGGTAGCTGACTTAGAAGATATGAAAGGGGATCATCAATTTGCTGTGGTCGCTGCAACGCGAGTACATATTCAGGCATTGGATTAAGTGGGTCTTTGTTAACAATGCTGAAGGGTGCCGGATGCAGTAGGTGGTGTTACCACTAGGTAACCAACCAAGTCGCCAACGAAGACATCGACTTTTTTCTTCTCTTGTCATTGGGAGCCATAGTATGGGATCTAAACTTACTGTTGGGCGACAGACTGATATGAGCTTAGAGTTTGTTGGGGCGCTTTGCATTGCTTGTAGGAACTGTACGAAAGTCTTTCAGGGACTGTTTGAGATTTTTCTGATCCATAGATTGTTAACTACTGTATTTCAACTTGGTTTTTGGACCTTCTTAATTTATGTTTTCTTCTCAATTTTGTTTTCTGACAAAGTCTTGTTTATTTCAAACTTGCAATAGACGTTACATTATTTCAAACCAATCTCTTTAAAGAGACATCTTTCCCAATATATTTCAGCATGTCCAACCCAACCCTTACAATCTTCTATAGTTATAGTATTTAATGCCTCTGTAATACGTGGGGTGAGTGAATCAGCTTTATCGAGTGGGTTTCTTCTACTATGCTTCTTAATTTTTGACCAGCAATCTTCGATGGGGTTTAAGAACGGCGAATAAGATGGCATAAACAAAGGCTTATAACCGCATTTGTTAATAAAATCAACTACAAAGCGCGAGTGATGTATTCTACAATTATCTAAAACTAAGTAGAAACCCTTCTTATTTTGTTTGTCCGAAACATCCATAACTGATTCCAAAAATCTAACAATATGTTAGGCCGTAGTACCTTTTGGAAGCATCTTGCCTTTCTTAACATCATCAGTCTTGGCTTTTCTCGTTTTGACCAATGGCTGGGGGAAATTCTTTAAGGTTAAAATCAAGTGAATTTGGCATAGCTGAGCTTGACCACACGCTTTAGGAAACTACGGCCATTAACAATTTCGAGAATTCAGGGAGATGTTTTACAGAAACTGGCACTTGGAAGGAACCTTTCACATAGGTTAAAATTAGATCAGAAGCTAACTCCGTAAAGAGTCAACTTGGTGCCTTGCCACTGACAGGACATAGATTCTAGTTCTTCCGTGGGTACATGGCTTCTAACTTGCTTCGACTAGAGATACAATGTGCTCTTCTTCAACAATCCTCCCTTTTTGATATCAACTTTCACGCCTTTCAAAGTTGGCTTTTCTTCCGAAATTATTACATCATTATCCGTATTGAGATCGCGCAGTATCGCATTTCGAAATTTCAACTAACATCTCACATTCTTCAAGGGTGACCAGAGGTTGTAAGTGTACCCAACTCTTCTTTCATCTTGCGCATGTGTTTATAAAATCATCTGGGACTATTAGCTTTCTGCAGGTTCAGGCTCCCTCATCACCATAGTATTTAGCAAGGTGAGCAACTTTTCTTATATGGGTAGTTTATCGAATTTCTTTTCAGCAGTCTTGCCTTTTTATCTCCAACCATACTTTATTTCTAAAACAGGGAGCAGTACGGTGACCTACTATGTTCTGGTCGTTGAATCAATATATCCTACGAGTTCTTCTCTTTCTTTTGCTCTTCTTCTCTAGCATCAAGAACATTATTCTCAAGGGTTTGTTGGTACTACTTGCCACTTCTTCTCTTTCAAAAGCTTTTTTATTGGTGCAACTGTACAAAGGAACTCCATATGTTCAATAATATGAGTGACTTTTTGGTTCTCGTCTTCTGAATATATTGCTGAATGCTCATCTTTCATATCGTTCACAAGAGATTTGTACATTGCACCAAGCTTTTACAAATCCATTTCTACTTCAACTGGCTGAAATCCGAGGTCAAGTATTTGCTTTACTGCGTTTTTGTATTTCCAATCAAGAACTTTTATTTCTGTAAGGGTAATTTTGGAAGCATTCATTGATATAGGCTTCGTCTTCGAGTTAAAGTAAGCATCGTGGTGTGCGCAAGAAGGGTTTTTTTTTTTGTGGAAAGAGATACGCTTTTTTTTTTAAGAGGGAGGGCTTAAATAGAAGACGATAGCAGTCGCATTACAAACCAACAATGCAGTGTTTGTCAAATGCTGAAAGGGTTGCTAGTATTATATTAGTTTTTTTTTAGTTTGCTTTTGCGAGTATTTACGTATGTTGTATTATAAAAATAAAAATCATGCGCAAATCCAGTCAAAAAACCTGTATTTATTTCTACGTTTGTTCCTGTGTACATTTATAGCACCCCTTTTTCTTTTTCTATTGTTTTTGTGATGTGTATATTGACATTTCTACCCATAGTTTTTTTTTTTAACTTATTTCTATCTGCTTACGTTACGTAGAGAAAGAGTGAACATTTCTCAAGAGGTAATCGCAACTTATAATAAAGCAATTAGTGAATTAGACTTAAGTATGATAAAGGACTGTGTATGAACGAGTTGAATATAAACAAAAGAAGAGGAGACACCAGAGGAGCTCAGTCAAGGGCAAGTTCGGATTCGGAAAGCAACATGTGTAGTTCTCGGCGAGAGTGAGCGAGAACAGAGTGAGGATCGAAAGGGATGAAGTGGAAAATGATCCGAAAATGAGCTTTCCATATGTTAGCTAATGTCAAGAACTATAAGGGTGGGTGTTAGGATATTCGAAGATTTGAGACGCAAGTCGATATCTAGGGAGATTGAGCCTTCAATGATGTTTTGGGTAGTAATAGTAGGCCATAAAAATTCGGTAATGATAGTAGACCAAATGTGGTTTTTAACAGGAGCTGTGAAAAGCATATGGATGGAAGATTCAATAGAAGTAGAACTTTGAAATGGAGGAGAGATGGAAGAGTTTTTCAGGATATGGTTTAGAAGCGAACGGTAGGGAATCTTATGGTTGATAAACCGATAAAGAATGTTGCGGGTGACGTACGATAGCCAGTGATCCGGAGTGATAGAGAGTAAATGAATGGGAATGGATGCGTGTGTGGCTTGAAAGACGGAATTCCCTGTTGTTGGACATTCTAACTTCTGCTTCCATCATCCCACCACTATCATGACAAAACAACATGCCATACAGTGCTTACAGATGCATCAACGCCTGAGGATGTCAATATCAATTCTAGATCCATTGTCTGATCTTTTGAATCAACCTCCCACCCGTCCCCCCTCGATCAGCCGCCACTCGCCAATCATGGACCGTCCGTTGGCCGGCTATTTGTCACATTCTCTATAAACTTGATCATTTGCTTCATGGATTTGATCCACCTCCACCAGACCTCTCACTGTGCTTCGCTCTATTACAATGGTTGACCCCTAGCCCTCACACAATCACAACTGATTAAATCCTTTCTTTACCCTTGTTTCCAAAGGAGTTTTTTAGCAATATATAGTTTATTATATAGAGACTTTAGGATCTTCCCCAGGCAATTTTTGGTGCTCATTGGTTTTCAAATATTGTAATAAAAAGGATTTCTGTTTAAACGTAGTCAACAATTAGAAGAAATTCAGCCAACTGGACTTAGTATGCTATGACCACCTGAATATATATTTTTGGTAAAATCTTGTAAAGAAGGATATCAATCGCTTAGGTTCAAGAAATGCTTTGAATAAAGGTGGCTGTAAATGATTAACGCTTCATCGAACCATATTTAGTTCAAGGACATAAGCAGCTTTGTTTAAATTGGTAGCCAAATGGATATCTTTACAAGCATTTAAGAAAAAAGTATCAGGTGGGACGACCAGCCCGTGATTGTACAAATTTCGCTCTCAAAACCAAGTTTACTAGTCACCTATGAGAGGCATTATGGGGCTACCCTCCTCCCTTCCATAACTCAAAGGATGGTTGCGTTAAGTAAAGTACAACTGTAAACAATTTTCTCGTGTTCTTGATTGTAGACAATGTCCAATAGGTGGCGTGGTTTATAAACTATGAACCTGAGGGGCAAGAACAACAACCCCACAAAGTATCATCCAATGAAAACTTCTCAAACCTTAATTCCTGCTTGTGCGTTTTTATTCGTACTTTGGATTGCTGACTAAAATTATCAGGTGTAGTTTCCCATTTGATTTATCATTATATACCTATAAAAATATACCTACTTACTTCTTTTCTTTCCGTTGTATTAAATCTATTTCATTCTGGTCCCTTTTTTGAACAAAGCCTCGATACCAAGATGATGAACGGTGACGATTCTTGTGGCCCAGTCAATCCCATGGCTCAGATGATGAAGCAATTCAGTCAAGACAGATCACTTCAAAATGTAATAAGCACAGCTAATCATTAAAAAAGTGTGTCAAGACTAAAGAAACCTTTGTATATTGACAAACCGCATTATTCTTCAGGATCGTTTTGCAGGACCTTCACAACAAAATGCAGGGCCTTCATCAGTAAGTTATCAGTATCAATCTAGAAAAATGTGAATACTTTTCGAACGTGAAATTGAAATAGACCCTCGTAACCATAAAATTTCAATGAATCAGATGCGAACACAAAGACAACAAGGGCCAGGATTTGCTCAAGGAAGAGATATGGTGGACGAATTTTTTGGTCCAGAACAGCAACACCAGCAGCCAAGGATGGGTCAAAGTGCGTTCGAGTTTTCTGCTTTACAGAGAGAGTTGGAGACTGTTCGTCAAATACCTCACGCCGGCGGATGGGCAAACGAGTTCCAACAACAAGGTCCCAAATTATGGGAGCTAACACCTGCAGAAGAAGCTGCCATGGAAAAGGCATTTGTAGAAAGCAAAGCAGCTGCTGGGCCCTCACAAAGCGCATCAGGTAAAGACAAAAGGCATTAGTATGTTTTCAGGTTGCAAAGGTCAAGGAATGTAACATGAACAAATGCATAGTGTGGAGAGAGGAATTTATGAACCATCCTGAAGTGACCAATATGAATCCAGCACAGTTAGCTGAATTCGAAAACGCCTTCCAAAAGCATTTCGACTGGGCAAATGAATTCGATCTTCAACATCAACCAGGTGGTGTTAGTAAAGGTAAAGCGCGTTTGGATTCATCTTGGGAAGAGCAATTCGCCTCGTTTGATCAGCAACCAACAGAAGAAGAAATGGCGCGTAAAGTGGAGGAAGCGGCTGCAGCGCAGGACCCTCAGTTTGAACAATTTGAGAATGTCTGGCAAAATATCCGTGACCAGTTAGCCGAAGATAATGATTGGGAGGATGAGTTCGGTAATTTCAATGGCGGTAACCCTATTTACAAGCCTGATTTGGGTGAATATGTTTTTGAAGTCAATAATCCATTCTTAAATCATCCTGATCCATTGGCAGAAGGTTTACAATTGTTGGAATCAGGTGGGTCATTAAGTAATGCAGCGATGGCTTTCGAAGCAGCTGTTCAAAAAGATCCCGGAAATTCAGAAGCATGGACACATTTGGGTAATGTGCAAGCACAAAATGAGAAGGAGGAGCCAGCGATTCGTGCCTTGGAAAGAGCGATTGAAGCTGATCCAAGTAATTTGCAAGCGTTGATGTCGCTAGCAGTGAGTTATACAAATGAATCGTACGATCACGCAGCTTATCAAACATTGGAGCGGTGGATTGCACAAAAATACCCTCAGCTCGTCCCTCATCGTTTGCCTGATGCCGTTTCTCCATATGAACTCCATGATCGTGTGACTAACTTATTCTTGACAGCGGCACGAGAAGCTCCAGATGGACAGCTAATGGATCCTGATGTGCAAGTGGGATTGGGTGTTTTATTTTATGGTAGTGGTGATCTAGATAAAGCGATTGATTGTTTCGTTTCGGCTCTTAAAGGAAGACCTAATGTAAGGTTCATAAAATGGCACAATGTTCGGTTATTTTGGAAGTGCATTCATGATTGTGAGAATAAATACATACTCATGCAAATTTTCTGCATTCTTATCAATAGGACTATCTATTATGGAATCGTATGGGTGCTACTTTGGCAAATAACGGTCGCTCAGAGGAAGCCATTGATGCTTATCATAAAGCACTGGAGCTGAGACCATCGTTTGTGCGTGCGAGATATAATATCGGCGTCAGCTGTATAAATATTGGCTGTTATAAGGAAGCGGCAGAGCACATTTTAACGGGTTTATCCATGCATAAGCGCGGTCAAGGTGATTCTGAAGAAGGCGTCAACGTATCGAATAACTCATGGGAAATGCTACGAAAAGCTTTCATAATGATGGTAAGACAGCATACAAATGATGGACTTTTAATATACGAGGAAGATAGAATAACAATGTATTTACTCTCTTTATTAACAGGATCGCCGTGACTTAGCTGACAAAGCTGTCCCAGGAGCTGATTTGAATCAATTTCGCCCAGAGTTTGAATTTTAGAGTATTATCATTATTTTATATCAACGAATGTATTTCTATATATCATTAAGCGTGCGGGTTGTATAAAGACTTTCCAGTACCGCACAATATAACACACTGTACTATAAAATTACAATAATTGTTCATCTTTCAAATAAATTTTCTTCTCTGAAAAGGAAAAGATAGGATATACCTTTTAACTAATTGTTGAAAAGCAAAAGCATATCATAAAATACAGTATAGATTGCAATCCTTTACAAACACTATTATCTGATAGATTATTGCGAAACATTGCGTTTGTCCAAATCCAGGATTACACAAAAAATTTCGGCTCTTTTACTTCAACAAAAATTGAAGTCAGAATCAGATAAGAGAATATCCGTGAATAGTCTAACTAAAGTAACAGCAATTTGTGCAAGTGGGAGTAATACTCTCAAATATTGTTGTCTTTTAACTGAGTACTCCATCAATAGAGTTCTTTAATTATCCTTATTATTTTATTTTATTTTTTTTTTTTTTTTGCAAAAAGTGCAGAGGTTTCTAGCTTTCACAATAAGAAAACATGTATACGATGAAAATAGCGTGTAGGCTTACCATGAAAAGTCGCGCAAATTAAAGATCCTTTTCTCCTTCAGTAGCCAATAACATCAGCCATTTGTGCGGTTATTCTGAGATCCCTCAAAGAATAAACAAGTATATATCTAAAACCGAGCGTTCCCTCTCGTTGTTCATGAAAGGGTGTTTCATAATGCCATTTTTGTAGCTTTTTTTTTTGTTTCTGACAAAAATAGAGCGGGGAAATAGAGACCAGCAATTCTGCATGTATGGTCTGATAAAATACTATCAAATCAACCTGTCGTTGATAAGTAATCAATTGTACCCATCGAAATCGTTGTTCGGTGAGCACCGTCACATGAAGGTTTCGAACTCGCGAAAATGCTCGTTGTGCAATTGTTAGCATAGTAAATTGAATAGATCGTTTTTTGAATAGGAGATTTAGAAGGTCACGATGTTGATGCATGTAATAGGTTCCTTACAGAGCACATTGGAGAAAACATGGCAGTTGAGGCAACAGAGACTAAGCCTTGGAAGATATTGTTGTAAACTACAAATCAATATTGACACGTATACCAAGTTTGCGTAGCAAGTTATGCAACCTAGTTCCTAGACCATAACTCACTTTAACCGAATCTGCTTTAGTGTGAAGCTGCTCATAATCCGGGTAATAAACCCGACTAAGCGAACCCGCGCTTTATGCTTAAAACAACATATTACCATCTATCGTTATCTATTTAAAAAGGGTATCCTGAGAATACATATTGTGAGATGTAATTCAGAATGACCATATATCGAGCAATATTTTCATCCCTTATGCGCAGCCATTGTTATAGTAGGCTTAACCAGGAAAATAAAGATAAAAGGCTAAACATATAGTGGTGAAGTTCGATTTAAAAGTTTGCTGCTAATAACTGGGTAGATCATGACATAAAAAAAGCAATGATCGCTTGGTTCTTCGGCTCACGTACAATTGTTCACGTCCATTTGTTTCTTTGCTTCATATTAGCTGTTGGCGTCAATCGGTGGTTTTGCGTCTTCATTTTTCTTATCATTCGGATGATCAAATTTAGATTAGAAAAAAGTGATACCGTTCCTGACTCCGTCTGAAGATGTGCAAAGCTTTTATCAGATCTTTTTTTTCGTTCTTTCATTGCACGACATCTTTCTTTCCTTTTTTCTCAAAACATTTTTTTCTGTGGTTATTTTTCCTTATCGACCTACTGCCAAAGTATTTTCGCGAAAGCAGATAACAATTTTTACAATTCCAAAAGATAATATGTCCAAATTCAACCATTATAATTACATACCAGCGTGCTGTGAAATGCCCACATTGACAAGGTAGCGAATCAATATCCTTTTTTACTAGGGCATGCACTATTTGTGCCAAACAGCGAAATTTACTGAGCACTGTAACTATAGTGATTGTTACACTTTACTTAATCGTCAAGAACCCATCCATGCTCGTATCAGTACGAACAACGAAAGAGGTAGGTATCTTTGCTATTTACAAAAAATAAAAATAAAATAAAAATAAAAACAACAGCTTAGCTAGGCCCATTCTGGTCGAATTGTTCAAAGACAAGATTGAATAACATTTTCTTTTTCTATTGAATTTTATCAGATCGTCGACCAATAGATCCTCCTCCCATCATTCAAATTAAAATTAATGACGCTTCTCCACAAGAGATTGAGTATGTATCACCTTGTTCATCTTTACCCTTGGTCAAATAATTTTTGGAATATTATCTAATTTAAGTTCTCTAAATTTTCATGTAGTACCTTCCATCAAAATTCATACTTCTTCATGTGTGCTAATTTGGCTCATCCGACGAACGATAATGAAATATACACGCCTACGCATAATGCTTTGTCGGGACAAACAGTTTCTTCAATGTATAAACTCAAAGACATTGATAACCACGGTAAGTTTTGAAAGTTACCTCAAACAGATATTTAACAAACATAAGAAGGCTGACCATTTTGAACGACTTTATAGACGGCGCATTCTTTGTTTTTGGGGATCTATCCGTCAAAGTGGAAGGAAGCTTCAGATTGAAGCTTTCCTTATTCGAAATTACAAGCACAGGCGCTGTCTGTCTTAAATCCATCTTCACTCAGCCTTTTATTGTCTACCCTACTAAAAAGTTTCCCGGAATGTTGGACTCCACCTTTTTGTCACGATCATTTTCTGACCAGGGTACACGTATCCGCATTCGCAAAGAAAATAGAGCCCAAATGTAAGTGTCTCGCCGTGTCCTATATCTCTGGCTTTTAAACTTACTTTTATACCTTAAACGATTAGGACCAATAACAATAGTTGCTCAACAACTGCTCCTGCTAACTGCCCGTCTCGTAAAAGAAAACTGGAAATTCAAACAGAAAAATATATCCTTTCCAAACCTACAACAACAACAACAACAACAACAAGCAATGTCACTGGCCCTACTTACCCTGGTCCTTCCAATATTCATATACGTTATGTGTCAACCAATCCTTACGAACCTCAAACAATTACAAACGAACTAGTTTGTAATGACCCCTTACCAACAGCCCGATTTGGTTCTGCTGCTACTGCTTCCTCTTCCAATAATGCATATTTTTCTGCTGCTGCTCAGAGTCTAAGAGTAGCCACTGCAAGTTACGCTACCAATACCCATTACAATTTGCCACTCTCTACGAGTTCCATTGCTACTCTTAACGAAAGAAGAGCTAGTATTACTAGCAATGGTACCGATGGTTTTTGCTGCAATAGCAGTTATACAAGCTCTGGTAGTAGCCAAAGCAGCCCTATCACCACAAGTTTCTCTTCGTCTCGAATATCTTTGCCTCCTTTATCTCCGCCTCCTCAGTCTTACGATGCTATTGGTACAAGTATAACAACTTCGTACCTTCCATTCAGTGCAACATTCCTACCTTCCTCACCGCCTCCTTCTGTAAAGCTACCCTCCATTCGTGATATCCTAACATCTATTGATGGCAACAGTAGTTACAAGAGACAAAGAATGTGTACTGCACCCAATGCAGAAAACGACGCGGCTGCTGCTATGATGCAACTATCTACCTCTCCTGAACGTTTGAACTATTAGAATATTCCCCCCCCTTCTGTAGATTATATCTCTACTATTCCATTGTTACCTAAATGCATTGTACTTTTCCCTCTTTACTCATCCTTTATATATTTTATCATATTAACACCATCACTATTTAAGTCATTCGTTGAATTGCTACTATTTAATATACAATTTTTTTTTAAAGATTTAACACTCGCACTACCATACTATTATTTCATTGTATTTATATGCCCCCTCTTTCTCTTTAACCTTATACATCGCAATTATTTCAAAAAGTAAAGTTTCAAGTTTGAAGTAAAAAAAAAAATAAAAAAAATGATGACCTTGCAAAAATAGGGTTTTATCGACCTTGCTTATCTTGAGAGTATCGCCCTCACTTTCAGCAGCGTGTAAAGGATCTCCTTAAATATCGCTGGGTGTCATCTTATTGAAATAAGTCTATGGCTTAGGTCAGCAATATTGACACGCTGCCATGCTTTGGAGCAGACCCAGAACCATAAATGTTCGTAAGCGCCTATCTTTCGCTGTCATTCAAAGGTTTAAAACTAATAGCTGGTGGAACTTCCTAGTGTGCTTGCATGAATATCAGTCTTAAAACTCTGTTGGTCATTAGATCTGTTTGTTTACAAATTTTAAACAGTGAGCATTTATGCTTGTTAATCAATTCACGAAAAAAAGTAAAGCTTATATTCGTAGAGCAAGCGTTCTACCTTTGGCTGTCAAAAACAATTCGGCTGAACACGAACACATTTGGGTTGATAGAATTAAAGATACCGTTGAAGAAGTTCTATAGAAAGGTAGGTACTTTTTGTCCAACTTTTCTCAAGATAGAACATTTTTCAAATGCAGTCGAGAGGTGCACCTTGAAGGACAGTACCACTGAATTTGACTACGGCTGTAGCTCGGATGCTCAGAATGAAACCTTATAGGATGGCTCAGGTTACCAACACTACTGAATGCTTCTCTTTATTAACGTTTTCGGTAATTTTTTCTTTTTTGTTTCTGTCTTCTTCCAGCTTCTCACTAATCACCAAGAGCCACGCTCTCTCATAAATATCAATGAGATCCTTCAATTTTTTTTTTCTTTTTTTTGATAACGTGAATAAAATCATTTGAGTCCCCTTCTCCTAATTTGGAAGTTGCACGTTTCTGAATGACCAAACATAACTGTTTCAGATTCAAGCAAAACTACAGTAGCCTTTTCATTTTATATTGTTTACAATGTATTGACTCTAATCAAATCAAGCTCTTTTCTCCTGTCTTTTACTTTGTTTTAATTGTGATTCCCTGGTCGTGAAAAGACATTATGATACCCTTTCAGCATTTCCTTTGGTTACTAGGTGGCTTTTTCATTGGCGTCTTTTTTATGTATAATGCGGTGCCATTACGAATGAGTAGCCATCACCTTCAAAATATGCAAATCAGACAGCTCGCCACGACTATCCCCACAACAGCAACTACAGCACCAGCAAACAGTATTCTAAAATTTGGAAATCCAGGTAAAACATAAATATTTGAAGACATATTAAGGGAAAACAAAATTAATGCTTAAGGAAACAATTCCCGCCAAATTGCACGTCAGGACCTGTCAATGATCTATTTGAAAGAACAGCTTATACCGTATCATATAACCGTAGAGATCGTATACCTTACTGGGTTGGTGAACATCTTACTGCTGCTAGCTTAAAAGAGGGTCCAGGTGTATCGCGTGATAAAGTGACCTTCAAAGATGATCCTGCATTGCCCGAAATATTCAGGGCCTATACCAAAGACTATACCAATAGCGGCTATGATCGCGGCCATATGGCGCCAGCAGGTGACGCTGTATCAACCCAACAAGCTATGGATGAAACATTCTTATTGACTAATATCGCACCTCAGATTGGTCCTGGTTTCAACCGCCAATACTGGGCTTATTTTGAAAAGTTCTGTCGTGATTTGACAGCTAACTTCACAGATGTCTATGTCTATACAGGGCCTTTGTTCTTACCCCAACTCACGAATACTAATAATACTTTCTCTTTCGCCGATGCCCAAATGATAGTCAATCCTGATGGTAGTGTCAATGTTGGTGCTGCAGGTGCTGCACCGGCAACTGCTGGACAACCGAAATATCACATGCAATACCCACTCATCGGTGCTAAATATCCTACCATTGCTGTTCCAACCCATTTTTTCAAAATTTTGTTGGCCACTACGAACAATGTAAATTATGCTGCAGGTTCCTTTGTTTTACCCAATCAAGCTATTGAGCACACTATTCCTTTGAGTCGATTTCAAGTCGATATCAGTGCTATTGAAAAAGCCAGTGGATTACAATTTTTCCAAGAAATAGATAGAAAAACCTTTACTAATCTTTGTACTTTGGTTAATTGCGTTTTGTAAATTGTTACATGGATATCATCGGGTGTTATAGATAATTGTAGATATAATGTCATTAATATATATATGGTATTAAGCGATGGAGTATAATGATAAGTTAAAGGATATTTTCTGTTTTTGGTTTTTTTTTATAAAATAAAATTCTGTCTGTCGGAGGATAAATCAAAGATTGGTATAATTCCTATCTACAAACAAGACCATTCGAAAGGTTAACTTATCGCTGACCTCTGTTTTTTTCTTCGAATTCAATACGCTTATTTGGACTGTTGTAAATTGTTGTGAGAATAGAAATTGGGAATACTATGCATACAGCAAAAATAAGACTACGGTTCATCTTGCCATCAGGATTGCGAAGAGCATCCATTACAATCAATAATACAAGGCCTAAAACCTGCGAAGCCATCCATAGCATGGAACTAGAAATAGCTTCACTGATAGGATATGTAGCTGTATATCATCCAAGAAAATTATTTGTGAGCACCGTGCTAGTTTTTGTAGTAAGGCCCGTGTTTACAAATATTCTATATCTTATACTTACATTCAATAGAAAGCTCAAGGGCAACAGGTAAAAGGGAAAACGTAAAGAAGCCCATAAGAGCAACTACTGCAGCAATAGCACCATAACCTACATTTTTCGACACTAAAATTACAAATATGAAGGATTTGTTTTTAATAAACACATGCTATTTATCCTCTTTTGTAATAAAGGCAAATGTACGACTCATGTGTGAGACGTTCACTTAAACAACAGAGTTACACACTTACCAACAAAGTAAAATGCTAAGTACAAGCATCCAATGATAGGTACAAAAATTTTGATAAGAATCTTATGACGACCTGTTTTATCGATGAAAATGCCGGCACAGATAGCTCCTACAAGACCTGCTATAATGAATGCTGCACCCAGGTACCCGGCTTCATCATCATTATAGCCGTAAGGCGTTACGATTTGAGCGAAAACGGATGTTAACGCAGAAGAAAGACCACAAAGAACACCAAAAGCAACCACAACGATCAAAAAATTCCAGTTCGTCAGCAACTGGATGATGGATTCCTTGAATGTCAATGCAAATTTATCTTTTGAAGAAGCACTAAAAGAGGGTGGTGTTTTGGGCTTTTTAGGAATAAAGAAGACTGGTAAGGCAAAGCCAGTAGTAATACAAGCTATCACCAGGAACTAAATATGCATTAGTTTCTGTGCATCATTAAAAAAAAGAAACCCAAGTATAACATAGACTTACGCCAAGAGGTAGAGAATCAGCATCTGTAACTAATGCAGGGATAATGAGAGAAGCAATAGCCATACCAATTGCATTTGCTTTTCAATTTTGAAGAAGGCAGAAATATCGTACGAGTTAGCTCTACCTTGGGATAACATACACGTTTGTTCAAATGTAGTGATTTACTTTACCTACGCCACCCACCATAGAGGCAGTTCCTCTACCATCTGCACTGAACCATAATGCTGCATACTATTGTTAGAAAGATAAAGTTCTCTGAATAACAATTGAGAAACATAGCTTAAAACAGATAAACTTACAGGCGTGCAGACATTAAGAATAAATGGCTGACCAACAGCACAAATAACCTAATGCATAAATCATTTGAATTGATTTTGCGACATTAGCGGTGAGCAGCTTTGATTACATGAGTTCAACTCGTATCATATTGTTACCTGACCGATCAGGCTTAAAGCCAATCTGCCCGTAGGATCACTAACAAAAGTAGAAAAGTAACGTAACCAAGCACCGATAGTTTGTAACACGGCTCCGATAACAATCTACGTTCAAAGAGAATCAATGAGCTTGTACACAGACACACCATAATTTTTGTGTGTAAAAGAAAAATGAATACTTACACCAAGTTTAATTGACCAACGTTCATATACCCAACTGGATAGTGGACCAGCCAAAAGATAAACTAGCATGAAAACATTGGAGAACCAGTTGATAGTTGTTAAACCGCAATTGTTGAAAAACGAATTGGAGGGTTCAGGCACAGGTGCTACGGCCAGCCAATTCAACGACGACGCAATATTAGACAAAGCAATAACAGTCAAACCATAGAAGCGGATTTTATATGTTCGAAAGATGAATGAAAATTCTTCTAAATCGTCATCATTGACAGGAGGAACTGTTGATCTTGAATCTTCCATCTTTACTCGTCGTAAAGTGTCCATTATTTTAACGTTATAAAATTGACTGAAAAACTGGGGGAAGACCGAAAAGGATCAAAAAGACGAAGAAATGGGAAAAAGAGATAGGGACAGAATCAAATAGAAGAGGAAGTATGTTTCTGTGTGTTCACTGGTTGGTTTTCTTTTCCAACCATTACTTCACTACTTTAGTTACTCCCACTGGTGAACACAAGAAATGCCTTTTTTTGTAAGCAATATTTAGGCTTTACTTTTTAGCGTAAAAATTTCCAAGGTGTAATTGGTGCTTCTAGTCCACCGTGCTAGCTATACAAATTCCACCATGCGTAAGTAAAATGCAGTTCAGGCAATGGTCCGACACACGGTTTTCACTCTATAATTACCGTGATTCTGCTAGCGTTTAGATTGTGCCAATTTCACCATTACAATAAATTAATACCCATTATCGAAAACAGCAAGTAATATTCATGGGAAGATATCGTATGCTGAAATGTTCAAGTTGTTTATGCTGTTTGTAACTGCTGCAGTTCTTTTAAAAACCAGGCTCATAATGATTAATACAGACACAGTTCGTTATAAAGGAGCATAAACAATCTGCAATCTTAAGCCCAACAAGATTCCGGTAGCTTAATATAGCGAATACAGCAACCTACCAGTTTGACACGTTTACATGAATGTGTTATTCTATACTTAACGTGAATAAATGTAAAAGCGGAAAGTGGCAAACAGTACGAAAATGAAATTTTACTGTTTCGCTAACCTTACAAAGTGCTGAATAAGGCTCAAAGAACTTATTAAGTCTCTGGAACTTGTAAAACTTCACTGCATTAGTTCGTCCGCAATCTCAACTAACACATTAGAATAATGAATAATCCTACAACGTCCACAAATCGGTAACGATTTTCCAAAGGCAACCTTATTAACATCCCAACTTCCAAGATACTCCGCAATTGGTAATATCCTATCGATTTTTAACCAAACAATATCCATCTGATTCGGCTTTGTATCAACTTGTACGATTCTTCATTGCAATAGTCGACGTACTGTAAACATTCTATATTTCGATCCCAATCTTTTTTAAAACAGTTCTTTTAATTAATAAAAAAGAGAGGAGAACACAACACAACTAGCAAAACAAAGAAAGAGTTTAGTAGAAAGTAGAAGGTCTCTTGGCAACAAAGAGAGCACGGTGCTTCTTGTCGGCCTTGGCAATACGATGAGGCAAGGGGAAAGAGAGCTTGGGAACCAAGAGTTGCTTGATGTATTGACGACGAACATCGGCATCCTTAACTTCAGCAACACGAATGATTTGGACAGATCTGAAACGAGCACGGTGACGAGCAGCCATATCTTGGTAACAAGTTTCGACGGCTTCAACACGGCTCATAGCACGGTATTCCTTGTACATGTTGTGAGTACCGGAACGAGAGTCATAACGAATCCAGATACCGAAGTTCTTGATTTGTTCAGGACGCTTTTCGGCAATCTAAACATATTAAATAGTATATATGCAGTCAAAGAGGAAAGGAAGTAGGCAATTGTTGCATGTTGGTACGTTGTTAAATCTGTTGCTTTTTATGAATTCTGAAAACTTACAATGTTGACGGAAACGATTTCACCAGCGGCCTTCTTGACCTTGCGGAGCTTCTTCAAGAAGTACCAGAAGCGAGACTTAGCGACAACAACATTAGGAGCGAAGATACGCATGCGGAAGAGCTTAGGGGTAGGCTCTTGGGCGGACGGGAGCTTGCGACCAACTACCTTTTAACGTAATAAGAAATGAGACGTAATTAGTTTAAGAAATTCAAAAATATATAATGAGTCATATACGTACTTGATATTCTTGGAACTGAGGACGTAGTGAAAAAAAACATAGATAACATGTGTTAGTTATGCATCGTCATAAAAAATATCTAAATGTATCAAAACAAGGGAATCGACAAAGTTGATCAAGGTAAATGACAATGTGCTCATTATTTCCGATGATCAAAATCCATAACCTATACATATTGCCGAATAACACTTCCATCTAATGCATTACATCTGCTAATGTAACACTTTAGTCGTACGCTGGATTGATGTATAAGATGATAGATGAATGAGGAAATCGATGGATGGATACGATAGTGTATATTGCTGTGCATCTGTTATTGTCTGCAAGATTCTCATCGAAAATAGTCTACTTTGATCATCTTTGTCACATCCTTTGTCTTGATACAGATCATCGTCTTTTCGTTTGGGTCTTTATAAGTGAGACTTACTCTAGCCATCGTGCCAGTAAAGAAAGAGAGAAGGATCTTATTATGGCCATTGTTATCTGGTCTCTTTTCTCCTCCCCATTCCTCTCCCTTCCCTTTCTCATATACACACCATAACCAACTTTTTGCCACGAAATTCGGGGTTTTTAATCGCTTAATCCGACTCGGAATATATTTGTGTTCATTGTTTGTGGGCCGCATGCATTGATATTACCTGAACTCCGAAAGATTCCGTTTCGAAACATGATAAATTAGAATTCAAATAAATGCTACAACCTGTCAAATAATACTTACAACAACACTCAAACCAACTTTATAATATATTTGAAATACACTGTGAGGCTCTATCACTTCAGTTGTACAGAAGTAGCACCCTGTTGAGCATTGCTACCCACCATTTTAAGAAATAAAGAATTGATGATTGATCTTTTTGGCCGACGCCTAACGTGAGCTCTCCAGTCAGAACGTTCAGATGATGCCCGCCAATTGAAAGCATCTTACAATGCCTTAGATCACCAATAGAATGTTATTAGCACCAATAATTAACCCGTCAATTGTAAGCAACTGATGAAGGATGCCACAGTGTAGCATTCCATATCTTCTGGAATAAGAAATTTAAGATTGTGTAGCAAACAAAACTTTTTAGTCTCATGTGAGATTCTTTATCAATGAAAAGCGAATAACTGATCAAAATTATGTCTTGTACATGTAACTATGACTTGACTACATCTTTTTCTCAATGTAAGCGTTATTATGCATTAGCGTGTATTTATTTATATGTAGTAGGGATTTTGTGGTTTGATAACTGATTAGCTTGTAAAGAAAACTATTAATGACTATATTTATATACATCTGTCCTTACAACTAAGAAGCTTTGAGCCATGTCTACGACACAGAAGTAGATAGACCCTCAGCTGGGGAAACATTAGTTGCTGTTGTCGTGGGTGTTGGTGTTGCTGATTTATCTTCTGTTTGAGAAGATAGGACTTCTTCTTGCTGAATGATGGAAGCTGCAGTGGTGGCAGTAATAAGGTTATGCTTTTTCTCTATGTTATTATCATTAGTAATTGAATTGATACCTGTCACATCCTTGGTATTCTTATTCAAGCTGCTATTATTGTTGGTAGCAACGCTGGTTTTTGCCTAATCGCAAAGAGGAAATCAATCTTATCAAACAGCCTATGTAAGTCGAAGAGGAAGAGGATAATAAAGTCATACCTTTTTGTTGGGTTGTTCGGAAGACGTAATGGTCTTCACTTTTTCCTGTGTTCTTTTCAGATTTCGTCCTTCACCTACTAACTCGGCTGGTAACTTCGATCTACAGAAATCACACAGAGATAAAGTAATAGATTAGTCTTTCAAAATAAAACACATAAACCGAACAGTAGAGTTAAAATATCCAAGAGAAAATAAATTTCATGCAGCACCCTTTAACGCTTTGAACGTGAATCTTCATTTGAGCTTCATCAAATTTATCCCAAGCCTTGACCAACTTGGTGAATTCTTGCACAGGCCAAACGAGGTTCAACTTTCTATTCTCGCCGGCTATTTTATAAAAGGAAAAAAATAATTAAGAAAAAGTATGTATGTGTATCATTGCTTTGAATTTGGACATTGTCAGAGGGCTATACTAACCAACTTTTGGAGCTGTTACAAAACCAATGTAAAATGTAGTAGTGAAAACTCTTGTTACATCATTTTCATTTTCTTCTTTCACAACGCCGTTCGCCTTTAGCAAATCCATATGATTGGTTTCAAGACTTCCTTCTTCCACAGTAAAAGATCGATCAGGCAAAAATCCGCCTTTGTTCACTGCATCCACTTCCTCTGCTGTTAAACAATAATGAATCTTGTCTATGCCTTTAACATAGGGGTGGGCTAATGTAATCATATCCACCAACTCTAATTTCAAAACTAACTGACGTAATTTGGCCTCTACCAGACCTGACCACATAAGCTGCGATTCAGAAGAATCGGAAGATGACGTGATTTGTAGATAGTGCTTGTAAGCATGGAAGAATTTGCTCTTCTGAAATAACTCTTTCCATTCTCCTTTTCCCATCATGATCTTTTCTACAATTTCAAGACCTATCTTAAATTCATTCATCATGATACTACGAGTGGAATCGGTGACATTGTGAGTGGCGCACATAGAAGGATAGGCTGGTGTAATGATTGGCATACGATGACTTCTGTCGGCAGGATATAGCTTAGGGTTCCATACGCGTACCTGCAACGGCCCATCTTCTAAAGGTCGTAACAAAACAGGTTGAGGCCATTTCCAACGTGACATAATCGAAAAAAATCTGTTGACAATGGATGCCGAACAGGCATTGGGATAAAGTTGGCAAATACGTGCTGTTAACATGGCCCAAGCAACACCACCCAAGAATCCCATGACGTTACTGTAAATTCCACGGCTTTTTGCCCATAATTTGATCGTTCTTAGTGCAATTCTGAAGGTGTTCACATTGGGAACAAGACGTAAAATATCATCAGTAACTCTGGAACCATTTAAACTACGGACGCATCGTTCATCTAGACTTTTGAGAATATTATTGTCTGCTAATTCTAAGTCGTCAGGCACTTGAGCTACTGCAAGTCGTGCACAAATAAAATCGATCTTAAGGAAGTAAAGGAAAAAAAAAATTAATAAAATCGCTTTCTGCAATAAGCTCGATGAATAGGGGCAGCCAAATACTTACAGGAATTCCAGAGAAGTGCATTTTGATGACTGGAACATATGCGTCTGGAACAGCTGCTATTTCAGTTACTTCAGGTCTTTCTTTTAGCATGTCATACATAATGGTAAAAAAATGTTCTCGTTCAACGTGCTTAGGAAAGACACATAAGGTATCGATATCGGCACCTTTATAACAAAACGCATAAGTATTAAATTGAAGGGTTTTAAGAAGATGAATCAAAGATATGAACGTTGTAATTACCAGCGCCATGGACACCCAATCTATAACTACCGTACGTAAAAATCTTCCCACCTGCTTCTCTTGCTAAGGAATCAGGGAAGCCTTTCAATTTGCTCACTTTATAGACAAATTCCTTTACAAGCTTATCTAACTTTCCCAATACGACAACACTATCCATGTGGATATCAGCATAACCATAAACGTAAACCAATGATCCTAATTTCTTCATGACATACCGTTTCTGTGCTTCTTGTTCGCTCTCGAATAAGCCAAAATCTTTCAACGTTTTCAACAGATCATCAGTCAACTTCAATTCTTGTTCTGTAGGCGGAGCAGAAGAGATAGGGGGTGTTACGCCAAGCTGGCGCACAGGTTGCTGATGTTGTACTTCCTGACTCATTGATTCTATACAGCTACAGATTTAGCTTGTCGACGTAGTGGCGATGACACTCTCTACGGTAATAAAATAGACAAAGATAAAAAAGTGAAAGAAGCCAAGTGCTTAAAAGGAAAGTAACGACGGGCCGTTTTGTGTTTTAGCTCGTGACTTACCTAGAATTTCCGTTTTTAGGTAAAATGTTTATTGAACGAGGAGACACTATACAGAATGATAAATATCCTCTCTTCATGATAGTAGCACGATCAATGCTTTGTAAAAACATCTAATATTATCCTTGTTCCACTGCTATCATAGTTATGAAGCAAAAGGATGATCCATTTACGGTCTGCATAGATTGATAACAGCAGCTTTATTCCCCATTAATGTTTTGCATGGCTGAAAAAAATGGTATATGCATTTTTCATTCGTGGACGATTCAAATTCTGAACGGAACGTCCATGCAGACTATAGAACAGAATATCGTTTATTCGATGATACGTTTCTAAAGTTTTCTTTTTCAAAATAATAATCCTTTGATGGGCTATTTGACAGGGCAATCGCCAAGGAAAATCTGGTTAATACTCTGTATCGACAGCCTAGAATTCATGAAAAATATTGGGGAGCTCAAACCATTCCCTACCTTTCTATGTTTCACCTTTAACTATGCATTTCAAAATGCTCAATTTATTTACGCTTCCAATATAATTTAACCTGAACTATCAATACATTAGTTGCATTCCTATTGATTGTTAGTAAAGTGGGGCTCATTGTTGCAGTGTATCTTCAGCATCTGTTTGCAATTTGTTTTCGGTCTTACTTGCACAGGATGAACTCGCTGTAAAGCTAATATCTGTCAGCATTTACTGTATTTGAGAACGTAACCTGAAGGTTGTCATATCGCCCAAGCAAACATCAACTCAACAACTTCTGTGCAGAGCAACAAATTGCGACTACATCTTTCGTTGTATTTCCTTGCACAATGACTGGGTTTTAGGCTTCTGCAGTCGTTAATTCTGGGTTTATTGGATTTTGAGGATTTTGAAACCATATTATAACCATATTTTTGGTGATACATACAGTCATTGGATAACACGAATTAAAATGTGAAGCTTATATCAGGATCTGTCAAGTAGGATTGAAGTTCGTTTTCTTTTCTTTATTCATTACTTTCAGCTTGTTACTTAACAATGAGAGTCTGGGCAGCTTCTTTAGCAATCATTTCCATATCAATGAATGTCTGTGCACAGTTTGATGAGTAAAGTAATCAAATGAGAATAATTTTCTGATGACTTATAGGCTGACACTAATACAATTTTAATGCCCTCTTGTCGCAGGACAGGTGCAGATTTTGAAGTATCAGAAACCAATAATGGGCCAGGTCCATGTAACGGTTTTCCAGATTATAAGGATTTACCTATAAATCAAGCTTTCTACCTTGGTGCGCATAAACAACAACGGTTGCATAATGTTGCTCAGATGTTAAAGGATGGTATTGTATATGTCAAAAATGCTACAACCAAGAGGAAAGTTCCCAGACTTATGTGTACAACTAACTATAGGTATACGTTATCTTGATATTAATCTATGCAAGCAGTGAGTACAATTCAAGTATAGCAGAAAGATGTCACGAAATATTTCGCTAACTATAGGCAAACCATCATAAAAAAGTCAAGGGCAGATTGTTGTTTGTTCTCGATATGACGGTGCACCTTCCGATCTTGCATTTACAGATATAATAGAAGAACTATTTCAATTTGCAAGAAATACAGTAGAGCAAATTCTTATCTTAAATGTAGATGCTGAAAACGTAAATGAGCCAGTTGATACGAGGTTGTTGGAGACAATAATTGATGAAAAATGTAAAATACATACAGAAGCTACTGAAGGGACCGATGAATTTGTTAGTAAAGAAGTAAGTCAGAAACAGTATGCCGCTGTTGCAGCAAACCTATAAGTATACTGACGGCTCTATTGTAATGCGTACATAGTGCCCATTCATTTACACCCATATGCCTGGAAAATGCCAATGGCCATCTATGGGTGAGCTTGTCAACTATAATCCAGAGATGGCTCAATGGGAAGGAGATGGTGAGGTCGTAGGTGTGCGGTCAAAGTTCATTATCACAAAGTCTAACCAGATACATCCGACACCGAAGTATTATCCAACTTATTTCACGCCCAAGTTTTGGAGAAGCGTACCCAAAGAAAATTTGATACCCGAGGATGGTCTTGTTACGGTTGACCGTATAAAAAATGTAGTGAATAAAGAATGTAAGTCCCTCATAAGAGCAGCAGGTGGCGGTGATGGTATTGGAATGGAATTACACGGCCTCTCTACCGCTTTCAATAAAAATGAAGTTGATCCACAACACCAGCAAGTGATTATTGAAGATATTATTGCTGGCAAAGCAGGATGTAACATTGATGATTTCCCGATGAATACTTATTTCACATTTGTGTCATTTGACAATTATAATACGATAACACCTTACTTAAGAGAACTTCAAAAACGTATGATGAAAGTTAACTATTCAAAATGGAAACAAGAACATACAACATTAGAGCCATCACGATTGATTGCTGAAGGAAATATAAAACAGAAAGTACAACGTGACGAGCTTTAGAGCGACATTAGTACTATGATTGTCATTATCATCATCATCAACATTGAAAAATTGAACTGAATGTATCTTTATCTATATATGTATATATGAAGTATAAAGGAGTTGTATTTTATACTGCCTTCATTTACATCCGTTATCATACAGTAAAAATATTGTGTAGTAATGTATATGTTGTAGTATTAAAGAGATTAAATTACATCTTCATCATCACTGAAAAAGTAACAACAATGGCCCTCATTTGAAGAATACTTACAGTTTGATCATTTAGTTTGCGAAATAACGAGGTTCGTTGAAGACGTGATAACGATGACCACGGGTACCAGAGCCGCGGAACATGGAAGGATATCTTAGTGCTTCGGGTACTTGCGATTCATCAATCATATTATAGCTAGCCTTCCAGTATTCTTTAGGATTTGACACAACCTGGAATTTACCTGTTTGAATTTCAGTGTCTGTAATACGTCCATGACTGACACGAGCATAAGCAACACGACGTAAGCCACGATAGCCGATATATTGGCACCAACGATCCCAATCAGATGGATCAATATCATTCATATCACCACCGTCAAACAGGAGATGATATATTTCTTGTTTTGGTTTTGTCACAACATAACCCAAAAATACGAAGGGATTGGGGCTGGTACGCATGATTCTAGCCAATTCTGTCGTCTGCTGAATTCGATCGTTGTAGTTTTCATCTTGACCGTTGTGGGAGACAATGAAATCGACAGGTTGACCATAAACATCCAAAGTAGCGTGTATGGCACAAGCAAGTTCACCGACTGGAGATGGCAAAAGATGGTGCGTGGATTTGATAATAGGGAATTTAGATAGCATAAGACAGCCCCAGGTATGCTTCATACTTGATGGTCCATAATCTAGATAGTAACCCAAATCTTCTGCAATAGATTGAGCCCAATCACGATTGCCCATGATAATTCTCATAGTGTCTGATTCCAGCAAACCTGAATTGTAACACATAGTTAGAAGTATTGACAGAATAACTGCTTACGAGATGACTTACCAACAACATCCAATTCCAAATCACGAATAGCATCCCGCATTCTATTCTCACTAGCCCACATATCGTTATCAAGTGCGAAATGAATAGTCCAAATACCTGCTGTAAATGATTTCTCAGACGTTGTATAAGGTACAGGCGTCTTTGCTCTAGCGACACGATTAGCAGCAATTACAGCAGAAACAGCAATGAAACCAACACCAAAAACGCGAGACATAGAGCGTGCTTGTTTTAGGATATGAAACTGTGCCAACTTGTTGTGCACATCCAACATAGCTTGTTGGTTTGCATTCAAGACACCCAAACCAATCAATGCCATCATCGTTGCGAGAATTATGTCCGTATGCTCACGAGCATATACACCGCCTGGAACAAATTCATAGGCTACAACCCATACATGAGCTAGACATAAGATATTATACGTCATGAAGGCTGTAAACAAGGACTTTAATGGACTTTGAGTAGATATACCACGGACAAGAGCAGGTGTAATAGACAACAAGTAGGCACCCAAGACGAGACCAGCATAATAAGCAGTCCAAGCAGAGAAATAATAGAAAGCAGTGCAGGCACAGCAACCGACAGCATACCAAATAAAACTAGTGGTTAAGCGACGATAGGGAGATAAAATTAAGCCGACGACAAGAAAAGAAATGGTAACAGCGCCCCAAGGTACTGGTTCGGGTCCATGGTTGGGATAACCGTCTACTGTCCAACGCATGATAGTGGAAGAATCTGTGTACATAGAATGAAGAGCAAATAGAAGAGAACCAAAGCCAGTAGCCGCCATCAACGAGCTACCAAATTGTTTTGTTTCCACGCGGTAATCTAAGGAACCAAGGCCCTTGCCTGATTCAATAGCTTTGCGTACGGTACCATCACGGATCAAAACTTCAGCAGAAGCAATAATACCTAATACAATACCAATATCGTTCCAACCACCATTGACTTTGTTCATAATAGGCCAGATAGGGTTTTCGGTAAACCATGCCATTTTCACAACATTATGCATTACTAAGCCTAGGCTCCAAATAAGCACAGATCTTTCCAGTTCCCCAGTATGTTTCTTGGATTCGAGCCATGTTGCAACCCATGTAGTTGCACTCAACCCAATACCCGCTGCTGTTAAAGATAAACGCCAGACGGGATCTTGCTTAAGATAGGAAGCAATACCGATCAACGAGATGAAGTGGAAAATGCCGCGGTATTTGGCAATTAAACGTCTGAGCGGTGTAATGCCCAGAATGACAGGCATGAGAGTGATAAATAAGAATGCTTCGAATCCCGAAATACCCATATACCATAATGGAAAATACCATATCAACAGAGCCAATGAAGTGAGCATTGACCAAAAAATATATGCTATAAACGTGGGTCAGTATAGTTCGATGAAAGCAAATTATCCGACTATTTATACATGACTTACCCAAGTAGGTTTCAGTGACAAAGCCGACAAAAGTAGTAATTGTACGTAAAGTTGATGGTGCAATATTTCCCTCAGGACTGCCAAAAGATATTAGCGTATTGATAAAAAATAAAAGGCGTAAATATAAAAGGACTGTAAGTTACTTACTTGGAAACGAAAGGGACTGAAGAGCTGCGATCGAGAAAAGTGTATTGGTTAGCGACATTCCTTACCCTCGCCCTTAAGGCATTTCAGTTCTGAATATCTAATGCTTACGATTGTGCAAGAGGAGAGATTCCATTTTTATCAACGATTGACAGTTCAAAATTTTGGAACTCAATAGCTGAAACCGCATCATAAGCTACATCAAACAAGATAAGGGACCACTCAAAGAAAGCATAAGTTGTATAAGCTAACCGGCGGATTTGAAGGTAGGATATCAGTCATCCGTCGAAAGTTGCAAACTCTGTTATATTCTGTTACCTCCAGGAACTCTGTTCACTTTGTGCTGAATAAAGAAGTAAATCATTGGTGGTAAAGTTGTGAAAAATGCTGTTGTAATGAATTTTCTCCAACGAACAGCTACAGGGTTCTCAGTAGCATAAAGTACACCCACTTGCCATGGTACAGTACATAACAGATATAAGATCATCATGATATCGTGCGTTAAATGATCATCTGTGGATGTGATGTAAACAAATCCGCCACAGGCGACTGTACGTATAATCCCAACAATTAACAGAACCAATCCATATCCTTTTGTCACTGTCTTTGCTGAATACGTCGAATAAAAAAACCATAACAAAAGAAGTGCAAATCTAGGTCCAGACGTTAATGCGATCAAAATTTGGAAAATTGCACGGGCAGGGTATCTATCGCCCGTAGTGGCACTAACACTAGGGAACCATTCCTATGTATAACAATGGTTTCTCAAACTAATCAATAACAATCCATCCAAACCCTTCACTTGAATTTCATCTTACGTCAGGATATCCAAAATACTCATTCTGCACAATTTTATAGTAGTGTGTATAACAAGCAACAATCAGTGCAACGAAAAACGCGCCTATGAAATGCACAATTGAGTAACATTATCTTCATTATCTATTATTTCCCATCAAACTCGTAATTATCATGATTCCTTACTGTAGGCACACAATGTATGAGCATAAGCGACATACTTGGCTCCTATCTATTTTCGTGAATATATCATTAGAGCTTATCATCCTGCAAGTCAATTGCACTTACACCTTACTTTCTTAATAATGAAAGGCTCAGGGCCGGTAGTTGATTGAACTGTGGACTTTTCAGCCATATCCTTTCAATTATTCTACTTGAGAAACGCGGATATCAATTATATGCAGTACTGTTATATAATTTGATATATAAAATGAAAAAATGAAAGGACAATGTGAAAGCGGTTCAAGCAAAAGAGCTCCCGTTAAAAGAATTGTAAAAATGGAAAAAAAAGAAGGGGACAAAAAAAAAAGAAAGGGCTGTTTTTCTTTGTTCTGCTTTCCTTCTTGCCGTCAAATAATAAGCGGCAATTCAAATTTTTTGAAAGTCAAATATGAAAAAAGTCTTATACCATATCGCGAAATGAAGCAGATTATGGAATTTAGAATAAAACAAGCTCTACAAGAGAATGAATTGCGCACTTGTTATAACTTGCAGTGATGTAAGAGGAGTCCATTAACGCATTCGTTTGATCATCGACCTCTTTTAATTTCAGGTACTTGAAAAAGCATTATGCTAAAAGCTCAAAGCTTTCAGGAACCACACGGAGGCCAAAAATGGTATACATCTGTATGTTGCAAAAAAAAAATAAAAAAAAAATAAAAAAAAAATAAAATCTTTTCATTGGATGATTTGCAGGATTTTTCATAAGAGAGTTGACCTTTACTTCTATGGTACATTTTATTAATATGATAATGAAGACAGATTGAAGGGGTATTTATGTGCCATTCAAGATCGTAAGAAAAATGGCTGCCTTAGCAAGCGTTACGGATGGTTGAGCTATCCAAACTTTTTGCGAAGTCTGTCAAACGCTGCCTTGTCCTAAAAAAAAAAAAAAAAAAAAAAAAAAAAAAATTGATTGAATTAGCTAACAGTTCTTGAAATAGGAAGATTTAAAATAACAATCTTACTTGTGGTAAAACCGAAGGTGACACTTTTGTAAAGGCAGTATCAAAATCTTTCTTAGTTACAAAAATTGCGTCTGTATTGGTGGCAGCTTCCATGTTCACAACACCAGAGGTGAAAAATCGAGTTCTCAAGGCAGCAACTGCACTCTCTCTAACAAGAGAGGCAAGATCAGCACCTGAAAAGCCTTCACAGCGACTGTCATTCGCAATATCAGCCAAAGAAACATCATCCGATAATGGTGTCTTTTTACTTAATTTTGTCAAAATATCCAACCGCTCGGCCGGCGAGGGTAGTTCAACATAAAGCAACTTGTCCAAACGGCCAGGTCGCAACATTGCAGGATCAATCATATCTGGTCGATTGGTTGCAGCTATAACATATACTTGACTTCTGTTCTCAACACCATCCAACTCTGTCAACAATGTATTAACAACACGTGCGGATGCGTCAGTTTGCTGATCATCACGTCTTGAACAAAGAGCATCTAATTCATCAAAGAAAATAACACAAGGAGCTGAAGCACGAGCCCGAGCGAAAACTTGACGAACACCTCTTTCACTTTCACCAACATATTTGTTTAACAGTTCGGGGCCCTTAACAGATATAAAATTTGTATTGCTTTCATTGGCAACAGCTTTGGCTAACAGAGTCTTGCCACAGCCAGGAGGGCCCCATAACAAAACACCTGCGGGATTAGTGATACCGACACGCTCAAAGAAATCTGGATGGTTTATAGGTTCAACAACAGCCATACGAAGTTCGTCGCGAACATACTGTAGAGCACCAATATCATCCCAAGAAACATCCGGCACCGTTGCAAAACCTTCACGCTTAGATGAGGGTTGTACTTTTTTTAGGGCATGTTCAAAATCTTCGTGTGTAATAGAGAGAGACTCCAACTGAGCTTCAGACAATGGTTGCCTATGTTTAATAAGCTCGGATATACTACGAATTTGCTCAACTGCAGATTGCGATTCAAATTCTTCAACGGATGTAGTTGGGACCGGTTGCTCTACCTGTGGTTCATTTTGGTCTTCCATTGTTACATCCGTATCCAAAAATGTTTGATGCTGATTTATGTTATCCTTCATTTCTCCTGCAACATCTGTTGACTGTGGGGCTTGCTCTTTAAAAACAACTTCTTGTAAATGTTTAAATATACGCTTCACAGCGATCACACCAGCTGTAGTGATTAAAGCTTGAAGATCAGCACCTACGTAACCAGGAGTAGCTCTAGCTAGCTCAGCAAAATCAAAATTGCCAGAAAGTCTCAGTTTAGCTGCCAACACTGATAATATTCTATGTCAAAGTGTAAATTAGTAACGCTATCTTTGATCCATCTTTCTTGACCCTACAACCTACTTCTCTCTAGCTTTCTCATCAGGCACACCCATACTGATTTCTCTATCAAATCTTCCAGCTCGTCGAAGTGCTGGATCTAATGAATCAGGTCGGTTAGTTGCACCGATTATCATAACTGGTTTATTATTCAGCTTCTCCCATGACAAATCTGTATTAGAGTTAGAAAAAATCGCAGCATCAGTTGGCAAAAGTTTTCATTGGTATGATTGTTAAAAGGGCATTTACCATCCATGCAAGTGAGCAATTGGGCTACAATTCTGCGTTCCATTTCTCGTTGAGCAGTTTCTCTCTTTGGTGTGATAGCATCAATTTCATCAATAAAGAGCAAACAGGGCGCATTTTCCTATTGATTTTTTTAGAGTGCAGAAAAGATTTTTGTTAATCATATTTATAATTACTTGTACCAAAAGTCGTACACAATCACATACACTAGCTTCCTCAAATACTTCACGAATTTTCTTTTCAGATTCTCCAGACATGCCCGAGACTATAGATGGGGCAGAAATATTGAAGAATGGTACACCTAATTCCTACAAACGATTTGTAACATATCAGTGACTTTTGCTATTAAACTAATGTAAATCGACTGTCTAGCGTAATAACTTACACCTGCAATAGCATGAGCTAGTTTTGTCTTACCACAGCCAGGAGGGCCATGCAGTAAAACACCTCTGGGAGGTTGCACGCCAGTGTGAAGGTAGACTTCTGGGTGTGCTAATGGCATAGCAATAAGTTCCATAATTTCCTCAATGCACTGATCAATACCGCCTAAATCGGTCAATTTTGCAGTTGGAATGAAAGGTAACTCTTTGCTACTGGTGCCATGACTATTGTTTGCTGTTACATGGACGCAAATGTGACTTTTAGTTATTAATTTGATTGTTATCTTTCGGAAAGAGTACTTACTCTTATTGCGCTTTGATGACACATTGCCGTCTCTACTAGTCTTCGGTCTTTTCTTTTGATTAACAACAGTGTCATCGAGGGTTTCAACTGCTGGCGTTGATGGAGCAACAGGTGTGCTTGTTCCAGACACTGATGGTGAGGCAGCACAACTTGATGCTGGTGTCTTGTTCAGGTTCCAGAGATTTGTTACTGATTTATTCAAAGAAATAGTTTCTTGTGTAGGCTTAAATGATGATGAAGCAATATTAGTTATTGAGCTGGGCGGAATGTATTGTGATATCCATGTATGTTGGAGCTTGCGACTCACCAGAGCATATTCTGCGACAGCGTCTTCGTCGGATGAACTTCCGTCGTTACTAATTCAGTCATTCGAGCTATATTAATACTTGCTTATAAGCAGGGAATTACAGAATAATAAATATACCTTGCTTCACCAGCTTGTTGAGATTTCGACTCAAGAACAGAATTCAAAGCTTCTTCAATTGCATGCTTTTTCTTTCTCAGCAGCGATTTGTCGGTTGCTAAACAATAATCATACAAATCTTCACCTTTGCGTCCTTCTGCTTCATATTTTTCAACACACTTCCTGACTCTATTTCTAAGATCATTAAAGAGTCTATTCCCGTTCCCAGATCTGTTGGCTTTTGGCATTTTAATTCGATCGATCTGAGGCAATTGCAATTTAAGAAAAGAAAAATTAAATTTGTTAGATAACTTTTTTTTTTGCTTATGATTCGGGCTTTCATTTTTTTTATTTTTTTTTTATTTTTTTTTTGCTCCAGACAAACAGAATAACATTTTTGAGAAAGGCCATAAATATATTTTAGATTGTAATAGTTTCAGTTTGAGATGAAGCTTTTCAAAATTTCGCATTTTAGGTCACAACAAAAACCGAAGGGGGACAAGAAAACAGGAGCAGTAAACAGCCCATTTACGTCTCTGTGTACTAAACAACCCATAAAATTAAAAGCTAGTTGAGGAGTAGAGACACATCATAGTCTGTATATAGAAATGACTTTTCAAACATTGGTGAATGTTGGTAATAGCCGTCACTTATCGAGTCAGTTGTTCGTGGTGATGCCAATGAAGCAGTTCTTTGACAACACGATACGCAAAAGAAAACATACATTTTAAAGACACAGTGTTCTTTTTCTTTTTGTCTTCTTTCTTTTCAGCAAAAGGTGAAAAGGCACAATGCCTTGCAGCTCAGAACAGCCATAGAAAGGCCAAACTACACATAGGTAAGACTGTTTTTTCTACGGCTCTACCAAGAAATCATCAACGCTGCTCTAGTTACACGCACAATAATACCAATTACAGACACTGATTATTCTTGTGCTTCTTCGTCTAAACTGGTGTTGTCAAAGAAGGTGCAAAAGAAAGTTGACAAGAATGAAGCTGCAGCAACCTGAAACAGAGACTGTGGAAATCTGCTTCATCGATGAATATCTGACTAGTCAGATATGTAATAGATACAGCATCAAAATTGGAGATTGTAACGACAGCAGCGTCAAAGCAAAGAGTGTATGCTGTATTGCAGTATCAAGACTGTAACACAATTGCGAAACGAGACGTCAACGCTATGCTTTAATAATTAAATGAAACTGATTCTATTTACATGTTTGATTGATATCACTCCTTCACACATCCCTACAGTATGAGTTGTAAGATATTATAAGCCATAACTAAAGGCAGGATGCTTACTGTTTGAAACTTATCCTCAACTTACATTTCGATAACAATCTGAGTAATTTTTGATAAGCACGTCTGAACTTACAGTGCATTATCTCGAAAAGGTTTTGTCTCATACTTCCAAAGTTGCTTAATAGTATTTACTTTTAATAAAGCGACTGTAGCAACTGTGGAAATATAATTAATGAAATATCATTTCAAGTGATGAATGTATTTCATAAAGTACAGGAGTCTTATATATATTTGACGTAAGCGTAATAATCACCAGAAAGACATATCTACTCTTGAAAAAAGAAATAATATTATGTTGCTTGCAGATTATTTCCAACTTTGTTGTGCGTTCATTTCTTTTTCCTATCATCCTTTTTTTGCTTCTCTTCCTTTTTTAATGCTTTTTCAACCTTGGTTTCTTCTAATGATTCGTAGAATTTCTTCGGTTTTAATTGCCCCATTAAGAAGAGAATCTGTTTTCTAAACTCATTAATGCCAGCATTAGTTTTTGAGCTCACAACCAAAACATCTTTGATAGCATTCTTATAGGAACTGATCTGATCTCCTACGGAAACAACACGTCGTGCCAAATCTGGAAGGATCATCAAATCTGATTTCGTCAATACAATTTGGAATTTTACTTTCGCTCTACGTTGAAGTAAATTGTAAAGGAAAGGTGAGCCTTTCGAAGTGGAAAGTTTTCATAAGGAGTATTTTCATCTGCCCTACTTTTCAAGTATCTGCAAGAATTCTCCATCTATCACTTTAACTCCATGTCTCGCATCGAGAATTACAAAAACCCTCTTTAACGTCTTCCTATTAGTGATATACGTTATCATCTATGCTTGATATCCTTTAGTATTCTGAGCTTGTTCAGTAAATGCCTCATCTATTAGGTAGTACCAAATTTTTCCATTCGCTTCTCTGCGCCTCATCTGCATACGCAAATCCATAACCAGGCATGTCAACCATATGAAATTGTCCACTTGCATTGAAGAAGTTTAATTGTTGTGTTAGACCAGGCTTATCTGAAGTTCTTACTGTAGCTGTCTCAGCCAAACTATTGATCAAGCTGGATTTACCGACATTTGAGCGGCCTACAGTAGTATGGAGTATTGTTTGTTAGGCGCAATATTGTTTCTATTTCCATTTTAAAGAAATAATCTGCTTCTCATCCTTTTCTCGTTCAATCAATTACCAACAAAAGCTACCTCATTTAACGTCTCTACTGGAATTGAAGAGGGCACTTTAGCACCTGCGAAAAACGATACAAAAGGGAACTAACATTGAATATAAGTCGGTGTATTCCTTTATGCTCGAAAATTCTGTGCTGATCTATATTATCTTACAGAATAATTTGGTTCAGGTTCAGGTTTTTTGCTGTCAGTAAAACGAGACTGCTGCTGTTGCAATCTCGCTTTCTGCTGGAGAATGCCTCTGTATCGGTTAATACTAGGTAACGAGCCAAAACCTAGCCTTTCCAGTTTCTCGTAGACTTTCAAAGGGGGTTGTATCTGTTTGAATTTTTGACGATTGGATAATATCTTTGTTGGTGTTGGTGTCGGTGTCGGTGTGATCTTGTGCTGAACCTTACACGACAAACTAAACGATCGGGAGAAGGTTGTCTGTTCGATAGCGAAAGGCAATTTTTTTAAAGTGGTGAATCGAGCAGTTCGCATTGGTGAACAAATTATACGTACTCAGGAATATGAAAAAAAGATACCGGGGTTGTCAGAAAAAAAGAAATTGACAGCTGTTGACTTGCATTTAAAATTGAAAGCTGTGTTTAATTACTAGAGTGGACCTTTTTTGCATAAACTATCTTACAGATCTTAATGTTCAAGAACTTGGTAACCACGATCAGCAAAAATCGCTCCTTCGGTATACGGTACATTTCAACTCGATCAGAAACTATTTATGCGTTGTCCTCATCTCCCGGGAAAGCTGGTGTTGCAGTTATCCGTATATCAGGCAAAAATGCTTTAGAGGTATAATGACTTTTTATGGAAAATATCCTAAGGTATTTTGAACTTAAGAAAGTTAACAGGTTTAGTTTTCGTTAAAAATTCACAGGCAATCAATAAGATGACCTTTCCTTCGAAAAAACCAATAGAGCAAATGAATACTGAACCGCGTAGGGCGTACTTCAGACGAATCCGTCACCCTCAAACTGGAGAAGTATTGGATAAAGGTCTTGTATTATGGTTTCCAGGGCCTCACAGCTTTACTGGGGAGGATTCTGCAGAATTCCAAATTCATGGCGGTACTGCAGTTGTCCAAAGTGTATTGAACGCACTACATGGCTTACCCGACTTTCGAATGGCTGAGCAAGGTGAATTCTCGAAAAGGCAAGGTGTCAATTTGAATTATCCGCGAGTTACCATAGGATAAATGTATCTTACCTACCAATCTACCTTTTGTTCTCTTCAAACAATAGGGCTTTCGATAATGATAAAGTTGATTTGACAGAATTAGAAGGGTTAGCCGATTTATTGAATGCTGAAACGGAAATGCAAAGACGACTAGCACTACGGCAAGCGGAAGGTGGTTTAAGAAAGCCATTTGAAGATTGGAGGAACCAAATCATCAAGTGTATGGCTATGACAGAAGCCGTCATCGATTTTGGAGAAGATGAAAACATTGAAGATGATGTTCTGACCGATGTGAGAAACAGAATCCAGCAATTATATCAATCCATGTCTCTTCACGTAAACGATAGTCATGTGGGTGAAATTGTAAGAAATGGAGTTCAAATAGCCATTATTGGGCCACCTAATGCTGGTAAAAGTACGTTCCTCAATAGACTAGCGAAAAGAGAAGCTGCCATTGTGTCTGATATTCCGGGAACGACCAGGGATGTGGTAGAAGTCAGGATGAACCTAGCTGGTTACCCTGTCATGTTATGTGACACTGCCGGCCTAAGAGAATCATCTGACGTTATCGAAATGGAAGGCATAAAACGAGCAAAAGCAAGGTATACAAGGAAGTTCTTAAATGAATCAATAGTGAGTTTAACCTTCTCCCTATTAATTTTCAGGATACAATCAGCGGATATCAAGGTTTGTCTGCTACCATTGGATACCCCACTATCAATAGACTCTGTAATTCGGGAAGTTATAGATGACGATACTTACATAATCCTTAATAAAGAAGATATTACAACGAACAGCGATGAGAATTTGCTTACGGCTTATAAGAGTAAACTACTGAAGGAAACGGGCGTGCAGAAGGTTTGGACCGTAAGTAGCAAAACGGGAAAAGGTGTCGATGTGTTTATCAATGAAATGATTGACATCTTAAAAGCAAAGTAAGTCCGTTAAAATGAAAATGTATGGCTTTTGAAAACTAAACGCATGGATAAATCATATATTCTTAGATATGATACTTCATTGGCAAATCCCATAATGATTACGCAAGCACGGCATAGAGAACATTTAGAAGATTGTTTGAGTAGTCTGAAAGCTTTTTTGAGTAAGCATTACACTAAAATTGATGCAGACATGTTTACTGTTATGGTAGAATGATGGTAATTTCTCACTTTTACATGTAGATATGCCAGAGGAAGAGTTGGTATTGTGTGCTGAAGAGCTACGTCAGGCTGCTGATGCTTTAGGAAGGATTACTGGCAAAATTGATGTTGAAGATGTTCTAGATACACTTTTCGGACAGTTTTGTATAGGAAAATAATTTGCAAAAGTCTATTGTTGGATGTATTATAAAATCTTGATGATGGTCATAGAAAAACTTAAAATAAGCATACAGGTATGCGAGGACGAGTTTTTCTAATAAACTGTGTATTACTGGTACTAAATAAAGTGCCATTTAGTTGAAATATGCATATAATTCTGCGCGTTCGAATCCAGCCAAACTTGTGAAATTAATACTGTTTAATTATTTATTATTGATTGGAGGACAAAAAAGATCATGCCAAATGGCTGTGCTTGCTTATAGACTGATTGGGTGGTGCTTTTGGAAATATGATTAAGTGTCGTTACTAGTCTTATAGGTCATAAACAATTGGGATCCATCTGTTTCCTCGTGCATGATACTGCAACTATCTCTTCCCGAACAATTTTCATAACTCAGTATATCGTCATGACGATCATTACGAACAAAGTCCGCAGGGCATATATTATCCTCGTCACTACTCATGAATTCATTACCCAAATCTGCATATTCATTGTACCCAATAATATCTTCGCTTTCATTGTTGTAAATGAAATATTTGATGTTACTGTCTACTGACGTCTCTTGTTGAAGAGCTATGTCCATTAAGGTGTGAATAGGAGGGCTGCTAACCATACTATACACATTTGAAGGTACTGAGTCCGTAGAACATAGATGGATTCCTTCTTCTTTTATAAATGAATAACCTTCAAAAACATCCGGTTGATCTCGTTGCTGATAGAAATAAGGATCTGATAGAAGACTATGCTGACTCATAGTCAGATCTTCAGCTTCCTGCCGTCTTCTGCTAACTGGAGATAGTCTCGGTGTCAGTTGCAATAACTCGCTGTCTAAAAGACTTAAATCCATTTCTGATTCGATAGCAGGTCGATAAGGTGGTTTGATACGCTTGGAATATAATAAACCCCAATCAATTGTGTAAAAGTAAGGGTCAGAACGAACCTGTAATGGTCCGTCAGATCCACTGCCTAAACGGCGTTTCGGTTCCCTTCGTAACAGACGTGCAATGAAATCTGCTGTCTCGATATCGATAAAAGCTGGAAACTGAAGAGGATCTTCACGTATACGTCGAAACATTTCGTCCCTATTCTCAGCCCAAAATGGAGTAATGCCAGTAATCATTTCATACAAAATAGTCCCCAAGCTCCAATAATCTACTTCGTAAGAGTACGGTAGTTGATCCAAGATTTCAGGTGCGATATACTCAGCTGTTCCGCAGAAAGTGGCTGTCTTTTGCATCTCGTCGGCGGAAGAAAACTGCTTCGACAGGCCAAAATCTGTTAGTACAATATGACCATCGGCGGTTAGAAGTATGTTCTCAGGTTTTAAATCCCTGTAGAACAATCAGTATTCAGTAATCAACAGTTGTGTTGATAAGATAGTAATAAACTCTTTTTGCTTCATTTTTGCGTTGTACCTGTAAAGTATGCCCATGCGATGTAATTGCTGGAGTCCGAGGGTAATCTCTGCTGTATAAAATAAGCATCTCTTTGTATCCAGTTTGTGATGGAGTCTTAGCTGTGTTGCTAAATCGCCTCCTACATGGTAATCTAGTACAAGAAAGAGATAATTCGAATCGCGAAACGCGTAATGAAGTCTAATTAGAAATGGATGATTTAATAAAGCAATATCTGCCAAAATCTGTTGTTCTGCTTTGATGTGAGTCAACTGTTCTTGCTCAAAGACGGTCAGTTTATTGATAGCTTTTAATGCATACAATCGGGTAGTCTTCTTATGCCTTACTAAAAATACCTGGAAAGAAGCAATGCATAAATGGCTGCATATTCGAAATGGAAAAAATCGACGAATTATCTTACCTTGCCTATACAACCTCTACCAATTACTTTAATAAAGTGAAAATTCTCGATAGAAGGGTCGTGTTGCTTTGGTAGGAAGCCTTCGTTGACAGATTGTGACGACGTAGATATTATGACACTTTTGTTTTCATTAGAGGAAGATGAACATTGTTGTTGTTTTCGCTGTAACTGTAAACTCTTCCTTTGTAATATTTGGTGTTCTGAATCTAACAAAGATGCTGATTTTACATTATTCTCGTTTGATAGCGGTGATGGGCCACGATGGACGACAGACAATGCATTAAAGTGACCTTGGTCGTTACTCGTTGTTTGTCTATTGTCTCTTGTGTTCTTGTTGATCGAAGATGTTATTGATATGCTGTTCGCTCGTAAGTCTTTTTTTGAATACCAGTTGTACTCTGATTGTCGTTTCTTTATTATAACATGGTCCTGTTCACGCTGAGGTCTAAGAAAATCTTGCAACAGAGAAGAAGATTGAATTTCTATGTCGTTAAAGCAATGATATAGATAGTCTTCAAGTATAGTAGCGTTCGAAGCATTTCTATTATTATTGTGACAGGAATCAGAGTAAAACGAACAGTGAATTTTTTCTACGTTGATAAAATTGCGCAACAGCCTCTGTTTGACTTTAGGTGCCTTCGACTGGTATTCTCGGTTAAATCCAGAGTTACGGGTTATACTATGTTGGATATTTGGTAGGCGTATTTTATTTTTCCTGAAGGTACCTCTAATCTACATAGTAAATAAAAATGTCAGTATTCGCTCCAACAAAAACTATTGACATAGTCAATTCCGCTGTACATACTCTTCTATCGAAGTCAAAGAAATCTTCATAAAATCGTATCAAAATCAAGTGTCTGGTTGGTTCTTCAACAATTAGAGTAAAAACCTATTTTTGAATTCAGGTCAGGAAATATCAGTTGATGTCCAAAACAAAAAGACTGTTTCAGTTGCGCGTTCCTTGTTGTCAATTTCTTACAGAGACAGTCTGGTGCTTTGTATGATCTTCTTGACATTTGCACAACATGATCGTTTCAATGACACCAACATACTTGTAAATCACGCTTTTTGGAGATGCCAATTTTTTAACTTTTCTTCTCCTTTGAAATAGCTGCTTAACTGACATGATCGCTTGTTAACCCTATTATATATTTCTATGAAGAATATGTCAACTATAATAAGATAAGGAAAACAAAATGTACCACAAGGGCACTAATGGGTGACAATCAGGGCAAACTTTGGCTTGTCGAAGAGCTCTATTGTGAGACACAACGGATGATGAAATACTTCAGATGTTAGCACTGTAGTAATAATATTTGTGTTCTGAAGATCTATTTTCGAGGCACTTTTTACTGTCAGTAAACGTTGTGCAAACGAGGCATTTCTTTTCATGACGTTTAGTGATACAGTGTGTTGCATCTGAAATATAATCCATTGAAAGTAAAATTGAAATTCTTATTTGGCCATGCAGTAGAAAGTTTTCATCGTTGAGAGGAATGGTTGACCATCAGAATATGTGTGACAGAAAGAATGGGAATCACGAATTCTTCCAGCTTTTTTCGAGGTCGTCCGCTCTACAAATCGTTTAACCGTTGAAATTGTTTAAATTATTCGAATTGTTGAAAACACAGATATTCTGACAAGGAACTTAATTTCTACTTCCTAATGGAAACGAACGTAAGAGCAATGCTTTCCTGACAAGTCGTTCCATTAATACATGTTTCCACCAATATCTTGAAATTAAAAGTTACGGACGGAATGCCCATTCTTAATTAAATGTGAATAACTTAAACGCCCGCGCTATAATCCTTTCGACGCTTTTGTAACATTGTTGAATATGCTTTGGTAAAAATGAATGGCATTGTAAAGCATGATAATATTCAACAACGATTTGCTTGGTCATCCTGTGTAAAACACTCTAAAACTATGGATGACTATGTAAACACTTATTATTGCAATACCAATAAAAAGGCGCATGAGCAATACAGTAACGAGTTTTGCAGCCGAGGTGTGAATAAATTGTGGCAGCTTCCATGATACACGAGAAGCACCAAAATAATATTAATAGTCTACGACCAATAATCGTTTTAGTCAGTGTTGGCCGTCTTGCATAACAATGAGAGTGACAATTTGTCGTCCTTCAAAAACACAAGCAGATTCAATACGGAGAACATACAATAACACAAATACACTTTTTAAAAGACAAATTAAACTTGGTGACTATAGGTAATGTATGCTTTTTATAAGCGAAAGTGTAAACCGAATTGATCGAACTTTGCTATTTTGCATTTTCGAGGTACCATGTTGCATGACTTTCGCAACAATTGTGTTGACCTGAACTAAGGCAAGTCGTTTTCCTGCAGATCCTTTGTGCTAAAGTTGGTTACCGGCAACCATGAAAAGAGCTATTTACTAATGAGCAAAGTTGCAGTCCAATTGACCAGTTCATACTAATTGCTTCACAAGCTTTACCGCTAAGTATTTTGGTTTTCTTTATAGTATACAAGCTATCACAAAGGACTTGTAGCAAGAAACATATCGCAAGCTCGTTGATTTATTTGTACATTTCAGAAGCTCGACATTATTTTGGACCAAAAAGTAAATGAATCAAGCATTCAGATTCAAAAACGGTATAAGCTTTATCAACCGATTGAGCAGCCATTATATATCTTACAAAGTGTCTTTGAGAACAATGGTAAAGCTAGTTCGGTTGGGTGCTTGTCCAATTGAATGCACTCGAAGTATAGGACTTTGGAGAATATTTTCAATGGTTTGTCAACTGCCAACATAGCTATCCACAATAAAAGTACCTTCGTTGCATACTTCTATGTCAGTAAGAGAATTGGATTGTAAATGTAATCAGAAAAATTTAATGGAAGCTTTTGAGGAGGAAAAGGAATACAAAATGAGAATTGCAAAAATACCTCCCTTCAAGATCAAAGAGGCTTGATTATTTTCACTATGCTAGTCAACTTTCCCCTAATTTTTCGCGATCACAAACGCTCAACTGTATAGTTTGCTACACAAAAAGGGTATCATCGACTTTCTTTAGACGAAAAGAAAAGTATAATAACGATGCTATTATTCGAACTAAGACTTTATGAATGAAATTTATATTCTATTGACGTTGTTGTATTTGCTTAATTAAAGATTTATAACTGTTGTAAGTCGATGACTATGAACTTAAGTGTCTTTATTGTTCTTCAGATGAAGTAGAAGGATTATTTACTCTGTGAGGTTTAATGGGAATTATATTAGTTGAGGACGCGTATGCTAGTCACTAATTTCAGGTTCGGATGCTTATTGCGTGATTATTATACTTAGGCCTGTATTTTGTTCTATGTTGTACATAACCCATATTAGATGCAATATAGATAGACCGTGGTAGAATGTATTCTCTACCTGGTTGTACGTACTCGAGTATTGTAGTTATTATCTCACCAAACAAGTCAGATGTATTAACGACTCTTTATTCTCGCGACCGCTTGTTTATAGTATATGTTTATACTTCCCAATTTTGTGTACAATCCTTTCGATTAAAGATCAGAAATACCACTAAGCAACTTTGGAGTTATATTTATGGGAGAAATATTAACCTATTTTAAATAAATTGTACTAAGTTTACTGTAAGTTCCTTATATCCAAATTGAAATTGAATTGTAAGTTGGGGAGAAGGTTCAAACAGTAAGCATCCTGCCTTTAGTTATGGTTAATGAATATCTTATAACTCATACTGTTGGGATGTGTGAAGGAGTGATATCAATCAAACATGTAAATAGAATCAGTCTCATTTAATTATTAAAGCATAGCGTTGACGTCTCGTTTCGCAATTGTGTTACAGTCTTGATACTGCAATACAGCATACACTCTTTGCTTTGACGCTGCTGTCGTTACAATCTCCAATTTTGATGCTGTATCTATTACATATCTGACTAGTCAGATATTCATCGATGAAGCAGATTTCCACAGTCTCTGTTTCAGGTTGCTGCAGCTTCATTCTTGTCAACTTTCTTTTGCACCTTCTTTGACAACACCAGTTTAGACGAAGAAGCACAAGAATAATCAGTGTCTGTAATTGGTATTATTGTGCGTGTAACTAGAGCAGCGTTGATGATTTCTTGGTAGAGCCGTAAAAAAACAGTCTTACCTATGTGTAGTTTGGCCTTTCTATGGCTGTTCTGAGCTGGAAGGCGTTGTTTGCCTTCTAAAAATATTATCTCAAACCAAGACTAACAAGTCTAAAATGTAATTACAGTTTTTCTTAACATGTTATTCTGTTCGTCTGGAGAAAACAGTATGAAAGTCCGAACCATAAGCGAAAAAGTGTATTCTAATCGTTTGGGATATAAACCCTAATTTATGATGTTGTTTCGTGACTAAAAACTTTTTATCAATCGGCGCAACAAATAGAAAGTGCCCATTTTACTGTATTGTGCGTATGTCAAATTGATTATTGCTACTTCTTTAATACATAGCTTTCTTTCGTTTACATTTCGAAGAATAGACAGAAAATCATTATACCTCCCTCTTTTTAAAATGCCAGGATATCAGTCATTCCCAGTCCTAAATCAGCAATTTATTGTTGACAAGAAATATCAGTTCATTCGTGAAATGGGTCAAGGAGCATACGGCGTTGTTTGGTGAGTCATCTTGTTTGGTTTTGAAATGTCCAGGTAGCATCTGGCTTCTAACTGTTAGAAAAAATAGTGCTGCCAAGGATACTGAAACGAATGAACAAGTTGCTATCAAGAAGGTAAAGAGAGTGTTTTTCTTTTTTAATTTTCATCCCCCTTTGCCTCTTATAGCGCTAATCTATTTTATATCATATGTAGGTCTGCCGTATTTTCGAGAAAACTATATTAGCCAAGCGTGCATTACGTGAAATAAAATTATTGAAGCACTTTAACGGACATGAAAATGTAAGTTTCATTTAGAAAATACGAATGGCGTGTATATAAGTTCAGATAGGCTAATACTACCAATATGTGTTTTGACTAATTCAACAAAATAAATAAAAAGATCACTTCAATTTTTGATATGGACATTGTCAATTTGCAAGATTTTAACGAAGTGTAAGAGAATGAAAAGTCAAATAGGATGCATTCGTCATGTTATTATAGTGAAGCCAAATCGTATTAAAAGGAAAACTTCTTCAAATATAATAGTTATTTGGTGCAGGAACTGATGGAAGCAGATCTTCATCAAATCATACGTTCAGGGCAACCGTTGACAGATGCTCATTTTCAATATTTCGTATACCAGATTTGTAGAGGTCTCAAATATATCCATAGTGCCAATGTAAGTTTCGTATTTTTAGCTTTCCCAAATATACAAATAGAAAGATAGTTTATTAGCTGACGCGTTTCCTGTTGGTGTGTACTCTTTTATTATATCCTATGTAAATAAATAGGTTCTTCATAGAGATTTGAAGCCTGGTAATTTGTTAGTCAATGCAGATTGCGAATTGAAGATTTGCGATTTTGGATTGGCTCGCGGGTATTCTTCTACCCCTGAGGGTAATGCCGGTTTTATGACAGAATATGTTGCGACACGTTGGTACAGAGCTCCTGAAATTATGCTAAGCTTTCAGAAATATACTAAAGCCAGTAAGTAAAAGATCATGCAAGCGATTAAAAAACCTGATTTACTCACGATAAGGTATATTTCAAATAGTCGATATGTGGTCTGTTGGATGTATTTTCGCTGAAATGTTAGGCGGGAGACCGCTATTCAAGGGCCGAGATTGTAAAGTATAATAATTACTGAATATCGAAGCTTTCTCTTATTGCCTCACCACTAACCCTATCATTACCATAAGATGTTGACCAATTGAATCAGATCCTTGGCATCCTCGGTACGCCTGATGAAGAAACTCTTTGTCGCGTTGGAAGTGAAAGAGTGAGTTATAAGACAGTGTGACAAAGCATCATATTGAGAGATGTCGAAAGGCTTACTGATTGCCTTCATATTAGGCCCAAGTTTATATCCGTAGTCTGACAAGAATGCCAAAGATACCATTCCAAAACCTTTATCCTAGAGCAACACCATTAGCCATTGATTTATTGACCAAATTACTTGCATTCGATCCCGCAAAACGAATTACAGTCGAAGAAGCTCTTGCACATCCTTACCTTGCTGCTTATCATGATGAGGATGACGAGCCTTCACATACGCAAAGTTTTGATTTCTCTTTTGAAATTGTTGAGTCAATGGAAGATATGAGAAGTAAGTTGTATTTGAATGATTACGTGGCAATGCCTGTTCTCTCAATCCAATTGACACCTCCTTTCTCTTCGCTCAATCCCTAACTGGGTTATTTAGAAATGATTGCACAAGAAGTTATGACATTTAAATCGCAAAAACATGGGTTACCACCTTTACAATTAAATACAGCCAGTTTGAAGAGAAAGGAAAGCTTGAGTGCAAACGACCGAGAAACACTTGAAAGAAGCCGTGATGTAGCAAAAGACGTAGATGATTATGCTTCTCATAGAAACTCCTCATCGGTAGCTGCTGCTGCAGTTCCTCAAGATGAATTACGTCGTGATATGGATGTAGATGCACTTGAACGCGATTTAAGTGGAGCTATATAGAGAGAGAGAAAAAGCAAGAAAACAGGATATACATACAATATGGCAAATGGTGATTTTTATAATTTGTACAGATCAGTTATAGTAAAAGGGAAAAAAACGAGCATCTAAAGGGCAGTTTTATTTAAATAAGTCTTGGTAATATATATGAAATAAATAAGATCCAAAAAACAAGAGAAAAGAGAGTTGTTGGCTCCAATTTGTCGATGAAGTTAGCGCAATTTCTTATCTAATTCTGCTTTAGCTGAAATCTCTTGTTCTGTAGGCAAATCATCTCCGGTTTTGTTATGTCCGAGTCGAGGTATCACCTTCTTTGATACTCTTTCTTCAATGGGACGGAAAACTTTGTCAACAATGTGCTCAATAGGTTCGTCAAATATATAAGGTAAGAAAGGTACAATTCCAAGACCTAAGACGGTAGGTCCCCATCCTTTCACTTTAGGATTTTTGACGTTTTTGAAGCCATATGCACTATATTTGACGATTGAATGAATTGTCATCATAGGGAAAGCCATCGATGCTAAAGATTGGAATATGCCTCTCTTTACTACTGTCGTTGTCACTTCGGCGTTATTCTAGTAAAAACACGAACAAGAAAATAAAGGGTTATAACACACGGACTTTATGTTGCGCAAGAGAGAAAACAGATTAGTGAATGAACTTACAAGCCCAGCATGATGAGCTTTATATCCTTCGTAACCGACATCACCAGCAAGATAGAGCCAGCTAACGCCATAAGCTGCTGTCACGATAACAGGAGGAACGATAGGTCGAAAAGCCTCACCTACATCGCTGGTATAAGCTAAATATCGAGAACCAGCGACCAAAGCTGTACGTAGTCGAGCGGCATAAGCCAAATAACGGGCATTTCCTTCCAAAGTATCAACCTTTCCTTCCACAACTTTGTCTGTTAATGTTTCAGGTGCTTTAACGTGCTCTTCGTTACTGTTGGACATATCTTATTGCTGGATGAGGAAGGAGTTGTATTATAAATGAAAAAGCGTAATGATTTAGTGACAGTCCCATGATTTTTATATTTGCCATCCTTGTTGGCAGCCAAAAGTCAGTTACGCCACTGTTGCTTGATGATTGGATCCCCTCTTAACAATAAACCCCATTTATGGTAAATGACTCGACAATGACCATACTTTACAGTTTTTTACGAATTAAAATCGGAAATACTACTAGGCAACTTTGGAAAAATGAATGGAGTATATTATGAAAAAAAATATTTACATATTTTAGATAAATTTTATCATAAATTCAGACGCACTTACCAAAAATTACCCAAATTGTTATTGAATTGTGAGTTGAGTAAATGAGGTAGAAACAGTAAGCATTCGGCCTTTGATTACTTTATGAATATATTACAACTTACACTGTAAGGATGTGTGAAGGAGTGATATCAATCACACATGTAGGTCTCGTTTAAAAGATGTTTTTGGCAGCATTGACGTCGCGATTCCAAATTGTATTACAGTTTTATACTGCAATACAGCATGTACTCTTCGCTTTGACGTCGCTGTCGTTACATTCTCCAAATGTCGAATGCTTGCATTTATTACAGCTAGTCATAATATTCATTGATGAAGCATACTTCCACCTTTTCATTTTCACCATCAATAGGTACTTTTGCCTTCTTGTTCGGACACAGATTGCTTGTAGGCCATGTATGTGTGGCTTGCTTACAGGACGGACACGTAACCATTTTCGTTGTTTTATTATCAGCTTTGAATTCTTCGAGAGCTTCTTTTTTTACACCTTTTTTAACAACGCTGGCTTAGACGAAGAAGCACTCAAAGAATCATTGTATGCCATTGGTATTAGTGTGTGGGTAACTGGAGCAACGTAGATGCTTTCTTGATAGAGTCTTAAATAAGATTATCTTACCTATGTGCAGCTTGGGCCTTTATAAGGGCCGTTCTGAGCTGGGAGGTGTTGTTTGCCTTTTCACCTTTGTTTAAAAGAAACAAAACAAAAAGAAAAGAACACTGTGTGTTCTATTGTATATCGCGTTCCTTTTTTCTTTTTTTGTTGTTGTCTAAGAATTGCTTCATTGACAACATCACGATCAACTAACTCAATAAGTGATGGCTCTTATCAACATGCACCAAAGTTCTGAAAAATCATTGCTATATACAGACAGTGGCGTATCTCTGCTCCTCAACTAGTTTTTTGATGTTATAGTATGCTTAACATATTACACAGGGTAGTTAAGCGCGCCGGTTATTGCTCTTGTTTCCTCATCACCCCTCCGTTTTTATAGTGCCCTGAGTTCAAATTTTAAAAAAGTTATCTCAACATAAAATTGTCAAAATCTAAAAAGTATTCATAGTATTTCTTAAACCCATTATTCGTCTGAGGCAAAAGTATGAAAGTCCGAAATAATATTTTTCCATGAAAATTGCGCTGTTTGCAATGCAACTGTCACAGTTTGAAAAATAAGGTATCGGTCTTTCACTTTAAATACTTTAATGCTTGGCTTACACTACTAGACTTTTCTTGCAGCCCACAAGATCAAATGAACCTACAGAGCCCAAAACGAGGTGAGCATGCTGTGCCTATTTCATTTGAGCACATATACAAGGAACAATAAGTATAAATCGTAGAATGCTCGGTAGCACAGATAAATGACTCAAACTTAGCGCGTAGATATCTTAAAGCCGTCAGTTCCGAAGAACCATTTTCGTTATGCGATTGTGTGAGAATATTCCAGGACGACCATTGTTATTCTATATAGAACCTGCAGTATGAGGATTTTTTTCGCCGCATTTACGTCGTGTTTCCATACAATACCGCTAGCGTTGCAAGGTTGGTACCGCTTATCAATGATCCATCAGCCATCATCACCTCATCCATAACCTCAGCCGTTACAAACCTACAAAAGAGGTGTCAGACAGTACTAAATCAAAAAGTTGAAGAGCGTAACATGGGGATTCATTATAATCATTTTTGAGTAATATGTCATAGTCGAAAAGTGTAGTAAGATTTTCCGAATATATAATGAAAAAGCAGCACGAATCGTGAAAGTGTCAGGAAGACTAGTTTATACATTAAATTCAAAAACTATTTACTTCCTTTCCAACGATTATTACGTACTTCGATGCTGTACAATGATGATTGAATATAGGCAAAATATTTTTGTCTTTTTAAATGAAGAAAACGGAAAGCAATTTCACGGAGGAGAGATGAAAATACAGAACTAACTATTATGGGCTTAACGACTTTAAGAGGACCTAAATTCTTTTCGAAAAAAAGTATGCATTTGCAGTCAAATGGTGACTGTAATCCATACACTCTGCCACACATGATTCATGGCTTTGCTATAGGAATATTTACAGTGTTCTGTGTCATTTTGTTCTTGCGTTGTTTGCAAGTGTTATCATTAATCTGGAATTCGTATTTCTTTTGGATTATCTTAATTTGAACACTTTTCTTACTTTGAAATAACCGTTATCTAATCAACGGGCTACCAACAACTCACTTGAACGTTAAGGTGGTAAGAGAATGGTGTTTTGGTACTCAACGAAAGATGGCTTTTTCTGACGTTTAGTACAACTGCCGAAACGTCCATCCAATCCTTAAAAAACTTGGTAAGTTATCACGATGATTGTTACTTGCTTCACTATTTCAAAAGGCTGGGATATTTAGGAATTTCTATTCATCATGATTATAGCGTCATAAGAGCACTGATAGGCTTGCACTGATATAGAGTAGCTTACTGGACAGTATTGGTTAACCTACAAAATAAGAGGAATGAGCTCTTCTCGTCCAAGTTTGCAACTCGCGAAGGTCCATTTTCTGTGCTGTTGCCTATTGTTCAGAGAAAAAAAAAAAAAAAAGAGTGATAATTAGCTCTCAAATTTGTTTGGCTCGTATGCTGACACAAGCAGATCCGATTTCATACAGCTTTGACAGGATTCGTAATTTTTCTGCCTGTCGGATGTTGGTAGGGGATGACAAATATGGACTTGATTTCTAACGATGCACAAATTGGCACCGGTCGAGAATGTGTTTCACCAACCAATTAAAAAGTGCAAACTGAAGATTCTGATCTGAATTGAAGACTAGTGATTTGTTTGAAATTACTCAAGGAACGGAAATCAATGGAATCATACGTCCCTTAATTCTAAAAATATCCATATGAACTGTTGCGTACGAAATCGAAAAAGGTACGAATTATTTCTATCAGCTTCTACACATGCTCTAAGGGGAGTTCACTTATTGTGTTTTGATGGTTTTGTTCGATTGTACAACCTCGCTCTTCACTTGAAACGTATATCGATCACTTAACTCAAACCATGTTTCAATCCAGGAACACTAAGTTTCTCTGCGACTGTTCACAGTCCAGCAAAATTCTTAGAACGTTCATTATGTTGTAATAATATACAGGTTCAAAATGGCTAGACGATGTGATAAATGGTAAATGCTTCAGCATGGATCGTTGTAAGATAGTAGTATAGCTATATTTTTTCTTTTACTACTAAAAGGAGAAATTGCTTCTTCATTTTAGGAAATTGCTATCGGGTAAACGCACAATTTATGGTAAAGTAACTGAGATGAAGAAGTTACCGTCAAGATTTTTCGGCTGCGAATAGTGGAAAATCTAGGTCAGTTAGACATGACCTTTTCATTGACTAAAGTGTTCTTCTTATTGCCAAAGTAATTTAGTGTAAATATTCATGTACGGCGATCATAACTGTCCAGTTGAAATCGCATTATGCATCTCTCACATGAGCTCGCGAGAACAAACGTGTGATATGACACCAAAAAGAAAAGATTTTTTTTTTCTAAACAGACGAAACCATGCGTTGTGATATTTGAAGTGGTCGTTCTGAGCGAGTGAACGAACGTATATGTGACCCAGCAGACGGATTGAAAAGGAAAAATGCATTGTTACTGCTTTTAGTTTGTGGCCGTTGAAAAGGTAGAGAATCTTAAAAAAAAAAAAAAAAAAAAAAAAAAAAAAAAAAAAGATATAGAGAGAGCAAGAGGTTGTGTGTACAGTCTGTAAACCCAAATGAATATCGATTTTTTAGTTCAATTACGATTGCACAATGTTATGTATTCATGTATAACTAAGGGGAAATAATACGGAATTGCATTCGTTCCTTGTGATCCTTCCGTTGAGGAACAAGCTTAGACTATTTTTGGTCGGAATACGGTATTTGTTGAGCTGTTGTCGTTGCTTTGTGCAGCTTATACAATGAACTGTGATCAAAGTAGATTGTTTAGAGTTTAAATTTGTTACATCAAAAACCTGTGTAAGTACAGGCCCTTTTAACTTTTCCGTTCGAAAGTCGAGCCATCATTAAGAAGTTGCCATTATTTTTTTTTAATCACTATTCCGGATTACACAGGAAAGTAACTTATTTGGCTATTAGTTGCTGTGTAGAACAGAGTCAACATTTATAATGTACATGTATTACAAATAAGGACAAAGTTTGGAGAAGCGAGACAGATTGTAATGTCCCTGAATTAATGGCTCTCAAAAGAATAAAGGAACCCCAACCCCAAGCAAAGCGCGTCCTTATCTATATACTGATAGAGTTGCTTAGATTAGAAGAATAGTAAGCCATAGAGAAGTAGCAGCTGTGCCTATTGAACAACTTTCCAGTTCTAAGGCTTTAAACCCCTCAGCTCTTTGTGTGTATATGAAAATAAGATATAAAGTATGTTAGTACTATTTCGACAATAGAGCAAGAAGACAGAAACAGTCTGTCCCCCTCCTTTGTTAGACTCTCTAACTTTATAGTGAACCTTTTCCCCCGCAATTTCTACAGTTTGTTTGCATATAAATAGGCCAATTTTCACAGCTTTTCATCAATTTTCTCCTTTTTGTTTCTCTACTTAACACACCTTTCTTACCTACAAGCATATATCACTCGTCATTATGTCTACCATCGAAAATATGAAACACTTGAGCTCGTTTGATGACACACCAAACCATTTAAACAAGTCGGGAGCTAACAGAAAGAGATACGACTGCAACCAGTGCTCTAAATACTTTTCTCGTCCAAGTGCATTGCAAACTCATATCTATACTCATACCGGAGAGAAACCGCATAAGTGCGACATGTAAGTATGAGATTAAACTCTAGTAACACCTGGCCACTGCTCTTTAACACTCCTGCTTTTTTTTTAGTCCTGGATGTGGGCGACGGTTTGCCGTTATCAGTAATCTAAGAAGACATTTACGTGTCCATAGACCATCCAACTTGAGACGCAGGCTTACTTCCTTTGAAAGGCGCGCTTACATTGAACAATTGATTCAGAAATCTGGAGGCTTTATTGATGAAACCCAGTCTCTTTATCTCAGTAACAATAGCTCGTCGCTGTGCTATTCTTTCTATCCCGCATCACCATCTTCACCAACCCCTTCTTGCACAAGTGCATCAACAACTACAATAACTCATACGGCGGATTACGGCTACAATTCACCAGTATCTGTGGAAACGAGTGGTTATCGTTTGCTGAAACCCAAACAAACGAGGCCATTATGTTTGACCGTCAAGCACTTGTTGAATTAGTTACCTTTCAACAAGCTTCAGAAAATTTATCAATCTCAAGTATATACTTTCCTTTGTCACATCTATGCCTGTTTTTTCTTTTTTTTTTTTTTTTTTTTTTTCTTGCTTCTGTTTTTTGTTTTAGTTATCCTGCCCCTTTTTTCCCAAAGATATCCGATATAGTAACAAAACACACACACACACACACACACACACACACACAGATACAGAGAAAGAGAGAGAGGGAGCCCAATCTGTTTCTATGTATATTTCTGCAAAACATGCATTTTCTGATACACTCTATATTCCGTTTATGAAGCTCATTATTTATTATTTGATCTTGCTGCCCCGTTCACAAACACATACACAACACGCACATTTGTTCATTATACTAGTTTTCATTTACTTTATGGTTAACTCTACGTTAAACGATATTCCATGAAAGAGCTTGCTCTTCTCGTTAAATTAAAAGTACAATCTGTAAGTGATTCATGCTAAAATTTAAGCACACATTAAAGAAAAAAAATAACAAAAACAAAAACTAGCCAATAAAAAAGGTTCCTTCTATTTTGTTTCAAAAAGAAAAATAATGGCAGGAAGCTTTTTCTTCTTCTCATTTGCTGCCTCTCGCATAGCAGCACACTATCACAGAGTAGTAAAAAAAAAAAAAAAAAAAAAAAAGAACGCATAACAATCTTATTACACTTACTGTATCACAACTGAAAAAGGAATATTATGGCTGAAGGATTCAATATTTTTCAAACAATGACAATTACACCAAGGTCATTTCCTCGAATGAACCTGTTTGACATCGAGGTAAACTGATTGATAACTTTCCTCACTTGACAAACTAAACATCCTTATATACTGTTCTACGTATTTCACAACACATATAGGGCGAGAGGGTCAATGTAGATAAACTTGCAGAAACATCTCGCTTGATCCTTATAACAATAAAAAGCACGGCCTGTCCAGCCTGCCCTCAACTTTTGAAATTATTAAATGTATTTGGTCTGGATCCTCGAACAAATACCTTTATTGATCCATTTACTTCTCAAAAAGTAACAGTAGAAGCTAGTAAAAAGAAAGTAAAGTAAAGTTATATGATGTTTTTTTCTGTTGAATTTATACGAAGACCAACCTTTGAACGTACGAACTTACAACTAAATCTCTAATATGTAAAAAAGCTTTATAAATCACTTTTAAAGAAAGATGCAAATTACATTGTACTATGTCCAGGAACGAATGCTGAAGTACGAAATATCCAAATCGAAACCCAATTTTTTGGCTATCCGTTTGTTTCTTCCGAAGGAGGTGCTGATCAGTTAGTCCAAGCATTAAAAGTAATGCTAACAGAACATGAATATTTGCCGACTATTCTAGAAGTATCTGATGACGCAACATCCGTCAGTCCTGTCTCTATCGGTCGAGGGCCGGGCAACTATTTCCATGATTATTTGATACAACACTTGTTTTTAGAACGTTGTAAAGAAGAAATGAAAGGGTTTGCCACTTTAAGTAATGCTTATGGGTGTGTGAATCAATTAAAAAGAAGAGCTGCCAAATGCAAAGAAGGAAATATTGCGCCTAAATCGATAGACTTAAACTCAACCTTGAACAGGAAAATAAGCCCGGCGGTATTACCCAAAAAAGCTAAAGAACTTGAAACGATGGTGAAGGAAAAAAATGAGAATACCAACAGAAGCATGCTACATATTCTGCCATCGGAATTACTAGAAATGATTGTATATCAAATATCTGATGTGTCGTCTCTAATCAAGATATCTGGCGTTTGTCGCGAATTTTACGTTGCAGTTTGTAGTGTACTGATAGGGTATATTCGTGAGCAAATATCTTTACTGAAGGAATCGCTGCCTGATTTGGAAGATGCTATTTCTGTGACTGAAATGCAACTTGCTGACGAGCGACTCGATCGTTGGCGTGGACATCAAGAAGATGTAGATGCTGCAGTATCTTTTAGAGAACTTCAAAATCGATCACAGGAAGCCAAACATCTTTTAGATGAGATTAATAGATGGATAGAGAATTGGAAATCATGTAGAATCAAACGTATTTTGATTCAATGAATAAAACAGTCATTTTTTCATCTTATTCCGAAGAGCTTCTGGGTTGTATAAGTGTAGGCAACTGTATTCATTTTCTCTACACATTTTCTGCCGACCGTCGCACTGCAAAGGTGTGTTTGTCGACCGTGGAAATTCAGTTCAAGAAGGTTTTTACAGTCGACGAAAAAAGGTTGGCACAATGAATAAAATAATTGGTCAGCTTGAAATGAAAATGGTTCAACAGAATGGAAAAATCTCTGATTGTATTCGCAACGCATCATTTTACATCAACAGAGAAGACTGCGAGAAGTGGATAAAGCATTCTTTGACGTTCTGACAGAGATGCTTGAATTGTGAAAAAGGATTATAAGAGGCAAAATAAAAAGCATGCGTGACCCATTTTCGTATTAAATGATCCATTTTCATTTCAAGCTGGCCAATTATTTTTTTTTTTCATTGGGCCAAGTATCTGTTGTTTTCCGTAAGGAAGAAGGATTTAAAGCAGTCTATATCAAGCCCTATGTCTCGAAAAATCTAAAGATGGTGGTAAGTGTTATGCGGACAAAGCGTGACGAGTTGATATATAGGGACTATCAAACAGCAATCTGTACTGTATATCCATTCTATGCTATAATCTACGAACTGCACAGTCAAAAGAAAACTACAAAAGTGCTCATTGCATATGATGTTGGTTCAACATGAGTCAAAGATACAATTTCTCAAAAAATGGAAAATTTCGATGTTTTGTGGAGCTTCATATTTGCCGCCTTTGCTTTTTTTAGGAAGGCACGATCAGAAAGTTCAGGTACACACTTTCGGATAGTCGGTCGAAACATGCACACAGCGACGGAAACTAAAGTCCAGGTTGCACGAAAATCAATTACATCGCAAGCAAAATTATTCCAAAAAAAAAAGACAGGTCAAGCGCCTCAGTACCTTCAGTGCATCCAGCGCATCTACAGGTTTTTCTGTTCGTTTGCGTTACTTTCTCTCGTAGTTGCCGCCAAAAAATAGGGAACGCAATATGAAGTCGTGCAAATTGAAAGGAGAAATCCAATAGCCAGCAAATCGTTATGTGCTATTAATGATCTGACCTCGCTGGCCAAACATCTGTTGGATATACGCTGCTCTAACTGCTCAGCAACACCCCGACATCGATTTATAACAAGATCGCAACCTCAGTCCTGGCCAAATGCTCGACTCCCTCTTTAATAACCTCCCCATTAGCAGTTTGTCATGTCCACATTCTTCCCTTTCCAACCGTTTTCTCGCTCCCCTTTCCCATCAATCGTTTTCCTGCTAAAATCGTACCAGTGTTCGTAAATACTTAAGATTGGATTGATGGAACATGTAACTCTAACGGTTTCAATAAGTTTCAACTCATCAGCAATAATCCGGTTTTGCTAATTATATGAAGGTCGATAAAGCAGTTTGCTAGCTGGATTGTCATAAGGAGTATATGCTTGTTGTATTGTAAATGAGGCGAGCGTGCGTAATGATATCAGTACAACGTCCGCAACGTTGAGGGTCGGATTGAAGCAATGTAAGGACCTTCCACCTAATAATCGCTGTTGACTGATGACCGTAGCCACGGCTTGTCTTACACGGATATGAACTTGGACTGAAGGGACGTGGGGGAGGCACTTTTCCAGTATAAATGATCAGGACCAAAGGACACATTGTGTAAATATTAGCAGTTTCAAGCGCCACCGGATGTTTGCCAAGGTGTATTTTTTTCCAGTTAATTGAACTATAAAGATCATTCATAATTTAATTAATGAAATCATTTCTAAAGTTGCTGAAAAGCTCTGCATGTTGCCAAGGATAGGATACTTCGTTGATGTAGAATGTCCTTAACTGTGTCTTTTTATAAGATAAACTTTTGACAGGAAAGTAACTATCTGAAAATTCATCGATGATGCATTTGGAAGGATAAGCTTATCAAGCCATTTTCGAACGGGTGAAGTGTCATCAAAATAACTTTGTCTGGCTTCAGCAAATCATTGACGTCTACCGAAAACAAAGCTGGTACCCAATCTTTCTGACCTTGTCCATATTGTCAAACAACTCCGTATCATACCGTTCGCAAAATGCGAACAATTTTACCATTTCTATAAGTACCAGCTGGGAGAGTGATGATGGTGTTGACGCATAAACGATTCGTTGACGGTCTTTTGCACTTTCACAAGAATTGGTGGGAGAGATTACTGAATAGCAAGGGTTGGTATATACAACATGTTACAACGGCTGCCGTTCTCAGTATTGGCCACTGTGTATGTGTAAACTGGAATGTCCTATAACTCACTTGACACGATGTTAAGAACAGTTGAAGCTCTTAAAATATGCTTGCTTATCGGTCGCTTCCCAGTAAATTGTCATAGGGCAATTTATATAACAAAAGATCACCATCTAAAATATAATTGAGCAACCCGCTTAGGTGGTAAGTTGATAACTGTAATTGAGCGACGACGATAAACATGGTGTCTTCAATATCCTTTCAGATGAAGTACATATATTGAGTACTATGTAAGATTTGATGGAGTAATATCATTTTGAGGACGTGTATGTTTAGTCATTAGTTTCAGATTCAATGCTTCATGTGTAATTATTTATACTTACGCCTCTATCTTGTTAAGTATTGTACATGACCAATATTGTTGCTTTTTGTCATGATAGTAATCATTAAGTAAAAAATAAGGCTGTTGGATAAAGCTAGGCTGAATGCGTTGAATGCGCTGGATACGCTTTGACTAGGAATTCAATTTCGTGCAACCTAAACTTTGGCTTCCGCTGCTGTGTGCATTTGCTATCGACTGAGGACGAATTTATTAGTCGAAAAGAGTCTCCTCTAAATGCAAAAATGAGAAAAAATTTTACCATTACACTTCTCCTTTGTGTTCCAACGATGTCTATAACACTTATTTTGATTCGTGATTAGCTGCATGTTCGAAACGGGGAAGTGAGAAAAGTGCATTTTCTTTTTTTCTTTTTTTTTTGTCATTTCATGCGATTGATGCTGCAAGCTAATCCTAGCAAGAAAGGAAGAAGTGGCTTTACATATGCACAGTCGCATTAGGAGACTTTTCAGCTGTGGGAAGTGAGTTTCCTAGACTGAATACGGTTCCGGTATGAGATTTGTGTGCGCGTGCTGTATTGTTCTATCAGCTTATTTGTAAATGTGAAAGCTATACATGGTGGTTGCTACTCTCGTATGTTATATGTAATCTCCTTTTTGGACGACGCCACCCCTAAGACGAGTAAAAGCTATTTTTTTGTCTAGGTATGATTTCAACTTATGGTTTCCTATCTTCAGATTCATAGAGCTTCTATAGATAACGGTGAAGATTTTCCGCATTTGTCAAAAACAGCAAATTGTAAGGTTAACAATCCGCAGATCATTTTCTCTGTTATAGAATGACCCGGTTCACACCCGATATGGGGCATCGACATCATACTGTACATATTTGTCTTTTTCTTTCTTTTCGATTGCGTTCCATCAGAAAAATCAAAGGCAGATGGCTTTCATCGATCCGCAACACAAACTCTGTTATTCTCGCACTATTTTGTTTCGATTATTACAACTTCGGTTACACCAGCCACGGTTTCATTATTGTATCATATTCTTTATATCTTTTAAAATGCGGCTTTTCGTTTTCTATTTAAGCTTTTTCCCTTTTTGTCTTTTGTGTTAACAACAAGCTTTTGTATCTACAGTTTATAACACCAAAAAGAGGCCTCATTTCAGGAGTTGCAAGTTTCAAAACTATGAATCACTGTATAGCAATCCTCAGAAGCGTCAACGAGATTTACACCAGTCTCCGCGCATATTTCAAGCATTCTAGGCTTTGTCTAATTGCTACGACGTTTGGCATAATTGACTAGATATACAATTTTTTGCCACTAATCGGTAATCCTTTGCATATACTAGCTTGGAAATCGTACAGGAAGAAGGTAATTAGTTAACCTTACTTTTTTCTTTATCTCCGGGTTAGAGGGAAAATTCGCACAATATGCTAAGCTATTTCATTTGCATGTCAGTTTAGACTTTCTATCGTAGAAAAAAATTGGTTACCACATAACAGAAATCCCCCGTAATCTAATTGAAAATGGATGCCCATCTTTTTGACTAATTCTTTTATTGAGTAATCAACTGATTACGCACCCAACGGGCAACTGCATGTCAGAAATCATAGTCATGCCTTTATCATTTAACGTGTATTAAAATAGTACCCGCAAGAATATCAAGAAAAGTAAGGAATAAGTTAGCATAATGTTGATAAATTATTGGTAGGATACATTGAATATGCTATAAAAGGCTTGTTTCGTATATTATAGTATCATTAGCTTGAGTAACATGTCACTATGTACTTTTTTTCATCCTTCAATACTTTAATAAATGAATTGTTAACGCGTCTGATAAACGAACTATTTTCTTTTCTGTGCTGATCGGCCTATTGCTACCATTGAAATCGTCTTATTCTGTTGCGCTCCCTTTGTACTTTGCAAAGCTGCTCATGTCGGCCGTTTAGCTTTTTGACTCTTAAGTACCTAAGCAGAATTCTGGATTTTTTGCACAGTAGGTGTCAAAGATGAGAATACAGAGATAAGAATAAAAAAAAAACTTTTGAAATCCTCATCCGACAAATATCAACAGTGGTCACTGTATAGTTTGCAAGGGAGAAGACCATCGGAGGGGTTGGTTTTATGTTGGTGATTTTGAAGGTTATGGAAAAAGTCTGAGGTCAGTTTTAGTTGTCTCAAGCGTACTACAGTTCTTACCAGTTTCTATTGGCGTAATGCCTCTTCTAACCTTTAATGCCTCCAGATCTTTGTTCCTTCTGGTATATTCGGCAAGATTTGCACGTTTGTTCTTGCAGCATCTTCTCACTTGATGCTTCTCCGTATCAAAGCCTATTGTAGCAGTAAATATTTCGTTTCTACCAGGATCAACTGCGATAGAATAAAAACGTACAGAAAGCATTCTACCAAAGCGTCCCGGATTAACACTGACCGCTGCTATTAAGTTCATCATAGTAAGTGCCTCTGTACTGTTGATGCGAATCCGTTCATTTGTATCTATAGTGTCGCCTGGTTCGGAAGGATCCCCAAATACGGGGAGTGTAAAGCTTAATTTCTCCCCCCTCAAACGAGTAAGTCATGTGAATACGAACGACTTATTAGTGTTTCGCACCTGTAATTGTTTGTATTTTACAAAGATGTGAAGCGAAAAAACATTTACAAATTGGCAGGTACAGTAAATACAATCTTCTAAAAAAAAAAAAAGTTTACATGAATAGTCATCCTTAATTGTCAAAAAAAAAAAAAAAGAAAAAGAATATTAGATCTATGTTCATTACAAAGCGTAGAAAGAAACAAAAGAATGCCGGAAATACTACGATTAATAACAACGGCGTTTTTATTAGCGGATCAAATGTGAATATCGCTCTTAAGGAACAAATTTCAGAAGCAACGCAAGGTAAATATTCTACTTTGTAGTACTCACGTAATGCTCGCATATGATTTATGTTTGTTATCTTAATTAGCTGTTCCAATGAAAAGAAAAGGAACCGAAGAAGGAAGCAGTTCAACAGACGTATCTTGGCATAGCGTCGAATTGAGGGGAGCGAAAAAGTTTATGAAGGTTTATATCAGCAGCATTTATGCTGAGACTGATTTTGGTGCTTCTAATGACGGCAAACCTTCTGTAAGTTTAATACACGTAAGACTGAATTTAATACCTTTATTGATGCTCTTTTATGTAGTGGCAAGTTGGTAATGTGAATGTATCGAGTTTATTACGTGATTATCGTAATGGAGTTGTTAAAGGCGCACAAATGCGCAAGACCTTGTCCAACAGCCAAATACTGTAAGTTGTTGTAGTTTTTTTTAGGGTTTTATTTAACGTTTACATTTGCTTTTCTTTTAAGCTCTCTATCGTACATATTTCTCTTATCAAAAACGTACCGTTGTGCCCTATCCGAATTAAGCCCAACAGATATATTGAACGTTATAAGGTGTCCATACCTCCTATAATATATAAAGACGAATAAGACACACTTTCAAGCATTTGACTCGTTATTATGATCATAGAATCATAATAACACTTGTACACGTCATCTTGTATTTCTAAAGATGCGCATATGTAATGCTGCATTATTACTGATTGAGAACGAGTATTTAGCTCCTTTTTTTTGTATCTCTTTCCTTTCCTTCTTTCTTTTGTTGTCAATACAAACATCCAATTCGCTATGAACGCTTCCCTCTCTGATTTTCAGTGTATAATAAAAGGACTAAAGGAGACTCATTTCACCATACAGTTTATATCAAGTTAAGTCGCGTTCACTAAGCATAAAACAACCATAAATATCACATAAGGGACTTAGATGTTAGAAATAACTACAAATCAGTTGATGAAAGGGTGGTTACGAGGTGCCACAGAATAAGTAAGATGCTGCAAGAGGATGGCCTTGGAGAGAACGGATATAGTGACCTACTAGAACAAATGGTGGCGCGTTGTGACGCTCAAGATGAAAAGTCACTGTGAGGATCATTGCTTCCCTCCATGGTTTTACCCAGTGTTGGCTTTATCTAATAAGTTCACCCCTTCGTAAGTCAGGGCTTTTTTTTTGCTCCAAATGTTCTTGAACAATAGCAGCGAAAAGCAGCCCGAATCAAATTTGATAGATATCTTACGACCCTTCATTTTAAATTGTATCGTGTTCAAGACCAAAGGCGTAAAAACTGAATGGTATGTATTGTATATGTATATGTATATGTATATGATATGGTAAATTTTAATCACGGCAATCCGTAGGATGACTTACCGTATGGTACCAAAAAAAGGGCAAGTCATGATCCCAGATTTCGTCTTGTATTTGGATACACTGACTGCCACCAAATTTGAGCTGTTCGTTGTTGAAGAAAAAAAGCCGGGAAATTTTTCTAATGGTCATTTGGAAACAGACCTCATAAAGTTTGAAAAAGAAATGCAGTTGGCTTTGGACAAGCTCATCGAAAAGAAGGTAAAGGATCCGGAGGTTGTTGCTCTAATAGTTGAAGGTAAGTTAGTTTTAGTAATTTCAAATAAATATATTACTAAGTATTTATAAAATAGGCTACAAAGTAACAACTTTTAAGATGGACTTACGATACAACGGACAATATCGAATGATTGAGTTGAGCAGTTTTTTCGTTGTAAGAAACAATATCAATGATATATGCTTATTCCAGGTATCATAGAGAAGATGCATCAACTTCAGGTAAAATATAATAATGATCCAAAGATTACTCATGCAAAAGGTAATGTTCTAACTATTTAAAATAGGCTATCATTCAAGGCACACTGGAAAGATTATATAAAGCTATCCAGGGGCTAGAAAGTGAAGATCATAGAAGTTATAGAAGGGGGTTTTGTGGAAGTCCTGTTGCTGTGAGGAAGGATAAAACTAGTGTATAACCCACTCTTAAAAAAAATAAAGATATGAATATACCTAGTTACTTATTTTTGGCTTTTTAAGAAAGGAGTTGATAAGTATGGCTCTGTTTTTTGCTACTGCAGATGTCATTACCAAAGTTTGAGTACCAGCATATCAACCAATTAAAGGCAGAAACTGCACTAACAACCATAATGATACTTGGATTAGTAATTACTATAACAAATATAAGTCGGTAACGCGTAACATTAGCATACACCAAATTACTGAGTCAGTGCACCAGATCAACCTTGAAGAAACTTATTTCGCCGACTCACAAGAATACATTTTCTGTCTTGAGGGTTAAGCCTTTCAATGGGAAAATAGCGAGAACTTGAGAAGCTTGCCTTGCTGGCAAAATTAGGAAATTAATATCTCTAACTTTACCTGCCAATTGATTCTTGCCTTACTTACATATGCTCATATCCAACCAAGCGTTTTGGAGATCGAACTTCATCCTTACTTGCAATAAAACGTTTAGACAATAGGACTAAAATGCCGTCCTAAGCATCGACCTCCTAAACATTCTACTCCTCCTCATCACCCTGGCCGTGGAAAACCTCCAACATCGCCTCATCACGATGATCCCGGCAAGCTTCCTCCTCCTCTTCACAATGGATCTCATCATCCTCCCCCTCGTGATAGACCTGGTCATGATGGTCAGTGAAGCCTCCACCCAACAATGAACTTGATCGTTAATCACCCCATCATAATTAGGATGGTTAGTTTGATATTGATACCTGTAACGCTTACTGATAAATGATTTTCTCTTTCCTGCATTTAATTAAAAAAAGCATAGTTATGATGGACTACTATTAAATAAACTTTCTCAACAAGTATTTGCTATTCGACATGACTCATCAATACAAAAATATTCTGTTAATTCATTATTGCGTAAGTTAACATTCAGAGTCAATGCATATGACGCTTAGTCGTGTTATAATGTTGGTAGAATTATAGTCTCTGTTTCCATGGCAGAACGGCTTGTCATCAATTTCTTTTTGTATACGTAAGGTTCACGTAGTCTTTGAAAGAATGTCTTTTGGAGGAAGAATTATGAGACTCATAGTAGTTATTAAAGTGTTTTCTAAAGAGAAGGATTCAGTATTAAAATAGATTGGTGTACTTTATCCTATGGTAGAATACTTCGAAAAGCCGTCGAAAAGCTGATTTAGTCAGAAAAAAGAAAAGAATGATAAGAAAACAGTAATGTCGAGACTTTTGACGTGACGGAGAACGATCTATTATGATCGCACAAGATAGTGTAATGGTAGACACACCCCTTCTTCAATGCTAGTATTATTCTTTCTCTGCCTGCATCTAATGAGGAAATTTCCCAGTTTTGATCGGTTGTCGTGGAGAAGAAAAAAAGAAAATTTATTCAATTGGTTATAAAATGTTTTTCCAATTATTGAAAATTATTCAACAATTCATCACTCAAAAAACTACACCGATAAAGGCAACACAACAGCTCTTAAGTCTAATTGATGAAGATAACAGCTACTAAAATTTTTTGTTTTAAACCTTTGACCGGACAACTTCCTGATGACTCTTTTAATCAAAAGAATCACATGGTTAATTCAACCTTTACTTCAACCGCTCTCCGAAGATAGAGTTGAAAATCGTCATTTCCGGTGGGCAGTCATCCAAACAGAAAAGAAAAGATGACATCAACTGCTTCGACAAATGACCTGACGGTTGTATAACACAAAAGACAGAAGAAGATATAAATTTGGGTTCCATTGAAGTCAAAGAGGAGAAGCATCAAAATAACAAAACTAAATTGAACCAAGACCTATACGGTCCGGGTGTATTTTCTAGAAATACAATTGATCAATAGCACCTCCTCGGAATTATGTGTTCAAATTGTTGGTGAGTTGGAGACTACACTAGGTGTAGAGTACTCATTAATAATGACAATTGATAGGCATATATCTTTCTTTCTATTTCACCAAAAAGCAAGCGAAGGTCTTTACACAATGGCTGAAATTGATCATTTAAACACACCAAAAAATTTAGCAGAGCTTCCTCAGCTCGTTGTAAACAAGTTGTGTAAATCTTTTACGTGTTTGAAAACAAGTTGCCGTCAACTATAAGTAGTCGTTCTTTTCAGTTCATATGTATAGTATCTAAACTATCATTATCAGCTTTTTCCCCTCTATGACCTCTGCCATTATTAACAATGATAACATTAAATTGCTATGCAGTGTAATTCAGAGTAAATACTGACCCTTTTACGTCCTGTTGCTGTTTGAGTACCTATTATGCATATTGTCATTCTGAACCTTGTTATAACTAGATCCTACATTGTCCTCGTGTTCAAATTTGGATGCTTGATTTTTTTGTTTACTCTTACAGATGTTGCGTTAGAAGAGTTGGATAGCACTCATCAATTGTCTGCTACAGACTGCCTAATGTACAAACCTCGATTCTCTTTCTTGCCTTCACAAATGGTAAACAGGAACACCCAACAAACTTCCTGATAAGTAATGATTTGAGAACATCCAAATTAAGCCTTACAGCCACAATTATACCCATTCTTCGACGTAAATGGCACTGTCATGTTATAGGATCCTGAAAAAGTTGTTCTTTGAGGATTTTTCCATGGATACGGAAGATCCGATGTTCAACGGAGATCAGTAACAACGACATAGAAAAAAAGAAAAGGGTCTGAAGATCAAAAAATCACTCTTTGGGGAATTTTCTTAGCTGGAACGAGAAAAGGTTGCACAGATGGATGATACATTTTCTATAAGTATTCATATTGCTTACAATACGCCGTGCTTCAGAATAAAGGATTATGAATCACTATACGAGCATTGGTCTAGCTTGAGGTCTTAGCACATCCTCATAGCCCGCAATAAACACGATGTTTTACGCCATTTGAAATGCCTTGACACACAATTAACAGGTTGGAGGTTTTTCAGGCTTTATATTTTGCAGCTTTATCGATGATACTTGTCCGCTTTTTTCTAATGGAAACATTTCTTTGACCTGTGAGCCAGGTAATGGAACATTGATGCAATCTTGTTCCTGATCATTCAATAAAGTTTAATTTAAAGTTGTAGTTACAAAGGCAAAGGAATGCTTACTACTACAACAGTAATGACTCACATGGTATATGAAACTCCTCACTACTAAACGTAGATTCCGTGGCCTGGACAAAAATATACATGTAAAAGGGAGGGGGTAAGAGAAACAAAAAGAGAAACCTAAACACTGTAGCCACGGCTTTACGGAAATCAGAATTTAAAGTACGAGATACGCCGATCGAATGCCATGCCCGGCTATTGCAAATCGTTGATGGAACAAAAAGATATTTCTGTCCTGCAAAGCATAGAAGCGCGTTACATCACTTTAGAGACTTACTAAGCATATCACAACTTGACTACAGTACTTCAAGCAAAATATCTCTTTCTAACAGAAAAAATCAACATACGATTTATCTACACAACCCACTAGCACTTCTTTCCATTTATAAATACCCCGCTACAACTTGCCTAGTTTTCGAACGGAGTTTTCTTGTCAGCGTTCCTGTTCCCCCATCGTGCATAAACACGGCTTTAGGTAATACACTTTTTGCATGATTTTTTATTGTCCTTATCGTAGAGCCTGAAATACCTGCCTGGGCATTTTTCCTCTTTTGTTTACTGTAAGTTTGCCAATTTCACCAAATACATCTGTGTGAGAAAAAGGCCTGTGTGAAGAGAGTTACTCACTGATATTTCCCGTCTCTGCCCTGTATCCCGAGATATTATTTACAGTTATATCATTGTGAAAGAATATGGTTTAAGGACGAGGGTCAATTGCTGAGATTCAACGGACTCAAATGACGATGGCCGAAAGAAGCTTATCAAAAAGTTATACACGCACAAAACCGTTTGTATAAAATCTGAAATAGTAAGCCAAGATTTTATTTTTCGAATCTGTTATTTCGTTTCTTGTTTGTCCCTTTTTCTTTTTATTTTCTTTCTTTCTATTTCATTATCAACTTTCTTTAAGAAACAATAATGTCTACAACACCTACTTCTGAACGCCCCAGAAGATTGTCAATGCCCAAGTTGACCCGTCGTTTAACAAACGTGGTCATTCATGTCGATGAAAATGACAACATTGAACCTGTTACACCTACCAGCATCCCTTCTCGTTCCAGTCAACGTACAGAATTGGATGAAAAGGCAAAAGCTACATGGAACAAGCATATGGTACCTGAAAAGAATGATGTTGAGTCTATTGAGGGGGATATCGTTCACCATACTATCACCACCCTTTGCCGTGGTGCTTATAACGTTGATAAATTAGCCATGTATCAGGCTACTGCTCACTCTGTTAGAGATCGTCTTTTAGAAGATTGGAATCGTACTCAAGAAGCTTTGCACAAGGAAAATCCCAAGCGCTGCTACTATCTTTCCATGGAATTCTTGATTGGTCGTGCTCTTGATAACGCATTGAATTGTCTTCATGTCAAGGATAATTATAAGGAAAGTGTTCACAACCTCGGTTTTAACCTCGAAGATCTCATCCGTGAGGAAAAGGATGCTGCTCTAGGTAACGGTGGTCTTGGTCGTCTTGCTGCTTGCTACATGGATTCTGCTGCTACTCAAGATTTTCCTACTTGGGGTTACGGTCTTCGTTACCAATATGGTATGTTCAAGCAAATCATCAAGGATGGCTTCCAAAATGAAATCCCTGATTACTGGCTTAACTTTGAAAATCCTTGGGAATTCCCTAGAAGCGATATCAAGTATGACGTCCGCTTCTATGGTTATGTTGCAACAAAGATGAACGAAAAGGGTGAAAGCCGTATGTCTTGGGAAGGAGGAGATAAGGTCCAAGCAATGGCTTACGATATTCCTATCCCTGGCTTCAACACCAAGGGCTGTGGCAATATTCGTCTCTGGGATTCCAAGCCTAAGAACACCTTTGATTTTGAATCCTTTAACTCCGGTGACTACGACAAATCCGTGGCTGAACAAAATAATGCTCAAAACTTGACCTCTGTCTTATACCCTAATGATAACTTCTTAGCCGGTAAGGAACTTAGACTGAAGCAAGAATACTTCTTTGTCAGCGCATCTCTTCAAGATATTATACATCGCTTTAAGCGCGCCAAGTGCCCTTGGAAAGATTTCCCTGAAAAGGTCGCTGTACAAATGAACGATACCCACCCTACTTTGGCTGTTCCCGAATTACAACGTATTTTGGTCGATGTTGAAGGTTTGGATTGGGATGACGCTTGGGATATTGTTACTCGTACTTTTGCTTTCACCAATCATACCATTTTGCCTGAAGCTCTTGAAAGATGGTCCGTTCCCATGATGGAAAAGATCCTTCCTCGTCACATGCAAATCATCTATGATATCAATCTTTTCTTCTTGCAAAAGGTCGAAAGAGAATTTTCTACTGATCGTGAAATGTTGAAGCGTCTGTCTATCATTGAAGAAAGTCAGCCTCAACAGGTCCGTATGGCTTATTTGGCTGTTATTGGTTCTCATACTGTCAATGGTGTTGCTGCCCTCCACTCTGATTTGATTCGCAAGCATCTCTTCAACGATTTCGTAAAGTACTATGGCCCCGAAAAGTTTATCAATATTACCAATGGTATTACTCCTCGTCGCTGGCTGTATCAATCCAATCCAGGTCTTCGCGATTTAATCACAAAGACTCTCGGCTCCGAAGAATGGGCAACCAAACTCGATCTCTTGAAGGGCTTGAGATGTCATGCCGACGACTCTGAATTCCAAAAGGCCTGGGCTGATGTCAAATTGCAAAACAAGAAGCGTTTGGCTAAGTGGATTAAGGATCACATGGATATCACAGTCAACCCTGATGCTCTCTTCGATATTCAAGTCAAGCGTATCCATGAATACAAGCGCCAATTCATGAACATTTTGAGCGTCATCTATCGTTACAAGAGTCTCAAAAAGATGGCTCCTGAAGATCTCGCTCAGCAAATTCCTCGTGTTGTTGTCATTGGAGGCAAGGCTGCTCCTGGTTATTACATTGCCAAATTGGTTATTAAGTTGGTTAACAGTGTAGCCGATGTCGTTAACAATGATAAGGATCTTAAAGATATGCTCAAGGTTGTCTTTATTCCGGATTACAATGTCTCTCTTGCCGAAGTAATTATTCCTGCTTCTGATATCTCTCAACACATTTCAACTGCTGGTACAGAAGCTTCCGGTAAGTTAACATCGTGTATAACTTTTTGATTATTTAAAACGTTCCCTACAGGATTTTGCTTATTTACTCTCAATACTTTGATTATATATAGGTACCTCCAACATGAAGTTCGTTCTTAACGGTGGTTTAATTTTGGGTACAGTTGATGGTGCTAACATTGAAATTAAAGAACATATCGGTGAAGAGAATATCTTTATGTTTGGTGTTCTTGCCGATGAAGTTGAAGATATCCGCCATAACCAAAAATACCACGGACTTCTGATCGATCCCAGCCTCCAAGTTGTCATTGATAGCATTCAATCCGGTGAATTCGGTGATCCTTCCATTTTCAACCCTCTCATCAATACCCTCACTTATGGTGGTGACTATTATCTCATTTCTGCAGACTTCAAGTCTTATCTTCAAGCACATACTAAGGTCGAAGATAATTATAGAGATCAAGCTGGATGGATTAAGAAATCTATTATGTGTACTGCTGGTATGGGCTTCTTCTCTTCCGACAGAGCTATTCAAGAATATGCTGAAAAGATTTGGAACTTGAAGCGCTTCAATCTTGACAAGCCTAATGATGGTACCGCTTAACTTAACCATTTTATATACATATGAAGGTCATACTTCAATAATCTATCTACTTTTAATCACTTATAACATGACAGTATCTGCATTCAATAAACTGATGTATGAACATACAATATTTAATGATAACCCATGCACAAAAGGCTCACATTATATAGTGGTTTTGATACGACTGTTAAGAAGACAAGGTGTAATTTGGGCCCTGTCTACTTGTAATAACAATAAGGCTGAAAGAGAAAAAAGTAGTGGTTTATCATCAAAGTTCTTTCTAAGAGCAGTGTTATCCGTATGTGAATCGTTTTGGATGTTTATTTTCATGCGAATGAGAAGCGATGTACTCGATTTGATGTTCATACCTTGCCTATCTTGGTGAATGCCAACAAGATTAATGGCCAATAGAACAACAAAAAATCAGCTACTGCTGAATTGGAGTGCATGTCAAGCTGGTATTTATTGGTATTATCAAAAAAAAAAAAAAAAATAGTTGCTTAGGTATTCTATACGTATTCTAACTACATATATTTATAATTTAGCAGAAGAGAGATTTACAACTCTCTCTCAAAAACGGCAGCCATACCCATACCACTGCCAATGCACATACTCGTCACGCCAATACGCTTATTTTGGCGTCTCAATTCAGGGAAAAGTGTAGCGATTTGGCGCGCACCTGTACAACCCAAAGGATGTCCAATAGCGATAGCACCACCTTTAGGATTAACCTTTTCAAAAGGGATTTTCAATACCTTTGAACAGTAAACAGCTTGAGATGCAAATGCTTCATTGATTTCAAAGATATCAACATCTGCGACCTTCAAGCCAGCACGTTCAAGGGCAACAGGAATGGCATAAGCAGGGCCAATACCCATGACACGAGGAGGCACACCTACCACAGCAGAAGTAACATATCTACCAAGAATAGGAAGACCATATTTTGCAGCAGTCTTGCGCTTCATCAAAAGTACAGCAGCAGCACCATCCGAAATTTGAGACGCATTACCTGCTGTTGTTGATCCTTCTTTGTTAAAAGCAGGCTTTAATTTGGATAAAATTTCAATCGTGGTACCAGCACGAACACCATCATCTTCATCAACGACTACTTTCTTTATTTTACCATCCTTATCGGTGACCTCAACCGTAACAGGAACAATTTCTTCCTTGAAGTAACCTGCCTTTTGAGCAGCAGCAGCTTTTTTATGTGAAGCAACAGAAAATTGATCCTGTTCTTGGCGAGTAATGCCATATTCCGCTGCTACATTTTCAGAAGTAATACTAAAAAATGGGTCAGGAAAAATGCAAAATAATTTCATTTTCATTCTATTTCAATCACTAGCAAGAGCCTCAAACTCAGTTGAATATGAAATAACCTACCCCATAGGCAATTGACAATCAGCAACGCAAGGTACAGTAGTTAATTTTTTGGAGAATTGATTGGTACGAGTAAAATAATCAGATGTCATGGATTCAACACCAGCGCCAATGCCGATATCAATGAGACCTGACTGAATGGCTGTAGCAACCTGAACAACGGCCTGGAGACCTGAAGAACATTGACGGTGACAAGTACTGACAGAAGTGGTTTCGGGGAAGCCAACAGCTAGTGAGGCCATTCTGGCAGCATTGGCAAGATTGGTACAGACATTGCCAACAGTGATGTCTTGTACCAAGGTGGGATCAATTCCTGTTTTGTCAAGAGTTGCCTTCAACACGTTATATAAGAGTTCTATGACATAGTTTGGCTGGTTAGCAAAATCGAGCATCTGTTGCTGATTCTATGTATGCAGTAGTTACCATCAGCAAGTGTATCCTTAAAACCGCCTTTACGTGATTTAGTAAGAGCGGTACGTAAAGCTGAGACAATCACTATATCTTCAGGAGATTTCGCATTTAATTTGGTGAGTTGAGAATCAGACAGACCGGGCAAAGGAATAGGATAAGGCAAATTGGCCATTGTTGATCTTGAAAAGGTAGTAAAAAGCAAAGAGTAATATGTCAACTCGTTTACTATTTTTATTCTATCAGTTGGATCAGATAATTCGCATAGTAAATGGCTTTAAATTTACCCCGACATTGAACCTTTTCTCATTTTCCCAGGTTCCTGCCATTGTGACTAAGGCTTTTTTCCATTAACATAGCAGCTATCGAATTGCGAATTTGCAGTCTCTCGCAAGTAGTCCGCTGGACGTCTATCTATCATCCTCATTTTGGCTAACAAAGAAAGCGATAACAATAATTAACTATATAACCTATCTTAATGCTCTGTTGAACTTGTCAGTAACCTATGGTGACGTCTTGTTGCTAAAACCTGTTTGTTGCCCAAATAGTAGCACTCTTCACCATCTCGGACTTTGTAGCGCGGTTCTTATGGGCTGCTACAAGAGGTTGAAAAGCCAAGCAAATGCATAATACTTAAATTGAAAAAACCAGCTACTTTGTATTTTTAAAACTGTGTCCATTAGAATATTGCAAATAGCTCAATCTTCCAGAGAAAATACAGTAAGCATAATAGACGCCAACTTGCAAATCATCAAAATTACATAGCAATTTCTCATAAATATATAGCAGCTCATATATGTACAAAAAGCCGTCATTTATAAGGTGTTGTAGTAAAACTCATCTCTTTTAGTAAACAATTGCATTCCATTAACTGACAGACCTCAAAATATGTATGTTAGTAGCGCAATGATGTCGTAAGTGCCTTTACTACTCTTTCCACTTGATTGATATCACAAAATAAACCAGTATCCTAACTTTTTTTTTTTTTTTTTGGAAATAAAAATTGAAATCGTTCAATGAAATGCTCCCATTTCGCCCAAAATTTTCCAAATAGGGTAGGTGCGAGTTGATAATAACTGAGAAGTGAATTATTCAGACTGGAAAAAAATAGTGCTCTCAAGATTATGTATAAAGCTGATTTATCAGACTCTCTTAACACTTTTTGTGCATTTGCTTAATTGGGTATTAAGCAAAGGAAGCCAAGTTATGACTAAAACCTGAGTTTGATTGGTTCTAGTATATTCTCTTGTCTTCTTTTGGGTAAGAGATATAAAGAAATGAACGACTGCCAAAAGCCCTCAGTAACACTACTTTTTCTGTCAAATGTGTCATTCTGCTCAACTCTAACTTTTGGCACTACACCTCACATGTAAGTATTACAGCATTTCTTAATTTTTTGTTTGTGCCTTTCACGCACTTATAGCATATACATTTATCACATTTCATTGGTCTGTCTCGAAATTGATGAGTCTCATAGTTCATATACTATATCAGTATGATAATAATTCTAATAAAACTCATGCGTTTGAAGCATCGCTTTTATTGACAAATTAATGCGGATCAAATAATCATATGCTTTTCTAACGTGTACAAATGTATAATGCAATATTGTCCAATGAATTCTTTAAATACGTTCTAATCGCTTTGCATTACAATAAAACGGGTAAATATCTTTACTGAACAAAGATAGCCTTCTTCAATTGCTCATAAGCTCTATCTAAATCATCATTGACAATAATGTGGTCATAAGCACCAGGCTGCGAACCATATTCCAATTCCTTTTTGGCAGCTGCCAAACGAGCTTGAACAGCTTCTTCCTTCTCAGTACCACGACCGCGAAGACGCTGTTCCAAAATTTCCATGCTGGGAGGTTGGACAAAAATATACTTGGGATTCAAAGCTGTCTTTTTGACAGATTGAACACCTTGCATATCAATATCAAGCATGCAAACCTTTCCTTCTGCGACTACATCTTCAACAGCCTTAATAGATGTACCTTTGAGCATAAATCAATCGTATGAGAACATATTATCTATTAAAGACCACAAATGTGCTAAAAGAATGAATATCATACGTATTTGATATTACCATACATATTTCCCGAGAAAGTAGCGCTTTCGATGAATTTGCCTTGAGCGACTTCGTCGATCATGGTTTCCTTTTCAACAAAATGATAGTCTTTACCATCTACTTCCCCAGGACGAGGCTTACGTGTAGTGTCTTTTGTAACGAATAGATAGGATGAGTTTGTGCGTTGTTTCGACAAGATCTGTTTAACTGGATCTGCAATCAGCAAAATTGGCAACTAACTTACGAGAAATGCTGAAACCAAAAGTAGAAGGATAATCAGCAAACAAGCGTTTTAATAAAGTAGATTTGCCAGAACCAGAAGGACCAGATATAACAAAGATCTTAGCAATTGTTGTTTGCATCGTGGAAGGTTATGTAGGTAATGGTTAGTCTCCTCCATTTGACACCCAACAAAACTTTATCTAAAAAAATGTGGGCATCGTATGACTGCTGTTCTATTGAAACTGAACCTGAGTTTTCGACGATCATTTTGTGATCCGGATTTTGTTTTCAACTTTCCTATGAACTACTACCAATTTTATGGAAATACATTCTAACTTTCTCTAACCTATAATCCGTACTAGAAAGGGACTTTTCTTCTGTCCTTTTATGATTTACAGAATCTCTTAGACTTTTGCAAGAATTTTCGATAATCTTTGGGATCGTACCTCGTCTCAGCCTTCAAAATGGCAGAAATAGTAGCAGCACATAACGGACCGGCCTCCTTGTCTACACTTCTCAATGGCTCGACACAAAATTAATACATACGACGTAGCTACAACGTCTAAATACTCTGAAGGAAAAAAGAATCCGCCGAGAATGCTAGTGCCTTTGGCAATACCTGCAGGCTGCTGAATGAAATGAGCTATCATGAATATTGTGCAGAATTTCAGCAAAGATTCATGGAAGATTTAATTCTGAACGTTGAAATTGTACTCTTAAACGACAGTAAGTGAACATCCTTTTGCAATATAACTTTTGGTTTACTATCGCTTTCTAAATTATAACATTCACCTTTTATATGTTAATTATTCTCGCATTCATGCCTTTCGTTCTAAGTTTTAAGTCTACATTAACAAGGATTTTTCTATATAGCCTTTTAGTTCTTTTCAACTGGAAAAGTTATTAATTTACTGTATTAAATACAACTTTCTAAGCATCCCACTTTATAGATGTCATATTAATCTATCTTATTTCGTGCTCTTTGGTCAGTGAACTATCCTACAACTCAACAATGTAATATGTTAAAAATATTCGCTTGAGAAAAATATTACAAGCGAAGAAGGGAGAGTATCGAACATAATAGGTCAACAATACAACAATAGATGTTTTTATATTTCCTAAATGCATCATTAAACAGAAATTTATACGAATTCTCAATAGACTATTCTGCGCACAATTTTTGGCTTGTAACCAGAGCACTATTGTTTTGTAGAACGACATACTGAAAAAATCTTGCCAAATTTTAGTTTAAAAGTTATTTGTGATTACAATAGGATTCCTTATAAGCTTGGAAGCATGGAATAATGAAAATACAGATGTCATACTATTCTTCAACTTAAAGGTCGTATTATATATGGATATGCTTATATCGTTGTGAATACTGTATATAATTTGATGTAAATACTTTTTGAGGATTCATTTAAGTTTTTGCTTCTGCAGCCATGAATTAACTAATGCTTTATTAATTTTAGAGGCATAAATATTGATATAGTATATGAACTATGAGACCCAATTTCGAGGCAGACCATTGAAATATGATAAATGTATATGCTATTAGTACGTGAAGAGGCACAAACAAAAAAAAATTAAAGAAATGATGTAATACTGGTCGTTTTAATCTGCGTGGTAACTTGGTCTCACACTCACGCTTAAAAAAATATCCCAATGCTGTTAAAACAAAAGCCAGTGTCAGAGTTACTCTCGAGCAGTTACCTATATCCATTTGTTTTTAATAACTTATTCAGTGATTTTTGCTAGCACCAAGAATATCTAATAATTTTTCAAAAAAAAAACTTACATAGTTGCTCGGTATCATACCAATTTCTCCAGTCATCTTCTTAGCCTGCCACCAACTCCCTATTTTTTCATGAACATACAAAATTTCACCTTTGTTGAATGATAACTCGAAAGGATCTTCCTTGTTCGCTGTATCTAATTATAAAACGCGTAATTTCAGTTAGAGTATGAGCTTTTTCAAGAACATAATGAGAAATCAGACATTCTTTACAATTATGAATAGCCACTACAGGAAGTGTGTAATCTGTATTAGGTGATAAGTAGATCGTATTTTGCTGCGCACAGTTATTTATTGTTGGTTCTTTCATTGGGCTGGGCACAAAAAGAGAATCATGAACAGAAGTTGAAGGCGTGGCATAATACTGAGACATGGCCTGAGCAGTATCAACAGAAGTATTATTGGCCGCTTTTTTTATTCTAGTGGCATTGTTGTTGACTGAGTATTGCTCTCTTTGCTGTTGGCGGCTACTAGCAAAACTCCCGCTCGACGGAAGTTCTCTAAATCCGTGAAGCATAAAATCATCTTCTTGAGTCCCATATAGAAAGATCCAAATGAACTACAAGTGATTTTCCTTTCCTTAACAAAGGTTCTACTTGCTTTCCAGTAACTTTTGAACTGATATTCTATGCTTACTTGTATGACCAACATTGTAATATAGCCAATGGCTGCTACCATCAAGGATATTTTGTCGCTATATAAGTAAAGATCTATCTCTTCAGTAACATAGGAGAAACTGATTGCAATCAAGCACAACACCTTTTTCGATCCTTTGGAAGTTAATAATCCATTTGCAAGTATGTACATATTTGTATTTTATAATCAATGGCGTTGATACTAACAACTGGTGAATATAGTCTCAATGTCTGGGTCCAAAAGACTCCACATGACAGTGTAATCATAATAAGCTCGAAGATTATAGTCCACCAAGTAGTTCTATGAGTGAATCTACTTGATATACAGAGACCAACAAATGTTGTAATCCATCCTGCCTATATAGAAATCAACTATTGAGCAACCGTGATTTTATAGTTTATGTGTGCTTCAACTATTGGCTTTACAATGCTGATGATACATGTCAATAAAGGCAAATAGACGGTGATTGTGTTGAGAAGATGCATAGCTACAGTGGATGAAGAGTTGTAACAAAGCAAAGAAGAAATTTCATATATCGTCTATTGTTAGTATATCTATTTATATGACCCTTAGCATTTTCTAGCTCTTCATTTAATACATTTTGACTTTTTTTTTTTTTTTTTTTTTTTTCTTTTTTAATTTGACAGATCAAATTGTATTTAACTGATAATTGAGAGGGTCTAGAGAGATTCATCACAGAGTAAACATGAGACTGATTATTACTATCATTAGAGCTTCATGAAAGTCCTGACCAATATATCCCAGTGGCCCCTTTATTAATTCGTAGAATCTATTCTCAGGGTATTTCAGTCAGAAAATTATGTTTCAGCTCCAAAACATTTATTCTTCATAGTCAGTTACATTTCCAGAATTCTTAAACTCTAATTGAAGAATATATTAACATCGTGCTTGCTATCATTGTCCACGCAAACGCTTCTGTTTCATGCTTGTGCTGTTCTCATCATTTCAATCAAAGCTCGTGTAGGGCGGCCTATTTAATTCAAAAAGGAAGGGGTCAGTACGGCTTATTTTCTTAATCATTTTTATCAGCAATTTTAGTACACTATACCAGTCATTCCTTTAATATGATATCCCTTGGTACCATTGCAGGCCATTACACCGGCAATATCAATGTGCGCCCACGGGACGTTTTTATCCACGAATTCTTGCAAGAATCCTGCTGCTGAGCAAGAACCACCAGATCTTGTACCAATATTACCCAAGTCGGCAACCAACGAATTTTTCATCTCTTTGATGTAATCTTCATGAAGGGGCATACGCCAGAAGGGGTCTGCTACTGCTTCACCAGCATTCTGTAACTTTGCCCATAAGTCATCCGAATTGGAGAAAACACCAGCATATACTTCACCTAGAGCAACGTCCATGGCTCCTGTCAAGGTTGCGAGGTCAATAACATGTTTTGGTTGATACGTCGATGACACATAATGAAGTGCATCAGCCTAATAACGTCAAGTAGTAGTTTAGTTAGTATGGTTTGGTAAGGAAAAACTTGCGAGAGAGATAACTTATACGGTTTACCAGAATCAATCTACCCTCAGCATCTGTATTAAGTATCTCGATGGATTTGCCATTCATTGCTTTCACAACATCACCAGGTTTTGTTGCTTTTCCTGAAGGCATATTTTCACATAATGGGATGGCTGCGACAATGTTTACAGGTAAGTGCAATTTACAAATACCGTACAAAGCTCCTACCACAGCGGCAGCACCACCCATGTCCCCCTTCATGAGATGCATATTATTGGATGGTTTGAGTGAAATTCCTCCGCTGTCAAATGTGATGCCTTTACCCACTAGTCCAAATGGCTTCTCTGAATTATCCTTTGCACCCTTATAATGAATTTCTAAAAACCGAAGAGGCTCGGTACTATAAAAGATATAGAATAACCCATGAATACGTGCCAAATAAAGAAAGAAAGAAAAAGTTTGTCCTGTGTGTTTACCTTCCTCTTGCCACAGATAAAAAGGCATTCATCTTTTGACGCGTAGCCCATTCCTCATCATGAACCTTAATATCGACATTCTCCAAGCCAGCCAATAGATAAGCTACTTCTTCTGCAAACAACTTTGGTGTCATCAAATTCGCTGGAGTCGTCATTAACATGCGAGCCACATTTTGTGAGGTACCGTAAATCTGACCAATTTCCCAAGCCCTTTTTAAGTCTGTGCTACTTTCCGTTGCATAAGGAGCAACTACTTTATTGTTATCAGCATCATCGTTCTTTTTTTGCTTCAACTTATCAAATGAAAACTGTCCCAAGATTGCGCCTTCAGCGGCTCCTTGTGCATCGACAGATATGTCCACTCCTATAGATTTTGCACCTTGCTTTTGTAAAGCTTGGACACCAATAGCAGTCTTATTACGTATATTGGAGTGAAGAAAAAGGTTTAGAAAGGTCATGACCATCACTCAACTGGCTGTTATGGGGTTGAAATGTGCAATGCTCTTCAAATACAGCATATTTCTTCCGACTTACCGCCATACGAACACTATCTTGCTTTACATGTTTACTGTTTTCGTTGGGTTCGTTTCCCAAAGAAACAACTGCAACTTGCTTGACACCGCCCACATTATAAAACACACGTAGATCGCCTTTCTTTTTAAATTGACTCAAGGCCAAGTTTGTCTGAATTAACTTTTTTGTCTCATTAGAAATGTTCTGTTGAAGAGCTAAAGACGGTGTAGATTGAGTGGTAGCAGAAGGACTATATGCACCGAGCACAAGACCGTCAAAACCTTGTTTATTTGAGAAGAAACGTCGGTTTATTCTTTGAGAAGTATTTCGTAAAGAAGTTTTGGCTACAAAGAACATCAAGAGTTGATTAGGTTGTAAGTGTATAAAAAAGGGGGGGATAAACAGAGAAATTCATGCTCATCCTCGTTTCTGGGGTCTCAATTTCGTTTTCAGATCAACTCTTCCTTTTCTTCCTAACCGTCCTGAGTCTTTCTTTTTGATAGCGTTAAATTATTTAATTTTTCTTACAAATGCTCGTTAAAGGTTAATCAAAGGCGAAAGGGGCGGGGGATATCTTTATTATTTCGATTGTAACATACTAATTAAGGAAGCTTCAGATTTTAGAATATCTAAAGCTTGTTTTACTTCCAAATGGCGACGTGCACCTTCCAGCCAATCCATTGATAAACGTTTAGGCCAACCTGTTAATTGGTTTATTTCACGAGCAGCGCTTTCTAAGTCTTTTTCTGTATTCAGATAATATTCGGCGCGCGCTAATCTGGATTCAACATCATCACCAGGAACAAGGCCCTTCTTTTTAAACATAAAACTGCTGAAAATAATTGATACAAGATGAGCCATCATGGAAGCATTTTCGTCGGGAATCAAAGAGGCACGACGCACTTCGCGTGCCACAGTTTCAAACTTGTCAGAAAGAGAAGCAAGGGAAGTAACACCGTGATTAGCAACATGAACATTGATACTCTTGATAACCAATTGGATAAGTTCACTATTTTGTCGTTCACTGACTTTAGCAAAAGGAGTCTTTTGACTTAAGCGGTTCAACGCTTCTAACTCTGCTACGAACTTTCCTTGCTCCCCTGTTAAAGCAGCTCTTTTTAAAGCATCAATAGCAGCAACTAGTTGGTGTGCCTTTTTGACATCATCCAACAGTTCTGCATCGGCATACACTAGCTTTTCAAGTTCTATTTGTTTTTGTGAAACATGATCGATCTTTGATAAGCGGCCGCCGCGTTCAGTTTCTACTTGTTGCTGAACTTGACTAGCATATTCCGATTGAATTTCGATTGCCTTCTGCTTCAATTCATTTTCTAATAACTGAAGGTACTCTTGACGCTGTGTAGCCAGCTCCTTTTCCCGCGTCTCCTTATGCTGGTTATTCAAACTATCAGTCTCCTTCTTCAACTTTAATTCAAGTTCCTGTATATGTTGGTCAACTTGAGCAGTTGCTCTAGCTTTAGCATCCTGTAATTTTTGCTCGACTTCTTGCTGTTTAGAGTCAAGATGTTTTTTGGAAGCCAATAATGCCTGGTGAAGTCCTGCAATCTCTTGTTGAGCTTTGTTTTCTTCTTGTTTGATGAGAGCGAAAGCTTTGTTGAGGCTTTCGATATCGCGTGTTGCGAAATCAACCAATCGTTTTGCATGACCTGACATATCAGCTTCGTTCAACAATACAACCAAATCTTGGACTGTCTTTGCAAATTGGTTCACAACATCGTGCTCTGACAAATCGAACTTTGGTATAGGTTGCTTTTCAGATGTATAAAGCACATTAGTGAACAATGGATCTCTCTTAGCAGCTGCCATTCTCAAACGTTGTTGACGAAGGCGTGCATTATTACCACCGCCAACAGGTGTAGGAGGATTGGAGCCTGGTGGCAATGGAGGCTCCTTCTCTCCTCGAAATTGAGCAATGGCATCTGATACGTACTCATACCAATCCTGAGCTGTCTCTTTAGTAGTATTGGCGTACTTTCGTGCGGTCTCTGTGTGTTCGGCTGTTTTTTCCTTTAACTGTATCCACTTTCTATAATATTGTTGAGTACGCTCTTCAGCAGCCCAATCATCCAATTTATCGAGTAATTGCTCGCCTCCAGGGAAATAAGTGATATATGTGTCATGAAAGGCTTCATTCTTAAGGGCAAAATAGGTGGAGCCCGTGTATAAAGTGCCTGTTAATAATGTCAGCCATAATATCTTCTTGCTTAACGATCCTTTCGCTTTTGTTGTGGTGTAATCAGCGACAATTTCAGGTGTGGGGGCTGCCGTGTAAAAGCGACTAGGCTATTAGTGCGAACAGTAAGTTTGTTGGATGTGTTAGCAATTTTATTCATCAAGCGATGCAATGCAATAAGTGCGGTAATGAAATATTCTATTTTCTAATCTGGGTAGTCGAAGTACTGAAGAGGTGCATACTTACTACGTTGAAACGCCTTGGTTTATTGAGCGAACAAAGACGGGTGGAAGATCGAATGGTCGGAAGTCCTCTCAACATGGTTAAAAAAACAGGGACAAGTTTAGCTTGTTTGCTATAAAACCTAATATGCAAAAAATTCGTGCTTAAATGTTTGATTTTGCTACCCAAATTTCACCAGGGCGGCGACGATAGACATAAACAAACTCAGTTTACTGTGGGGAAGCTCACGTCACGCTGGTAACTTTTGTGTTCCTGAAAGATTCTGATCGCTAAATTCCGAGGTTATTTGTCTCCCTAATAAAGTATCAAAGCTAATCTTGCAATATTCATTACTGATATATGAAAGCAAGGAACATGACATATGACATATGAAATAGGCCAACCTCAAGGGCTGTCAGGGCACTTTATTCTGTCATACTGTAAGGGACAACTAAGCAGCGATTTAACAGCGATAAGTTACCCATATGAAAGGGCAAGAAAATACATGTATTCTTTTTGCCATCAAGGATAATATTAGTAAATCCAAATTAGAGTATAGATATCATCTGAGCTTATAGAAAGAAACATAATCGAATGCAATGGTTTGAATATGTCATGCTATCCTTTACTGATTGTTCTACGCAATTCAAACTTTCGTGGCAATATGTTCAATGTTTCGCATTACGACCACCATTCATGATTTCTTCATGCCGTGATTGAGCAATTTCTTTAAACTTGTCCCTATAATAAGCAGACATCATACGATGAATCAGCAATTCTCTCATACCTTCTAACAACAATCACTTACATTGTTTGTGTTAAATCATCTAACTATATGTACCTTTAACCATTAGTAACTGATGAGTATAGGCAAACAAAATTCTCTCACCTTATGCATCATATTCTTTAGCATTGCTTCTTTTCTCTCAAAACTCTTCGCGAGTGCTGTTCTGTCTTGTTGCTGGTGAGGTATTTGCTGCTTTTCTGTATCTTTTGCTATTGAAGTGACCTTATTCAACTGTGTAGAGCTACAAATACACATCAACATCTGTAAGGGAAAAAAAATCGCTATTACCAAGCTTCAGAGTTCTTACTGTAGGTCACAAGTGGAATCTAAAGAAACATGATCGCTGGCTATGTCAATCTGTTTCCTTCGTAGCGCATTCAATTGTTGAAACAACTCGCTTGAGTCTTCACCAAATACTCTCATGTCACTTTCTCGAAATGCCTTATCTACTTTTTTGAATTCCTCATTGAGCTTTTTAACGACATTCTCATGTGCTTGCATGATATTATATGGAAGTCGGAGAACCGAAAGGTACTCGCAAATCGTGCGCATAATTTTTCATTTCAAACCAGTTTCATTGTTTGTCAGAAAATTAACGCGACTGAGGAAACTCAGAATTAAAATTTGACGTTATCTTTTATTTCTTGACTCAACTGAACTTTTTCAATGGTTGATTCCTTGTCTACAGCTTCTGAGATCATCAAGATAACTGAAGACGGTCAAGTCACTAAAAGAATAATAAAAGAAGGCGTTGGTCTTCAAACAACAGATAACAGTACAGTTAGTGGTAAGAAACGCTTCAAAGCATCTCTTATCCGATGAGGATACATAACTTACTATACTTTTGTCAACATTATGACTCGTTCAGTTCATTATGACGGATATATATATGAAACGGGCACGCTGTTCGACTCTTCGTACCAAAGAAATACCGAATTCACTTTCACTTTGAATTCAGGTATGTGCAGAAATAAATATGAAATGAATAAAAATGAGTGATAAGATATTCTATAAAGTTAACACGCCTCTACATTTTACACAGGGAAAGTGATAAAGGCATGGGAATTGGCTATACCTACAATGAAAGTAGGAGAAAAAGCAGAGATTATTTGTACAAGTGACTTTGGTATGAACTCGTTTATCAGTTTGTCTGAAAGTCGGATCAAAAAGTTATGTTACTGTATTGATTCCTTTCGTCTTTTTCTTACTTCGCACAACAGGCTATGGAGATAAAGGTAGACAATATATCGTGCCTAAAAAAGCAAAATTACGCTTTGAGGTGGAACTATTAGGGTTCTGGGAATCGGCTAAATCAGCGACAGAACGCATAGCATCAGCTGAGAAAAAGAAAATGGAAGGAAACGAGTTATTTAAGAAGCAAGCTTTAGACGAAGCATTGTTTGCTTATCGAAAGGGTAGAGATTTTATCAAAGATTTATGGAACTGCGAAGCTCATGACTTGGAACAAGCACGGCATTTAATGGTCGCCTTACATTTGAACATCGGCGCTTGTTATCTGAAAATGAAAAATTACGAGCATGCTATCGAAGTTTGTAAAAAGGCTTTGGATCGTGATCCCTCTAACTTAAAAGCGCATTACAGAATAGCACAGGCATACCTCGAATTGGGCGAGTTTGATAACGGCATTGAATTCATAAGGGCAGGCTTACAGGTAATTGAAGTAGACGGTTGAAATATCAATGAAGAGAAAGAATCTTATTAAATATTATACGGTGGTAATAGTATAAACCAATGGACACTGATATGAAAGCAATGCTAGCAACTTTAGAAAAAAGAAAGGAGCAATATCTCGCTGAAAGCAAGAAATTATATAGAAAGATGTGTAGCAACTAGTATAAAAAATAATACACGCTTAATTTTACTCTCAGTATACTTCATACAACATAATACGTTTTCGATATATGCACTGTAAATAGAAACATCGATTACTCAACCAAAACAGAACGTCCTTATTTCCATGATATTGTACTTCAAATGTCTTCTTTTTGCAACAATGATCAACGAGATCGGTTTTTATTTTCTTTCCGTCAGCATTACTGACATTGCAGTGAAATGTCAGTGTATGTATAATTAGTTCTTTGAAGTTCAATAATTTGCTGCCACCCATATTGTCCCTCTTCATTTTACTAGAAGGCTTGATGCATGTATTTTTGCACCGCCAACAAAGCTTGGTATCTGACTTCTTGATCTTCATGGGTCATCAATTCCATGATACGCTGCTTAGCGCCGATATCTTGTAAAAGGCTACAGAAAAGAAAAACATTGTTAGCACCCTTCCATATGTTATACACGCGCTTCAGGCAATAACAGTCTCAATAACAACTTACTTTTTGCCACCCTTCGTAGCATACTTCACATAATAGCCAACATCACTTGCTGCCACAGATAAAACCAAAGGACTGTTTGATGTACTCAAAAGACGTGCAATACTCTTGAGTAATTGATAACCATTTTCTTCAAGCTTATGCGCGTTTTCCTTCCAGAACAAATCAGATTTATGAGGAGGTGACCACTCTAGCTTACCCGTTTCAATCTCGGATGCATATTGTTCGAAAGTGCTGCAAGGCTAGTTAGCTTTCCAGTATCTTCATTTATACGATTCAAATTACTTACGTAAGGCTTTGGAAATCTTCTTGCAATCTTTCCTTTACAAAAACAATGTCCTCTAGAATATCTGGGTCAGACCATTTACGTGTACTCAAATTTTCAGTGAATGGCAATAGTTTAGCAACCAACATGGCGGCTAAGTTTTGAGCAGGTGCTTTTTCAACAAGATTCTATGTATTTTTGAACCGACACGTTGCATTGTTAGTGTTGTCGTTTTCCTGCAATCAGCATTGTTGACAAAAAGGCTTCGGTTACTCACTCTTAAAGTAGCAATGGAAACACGAATAACTTTTTCTTTTACAGCAGACTTTGCAATTTCTACTAATAAAGGTATAATGTCATATTTTCTAGACGATTTACCAACAAAATCCGCACACGATGCATTCAGCGTTGTTTAGTACGTGAGAAAAGAAAAATAAATAAAAGCACTACAGACTTACTCGTTAATTTGAGCTGCAATGTCTTTCTCAAATGTCAAAAGCCATAAACAGAAGATGATTTGATATTGAATTTGTGGAGTTGAAGCTGACTTATTCAAGAATAATCTATGGACTAACCTATACAAAGAATAGCAAAAACAGGAACATTTCAGTCAAAATTCTCTAAACCAGCTGAGCGTTGCTTTTCTTACTCTTTGATAGCATTAGGAGTATTCCAAACAGACAAACGATAAGCATTTACACGTAAAATTGACTCCAATTCCTGGATAACCAAGTTGACTACATCATTGATAGACCCAGTTAACTTTGTCGTAATCCATTTGAATAAAGGTGACAGATCAACAGTAGTAGGTGAAGGAGCCGAACTGCGATAATGTCATATGTTGAGTCAAGTTCTTACTTCAAAGCAAATACAAAAATTTTCTATATCTTCACATTCTTACCAAGCCAAAATTGTTAACACTTTTGAAGCCTCGAGTGACATAAATTCTTCTTCAGAATCTAATAGTTTCATAAAAGGTGCAAATGGCAGAGACGCATCCTCCTTTGAAGTTTCATGAAAATATCGTGCGTTATTTTCATTAACTAATTAAAAATAACGGAAGTGCAGGTGTTTTGAGTTATTCAAATAGTTTTAATTGCTGTGTCTCTTAATCTTCGTTTATCTTTACAAGTGAGAATATGATCAGTCAACAAGCAAATGTACTGAATTGTGTCAGGTCGAGACAAGTTTTGCAATAAATATAAGATGAGTGAAGCATAGGTCTGTCCTTTTTCATTCATGGCTTGTTGAATAACAGATTCAGATTTTTTGTCAATGGCTTTAATCAGTTCTACTTGCTCATGAGTCAATAAACTTGCACGTTCGTATCCCTACCAAGAATGTCATCATAAGTTTTGAACAAAGATATCCATTTTTGTTGACTATTGTAATAGTCTAGTCCTTCAGCATTTCAACATTTACCTCCCAAAGAATAGGCTTCTGTCTCACAATATTAGCTTTCTTTTCCAAATAAGGGTTTCTTACAAGTACAAGAGGGACATCAGGAAGCTGTTCTTCTGCCATTCTTATCTCGATATATTAAGTTTCAAAAAGCTATCTGTGAAAACAAATGGTAAACATAAATTTGTCTTTTTGTTTAATCGGCTGCTGGAATAAACTCAGTTAGCAGAACCGGAGTTGTAGGTAATAAATAGAAAATATGCTTTAGATGCTGAAGGATAAAGTTATAGCACCTTGCTTTTATGAGGATGAATTAGAAGTTCTAATATTTTTATTTACTCAAGTGAAGTACAGAAGCTGCTGATTAAGACTTTGGCTCGTTTTTTTAAGATGTCAGTACTAACTCCATCAGCTCGTCTTCGACTTATACAATATGTATAGATCGTACTGAAATAGATCATCTAAAAAGATATAAACAATTCTAATCCAGGCATAGAGGTCGTTGCCAGTCATTTGACTCGTGCTGTATTGACTGTAAGCTCAAACCATGAATTTTAGCTTCCAAATGATAAGTAATGGTGAACGATGCACATTGTCGGTTTGGTGAACTGACGACAAGGTTCTACAATGCATTGCGCCTTAAATATATGTATGAACAATGTGTGTTTATTCACATAAAACAGAACTAGTAGATATTTACAGAAAGAAGCAGACTATATACAGTGCCAAAATAAAATGAGTGGCTTCTCATTTATTCATATGCGGCATCATCTTCAGCTTCGTCATAGTCCTGTTCAACATCTTCATTGGATTGAGTGCGGCCTGAACGGCTACCACCTTTACGGCCAGCTTGACGAGCACGTTCGCTGCCCTTTTCAAAGGAGCCAGAAGAAGCTTGACCACCCTTTGAAGCAATCTCACGCTAAATGTAGGTAAAAAGTAGAGGTTTAATATATGTACCGATAGTAACCACGGCACAAAATTAGAAGAAACATACTTGTTTTTGAGGATCCATGGAGGCGAAACCACCACTATGGCTTGATCTACCGCCCTTGGCAGCAATTTCACGTTGTTTATCAGGATCCATAGAGGCAAAGCCCTGGTTACCAGTGTGAGAGTCAGATTGAGGATTCTTAGGCATTTTAAAATAATTGATAGTGATCAATAATAAGAAGTTTTCAAGACAGGTGGAATTAAAGGATATTTATATACAAAAGGGTTTACCATGATCACAGTTATTATGTCATATTGAGAAATATTGACCTTTAAGTACGACCGTGGTTCGTTTGAAACCATTGCATTTGGTTTGCTTGATAGATCGGAATCGTAATGATTACCTTTACTCGTTGTTCTCCAACAATTATTGGTTGAAACTATTTGCTTGCTTTAAGTAACTGCATAAAACATTTTAAATTGCATAAGGATTGCTTCAGCTTTTACAAAACGGGCTTTAACTAGGGTTCAGATATGCAGTAATCCTGCGATATTTCCACGTCTGGGGAAAAAGAATATGAGTAAATCGACAGAAAAGGTCTTGGCTTTAACCAACTTTTTTAAACTGATTACAGAAATTCGAGACAAATTCCAGAGTTTTTTTTTCTTTTTTTTTGTTATTTGATAGAAGGCAGCAAATGACAGCTTTGCATTGTAAATCGGAAATTCCCAATAAAACACATTTTCACTGCTCACAGCTGTTACGTTTACACTAAGTTTGCTTATTGAAACAATACTTACCAGTATATTAGAAATAAAAATTGAAATCATCCAATAAAATGCCCCCATTTTGCCCAAAATTTTTTAAATAGGGTAGGTACGAGTTCTCGAGATTATGTATAAAGCTGATTTACCAGACTCTCTAACACTTTTTGTATTCTTTGTTGCATAAATAGTCCATTTGCTTATTGGGTGGTAAACAAAGGAAGCCAAGTTATGACTAAAATTTTATCTTGTCTGAACATATGCTTATGCTGGCTATCACAATTGTGTTTTAGTGTCATGGTTCGCCTCTTTTTGTTCTAACTCATGGTTTCTTCTACTGGCCTGGTTGTTCAAACTTGCTACTACCAGATGTATATGCCGTACCTTTCCTAATCAGAAACGGTACATGCGCTCACAGCCGATGGCTGTAATACCTTTTGGGTAAGAGATATAAAGAAATGAACAAGACTGCCAAAAGCCCTCAATAACACTACCTTTTCTGTCAAATGTGTCATTCTGCTCAACTCTAATTTTTGATATTACACCTCACATGTAAGTATTGAACTATGAGTAGCGATTCTGTCACAACATTATAGGTAGCTTACGAGAGCTCTTGAATAAAAAAACACCCAGTATCTAAAGCAAGCTGAAGATTTGACATTGCGCAAAGAAAACCTTGAAAAAGATACGTTTTTACTGTTTGTTTATCTTTGTTTTTCGAAATGAGACAGGATTCCTCCATATCTACAGCGAGCTTCTATTAACTTCTCATCGTCACGTTACTACTGTTTTTGGCATCGAACAAAATTGTATTTCAATGCGAGCTGCATGAGTATAACAAAATGAGTAATGTATACAGTCCGGCTGGTGAATATTGGCCGGAGCTCATATCTGTATCTTCCCATTGACAAACTCAACTAGACCGCTCGCATGGGTATACGGTCAAAAATCACATTGATTGATGGGCATTGCCCTGTTTGTAAAATCTATAAACGTGGTTCATCACCATCGTATCATGAGGAAAATGCCTTGCTGCGTAGAACATGGTGAGTGATAACGGAAATGGAAAACGCTTGTAGTATTACGTTCAAGCAATCCCAGAATTTCAAAGTCTAGGTTGTTGTACTCATTTATTTCCGTTTGAATACTACTTTGTACCTCATCATTCGTTATATTCAGCTCTTTGTGTTAGTTATGAGATTATCCTATCCACCGTCTAAATACAACCGTTATTACGTCAAAAATGAAACCATATATGTCATCGGCTGCATATGCAGGTGCAATGTATGTATGGCCGATCTTGCTAAATGCATCCCTTCATCTGTTCATGCTTTTCAAGCCTGAATAAGATTAGTTGCTTCAGGAACGAAGTGTGGCAGGTATGGAAAAGAAGCAAAAAAGTAATTGGGAAGGCAATGAGCCTTTTGCCGTCGACCCTTATTGAATGATGACACAAACTGAGATAAAACCCAAAACAGACGTCTTATCTTGAATTTGGTTACTGTAACACACATTTAAATTGAGATAACGGATTAAGATTTTGCCCCCAACCTCGCTCTTAAGGGCTTCTCCGTCTTTTCATCGTTCGTCCCCTAAGAGCACTTTACAGTATTATTTGTTTGATTTCCTTCTTTTCATGGATAACTTTTATGAGTTACATAGGAAATTCACCTGAAGATACAGTTTAGAGGCTTATTGGCTTTGGTTAACAAATGGTATTCTAGGACATGCTCTTACTCAAAAAAAACCAGAAAAACTTTATAATCCCCAATTGTGCCCAGAAATAAAATGTGGGGGCGGGGCTGCTCGCGGGATTACAAAAGACCAAATCACACAAGTAAATTGCGGGTTTCAAATTTATGATTTTTCATAGTATAACTTGAAAATACAAATTGCTGCATTTTGATAGTTGAGGTTGGCACAGAATTACAGTATTGTTGTGCTAATAATTCGAGAAAAGCATAGTAATAAAAGCAAGTTAAAAAGTGTAAATAGAGATATGGTAAACATTTTATTTACATTGCAACAGGTGCATCAGCATGGATTCATCCGTTCAAATAGAGCAGAAAAATGGGAAGATGTTATTACATGCATCGACGATCGCATCAAAATTAAATAGTACTATACCTTACGGACGGATGCATTAGATATGCGAGCGATAACCGGCAAAGAATATTTCTTTCAGGCTTAGATCTATCATCAGGCGCACTTGCCGTTCTTCGTTCTCGTCAGCACCAAAACGACGGACGCCAAGGTTGTTCTGTTGTTGGCGGCGGGAAATGGCAGGAATAGTATCATGTTGGCTCGAGTGATGTCGTATGTTGATATTGTTGGAACGAGCAGACATATTTCGCTTCCAACGGAATTCAACAGTTTGTGAATCGACTCACGTATTCAAAATGGAAGAGCACATTTGGCGCAGACCAATATCACATGAAGCATTTCCCCTGAAATCAGTGACTAGCAGACGCATCCTCAAAATACTGTGATATCCATCAGAGGCAAAACATGGTGAATGATCTTTCTACTTTATCTGAAGAATCACGAACTTTTCGTAGAGCAGCTGTCTGCATCCATTTCCTTTTGCGGCTTCGTCCAACTCCTGTAGTCGTTCCATCACAGCGAGAAGATGCAGAAGCATATAAACGGAGAAGCGTTTTAAGTAGACAATAATAGAACGTGAAAGAAGCCACACTGAAGAATGAACTTTCATCCAAAGAGGAAGGATGAGAAAGAGAGCAAAAAGACAAAGAGAAGCAAGTCGTTGTTAGTCGACCTCCGTGCTTGAAAACCCGTGCAAAATCCTATAAGTTTGATTGACCTGTTGCATTGCTCAACTATTTGAGTTTCTGTCTTTAGGCTAAAAGCGTGCTTTCTTCATACTGAAAGCACAATCCTTAGTCAGGAAACCATGAACTGCAGTTTTGGTAACTATCAAATTCATAAACTGCGCCGCAAGGCTTTCTACTGCTTTAGAAACTGTGGTGGTAGGATCGTCACCGTACATTAGTCATAAGTTCATAAGTTTCAGGACAGCCAACATTTTTCTTTTTTTTTTTTTCACTCAGGTAGCTGTCGGTTCGTTAAGTTTCCAATGATTGCTCTCTGACTCTCTTTAGACACACGAGTAATATGCAGTACACACGGGTAAATTCAACTCTCCCGCAGTTTAAATACAAAAATTGTTCCTGGTTGACCTTACACTCAAAATGGGCTTAGATCCATGGGTATCGAAAATTTGTGGATAATTTCCAAGCAAATGAACTTGGTTGACTTCCAATTCAACGGGTCCATTTCCCTTCATCAAAGACATTTTCTAAGCTAATTAGATCTGAAGAGAGGTATCTCAACGCTCAAAATATTCTAGGTTATTGCAATAAGGTTGCGGAAACTGTGCTCATCCAGACTGAAATTTTCGATTCGTACAATCAATTTTAGAAATCACGGTTAAATACATCCATTCACTGAATGTGTGTGTGTGTGATACGTAGATTCTTTTTAAGGGTAATTTTAAACGTCTTATCTTATCTTTTTCCTTAACAAAATAGGCTGCTATGATTGATATAAGGCTTTTGTGTGGTGTATTCGGTTCAACAGAGAATCCTGTGCTGAGTGCTTCGTTCTCAAGTAGAGTAAAAAAGCTTTTAAAAATTACAAAAACCATCTATCGAGATCTGGTGCTTCATTTTTCGGTTGAAAGTTTGTAATGGGATTAATTTATACTTTTAAAAAGAAGGAAAAACATTTTGAAATTCATAAGCATTTTCTGCATTTGTTACACGAATAGCAAACGAAAAAAACAATTTAAAATCCGACCGAAAAAAGTGGGGTATTTGTGGGGGAGCTCTCTGCCTTTGTTTCGATGGAAAAGCCTTTAGGCTGCAACAAAAGCTGAACCACCTTAAAAGAAATCTGCGTTACAGCGATAATCTTATAGCTTTGTGACATCATAAATGTCTAATTTGGCAGCCAAACCTTTAAACTGTGCGATAATGGGATTGCCTTTTTTTTTTTTCTTGTGGCATACAATGTGGGCCCACCCCTGCAGGACCTCCCCATTATAGAATGTTCACGTTTTTTAAAAGACAGATTTCGAAGGGAAAAAAAAGAAGATTCAACCCAGACTGTTTGATGACACTTATATAAGCAGCTTTTTTTTTTATATATAAAACCCATTTGCGCGCGTTTAATTAAGTTCTTCTTTTTCCGTTTTCCTTTTCATACTCTCTTTTACCAAATTACAATATAATTAAATACTATGTCTGCCCTTCGAGCATTCACCTCTCTCACAAAGGTTAGTCTAAGCATAGTCCAGCGTCTTATCTGACAGCCGTTCATCTATTGAAACACTTCATCCTTTTACTGTCAGGCCGCTACCCGTCAAACAGCATTCCGTTTTGCACCTGCCACTGCCATTGGTGCCGCCCGTTGTTATTCTTCAAAGACAAAGGTAAATATACAAGGTTATGAGATGGTTGATACTGGTTTGGTTTGGTTTGCTTGAGTTTTGCTTCCTTTGATTTTATTATTTTTATTTTGTTTTATTTTTGCGGGGAAGTGGGGCTAATGAGCATCCATTACAAATTCTGGATCTCATTTTTTTTTTTTTTACTTTCTAATAACAGACTTTGAAAGAACGTCTCGCCGAACTTATTCCTGAAAAGCAAGCTGAAGTCAAGGCTTTCAAGAAAGATTATGGCTCAAAGGTCGTTGGTGAAGTCACTGTCGATCAGATGTACGGTGGTATGCGTGGAATCAAGGGTCTTGTTTGGGAAGGCTCTGTTCTCGATGCTGAAGAAGGTATCCGTTTCAGAGGTTTAAGCATCCCTGAATGTCAAAAGGCTCTTCCCGGTGCTGCCGAAGGTGGTGAGCCTCTTCCTGAAAGTCTTTTCTGGTTGCTCGTTACTGGTGAAGTTCCTACCAAGGAACAAGTTGACCAACTTTCTGCTGAATGGGCAGCCCGTTCCTCTATCCCCGAGTTCGTCGAAGAAATTATTGATCGTTGTCCCAAAACTCTTCATCCTATGTCACAATTCTCTATTGCTGTCAACGCTCTTCAACATGATTCACAATTTGCCAAAGCTTACTCTAATGGTCTGCACAAATCTCAATATTGGGACCCTACTTTCGAAGATACCATGGACTTGATCGCCAAACTTCCCACTGTTGCCGCTCGCATCTATCGTAACGTCTACAAGGATGGTAAACTTCCCTCTATTGAAGCTGATAAGGATTATTCTTACAATTTCTCCAAGCTTTTGGGTTTCGAAGAGAATAAGGACTTTGTTGAATTGATGCGTTTATATCTTACCATTCACTCTGACCACGAAGGTGGTAACGTCTCTGCACACACGTAAGTTATTCTTTTCATTTAAAATCGATCCTGTTGGGCGAAATAACTCATGCTTTATGGCATTTCTTTCTGCAAATGCAGTACTCACTTGGTCGGTTCCGCACTCTCCGATCCTTATCTTTCATTCGCTGCTGGTTTAAATGGTTTAGCTGGTCCTCTTCACGGCTTAGCGAACCAAGAAGTCCTTCGTTGGACCTTGAAGTTGAAGGACACAATTGGTGTAGATGCCTCTGAAGAACAAATCAAGAAATATCTTTGGGATACCCTCAATAACGGCCAAGTTGTTCCTGGCTATGGTCATGCTGTTTTACGTAAGACTGATCCTCGTTACACCGCTCAACGTGAGTTTGCTTTGAAACACTTGCCCGATGATCCTCTCTTTGGTTTAGTATCCAAACTTTATCATATCATTGTAAGTATAGATAGTTCAAAGTTGTTATAGGATGGTAGAAAGAAAAGTACTTGCAAATGTAGAACCGTCGTATTCATATTTTGTCTTGACTTATTTTAGCCTGGAGTTCTTACTGAACACGGTAAGACCAAGAATCCTTGGCCCAATGTAGATGCACACTCTGGTGTTCTCTTACAATATTACGGTCTCAAAGAACAAGGTATGACATTTCCTACTTGAATTTTCCATACAACGGAAGATGTGTTTTTTACTGAGAAACACTATGTTTGGTTCCTGATAGAATATTACACAGTACTCTTTGGTGTTTCAAGAGCCTTAGGTGTTACTGCCCAATTGATTTGGGACAGAGCCTTAGGGTAAGTTCACTAACAAATGTTTGATTGAATTTGATCCCATTTTCTTAACCATTTCTTAATGTATTCAACAGACAACCATTAGAACGTCCTAAATCTTTCTCCACACAAGCCCTCAAGAAGTTGGTTGGTGCCAACTAAATGTATATAGTATCAAAATATAAATAAAAAAACTCCTAATTCTGTAATAGAAGCCTTTTATGACAATTGTGTGAACTTGAAGTTTTGGGTTTATTTCAGACATTGGGGAGAGGGGGCTATTAAGGTATAATTACCAAACGTGGATGGTATCATTGACAGATAACACTTTAAATGTCTCACCTTGTATTATCGCTATCGTGTAGCAAAATCGAAGCAAAAGCAATGATCTGCAGCTTAACTTTCCTCATCTATTGATGGGGTTTTACATTACAGTAAAGTCCTCTAAAATCTGGTCTCCATGGATGGGATTCATGTCCTGATACATAATGCCACACACTGTCATAGACTCAAATTCAACACGCTTAAAATTTGCTTCTTTATTCTCAATACTTTTTTTAATTTCGCAAGTCTTAAAATTTTTCTGGTTGCATCCTTTACCTGTATTTAGTAACAAGATACGACGAAGAAGAAGGGTATTTTTGCAACAACTGTCTCATCCCCTGAATCTGTCGGTAGCAGCTACAGATACGACTTTTACTGGTTAGTATATTGATGTATGAGATACCCGTTTTCTTTTCTTCTTTTCTTGTTTTTTTGATATCAATCTCTTCCTGTTATATCAAACTGTTTTTGATGCAGGATACAGTTTCGTATTCGATAGATGGAAGACAGAAGAAATAAAAAGAGACCTATGCGCTTCAGGAGGCATACAGTGAAACGGCCGCCTCCCTCTTATAGATATCTTGCCGCGGTAGAGCGGCTATCTATAACAACTTTGTTTATGTATCATTATATACACAGGAATCACAATAATTGATTGTATTCGTTGTGGGAGGCCTATCATGAACGCCTGGCTCATCAAATTGAGATTGATAATCTAGCGAGCGCTTGATTATCAAGTTACAATATTGTAACATTATCTATCTCAATTTCAAAGTGCAGTGCGTCCCTAATCTTCTTTTCTATCAATAGATAAGGGATGTTCGCAGTGGAAGCAACTGCAAAATTTGGGCGCTAACTTGTATAGCAGTGTTAATCTTTTACCTTCTCTACTGAAAACAAATTTCACGAACGTCATGTATCTTTATGTATACACGAATATCGTTTTGCCAGTATTTAATACACGAACAAAAACAATGCAGTCTGTTAATACGACTTGCTGTCATGCTTGGAAACATGATGGATTTTCATGCAACATTTCAGTTACACTTTTGATAAGCTAAGCAGACGTCACAAAAAAATAGAAAAGAGAATTTCCATCTGTAACAATAGGAACGTTTGATACCAGTAGGAAATGATAACACAAACTTCAACAATTGGTAAAATTAAACTCTAAGGGGTACCAAGCAGTGTCATTGCTGATTATCATACTTATAAGTGTTATCAAAAATAAATATAGGTTTATAAGGCAATCAATAACATAAAAATTGTCGTACTTTTTTAGTAACTACCGACCATTAACTATGGTAGAGGGTAGTAATCATAAGACACCTTGCACTGTGTCCCTTATAATATAAAAGACTAGTGTCCATTGCTTAAATGACTACGCCTTTCAACCACTTTGAGACGTACGTAATTCCGAGCCGCGAAATGATGAAGTGATGGCTTTAAAGTAAGTTTGGCTCTTGATTTGCAACTTTCATTCCCTGAATGCAATATATACAAAATTATATATGATCTGCTATTCTATCTATAATAATAATAATTAAAGTTTACTACTAATTTTTTTACGGCCGAACTCATTGATAAACTAGTTAGCAACAGCACATGAGACATTTGGGTTAAAGAAAAAGAAGACCAACGTTTCAAAGCAATGGTATGAATGATAAAACCTAATATTTGTAAATTCTTATGCAATGTTCAAACTCAATGTCTAAACTAGAAGAGCTATTATAGCAACTAGCCCGTCTCTAGGCTTACTAGTAAATATACTTTGGCTGCTTTTGCACCACGAATTCATGAATTTATCGGATTGTTCTGATAAATGTTTAGTTTTGTGGTTTTGCTGAAGATGCGCACCTTAAAAATTATGTCCTCAGGAATGAGAAGAAAACTCATAATCAAATTGTAATAATGGTGGCAATGAAAGGTTGAAGAACTAGATCCTTGCCGTAGTATTGCTATTACCACATTTGGTTCAGCGTTTGAGTTCTGCAAAATGCAATAGCCACTTCAATTTCTTTACAGTTTAGCAACAATACTCACGTGGTTGATACTCATCTGGTTTGAGCATACCTATTCTATAAAAATATAGTTCCATTGGTCTAATGATAGACAGAATTTTACGACTGATTAAGATAGAAAAAAGTAGAACTGAATTCCAACACTATACGTTCGGTAACATTGATAGAGCATTGTCCGCTAGAATCATTTGTACCCACTGTCTATTTTCCTCTGCTTTTGAATAAACAGTCAGGCAATATCTTCATTCAATAAGCGTTCACCATCATTTGATTTCCTTTTTGAGATTTTGCAAAACACAAAGACAACCTGTGATGTGGAAAATGTTATTCGTACTCTATATTCAAAAAGGCGGCTCTTACGCTAAATTGGCTGGATGAATTAATGTTGCAAGCAATTTCTATCTGCGAATAAAACAGAACAATCGCAACGCACCATAAATAAAGCACTAAGTGACACAAGGCACCGTTTTCATTCATGTCAAGCAAAAAACTTAACAAGGCTACACAAACTTTAGCTTTTACTTTTTCACACGAATGAGGAAAGGGGCTGTTCGTCTGGGAAGCTTCATTTGCTTATTTCAGACTTTTTTAGGGTTCTTATTGTTCACTATTTTTTCGCTTAGCTTTCGCACAAAATAGTTTATAGATTGAGATATTTTACAATTCAAATTTAGATTAAATTAAGAAAATAATCTTGAATGGTAAGCTTAGTTTTTTCATTATCTATCATGATGTTCAATGCCGAATGTGCGACCTAGTCTTACTCAAACAAGGTAAATATACTGTGCAGAAGCATAGAATACCCACCCTGCTTGAGTATGGTAGTAATTTGAAGCAGCAGTTAATAAACTTTAGAAACGTACAGTGAGACATTTCACAAGATGAACTCATCTAAACACGTAAAGATCTTTAAGCCGTCGGTTTCGAAGAGCCTGCAGCACCATGTTCGTATCGCGATGTCTTGAAAAGATTTCGGGGCGACCATTGTTTCATATGGAACCTGCAATTTGAAGCGTATTTTTTGCCGCAATGATGTCTCGTTGCCATACGATACTACAGGTTTTACAGGCCATGGTACCGTGGACACTGGAGCCTGAAGTGTTTACTAAGATAACAACTATAATACTCGAGGGTATACAACCAGGCAAAGAATGCATTCTATCATGGTCTATCTATATTGCATTTAGTATTAGGTTATGTACAATATATAGCAGGATACAGGAAATTTAATAATCACACATCAAGTATCTAAAACTGAAATTAGTTATTTACATACGCGTCCTCAGCGTGCTATAACTCCCATCAGACCTTACAAAAAAGAATCTTTCTACTTCGTCTGAAGAATAAGAAAGGAATTTTCCTGACACGTGTGGCCATAAACACTTAAAGAGTTTACAATCGTAGCAAAACCGGTAGAGGAGGATTCCATGACGAATTTATTAAATGTAGGATCTACCTTGCTTCACTTATTGATTATGCCATCAACAAAAGCACACATAAGCCTTTTTTTCATCTATCTTATTCAATCGTTGATCCTATAGGTGAGCGTAAGGCGAAGGTGGCAAAATGACGCCAAAGACACTCCATTAGCAATAATGCTCTGATGCCACGTGTCGTAGAAGCCTACAACACGGTTACTCCGTGAGGATCATAAGCGTTGGACTAGGCATACTGAAGGGAGACATGCGTGCAGAAAGAAGTGGTCCTAAGATGGTTTACTGAAAGTGGCCGAATTTCTGGAATAAGGAGTCGGAAATCAATCACTTTGAATTGTCTGAATTTGGTTAATGGAAAGATCCAATTTTTAATTAAAAACGTCTAAATCGAATCCGAAAATACTGTGGTATTTTTGATCTGTGATACAGCTTATTTAGAACTGTTTTTGTTCAACAACGATATATTTCTTAAACCACTACATTTCGACAGAAACATAGTATTTGGAGCACATTCAATTGCAAATTAGGTGGAGTGCAAAGGCAATCTGCTTTTGATTGATAATTTTGTTACTAACAATCTGGCAAATCAACATCCAAAATAAATAACAAAAAAAAAAAAAAAAAGCAAAGGCATATATATGATTAGCTGCGAATTTCTTTAGATCTTGGTTTCATGATGAATAAATAGAGAAAAGGTATGCAAATTGAGTAAAGGTTCAAGTTCAAAGGGGGTTCAAGTCACTTCCAAAATCGATCACCATAATCCGTCCGTCTTCCCCTGAGCTATATTAAAGAGGTGAACAATATTTAAATTCATAATTAGTGAAATCCATTGTATTGGTAGTAACAACATTTCATTCATCAACACAAATATACCTAACAATTTGTGTACCGCTTACAAGTACACTAAAAATCAGACCGGAATGGCCACTTTGAAAACTCAGAATGCATGCACCACTTTTAGGATCCCACACTTTCAGTGTACGATCATAACCACCAGTTACAATTTTACCCTTTAATAGCAGTTCTAATGTTAGTTTAATCAAGATAACCATGATCCTCAATAATAGATCAATTACTTACGTTACTATAGTCTATTGAGCGCACTATACCAATATGACCGATCATTGTCTTTATGCATTCACCAGTTTCAATGTCCCATATCTTGATTTTACCTTCAACGCTGCCAGTGTAGAGATGGGGCCCAATATTTTGAATACAGGAAACGCCGCATCTTTGTCTCGTTTCTATTGTCTTGATACATTCCCCAGTTAATACATTCCAAATTTTGAGCGTCGCATCGCTTGAAGCTGTTACTACGCGATTGTCACCCGCATATTCAACCGAATTGACAGGCCCATGATGTCCAATAAGTTGTCTTACTTCTCTACCTGTATTTTTGTCCCAAACACGTGCTGTGTGATCTTTCGAACCAGTGATGACATATTCACATTGTTGCCCTTCTTGATCTATTTCAGTTTGTACGAAGCAAACACTCAATATACTATGTCCGTGTCCCCTTAGTATGCATTTAACAGTTAAGCTCGGTAAAGACCAAAGAATACAAGTAGCATCTTTGGTTCCTGTGGCCAGCACGCTTCGATCCTTATTGACTCGCATACATAAGAAGCTTCTACTCAATTCTTCGTTAGCATCTTCATTCTCTCTGTTTGTCTCTATTGTTGGTGAGTCTGTTTCGATGCTACGTATGAATTGATTTGTTTTCACATTCCAAATTTTAAGTGTTCTGCCACGACCACCACTAATAACGATATTTTTACTCAACCAAGCCAAACAGTATATATTGTCTGCATGCCCGCTTAAATAACGAGTTGCGTTCACTTGCCCACGCACCCAGCGTCGCCCCAATAAGCAATGGTTTTTGTATAGCTGACGATTGACGGAAGGCTGTATCAAGAATTTCCACTGCTGTTGTTTTTGTTTTTTCAATAATTGCTGCTGCTGTTGCTGTTCTTGGAATCGTGTATTATATTGCTGTAATGGGATCAATTTTGACATTTGTGTATGTGTATTTCTTGTAGCTAAAACGAGCGCTCCCTCAACGTCGAATGTCGAATCATCTTTCTTCAATGTCTGTGTTACTGTTACATCTGTAGTTTGCGGGGAAGGTGGCACAATAAACTGAAAATCGGCATATAAAAGTTTCCTCCATAAATCATCGTCATTACAAATACTATACATTTTGGTACATGTACGGGAAAGTTTGTGAATAGATGTGCAATCCAAGAAATAGAGTACTTTTGAAATGATTTCAGTGGGCATGTTGACGAGCGCTATTTGTTGGGAGGTTGATAAGTTAGAATGGGGGAGATCAATCGCATTTCAGCTGTGCATATATGTGCTTCTAGAAACCTACTAGATGTGGCAAGATTGTCTGAGGAAGAAACTATTTCCAAACCAGAATTCGAACTATGGAAAGAATACAGGGACGATGGACGCCTGCTTTGAAACGATGATCTGCGAGAACTAAATTTTGGTAGCAGCCGTGAAGACAAGTTAGAAGAGGAAGCCTTCAACTTCCTTTTTAATGGTGTAATTTTTGATGTATTATATTGTGGATTCAAGCATTTTGTTTTAGCCGTCTTTCCATCCTTTCTCGGATAAATGGTAATGTAAAGAGGTATATGTATAGATGGCTTTTCCTCTTTCTTAGCGCTTAGTAAGGAAGTAGAGAAAATGAATGATAAAGAATAGGTCATAATGTATGAATATGTAGTATCAGTAAGCAAACTAAAGTAGAATTAATACAGGAGATGTTAAAGAAAGGAAGAAAAAGGAACGGAAATCTCACGTAACCGTTGATATAAATATGGCATAATTTTTTGTCAAGCACCTTGAATCAAAGAATACCACAACAATGAAAAAAGGTTTGCAAGCACGGCAATAAAATGGAAATTAAGCGTTTTTTTCTTTTCCCTTTTGTCAGACTTTGGTGCTAAATTGGCTATTCCCCGCAAAATAGCGAATGGTTAACCAATTGATGATTTTCAACTGTAAACTTTAATGGCCTAATCTTAAGTCTTTTTACTTTTTTGTTTTATTAATAACCAAATAGAGCTAACAAGCTTCAGGTAGATACAATGATAGTGCTTTATGGTAGCTTAGGAATGCTCGAATAGAACACCGAATTCGACGTAGAATTCAATTTATTCCATTAACTTTGTCACAATTTAATAAAACATTGAACCTTCGCCTTAAATCGTTTCACGAAGGCGAATTGTTTTCAAGGGTTGTTTATTACGCTTTTATAGCTTCTTATTCGAAGGTATCGGATTATAGCTCTGGGTTCCTGTCGTAACTTTTACTCTGGCTATTAAGATTACATATGACGTACATAGATCGTTCGTTATAGGGGCACTTTTAAAACGCTGAGTTTCATTCAGTATTCCAGTGAAATTGTGAAAAGGTATTTTTTATTGCAGGCATTATAAATGAAAAGAAGCAAGTAAAGCAATACACATTAACATTTAAAAAAGAAAGATTATGATGAGTCTTGTTTAGATAAAAATTAATTAAGGCTATTGATAAAACTATTGATGTCGTATTCCTGTTCGTAGTCTTTTTCATCCCATAAGGCTTCAAGATTCTCAAGAACATTCTTTGCTGGACCCAAGCCTTCCGCGGAGACATCTGTATTCTTTGATTTCTTCTTTAAAGAAGCGTCACCTTCTTTACTGACATTGAACAGATCCAAAATCTGGTCTGTATCCATGCTTTGCAAACCAGAATTCTGCTGATTTACGATTGAGTTGGCAATATTTAATTTGAATTTCTGTAAACCCATAATTTTCTCTTCAAGAGTGCCTCTTGTAATGAGTCGGTACACGTTAACGACGCGTTTCTGACCAATACGATGAGCACGGTCCATGGCTTGTAAATCCTTCATAGGGTTCCAATCATGTTCTACAAAAATAACAGTATCAGCCCCGGTCAAGTTCAAACCTAGACCACCCACATGTGTCGTAAGTAACAGCACGTCAATGGAAGGATCTGCGTTGAATTTTTGTACGAGTTCATGTCGTTTGCTGGCATCAACCGAGCCATCTAAACGTAAATAACTGACAGATGGCATCAGTGTTTTAAATAAATCGTTTTCTATAATGTCCAGCATAGGTTTTAATTGACAGAAAATAAGGGCTCTGTGTTGACTGACGGCTCCAATGGCCATAGAAGCAGGGTCTGATTCTGACTCTGTTGAAGCTGTCGCACCGATACCACATTCTCCTAGCAGTTGTCTACAGAATATGGAACATAGGTTAAAATTCATTTATCTTCTAAACAACAACTTTAGGCTCCCATACTCTACCTCAATGCCTGTAGTTTGGGTGCGTTCGAAATGCTGTGTATATCTGAATTGGCTCTCTGTAAGAAAGATTCAACCTTCTTATAGTTTGGATACTTTTCGTTCACAACCAATAAAGGATGATTACATAATCGTCGAAGGTATTGTAGTGCTTGGAAAATGTGTGTAGCGCCTTTGGGTTTTTCGCTTGGCCTGCCAAGATCTTGCTCTAAGGAAGATTTTGCTTGGGATTTTGCAAATTCTTCATAGAGGGATTTCTACGTTTACCAGATACGTCAGCAACGTTAAGAAAGAGGTATCGTACTACTTATATCATGCTTTACCTGTAGGTCACTAAGTTCACAATAATAATCTTGAATAATTTTGGGTGGTAAATCATGAAGCACATCCTCTTTCAATCTACGTAATAGGAAAGGCAACACTTGTTTGTGTAGTGCTTCCAAAGCCAATGCACCCGCTTCTTGTTCCTTTGATGAGCTTTTACTATCTCTGCTCGCAAGAATCGGTTTGCCAAATCGTTCGTTGAAAACTTTTTCAGTACCCAAGAAACCTGGCATCAAAAAGTCAAACAAAGACCATAATTCGAGAACATTATTCTAACAGATAACAAGAGTCTCAGTTAAGTGTGTTATGTATGTTAGAATCGTGAAATAGCAAGCTTACTTGAATAGGTGTACCGGAGAGAATAAGACGGTGATTTGATTTGATAGTTTTGATTGATTTTGTAATCTTTGTTTTGCCATTCTTGATGATATGACCTTCATCAAGAATACAGTAGTTCCAAGTGATACCAGACAGTTCATCAATATCATTTCGAATGATATCATAAGACATGATAACAACGTCATGCTTGATAAGAGACAATCGTAGTCTATCAATAAAAGCAGTTTAGTGGCGAAGCAGTACAGTAACTAATAAAATCAATAAGACTCACTTTTTCCTTTCTGCTGGGCCACCAGTATACAATAACGGACTAAGGTTCTCACAGTAATTAATAATCTCATGATACCAATGTCCTGTCAAAGTAGGAGGACAGATAACCAATGAAGGAATAGGAGCGAGTTCAGGAGACTTGGTCTCAGCATACTTTTGAGCTCTGTTAAAATGATCACCGGCTAAGATACAGATAGACTGAAGCGTCTTACCAAGACCCATATCTATAAGAATCATAAGCGTTATAAGATTTATCTTGCCACAAAAATATTGCCATGTAAATTGCAGCATACCGTCACATAAAATACCATGCAGATGAAATTTGTTCAGGAAAGCCAGCCAATTGACACCTTCCTGTTGGTATTTTCGAAGTTCTGCATTGATCCTAACAGGAATTTTATAACTCTCAACCTTTGAGTTATCAAGAAGTTGCGATAAAAATTGTCTCTCTTCGTCACGGTGAGCCAACATTTCCACCGACATTCCAGGAGGATCAGGAATGCCCGCCTCCAAAGGTACAAGTTTGATCAAAAGAGCGAAGCAATTGGTGCACACTAAACGAACAGCTTCATCTACATCACTCATGCGACCCAAAATAGGAACAATCAAAAAGATAGTGTACGGTAAAATTTTGGTATCAAGTAATTGCACAAGATGATATACCAGTTCGGAAGCACCTTGTCTGTGATAATGATTTAGTGTATTTCCCAATTGAGGCAAAACTTTTTCGACAATAATTTGCATAGTCCTATCAGTATTGACATTTGCTACGGCCGCGAGACAACGCGCGCTCACATTACGAATGACTGCATAGCACGACCGAAGGGACCTACATATATAAGGAATGATAATGTCTAGTTCGTTCCAGAGCTTATCTGATAAGTAAGGCACAATCATGGTCAAAATGCTCAAGGAATCTATGACTTCTTGGCCCAAAAGAATATTTTCTGCGATGATAGCATCCGATTGCTCAACACTGTTCATGTGTGCTGTTTCAGGGAAAACTTCCATTATTCTCTGACAGATACTTTCTTTCAATTTGGGTACAATTTCAAATACACGATCACCAAAGCGATTACATAATTCACGCAGGGCCAGTTCCGCGCCACGCTTCATTAATTGAGCATCCTTCTGCTCCTCCGGCGAGGTGTTCTTATTGCTGTTGCTGGTACCAGTTTTACTGTTCGTTTCTTCTTTCGTAATCGATAGGATGCCAGATTTTACTTGATTTTCTTCTAAAAGTGGCGTTACAGTTGTATCAGTGCATAAGAACGTGCACAGGTTCTTGATCACTTTATCATTAGGGTTTGAACGAGCTTTGCTACGTTCACATAAGGCAACTAGATCTGTAAGTGTAGCAGCGGAACGTTGCTGTAATTCGAGGTTTTCTTCAAATTTTATACTGTTCATGATACTACGAATTATAGGATTCAATTTTTGAGGCAAAACACCCAATTCAACAATAGCGCCTGCTGTACTTGCATATACATTAATCTCAATCTTTTGCTTCAACTCTTCAAAGTATCCTATCGAGGCAACTACACGGTGCTGACGTTCATTCAACGCTGTGAGTAATGCTGCTCTACCTTTACCCTTGGGTACTTTGGTCAGCAATTGCGGGAACGTATCTGTAACAACGGCTGTTGCAAGCTCAATCGTGAATAGTGGTCCTTGTTCTGGCAAGACCTCACCGGGAACTAAAGTAGGTAAGACAGGGATCATATTGACAGGTAATTTGGCTTCTGCATGGAAAGCATTTAATAAGTTCTGGCATTCTGCGCGGATGCGTTTCAATACATGTACAAGTTCAAAATAGAATCCAGTTGTTTGAGTCGCTGCATTTTCCAGATTGTTACACATGGCTTGAGATAAGACGCGAGGGAAATTATGCATGTTGGCCAATAAAGCTTCTGATGGTGCATGGCTGATACATTCGACATTATAACGCGTTTTTAGTACAGCTTTAGCCCACTCTTCTACAGCCATCGCTCCCAGATGTCTCTTTAGGGCCCACTGCGATGATAATAATGTCAATATGACTTCGAGATATGACATTTCCATTGAATCGTCAGGCCACGTACTCATGGCCATACCCAAAGCTGTGGTACAGGCAACACGGCAGCGCATGACTTGCTCAGTTGTTATGAGCGAAAAGTCTTGGGCAATCATGCCGGCATCTAAATTATGAGATTCATCGAGCGCACTGGTAGATCGCACAGATTCGCTTCCAAGAGCATTGATCGATGTATCCTTATTTCTAGCTGCTGGTTTAATTTTCTTGCTCGTTTTGTCAACAATTGGAGCAGATGTTGTAGTTGCGTAAGATCCACCGTTACCAAAGGCTCCAGGTGGTTTATAAAAGTAAGCAGCAACATCGAGGGGTTGCCCTATCGGTGTCATTGTAATTTCAAACCAGCTGCCTAGCCAGTTCCCTGTACCTTGAAGAATAAGTTGATTATTCACTTTTCCGCTAATGGTCAATCCTTCCCAAACAGCTAAAGTTCTTGTAATAATCTCTGGCTTTTCTTCTACAATCAGATTTTGAAATACGAGACGATAAACACGTTCATCTACCCACTCAGCCGATGTACCGCAGTCAATGAATGTGGATAATGTGTTTAGGACGGCTAAACGGACACTGGCAATAGTATGTCTGAAAAACGGGTGCAAACGAGGCACAAGTTCTGCTAAACTGAAATGCTCTCGTACAATATCCATAACACCCGGTTGTTCAAACATTTTCGCAATCAAATCCATCACTGCACCGGTTGAAGCAGTTAAATCATCTTTCAAGTCAATCAAACAATCCCATAATGTGGTCATTACATCTCTGATACGGTCTTTTGAGCTCATGCGTACAAATTCGGCAGTGATAGGTAATAGAGTTGCAGCACTGACAGCGCGTACATCATCGTCGTGATCTTGCAAACCTAACACAACAGCGCCGGTAGTACCATCTACAAGCATTTCTACTAAATCTTTCCTTACAGCAACTGTATATTTTAAACCAAGTAGGCCGGCATGTCGTACTTCCCAAATTGATCGACCTTCGAAGGCAGGATCTGATTGATTAATAAGCTTTAAAAGGTTTTCATGCACTTTCTGTACTGCGAAAGGTGACATATACTGTAATACGACGCCAAGTGTTTGCGAGCATGTTTCTCTAACGGGACAAACTACTTGATCGGAGACAAAATCAGCAAAACGATCCAATGCAAAAACACATAATAAGCGTATAGCAACATCTTCCAACCAAGCATTATGTAATTCTTCATTTTTTGCTTTATTAGCGGCAACTATTTTTTTTTTTTTTTTTTTTTTTTTTGTTAATTTTAGGAAATTCAATGAGCACAAAGCTGGTATATGAGCGTTTTTAAGGTCGATAATGAATGAGACTTACGTTTTTTTCCTGCACCATCACCATGTGCTTTTAATATACTACGCAACCCAATGCCAGCACCATGGCGGATTTCCCAAGCAGGGTCAAATAAATCGAGACATAGATGTTCACAAATCATCTTAAAAGGCCAATCACGTTGAATTTCATCCAACGCATCATCTGCAGATGCTATAGGCTTTTTGACTTCCACCACCAATTTATCAGATTGCGGTTGAGGAGTAAATTCAAACTCTAAATTGATATTAATTGGTTTTCAATTATTACTGATTCCTGTTGCTTCTCCGTGCAATGGATGAAGTTAGAAGTACCTTCATTCGACTCTATTTTCACTGGCTTAACTGTTGTATCGGATTTATTCTTCACGTCAATGATGCGAACTCTTATGTTTTTTGACAAAGAAAACACCGCGATAGTCAGTTATCGTATTCGTTATAATAATAACTGCATGCAATACACCTGCTTACTTTTCTTTTTTGTTCTTCATCTTTGATTCCTGCTTGAGCTTACGCTTCAACATATTGCGTTCACGAGCAGATAAACCTGCCATGTTGATTTCCGACAATGCAGGTGTCGTATTCACAGCAGTGGACGTAGATGGTGAAGGTGAAGGACTTTCGGACTGCGAAGCTTGACTCGCTTTTATTGCTTTTGCTTCCAAATCTGTATCTTCCACGAGATCCACTATGATCAACAACAGATCAATTAAAATATTCTATAAGGGGTGGAATTAGTACAAGAGGCGTTCTTACCATCCATAAACTGACTCGCGAGACCTAAACGCTCTTTCAAATTGCGTCGTTGAAGCTCTAATCTCTGCTCTGGAGTCATATCTGAAAAGTCGACATCATATTCTTTTCCAGCAGAGCCTAGTAGTAACTTCCCGTTTTGTAATACTGGACCCAAATCAAATTGATTAAAGTTAAGCTTATGTACATCGTCTTCGACCTTGATCGTTGTCGCATCACTGTTGTCACTGTTGTCTGATGGATTCCAAGCTGGCACATTCGCCGCGATCGCTTCTAGTGCTTGCCCTGCTGCCCAACGAGTGTCCCATGCTTTGCTCCTGAGGTGTACGACGACCTATATTAATTCATATTCTAAACAGTCAGATTCTCTATCTGCTCAAACGTAATTGGATTTTCTTTTGAGTAGAATTGTTACTCTTGATAATAAATTGTAAAGTTCCCCTGGGTGTTGCTTTTGAATTTCACCCAGTTGCTGGGCAGCTGTACGTCTAACAGCTGTTGTCGAGCCTGTATCTAGTAATAAAACGAGCCTATCAAGTCTAGATCCCGGTAGAACAATCGAGTGTAAGTTAGATGCTATCATGCCTCAAAAAAGGTAGTTACTACTTTACCTAGTGGCCATTTTTTACTATTACAGAATTTAGGAAAGGCTCCTATTATCACTATTAGCAGTGGTCGGTTAATTTGTTTCTCAGACTTCATATTTTGCAGGAAAAAAAAGGGCTTTTTATATTTTCTTTCCCAAACTTGAGAGGACAAAAAAAAGCAGAAAAAAAAATAGCCGTCACTTGATAAACGAGCGAATTGCTTAAAGAAGGGAAAATTGAGTTGGTATTTTGCTAACAGCACCTTTTCTTTTCTTCGATTTAACTACAACAAATCTGATAGTTTTGCTCAAAACCTCGTTGTCAGCATAAACAAAAATTTGCTATGTTTAGTTTTGCTATTGGCTGAATTATAGATAACTTCAGTGTATGTAACAGATCAACGTTTCTTCGCTTTACAACTGCAGTCAGCTATGTGCGATGAAAGCATTCCTGTGCTTTGATATTAAGAATTTACATATTGAATTTTTATTGCAAAGACCATGCATGAATACCTTAAAATACAATCAGTGTGCGTATCACTGGATGTTTTAAATAGGCAGAGTCGCTTCTGATTTTCGAATATAGGCATAGAAGTATAATACTAGTACGGAATGAATATGAAATACTCATAGTATCATCTTTCTCGCGGTATAACTGCACTTGAACCTTTTCCCAGGAAAATAGATGATAGATGGAGAATGTGTTCGTCCTGAAAACGCATTTCTTACATATGAAGCATTAGTTCGTCGGTGATTTGACGCAAAAACTATGCTCTCTCACTGGATTAATGCTTACATAAATGCACAGACAGTTGCCTCACACAAAATCTCGTCATAGATGAAAATGTTTGCAAGTACACTTGCTGTAATACGCTCCTGCTGATTCTTCCTATACAAATATATAAGTTTTGTTAGATGATGTTTCTTGACCCAGTCAGACCCATACTATTTCTTTTGCTTTTTGATTTTTAAGCAATTTCAATTTCTTTTTTGAACGTTTCGCTACAAGATCGCTCATTCCTTTAAGCCACATCTATGAGTCTTCTAAACTTCCCCTCAATGTATGATGATTAAAATTCCGTCTTCATCAGTTCTGATTTTCGCATTAATATGATCGCATTTGTTACTTTTCGTCACTCTCTTTCCTTTTCTTTGACTTTTATACGCTACAAATTATGCCAGAACGAACTATAGTTGTACTTATTTCAGGCTCAGGCAGTAACCTTCAAGCTCTGATTGATGCAACTCAAGAAGGTCGCTTAAGAGCAAAGATTATTGCCGTTATATCCAACCGTCAAAAGGCTTTCGGGCTTGAACGTGCCAAAAAAGCTGGTATACCGACAGATACATTTTCACTGAAGAAGTTTAGGGAACAAGGTCAATCACGTATCGACTTTGATGTAGCCATTGCCAAAACCATACAAGAACGTTATCACCCAGCCTTGATTGTGTTGGCAGGCTGGATGCATATCTTATCTCCAGAATTCTTATCGTTTTTTGAAAAACAAAACAACATCATCAATCTTCATCCTGCTCTACCTGGACAATTTGACGGTGCACATGCTATAGAGCGAGCTTTTGAAGCCTTCAAGCAGGGCAAAATAACACACACCGGTATTATGGTGCATAAAGTGATTGCAGATGTGGACCGTGGCGAGGTTATTCTTAAACGGGAAATTCCGATCGAACAGAATGATACCCTTGAGACACTTGAAGAGCGTATTCATTCTTATGAACACAAGCTCATAGTTGAAGCTGCACAAGCATTCTTGGATAACTTGGAGAATAACTAACCCAAAAAAAAAGAAGCAGTGTAGTATCGTGATATGCAGAAAGAATAAAAAATTAACCAATGTAAATAGCACCGAAAAATTTATTACAAGGATAGTCAATTATTACAAGGATAATAACCTATCTCCACTTATCTCCCGAATAAAATATAATATAGCGTATACAGTCCGGGTAGAGACGGCTGTGTCTATTTACGACGTTTGGATGATGTATTTTTTGTATAATTCGAGCGTTCATATTTGGGTAACCAGCGCTCAGGATCAGGCTTGCTATTGGAATCCATAATCTTCGGTAAAAGGGGCGCTCGTTTCTTCTTAGTCTTTGGCTTAGTTGTATGGCGAGTATTTGAATCCTTTCTAACATAACCTCGTTTGACACCAGGTACAGCATTTTCGAGATTATCAATATCCAAATGCTCTAACGATACAGCAGGAAGTGAACTACCATATTGTTCAGCTTTTTCGGGATCAACTTCAGCGTAAGCGGCTATCAAACCGGCAAGAGCTTGGGCATCAGAGGGGTCAGCTTTGACTAGTTGCTCATACTCTGCAACAGCTTCTTCATAACGTCCTGCTTTCAATTTGAATGCAGCTGTCTGCTTGAGTGTAGAGGCCGGGGCCACAGCCCCGTCAAACTCAGGATCTTGTTTCCAAACGGAAGATGCTTCGTCCAAAATTTCCATAGCCTTTTGGGGCTGGCCACTTTGTTCATACAACCAAACTGACAATGCAACTAAAGCAGGCTTATAATAGGTGTTTTTGTCTTCTTTAACGGTTTGCAAATAAGATTGTAAAGTAGTAAGGGCAGCCACTGGTTTAGAATCCATTAGTTGTAACTGTATAATCGCAAAACGAATAGCAAGTGATTTGGGCTTTTTCTCTGAACATTTTTTCAACTCTTCAATTGCCTTTGTAGCCTTAAGTTGATAGTAGGTTGCGCTGGCTAAAATAAGATACAGATCATCATTGTTGGGATATTTCTCAATGAGTTTCTGCGCTTGATCTCTACAGGCGGAATATTTTTTAGAATAGAGTTGTAACAAGCATTCGTTCATTGAGATGACACGCTTCTGATAATTCTTGAGTCTTGTGTCTGCCTCTTTGTTAGTTGCGATTTTCAATCTCTTTGCAGCATCTTCTAAATCCTTGGCATTATCTAGAGCGACAATATTGTTGCTCACAACTGCAGCCACAGTAGCATCCCTTAAACAAGAATTGATAATTGTTGGCATCTGCTGTTCATTTTTAGATCTTGTTTTTGGTGAAGACTTACTTGGAATCAACCAATTGATTATAAATTTTGATTGCTTCATTTGCACGGCCTTGTAATTGATAGGTATAAGCTAATTGAGCCGAGATAAGAGCTAATTCCTCTTCCTGTTCTTCCTCAGACATTCCTTGTGACTTATTGCTACATTGTTCTGATAATTTATAGAATGAGTCAAACGCAAAAATGGGAGGCACTATATCCATTACAACGCTGCTTACTGTAAGCTAATTCTAATTGTTGCTGAGCCTTCTTGATGTCTCCTCGCGCAAGATAGACGGAGGCTGCATTGTAAGCTACTTCGTACATTTCAGAGCTTTCTTTCAATTCATCATCAAAGCTACTAGAAGGCTTCTCACTCGAAAAGGCCAAACCAGCTTTGGCAGCTAACAAATTGACTTGAATTTCATCGTACAAACTGTCTTTCTTATTGGTCGACTTTAATAAAGACTCATAGATATCAATTGCCTCTTCGAATTTGCCTTGAGAATACAGCTATTGATAGAATATTAATACTGAATCTTGTACATGTCGTATTTGAGAGCTCGGGAAAAGCTTACCAATTGAGCCTCAAGATATAATAAAGACTCATTATCCTTGTTTTGCGACTTCAAATCTCTTAAGAGATCCATGGCTGGTTGGAACTGATTGGTACGATAGTAACAATAAATTTTCTCATATGAGAGATCAATATTACTGTTCTTAAATTGACGTGCAATCACAGTCAATGCTTCTTTGTACTGTTCTAGGCGGATTAACGTGATGACTTTGCAGTGAAGAGCAAGTTCATCTTTCGGTTCGATTTTGATGATTTTGTCACATAAGTCTAAACTAAGTTCATCATCGTAGTTATTTACTGCTTTTTTTAAGTCGCTGAAGAGCGTTGCAACTTGTTGTTCTTTGTTTGTAGATGCCATTGATGCCAAAAGCCGCGCAGAAAGGATGAAAGTAGCAATAAGAAGGAAAGGACCGGAGTGTGAGCGTCTAAAACTTTCAATCTTGTACAGGTGTGTCCTTCAGCGGCGTCTGAATATACTTCTATGAAGCGACGAAATGCAAGTTTAAAGGCCTTACGAGAGATCATGTATCTGCCCGGAATGGTGCTACTCTCCAGTATTTCGTAGCCTTTTCTTTTTGGTAATTAAGACTACTATCATCTGCTTCGAATGCTATTTGGTAATTGTTGTTAGAATTTGACTCCTGGTGCCGAATATATCAACAATTAAAGAGAAGAAATAAAAAACTTGATTATACCAGAATCGATTAATACAAGAAAGGGGCAATATATCTTAACATTAGCTTTTGGCCAGATACATGAATAATAAGCAATTCAATAATTAACTTGACAACAGTTATCAACTGTCAGTCGAGGCTGTATCATAAATCATCGGGCTCATATTGAACTTAAATAACTGTGTAATACTAAAGATAAGGTTACTCGTTCACTCTCAATGTCGCGTGCCACCAACCATTCCAGGCAGAATGCCATTCAACAAGAAAAAAAATACTTTTAGAATATTAGTACATGCAGGCTGATACTGTTTTGTTTTTTGCTGCAGAATGTCGGTTTAGGTTCTTGTACCAAACAACAGATGCTCCCGCAAAGAACCTGCATACGCTAACAGTATAGCGTGTATTTACTAAGTAGACTCACTGTGACCTGTAAATACAACGTCCATCATAATCTTATTTGATACTCAATCATGATGGGATGTGCACACTGATACCGCTCGAATAAGATAGTATCCATCAAGTTTAAGCATTCATTACAAAAGATTTCAAACAAGAAATGTGTTGAACTAAGAAATGCGCTTATTTGTTTTTCTTGGTACTGTTCCTCATTAGAGTTCGTGCTTTTTCCAGATGATGAAACGAAAGGCCAGATTTATTGTTGTTGAGTCCAAATAGAATTATAGTGCTCTACCAAAATTTGTCAAACAGAGCATATCTCAATCTGTCTAATCAAAATACATCATATAAATATAACGTATTTTATTTCTTTTTTTTTTTTTTTTTTGTTATTTTTTTCTTTCCACACTTTATTTTGATACCCTTTCTATTATTTACCTTTACTTTGAGTTTTTCATTTATCCTTACCACATATCTATTATATAAATAAAGGCTCATAAAGAATCAAAAGGATGTACCTCATATGTAAACTACTTTATATAGCTTTATTTGCACTGGTTTCTGCGGCGCCGCCCTATTTGCCATTGTATTATCATGATATTCTCAATTTGTCTTCAGATCAGATAGGCTTTGTGCTTGCCATCGCACCATTTATACAATCCATTTCATGTCCCATATGGACTTACTTAGTTGATAAAAAACCTGCTCTTCATGGAACCATTATGGCTATCACTGGATTTTTGGGAGCTTCTGCAATCATGATGATTATGCTTATTGGACGTTACGTCACATCTGAAGAAGTGATCCCCACCTTCATCAGTTGGGGAACTGAAGGAAATAACATGAAGCTTTCACAATTGTCCTCGACCAGTTTGCTAACGGTTACTGCGACTTTAGCTCTTGCTTTTGCATTTTTTGCACTACCTAATATGTCGTTGGTAGATAGCGCAGTAATGAAGATATTGGGACCTAATAAACTGCTCTACGGTAAGCGATAAAATGGTAAAAGTGATATAATCAAGCAGGAAAGGCTGATTATCGTATGTGTTCGTTTGTATGTAACTTATCATTTGTAAAGGTGAACAGCGTTTGTGGGGTTCCGTTTCAGCAGGAGCGACAATTTTACTCGTTGGACAACTACTATCTGTTACAAATAGCTTCGATGTTCTTTTATATGTTACTGGTGCTGCTGCATTGCTTTTTATGCTTTTCTCTTTCATGGCTAGAGTTAACAACGAGGATCCTCAATGTACATGTGTACCGGAGGCATTACTAGAAAGTGCTGCTGTTACTAGTCTTACTCCACCTGTAGAGTCATTAGATAATCATCAGCACCAAGCCTCAATAACAGGACAAAATCTTAAGCCAGTCATTACAGATTCCTCAGAGAAACTACTTAACAACTACAATAACTCCGCTGAGCATCACCATAATTATAGTCATTACGGCAGCATTTTCAAAGCAACTAGCATTACTTCTGTTCAAACCATTCGTGAAGAAGCAGATGAAACATTACAAGCATTGGGTCATTCTGACCTCGGCTTAGCAATATCACGAATTGCTTCAGTTGATCCTTCTGTTTCAGCAGGTCTTGTTGATCTCACAGCGGAAGGTATTCCAGCCGTTGAAAACGTCCTCAAATCCGTGCGTGTCATTACATTTTTGGCAACAACTTTATTTTTCGGTTTGGTTTTATCTGTCATTGTCAACTTTCTTTTCCTATTTTTGAGTCGTGATCTACATATGCCAGCAAGTTGGATAGGTTGGACAGGGCCTACTTCAGGTGTCACAGAATTACTATGTTTCTGCTTTTCAAAACAGGTTTGTGTATATTTCATATTTGTTCAAAGAGCAAGATAGATGAAGGATGTGTTTATGTAAAGTTCAAAAGTATTGATTGCCACGAATTACTCATCAGTTGACAGAAAAGTTCGGTGTGACCAACATGATGCTGATAGCACATATTGCAACAATCTTACGTTGTTTAATGTACACCATTCTTCAACCTGACTCACTCATCACAAATATCACTGCTTTATTATTGCAAACATTACATGGCGTAGGCTTTGGTATCTTCTGGGCAACTTCAGTTAGTGAAATTGATGGTTTTTTCCCTCCTGAACAGAGATCTGTGGCACAAGGGATTTTGGGTGCATTACATTTTGGAGTTGGCGCAGGGATGGGTGCATTTGTGGGTGGCTACCTTTATGAATACTATGGTGCTGTCTGTATGTTCCGTATAGTTGCCTTGATTGCTGCCAGTAATATGGCCATATTTTATCTAGGGCGGCTGCATAGATTTAAATAAGCACAATAGACACACATTTTATCCATAAAATTGTATTAAATTTACCTGGCATTCAACAAGTTGCATTGCGCTTCCACTGATGAAGATGAGTTAAAGCTGTTTCCCAAACAAAGGAGTATCAAAATCTGCCACGCATACTTGCGAGACGCTCGTATTGCAAACTTCATAAGAAACCTATTCTAATGTTGCTTTTTGATCAATGGCATCCACGGTGGCTCAAAAATGCGTGACATGTGTATTGTTTTCCCAATTGGTTCTGCTTTATCAGTCCCATGTGAATATATATAATCTCTCTCTCTGTATCTTTTTCTCTCAATATTTATCGTTAGTTTCGCTCGTAAACTTACGGGAATTGTAAGATCCCTTAAAAGACAAATACAGGTTGTGGTTGATGGCAAAAAAATAAAAAAAAAATAAAATAATAATAATAAAAAAAATAGCGATTTATTCAAATTATATGCAATATTCAAAGCTGATAAAGCAACGATTTTAGTATAATAACAATATATCTATATTACAGACAGGTGCTACGGTTTGATTACAGTGTTGCCGCAGCCTTATCAGAGTCAACTGTAGGTGGTGAGGTATTCAGAGGTAAACCTCTACGGCCCTTCAAGATATTAGAAATATAAAATTCACCTGCCTTGTAGCTTGATCTGACTAATGGGCCACTTGCTACATATTTAAAGCCCATTTCCATTCCCTTTGTTTCCCAGTATTTGAACTTCTCAGGTGTAACATACTCATGGACCTTCATATGATTCTTTGTAGGTCTCATATATTGACCAAGAGTGACACAATCTACATCGATCTTTCGAAGCTCTGTCAAAGCGTGTAGAACTTCTTCATCGGTCTCACCACAACCCAACATGATAGATGTTTTTGTAACCATATCGGGATTCACTTTTTTTACATGCTCCAAAACGCTTAAAGATTGCCGGAAGCCTGCACGTCGATCTCTCACGTAAGGTGTTAAAGCCTCTACTGTTTCAATGTTGTGGGCATAGACATCCAACCCAGACTTGACGACTGTTTCGACACATGAAAGATCCCCTCCAAAATCGCCTGTCAAACATTCCACTAACATATGAGGTGCCTTCTGTTTAATTTTAGTGATAGTCTCTGCAAAATGTCGAGACCCACCATCGGGCAGATCATCTCTGTCAACACTTGTTAAAACAACATAATCTAATCCCCAACGACTGATAGCTTCTGATGTATTTTCGGGTTCATGAGGGTCTAAAGGTTTAGGTGCTCTGTTCGTTTTTACTGAACAGAAACGACAACCACGAGTACATTCATCACCCATCAACATGATAGTAGCTGTGGCTGTTTGATGCTCACCACCTCCCCAACAATCACCTACATTTGGACACCTTGCTTCCTCACAGACTGTGTGTAGCTTCAGACCACGAAGATCTCTTTTGATTTTACCATAGTTTTTTCCGGATGGAATCCCTGTTTTTAGCCACTCAGGTAGTCGTGGTTGCTTTCTAAGAATGTACGAAGAGCTCCAATAAGAATTTTTGTTCGCGGGAATGAAAGACAAGGCACTCTATCTCCCACTTTCAAACAAACATGTTTTATAATTACTCACAGCTTTGTTGTTTTCACTTTTGTTCCCTCTACCACAGTTTCTCTCAATTCCAAAGCTTCTGTATGGGTCATCTTCTTCTCAAACCCAGGGTTCACAAAATCATCTAGAGTGTCATCCTCTGCTTTTAAACGATCTTTTAGTGCTTCAAGGCGGGAGGGTTTTTTAAACTCAGTAACAGTAGTGGCATTATGGCAGATCTGTTGATGTGTCTGTGGAAATAAAAGAGACATGTCAGTCAGCCCAGCGTTTATCTTTCGCATTCGATGATAATACGTACAGCAGCAATTATAGTACGAGGTTGAATATAAGAAACTCTTGCTGCTATTCTTGTTAAAAGAGGCATTTTGCACAGTGTTATACGATTAATTTAAGATGTTTTGTAAAGAAAAGATATAAAAAAAAAGAGAGAGAGGTTCTTTAATTGCCAAAGATTGGGAAGGGGGTGGGGAAAATTAAAAAAGGAATAAAAGAAAGTTTGCTGTGACTCTGCCTTCCACCGAGTCAGGGCTGCCTGAAGAAAATATGATCTGTTTTTCAATCTGTTTTTACAAAAGACAAGAATTTGCATGCGCACTGTATCTAAGCTAGGTCAAAATGGATTCTCCATCATGGCTTGCTCGCATCGTTTTCCTATAGCTTTTTAAAGCTTTTTGAACAGAAAAAATAACATCTTTACAGATCTAAACATTTAAGACTTTTATACACAGCATTCTCATTTTCAATATGAGTCTGTACAACTATAACTCAGAAGGCAATTCTTAATGAAAAAGTGTTCTGAGGTCCAACATCCATTTCTCAAATTCAGGTCGTATCGATTTTATTGTTGTTTGTTTAAACACTTCGCTTATCTACAGATGTACTTAATGAAAAGGGCAAACCAAATGCCTGCATTTACTGTTATCATGAGAAAGCATCTTTTCATCACGTTATACTGTATTTCTACTTCAAATTTTATTCGTCCATCGTCTGAATTTGAACGTAATCGCTTGTTCTGCTGTACATCAAAATAAAATAAAGACGTCCCTGTCCAAAACAGGGCATTAATTGAACTGTCCATAAGTCTCTCACATTTAACACATGAGCACTCTCATTAAAGTAAATTCTCCCTTTTTTTTTGGTTGTAAATATACTCATTCCGGCAGAATAACCAAACAATAAAATACTTTTTTGTCAACTATAAAGCGCACATTATCTACAGATGCCGTGAAACTGGGTCATCGTTGCATTTTCTCCGGCATACAACCTACAGGAACACCTCACCTGGGCAATTATTTAGGCGCTTTATCTAACTGGGCAAAATTACAACCTAGAGGTAGCTGTGATGATACCTTGTCAACCATAAACTATTACAGCATTGTCGATTTGCACGCCATTACCATGCCTCAAGATCCCAATACTTTACGTCAAGCCAAGATAGATATGGCAACTGCATTGTTAGCTTGCGGCATTGATCCTGTACGTTCTGTTTTATTTGAGCAAAGTCGTGTGAGGGCACATGCCGAATTGGCTTGGATATTCAATTGCATTACACCTGTAGGTTGGTTAGGACGTATGACCCAGTGGAAAAGTAAAATGGCTGCAAAATCGGTGCCCACCGAAGATTTCTCTGTAAATCAATTGGAAAATCATACAAATAAGGAAGGATTAAAGATGGGTTTATTTGATTATCCTGTGCTGCAAGCAGCAGATATTTTACTGTATAAAGGAACACTTGTGCCTGTTGGAGAAGATCAGATGCAACATCTAGAGCTGGCTCGTGATATAGCCGGTGCTTTCAATAAGTTATTTTGCTCGTCATCGACAAAGACAAAAGGCAAAAAGAAGGCTATCTTTCCCAAGCCAGAAGCCATTGTTCCGCCGAGCGCAAAGCGTGTCATGTCTTTACGAGATCCGAGTTGCAAAATGTCAAAGTCAGATCCTTCCGATTATTCAAGGCTCAATCTGATTGATTCACCGGACTTGATACGTAATAAAATCGGTAAGGCTACAACAGATGGTATAAGAGGCGTTACCTATGATCCTGTCAATCGACCAGGCGTCTCGAATTTGCTGAGTATCTATGCCGCTATGCGAGATATTGAGATTGATGAAGCCATAAAAGAATGCAGCGACATTACAAGCACAAAGGCCTTTAAAGAGAGAGTATCGGACGCAGTGATTGATAGACTACACCCCATCCAGTCGGAATTGGTACGATTACAAGCGGATCAAGGATATGTCAAACAGGTATTAGATCAAGGTGCTGTTAAAGCAAATGAAGTGGCAAATGCTACAATGGAGGAGGTGTATAAAGCAGTTGGTCTGCGTTAGACATTATTTCTAGACAGACTCATTGTTGCGTTTTATACCATTCAGAAAAAACAAAAATTAACAGGATGTATGAAGCAAAGAAGCTTTACTTGATATAAATCCAGACAATAACAGTTTTATATATAAAAGAATTATTTACAAGTAATAAATGACAAAAGCGTTCTTGGCTTTTCATGCTTTCTTTCTTAGTAACTATTCAATATCTATCTCTTTTCTTCCTCATCCAACCAATCTAACAGATCAGGTGTAAAGTAAGTCAAAATAAGGGTAGCACCAGCTCTTAAAAATCCATTCATGGACTCCATCACAATTGTCTTCAAGTCGAACACGCCTGCCTTAGCGGAATGGTATAACATTGCATATTCACCAGAGACTTGGTAGACAGAGATAGGATAGTCCCCTGCTAGCAGGTCGCTACTTGCTTCTCTTACAATATCCAAATAAGGCAAACCAGGTTTGACCATAATACTATCAGCGCCTTCTTCCATATCTCTTTTGATAGCACGACGAGCCAATCCTCTGGCATTGGAAGGCAGTTGATAACATCGACGATCACCAAAACTAGGTGCGGAGTTGGCCGCGTCACGGAATGGACCGTACCAAGGACCAGCAAACTTAGCGGCATAACTAATCAGCATCACCTTGTGCGCTAATCCAGCTTCCATCAGCCCCAGCTTAATCGCACGAATACGACCGTCCATCATATCCGAGGGAGCAACGGCATGACAGCCTGCCTTTGCGTAATTTACAGCGACTTCCGCAATACGCTGAATAGATAAATCATTATTCAAGGTACCGTCTTCTCTCAAAATACCGCAGTGGCCATGGGAAGTATATTCACATAAACATACATCACAGGCAATGAAAAGGTTGGGAAAGTGCTGACGTAAAAGACGTACAGCAAGAACGGTAGGTCCTTCAGGGTCATCGGCACGGCTACCCGTAGCATCTTTGACACCTTCTTTTAAGGGAACACCAAACAAAATGACAGACTTTAAACCTTTTTTGTAAAGGGGATCGATAAATGCTTGAAGTTTGTTGATACCAATACGATATTGTCCGGGAAGAGAGTCAATGCTTTCAAAAGCGTCAGGATCATCGGTAATGAAAAGAGGGTACATGAGCATGTCTTTGGTTAATGTGCGTTCGGCTTGCCAAGAACGAGATAAATTATGGTGGTATCCGCCATGAAGAATAGATTTGGGACTGGTCATTGTAGTGTAATATTAGTATAAAAGCTAGCGCACTTGTCAAGAAATAAAGACTAGGAACACAGAAAAAGCGTATTATACATCGTTTAAGGCTCCTTTGGATAACTCTTCGGATATTTCTTTTTCCTTTTACTAAGCACCACACAATTTGCCAGCTGTTCGTCAACCTAAAAAAACACTTTCGAAGGCAGACATAGGCAGACATATTTCTTGGGAACAGATGTAGTATTAACGCCCCACATGAGAAATGTGCTGCAAAATGGATAGGTCATTTGGTTGCAGTTCATACTTGAATACAATGGAAAAGAATCATTCAAATATAATACTCTACTGACTTTCTACTATGTAGCAGTCCTATTTTCGGACTGAAATGACACGTTGATGTGGCTGCATTAACAAAAGCAACAAAGCAACACCTTTGTGTATTCTAACTCAGCTAGATTCATGCTTGTGCAGATCAGGTTACCAAGCTGTTCCCTTTTCGATTTGCTGCAAATGCCTAAAAGCTATGGTTTTCGTCGTCCTTTTCTTCAAAGCTTTTCAATTCAATTATTACGCATATAATATTAATCTATGTCCTTGATAACCTGTCCCTGTTTGAACATTCACATACATACAGCTGAAGCAATAACTAAACCTATTGCGAAAGATGTTTTTGAAGTTGAAATAAATAATATAGCCAGCATCAAAAAGGTATGCAGGCAAAAGCACTAGAGAGAGTTTACAATCATTCTAACAGAATAGGTTAGGTATTCGAAAGCTTGGTTTTAAGCCATGAGTCATCAACAAGCTCATCTTTGTCCATCGTGCAAACCAATGAAGAGAATGAAGGTGATGGAAATAAAGGATGGACAAGTTATGAATGTCTTCATTGTGGCTCAGGGCCGGTTTATTCAACCAAGTCTCAGCATTCTAAACATATTGTTGTTTATGAAAATGCCATGGTAAGTTGAATTTATGTTGGCCCGACATATAACTAGGTCATGCTGTTCTTACCAAAAAGTTCGTTGATTGAAAGGTGTATTCGTCTATTCAAGAAGCAATAGAACAAGCACACAATTACTCGAGCACATTAAATGTTATCCTTTCTGAGGATGAGATGAAAAATGAGGATAATATTATCACCGTTTCACAAATACCCAGCTCTAGTAAAGGTAAGAATACTAACATCTTCATAGTAGTATGTTTGTATTAAGCTGACTCTTCTTCTGTATTACAACGTAAAAGATGTACCTGAACGTTTAAAGCCGTTTTACAAAGAAATCAAGCAAAAATTAGATCAGACAATCAAAAGATTACACTTGGGATCAAAAGTACGACCCGACATGTTAAAGGATGAGAAGATAAGAAAAGGGGAGGCACGAGTGGCCCAAGAGACTGTAGAAAAATCTGTCCAGCAAGCCATTGCAGATAGCAACAGGATTTGGGCTAGGGTTGTAGCAAAATTGAAAGACTTACCACACGATCGACAGCAAATGTGTGACAATGACAAAGAGGATAATAAAAACAGTGATGAAGAAGATGAGACTATATTTTTTCTAGATGAAGAAATTATATCAGATGACGATGATAATAACATGGATAGGGAGAAGCTATTGCAGTCTCTTTCGGAAATGGACCGGAAGTTCACCCGTTGGATCAAAAAGAGAAGTAGCTTTGATCAAAAAAAGTGCACAGAATGTGATGACGATGAAGACAATTCGAAAGATAAGATTAAGGATAGTGACGGTGACAAAGGCCCTGCCATTTATCTGGAAGACTTTGTTGAGAAAAAAAGAGCCGAGAATCATATTGATGAATTGGGTATATACTCTACAAGCAAATTTAATGGATCGAACTGGGATCATTCTAATGTTCTTGCACATCTTTAGCTATATCTAAATTTGCTACTTCCGTACCTATTACTATCAAGTATTTTAATCCGATGGAAAGCAATCAGGACCCTGGTGACAAAATTGAGGAAGAAGAAACAGAAATCGATGGTATCCTATACACAAAATCTAATAAAAGATATAGTATGACGAGTCAGTTATTCACAAATACGTATGTTGACAACGAAGCCAATGATAAGTGGCTGAAGAAAAACGGTATTTCCAAGGCTGATCTACAGGAGTATAACCATCAGCAGAAGATGTTCCTATCAAAAAGTATGTTCGTCAAACCACAGTTGGATAGCTTAATTGGTCAAGTAGAATCTTTAGATACAAGAGGAAGGCTTCCTACTACAAATAGCGATCGTATGCACAGCCATCCTGAGAAAACCAAAAGGAATAGTTTGGCAAAAGTAGAAGAAGTGACAATTGAGGACGAAAAATAATAACGATATTGATTGTCTCTTTCTCATTTTTATTTTAAATTATATTATTTTTAAAGGCAAATAAATAGAGATACTCCATGTTAAAAACATCAAAAAAATAGGATAGTAAGTTGTGCATTTAAATATTTTTCTTCGTAAAGGTATGTCGTTTTTTGTAGTGTCATCTTTCTCTTGGCAAAAATATAGTCATTTTAATGGCATAGGCCGCAAGTAACTTTACTCCAGAATCCACCTGATTTCTTTTTTCGTTGTTGTTGCAGCTGCTGTTGCTGTTGTCTATTATTGTTTGTATTCATATCATTAGTGATATCCGTTTGCTGCTGTTGCTGATGCGCATCTGAAGTGTCTATAATTTTCTTATTTGTGGCTGTGTGACGATGCTGGTTTTGCTGATTTTTTAAGTTTTGGTTCATGTTATTACTACGTTTTGTCAGTTGTTGCCAGCCACCTTTACCAGTGTTCAACAGCATCCAATCGTACACTCCATCATCTTCTTCACCAGCCTTCTCTATTGCCTTTGAAAATAAGCCCCTTAAGAAATCATAGTCTGGTGTTTCCTCAAACCCAAGCTTTCTAACATATTGAAGATAGATTCCAAATTCCTCTGTTATAGATACATTGTCAGTGAACTCTTGCAGACATGCGAGTAAAAAAGGCTATTGCTAAGTTACCTGGGAACCCTTCGCATAAATCTTTGATAGGGGTTGTTTGTTTCTTTTCACCAATCTTTTCATACTTTTGTTTATTTGTAGCTGCTTTCAAACCTTGCCAAGGTAATGAACCTCTCAGAAAGTACATAAAGACATGACCCAGCGATTCCAAATCGTCTCTTCTAGATTGCTCTCGACCCAAATGTGTATTGATACTCATATAACGTGCTGTACCAGACAAACTCTTTCTCTCACGATAAGGAATGTGCTGTTTCGTCTTTGGATCTCTATACAATTTCGCCATACCGAAATCCACAATAAAGATTTGATTCTCATTTTCTGTACCGGGCTTACCAATGAGGAAGTTATCAGGTTTAATGTCTCTATAAATAAGGTTCTTTTCATGTATTGTTTGTACTCTTGAAAGCATCTGCTTGGCCAACATGGCAGTTGTCTTGACACTAAATTGTCGACCACAAGTATCAAACATATCTTCTAGACTAGGACCTAATAAATCGATGACAAGGATATTATGCAAGCCTTCTTGACCAAAATAATAAGCTGAGGGAATGCCAACTACAAACAGAAAGAGGAAAAATTGTCAGAAGAAATGTATCACTCTATGCTCCTCGTCGCCATCGGTTGAGATCGTCAACATTACTTGATCCTGCCATAATTTTATAGGTCCTATATTCATCTCGTAACTGTGGTGCATCGCTCTTTCTAGGCTCAAACTTGATAGCAACAGGTTGATTATTCAACAGATTGACACCTATATATTGTTGTTTCGGTGAGCTTGACGTACAGAAAAGATTACAAATTTTAAAATGCCTTCTCTTACCCTCATAAATGATGCCAAAACTTCCTTCTCCAATCTTTTTTCCTACTTTATAATGTACGCCTACTACATTGTGTGAATTGCCGGGATTAGCGGCGGCGGCTGATGACGATGGCATAGTGTCTTTTTCTTATATTGATTATGTTATTCTGATTGTTATATTGTTTAAAGTAATGACTTATTTTGTTGATGTTGAAATTGCTGTCGCCTATTTGTGTTTGTAGGCTTTTTTTTTTTTTGAGATGGTTTATTTGTTTTTATTCAATTAACAGATTAAGGAAGTATTGATAGTAGAGTGAGTGACTGAAGCGAGCTAATAAAGTCAATCTTGAGATTCGGCCTTTTTTGTTGTTATCGGTGTTGTTAACAAAAAAGCGACAAAATATAAATTAAGGGTTATTTGATAGTAGTGAGAAAGCAAGGAATAACGAATAAATAATGTATATAGTATAAAGAAAAGGATGGGAGTGAAGTATGTATGAGATATGAAGAAAAAAAAATCAAGAAGTTGGAATTATGAGGATAGTTTATAAAAATAGGTTTTGGTTCATTATACACAATCCTAGGCTGGTGGCGCCTTGTTGCTTGCAAACCACTTCCTTAATAGGAAGTGAGGCGGAATATTTTTTTCTTTTCATTGTCCTATGGCAGGTATTCACCATCATAACCATTTGGATTTCGCTGAGTCCATCTCCACATGTCTTGACACATATCGTTAAGAGAATACATAGGATACCAATCTAGCTCCTTATTGGCTAACGAGGCATCTGCCGTACAGATAGCAACATCTCCAGGTCTTCTGCTTTCAATGCTGTAAGGGATTTTTTTATGAGTTGCTCTTTCCATTGCATGTATAATTTCCAAAACAGAATAGCCATCGCCTGTTCCAAGGTTATATGCTTTGCAGCCAGGTTTCTCTTCCAATTTCTTCAAAGCCGCTAAATGGCCCGTGGCTAAATCGCAAACATGCACATAATCTCTAACACCTGTACCATCCACTGTATCGAAATCGTTGCCAAATACATGGACAAAAGGTAGATGACCTTGCAGGACTTTTATTACATAAGGTAATAAATTATTGGGTACACCTTGTGGATGTTCACCGATCATACCGGAGGAATGGGCCCCAACAGGATTAAAGTATCTAATAGGAAGATGTTAACTCGGATGCTTTTTTTTTTTTTTCCAAATAAAAGGATATTGGAGTCTTACCTTAACAGTACAACGTTCCACTCTGGATCAGAAGCATACAGATCTCTAATGATCTCTTCAGCAAAAAGTTTTGTCTTTCCGTACGGATTTGTCACTGGGCCCAGTCTAGCCATTTCATTGACGGGCATCATTTCTGGTTCACCATAGACCGTAGCACTGGATGAAAACACCAAATTTTTTACACCATAATGTTTCATTACTCTTAATAAATTTAGTGTTCCCGTTAAATTGTTGTGATAATAATCCAAGGGAATACGAGTAGACTCACCAACGGCCTATATTAAGTATACACGAATTTAAATTATAAATCTTACATTAAGAAAACAAAAACGTTCTGACTCGATGTTTTTCGCTTTTTACCTTGATCGCTGCAAAATGAAGTACTGCCCAAAATTCATATTGCTTGAATATATTCTCAAGTTCAGATTCATGTGTAACATCTCCTTTTAGAAAGATGATCGGTCGACCTGTTAATAATTCCACACGATGAAGAGCTTCTTTATTCGAATTGATAAGATTGTCCATAACAACCAAATCATAGCCGTGGTTCAACAATTCCAAGCAAGTATGACTTCCAATGTAGCCAGCTCCACCTGTCACTAATATACGCTTCGTTATGGTAGGCTGTAATATGGGTGATACTGGTATGTGTGAGTCAGAGGACGGTGATGTTGCCAAGGATGATGTAGAGGATGATGAGGAGCAAGTGGACGAAGCTGAAGATGCTATGATATTGGAAGGTATGATGATATTGTTCTTTCTTTGCTGTTGCTGTAAAATGAGTCGTTTGTTATAATGGATATGTTGGGGATAATAAGGATTATGAAGATAGTAATTATAATGAGAGTTAGTAGTTACTTCCGGTATGGCTGTAGTAACTGGTAAGGCAGTTGGAGTGGTGGCTACTGAGGAATAATCAGTTGAAGTTCTTCTTCGACAAGGAAACAAAAAAGGTTCGTTTAGCTTGTGCCAAGCGTCAATGGTATGCCTCCTGTAGTGTTTTTTGATGAATACATTTGGTTTTTGCTTTCTACTACTGTTGTTAATAGCAGGAGCAGCACTTTTGTCGTTGTTGCAGCTGTGAGCAGTAGCAGGATCATGTATCTTCAAGTGTTCTACAACTACATCTTGTGCATTTGACGGGAGTCGTGGCATCGTGAGCTTTCTGTGATCTAATGAGTGTACGAACGATGATGTCGACTGGACTACTTTTTTGGTTGATTTATACGCCGAGAAACAAGAGAAAGAAGTAAAAACCGGGCAACCAGAATTATAATTATGAAGTATATATGAGTAGTTAAAGTTAAATAAAGGGGAAGGAAATTGTAAGTAGGAAAAAAGGGGATGTATGTGCGTTAAAATCTTTTTCTTTTTTTTTTTTTTTTTTTTTTGGTTTCTCGCTAAAATGTCGCACATCCATGCTTTTTAGGTTTCAGACTAAATCTTTGTCTTTGAGCTTGATCCATTGGAAAAGCGAAGTCGATCCAATCATTTTTAAAGTACAGATACTGAATCAGAAAAAGGGTCAACGAGCACAAAAATCTTCACATTGTGTGTGTTTCATCGCTACTGTCTGTCTTGTAAAAAAGGAAAAGGTCTGCACTCACTTGACAAAATGGTCATTGTAGTTCAGAACAGTTTGGGATGGGATCAACGAGATACCTGACAACGCCTTTCATTACCAGCTGTAGTCCACTTGCTCAGCTTGAAATGGCGCCTGTTATCACAGCAGGGCCCTTGATTGAAGCACTGTCTGACCAAAGTAAATGGAATGACAACCAAACATATTTTAGAAGTAAAGATTTTTCTGATAGAACGAGCAAAAAAGAGTTTGAGCCCTTTTTCAGCTGAGTATAACGCTACGGAAGTCTCTGAAGCATGCCATTTAACGCGTTTGGTTAAAATTGAGAAAGGGACGTAGTTAACTATTCAACAGTAGGCTAAACTTATTGAAGCCTACAAACCGTTTACAATTTTGCTACTGATGCCGTCTGATTGATCATATGCTCTTATACCTAGCCTTCCTTTAATTCATTCCTCTCTCTCAGCGGCATTCTCTTCTTTATTTTTCTCAAAAGATAGCATAAGTATGGAAGAATCTGCCTTGAAGTCACAGTAAACTAAACACACGTGTCAAGAAAAATGACAGCAGTTTCCATAGCACTATTGGGAACCAGGGCCGTAATAAAGACGCCTACTAGATTAGACCCCTTAAAAGCTACTGCAAATATCTTCGCTGTGTGCTGCCGAAGTCGCCAGAATGACATTGTCAATCTTTTCAACATTGTTCTGTGTCAATTGCAGATATACCTACTAGCAAATTGTTCAATGTAACAATTTATAGCAAAGTACACATATAAAGATGCTTATTCCTTTCAATTCGCGCTATTTAACTGACTCATTAGATCTGTCTGTACTTTTTTGGCGACATGATTTTGCTGCTCTTTATATGCATAAACAAATAGAGACATTTAATAGTAAAAAGAAAGTTCCAGAATGATTTTTTTTTTGGAAATGAGAATATATACGTAAAGAATATGAATAATGAGTAATGTTGATGAAGTATCAAAAATATGCAAGAAGCTACTGTCATGGATCTAAATCCCTGATGAATGAATTTAATTTCATATCATAGAGCAGGCGCAACCTCATCTCTAGGTTGTGAAGGGCCTTGAAGAGGAGCAGCGATGATTTAGGACGGGGGAGGGCATCTCATTAGGGCTGGTGATGTACCTGCAGCGTAACCATTATGCAGCATACTTAAACTTTGCTTTTTCCAATAACGGTGAAGGTGCTACAACCGTCAAAGGTGATGGCCGCGGTACTGCTACGGTGCCTGCTGTAGCATTAGGACTCTGTGTTTTTAACATTGGCGAAGGTGCGATACCATTTCTGGATGGAGGAGGAGGCTGTTGGAATTGTTGGCGAGCACTGCAATAAGTACCAATTGTTGAAGTAGAAGAAGAGGGTGTAGGTTGGGGAACCATGCTGTTCTTAGTGTTGGCCATGAATAATTGTGGCGTCGATAATAAAAAACCGCCATTATTAGCAGCAAAAGCTCTTGGAGCTTGTGGCGGTTCAGCATTTATAGGAGAGGGAGAAGGCGTACTCTTAATCAAGGGTGATTGCGATGATGCCAAAACACCCCCAGTTGTCTGTTGATTGGCCGCAGCAGAATTAACAGCTTGTTGAAAGTAAGATGATGGTAACGACGAGCCTGGTGAAGAAGTAATGGGTGTCGTGACTCTTTCAAGTGATGAATTGGCTGGTGATACCTTTCTGCTACGAGTTATTTTAGGGCTCATGAGCATAGGAGGGTCATTACAAGTACCAGTATTGGCTGCTTTGGGCAGAATAGATGATGAAGTAGTAGCATTGCTTACGTTAGAAGAAGCGGTTATAGCACTTTTTTGAGATGGTATTGCCTGCTGCTGTTGGTAAGTAGTTGGTGATATGTAGCTATCCAGTTGTTGCGGTTGACGTTGAATATGTGTATAATTGGCGCTATCGTTATTATTGTCCAAAGTTATGTACTGTTCAGGGGTAAATTCAGCTGTTGCGGTAGCAGTAGCAGCATCAGAATTGCTCTGTGGATTATACAAACCATATTGCTGCTTGGAAGTAACACTATCAGTAATTATAGGTTGTTGTGCAGGTGACGACACATTAAAAGATTCTCTATTATTGGTTTGAAAAGATTGTTGGTAGAACTTAGAGTTAAAACACTGCTGAGAATATCGGTATTGTTTATGCGAAGAAGTTGTTGGTTGTTTGTTATAAAGGCCATCAATTGAAGCTGCATTATTGTTACCAATTTCTTTTTTTTCAAAAGAGAATGATGGTCGTTGCTGAGCCTGATTATCGTTACCATCACCGCAGACATTGTTAATACGATCATAAATAGCAGCAATTCTATCACGAATGACAGCATTACCATTGATAAATTGAGCAGGTATCAAGTTGATATACTTAATAGCAACGTCTAACTTGCCCTCAGAAGCCATATATTCAACATATTCGGCATATTTCTCATACAAAGGTGCAAGAGAATAATTTTCATGAAGGTTTCCAAGTGAAGCAGTAAGGCATTTGTCTTCATATTCGATGGCTTTACGAAAAATGACAACTTTTTCTACTAGTTCTTGCAGACGCATTTCGTAGCTGTTTGATGTAACTCTATTATCCGCATTGTCTTCGTGATTTAATTTATTGATCCATAATTGACAAACCTTCTGTAAGTTGCCTGCCACGAGATAAAAAATAGCAGCTGCAGCAGTAGATTGTTGATGTTTTGTTTCTAACATACGATCTCCAAGAATCTCGCACAAAGGTCCAAAGTCTTCAGCTTTGGCAAATGTGGACAGAACTACTAAAATGGAAACCCATTCATGTTGAATATCATCAGCATTCTTGACAATCGAAGCCAAATCTTCATCCACAATGCCTTCTAAGAGGCGCAAATAAGTGTGCTCCTTTGATTGTTGTTTGAAGTAGGCTCTACGAGTGCGAGAAAGTAATTCACTGCCTCCACACGTGGCAAAAACAAGTGCATCTGAGTATCTTCCAGCAGCTAAACATACATCGACAGCGGATTCAAAATCACCCAACATAATAGCCTTGGTAATAAAGTTATCCGTTTCGTTGTTGAAACTGCCTTCGCCATTCAAAATCTCGTCGTTGTAAAACTTGAATGGGTTTCTTTCATCCATTGCTCCAACATGGGAAGAAGAACCAATAGTACGATTAACGTCAATACTAACAGGAGCAAAATCAATTCGCGTAATAATACCTGCACCATTGAAGTTATGGTTTGTTGATGCTGTTGAGTCTGATACAGATTGATTAGTAGTTTCATCAAATCCTTGCTGATTATTGATTTGACTAAAGATGGAACCATCAACTGCTGATTCTTGTTCGTTATTAAACAAGTTAGAAACTGTAATACTATTGTTAACTGATTCCTTCTCAATAACGTTATTCTTTTCAAGCTTTGCCTCAGTAGGCGCTGAGGTTAGTAGAGTGGTATCATCAACAGGTGTTTCTTCGTTTTTAATAGCAGAGGTATTGTTTATTTCGCTATTGTCGTTGGTATACGTTTGCGATATCTTTCCTCTTCTTTTTTTGTATGTACCATCAGTACTATTATGATGCTGATTAGCCAGTTTTCGGATCTCCTTATCTTTTGATTTGTTGCAATTCCCATCATTATCTGCTCCATCTTCTTGTTTTTGCTTGTTCAAGTGTACGCTTTTTTCATTTCGTCTCTGCTGCTCCTCTTTTTTTCTTAATTTCTCAATTAATTCATAAGCTGTTTTGGTCACTTCTTCCCTTTCGAAACCCAAGCACTGAATTAATTCTTCGCGTGCATTCGTTGAAAACAGGGTTCTTAAAACCTTCCATTCTTGATCATTGGTATCATCATTACAGATACGATTTTCAACGAATTGTTTATATGATTCAAGGTCCTCTTCGGAAACGGATTCAAGCTGTTCCGAACGTTGCACAATTTCAGGGTCCTTCCTCACAGACGAAAGTTTAACGCAATTTTGATGATGATGGACAATCTTACCGCCAAAACCAAAAGATGCGCCGACAGGACGTTGTAGCCATTTAGGGGCTCGTTTCAGTTCAAAAGAAGGGCAAGATATTGCATTTGAATTAATAAAAGTAGTGTCATACATAGCAGCATCTGAAGGATTATCAGGGACGAAAGCGTGCATGGATTGTTTATTGGAATCTTCCTTGGGATTCAGTCTACCTTGAATAGAGTATATATCAATCTATAAAATAGTATCGAAGTGCTTAAGTAAGGAACTTGGTCAAATGTTGCGATGTTAGCTTACATTTCCATCAAAAGAAGCAGTAGCCAATAGATCAGGATTTCGAGGACACCATTCTATTTCAAACGTCCATTTGCTTTTACGGGTTATCTCACCATCTAACTCCCCAGTATTCGGATTCCAACACAGAGTTCTGCAGTCTTGTCCGCTAGAAGTCAACAAACCTGAATCCTGCTGACACCATGACACATCAAGGACACCCTTTGTATGCCCATTTAAAATCTTCTCAGGAGATTGAGCATGGCGAAGGTCCCATAAGGAAATAATTGGGTTTTGGTTATCGTTTATGGCCGTAACAATTTGGGTAGCCTAAATGTAATCAGTTGATATCAGCATTTCCAATGCCATGTGATAAACAAAATCCTAAATACCGCTTTACAATATCTGGATGCCAGGCTATCGAAGAAATCGGAGAGCCTCCATTCAATTGACCTGTAGGTGGTAAGGCCATTACTTCTTTCTTATGACGCAAATCCCAGACAACCGCGTATCCATTACTGGAGGAAGTAGCAAGAATATGTTTTACTTGGCAGTTCCAAGCAACATCGGTAATATGCTCCATTTTTACCGAGCGAGCGCCTGGAGAGTATGGTTTAAAAGGATTTTCAAGGTCCCAGATATACACCTAATAATGTAAATTGATAAACAGGAAGACCATGTGAATTTTTATGATCCGTATTACACTCATCATGTGACACTATTTCTACCTCGTTTCGATCACCAGCGGTAGCCAAGAGATTGGTTTGGAATATATTGAAATCAAGAGACCTTAACACACTCATATGCATCGAGTTTCTCAAGATCAAGCATTCATCTGCACTGCCATAGGCATGAAATCGAATATTGTTAACCAAGCTTAATTTTTTCGTCCTAAGCAAATATACAATACTACCTTTTGCCATCAAGGATAGCAGAAGCATCCCAAAGCTCCAGCTCACCAGTTTTCATACCGCTAGCAATGATACCTTTCGGCTTATCTTCTGAGATATATCCCCAACCTATTGTTTGAAATCTTTAATTTTTGTAATCAAAGTTATTTTTGGCGGGGAGGAGCAATTGTTGAGTTTTTTTTTTGGTCTTTTTTAAGGAAACAGTATCAGTATTATTGATGACCGCTTTCGTTACCTTGATTTAACATGCACTTTAGCCAATGGCTCAAGAGTTTGGTTTGAAGCATTATTGCTCATTTCAAAGATCTCTAATGATGACACGTTAAAGAAGGAGTCATCTGATGCATCTGCCATTGTGCCTGTGGCAATCATAGGTGCCTGAGATGGACTCCACGCGAATGTCGACGTTCGCTCAATATATTTTAATTTTCTGGTCATTTTCTGCCGATAGCAGCGGTATTCCTCTTTTATTTGGAAGTGCTTGTTCTTTGCTATATTGGAAGTTCAATAAATTTTGAAAAAAAGGGTTTGTATACAAAGGAAGAACAAGAATAGATTTGCAATTGGGAGGTTGAATGGGATCGAAGTGTCAAACTTCAAGAGGATTTTGAATCATACAAATCAGCAAACAAACAAAAAAACTTCATTAGAACTCCATAAAGTGAGTACATTTTTCCATAAGAGGCTCGGTCAGGTGGGCTTTTGCAACTTAAGATCTTTATTACACTATATTTTAATCAAAAGGGATCGGTCGTAGACCATTTCCCTTGGATTTTTCGCGTAAAGCTGCAGCTGCAATGGCGCTAGGGACTGGTATACCGCAGCACTCTGGATGCTCTTGCCCTAAGGCGTACACATCTCCTGCGTCAGCCTTGTTGTGATGATGACCACATTCATCTTCCATATCCTCAGATTGTACGTGTCCTCCATCAAAATGAATTAATGTACCAAACATAAAATGCTGCATAATGGGTAGCTTCGCCAGCACTTCGGCTTTGTACATTTTGATCATTCCTTGATTTACTTTCGCCCATGATTTACAAGCAGATATATCATCCAACATAGGTGAATGCCAACGTAATGATGCAGTTGTTTTAACAGAGTTGATGAAGTGAATACAAGCAAGGTACATATACGATTTCGAAAATTCCTCGACTGTTTCTGTATCATGAATCGATTTTGGTTTGATATATTTATGGTCTATGATAAAGTTCAACGAAAAGTTAACGATTATTAATCCTTATAGTTTAGAAATGTTTCATAATTTACCATATAGTTGTGCTGATCCGAACATGAACGGTAAAAAATGATAGTCGTCCAGACCCCAGACACCATGAGAGCCTGCTGGTTCCAGCCAATAGATAAATTGAAGTCGTCTCATAACTTTAAGATATCTATAATGGCGAAAAATGAATAAATTGATCGCGTATAGGCTTGGATATCTTCATAATCAACGATACATTACTTTACAAAAACGCGCAGTACTACTGCTTGGTCGTCTTCTTCCTTCAGTACGTCTAATTTCTCCAAGCATAATCTATAATTCAATATGCTCTACCTTGTTAATAGAGACATAGACACAATATAATTTTCTTCGTTTAACTGCTTACAGCCATGCCATAAAGTTTGCTTCGTGGCCTGTACCATAATCAATTCTCTTTTTATTGCCGAAACTCTCTTGGAAGTATTTTCCTGCTTCAACAATGGCCGGTTCTGGAACGAGTCCATGTAGAAGATCACCGATTGACTCAACAAGTTCAACAAATGGATATTTTAGTAATTCTTCTCATATCAAGATAAGTTGGACTTAATCCTTGCAAATCTTTACATTTTCAATTTTGTCATAAAAACTTCTGAAAGCGGGATTTCCAAAACGTGATGTTGAGTTTTCAACTGGTGGGCAATCGTCTATCCATTTTAGCACTGTTTCCAGAATATCAAGAATTTTTTGTACGCTCTATCGATGAATTTAAAGTATTGGTAAGGAGAAAGCGCAAACTCGCTTCGAGATATTGAGAGTACCTGTGATATATTAACGTCCGAATCGATCTTCATGTTCTTGACTGATTTATTAAGTCTCTCAATTAGACTGATGTAATCATTATAAGCATCTGACTGTAAAAACTCTTCCAAGTCGTCCTTAGTTATGATACGTTTAACTGGCACTTGGTAAGTCATGGTCTTCTATGGGTTAAGGTAAAGCGTTAAGACCAAAACTTCCCCACTTCTACTGCTATGCGATTTGAATTAATGCAAAAGTCACTATGTGACCGGCAGATTAATTGAATCCTTTGAACACAAAGTGGCCGAAAGTTTTACCAAGTTCGATCTGCTTGCAATCGATCGACACTCTTATGGCTGATTTAACCTCTGAGAGAATAGCAAAGGATCTGAAGGGCGGTGGCTATAGCTCCCAGGATAAAATAAAGACAGCTTGCAAAGCTTGGACGGACAATTCCATATTCTTCCCTAACAAGGATGATTTTCTCTTTGAATGGATCTGTTCAGCTTTCGCTAAACCTAATTTAAACAAGTAAAGCTTCTAATTTTATGCTTGCAATGTGCATGGCAATGTCATCTAAAACGGTTTTTAATATATTTTATAGCCCCAAAGACAGTTGCTTTCAGCTGGATTATTGGCAGCTGTTCTCTGATTTATTGGAGCACTACGATTCAAAGTTGAAATCCAACGAAAAAAAAGCAGCACCAGTAATCCATTCCAATTTAATGAAATGTATTTCAACTCTTTTGGAATACTTATATTCGAAGAACGCAGGAAATATAGAGGACAAAGTCAGCTTCTTAGCAGCCATCAACAGGTTTACAGCTCTTTTGTTCTCAGAAGCCTTCAAAACTTCATATAGACCATCTTTTGAACAAGTGTCCAGTACTGTTGACAGATTGTTGACTTGTTTTCAACTACAAATCGATACTTGTTTGGAGGATGAAAGCAACATGGTCGAAAAAGAAGCTCTAAGCAACCTTTGCTTAATAGCCATAACCCTTTTGAGAAAGTATGATGCGCAGATAATTATGGCCGCAAATCAAAGAAAGGTCAGTAATTTTTTCCCCAAGGATTTTCCTTTGTCATATGGATATTAATATCCTTCATACAGATTTTCTTATCAATAGTAGAGAAGTCACTGGTTCTTTTTCTAAGTGTTCGACGTAGAATCAAATTCTTCAGTCAAGCTAAATATACAGCAGAAATATCCACTCTTATCACAAACATCATATGCCATATACTTTTCCATGTCGATACTGTGTTAGAATTTACGTCCATTTTGAAGGAAGCATCACTTACAGATTCAAGCACTACACAGAGTAACTATGTGGCGAAACTTTTTGAAACACTACAAACTATGGCCGATAACAAGGCTGATACAGAGATGATATTGGATGGTAATAGTTTTTGACTATATTTCGCGATACGTCGATACTGAGTACTAATCTCACTAAGTTATCTAGCCGTTGATATATTACCTACTCTACTGTCATATTTTCTGAAATCCTTCAGATATAAACGAAACGCAGCAACCAGTGCAATGCAGGATGTTAGTAGAATGGCTGAATTCGGTTTCTTCATCAATATGTTCAGGATTGCGTCAACGATTAAAAATCACTTACAGTCGAAATACTTGGAAATATTATCACAATTGCTTCAAGTATTACTTAACGAAAACGTTTTTACCGCTCGAAATGACGATATTGCATTATCGCAAAAAGAGTTATTGATGGGAATTGCGAACAATGCTGTCTTGTATATCAGCCAACCAAAAAGTAAGGTATATTAGTCTACTGTTTGTAGAAATGTTTCTAACGACTTTTTTCGTCGAACGCACAAAGTATACGATCAGTGGCTGGTATTTGATCTACTTGAAACACTGTTACAGATCGATTATCAGTTAGTTGAGGCACATATACATAAACTTTGGCCAATCATGCTAGACGTAAGTTGTAATGCTTGTTTCTTAATTTATTGTTGACAATCTTCATTCTTTCAACTCAACTTTTTGCTTAATTCTATTAGCCAGCAGAAGATGCTCAGGAACAGTGTCTCAAGTTCGCAAAATCTATTTTAAAGACATACACAGCAACGCGACAGATTGATAGACTTTTTGCAGAACTGATAAAACACATAAAGCAGGTTTCAAAAAATAATTTGTATAAGTATTTACGGCAGCCACTGTTTTCGAATGAGTTTTTAACAGAGTAAGCACATTAACCGGAATGAAACGACGTTAGTATGATAAAAAATATTTTTAACGTTAAATTCCTTTTTATCCTTGGATGCATAGGTTATCAAATTCAGTGAAGAAGTCTATGCCAGCAGCCCAAGCTCTTGGAATTTTTGAAAATTTCCGCTCGAATCTAGTACCAAAAGATATGGTTTCAGACGATATACATATTACCAAAAAGCCGAAGAAAGACTCGGACGACCTTAGCAGCAAGGATATTTCTATCAGCTTGTTAACCGCATATTTCGTTACATTTGTTAATGCGTTGAAATTAAACTCGCACCAATTAAGTGCGTTTGAAACACCCATTACCGCAGTGTTTGACGATTTCATAAAACCAGTTTTACAACATTGGAGGAGAACGAGAGGAGATCTTCAGAGCCTCTTGATACCTGCTTTGAAAGTACATACAGCATTTTCCTTTGCTTTCTTCGAACAGTACGTGGCTAAGGATTACTTACAAGACAGAAAATGGTTAGCAGAAACGTATATGGACATCTTCAACTACAGCCTCAGTTTGGAAACGTTAGACTCCAGAATTGCTAATATTACATGTGTAAATATCACTGCTCATTTATATAAACGAGATTTATCAATTTGAACGTCAGTCTAATATAAATGAACCTTTTAGGTCAATCTCATGCTTCAACACTCTTATCAAGCGACGTTGCTAGAAAGTGACGCTATCGAGGAATATAGTCCCCTTGTGAATGCAATAGTAGACTTTGTAAATGACAAGCAAGCCGAAAATTGGTATTTGACAACCAAATGGTCTGGATCTCTGTTACAAATAGAAAACAGAAATACTTTAAAACTTGCCATCTGGAAGTTGATAACAGACGAATGGTTCGATGTCATTGTGTAAGTTTTTTGATATAGTTTGTAACGAAATATTCAAATACTTACTACGTGTACGCAGACAAGTGTTAGATAGTGAGCGATCCTTGCGTTTCATATCAGTATTGCTTGCAACCGCAACAAATGACTCTATTCCGCATACGTCAGTTACGGCAACTACTTTGAGTACAGTTCTATTAAGATCAGCGAATTTCTACGAAGCTGAGTGCTTAAAATGTAAGTCAAGGAAAAGGAAGGTTCGCAAAACTATTATAGCTAAATTGAAATGTGTGTGCTTTAGCCTGTAGTATGTCGGTAATTATCAAGCGTCTCATCGAACAGTTTCGAATTATTGCCGGGAATAAACAACAAAATGACCTTTCTTTGATGGCAGCAAAAATGATTGCAAATACAGATACGAATGGCGCTTTCTCAGTTGAAAGGAACGATATAGCTGAATTAACTGGCGTTCTTGAGACATCAAGTGAGAGTATGGATTTGAATATTACAGAAGCAGCTACGAGCGCTATTCAACGAGTAACTTCCTTGGTGAAAATGCTTTTGATTTTCCCAAGTGAACATTATGGAAAGAATGAACGTTCCCGGGCAATCCATTTGGCGACACTTATCGATATATGGTCCGTTGGCTGTGTTGACGCTGATCCTTTAGCACGTATTACCTTGTCTATAATGTGTAGAACTTTTCAGTTGAGATTTATAAATTATTTCGCTAACAATAGTATCCAGGTAAGGGTTTTTGCGACTAATGAATGTAATCCAAAGACGTTAGTAACAGTTTAATACTACAGGGGCTGGAACCAAAATTAATCAATTGGCTGATCCACAGCAATTATAGCTGGCCAACGGATTCTGTTGACCAGCAACTTATAGCATCTATAAAAGAAATTAGCAACAATTTAGATGTTCAAATTTTACGGAGAGTTTTCCCAAATGCGACTGCTAATGAACCTGATGAAAATTCGTACAGATACCTTACAGATACCCTTAGCCAGCGCATAACACTTCAGACTGGTTTAGCAGAAGCTTCCTCCGTTCAAAGTCTCATAAACCTCCTGTCTGCTGTTAATTCAACCCTCAAGCATAGGTATGTGTGCTTAGTCTTCCTCAAGTATCCTGTATTATGTAAGCTAAGCTACTCTTTTCTGACCTAGAAAACCCTCTGATCTATCGAACATTATGTTTGTTACTGAGATAATCTCGAAAGTCAGCAGCTTCATTATTGACTCACTGCAATCGTCAAAAGCAACTATTGAACTATTTTTAAAGCAACAGAAAGATGATCCCACCGAAATTTTGAATAACAGCCAACCTATTTCCTTGCTTAGCAACATTGATTTAATTTTACGCCTAACTTGCTTGCTTGAAGAATACACGTTAATTGTTGGTCCAAGTGTTGATGACAGTGCGTATTGTTTGGTTTGAAATAGACAGTACTAGTATGTATTGATTGCTAACATTTGTCCATTTGACTTTATTTTTTCTTACAGTCCTTAAAGCTAACGAAATTGCTGATGTGCTTACTTCTCTCGCTTCACCATTGTTACGCTATTCGCAAACGATGATAAAAGAGATTGATGGAGACTCTAACAAAATTTTGAGCGTATTAACCGAGTTTATCGCAGCTTTTTGTGCCATTCTGTCGAGACATCAGCAAGTAGATATGACAAAGCGTGTCTTGGCTACCATTTGGGTTGTTTTTACAATGGTTCTCGAAACAGGTTGGTATTTCAAAGTCTACTTTTGCTTGAGTAAACAAAGTATTGATATTCTACCAATAGATGACAGACAATGTTTAAGTACCCTCTTATCTGCCTTTGCATCTTGGGTACAGAATTTGTCCCTTGAACAATATATAATTGTTATTAACAGTTTCGTTGAGCAAGCCGAGGATGAAGCCAACAATGCTAAATTGCATAAAGTGGAGCATAATCTAACCTACTTGATTCTTTTATCTTCATTATTACGTAATTGTGTCAAAGGTACAGTGATATATTGACCAATGGTATGTTTGATACTTTTACTTTCGTAACTAACACTTACATCCTCCATGATTAGGTGAAAGGGTGTACCTTAAGAAACAATTAACCAAGATTCTAAGCAGAATATCGCAGATTATCCATGTGACCGATTCCCTGGATTACATTGGACAAATGCTCAAGCTACTTGATCTAATAACTGGTGAACAAGTAAGATATCGAGAAGGAACATTTCAAATTTACCATCTGCTAATTGGATTTCTATATAGACATACCATTATAATGAATATGAAGTATCTATCATTTTGATGTGTCTCACGCAAATATTTTACCCTTCTGTTGCCGAGAAATGGAAATCTCAAATGGCCCGCGCTAAAGCTCGAGAGATTTTCAATGATATTTGCTCTATTCTTTCCAACCTAATCAGTTTACACAAGGAACAACTTGTATACATGCTCTCGCCCTTTATTGCTATTGTTCAATCCCTGCTCCATTGTTTCAAGACTGCACACGTGTCTTTAGTGAAAACCTCGACATCTAGTACTAAAAAGCGTGGTCGCGATGAAGACGAACCAAAGAAAATAATACTTAATGCAGGTCGTGGAATATCCTTGCTCCAAAATTTTGCCCCTCTCGACGACAATGCAGCACACCGTCTAGCACGATTGCTTACAACCATACCGCAGAAAAGTGTTACTTCAGTACAACAACAAAAGAGCGGAACAAGCGCGCAATCCTTACAACGGATGGTTGCTCGTCATACGCCTTCTCTTCTTATCGAATATTTCACTATGCAATCGAACCCTACCATGAGTGTTTTGAATCCAAGCACGAGGTCTATATTAACAAATGCATTATATGATATTTTAGATTTATGTGGGGAAGCCGACTGTAATTATATTCTATCTCAATTAGATGGATCTGGTAAAGCTCTGTTTAAATCTTTTTATGCTAGTTGGAAAGATAATCACAGATATACTGGGCAATAAAGTTTTAGATTCCATTACATGGTTTAGATGTATATTGGTTTTTTTATTCAGACTACTTTTGATGAGCTTTTACGGACTGATCAATTGTCAAGTTCAGACTCTTCATGTGGTTATCTCAAACCGATTTCTTTTTGTTTTCATCTGTCCTAGTAAGTTTCGGCATGCCTGATCCAGCCTTTACAATCATCAGAAGTAACTGTTTTGCAAGCATTTATGATACACGGCGTCAACGTGCCATTGGTGTCTAATGGGTTTCTCTTATTGTTACTGTTAACCTTAGCCTAGCACTTCTCAATGGGTCAGATGGCAATAAATTGAGGTTTGTATCCCCTTTTGTTGATAGCATCCACGACAAATGGAGCAGGGGGATTCTACAATTATCTAACAAGATATGGTATCCTTTTTACCCTGATCTGTCCAAAAATCCATTACAATTTCTAAAATTTCACAATTTGCAAGGCAGTTGTACCCGTGGGAGAGGTTGAGAAGCGATTGTAACTTAGCAATCTTCCTTTCAACCCCACTCATTGGCTTTCAATGAGCTTCATTGAGCATAATCGCTGTCTTCGTTAGAGACCGAGTTGAACCCCCCCCCCCAAGCAACTACTCAGCCCATTGTCTATATCACCCCTTGCGCGCTCTCACTAAAATCCACGACATTGAGTCGATTATCTCAACCTGTCAAAAACATTAAGACAGCCCTTGCTAGACTGACTCTATGCGCCCACTACTCTCTATACTTGATTGTCCCGTTATTCCCTAGTCTGCATTATGACACAGTTTTTTTTTTTTTTCCTCATTGTCCCTTTAAGGGTTTTTTAATTCCATGACATATTTTGATCTGCTCACGGTACTTTTCTGATATGTAGTTTATCTGTGTACCCATTGGGTTTAGAATTATTTAAGAAAAATCATGTCTAATCGTAATCTATACAAGTTTAGGCGGGTTGAATACCTCCTTCAAGTTGTTGAAGAAACCTTTGTCATAAATATTTTCTATTTCATCGAAGCTTTCTACTTTTCTCTCTTGCTTAATGTAATCATTCTTCTTTACGTTTTTATGGTATTTCTTAACATACGTGTCATTCAATGATGTCACCTTTGAGGGTATATTATTGTCGGATAGACTGCTTGAAGAGGCAGGAACCCTGACTACTTTATAGATCTCTCCTCTGTCAATGGCTTCTTCGATCATTTCCCATTTGAAAGCTTCATTGGTAGTTATTCCTCTCCCTGCCAAGTATAACCTTGAACAGATTTAATTGGTTAGCAATAGAATAATCTGCTTGATTTGCGTGACCTCAAACATTCAACTTACTGATATACAGTAAAACAGAAGACGACTGTTGCTACAACAATGGCTAATATGCCTATAGCGCCTATTATTCTATCACGATGAAGTACATACTGTTCTTTCTGCGTGAGCTACAGTCTCAAAGAAAAAAAGAAAAGGAAGGATAACCATGTGTTATATACAATACCAGAAAGGCCCTACGGAATGTCAATCGCTTGTGTTCTCCTGTAAGTTTATCTTGTTCAAAAGCTTGATCCAGTCCCCATTCAATGATCATGCCTCGATATATTTGAAACGATAAATAAGCACCATAAGTACAGAATTCAATTAATATGAAAAGGAAGTAGAAGAAATAACGTTGATTATTCTCTCCTACGCATTGGTTAATCCAGGCGCAATGATGATCCATTTTTCCTATACATCCTTTACACAATGAACAATGTTTACTTCTTGCAGGTCTAACGAAAAGAGCGTGAAGTAAAAGGGCTGCTGTTAGAAGCTTGTGATCTTTTTTCTTATTGCAGAATAACGTGCTAATGTAAAGGGTAACTTACTTTTGCAACTTGCATGTCGAGCATATCTTGTCTGATTTGAAAATTAACCCATCATATTTATAATAGTCTAGATGTTGTTTTAAGTTTTCCTTAGTGAGAAACCCAGGGTCGACAGTGCAGGCCAAATAATAGACTAAGTAAATAGCAATGATCTGAACGGGAATGATAAAGCTACATAAAGCCACAAATCAGTGATATTACCCTATAGTTATCACCTTTTTTTTTTCTTTTTTTTGTCTTAAGAAAGAGTCGCTACTTACTACACGTGCACTTTATGTACATAGGGCCCAGGCATATGAGGTAATGCATTGTACAAGAATAAAATAATAGATAAAGACGATAACCCTACAAAGAATATCTAATAACCAAGAAACAGCCCCGAGAAAAGTCAGTTATATAGGGAGAAGGCCTTTTTTTTACATGCTAAAAGATGCAACAGCTTTTACTTGTAGAAATGGATTTCGACTTTCACAACAATACGCCCATAATCGATCCAATCTAGCGGTATTTTTTAATCCAATAGTATGCTGTAACAGCCAACTGAATGAATTATATGGAATACAAATGAATTTGAGTTTTTTCAATTAGAGTGAAAAATGCGTATCTTTAATGCCCAAAAAGGGATAGCACCCTTTCAATGATGATTACTTTATAGTTGTCGGTAGTGATGCTGTTAGGAAATGGTTAAGCTTTCCAATAAATCCATTTCTATATTAAAAATGTTTTTTTTTTCTGGTCAAAATATCGAAAGCTCACAAAATGGAGGTGCGTGCATTTAAATTGCAAATACCTTAGCGACGGTGATTCTCCAAACAATAAAGCAAAGACAATCAAACCGAAAATAGACAGAAATATGAGCAATGAAATGATTAAATTCTACTTAATTCGGGAATAGTAAACCCTTATTGAATTATATGTTCATTTCCGTCGGTCATTTCAACATTCAAGCAGTTACCATTTCACTGATGAAGGAAGGACTGACCAGCTCTGTTAGAAATAAAGTGTAAGAGGCACAACTTTTTTTTCAAGTCCCTTTTAATTTCTTTTTTTCTGTTTGTTTTCAAGCCGAGATCAAAAAAGACGTTGAGACACACCACGCACAAACATACACATAGAGGATATGTTACCACCAGCAAAGTACTCTTTGTTAACAGAAGACGATAAGCAGGTCATTATAATGCTTTATTGTTAAAGTGGAAAAGAAAGAATAGTGATAGGATATATACAAATGGATGGGCAAAAAGCCAAAAGAACGTTAAGCAATTTAACACTATTTAAGGGAGAAAGAGAATATGCACAGGTAAATGATATTATTAAAAGATGAGTAAAGGAAAGATTAGAATAAATAGGAGGGTGTCTTCAACAGTTATGGAGTATGATTGGCTAACATGTTTCGAAACGCATTCATTGTACTTGCTTCTCTACTGCGTGTAACGCGACCTTCCCCTTCCAATAAAGCTTCTTCATACAATGCTCGATTTCTTGATCCGAACTTTCTTTGAAACTTGATTAGTTTACGCGTCAATCTATCCATAATTTCTAAAGAAGTTTCATTTTCTCTATTCACATTGTTCTCATCAGCATCATTATCATCGCCATCATCTGTATTTTCATCCATCACATCCATATTTCGATCCTCTTTATCTAATGGTATAGTACTGGCGCTACTCAACGAATCATTATCATCGTCATCTTCAGCATTATCATCAAGCATAGTTCTCAAGCCATTCTTTTTCTTTTTATTCATATAGTTGGTTCCGCTCATATCGTTGATGATAGCATCACCATGACTCATACTGGTACTAACAGAACTACAACTGCTGCTATCCTTTTTACTTCTACCATGACCGGCATGGTTGGATATACTTTCTTTTGTGGCCATTTCTAATTGAAGCGAACTAATGTATTCCAAGATTTGGTTGGCACGACGGTTCATTTCTGATATACTCATACGAACATTGGGATGGCGAGCTTTGGCAGGCGGAGACGAGGCTCGCGCTTGTGGGGAAAAATGTTGAAATATCAGTGTGGCGATATTGTCATCGTGATCGTAATTAGAAACATTGGTATAATTATTATGGGTAGTAGTTGTTGTAGTAGTATTTGTATTGGCAGTTGGTGATGTTGATGCTGTTGTAGTAGAAGTATGATGGGTTGTAGAGTATTTTTGTGAATTTCTATGAGATGTGGAGGCGGTCGATGTTGTTGTACTTTTCGAAGTCCTATTGTTCGTATTGTCTTTAGAATCATCATTTATTGTATCGTCGTCGATCTCCGTTGACGCAGTAGCCGTAGGATTCGGCGATAGATCACGTACTGGTGTAGAAGTGCGTGAACTTGGTTTCCCTCGTCGATTACCGGTCCCACGACCAGAAGTATTTCTACCTGTGCCTCTTTTTCTATACGTTGTGGTACTGTTATTGGTTTGTGTAAATGATGTGATGGTAACTTCGGTATTTTTGGCTTGCCGCCTCCTTGGTTTTGAAGTTGCAGCTGTTGGACTTGCAGTAACAGAAGTTGGTGATGATGATGTAGAGGATGATTTGGTTGAATAAGCTTTATCTGCTGTACTTTCTGGTAAAGTCTCGTCATTGTTCAAAATAGAAGTGTCACTGAGTTGTTGAGATACAAAAACATCTTCTTGACCTATAGATGAGACTGTCGAAGAAACTGGCCCAGATATACTAACTGTTTCTTCCTCTTCTGCAATTTCCGATAGTTCCTTCTTTCGTTTTGTCGATCTTGCTTCGATATCAGTATTATATTCGTCTTTACCGTGGGGACTAGCGTCGCTGGGTTCCTTTTTAAATAAGCCATTTTTTTCTTCTTTCGTTGGTGCTAAATCCATTGTAGACTGTGTTGGTGACGTAGAGTTACTGCCACGGGCATCGTCATCGCGTTGTTGTTCTTCTTGTTTCCTTTCATACATTTCCAAAGCATTCCTCGCCGCTAGTACATCTTCTAATGACATACTTGCTTCACGACTATTTAGCGTCATTCTCTTTTTGGGAGCTTTAGGCTCATTCACTACGTATTGTCTTCGAATCCTACATATAAAGGTAAATGAAAAAATGAAAAAAAAAATGAGAAAATTTTTTCTCCTCCTTCTTCCATTTATTTATCCAAATGTATAAGTCTTACCTTCCACTACTTAAACGAATTGTTTTATGATTTTCTGGCTTGCATCTTTCACAGAAATATTGGTCTGGTATATCTGGTTGTTCCAAACCCATACATTCACAATGTTGCCAGACTTCACACTTGTCGCATTGCACCATTAGGCCGATGCTGTCTATATCCAATCGTGATTTTTTCAATTAGTTAAAAGAGTTCTTAATACGAAGAGGATAGAGAGACTTACGAGTTTCACCACAAACACATCGAGTGACTGAATCACCATCGCTACTATTATCTTCTGAAGTAGACTGAGACCTTCTTCTCCTACTGCTTATAGGTCGTGGTCGTTTTCTTCGCCCTACACCGTTACTCTGCCTACCGCCTCTTTTGTGTCCAACTAATATAAAGGTACAAGTATTTGAGGGTCAGTCAAAAGGTCGATTGAATGCATTCGCTGTGAAATCTTGGCCAATGGTAATATACACTTGTGCCAGAAAACTATATCTTTTGCTGTTGCATTTACCCATGAATATAAATTGTATCTATGAGTCTTTATTGTATCTTTGAGATTGCAAAATAAGCGAGGTAGAACGAAAGAGCGATAAAAGAAAAGAACTGGAAAAGTTTTTTTTAGCAAAAAAAAAAGATTGAATCCCACTGAAAAAAAAAAAAAAAAAAAAAAAATGCTTTGGTATGTTCGAAATGCTAAAGGCGTAAACTCAATTTTTCCTTTTTCTATTTCCTTTCGCTGTTTTTCTTTTTTTTTTTTTTTTTTTTTTTTTTTTGTTGTTGTTGTTGTTTTAATTTTAAAAATTGAGCTTTGTGGTGACTGCTGCGTTCAAGCTGTAATTAAAAGATTTTCAAACTCAGTTCATTTACTTTTTCATGCAGCCAGCAATTTCATTGTCTAACTTTTTCAACTCGCCCAGCTTTTATTGCTTGTATTCTATTTCAAACGTTTGCTTTATTGAAACCTATTTCAAAGGACTATAATCCAAAGGCTTCAAAATGTAAGAATGCATGCTTTCAACCAGACGCACTAGAAAACCAGTGGAACAATGAAAGAATGGTTATTACGTATGCTTCAATACGCTCCCACGATCACGCTCATTGAGTTGGACTCTACCTGTCTTATAAACTGTATCAGCCCATCCTTCTACCTTCCAGGCTTCTTCTCTGGTTGTTTTACGTGTTTGTAAATCGCTAGATTGTACAGAGATATTTCAATGAGTACATTGTTATTTACTATTCCATTTGCTTAACGTGATCCATTGGTTGATGCTTACGGATAAGTCCACATATGTTGGACTGTATGTAGCCTTCCTAATTGACTAAACCATGCTCCAACTGGCTCGCAAAATTGACTACGACATTCAAGTCCTTTACGCCTATTATATGTAAGTAATTTGCAGTTGGTGTCATTTATATTTATATCTATTCTGTTGGCATTATCTCGAATCAAGATATTCTTCTTACCAGTAATATTCCCATTCCAGTAAATTTCCAGGCTATAATGTCAAGTAAGCACAAGCAAGTCCCAAAGCTCAAATGAAAGCATTTTCAATACCCCTGATTTACCTTCAAATTGTATTTACGTAACTCATAAATACCATTTGTTGCCCTTGGTGGGCTTGTTTTCCAGAACGAGAACTCAAGCATCATATTATTTTCACGTGAAATCAATAATGGACGTAGCTCCTTTACAAATTGAATGTATGCTGAATCCCGAGCCAATCTTTCCATTGTCAATTTATGTCCAGGATACCCTTTGTATTCCCAAATGTGTACTATCGGGATATATTGGTCAGATGTACGAAGAAACGTTAGTTATCAAAAGCGATATAAGGGCTTCTACTATATATATGCAGTTTACCAAACGTATCCAACTCGCCCACAACTGTTTCCCAACTCCCGCACAAATGGACATCATTCTTTGGATCGTTCGCAATGCGGGGATAATGGATAGACCTGCATCATCACGATTAAAGATATAGCTCATGGACAAAGAAAAAAAAAAAAAAAAAAAGAGATATAACTTACATAAGTTTTATATATTCCTCTACTTTATCCGGCTTGACACGATGGGCTATACAATAAACAAAAAACGATAAGCGACACTATCCTTCTCTACATCACCAAAGCCCACGACCCACGGCCCAAAGTCAAAAGTATAGTAAAACTTTTTATTGTCTCCATAGTTTACTTTGAAGTTCATGTACATATTTTCCTCTTGCCAACTTTTTCGAATGCGTTGTTGCTGTTTGTTCCTCAAAGGGCGCAAACACGTTTCCTGCGCCGTTCAATTTTTTACCATAAAGAACAGATTGAATAAACCCACCTGTTTCGGAACTCTGCTTATCGTCTCCATTTAATGATAATGACAAAGACGAAGAAAAGAATCGCTTTCTGTGGTTGCTGTTATCATTAGACACTATATTACGTTTCAGTATTTGAGATGAAAAATTATAGAACTTGGTTTGGCGAAGAGGAGTCATGGTTGGCATTTCTTGTTTTCCAACAGAAAAGAGTAAGGACAAACAGAATGGAAAGAAACAAAAAAAGAAGGAGACAGGAAGAAAGTGTGTGAATCCTCATAAAAAAGACGTAATGAAGGGTGGCCGCGTAGTACAAAGGATCTAGAACGAACAAGTTTCGCCTTATATCACCTGCGTTTTTTCCACTGGTGGAAGTATTAGAATAGACTGGTGTTTGCATTATCAATCGCAAAAGTTTTTGAATAAAGATACTTTGTTCTGTACTTACAATATACCTAATCGGGTTCAAACAAAGACTAATGACCAGCAGCAAAATAAACTCATTATTATCCTCCATTAAAGCTTGGAATTTTGAAGAGCTCAAAATTTCATTCAAGATACGACCTTCAAAACGTAGCATTTACTGATTATTGAATAATATCGTAATGAAAGTAGAATAAAATAAAACAGGAAATGAAATTTAATGAGGTGGGATCTTTCTGAGATTTAGTAATCCAAGCAACATCGCTAGAAAAAACCAGAGAGACTCATCCGATAACAATTGACAGGTTCATAGATAACGTGGGTCAACCATAAACTAGCCTTATGCTAACTATCCCGAACCATTTTCAATTATAAAAGAATGCATGTCACTCTTCAGAAAGATAATATGATTAACCAAAGCATGTGGAGTACTGAAAGTCCCTTATCGATCTACAAAAATGGTTTCGAAGAGAAGATGCCATGGCGTAATTTTGGCCAACTTGCAGCCATAATGATTGTATACTGTGGAAATATAGCCCGCAATTATATTTTGACTGAAGAGTATGGGGTGATTGTTATCTATCTCATTGATGCTAATCCTTCGATACTGTTATTGAAGTGACTGATTACTTATTGAAACATTCTAATAGTCTAGTCATACACAGCACTGTCTGCAACTCTGTGAAAAGTGGGTGCAAACTTTTCGTCGCAAAAAGTAAAATTACGTTCTATTGAAAGGAACAATCTAGCAAAGGTTGAGGAACGGTGTCAATGCGTCTGTAATGAACAATTCATGAGGTGAATAAGCATTCAAGTCCATTTTCCAACGTTGCTTAAACTTGCAAACTAAAGGTTCTAGTAAATAATGCGTGGATGTTCTGCTAACTCCTATGTTTATAGTGTTTCATCCTCTTTCTGCTTTACTCATTTTGAAATCTTTCTTTTTGGTATACGTCTTGCCGGCTATAGCACTTGAAAATTACTTGTCCGAATGTGAAAAGACGAGAACTTTATTCTAAGGGCAAAGGCCGCAAGGTTAGCGAAAAAAACCAGTTACAGTTGCAAAATACCTGTTAACTATAAGTATTAGACATTCGCCATGTTTTTTTTTTTTTTTTTTTTTTTTTTGTTTTCTTTCTTTCTTTTCTTTTCTCCTCATTTTACTTCATTAGGACTAATTTGATTCAAAAGTAAGTACGAACCTGTAAATAGTGAAGTTGTTAAATGGCGTTCAGACAATTGCAAATAGAGTACTGACACCTAAAGGGCATTTCTTAATCACTTTGTCAATGCTTAGTGAGAGACAAGTGGAGGAAGAAGGTAACATTGCTTGATTCATGCTGCAGTTTGAGATGTCCAAGCTAAACACTAGTCTTTAACCACAAACAGCGCCAGAGACGTCTGCGAAGAAAGAGAAAGCAGCAAAAGAAAAAGTAAATTTGAATATCTTTTGAATCCTCGTTGTTAATGGTGCACCACTAAGAAATACGACTGATCAAGTTTCTCCTATCATACATCATATTGCTTATATTTTTCGCTTTATTCGTGGCATAATTTATCATGTCCTCTATATTGCATCTTATATTCATTTTCTTACATGCTATACTTCTACAAAAAAAGGAAAACGCTGAAATAAATACCGTTTACATTCATTTTATAACAATATATGTTATGATGAGATTGTATAAATGTACGTTGCTTAATGATACTAAGAACACCATCAGGTATATGTTTTTGGTAAATAGAAGCTATCATTTGATGAACAACACTTTTGCAAACCTACATGATTATATTGACTTCGTAAGGCTTTGTTACTGTAGGATGATAAAGCAATATTTATCCAGTGACAATAGTAGCTTGACCGAGTGAAATCTTGATGTGCAGGTAAGCTGTCAAGGGTCAGGGTAAAGAATTTATTAAATTGAAACTATGCAAATATTTCCTATCAAACAGGGCATACTAGGCTAATATCTACATCCATAAAATCCATTCCATTATGAATCAATAACTGACGATGGTAGGTCGAGCATCGGCCTGCTTTTAGTCACACAAGCCGAGTAACAGACCGTCTCATACTCATAGTTGGGAGTCGCAATAAGAAGAGAAAACAGAGCAAGAGTGTTAAAGCAGAGAAAAAGATAGTGAAGAAGAAGAAAACGGCATCACAAGCTGTAGAGTGTTCAAGTTGTGGGAATGATAATTATGCTTCCTCTCGTTCGCCTCTTTGTTCTAATCACATACAATCAAAGGAGGAGGCCATTTCATCTGTCCTTGGTCATAATTCTACTATTTTTGAAAGAAACCTTCCTGTCGACCGTGCCGTTTTGTCACAGTTTCGTGAAAAGTTCGAGAAAAGGGTCATTTAGTGCTGCAAGAACATTAGAGCTATAGTGTTCCGCTGCCAACTATTTGTCAATGCCTATCTCGTTCATAACAAGAATGACATTCCTTCGAAAGTCTTCCCACAGCAATTTTGGTATTCCATTGCGCAACTTATTACGTTGAACGACAGCATCAAAACTTATTTTGATGACTTTAAACAAAAGCATCCGACAATAGTACTTAGTCATGGCTTCACCAAACGTTATAGTCATTGTCTCACAGAAGCTGCCAAGGAAATAAGCGTTTCATATACTAACTTCATTGTTGAGCTTTTTGAGAAGCGAATGCTTAAATATTTCCTGCTTCTGTCATCTATTTCCTGCTTCTGTCATCTATTTCCTGCTTCTGTCATCTTTTTTCCTGCTTCTGTCATCTATTTCCTGCTTCTGTCGTCTATTTCCTGCTTCTGTCATCTATTTGACTTATAAGCTACAAAAACATGTTTGTTGTGGGTCTCCTTTCCACTACTCTAATTTCAATTCCTACCTTTCTAATTGCGTGTATTTGTGTTATTTATCCATAGAACATGAAGAAGGTCGATGCAGCCAAAATATCAGAAGCATACTGCTACCAAGTAATTTGCAAAGGCGAACCAAGTGGCCCGATAAATCATGCTTCATAATGAAGACAAAAGCAAGATAGAGAGGCTGTGCAAAAGCTTTGAAAAACTTGTGACGCAGAAGACTACACTGCTTTCCTTATCGTCCGATCCCACGAAGTGTATTAAAGCCTTATGACAAATCCAATCCTCGTATGAAAAGGACTATAACGAACATGCAGCTTATGATGTCCGTAGATTACCATTACCCAAGCGCTTCTTCCCTTTCCCTTTACCTTCGCTCCATTGGCGTTTCATCACGATAAGCATCAATTGGCTTGTCCCATTCTTGTTTCCTGGTACGCCTCCTAAAGGCTATATGAATCAACTCGAGAAGTTTCACCAAGTGTTCAGCTTCAAAACGATGGGATTTAAAAGGTAAACGGAAACAGTTTTAGTTGAATACTGCCACTGGTATTTACTGACTTTCGTTTTTTACGACAATAGTTTAAATGACCTTAAGACAAGCCAGGAAACATTATTCCGTAGTATTGTCCGTTCAGATGGCTTCACTATCGATTTTCTTTTCAGTAAGAAGGAAAAGCAAAAGAAGAGAAGACCATCAAAAACCATCGGTTGACTTAGGAGGACTTTGATTATGCCGAAATCGAAGCTGGTTATAGGCCCTACTTTATTGATCATGGGAGAAAGGACGTCTTCAAAGCAGCGATCGGGCTGAACGTTGAAAAGCACCAATTGCGAAGATGTTCTACCACAGAGTACTATCACATGACTGGTAGCACCAGGTCCTCTGCAAAGCTAGAGAAGAAGAAAGCGGGTAAAATCAAGGGCATCGAAAGCAATATGCCAACTGCCGAGACAGGCTCCAGTGCCCAATATCGCTGTTATGCAGCATACATCCTACAGCACTTGGAAGATTTGTTTTCTTTCTACCGTGATGACACTGCCAAAGATCGATTTCATTTGTACCAAGGACGGAAACGTGCTGTAGACAAAATGGTAAATATGCTTATCAATGCCAGTACAAAGTATAATCTGGATCTCAGATTGAAGAAGAGAGAAGAGAGAAGAGAGAAGAACAAAACAAGGTCTCAAAGAAGAAGAATAATGGCAGGATGGCTTTAAAAAAACGACGCAAAAAAAAAAAAAAAGAAGAAAGAAGTAGCAGAGAAAAAGAGTATGAAAGAAGAGACATCAGGAATTAGGGTGGGATTGAAGACAAAAGACAGGTAAAGTTCATAAACGATAATCATCAACTACTTATAGGAAGTAACGTGCTTTTTATAATAATGCATCAAACGCCAAATGGAAGCCCGAACCCTTCAATGTTGGTGATTTAAAAAAAGTGCCTCTCATCGTGTTTTGGTAATGGTATGTTTGGTAAGGATAATATCGCACTGAAGAGTCACCGATGCAGAACGGTAGGTGTTTTGTGGCGTGCGCTTAAGCAATGCGAAGCAGTCGGAGACCTCCTAGTACTAGAAATCGATGAATTCAAGACGTCGAGAATATGCTCGTGCTGTTCGAACGATACTTTGGAGTGGTTAAAAGGCGTCCAGACCTACAGTATAATTGTTTGCAAGACTTGTCATATACTGTGGAACCGAGACATCAACGCCTCAAAGAACATGATGAAGATCAGTAGTGCCATTTGGAAGAAGTTGGGAAGACCAAAAATATAAGACTCCCCCTACCCTCAATATCGCTGGAACGTACCCAGTTTGATTTTTACAGGTAAAAAGAACGAAAACTTGTACTTTCTACTGTTGTGCAAACTGTCTAACATTCACTCTACTATTATATTGAATTCGTTTAAACATAATCTATTTATCGTCTAAAAATCATGTTTGTGTTGTCCGAATCTGAAGTTAATAAACTGTTAACAATACCACAACCACCACGATTTCGGTAGTCCCCCTTTGTCCCTTGGTTAGCTTCATAATACACGGCTTTAGTTTTTTTTTTTTTTTTTTTTTCCTTTGTCTCTTCAATCTGTGTGTCCACTGAGTTTGAATTATCTGTAGTAAAGCAAAAAAGAAAAAAAATTACAATGGTTGATCTCATTAAATGGAAAAAAAAAAGATCTTTTTTTGGTACAAGTTGTTGTTCTTTTTCTCAATAGAAAATGACTATAAAAATGAAGCGCATTTTCGCGCCAAGCACAAAGTTTTTTGCTTTTCTTTACAGTACTTTTTTCTTTCAAGCACAGTTTTTGTACATCAAACAAAAATGATCGGTACTTGTTGTCTCATCTTTATTATCATTCTTTTGCCACCACTTGGTGTGTTCTTCATGAAGGGATGTGGTGCTGACTTTTGGATCAATATGTAAGTGTTTTCATATTCATATGCTTTGTAGGATGATTTTACATGCTTACAGCCATGATATTACTTAGATGTCTGACTATCTTAGGTTACTTACCTGGCCATATTCATGCTTTTTATGTTCTTATAAAAGAAAGAGAACAAAGAGAATTACGTTACCAAGAGGTTTATCGACCTGGTGGTGCTCCTGCTCCCTATCATCAGCAACCATCTCAAGGCTATGACGCAGTTCCACACTCTTAAGATGTATTGCTTTTATCCACAACCATTTTTACGATATATGCCTAAACTCTATAATTACTATTTACCCTACTTTTCCTTACTCTATTATATTGATGGATATCAGTTTTAATGACATTTAATTAGAACCAAGGTACAATATAACCTGTCAGCTTAGCATAACTGTTTTTTGTAAGAAGGGGGAAAGCGTTTGCATGGAAGGTTGATGTAAATGTTTCTTACTGCGTTCAACGTCATACTGCTTTCATAAAGAAAGGATAAATTGTTTCCAAATCAGGCATCTTGTACATTCAGGAAGAAAGTCTGATTATTAGCGAATAAAGTACACATGTCTTTAATAGAGTTGAAAAAAATGCAGAATGAATAAAAGATAGGCTACTTATCGTTAAAGAACCAAACTATGGTTAAGCCAATAGTTTGAAGGTCTCGTTGAAAAAGGATGTTGAACGCTTGAGGAGTCCTAAAAATGTTGCTCTGCTGCATAACGGGGCAATATTATAAAAGTCGCAGCCACTTCCCTTTCTTTTAAAGATTCCTAAAGCAAAATGAGCCACTCCTCAACGTCCAGAAAAGATCGCCATAGCTCTAAAAGACATCTCCACGAGTCTCCGGATGAGAACCGGGATGACAGCCATAAAAAGCACAAACAGATATCTGACTCTTTAGCAGCTACTATTAAACGTAATGTACCAGAAAGCATTTTCAATGGCATCGTTTCAGCTTTCAGGTGAAAACTGAAAAGACTTGAAATCAATCTATAGCTATTGATGAAGATGATTATTACGAAAAATCGACCGAGTTCCGACTCTGGTTACGAGAATCCAAGCATATTTATTTTGATGAACTTGAGGCAAAAGAGGCTCGACGCTACTTTAAGAAATTTGTTAAGAAATGGAACCAGCATGAATTGAAAGAGAAGTACTATCAAGGGTTCAATTCTTCAGCACAATTGGAAGCTTCAGAATCGACTCGATATAAATGGGCATTTGCAAATAAATTGAATAAGTTTGAACTAGATACAGTGAGGGATTCAGTAGATAGCATGACAAGTAAAGGAGCTGCTTCACCGTCGGGAACTTTACAATCACAACAAAAAGCAACTGGGAGTAGCAGCAGCAGCATTAAACGAAGAGCGGCCCCTTTGGGACCCGCTTTACCCGATACATTTGGTAGGCCCCCTTCGATAGATTCGCTCCGTCATCATTTAGTTTGACTAATACTTACCCACTTTCTCCAATCATGTGTATGTATGTTCTGATAGATAAGGAGGAACAATACGAAAGTGAACGATACAATCGCAAATATGAAGCGAGAAAAGAGAAAGAAAGACGTGAAGCCATATTAGACGAAGTAGCGCCTAGAGAAACAGGGCGTGAAGCAGCTCTCGCGAAAAAACGTGCTCTCAATGCCTATCATAAACGCGAACGTAGTCCTGATGTTGAACTTTCGGAGGCAGATTTGATGGGTGGAGATGATTTCCAGGCAAGACTAATGGCAGAAAGACGAGCAAAGGAAAGAAGAGAGGCGAGACAGGCAGAAAGGCGGGAACAGAGATTGGCGCCTATTAAGAGTAAAATGGAAGAATATAAGGCGAAAGAAGATGCTACAATGGCTATGTTTCGAAAAATGGCAGAGGAGCAGAAAAAGAGGGGTGCTTATTAAGTAATAGTAGTAATAATAGATAGTAGTAGTAAACATAACTCGCGTGTAGGATCAAGTAAAATTGCCTTTCAAGACCAAATTTCAAACTTCTTTTATTGCTGAAAAGTGTATATCTTCTTATGAGTATAACAGTTTGAAGAAACCTTTTTACCTGCGATTTCGATGCTCCTGTCTGAGTTGATCTACCATTTAAGAAATTATTAATTTTTTTGGTCGTCTCACCTACCTCAAGCTTTATTCTGTATTAAGTGGTTATTTTTCAAAAGAATGAATTTGAACAATCACTACAGCATTAACAACACAGTTGCACCTAGCAGCATCGGGCACGGCGCTCGCCCTCTCAGTTCTCGTTCGTTCTCTGCACCCTCAAGCACTAGCAATAATATTGATTACGAAGATCTGAAGCGTCGAATTGAATCGGGTGAGAAACTTCAACCTCGTATTTTGGGACTGGCTGTAATTCACCGCGCAAGAGTAGAACGAAACTTTTCCAGTGCACTGTATTTTTATGATCAACTGCAAAAAGTAATACGTGAACTCATCGATCGTCCCGGTTGGGTCTGTCATCCCGGTGACGTTAGCCTTTTTAAAAAGGCGGTAGGCTCTTTGGTACGTTACGCTCCTACTACTCAACAGGCTATTGAAGTGTTTTACGATTTCTTTGAAAACTGGGACGAGCCTTTTCGTACAATGTCAACTGAGCTTGTTCTCTTCACAAACTTGATACAAGTCGTCAGTAAAGGAGGTCATGGAACAGAAGCAGAGATGAAAGATGCATTAAGATTGATACAAATAGCCCTTAGATTGGGTGTACTGGCTATTCGACCCGAACACTATGATGAGACATTCGCTCCAGCGAGGACTCGAAGGTTTAGTCAACAAGCACCAGATAACTCTAGAGAAGTTTTCAAATCTGTTTGTTCAAAAGTGTTAAGATATTACAACATGGATTATACCTCTGATAATCTGGGATTAGTGAAGCGCGATGTAGTAAGCCAACGAAGCCCGCACTAAAGAAGTCATAAATCTTGCTGATTGGCTGCAGCAATGTATATACAGTTTACAGCAATCAGACAAAACATATACCCTACTTTTTTCTACTGACTGTTCCTGACCGTATCCTGCTTAGTATACCATTAAAATCATGTGCATCAAACCTTGAATTGTACAACATCGATCCTGTTCTTTACATCCAAAAAACTTCTCATAATCGATTGTGATCACCAGGCCTTATTCCTCTTGCATGAATAAAAATTTCTTATGGTACGATCGAAAGCTCTATCCCTCTTATTTAACATTCTTCCATCGCAAGTTCAAATACACGCTTCCTCTTAGTCGATATGGTTATTTTCTTGCGTGATTGGTTTATTCAGCACATTCTCATTGGCTGTATTCTCGTCCCAAAAATGGAGTAAATTGCCGTCTTTTCGTTCGCCACAAAAGAGGGACGATTATTGAGAACCAGCAGCCGAAACTCCGACCAATCAAAAAGTCACACACAGCCTCTTGTGTCGCGATGGTGGGAAAAGTTTTTTTTTTTTAAGCTTCGACTTTTATTATTTTGAGACTCTGGTTTCTCCTTTTTCCTTCCCTTACCCTTTTTTTTAAAACTGTATATACCAACAAGCCATGTCTGCCGAATTAAAGAGAGTTTTTGATCAATATAACCATAAGCAAAGGTAAAATTACAGCTATTGGTGTCATTGGTTTGAACAGGGGCTAGTTGAGCTGATTTAGTTTTATGTCTTTTCTTGATATATAGCAATACGCCTGCTCCCAAGATTTCTGATAGTATCTTGGAAAACATTGGCAGAACACCACTTGTCCGTGTCAATAAGATTGCCAAGGCTGAAGGATTAAAATGTGAACTTTGTAAGTAACTGAACCACAGCGTCTGTAGATATTAATCGATTTCGATGAGGAAGAGGGCAAGAAAGGGGATCCGAGACGTAGTTGAAGTCAGTTTTGCGTACGAATATTAAATTTTATATGTTCATCATTTTTGTAGTGGCCAAGTGTGAATACTTCAATGCTGGTGGCTCCGTCAAGGACCGTATTGCTGCTCGTATGATCGAAGAAGCTGAAAAGGCCGGTATTTTGAAGCCTGGTGTCAGCACCATCATCGAACCTACTTCTGGCAACACTGGTATTGGTCTTGCTCTTGCTGGTGCTGTCAAGGGCTATCGTGTCATTATCACTTTACCCGAAAAGATGTCTCAAGAAAAAGTCAATGTCCTCAAGGCATTAGGTGCAGAAGTCATCCGTACTCCTACTGAAGCCGCCTGGGACGCTCCTGAATCTCACATCGGTGTCGCCAGAAAATTACGTGATGAAATTTCTGACGCCGTCATTTTGGATCAATATACCAACCCCTACAACCCTGTCGCTCATTACGATGGTACTGCGGAGGAAATTTTAGAACAATGTGATGGCAAGATTGATATGCTTGTCGCTGGTGCTGGTACTGGTGGCACTATCACTGGTTTGGCTCAAAAATTGAAGGAAAAGTGCCCCAACATCAAGATTGTTGGTGTTGATCCTGTTGGTTCCATCTTGGCACAACCTGAATCTCTCAACTCTGATATCAAGCCTTACCAAGTGGAAGGCATCGGTTATGATTTCATTCCTGACGTTTTGAATCGTGAATTAGTCGATACTTGGATTAAATCAGAGGATAAGGCTTCTTTCCAAATGTCTCGTCGTTTGATTCGTGAAGAAGGTTTGTTGTGTGGTGGTTCTTCTGGTACCGCTATGTGGGCTGCTTGTCAAGCTGCCAAGGAGTTGAAGGAAGGTCAACGTTGTGTTGTTATTTTGCCTGATTCAGTGCGTAATTATATGACCAAGTTCTTGAACGATGATTGGATGAAGGAACGTGGTTTTCTTGACGAAAACTAAAGTCAGTGAAGAAGGAACGAGTTATAGCTATTCGTCACCATTATACACATCTACAGTACAATAATCAGCGATTATAGCATCCAACGACAATATCTACTCATCTACAGCTCAACATGATATTCACTACAAAATCACATTTTCACTATTACATACTCATCTGAACTAGACGCAATCATGTTAACCCTCCATTTATATTTAATGTATATACTTTCTTTCTAGAAGAATAAAAGGATATTTTTTTTATACACAAAAGATAACTTTTATGTGCACAGTGTATTTTATTGCAGAAAAAATATGAATAAATTTGCATGCGGTATATGTGATAAATGCCATGCCTGGAGCGGTGAATGAATAGATTGGATATTCACAACGAACCTAAGTCAAATGTGTATGTAGTTCGAAATTATATCAAATCATCCTAGATTAGAAGAAGGAACAGCAAAAATCATTAACTAAGTGGTATAATAAACCATTCATATTTCGAAAAATCGCTTACCAAGTCTTCTTCAAATTCGACAAGATCTTCATCTTCCTTTTTCTTTTGAACTTGCTCTTTTAAATCCGTTTCATTCCAAAATTCTTCTGCCATCTCTTGAGTGATATTAGCGATGTCAGTGTCTGTTGTATCTTTGTTTGTTAACAAGCCAAGATTGTTCTTCTTCATCATTTCCCATAACTCCCGATGTGGAGAAAACTTGTCGGGCAGATCACACCATTGTTTCAACTCTCGCACATGCGTATTATACAATACTGCCTCCTCTTCTGCCATTGCCGTCTCTTTCAAAGCTTTCAAACATTTGATGACTTTTCTGTAATTTTGATTACCAAAAGATATCTTTAACAGCTCATGAATGGCCTCAATCATCTGTTTCATAGCAGGAATCACCATATCCACATCAGAACTTCGGTTCAAGAGAGATTTGAAATCTTCCACGGGGTGATTCAAACCGACACGTTCTGCTTTGTTATCCATCATGCTCGTACTGCTGTCCCCACTCATACCTGATAGACCATTGTCTGTAGCTATACTACCGGAAGGCTGTCCGCTAAGATGACTTCCGGCTGTTATACCTGTAAGCGAAGATCCTCCAAATGCTCCTGCAGCTGCAGTTTTATCCAAAAGTTCATCAATGTTGCCTGACTCGGCAGCAAAATCTTGCTCAGCTTCTTCCGCATCTCTACTTCTCTTTTTGCCCTTCTTCTTCACTATTCAAATGAAGATGGTTCATTTCCCTGACAGGTTATCTACTATTTTCCGGCTTTGCGCAATACACCTTACCTTCTCTTACTTTAACCGTATTGGCTATATGTTGACTTATTTCAGAAGCCTTTTCAATAAACTTCTTGTGCAATTGAAAAGCAGGTTTGGCCGAATCTTTGATATCAGGGATAGGAGCTTCACGGTTAAGAGCTCGTGTTTTGATCGCTTTGTGCACTCTCCATATAAGACCATTGTAGACCGTTTCTGGCATCAAATAAGATTCGCTATTAAGAATAAAAAAAAAAAAAAAAAAAAAAAAAAAAAAAATGAAGGATAAAAGGAAGAGATTAAATCTCGATCCATGCCTTCTTCATTCTCAAATCCAAAGTTGCACCCTTACTCAATGCTATCTAATTCCATTGCATCTATGAGACTGTCCATTTGATCTTCGAGCGTTTGTTCAACATCTTTCATATTTAACCGCAAAAACACGTAGTCCCGAATATCTTCAGCAAACGTCGTCTATCATGTCGTCTTTTTTGTTATTCTGATGTAACTCATCGACTGAATAGTGAAAAGCGTTTTTCTTTTCCTTACCTCAAAGTAGTGAAGAATGAAAGTTTCAGGAACTTCATCTGTTCCCACAATAAATGCAGGGTCCAGAATACCAAGCATAGGCGCAGCGCCATCCGTATAAACATAGCGCACAAGAGCAATTACCTTCTCCTCAGACATAGCATACGCCAACGCTCTCAGCGCTAAATTGGCTGCGTCTGTACTGTAAGCTCCAGGCATAATGACACTTGCATGAGAGCATAAGAAGCTACGAGGGAACTTTTTTTTTTTTCGATAAACCTCACCATGTCAGCTTTACATCTATCTCAGTTCGACAAATGAATGGAATTTCCCCGCCCCCCTATACATTTCTTTTACCTCTTTTTTCGGGATGAATCGAAGAATAGACATTTGTTTTCTTGTCGTCATTTTCTGCTTTTCTAATTGAAGCTCTTCTTCAGATATTTTGACAGCAGTTTTACCGAATCGAAAGGCTTTATCGACTTGGTCTTTTGTTATTTCTATCTCTTCTGTATCCAATTCATTTCCGTCCTCGTCTAATTTAGTATCTTCAATCGTCAGCTTTGTTTCGTACGTCACTTTATGAGACGTCCCGTCTGTTGCACTATCCACATCCATCCTGGTATCATCATTCGTTGCGTATTTTTTAAAGCTAGGTAACGGTACTGGTTTTGTCCTGAGATAGGTGAAGATTGGGATGGCAAGAAAATGGTTTAAAGTGCTGTCCGTCATTTGAGAAGCGTCGTCCTCGTCGTCTGCTTGTGAATGTGGGCCGACAGGATCACCCAAGTACAGGAATCCTCTGTAAGAGGGAGTTGGACGCACTTCTTTCGCGTAATCTGCTTGACTGTCCTCATAAGCCTGAGCTAAACTCAAAACTTCACCCTCTGGTGTGCGTTTGGTGAGTGTATTCCAATTCTCATAGTTCGTCTTCATGACGTCCGTACAGTTATCTGCGTCGGCATTTTCATAAGGTTCGTAATCGCTGCCACTAAACATCCCTTCAAAAAATAAATAATCGTTCATTGGCCTTCTACTTCTTTTGATTTCATCTCACTTACACGACAATCAGAGATATATCATTGGCTTCCATCATCTCACCCACTGCATCCATATCATCCCAATCGATGGGCTGTTCCGCATTGGTGAATAAAACAATTCGCTTTTGATATTTCAGCTTTCGACAATGATCTACTATCATTTGAATAGCCACAATAACAGCATCCAACACTTTTTTTCGTGTTGAAAGAGAAAAAGAGGATCAGTTTGTGCTTTGTTTCTTTGAGTGTTCAACAGAAAAAAGGCCACAAAAGGGAACAGGCATTGGTAACATACCATCTGCTGGTGGGTCTGTTTCTTTTGATGTGGATACAGTTTGTAGTTTACGTAACAGCTTCAAATTCGGCTGACTTATTCCGCTGAGAGTAAAGATATGTTCATATTGATCCGGTGTGTCATCATTCAGTATATTGTTCGTCTCTAGAATGAGAAAGAAGAGATAGAATCTAAGGTTTCCCTTTCTCTTGGATAGCCCGTTTTGGAGCTACAACCTCAAAAAAACAGGTTTATATTCTCATACGGAAGTTTGTTCTTTACCTGGAGTACCGGCTAATAGCACAGATACCATGTCCATTTTTCTACCGACGATAACCTTTCAAGAAGGTTTAATAGGAGTGAAAGAGCTTCGATCTGTAAGTGGGCGAATGATAATTTTATGCAGTGGTTCTAGGTTCGCTTTTTTCCAAAGTTGACTACCTTATCTTCCATCGTCTCTATTATTATACTAAGTGCTGTAGAAAAGTCTTGTGACATTGAATGGTCTACGTTCAAAATGTAAATGGTAGCTTTCTTTTGCGCCATTTCGCGTTTTTTGCAGGAACAAAAATATATTCAAATTAAAAGGGAAGAACGCAGAAAGTGGAGACTTTTTAAATCATCAACCATCAGGCTCTGTTAAGCTGACATTGAAAAAAAAACACAGTTAAAAAACAAATACAGGAACGGACTGACCTCTCCGCTGTTAGCTAATATTTGGTGATAATGTATGGATGTCAATAGCGCGTGAAATCTTACACTGTGTTGACAAATGGGTCCCTAAATATGCTTAGGTCACAAACTTTTCATTTGTTACTTCTAAAGTCGTTCTTTTCACGCTTTTGTTTCCTTCACCACCCCACGCCCCCGCCCCCCCCCAACCTTCTTGTCCACATCTGTTAGGTGACCATTCACCACCACAGCATTGAACAGAACGACTCAATTTAAGCGTCGAAACTATTGAAATAGTTGGGTTTTTTGTCAAGCCTTATGAACAATTTGTGCCATTTTTAGAGTGGGTGAGTAAGACAATGGAAAGGAAAGCATGAATTCAAAGCTATCAACACATGAGGATAATAGTTAGGATGGATACAATGACAAATTGTTGAAACGGACCAAATCAAATGAACAAGTTGACGGGTATAGAGAGAAGGTCTCTGAGTGATTCATATGCTTTTATTCAGCAGTTTACAGCCCCAGATTTGCCCTTAAAGCCTACATAGATAACATAGATGTACACATGTCCACTCAACTTTCTCCTCCTTGTCATTCATTGAGATGATACACTTAAGGATGTGTTCATCTCCATTGTTGAACTGACGGTGATAAATATAGTACAAGGTTGTTTATTCGTTTTCATCTTTGGTTTTTTCTCTATTCTACCAAAGCTCTCTTCTCTTTTGTCTTTGCTCTGTTATTAATTTACGTCTATAGCCTCTCATAGTGCTATTCGCCGCATTCTTTTGTTCTTCTTGGTGTTGCTGTAAGATATCTTTAGGCAGAGGTGCTGCCATGCTCACGAATAATGGGGAACAACCAAACTTTTCGGCTAATTTGGATCGTGTCCAAGTGCTGGGATCCGATTGCCTTAGCTGACGCATTTCTGCAATCTCACTTTCTGTCAACTTTTTTGTTGTTGTCAATGTTGTGCTATTGCGATGGAGTAAAGGTGCATAGGAGGCTTGAATGGTGGGTTCAACGACAGGCAGGCGCTCAACAAAGACAGTGCCGTTGGGTAAAGCAGTTTCTTTTATGGGTACACTTGGTTTCATTTTCATATTGGGAGTTTTGCTCTTTGTTGCATAGGTGCGAATGGATCTGTAGAGTGGAGCGCTTGTTCGGTTCATGGTCGACGGCGATGATGTAGAGGGTGTTTGTGAAGATCTGCTGGAGAGAGGGTTTGACAGAAACCGCTGGAGAGAAAAATGGTAAAATTGTTTCCCCCGCGCCCCCCACATACACAGACAAGGGTTGAATGAAATGACAACCCCGCTCGAAAAAAAGTCTCGAAAAAGAGAGCCGATCCGGCGGCTTGCGTTTTTTGCTCAGCTTAAAAAAAGCAACTCTTGTGTGTGTGCTTCTCGCACACATCACTGTAAAATAGGACCGAAGCTTCCATAGGTATGAGGTATCTTTATTTCATGATATGATTAAAAAAAAAAGAAGTGTAGGTAGCTAAACTAGCCTTTCGTTTTTTTTTTCATTTTAAACAGTATTCCAAAGTCTATCACCAGAATCACCGATGCCAGGGACAATATATCTATATGCAGGTTTCAGTTACTGCTGCCCAGAGACAGTTTCTGTACACACAATTGGAATTAAAACTTTAAACCTTACCCTGTGTTATCTAGCGTTTCATCAATGGCAGCAATGTAAATGTGGATGTCTGGATGTTTCTCTTGAAGTTGAGCAAGACCGATTTCCGACTATATCATGGATGTATCAGAGCATGCACCCCGTCATGTAGAGCACATAGTTAGTTATCATTTTTTATCGCAAAACCTATGTCAAAATGGATACCTACTCCAACAGCAGCCACGAATTTGATTTGAGAGCCTGACAATCCCCATTCTTTCAGCAAGTTCACTGTAGCCACTGCCGTGTTACCAGTAGCAATGACCGGATCCAACACATAGCATATATCGATATTAGGTTGATCCGGTAGCTTATTATAGTATTCCACGGGTTGGAGGGAGACCTTTTCACGATACAGACCCAAATGATAAACAGGTGCATCTGGGAATATATTCAAAAAGCCTAATCGAGAAAAAAAAAAAAAAAAAAAAAAAAAAAGGTCCCACGGGGGTAAGTCCATCGGCCCATAACATAGAACTTCATCTACATGTGTCATAATAGATCTACATGGAATAACTTACCATCTACAAACCCAAGACCAGACCTTAATACAGGAACGAGACCTACTCTTGCTGTCACTTCTCTCAATGCATAATCACCATAAGCGGTTTGAGTCTAAAAATTCCCCCCCAAGTACATAACCCCATCAGACCTTCTTCATTATTGCGCTATAGACGGTGGGGGTGGGGTGGGTTGACTGAAATACTTACTGTAGCTCCTTCACTGACTGTCAAATCATAGGATGCTTCATAGCCCAAGAGAATGGATAAGTCGCGTGTCAACTCCCTCACCTCTTTGGGACTCCTTTTAGCGTTTCTCAGTTGAGATAACTTTGTTATCACTAGAGGATGTTGACTGAGATGAAGATGAGTCATGTATCGTACGATTTGCTATCTATGAAAAACAAAAGAAAATGAGAAAAGAAGATGAAAGGGGGGGAAAAGAAGAAAGATATAAAAATAACAGCGAGTAAGTAGTAACAGGTTCAAAATGAGATGAAAATGAACCAGTTGAAAAACTGGATATGTGCATGATCACCGATGTATAGCTATTACACGGGCATCACATGAGATGAATGTTTCCCATTGTTTTCGTTTTATTTATCATTATTTATTGTTATTTAAACATGCAAACCTAAACCATAAGTCACTGGTGTGTGAAATGTACCTGTGTATGCGCACATGTGTGTGTGTGTGTGTGTGTGTATGTGCGTGGGTGTGCGTGGGTGTTTGCTGTAAGATACAATGAGAGCTTGATAAGGAACGACGCGCCACTCGTTTTTTCTCCCCCCCCCCTTCTTCTTTCTTCTTTTCTCCTTTACACTTCTTTTCAAATTTCGTTGCCCCCCCCCCTTTTCAATGACTCTAGCTACTGAAGACGAAACGACTTTACAGCAAATGCTAGATAAAGTAGAATCCTTGAAAGCTGATCAAGTAAAACTAGCCGAGCAGGTAAGAATGAAGAAGCTGGTCAAGTCATTCCCTTCTCTTTTCTGTTTTAGTATTTGACCCCATTTTGCTCACTTCTTGACTCACAAAGCTTGATAAATTATCGCTCAATTCTCCTGTAATGAACCACCCTGGTGCCATGTCCCCGTCCACATCCATCACTGCCATTACAAAGGACGAAGCTGTGGTGGGTAAAGCAGCTAGTGCTGCTGCCGATGCTTCCACAAACGCATCCCTATTCTCGCCAACATCTACTTCTCATCTTTATCCTGATCGTGTTATATTGACGAGTAAGTGCTTTGATAAAAAGGACAGAAAACGTAATAGCATAGGGGTCTTTGTTGACTCTTCTTTTTTGCAAGCTTACCCTGGTCAGCATGGTATCAAGCCTATGACTTTAAATTGGGGTGCAGAGGATCCTAAGGTAAGAGGGCCTATTGTTGCTTCTCGTCATTCAGGCAGTATTAAGAAAAGGTAGGTCCTTTTTTTTTTGTTATATAAAAAATGGTTCCACCTTCACCCTGAACAATTGCATCTTTTTTTCAACATTAGAAATGCTATTGGTGCCTATGGTGGCTCTTACTGTATCTATCGTGCATTAGCCATTGCTATCGGCGACTTACCTTCTGATCACCGTCCCAACTTTGACATGACCGAGCCTACCTTCAAAGTAGGACCTCATCCTTCTTGGTATGATCCTGAAAAGATAGTTTCTATTGATCCCTTTGGTCATATTGCTCCTCAAATCTTTAGAGAAGAATATGAGAATGGCTTAGATGTGAGGTAAAAAAACCCAAGAAGCATGATGTGGGCATTTGGATGCCTCGAGAGAAAGAGAAAGGGAAAAAAAAAAGAAGAATGCTTACCCTCTCTATGCTTTCTCCCCCCACCCATTTAGACCTACTATTGCTATTACAAGAGCTCATATGACCATGGCAGAAATGGAAATGAGTGTCAAGGACGGTAGCTTGGAAGTGGATGGTAAAATTGTTGTCAACTCGCGAGGTGATTTGGCTGTATCCAAGGCTGCTGTGGAGCCTGTTTGGTACTTGCCAGGCGTAGCCAAACGATTTGGAATTGAAGAATCACTCCTTCGCCGTGCACTTTTGTAAAACTGGCAACTTGGACTTTTACTCTACTTTTTTTTCTGAAAACCATACCCCTAACTTGAAACTGTTTTTTAACGTATCTGTAGCGAAGATACAGGCGGAATGTATCCAGAGTTGATTACTCGACCTGATTTAAAGGTGTTTTTACCTCCTATCGGTGGCATCAGTATCTATATTTTTGGTAATCCTGAATATATTTCAGGTAAATGCTTGAAGAGTCAAAACGTGAAAAAGTTGTTGCTGTGTCTGGCTGATGGGGACGATTGTATTCACATCATGTTTCATTCTTATGACTAAAAGACACATCTAAAAAATTGACACTTCGAGTGCATGACGAATGTAACGGGTCAGATGTATTTGGTAAGGTTTTCAAATTTCACACGTTTTATGGGGGGCAAATAAAAGGCATCTTCCTCTGTGACACCTAACCAATGCCTTTCTTTTTTGATAGGCAGTGATATCTGTACCTGTCGTCCGTATCTTATTTATGGTATTGAAGAATGCGCCAAACAAGCACAACAAGGCGGTGTCGGTGTGATTGTTTACTGTAAGGAGACATGAACGATGATGAATGGGACAAGGTGGGGAGTATCCCTTATTATAAACAGCACACTCACATGTCTTTTTCGTAGTTAGAAAAGAGGGTAGAGCTCTAGGTGAGGTCACCAAGTATTTAGTTTATAATGCACGTAAGCTTTTCAACCATAAAACGATAGCAACACCACTGTGGCTGAATAAATCAAGGAGATAACAATTGCACCCTTGATGATGTATTAGGCAAAAGACAAGCAGGTGGTGATACTGCAAGCAACTACTTTTTACGTACTGAATGCATTGCTGGTGTGAAGGACATGAGATTCCAAGCATTAATGCCAGATGTGCTACATTGGTTGGGTATTCAAAAGATAGACCGTATGATGGTAAGGGCTTTCAGAGTCACTGTTGGTATAGTTAGATTTTTATTGATTGTATTGTACTAAGCGGGCTATCACCTTTGGCTATTCTAATTTATATCTAGTCCATGTCAAATATGGTAAAGTGACGATGCAGGATGACCCATTTGTGTGCCCTTCAGGCAGAAACGAGCAGTATTGAAAAAATTGACTCATGTCCTACTTGTTTTGTTTGCCCTTTTCGCATGCATAGAAACATGACGCTATTGTTGGTTCCGGTATTCCGATTATCGAACGTGTGCCCATTCCTGAAGATTTAATCCCCGCTGACTCTAGGTAAAAAAAGAAAAGACTAATTGCGTATTTTTTTCACAAAACAATAACGGTGTTTCATTTTATCCGCCTTTGTTGCCCTTTGCTTATAGAGTCGAAATCGACGCAAAGATTGCTTCTGGCTACTTTACTACGGGTCAAGTGCTTGATGAGGAAGGCCTTTCGAACGTCAAAGGCCGTGATTGGGAAGATATCGAACACTGAAAAAGAGGGAAAAATGGGGCTACTTTGGTTATTGTAATAAAACCATTGGATCACGCCTCCACTGGCTGATTCCGTTTTCTATCTTTCTGTTTTTGACACGACACAACTCATAAATTGTACACCAAACAATGCCGATTCGTTCCTTAACGGCGGAGTATTATTGCATAATTTTGTCATAATATTCATGCGGATTTTTTTTCCCTCGATTCACTAAAACAAAGGGCTATATAAATGGAAATAAAGAGTTTCCTATTTCATATTTTTTTTTTTTTTGTTACTTTAATATTCAACATAATTTCTTTTTTTTATTTCTTATTCAACATAAGCTTGAACTAAGCCCCCCCCAACGCTAACAAAATGACACACTTTAGCAATACAGACTTGAAAAACGAAAACAATAATACGACCGCCGTCGTTGAATACCCTTTGCAGGATGATGATTTGACACATCCAGGCTTATACCGATACAAAATAAACACCATGCCTCATTATCCTTATCATTCAAGACCAACTCGTACAACAAAGAAGTTAAAAGAAGATGAAGACTGTGATTGGGATTTGTATCCAACCATAATGCGTGAAATCGAAAATCATGGAACTCCTGAACAAGTAGAAAAGCTGCATCGAATCTTGCAACGTTCTTAAAAAAAGCTCTCTTTTTTTTTTTTACTCATTCTCAAATCTATATTTTTTGCTTCTGTGAATTCTTTGTATTATTTATCATTTTTTATATGTACATAAGTCAATCAAGTTCAGTTTTATTTACAAATATATCATGAATTTCAATAAAAAGATTCAAATCATCTTTCCCCTCCCCACCCCCATTTCAGGGCTATATAAAAATTATACATTTGAAAAACATGGTTAGAATAAATCATTTACAAAAGTGGAGGCATCTGTTTCGTCCTCTTTGCCTCCTTCTCTTTGAAGCCTAGCTTGCCTCTTTTTCTCCCAAACCTTTCTTAGTAAGGACCTTATTGTATCTACATTATCATTCCAGTTGGCTTCAGCTAATCCAGTAGCTTTGTCGATCTGTTCAGACGTATAGACAAAATTCCAGGTACTACAAAATTCGGCTTCTTGCGGATCAAAATCTGGATCATACCGAGGATTCACAATATACGGAAAATAAGCTAGCGTGATGGGCTGTTTTCGTCTGGTCACCACATATTCGTTTGTGTCCACCTCGTCGTCGTCATGTCTAGAGATCAGGTCTTGTTCTTTTGACGTTGCTTCGAATAGAGTACATGTGCCTAAAGCATATTTCTCCTTACTTTTGCCGTCATTGACTGATGCTTCCTTGGGCCATCCTGCGCCTGATGGCCAACCTTCAATCCCTCTTCTTTTGATATAACTTTCTGCCCGGTCAAAATGAGGAGCCGTCTGTATATCCGCACTTAAATCTACGGCCAAGATGACGTCGACGTTGCGTCCGTTGCGTAGCAAGGGATAGAAGGGTATATTGTTATCCATGCCAGCATCCATAAGATACAATTCTTTAGCGTTCACCAAGGCATCTGGCCGTTCAAGAACAATTGTCTCTCTCTCGTTTTCTATATTGTGTTTTCCTTCTTTTGGCCGTGATGATGGTGTTGTTGTTGTTGTTGTAGTTGAGCGTACGGTGTTTGACATTTTATAGAATGGGTTAGGAAACGAGGAGGGTGAGATAGGATGATACGCAGACATCGTTGCTTCGTAACGAGTCATCGCTTCATCGATCTTGTTCAAAGAGCCTGAAGGTAAGAAACTGCGTATTTCTTGGTAAAAATGAACGAGACTAGCAGCAAAAGCCGATCCGAATGTGCTATCATGTATATACTTTTTGTTGGTAAAAAAAATCCCATGGGTTCTATCCCCCCCTCCCCCCCACTGCATTGCTCTTCCTTACCCCATGAGGATATCCAAGGTTTGTTCAGGTATTCTATCCACATTCTTGCCTTTTTCAAACTCTCTACCAAAACCCCATATAGGAACCCAAGCTTATCGATGTCGTATTTCGTTTGATATTAGCCTCAAAAAAAGAGACTACATATATATATATATATATATTTTTTTTTTCTTTCTTAGATGAGCTCACCTTCAATTTCTTCACAACCCATCTCGAAAGGAGTGAATTCAAACCATTGATATGTATCATGATGATTTTCCGTCTTTGCTTTTTCCAAAGCCTCGAGCTCTTTCACTTGTTCATTTTTCTTTTTACCCATCTGCTTTTTCAGTTCTTGGGTTCTATCCTCCGCCTTCTTTCCGTTGGAAATAATATCGTGTCGTACTACACAATAGATGGGCATCGGCTCTGAACCATCTTTCAAGTAGTCTGCCTGCTGCGATAATTGTAATACTTTAGGAGAATCTACGTCCTTTTCTCCCCTTGCGTCTTGCCTCGTTGCAGCTGCTGTAGGCTGTGTTGACAAAGACCTTTTCGTCAACAATCGGCCGCCCATGAGAACGCCAAATAGGTCCACAAAACTAATGTCTCCTTTTTGTTGACTATAGCGTTGTATAACACCTTGTAACAGCATCTTACTTTTCTCGGGCGAGGAGGTTAAAAGCTGAATAAAATTGGATATATTGGCCCAGTGTGTATTGAGTTGCTCTTTAAAGTGAGCTTTCATACGGGCAGGATCCGCCTGTGTCAATGGATGGTAATACAACGACATGGACCAACAGGATCCTGAAATGCCCGAGAAATACATGACAGTGTCCAAAAAGCCAGATGCTTTCATGGCCTGCAAGTAACCTGTGAGCCCTACCATGGCACGATACCCACCTCCACTGGTAGCGAGTCCAATGACGGGTATATCTCTTACGTCGATCTGGGCGGCATCTTGATGAATAAATTTTGCAAAAGCTTGTTTTTGAAATTGTTTTCGTTTGTCAATGAAGGCTTTCTCTTCTGCTGATAAATCATTTCCTTCTCTTTTTGTATATGTAGACTGGAAGCAATTAGTTCTCTCTCTCTCTCTCTGTTTCCCTAGCCAATTACATAATCATTCATGAAAGTGTTCTTTTCTACCTCACGATCGCATCTCTGGTTATTTCTGGGTATAGTTTTGAATCTTGCATTTCATTCTTTACTTCATCTACAATCCTTCGAAATTCCTCCATACTTAAATAGTCCCAGAGATGGGCATACCCCTCTCGTAACTTGCTGAATTGTGTTATAAACTGTGGGTAAAGTTCTGCCAATTTGGCGTTGATAACATCGACTGAAGGCAGCTCTGGCCATTCCAGTTTTTCAGTCAACCGACCTCTTTTGTTTTGCTGTTGCTGTTGCTGCTGTGCTGATGGTGGTGCTGGGGTTGGCTGCTGATTCTCTTTTTTGTTATGGTCTGTGACCAGCGATGCAATGAATCGATTGAATTTGCGAGCTTCTTCTTCCAAGGATCGCCTTTCTTTCGCTGCAATGTCATCGTGGCTTTCAACTATTGCTTGTTCATCCCTCTTTTCTGACGATGTTTTATCGTTTTTTTTGGATAAAAAAGGAAGCGTCCAAAATGGACTTTTGGACGTTGAATAGTGTCGGCTGTTGGCTTGCATGGAGGACCCATTTCCTAATGATGAAGGTACAACAACTCGTTGCTTGACACAATGCCTACCCATGGTTGTTCTCGAGATATTTCTCAAAGGAAAGAAAAAGCATTTTATTTCAGTTGGTTGCCTTAACAGTCTTGCATACGATAGCATTCTGTTAGTCAAAGGCAAATGAGTAAAATAGAGAGAAAAGGAATGGAAAAGAAAGGGGAGATGGAACCTTTTTTTTTTCCCCTTAAAAATAGGACGCAAGGGGAGATCGAAAGAAGAACCTACCATATATGGTAATCATGAGTTCTATCACAATTCTCTTTCCATTCTATCTGCAACTGATGGGCAAAGGTTGCACAAATGACATATGAACGGTGTTCTCGTCTTTGAACAGCAATCATGCTTCCTATCGCTTGAAAGTCTCTTGGGTGGTGGTTTTTTTTTTTTTTTTACATACATTTTTATTTGTTTAAATTGAAACTATCTACTTCATGCAATCCCTGATCCTAAACTACCTGACTTTTAAAATTCAAAATGTCAAGTGTGGTGATCAAAACTACTCAACATAAAGAAACAAACTTCTTAATAGAAAGTAGAAGGACGCTTGGCAACGAAGAGAGCACGGTGCTTCTTGTCGGCCTTGGCAATACGGTGAGGTAAGGGGAAAGAAAGCTTGGGAACCAAGAGTTGCTTGATGTATTGGCGACGAACATCGGCATCCTTGATTTCAGCAACACGGATGATTTGAACAGATCTGAAACGGGCACGATGACGAGCAGCCATATCTTGATCTATAATGTTATGTAAAACCCCACACACACACAAAATGAAGAATGGGTTAGCTCAACATTCATAGTCATCTCCTCAATCCAAACTATCCAATCCTATTTCTATACATACAGCAAGTTTCAACAGCTTCAACACGAGACATGGCACGGTATTCCTTGTACATGTTGTGGGTACCGGAACGAGAATCGTAACGGATCCAGATACCAAAGTTCTTGATTTGTTCAGGGCGCTTTTCGGTGATCTAGAAGAAGGAAATGTGAATCAATTGTACCATTAGCATTGTGTTGTTTTACTCGCAGGTAATAATGTATCTAATGGATATTTACAATGTTGACGGAAACGATTTCACCAGCAGCCTTCTTGACCTTACGGAGCTTCTTCAAGAAGTACCAGAAACGAGACTTGGCAACAACAACATTAGGAGCAAAGATGCGCATGCGGAAAAGCTTAGGAGTAGGCTCTTGAGCGGAAGGGAGCTTGCGTCCAACCACCTGATATTCTGTGAACTATTCAAAATGGTGCAGAAAACATCAAATCAAAACGATTAGAATTGGCTGTACAATGTTGGAATGTCTGTCACTTCAACAAGATTCGTAATGTAGGACAGAGAAAAAAAGACAAAATGGGCGGGGTGATGTAGGTAACAAATTGCAATGGACTGTTACAAAATGCTATAATGCTGACATGGCGAATTTCCAAAATGTAACTCTCATGCTGGAAATGACGTTGTATTTCCCAAATTCAAATAGCCTCTACAATATCCCTTCAAATAGCCGGTGGGTGTATTGATGGATGCATATCCTATTGCAATGGATGGATGGAAGGGTGTAGTAGGTCATTCATGCAATTCTAAATCTGTTGTATCACATATATCGTTCCTTTCATCCATTCTGTCTTTTATCGAAATCCTGTCTATTGTTTGGAAGTTATCCGAGTTTATGAATAGGGTACTTACTCTAGCCATGTTGCCTTAGTTAGAAAAGAAAGGAGGATTGCCCCGTTTACACCCTTTCTCTTTCCCTTTGGGTTGCTTTTTGCACTTCTTGTCTGGCCCGCTCCATCCTTACTTCGATTTTCTAAGGTTCGTGCGGAGTTTCATTTTTAGACAACACCACCCACCCACCCCACTTCTTTCCAGTGTACCCATAGCACTCATTTTTTTATTCACTGAATGAATTAGAAAGCCCATACAGCTATCCATTCTTAGTATAAAGAGTATATTTTATATTCATAAAATAGCCTTATCCTTGTTTGTTGGGGAAAAAAAAAACCACAAGAAGTGGAGTATAACAACAATAAAAATATGGACAAAAAGGTTTTATCGACCTTCAGATAGACACACTTGTCATACAAAGTTCACTTTTTATTTGGTTCATTATAATTTATGTTCTTGTTTATATGTATGAAAAAAGGGACTTAATGCCTGTTTTTGTGAAGAATTCTTTGTCCAGTGCTTGCTTGATAAGCATACTTGACCTTTTGCGAGTTGCTATTATTTTCCTCTTCCTGTTCATCCACATCTTCATTGAAGAGAACGTCATCAAAAATATCTTCTCTCAAACCAGTATCATGATCGATAATCCAATGGAACTTTTCGTCGCCCAATTTGACATATTGAAAGTCGGCACAATCGTCCTTATACTCGTTACCGATACCCAAATATTTGCCACCAATAGTAGATATAGTATAATCATTATTTATCTTGTAAATGTTGTTATCATAACCTGTGCAACTTTGAGATTCTGGTCTTTCTTGTCCACCAAGACAATAACCTTGATAATCGCCATCGGTAATGTACAAGTGACAGAAGCCGTCATCATCACAGTCAGTTAATTTGAAGTGAACACCATAACCTGTACTTTGAACTTTGAGATATTTATCGTAGGTTTGTTTGCATTCGCCGCCAAAGAAGGGTACTTTGTCGTAGTTGAAGCCTAATAATCGAAGAGACGTTGGAGTACGGATGCGGAAACGATCTGAAGAGGCGCAAGCAGCATCCGTAGGACTGATTCGATAGACTGCAGTAAGCGAAAGAAGTAGTAGTGTAGAAGCAGGGCTCGAGAATAGCATGATTGAATACGATAAGAGTAGGTTTTAACCGCGCAAGAAAAGAAGAAGATACATGCTGCTCGTTTATGAAGAAATTGAAATATCATGCTGGTTTCTATGACGAGGGTTTGACAATTTCTGGCAATCAGAAAGCCCATCCAAAAAAGAAGGTTTATGAACGTCATTGGATGATAAAAAAATTTCGTGTTTAAGGTTGGGTAGAGAAAGTGAGAAAAAAGAAAATCAAAGGAAAAAACAAAATTAAGGCCGAGCATAATACTCCTAAAGTAAAGGGTGTAGGTGCATTTTGCCTAGATTTCTGTTCTTAGTGACCAAAGTGTCCAAGATACTCTTGATAATAACTTTTTGCAACTCAATGATGCGCGAGACATGGCAGGTCAAACTCAGTCATATTGCTTTACTTATTGTAAGTAAGCTCGTCCACCGATCATTTTTCTAGCTGAATGAGTATTTTTTATTTTGATCTTTGGCTCCAAGTTCGTACAAAGATGTTGGTTACTAAAGTTATTTACATTTTTTTTTTTTTTTGGTACTAAATTAAAATGTGGTTGCACGCACTTGCTGCACTCTATTTTGAGCCACAAAGCCTTTTTCAGTGGAAAACGCATTCATTTTTGGATCATATTTGACTGCATAATACCAATTATCTGGCCTGGCCTCTATCACACCTAGCCATGTTCCTTTGTTAAATTGTAACTCTTCGGGTTTACCACTATGCCAATCAGTAAGCGTCACTCCTGTGGAATAATGTAATATTAAGTAAATGAAATTGCAATGGACAGTACTTAAGATATATATACTTACCCCAAAATAAGATGGAGGGTTGTTGCTGCTGTTGGTAATTGCCTGACGCTGACTGTTGATGAGGCTGTATAGGCATCGCCGATGGAGGCGTTTGTTGGCCATAACGATTGTTGACATAACCTAAAGCGGAGTGAGTGTACGCAGATACAGCAGCAGCAGCAGCAGTAGTAGTAGTAGTAGTAGTAGTAGTAGTAGCGGCGGTAACAGGAGGTGCCATATTGACTACTGCTTGTGGATAATAGGCAGAACCATGGGAAACATAAGGAGGCTGATGCTGAGAAGGCTGAAAAGATTGTGTTCGTTGAGTATACTGCTGTACATAAGGTACAGAATAAGGATGCTGCTGCTGCTGCTGTGCTGGCGGTAGGATATTAGTATATACAGCATTTTGCTGGACGTTATTTGTAGTGCTTGGTAAATGTTGTTGCACACTGGTATTATTTGTCTGTCTAGTATCTGTATAAGTAGATCGATGACCATTTGCTGCTATATTATCTTGGGTTGCGACAACCTCCATTGGAGGCTGCTGATCAGTGATTCCTGTACTTGGCTCAGGATTTAGACTGTCTTCCATCAGAGATGGCGGCTGAATTTCATTCATATCCTTGGGCTTTATCGTGTTAGTCTTTGCTGGTGCTGCTTCATTATTTGCTACTTTTTTGGTTTTATCGTCATCTTTCTTTTTCTCCAAGACTCCCAACTCTTCAAGCAAGCTTTGATAAGAAAAATTGCATACTGCGTCAATATCAGCAGAAAGTGGTCTCCTTCGAGTGGTTGTGGAAGACCTTCTAGCTCTACCATCAGTACTTCTTTTTATTTTGCTTGCTCTAACGGTACCTGTAATACCATCCATATCACTTTCCTGGCCAAGATGGCCTAGATCGAACATATTGTTACCAATTGCAAAAACGACCTTGGCTCGAGGATCAATAGATATATTTCCTTCCTCTTCTTCGGATTTTCTATCAGACTTTGTGTCGGTGTCGTCATCTTCATCAGATGTGTCATTGGAAGATAGGGATGATATCTCGGGCACAACGAGCACAGGGAATGCAGTTGAGGAGTCAGGCACAGTGCCATGTAGAGACGATTTTGTGGATTTTTGGAAAGCCTCGGCCGCTGTCGGAGACGTTGTCTCTGACGAACTTGTTGTCGATGAATCGACCGCTTCGTTTGCGCAATTTTTAGAAATGGCATCGATGGTGCCTTCCTCTATCAACGGTGGCAGTTTCTCTCTATGCATTTTAGTTAAAGAAGATGCTGTGGATGCTGCAGAAGAAGTGGCTGTGGCAATGGGTGGTAATGGCTTATTTGCCTTTCTTATCAATGACGTTCTCCTCTCTGCAGCCGTTTTTTTCCTGTTTTCTTGGGAGCTTTGCTCTGGTGGCATGTCATATTTGGCTGTATTGGAAGAAGTCTCTACTTCTCTCGTCTTTAGGCCATCGTTCATTAGGCGCTCTTGCTCTGGTATTGTATGTGCAGTATTCGTTATATTCCTTTTAACAGTACTGAGCTTTTCTCCAGCTGAGACTGTGTCCTCCCTCAAAACAGCTGTATTTGTGTACATTATTAATTCTGCTGGAACCTCAAAATGGGCAGTGGTATATCGTTGAAATGTCTTTTGAGGATCATCAAAATAATCAACGAATATCTCAGCTTCGGGTATGTGGGGTCCGGTGGCTGCTGTTTGAATGAATGTCTGAATATCTTTGGCAGGATGATATTGCTCGAGTGCATTCCATAATCGTTCGTGTGACTATAAACATTGAGGACAAAACAGTTTTGGGAGTAACATTAGCAGTTGCCTAATATGGGTTTTTTAGAGAGTTTTTGGGTCTGTTTACCTGTTGTTCTTGGTTCGTTGCAAACGAAAGAAGCTCAAGGTATTTTGTAAAACTGTGTTGAATGTATTCCAGCCTTTTTCTTTCCAGCGCTTGATAGGTCTATGGAAATTGGGAGATCAAATTTAAGATGCTTGTGCCTAAAAAAGAAGCGATAAGAGGTTAAGCTTACATCGCATGCTAACTTCCACATTCTGTTCCATGCTACTGTAGCATCAGCTACTCTATCGCAAGCATTTCTGTATTCCTGTTCTATAACACGGAAGAAAATAATACATTATTGATTAAGCACTCCTTTCCAGCACAGTTACCCTATGCTTTATTATTTCCAATGTTACCTTGTATTTTGGCTTCTTGTTGTAGCCTCTCAATTTTCTGTCTGACCCTCTCTGCTTCACGACCAGACAATGAATGTAACTGCGTTTGCATTCCTACTACTTTTGCACAATCTGCTTCATATTTCTCTTTCACCTTTGTTAGATAAGATCTGCTATTCTGCTTCAATTTGAAGGCTTTCTCAACGCTGGTTTGAGTGAGCTTTCGTTTATCTTTGTGCTCGAGAATAAAAGCGTCCAGGTCTACTTCCAAGCTTGATTTGATTTTCTGGGCTAGATGAATGTGTGTCTCAGCCATACGTTCCGTTTCTTTGTTAGCAGAAGAGAGCAGATCATGCAAAGTGCTGTAACAGTAATTCCATTCAGCAAATCAGTCATACTGGTTGGATATAACAGTGAACCATGCAACCTTACCCAAGCTCGGCTGAACCAATCCCTGATTTGGCATGTTTTAATAATTTACGTCCAAATTCTTCGTGTAGAGATGCTCTAAGCAAACATCAAGGTGAATGGAGTCTAGGTTAAGCGGGGGAAAGGAAAGAAATCTGGCAAGGTATCTGCATACCTTAAACTGTAGAATGATTTCACTTCTTCGAATGTTTTCTTCGTACTATTGAGCTTTTCAGTGAGTGCATAGTACCCTTCGTCCGCCAATCCCTGAATGTAAAAATTTAGTGAGCATACATCTTGTTGCGTTCATCAATGTTTCTGATCTACCCAAAAATTGTTTGAAAAGCTTTGTTCTGCAGGAGTAATTGTAACTGCCATGAGCCTCGTAAGTTAAACTAATGGTTTAAACAAAGAATCAAAAAAGAAAGAAAGAAAATGACAGCGAAATATCCTGTTGAAAGAGAAAATGAGCCGTTCAATGTTCATTTTCCTATGTTTTCATGCCAAAATATTGCCTTTTTTGTACTTCTGTGTCTCGATTTTTTTGGTGTCTGAAAAATTGGGACGCGCATAAGGTGTCGTCCAAAAAACTGGAAGCGCGGCGGTCTCTTGCGGGTTTTTCTTTTATATTTTTTATTGTACTAGAGTTTAAGGGACCGTTTACGATGGAGAAACCTCCAGTTAAAAGAAAAAGATTGACCTCGCCTTCAGGCGATGAAGAAGCTGAACTGCTCAAGCAGCAGCAGAGCACACAAACGCAATTCCAAAAGGATGAAAAGATCGAAAAAGCTGACTTACTATTGCAGGAACAACAGGAACAATTACCTCCAAAATCAGTTTCATCGACGGTTAATGACAAAGCTGATCGTCGAGTTTCTTTTGCACCCTTAAAAGAAAGCTCTAACCAACCGCAGCCTATGGCAGAGAATGATGAACTGAAAAAGAAACAGCCGCGATTAGTGATGAAAAAAATGGTTTTGAATAACTTTAAATCCTATGCTGGTCGACAAGTAATCGGTCCATTTCATAAAGTAAAGATTCAAGCCAATGTATTACACGTTATCAACAAACATCTAACTTTTTCATCCCATTTTTTATTTAGTCATTCAGTGCTAGTAAACTATCGATATAGAAGTTTTTTTTTTTTTTGACACATCTTTCCATCTATTTAATACTAAACGTCTTTCTTCTCACTCTTTCTTAAGTTGTCGGACCCAATGGTTCAGGAAAATCTAATGTAATTGACGCTTTGTTATTCGTTTTTGGTTATCGTGCCAATAAAATGAGACAAGGCAAACTGTCAGAATTGATCCACAATTCAGCTAAACATCCTGACTGCACTCAATGTTCTGTGGAAATTCATTTTCAAGAAATTATCGATGGCAATACAACCAATGATTACACTATCGTACCGAATTCTCAACTTGTTGTGTCTCGTCAAGCCAGTAAAAACAATACGAGTCGATATTATATCAACGGCAGGGGTAGCAACTTTACCGAAGTGACCACTCTTTTAAAGGATCGCGGTATCGATCTGGATCATAAGCGATTTCTGATATTGCAAGGTGAAGTGGAATCTATTGCCCTTATGAAACCCAAGGCACGTGACGGTAACGATGACGGTTTATTGGAGTACTTGGAAGACATTATTGGTACCTCCAAATATAAAGACCCTATTGAAGAAGCCAGTGGCCGCTTAGAAGTCCTGAACGAAGAGCGTGCAGAAAAGTTGAGCCGTGTCAAATACGTCAGTCGAGAAATGGATGGCATGGAAGACAAGAAAGCCGAGGCAGAGAATTATTTGGAAAATGAAAATGAACTGACTCGTAAAAAGAATGAGTTGTATCAAATATACCAGTATGAAGCGAAGGGTAATATACAAGTAGCAACTCAGGTGATCGAAGAGTTGCATACAAAATTGACTGAGGAAGCTCAGAAATACGAAAGCATTGAGAAGGAAAAAGCAGAAATTGGTAATAAATACCAAGACTTTGTGAATGATTATAATCGCGTAGAGGCGGATACAAGCAGTTTATTAAAACGACAATCCAAATTGGAGAAAGAAGAAGTAGAAATTCGTGAAAGTAAAGCGCATTTGGAAAGCAAACTGGAGAAGGGTCGCGCTACGTTGGCTTCAGATCGTGCAGCTCGTACAGCAGCCCAAGAAGCCATAAAAAAAAATGCGGAAGAATTGAAACAGAGAAAGGTCGAGCTCACTGATTTGGAAAATCAATTGAAAGGAGAGGAGGAGAAACTTGAGACAATCAGTCAAGAATTAAAGGGCAAAACCGACGGTTATATGGCACAGATCGAAGAGCATCAACGAAAACTTGTTCCTTGGAACGAAAAGATTAACGAAAAACGCAAAACCATAGATGTAAAGAAATCAGAAAGCGAAATTTTGGCAGATAAGATTGTTGCTGGCGAAAAGGCCTTGAAAGAAGCGGAAGAAGAAATAGCTAGACTTCAACGATCAGTGAAGGACAAAAAGAAAGAAATCAAAGATTTACCTGATAAGAACAGAGAGCTCACAGTAGAGATCAAGGAATTAGAACGATATTTGGTCACTTTGAACAAAAAGGAATCCGACCTTCGTAATAATTTGAGCCATGCACGTCAAAAAGCCGATGAAGCAAGAACTTCTATGCAGCATTTCCAAAGTCGTGGAAAAGTTCTGGATAGCATTTTACGTTTACGTGACACTGGCCGTATTGAAGGCATTTATGATCGACTAGGTAGTTTAGGTGTGATTGATGATGCTTATGATGTCGCCATCTCCACAGCCTGTCCTGCTCTTGACAATATTGTTGTTGAAACAGTTGAAGCAGCTCAAGCCTGTATTGAATATCTTAGGAAAAACAACCTTGGACGTGCTGTGTTTACGGTGTTAACGCAACTGGGAAGACAACGATTTGATACGATTAGTACACCGGAAAACGTTCCTCGCTTGTTCGATTTAATTCAGCCCAAAGATGAAAAATTTAAGCCTGCCTTCTATAGCGTCTTAAGGGATACCCTGGTAGCGGAGGATATGCGGCAAGCCAACCGAATTGCTTACGGTAAGAAGCGTTGGAGAGTTGTCACCATGGATGGCAAATTAATTGAGAGGTCTGGTGCTATGACGGGTGGCGGGAACAAACAGCTGAAAGGTGCCATGAGCTCTGTGTTTAAAGATGATGGTGTTAGTGCTGACGTTGTCGCAGAATTGGAACGTGAGAGAGACAAGTTAGAAAGAGAGTACCGTAGCGTAGCTGATGAGAAAAGAGCGTCTGAAAGAGCTCTTGCTCGAAAACGAGACCAATTGCCGAAGATGGACGTCATTCTGGAGAAACTTCAAATGGATTTAAAGAGTATGGAAAGTCAAATGGAGGATGAAGAAGGAAGATTGGAGGAGCTAAGGTAAAGTTAAGATGCTATGATACAACGGTGGAAATACGACACAGTATTAAGCATTATTGTGATTAACTAGAGCTCAAACAGAACCAAGCCCAGCAGATGTTGCAGAGCAAACACAGATTAAAGCCGAAATAGAAGAGCTTGAAAAAGAACTAACAAGTCTGAAGAAACAAACAGCTGAAATTGAAGCAACTATTGCTAGCTTGCACGAAGACATCATGAACGTCGGCGGTGCTGATCTACGTCAACAAAAAGCATGTGTTAATGATGTCCGTAAGAAAATTGATACTCTCAATAGTCGTATCACCAAAAATATGGTAGCAAAGTCCAAAGCTGAAAAAGATGTTTCAAAATATGAAGCAGCTATCGCCAAATTTGAAAGAGAGAGCGCGAAGTCTGAAGAAAAGCTCAAACAGTTGGAGGATACTTTAAATCAATATGCAACCGATTTAAAAAATACGGTCGCAGAGGTTGAAAAGGCGAAGGAGGTATTAGAAAAGTCAAGGGCCATTTTTATCCTTTAGGTACTTTAAATAATAACAATTTTTGTATAGGTTATGGAAGAGAAAAAAGCCAGTATGGAAGAAATGAAGAAAGAGCTAGATGCTAAAGCAGAAGAAATCAATAAGCTCCGCCAATCTGAAGTAGACACCAGGAACAAATTAGAGGAGTATAAACGTACATTAATCGACAACCAAAAGAAAGCGAGCCATTGGGAAGAGCAGCGAAATAAATTGGAACTACAACGTATTGACGAAGAACCAGATGAAGCGCTTGTATTACCGGAATTCACAGATGTAGAATTGAAAGAGCTGAGTGGATCAAAGCAAGTCATTAAGATGGATATTGCAGAAATTGAAAGTAAGACTGTCAAATGGGTTGGAACCGTTGACAGACTCGAATTGCCAACTAAAAAATTTGCTTAAATTCACCATAGCTTTTGTTCAAAATGCTAAGCCTAATTTATCAGTTCTTGAAGAATATCGACGCCGTCGGCATGAATATAATGAACGAAAGGCAGAACTGGATGCCGTTACAGCTAGTCGTGATACTGTCAAGACAGAAGTGGAAAGTCTTCGTAAGAAACGTTTAGACGAGTTTATGAGCGGCTTCAACATTATTTCGCAGAAATTAAAGGAAATGTATCAGGTAAACATCTCATCACTAAATTTCGAATATTGTGTTTATCATTTTAGACACTTATTTTTTATCCGTTTACAATAATTAGATGATCACAATGGGCGGTAATGCTGAACTGGAACTAGTCGATAGTTTGGATCCCTTCTCAGAAGGTATTGTGTTCAGCGTGATGCCCCCCAAAAAAAGTTGGAAAAACATCTCAAACTTGTCAGGCGGTGAAAAGGTGAAAACGAAACTTTTGTATGGACCACTTAACAAAAGGCAACAATATTAATTCATTCAGAATCCTGTTCAAATTTTCTTTTAGACACTAAGTTCTTTGGCCCTTGTGTTCGCTCTTCATCACTTTAAACCTACGCCTTTATATGTCATGGATGAAATCGATGCTGCTCTAGATTTCCGAAATGTTTCTATTGTCGCCAATTATATTGCTGAACGCACCAAGAACGCACAATTTGTTATCATTAGTCTTCGTAATAATATGTTTGAACTTGCTGATCGATTGGTGGGCATTTACAAGACAAGCAATTGTACAAAGAGTATTGCAATTAATCCTAACATGATAGCAACGTTGACTGCAGTGCCAACAAACGCCAGTCCATCTAAAACATGATAGCTCACTTTTATAATATTGTAGATACCCCTTCCTAATAATATGAGAAATAAATCTCATTTACCATAGATTATACATTGCTGTAAAATACGTGTAAATGTTATGTATTGTTGGCCATTAGATAATAACCAATAATTGTAGCTCTGCGAATGGGAGCCCTAAATGGTAAGCAAAAGATTGCATTTTTCGCTGTATCTTATAATGATGCTGATAACAGCTCTATATATAAAATTCTTCTAAATTCGAAGAATACTACTATTAGAGAAACAGCGATAGTTGTGATGCTGCTGAGGCCCTGTAAACAAATAGAAGCTACAATCAAAAGATTGGTAATACAAACCAGAGGGGAACCGTATATAACAACTTACTCATCCGCCCCACCCCCATTTTCTTTTAAGAAAGGAAGGAAGAAGGATAAAATGCTTGCAAAAGTATTATAAGCTTTGTCAAGTCATAATAGAGAGATGAGAAATACTTTGACGAGAAACTGTCCATCACAAAAAGATGTAACTTTTTTATAAAACGTTATGTTTGTTATTGGAAAATAAAGCGAGGTAAGAGGGGATTGGTATAAAAAAAGTTGTGAAAGAACAATAAATAGAAGGGTTTAAGGCAGGAATTACCACAAATTTGTACGGGAAGCAATAGAAGATAGAGTATTAACATTATCGACGCCGATAATCCATCCTAATCTTTCTGTAAATAACTGGATCACCTCACCAAACCGGCCTTGCGTTTCTTGATCATGTTGAACAATGCTATAACAATAATATCATATTAGCATTCCAGACGTTATATGTATGATGAGTAAACTCAACTTACTCTTTTGCCCACTCAGTCACAACTTGCTGACCGAAAATTTTGCCTTGACTAACTTTGGACGCTGCTATATTGATGGCTTTCTTCCAGTATCCTATTAGCTCTGTAAAGAGGTCTTGTTTGATTTGATTGTGCGCATCAGTGTCCCAAACAGGTAGCCGATTCGCTACATCAGTCGCGTAATGCAGGTAAGAAAATATAGTAATTGAGTGATGATGTTCTCCTAATTGATCAGGCACTGTTATTGAAGCATTCGAATGATGGTTGCCACTACTACTGCTACTACTATTAGTATTTCTATCAGCATGAACGACACGGCCACTGCTGTTGCTACTGTTGCTGTTATTGTTATCTGAAATGGGGGATGTAAAATGATCTGCATATTCGAGAAGAGTATTAACAATGTCCAAAATGGCTGTTTTAACTCTGTTGAATGTATAATCGTCTCGAGCTGTCGATTTATTGTACGGAAAGCTGTCCATTAACTTCTTTTCTAGATTTCCAATGATTAGAGATATAGATTGGGTTGTCGGTGGAGGTATATGAGCGTCTATTTCACTTTTTAGATGTGGATTGGAATCGACAAGATCGTTAATCAGATCAATTAATTTATCTTTATCCAAAGTTGCTATATACGTTACGAATTAGGGAGAAGAGCCACAATCAATAAAACTTTACGAAGTGAATTTTTTTGATTTAACTTACCAAGGAGTTTACTTATGGGAAAATCCTTTTTAATTGACATTCTATTACGCTTAGACGCATGATATGACCCATAATAATCGTCTCTGTAGCTATGAACAGTTGTGGAATGTTGTTGATGTTGCTGCTGCGGTGGCGATCTATAACTGCAATCAGCATTGTCACTATTTGTCATTTCCTCATCCTCATAAGAAGCACGTCTTTTTCTTCCTGTTACAGCAAATAGAATGATCAGACTCTTCACTACAGTTGAAGTTTGAAAACTCATATACTTTACCTTTGTTAAGACCATCGTTTGACGACGGCGGGACATACAAAGTAGGTTGTTTTGATGATTTGGCAAGGAAATGAGCTGAACGGTATAAATGTTGTTGTTGTCTAAATAAACTGTTTTGGGTAGGTGATGACGACATTTGGGCTTGTCTTCTAAAACTGGTGCAAAAGAAGCGTTTATAAAAAAGAATAGAAGTATTTGGGCTAAAAGGACAGAAAAACTATATATTACGGATAAAAAGACAACTGAGCCTTCAATGACGAATCAAACAAGAAACGAATCTTTCTTTTGCCGCTTTAAAACCATTTCTGGAATTTTATGCGTCGTTTCTAATTATTAGTTGAAGTGCCGCCTTTTTTTTCCTTCCGTCTAGAAGAGGACGTCAGTTTAGGGAGAGAGGTACATGTCGAGAGATAATTTGTTATGACATGCATGTGTTGCTGTATTACAACTATCTCCCTTTGAGTATTTAATTCAACATTATTTTGCTTGATCTACTGAAGGCGGCAGATACAGAAATAATCTTCGTTCAGGTACACTTACCATATAATAAACAGTACTATCGTTACACATGCACTTTATTGAATTTGAATAATTCATTAAGGTCCGTTAACAATAACTTCTGCACACTATCTTTTTATTTAGCATGCCTTCTTTTTTCAACTTGAGCTCAACTAGTCAGAAACAACTTTTCTTCTTTTCAACTCTTTTTTCTTTCTTTACACTGCGTCATCATTTACCCTGTCCATTCACTATAAACTCTTCCTACCTGACACTTGAAAAATGAATGTCACCAGCACACATACAACACCATTTCTACCCTCTCGCTCGCCTTACCGAATGCGAGACTCACAGCTATCAACCAGATCAAAAACTCAAGATTCTGGCTTCAAGAGAGGTAAAATCTCGAAAGATAGACAATAGACTACATCGTAATTAATGTATATCAATAATATGCTTACCAGCGAATAGATGGAGTCAATTTTCGAAAGAATTAGACAATATGTGGACTTACAAACCGATAGATTTTAGAGATAGTAGCAGTAGTAGCAGCTACAACTCATTACATTTGGAGATATCCAGATCAAACAGTGTGGCGTCTTATAATAAATTAAGATCAGCGTCATCCACGCTTTTGTCATCATTTTCAACCCAACTTTTAATATCACAGGCCATATTGGATTCAAATGACTTTTCTATTCTACCATTTCAGAAACTGGAAAACCTGAAACATGTATGTTCAATTTAATCTATAAGTGCAAGGCTTCCTTTTTGACGTTTTGATTTACCTTGTAATAGGAGCTAGTTAGTAATCAGGAGCATATTTCACATATCAAACGAAATTTAGAATTAGAAAATCGTATCCACAAAATAGCAAAATCCCTTGACAGATTCAATTATACAAATACAGGTCGAACGTCTGCTGCATTACAGCAATTTCAGCATCGTTTGAAGTCTCGAGAGACTGAAGATTCAAGCAAAGTGGAATACTTGACAGGTCGGCTTGAAGAACTGAATCAAAGACAAATAGACATACAAGTTTTGATATTGAAGCATACAGCAGCTGTCCTTAATAAAGGCTTACATTTATCTACTAATCAAATTCCCAACTCACCAACTACCGTCTATCATACGAATCATCAGCAAAGAGAACTAACACTAGACATGATTCTGACAAAAATCGATCATTTATGCAGGTCATATCGCATTACCATTGTCCCAACAGCGAGCACTGCTCAGAAGTTGCATCAATTAAGTCAGTATCTAATGACTCCTTCCCAATTGCCTTCTGACAACCATAAGAAACAAAGTGATATAGCAATTTTGAATAAAGAAAAGAATCAACTCATATCGAGATTGATCAAATTAGAACATATGGCTGATAGACTATTGTCACGAATTTCGCATTACCCTGAACGTGAACGGGCCCTTCAGGTAGAATTACTGCAGTATAAATCAGAAGCGACTGAAATACAACTGATGAGGGTTCATCAAGAAAAGCGTAGAGAGGTTGAAGCCTTGACTATTGCCCTAAATCAACGGAAGCAACAACAAAGTAATCGAAAACTGGCTTGCTTTCATCAACAGTTCAAAAGTCAAGCCGATGACTACCAACAGCATATTAACGAACAAGCCTTTTTAATTCGCACAAAGACTGAGCAATCAAAACAATTAAAAGAGAAATGCTATCAATTAACAATTCAAAGCAACAGATTAGATCGGTTAGTAAGAGATAAAGCAAGAGAATTGGATGAACGAGATAACAAAATAACAAGTCTCAGCGATGAATTGCGATATTTCAAGCAGCAACAACAACCGCAACAACAACCTTTCGCAAACACTTCTCCTACTGCAGCAAGTAAATTGCTCTCAACGAAGGAAGCGTACCATCAATTTCAGCAAAAAGAACAGCACTGGCAAATACACACAGATATGCTACAACATCGATCTGATGATTTATTAAATCAATTTGACATACTTACAAATCAAGCAATGGAATTTGATGCAACACGGATGAAATATGATAAGCATATTGACCATTTAAGGCGACATATTCGTGATTTAGAAATACAGCTGATAGATGAGCAAGTGGATACGCTTGGACATCAAGAGAAGGGGTATCAGCCTGTCAATAATACAGTGGCTCTACGTAAGGAGTTCCGATCGTTGGTAGCGTATCTAAAGGAGAGTCATCAGAAAAAGATGCAGAAAGAGGCAAATGAGATTGACAAATTGAGAAAGCAGTTATACGACTTGAGAAACGAACAGCATTCATCGGTCAGCAACTCAGCAATGGAGAAAAAACAATGCTCTACATCCACACAAACGTAGAACATCTCGTCGTCTTGATCTATCTTTATATTTACTTTTTAATATGTATTCTTATTTAATGTATTCCGGATAATGTAAAGAGAACTTTATGTTGCATTCAATCTGAAATATTTCGAATAATAGTCAGGTGATTGTTAACCAAACAGTTGCGGCGAGATTAAACGGTTTTAAACAATCAAAATACATATATGAGTCTTTACTTTCGTCAGAAGAGGCGTGCTCCGTTGCAGATAAACCCTAACTCTTTCTGAAGGATCAGATAATAGCCATTTATGACTTATATTTACTGCCCACAGTAATCAAAGCCCAGAACACTCGATGCTTCATTGTTGAATTAAAAAAGGAACAATCAAGGCATTCAATACCTAACACTCTCATCAGCGCCAATGAGAAGGATTCAGTCCCGCGCCTTCCCTCAATCACATCCACCACACCACTACAATACCACAGCCTCACTGAAAACAATTGAATTCAAACAGGATGTGGTAAAGAGCAGGCCATTGGTGGTAACAGATTTGGACCGGAATGAACGAGTGGATGAGGCAGTGTGGGAAATGGCTCTTAAAATAAGGGTATGGGATTGGGATCAACGGACGAAGGGCGGAGACGACGGTACATATCAATATATGAGATAGCGTGAAGAAGATAACGAACGTAAAGGGGTGTCAGAGGCAGTGTATATGATACCTAGATGGTAGCCAACACAGTTGTCAGCGGACGCATCGATTTCTTTCCAATGAAGACATGGGAAGACACAGAATAGCTTTAATCATGGGAGTGGACCGGCATCAAGAAATACGCTTGGAGTTTTATGGGTTGGTTTGTCGTACAGGTACACTGATATTACGGAAATTGATGATACATTGATTTTTGAAGTCATTGGTTGAAGAGATGTATAATGGCCAGATTGGGGAACTGGTGAGCATACTATATTAGGAATAATCTCAATTTATGCAGTTGTAAAAGTTAGTAATAGAGTCCAAAGTGTACATGTCGCTCATAGTGTTTGTGAGGAGGCTGTTAAGAAAAGAGAACTTGGCAGAGAAAGGACTCAATAGTCAAAACTAGAAGTGAAGAATGACACATCACTGTTCGCGCTCTTTGTAAGAGACTCTTTATATTATAAATAGCGTTGAGAGTATTCATACAACGCCTATACATAAATTTTTTGACATTCAATAAATGTTCCAAGCGAGGCTATAAGTGTGTGTGTTTAGCACTTTATTCTCCCTGAGTTGGGCCTCGGTGCGTATTTCTGATCAATTGTTCACGCGTAAACTGAAGAGGCATGAGATTTGCCAAGAAGAAACAAAATATTAGAAGTGACTCAATGATCTTTTTTTTTAATTATCGTAAGGGCTAAATACGAACACATAGTGAGTCTGCTTTTGCGATGCTTCAACTTATTCCAGCATCGTTAACGAGTCTCGCTGCTACATAAATCGAATCAATGCCGATAAAAATCTAATGCGTATCAAATTTCGACACAATTCACTGTAGAAATCATTCCGAAAAGCTCTGCCATAATTAAAGGTAGGCTCACCAAAATTGCCGGAAAATCCAGTATACTTTTTCTCTGCAGGCTGATAGACTAATCTGCAACATGGGAAAAGGCATTTTACATCGATAAAACAAACTTGTGATGTATTCCATATAGCCTGATAATGTATATTTGTATGTAGAAGGATTTTTTAATTTTTTTTACGTGACTCTTGAGGTTTCATACGTAAGAAAATGTACGATAAAAGAACAAAAGGAAAAAAAAAAAAGAAATAGAGTATCGCCAAGAATAGATATATTTTGATAGCATTTGTCTAGCTTTGGCAATTTACTATAAACCTTATCGTTCCTACAAGCATTTGTTGTTAGATGGATTTGTTTATAATGGACGAGTATGTAACTACAACTGCTAATAAGGAGAAGTCTTCTAACCTGCAATTCATAACAGAGGTCATTTGCTATGCTAACGTTGTATATATTCTCTATGGCGATATGTCTGATAATTGGGGGCTCTCCTCACACTTCTGCTTATCGAATTTCCCGCTTTGATGGAGTTCAAACAAATGGAGCTTTTCAGACAAAATAATAAAAAAAATTGGGACAACTAAGCCCCTTTCTTCCAAACAGAATTTTGCTTGCACATATCCGAATTCTGTTGAAGAGCGATTTTCATTCTAAAGAGTTTATTCAACAATATGCTATAAATTTTTAGCAGCCCTTTATACCACACTGCCATAGTACCTATAAATTTGGTAAATGAGTATGCTATGGCAGTGGATGAATGCCTCAGTGAGACTTATGTAAAGGCTTTTGTAGTAGATCTCAAGATCAGAACGTTTTGAATCAGATTTGCAGTATGATATAATTGGTAAACACTAGCATGGGTTTAGCTGCGATGATTTTTCGTCAGCATGCTATTCAGGCACGCTGTTTTCCTTTATTAATAGAATAAACCTCAACTAGTAGTTGACTGTTGAGTTCTTAGTGAGGTGAATGACTTCATCATGACAGCTTCAACAAGTATGTCAATGGACTATAATACATTGCGGTCATCTACTTTTATGAATTACTATATTTTGTATATATTTTGTATGTGGAAAGTAAGGAGAGAAAGAAAGGAAAGTGAAGTCTTTCGGGAAGAATCAATTTGTTCATCCACGCTTACAATTAGTTCCTTGTCGTGATGGGGTTCGATAAATTACAACGATCAGTAGAGTATAAGTAACTGTACTAGAAGGTGGATTAAATGATCGGCAGAACTACTCAAAGGGATATTTCAAGCTCTATAAAGTTTGTCCAAAAGTATTTTATAAAATGTCTAATGATGAACGTGCTTCCGTAAATCCGAAAACAATTTTTAATTTTTGAAAAGGAGATAAAAATGTAAAACGCTGAAAGAAAAAATATTCTTTTTTTGAAAATCAGTTCTACAGAAAAATACTGTTATAACAGTGAAAGACACCACATTGAGCTATGATTTATGAGAATGGAAGAGAAGATATAAATAACATACTCCATCAAGCCTCTTACTTGCGTCTCCCGGTTTCTTTTTCTTTTCCCTTCAATTTCCAGTTTCACTTCCTTCTAATTTCAGGGGTCAGTGAAAACAAACTTATCCAACACTTCATTAACATTTACAATTCTATAACCTCAGGATAGAATAAATGGTCAAGTTATCTTTGATCACAACAATTGCTGCTGCTATTGCACTAGTCTCTGCCGCTCCGGTTGCTGATAACACTACCACCACCGCTGCCGCCCCTGTCACCAATACCAGTAATACAACTTCCACCGCTACACCTACAACACGCACCAACCAATCAGCATCATCTACCTCTGGTATTCTTCCCCAGTCTTCACCTGCTTGGCTTCCTGTCTTCAACACCAACAACGTCACTGAAAAGACTCCCATTCCTACTGGTCCCCTCAAAAAAACCTCCACGTTGAAGATTGAAGACTATCCTGAAGGATGGAGCCAGCCTGATGTCAAGCATCCTGAGGTTCAAAAGGTCATTAATGCTATCGATTGGTCCTTTGTTCCCAACTTTAAGCCTCGTCATGAGGGTATGAAATACGATGACAACAAGGATGAAGCTTGTTGGTGGACTAATACTCAATGCGTTACTCCAAAAGTCAAATATTTACCCGAGGATGTCAAGTATTGTGATAAAGTTGGTCAATTTGGTTTGGTAAGTTCTTCTTTCGTGATAAAAAAGAGGTACAAATACGCGAGTGTTCAATATAACTGATTTTATATCAACTTATATCCAGACTTATGATGATGGACCATTGCCTCCTCAATTTGACGATGATCCTTGGGCTGAGCCCCGTCTTTACGATTTCCTTGCTGAGCAAAACCAAAAGGCTACGTTATTCTGTAAGTATACACGTACTTGTTAAAAACGCCCAGAAAAAGATTTCGTTTATCTGCTGTACTTGGGGGTCGCATTTCAATTGCTCATTGTATCTAACAAACATAACTTAATTTAAAGATGTTGGTACAAACGTTGTTGAAGCACCTGATGCTGCCGCCCGTGCGCTTGAGGATGGTCACACCATCTGTGCTCACACTTGGTCTCACCTTCAAATGACCACGTTAACCAACGATGAAATTGTCGCACAACTTTATTGGAATTTACGTGCCATCAAGGAGGCTACAGGCCACACTACTCGTTGTTGGAGACCACCCTATGGTGATATCGATGATCGTGTTCGTGCCATTGCTCATCAGATGGGTTTGGCTACAATTATCTGGGATAGTGATTCTTTTGATTGGGGTTTACCTTCTGTTGCCAATGATTTCGCCGGCACTTACACTCAAGCTACCGTAGACGGTTTCTTTAAGGATTGGATCAAGGAGCGTAAGGAAAACAAAGATGAACATGGCCGTATTGTGCTTGAACATGAAACCAGTAATGTGACTATCTTGCTTACTGAAAAGTGGTTGCCTCAATTGAAAAAATCTTTTGATGTTAAGCCTGTTCATGAATGCTCATCTAAGCTTCCTAGCCCTTACTGGGAAACCTCCAATTAGATGCTTACTTATACCATAAAGGCGAAACTGCAGTATATACATATCGGTCACTCTCGTCTGACTCTATACTATTCTCTACTGCCATATACTAATTATCTCTTTTATATCCACTCTTAATACAATTCGACTCTCCATCTGCATTGTAAATAAATCCATCTCATTTTATTATGGTTTTTTTTTTTCCTGCTCAAAGGCGATATGCTACGGTATCTGCTGGTTTCATAGTAATACCATTTGTTGTCTTCTGCCTTACTCAACAATAAAGTAAAAAGTGGGTTGATATTTTCAATTTACAGATTTGCATATGAATAAGTAATCATTCGGAAAGAGTTCAACTGCTTGACAGTTTATCAATTATTATCATGAGTCACATAGCCGCACTATAATTTGTCAATACCTGTCAGAATGGCATTCCAATGGTCGTGCATATTCTTTACTGGCAATTATTTAATTTGATATGACCGTCATCAACAGATTGCGTCTACAATTACATATTATGCCATCCTGGTATTAATTGGATATTATCTATGCCTACAACAATAGTGCACAATTTGATGCGCTTGGTGAAGTTAGTTGTTGATAACAGGTACGAACTAATATTAAAAATGTAGAATGGCAAGTAAAATTGGCTCGAATTATAATCAGTTTACTTTTTGTGGCCTTTCTACCTAAAATTAAACCGAGTTCTATATAGAAACATGAAAGAAGTGATTTGCTAACTAGCGCAGCTAAGGAAATGAAGTGTGTACAAATGATAAAGAGTGCTTGTCAAATAACTACAAAAAACATTTTTGTATTTCATTGGGCACAGTGTCATTAAGATAACGAGTGAAGGCTAACTTTGATAATCTCAAGTTTTATTCTTTGCGCAGTTATCAAAAAGCTTCTACGCTGTGAATGATTGTATAATTGTTATTCTAATATTCACTGATTTAACTTTTGTGCGCTCGAAAAATGGGCGATAGTAAGTATTCAAAAATCTAATTGCTGAGTCTATTAGCTCGTAAGAGATTTACGCATCAATATAATATGGATAAGAACAAATGAATACCGTTTGTGCTTCGATGAAGCACTCTTTGAGCAGTATATGTTGAACTTATTAACCATGCCTGATTTTTGCGCGCTTACATAATTAATGTGTCGAATTGTGACCGTTTAAATGAAAGTGAGTGTCCGTTTATTGCACTTCGCAAAGAAATAAGCTACTCTTTTTGTACTTATTTATAAACAGTAAAAGATGGATTTGCTGAACAGTTATGCATCAAGCGATGAAGAAGATAATCTTAAGTCTACTGTATCGTCAGCAACGAAAGCTATTGCCAAAGTGAATGCTGCACCAGACACTAGCTACGATGTAAAAACCTCACATATAGATCCACTTTTGATTTCCTTCTGATTCAATGATTAAAATTGCACGTATATCGTTACTTCCTTTTAGGAACATTTATCAGGTGCGTTGTATACAGCACCCACAGCCACAGCACTTACTGTTAACGTACCGTATGATGATATGTCGCGCCCTATTTTGGGTCCAAACAACCCTTATCACCAACCTCAAATGGCCATCCAAAACGTCGTGAACGGCCATGTCGAACAGCAAGCTATTTCGGAAATGGATTTTAGAACTCAATTCCGTACGTTTGAGACTTACGGTTACGCGCGTGATCCTTCCGTTCATACAACAGAAACTAATTTGGCGGGGCAAACAGGGGAAGGCGTCATGGGGACAGGATATGTTGGTGATATCAATGCAGCAGCAGCGTTAGGAGGCATTACTGTATTAGACAGAGCAGGAAAAGATTTGAGGAGAAATAAAGATATGAAGAAGAAGCGTGAATCGAAGGGACGATTAGATCAAATAGAGGGTCCCGATGCATATAAAGGTCCATGGGCTGGATATGAAGATGATCAAGTAGGAAAATCGACAGGCATACCTCAACAACAGAACGACGGAGAAGCAGCTGAAGGAGGAGAAGATGAAAAGAATAAAGAAGAGACAGCAGTGGCTCAACAAGCCGGCAAACAGTTTTCAGTTCAAAACATTGCGAAGCAATCCACTACAGATTACACTATTTTCCACGGCTCATCAGAAAGAGACTATTTGGGTCGTACGTATATGGCTGTGCCTCAAGATGTCGACATCAATTTGTTTGGAGAACCTGGTTCACAAGAATGCTTTATACCCAAAAAATTGATTCATACATGGGAAGGACATCAGAAAGGTGTTGCCAGCATCAAATTCTTCCCCAAATCAGCGCATCTTTTATTAAGTGGCGGTATGGATAATGAAATAAAGGTAAGAAAAGAAAAGTTCTCCTTAGCTGTTACATCAATTTCTTTTGAATGTATGGAACTGAGCTATTTCATCCAATGTCAAGATTTGGGATGTTTATCACGATAGAAGTTTGTTACGTTCATACTTGGGACACACGAAAGCAGTGAGAGACATTGCATTCAACAATGACGGTACAAAGTTTCTTAGTGCAAGTTATGACAGAAATGTTAAATTATGGGACACAGAAACAGGACAATGCATCCGAACCTTTTCTACTGGTCGCTTACCATATTGTGCCACTTTCAATCCTGACGAAGATAAACAGAATATCTTCTTAGCAGGGTATTCAGACAAAAAGATTGTACAGTTCGATATAAATACTGGAGAAATCACACAAGAATATGACCAGCATTTAGGCGCTGTAAACACGATTACATTTGTGGATGACAATCGACGTTTTGTTACGACATCAGATGATAAGACGATGCGTGCTTGGGAATATGATATTCCTGTTGTGATTAAATATATTGCTGAACCAGATATGTATGCCATACCAGCAGTGACGCTGTCACCGAATAGTGAGTGTTGAAAGATGATTTGCTTTATAATTTTTTATACTATGGATATTGACTTGATATGCAACTTTGTCTTTGACCTGTAGAAAAATGGCTTGCTTGTCAGTCTTTGGATAATCAAATCTTAATATATGGTGCTCGTGATAAATTCAGACTGAATAGAAAGAAACGATTTGCTGGTCATCTTATTGCTGGTTATGCTTGTAAACCTGG